CCCACAGGGCCGACAGAGCCAACAGGGCATATCACGTGGTTCAGCCTTGTTCCCTTGTGGATCCTTCCATCTGTCCAATGAATGTCCTGAGCCGCGCCTTCGCAGCCCGCGACCGGTCTCTTCCAAGGCTGTGTCTAACATATAATTACGGAATGTTTATTATCTTTTAAGCTAGAGCTCTTATAGAAAACGGTATTGAAGCTATTAAAGAAGTCAAAATCGACACTTCCCATTGAGTTCAACTCATTCAGGATATTCATTAAGCTATTATTAAGGATGAAAAGATACCATTATTATAGCCGTCTCGCGCAGAAACCAGTGGGTGGCAGCCATTAAAGCCTATTGTGATGGCCACTCCAGATGAAAGTGTTATTAATCTCATTAACCAAGAGAATACGAACTAGATGTTGTAGGCTCATATCGACCTATATAGCGAAGAGAGAATAGATTTAGAATATGATAGCAATGACCCTTAAGATAGAACCCCAACGCTAAGAGTGAACTCTCTCTTCCCTCGCGTTACTTAGTTAGTTAAGGGAGGATTCTAAGAGCGAACCCTAGAGCCACCGAGTAACATTAGTATGGAAATAGGCTCGACCCCAAGACAGAGTGGTTATCAAAGCGGAATGTTAAGAGCGTCTTCGGTGTTCTCATATAGACCGAGTAGGTCTGTTACACCTGCTGGTGGTGTTTTAGTTCGTGTTCTAGATCTAATAAGAGAGGAGAATCTACTTCCGTTGTGAGCTTCTTCTTATAGTGCTGCGGACCCGCCCCCTGGGCAACAATAGGGTTAGATAATTCTTGAGTGTACTGTGTGCTGTCGGACGAGGTCGTCCTATAGATGGGAGAGGGAGGGATGTAACAAGGCAAGGTGGCTGTGCTGTGATGGGCTGTGCTGGGCTGGTAGAGCGGTGGTAAGGTGAAAAAGTTGTCTAGTCACATGTCAAACCTAAATGGGCTGGTAGAGAGGAGGTGCGGAATAGTTTACAGTGCTGGCAGTGTGCCATTCATTTTTTACAGATTGAGCAGAGTATTATGAATTCCATGGCTTTTGGTGCCGTCTACCTAAATCCTGAGAGTGTTTTATCAGTCCTGTCCTGTTTCTCGATGCTGCCGCTGTGCTAGGTGTTCGTAGCCCTAGCCGCTGCCTCTCTGGGTGGTGTTGGTGGTGTTGTTGTCAGTATCAACCAGAAACGCGTTCCCGATTCCCGATCTGCTGGACAGGCCTCTGTGCGTTGTTGCACGTGCACGCCAAACCCTGAAGTGCTCTGTTACAATAGAATCTCCCCTGAGGTGCCAAAAATTTCGCAAATTGGTCCAGCTGCTCGGTGGTAGGGATTGGGTCAAGGGCAGCGATTGCCTCGTGGAATGCGTCCAACTTCATATGAAGATCTGTAGTAGACGGGACCTCCATGTTAGCCCGACAGATCTCAAGCTCTCTTTGTGTTCAGCGGCAGTCGGGTGTGGCCTCGGGGGCTCGTTTTGATACAAATGGACTGAGACAGGTAAATCGAATGTCTAATGCGAAGGCTTCTTGACTCTAGGCCTTTGTTATATCAGCGACAAAGGCTACGCGGGCCCCTCGCTATAAACGCAAAGACTGGCTGGATCTTTACAGATGTCCGGCCCGAAGGTCCTATCGAGGAAATGTCCCTTCATGCTCTCGGCCCCCGAGCTCTTAACAGTTCCGGAAGTCCACCAAAACCACTTGATCTCAAATTCAATCCTCGGTCAAATTAGCTATGGAATGCTCTCCACGACTGTTCCGAGACGGTGGCTTCACGAAACCACCCTTCCCTTGCGGCGTCTGCAGCCAGCCAGCAAAAGCCCATTTGGACGCAGGTTCGTCCTATTAAAATTCTACTCTGCTCTATGCACATTATTCTCGCCTGCTTTCTCCCAGCATGTCCTGAGAAAGTGCTCTAGGCGGATAGTCTGGACGTGCGGAAATAGCTTATTCAATTCCGTCCCTTTAATGTCAAAAACACCGGCCACCATTCCAATCATCTGCGTACAACAGATACCATCCAACTCTTCTTTGCCACCAGGAAAGTATGAGTAGCAAGGGTTGTTGGAAGGCAGTTCCGTTGTTGCACCTTTCCTGATGGCGCTGACTTCGTCGTGGGTCTTGTGAAATCGGCGCCCTATTTTATAAAGTGTTAGTCGTCTCCGGTATGGCCAAGTACTCGTACTAGAGAAGCTGACCTGTGCATCTCTCCGCAGCCTCTACCAATTCATTTAGGGTAATTCGTTCGCCGATAATAGCGGACTCCTTTGGCCATTGGTGGGCTGGTAAGTCCAATAACTCGTTGACGAACTTGGCCACGTCACGAGTATGCGTAAATACCACATGGCAGTTTCCGTCGCCGGGTATTACAGCCTTGCCGGCCGAGATGTCGAGTATGCAATAGAGTGGATGAAGATGTGTCTCTGCAAATGGCAGGCCCAAGTAGTCCATGAAAAATCCATTCCGAACAAGTGTAAACGTCAGAGTTGTGTTGCGACGCAGCTCTTCGACGGCTTGGAGGTATTTAACTCTGGGTGGGTATGGCATATCCCTGATGGACGCTCTTGTCAACAGGATCCATGCGCAGTCTGCAGGTGGACTGACGACCTACTCTTCTGGGGCGTTGTAGTCAATGTTAAATTCACTGGGCAAGAACCTTGTCACGGTGCCACATTCGGCCGCGGCTTGGATCAGGTTCAACTGGGCGTCGTCGGCACCAGGCCAGTGAAGGTTTAGCGTAGAGATGACAGTGTCGACATTATACTTCGCAAGAACCTCGCTCAATGCCGTTCGCGAAGAGTAATCGACCTCAAGGACCGATGGAAAACATTCGGGTACGTTCCTGGAGGGGCTCCCGGGGGCCTTCTATCTCTGAAGTCAGTTCTGGGCACAGAAAAACATGACATTTACTTCATAGAGATGGAAGTGCAGACGTAGAAAATCATACCTGCCGGGTGAGGACGTACACCTGGTGTCGTTGTGACCGATGAATTTCCTCCACAATGGTACGTCCCACATCCCCTAGACCACCAGCTACAGCAACGACGACCATGCTATCAACAAGAGGCAAGTCAAGGACAACTGGTCATGTGAGAGAGAACAGAGCTAGTACAACAATACGGCTGCTCAGAAGATTACAAGTGTGATCCGAAATGCAGAGTTGAAGACCATAGCAGCAGGCGCACTGCTTTTTAATGTCTCTGGGCTCTCTGTAAATGTCACTACAGACGAACCAGAATGCAGGAGGGCGGGCAGCTCCAATGGCGAAGCATTCCATTGTTTACGCTCTCTCCGCGCAGTGGAGGCAGAATAAATGGAATGATGGCTTTTTGGGTTCCGACAAGGCACCCACCTGGCCTGATGTGATGATGTAGGGCACCTCAGAGGGGGGTCTAACAGCCCGTCAATCATGAAATAGTTGAAGATGACTTGCCAGCTGCTCTCACGGCATGCACATGAAGCTTCCGCCATCTTTCCAATACGGACATGTGTTTCTTTGGAGAAGATCATACTCATACGGCCCTGCAAAAATAGTTGATAGCTAGGTGCTCCGGCCGGATTTCCGACAAAATCCGCGGCTACAACTACCGCTTGGACGCCGTCAATGAGCCTCAAATCTCACCTAACATCCAGTGCCAAGAGGCAAGCTATGTACTAATACTACTGCCTTTATGCTCAAGCGCGACTTTACCGTTTCGTAGAACAATGCTGGTCCGGAAACTGCAATTTCCTCCGGAGGTTAACGGGGGTCCGAAAAGATACGAGACCTGACAAGGGATGTTCATCTCTTAGAGAAACACCGATTGTACTCATGTTGATTGATCAGAAGTGCTCTAGGTGTATGGCCTTTATAAGCTATCTTTACTGAACGGGTTGGCCTTTCATGGCCGGGAGAGGGCGCGACTGTCCAGACCAGCTCGACAACACTGACATGACCAAAGACTCCAGACTGCATAAGAACTGAAAGGTGTACCCCCTTGCATATCTCTCAAATCCTTGTGAAAAGGAACTTCTCTAAGTCTTGTCCTCGTTGAAGTTGGCAAATATTCTGTCTGGAACGCTTCAATCCTCGCCAGCATTCCAGGCACTCAAATTTTGTCCTTGACATATAGGATGTCGTCGTCAACAGAAGCTTTTCCTGAGAAGGCGTTGGATATTCAGGAGGTCAAAATGGAGATGGATGGGTCAAGCCTTGGGAAAGAAAAATCTGCCATATGCACGGTTTCACCCGTAGAGCAAGGCCTCGTGCTGGACATCCCAGTCAAGAGAGATATGGGATGGATGGGCATACTGGCTGCGGGATTCAGCATCAGTAATAGCTGGCTGGTCTTCCTTGCCACCTTGGTGATTCCCCTTGTATACGGGCCGATGACAACCATATGCGGAATCTTTTCGGTCACAATTGCATATATCCCCATCGGCCTGACAATCGCAGAGTTCATTTCGGCGTACCCGACAACTGGTGGGCAATATCATTGGACGTCAATCCTAGCACCCCCGAGCGTCAAGAGAGTAGCGGTAAGCTCAATTGTACCCCGTCATTAGAAGTGGCGCTTTTACTTACTGAGACCTCTTTTTTCAGAGTTACATGACGGGCTTTCTCAGCTGGTGTTCCTGGCTGACCATCACTGCTAGCACTCAAAGTGCTATGGCAATGTGCATCTTCGCAATTGTCATCAATGCGAAACCGACGACGGTAATTCACAAGTGGGAATATTTTTTGATATTTCAAGGGCAGAACATCACTGCACATCTTATCAATCTCTTATTCCAGAGGCATCTCACAAAGCTTTACTTTTTTGGATGTGAGTCCAGCCCATATTGTTGACGCGGAGTTTCTACTAACTGATTGAAGTCTTGCTTAGCTTGGTGGCTATTCCAGTCATTTCAGTCACGCTTTTAGCTACATCAACCAAAGCAAGCTCCGAGTTCGTCTGGACTACTGTTGTTGCAGACTATGGTTGGCCGACAGGTGTCCAATTCCTCTTCGCTCTGACAGCTCCAGTTCAAGCATTTTGTGCTGTGGACGGCGCAGTACACCTCGTAGAAGAGGTCAACCAGGCCGGCAAGATCGTGCCGCGAACAGTCGTCACTTCACTTGTGATCTCTTTCGCTTCCTTGATCCTTTTGGCTTGCTCTGTCCTTTATGCGATCACAGATTTGTACGCTGTTCTCGCTACACCATCAGGATTTCTCGTGTTCGAGATCGTAAAGCAAGGTACAGGGTCTGCCGCTGCGGCAATTGTCTTTACCGTCCTCCTTCTTTTGGCGTTTCCTGTCAGCTTCACTGCCTGTGCTCGAGTTGCATCTGTCATGGGATGCAGTCTCGGGAGAGACAACATCTTGATCTACTCGGAGAAGCTCTCCATGATCAGCCAGAGGTTCAACGTTCCAGTCTATGCTCTATTTGTAGACTGGATCTTGATATCTCTTATTGGCTTTCTGTATCTCGCCTCTCCACTCGGTAAGTTGCGACTGTCTCCCTACTCGGTCACCCCACGACTAACTGCGAAGGTAGCCTTCAATGCCATCATCGGCGTCTCAGGGATTTTCCAACAGCTTACCATCGCAATACCGACGTTCTTCCTGATCTACCGGCTGCGCTCACCCTCAGTTCTACCCAAAGATCGATCCTTCCGGCTTCCTTCATGGCTGGGGTGGACTTGCAACATTTTCACGGTGGTGTGGGCAGCGGTGACTACCATCTTCTTCTTGTTTCCATTTACGGAGCCTATAGCAGAAGCTACAATGAGTAAGTAACCCGGCTTGAGCCTGCTATGTGACGGAAAGTGAATGCTGATGTGCAACTTCTAGACTACTCGATTGTCGTGGTTGTCGGAATTGTCGTACTTGGGATACTGAGTTGGTTTGTCCACGGAAGAAAATACTACCAAGGCCCACTACTTATTCGGCTCCACGACTGAGACCGATTGCAAACGAGAATCAAGTGAAAACTGAGGAGGAGGCCGGCACCAAGAAGATCTGTCTTTATCCATCTGTTTTTGAATCTACGAGATATCTTTTGTTGGGGTTTGGATCATGCCGTCGTCCTACTGTTTCCATGGCTTGCCGAAGCAGTGGTAGTTCTCTAAGACGTACCTGGACTATGTAGCAACCTCCCTTACCATTCCCGAAGCAAGCAGTTGTCTATCCGGAGAACCCCGGCCGCGGGAAATACGCGTAACAGGGTCGGGAAGCTATTTGCCCTTATCAGTGCCTTTGTGAGCTACAGTAGGTTGTTGCGCCGACGATAAGCGTCAGCTAGAGGAGCACTTTCTAGCGTAGGTAGACCCGGAATGCCGGGGCCGATGGCCACGATCAAAGGCCAGATAACTCGGCGGGATGGCGCTAATAAGGCCAATGCATATGACCTTGCGTAGCGCGTGGGATGAGAGTGGATTCATCTGCTTGATTGTGTTCTGTCCCTCTGGCTATTCAGAGAGACTCTGTCGCTTTATATACACTTTGGCCTGTAACCTGAAGAACATTCCTGAAGTCTCCTGTTCCGTCGCCATTCCTATCGCAGATCGGCGAGAACAACGGTGTTTGAGGCGACTGGCGCAGTTGGTGGGGCGCCTAAGCTCTTAGGTGGTTTGTCACAGTGGCGAACTCGCGGCCCTGTCAACACCTTGCACCTCCACGTTTCGAACAGCGGGGTAAGTATTTGGTTCCTGGCGGCCACGAGGACCCATGTTTTCTTTCCTGCTTCATCACAGATTTGCTATTTTCCATTTGGTCCACTGGAGGCTTGTCGGGTGAGATTTAGCACTGTACTGCACAATAATGGACCTAAAGTCCCGCCGGTTGCTTCTTTCGCAAAGATTGCTTCCCGCAGTAAGCTCCATGAGTTCTCCCCAACTGACCAAATCTGATCCTGTGCCTAGTGTGACCAATGTTATGCCAAAAAGGTTAGGCGTTCAACTTGGATGAATGCCTTTGGAAATGTCGCTGAGGACGTTGAAACGTAGACACGATGCGATCGCCTCGACCCCTGCGCCAGCTGCATCGTAAGCGGTGTCGATTGTCTTCGACGCCGCCCCAGAACCTCTGCCCGCAAACGCAACAGATCTCAGACGTGGGTGGACCATACGATTATAGTCTTCAGTGCTAACTGAGCCCAGGAATCGAGTCGACGATGTCATGAATCGTGTCATGCGGCTGGAGGAGACTCTCCTGAATACCAGCTGGAGGAAGTCGTCGAGTTTTAGCACACTTCCGACGACACCTGGCCGTGAAGACAGACCGAGCCAAGCTGACTCACCGGATTCAGAGATTGAAGAGCTTACCGAATTACGGAGCCACCACCTCAAAAGTAACTCTCTTGCTATGCGAACAGCACCAGATGCTGACAGAGCGCAACAATTTAATCTAACGGAAGACCATGCCACCGAGCCAAAGTCCTTCGTTGGAGAGAATAGCTTGAGTCCAGAGTCTGAAGAAATCGCTTCGATCGACCTGCAACGCTATCTACGATCCTGTCCCCAGAACAAACATGCTTTGGACGTGGATCAGAGAAACGCTCTCGAATCAACCATTGATTCTGCAAAGAGGCTCGCAATATCTGGACTCGGCCTTGAGGAGATAGGTGTCGTATCTGATCGCAAGACAAACCTTTACGATCCTTCGATGTACCCTTCACCAGAGCTGCTGCATCTCATGCTCGCCGGTATGACATTGTCGCCGGCTGTGACTGCTTGTTTTCATCCGAAACAGGGCTAACAATTGCAGGTGCTTCTGCGAAGCCGTCCACGGCGTATTTTCTCGACTTCTATACCAATGTCTCTCCAACGGAGCTTGAGAAAATGGCTTTTGCTCTCCAAAACTGCACAGTACATGGGCAAAGACGATTACAATACGTTATTTGCGTAAACTATCTTGCGTTTGCCTTCCTTAACACGCTGGAGCCAGACCAAAGCGAGGCGATGAGGGAACACCTGGTTGGGTTGAAGTCGAAGCATCAAGACAATGTACAAGCAGCTCTCAACCAATTGGATGTGCGCGTCCGAGCGGAGCTGCCACTTTTACAGTCATTATTGTCCGGAGTGAGTGCAATCTTGTCAAACCCCTGCGATGATGCTAAATCTGACGGCAAAACTTAGGCAATGCTGATGCAGGCAATGGGAAAGACAAAACGCTGTTGGCAACTAAACAACGCAGCTTGCAGAGTCAGCATTGCGTTATCTAGTGGATCTTTTCTGCTGGATATGGAAGCCGCAATAACTCCTGAGGACTACTTCCAGATGCGCTTCTCTTTCATGAAGTGTTACATCTTCGACGTAGCCCTCTCTGCGTCCTTGTACCAGCCGCCTGCTGGTATGGCACACATGGACTTTGCCCCTGAAATCCTCGACCTGAGAAAGCCTAGCCACGTGATGATATCACTCTTATTGAAGTGTTCTGCTGCACATGAGAGCATGGTTCGACAGACTCGGGCTTTTAACGAGCTGGGCCATCTCCAAAAAATTAATGTTGAAAGGCTGAAGAATCTGAAGACCCAGATGGTACAAATCAGGGCCGTCATAGATGAGGTCAGCACGTGAAAAATTTGCATCTTTCGCTGCGCTAACATAACCGGTAGTTCCGAGCCCAGGGACCGCATTGCGACGACGACTATATCTCTTACGAATGGAGATGTATGGACTTGTGGTTTCACTCCATGATGACCTCTGTCATCCGACTGAGTGGCACCCACGGAGATCCGATGGTCCACCGAGAAACTTTACAGTACGCGCGCAATGCTTTGCGTATTCTTAAACATGTCCTTAATAAGGCTTCCCGATCCTTACCTTCATTGGACAAATATATTATATGTCTTGCTTGGTAAGATACTTCCTCTCTCTGGTGGGACATCGCATCTTCCTTAGGTAGGCCATTGGCAGTCATTCTCGCGTAGAGTGACTGAGCTAGGGCTTGTGCTCAAAAGCATCAGGATACGACGGGCATTCAATTAATTCCTATGTCTCTGGTATTGTTCCGGGCACTAACCATGGTCGAGCAGGTTTGTTCCATTATTTCCACTGCAACCGCTTTACATTTTATTCAGCAATATCATTTCGACCTCCGACACTTCGGACCTGAGGCTCATACAAGACGTTTGCAAACTCTTGGAAAATCTAGCAAAGACACACCCCTCCATCATGACAGTGCGCCAGATTTGTAAATCACTGCTCCAACTGTATAGCGAATTCACCCAGAAACTCGCCTGCAGCTCAACGAATTTCGAGGGACACTTTGGCACTACGGACGCCAGCTTTGGAGTGTTCCAACATGACCCGTCATTCAGGGATGTTTCATCTCGCGAAAGAATACTGACGCAACGACTCGAGCAACCTCCACTATTCACTGGAGAATTTACGGGCGACGCATCGCACACCAATTATCGTCCAGCTCAGATTGAATCCATCCCAGATACCTCAAATTCAGCTCAAGATTTTGATTGGGAACGCTTCTGTACACAAGGTTCGCTTGCTACAGTCGACTTTGACTTTCTAAGTTGATAAGCTGTGACTCTCTTCGCTGCCTGGATGAGACGGACGGGCAAGTCACTCGAGCGAATGGCAGCACGGCAATCAGAATTGCACTCTGGCTTTATCGCGGTTTTTAGGAGATCCTCTTCGGCGTTTGTTCTCGATCGTGGGAAAGTTCCGGTATCTCTCTGGGAGAGTGCTTCTTATCATCGTCTGATTGTAGCGACATGAAATCTGGCTGTAAAGATCTTATACTCTTCTGCCAGGCCGCTTTGAACACATTGAATTAGTCATTTCGTCTGCCTCGGCGCATTACGGACGTCCGCGGATTTCCTCAAAGGCCCGCACTTCCGAGCCTCAGGACTGGTGCTAATTAACCCATCCGCAGAAGCTCCAACTATGCCTGCCACTGGCGCAAATGGCAGGGGTCGCCGCTGAGCAGACCGGTTGATTGGCCAAACAGCTGCAGCATGATAGTTTATCTCGACCCAAGAAAAGTACTGGCGGACTATTTGCCTGGACCGAGGAAGAATCGTTCATGGAAAACAGGGCATTCCGAGAGCCTCGCAAATTAAGCATGGCACATCTGACTGGGGAGTCCGGCGCAGAGTATGTTTGCGCCTGGACAGAAGGAGATAGTGACGGTCGACGGAGGCGAAGGAAATAAGGTCAAGTGAATATTTGTGTAAAGTATTCAGCCGACTGTGGTGCTCTTTCAACTTCATCTCGTTCCTGTTTGTTCAATTCGCACTTTTTGAGCAGATTCAAGGCTTGACATGATGGCTTCTGACACCAAAAAGCTCACGATGCAACTCGACGCCGTCCTCCACGGAGCCCAGGCCATGCAACTGAGATACCTTCCGACACGTCTCAAAACTGTGCCGCTGGTCAGCCTTCTTACCACAGGCGTGGGTTTGATTGCGGGCTTCTGCGTTCTTTACATGGTCGTCACCTCAATCACAGCATGGTACAGGCTTCGACATTTCCCAGGACCCTCGAGCGCCGGCTTCTCTTATATTTGGCTGGCATTGATGTCCATTTCTGGCAAGTCATACAAGACACAAATGGAATTGAACCGCAAGTACGGCCACCTTGCTCGTGTCGGTCCTAATGAATTGATCACCGATGATCCCGATTTGATCAAACTCATGGGCTCGGCTCGATCAAGTTGGGCACGATCAAACTGGTACAACAGCGGACGCGTCCACCCTGCGGATGACACCATCCTCAACGTGGTCGATACGGCTACCCACGACAAACTCCGGCACAGCTTGATCCCAGGTTACAGTGGCCGTGACAACGCGCTCGAACATGACGTGGACGGTCAGCTTGTCAATCTCATCAGAGCCATTCGCCGAAAATACATTTCAACCGCCACGGAATGCCGCCCGCTAGATTTCGTCAAGCTGTCGCAATACTTCACTGTCGACACCATGACACAAATTTCATTCGGCCAGCCATTCGGTTGTCTAGATGCTGACGACGATAGAAATGAGCTTCTGGAAACCGTGGAAAGAATTGTAGTCTGGGGTGAGATTACCGCCAATGTGCCGTGGATGCAGACACTCCTATCGTATGGTCTCATATTCTATACTCTTGCCTATCCTCTGGCAAGAGATGTTGGAGCTTTTAATAAGTGAGCAGCGGTCAAACTTCATTTGACCTGGTCTTCCTTTTGGTCGGAGCTGCTTGCTGAAGATTGACTAACATCTAATCTTACAGACTTGCGGAACGAATCGTGGCAGAGCGCTGGAACACAAAGTCAAAATCACAGCGGCACAAAGACATGCTCGTAAGTCAGCACCCTGCTGCTACTAGCAAGATGGCCACAGCAACCTATCCCTGTTACGTTAAATTCGTTACGTGGGCTCGGAAAACATGATGCTGATAACGAGATTTTGCGTAAAAGGCTAGCTTCATGAATCACGGGTTTTCGCAAAGAATGTGCGAGCTGCAAGTTCCTGTGCAGCTCACCGCAGGCACTGAGACAACAGCCACCGCCATTCGATCCACTCTTCTTCACCTGCTCACATCGCCAAGGGCCTATGCGAAACTCCAAAATGAAATCGACCAAGCCATCGCCAATGGCGGGCTGTCCACCCCCATCAGCTTCCGCGAAGCCAAAGATCTACCATATGTTTCGGTAAGTTGTACTTGGCGAAACGATTCGTCCTTGAACCAAATCTTTTTGAAGCTAGGAATGTCTCTAAGACCCTTTGAACGCTAGGCTGTTGTCTATGAAGGGCTGCGGATTCACCCACCCTTCAGTGGTCAGTTGATGAAAGAAGTGCCACCCGAGGGCATTACTTATACAGATGGCCGCTTTATTCCCGGCGGCACTTATATTGGACACAACACTTGGTCAGCCATGCGTGACAAATCGATCTTTGGCGACGACGCCGACATGTTTCGACCAGAACGCTTTATTGAGGCTAGTCCCGAGGCCCGGGCGAACATGCGATCCACCGTGGACTTGGTATTCGGCTACGGCCGCTGGCAGTGTATGGGTCGACCAATATCAATGATGGAACTCCATAAAGTTTTTGTCGAGGTGAGCATTCAAGCTGCAGAGAGCATTCTTGCAGTTCGGCACTTGGTTTGTTGTACGTTGACCACCAACTGGACTAACAAAATGGCATTTTACTTAGTTGCTGCGAAACTTCGACATCCAGATCATGTACCCACACAGTCCCATAAAGACATTCAACGTCAACTTGTTCTTGCAAAGCGACATGTGGGTTCGTGTAACCGAGCGTACTCCAGGCTCCTCAGGGCCAGAAGTGCCATCCAAGGGAGTCGAAGAGCAGGTTTCAGCTTAGGTTCCGGCGTGTCCTCCTCCACGGCCGGTGCAACAATTGCTTTCGAAGAGGATGTTAACAAGGGCCCATCCGCATAAGTGCTTGACACAGGTTAAACTTGATCGACTGGGTCCATTGGTGACACGGCTGGCTGGCTGCCTCGCAACTGTTCGAGGAATATGTTCTTGTCGTTCATAACAGTCAAGAATGCCATTTGTCGTAGAATGCTAGACACCAAATGCCTTTCGACACATCAAAGCCGGACATATCAGAGAAACTGTTAGTTCCTACCTGAAAGCTTGGACAGCATGTTGTTTCGTACAATAGCATGCGGGAAGTTAGCAGCTTGCTCTGTCTCCGCTTCGCAATGTAGTGAAGAGCCCAAACACTAGTATTGATTCTCGAGACATGTTGATACCTTGTTCAAGTCAAGCCAAGGCTAAATATCCCGGAAGCGGCACTATCAATTAGTTCAAAATATGGATAAATTCATCGAACAGACCATAGCTTCAGACTTTCGCTCGGGCCACACCACAACCGAGCCTGTATTAGGGATGGGGGAAGATAGGCCCATAGAGGTGTTCATTTTCTCCCACCGTTGTCGTCGGCGGACAGGGGTAGTTCTTCAGACAACAAGCAGCACCGTCTTAAATCGAACTTGTCCTTTGTGCAATATGAATGGCAAAGTAGATACTAGGCTCTGCGATCAGGTCAGGATCTATTTCTTGAACTCTGATCGTTCTTTGTGTTCTGGTCCCAACATCCCCAAACTTTCACTTTCTCAAAGGTTTCCTTCACATGACAGTGTTCACACAGGCATAGCAAGATTTTCCACGAACGGTTATGAGCTCTTGCCTGAAATAAGCCTGACGCAGCAATGCTCAAAATGCTGACCCTTTTTTATATGCCCAAATCGAGGTCCGGAAAGTCCAGCGAGGGCTGGACAGAGAATAATTCCCAGTCAAGGTCCATGGCTAGGCGAGGATGATCTAGGACTGTATTCATGACTGGTGTAGCCGAGGGCGCCAGTATTTGGCCAAATTGGTTGACTCCGCTCTCGTTTCCTGTGGTCTGATTATTTATAAGGGTCTGTGTAGGGGCTGTGCTGCGATGACCCGGAGCAAGCGATTGAGACTGGTTGTTGAAATGGGAATTTGTTGCAAAAGCCGGCTGATTTCGTTGACTAGGCTCTTCAGAGTGAAGTGTGCGCAAGGACATTATTTTTTCGGAAAATTCCGTGTACAATTTATCGAAAGAGATGCACAGCTGACCAACCGCCTGAATCGGACCGAGCTCTTTCGGAAGAGCGGCGAGGTCCTTGCCCACGTCTTGTATCAGCTTAAGGTCAAGTGCGTTGGAAGTGGCAACCAGATTGCTGAATAAATGGTATAGAGGCCTCAAGGTGAACAAGGGCACAATCCTATGCAAAAGACTCGAATTAGACGTGTCACCATTCCGGCGGAATAGTACTCACCAAGAAAGAGAATTGATGTAGAGGCCTTGACAGCTAGATTGCCGTAGTGTAAGCTGTAGCAACCTTTTCAATGTAGACAATGCATTCCGTGCGTGCTGGAGACATTCATTGTAAGTGTGGACATCGTCGTCACTTCTCGTGCTTAATTTGGTCAGCGAAGTCATTGTCGAGTGGAAGACAAATTCGACACCCAGGAATTCGGATTCGAGGTAGTCATCCCCAAAGGATACCATTCGAGATCTCCTCTACCTCACATCAGCGCGGAAAGATCTCCCGAGACAATGTCACGTACCTGCTGCGCTTCCAACCTAATCTCTCTCATTCTATTTTGCGCTTGTAAGAGATTTTCCGGTCTGATCAACTTCTCATCACGCGCAATCCTGGTTTCGAATATAATGATCTCTTGAACTTTGGCATACTCGAGTAATATGAAGAGTATAGCATGGCTGGGCTTCTGAGAAGGATTGAGAATGGAACTATCAAGCTCGACGCTCGGTAAGCACGCCGGTTGGTACATGTTGGCCGACAAAGCCTTGTCGAAAATGAAGCATTTAATCATGACCAGGGGTAATTCGGGGTCATGTCCCAATACCCCATCACTGCTTCTGCTCACTGCAGCATATACACGACAAGCGACGGTATTGAGCTGCCAACCTCGCCTCATGTCACCAACGTCTTGCATCAGCATCGCCTGCAGAAATGATCTTGTTTAGTACTCGAACATTAGCATCTCGAAAAAAGATTTATGCTGAACTTACGCCTGATATTAGCGCCTGGAGCAATAATGGATCCGGGCGAATTTGAATGTCCAAGTGTTTCAGGGCCCTTGTAATGTTTTGTCGATACCGGGCTTTTGACAATCTGAGGTGCTGTTTCATGGGGTCGCTTGTATTGTCCAGATTTAAGGCCGTTATAAATGAGTAGGCCACATAATTCACCAGAATGAGGTAGCACAGACGCTCCTGGCCATGTACCGAACAGTCGATCAAGGCGCACACCATCTTCTCCAGCCCCTCTTTCGAAGCATTCCTGTTGAGATCTAGGTAATACTCGATCGCGCTGTTCTGGGAATATCCTAAGAAAACCATGAGCACACCTCCGAGAGTATTTCGGCTTGAGATTCGCACCAGAGAGTACAAGGTGCATAAATTCAGCCGTGGGGCACATTGACGACTCATAAAAGTTGGGCGTCCAGGCGGGGTCGGTTTGGACTGTATCGGAACTCGGTTCCAAAAGCGCTGCGTTTTGGGCCATCTGGATAGCAGCCTCCAGAATGCTGCGCCGCTCAGCACCCATATATAAACTGCTTTGAGGTGTCGGCTGCAGATAGCGCCGAAGGTCAGTCGCGCCCAGGGCTCTGTCTTCGGGACTTGGACCCTCGTCAGGCAGTCCCATGCGGCTTTGCGGTGCGTTTTGCGCCCGCGGTGCGGGTACAACTGAGATACTCGCCGCTGGGCTTCTGTTGTGCTGTGGACGATATTCACCATCTACACCGCCGTCGGTGGCTGCTTCACGCTGCCGCTTAGCGCGGCGTGCAACTGGAGGGTCTTCTGGCACAGAGTGCACGAGACGATCATTCCCTTCTGAGCTTGTTGTTGAAGGTGGTGCGGTGAGGCCTACGCTTTGTCGAATGGATTCCTCGAAGCGTGACATTCTTACCATCATGGCGTCAAACCGGGCACTGGGTTGGGTCAAATAGTGGTCGAGGAGAAATAGCCGACTGCTTCACCTACTCTTCAGCCTTCCTTCGATCACCTGAAGAAACTCTGGAACGATTGCGGTGACATTGTATCCCAGCCCCCGCGCAGCTTCCACATGGGTCTCTACGATCACACCGTGTCTTTTCACATCAGCTCAATGCGAATATACACCACGGGCGGGGGACTTACCTTCTTATAGTGGCATAAGTCACACTGCCAAATAGGTCAGGAGACGCGTTCCAACACTAACAGACAAAACATCAACTTACTGCGATAGGCGGACGAAGATATGGAGGGCTTGATTTGCTAGCGTGGGCCATCTTATCGACAGTCACGGACGTGCTCACGCATCAACCTTTGCGCGTGCAAAAATATAGAGCAACTGCTTGGCAAGGAGTGGATTCCAAAGCGATCCAAAACGACAACCTTGACGAGCCTCGAGGACGATGATTGTTTAGAGAAGCTTCTGCTAGGGTCCTTTTCGGGGTTCATTCAAAGGCTGGAGATGGAAAAGAGAAGTTTGACGGGAAAAGGTGAAAATGATAACGATACGTTGCGACGTTGGAAATGGCTAAATTAAAGTGAGCTAAGGGCTCTTTGGAGGAGGGAGGGCGGGGTGAATAAATGACCTTGTAGGGTTACAAAATAATTACGAAGCGAACTTAGCGATAAGCTCCCTTAAGGCTACTAGGCTTAACGTACGGAAGCAACTACCAAAAAGCAGGGGTTCCATGCGGCGTGGCTAAACATACAAACAAAACTGGGACAACGTCTTCTCCTCGCTGAAAATGCAAGTGCATGCAGAATCTTTGATAACCTCGCAAGTGAGAGAGCTAAACATAGCTACCGTTGTTGCATGACCGACTAGTAAGCGCAATTTCTTCATAGGCTGCTGGGATGCCTTGCTATCTATCAGCTTTTGCGGCTCAGCTAAGTGCTGAAATCGAATTTCAAAAGACAACTCCGGCTTCAAAGCATCATGCTTCATGTTGGTACCCTAATACTGCGTGTAAGAGGTGGAGTGAAAATCACCTATGCACATATTCCAGCGTGCCCAGTAGAAACTTGTACAAACCTGCACTCAAAGGTTCCAACTCAAGATAGTTGAGGCGGCGCAGGATGACTGGTTGACAGAACACCAAAACCTTTAGCAGTTGAATTCCGTCCATAAGCGCAGCTGATCGACTAACGTCCTTGAGATTTGCGCCTCGAACATACTGGTAGGATTGTGAGATCTACAGCAGTCGCCGGTTAGGATCCATTGTTGTCCCGTCAAGTACAAAAGAATGCTGGGTTAACTCCACGCAGTGGCGGAGGCTTCGGTTAAGGCACGGAGACACGGAAGCCGAGCGGCAACAGGCCCTTCTGGGTGCCAATAGTGACGAAGATCCTGGAACTGAACCTGATAGCGTCAATGATCAGTTGCTCGGTATACAAGAGGATTTGGTCAATTGCGACGACATCCTCTTTGGGTGGTTTCAGGTCGTCTCTTAGTTTTGAGAAGGTCAGCAAACACTTGTTGCTGTTCGCCAATCTTGCATCTGTCGAACCATGGCTACTCGATCGCATCTGGATTATTTCCAAGGGCGGGAAGATACCACACCACAAATGCGGAACGCAACCATGCATTTTTACATCGCAGCATGCAATTGTGCTCCATAGTGATCACATCCGCAAGTGCGGCAGCGGACAGCCCGGTCAGCAAGCCGTGGAGACGGGCCAGATTCAAAATCAGGTTGCGGAAACAACCTCAAGCCATCTGATTAAACCTTTAGGACGCCGGTCGTCAAAAGAGAAACCATAGTCATTCGTCTAAAGGTGCTTCGCTCACATTCGCGAACAACAATATTCATAAAGCATCACAGCCGCCGAAAAGTGCCTTGGTATACCACATCCTTGAGTTTCACACTCTCCATTACTAGTGTTATTTCAGTCCTTCACGCCTCTGCTTTGATTTATATTTAGCATGCACGGCAAGGTTGCTTTGGAGGAAGCATTCGCCCTCCCTCGGCTAGCCGAGAAGACTCGCTGGTGGGCAGGTCTCTTTGCGGTGAACCCAGACAAACACGCAAAAGAAATGAACGACATTGGGCAGATCCGGGTCGACTATATGGATAAATATGGTGTTGGATACAAGGTTCTCTCTTACACGGCACCGGGAGTGCAGGACATTTATGATCCCAAAGAGGCGCAGGCACTAGCCGTCGAGATCAACGACTATATCGCCTCCACAATCAAAAACAAACCAGACCGATTTGGGGCCTTTGCGTAAGTTTTTACCGTCATTACTGGCCTTTCAAGTCAATTAGCAGAGAAGCTCATTCCTTTATGGACTAGAACGCTGAGTATGCATATCCGGAGGAAGCTGCTAAGGAATTACGTCGCTGTGTGAGGGAGTACGGGTTTAAAGGAGCGCTAGTCAACGACACTCAGCGGGCCGGCCCTAATGGCGAAGATATGATCTTCTACGACGGCTCTACTTGGGACATTTTCTGGTCGACTTTATCCGAATTAGACGTGCCATTATACCTACACCCTCGCAACCCTACCGGTAGGCTATACGAGCAACTTTGGGCCGATAGGAAACGGCTTATAGGCCCTCCTCTTAGCTTTGCTCAGTGTGTTAGCCTGCACCTTTTAGGAATGGTCACTAATGGCATCTTCGATCGGCATATGGAGCTGAAAATCATCATCGGCCATCTAGGCGGGCACATCCCTTTTGACCTCTGGCGAATAAATCATTGGTTCGAGGATGTCACGAAGCCGCTCGGCTTAGGCTGCAAAAAGACTATCCGCGATTATTTCGCTTAGAACATTTGGATCACGACGAGTGGGCACTTCTCGACCCCTACACTTAAGTATTGTATCGAGGAAATCGGCGTGGACAGGATTCTATTCTCGATTGACTACCCTTTTGAGTCTTTTGACGATGCATGTGTATGGTTTGATGGTACGGATTTGGACATGGCGACCAAGAAGAAAAGCGGTAGGCACAATACGAAGAAGCTGTTGGAGCTTGGCCCGTTCAAGGATGATAGTATTTAAATCCATCTTTACTTGAATGACAATCAGAAGTGGAGGGCAGTACACAAATGCTGTTGAGATCAAACCGTGAGGCCACTACTATCAGTAGATATACATTACAGACAAACGTGAGAAGCGGCATTGATGCCGGAAATGGGTTCTTGACCTTACAAGCGGTTCATGGTTGAGTCTGGAGAGTAAAAGAGACAGCCTGCACGGTTTCGACTCGCCGAAACGATACCTCAGGCTATTATCAGACCTCCATTAACATTGATATACTCGCCATTGACCCATTTTGATCGGTCCTCGGCCAAATATGCCACGGTCCAGGCAATGTCATCCTCTTCTGCCATAGCGCCTTCGCAAGGTGTGACTGACGCGTAGCTCGCACATGCTTCATCCCAACGGTCTCCGTATTCTCTGCGCAGATTGTCTGTTTTGACGGGGCCTGGGGCTACGCCGTTGACCGTGCAACCATACTTGGGAGGCAGCTCCTTGGCCCAATGGTTGATCAAGGAGTGAATTGCGCCTTTGCCGGCTGAGTAGGCGAGCAAGTCGTCCTGAGGTTGTCGTCCGGCCCCAGATCCTATGCAAATAATGCGAGAGCCGCCCTTTACACCAGCAAATGCGGGAGGTGACGAAGGCTTATACGGTGTCAGGCGTGGGAGGACGGCCTTGGTCAGCAAGAAGACACCTCGAACGTTGAGTGCCATTGCTTGGTCCCATTTAACCGCATCGACCTCCCAAGTGGCGCCACGAGTAACAGTGCCGGCATTATTGACCAAAATGTCGATGTGGCCGAATCGGGCGACGGCAGCATCAACTAGGGTCTGAGGCCCGTCCACGGTGGAGAGGTCGGCGCACACGGCTATCCATGGAGTTTTCAACTGTGCTCCAACCTCGTTGCATTCGGCCTCATTTCCAGGAAATGGATAGTTGAGCACGATGTTGGCACCTCGAGAAGAAAGCTCTCGTGCAGTGGCTGCTCCGATGCCTGTGGAAGATCCTGATATGATGGCTGTCCTGCCATGCATTGTTGGTGGTGTGCCTGCCATCATTTTCGATCTTGGTGCTGGTGGTGCGGCTTAAGTTCGGCAAAGTGCTTCTCGTTCTAGAGATGTGTTCAACGGTAGTAAGTGGTGGGTAACCTAAAGTCCTTTAGAGCCTCCACGTGTTTGTCGCCGTGGTTGCGAGATTTGTACCGGGTACGCAAGTCCAGATCCCTATGGCTCTTGATCTGACCCTTTCATTCCTTTTCCAGCGGCAAACAGCAGTGTCGGATGAGAGCTTCGGAAAGGATACATATCGGGAAGCAGCCAGGTGGGAGCTAGTGTAGTGTGGCAGCGATATCAGAAAGAGTAGAACCGGACTCTCGGGACCCGGAATCCGGCCACATTCGTCACGGTCTCTCTGCCCTGGGACAAGTATCTCAGGAAGGACCCTTGGCTCCCCACAAAGACATGGATCTCTGATAAGCCAAAGTTCAGGTCGCTGTCGTGGCGACTGAGCGTGAACCAAGAAATCATTATTTCCGAGCGAGACGTAATGGAATCGACAGTGTCTCGCCACTTTGGCTAACTTTGGCAGTTACGGTTGAGCACTTTCTTGGCACTACGTCTGTTTGATGAGCCCATATCAGCCATAGTAGACAACCAGAGAAAGGCATCAGGAACTTATGGTCAGTTGATGTCAATTTCCCCAAAGATTCGAAACATGTCTGGGCTACAACGGTTCCTTGATGAAAAACGAGATGATCTAGCTCGGCGCTTGTTGTCGTTACCTGGCAGTGCTCATTCATTTTTCGTCAACACCAACCCAGTATTTTTCGCGTTTGCGATTGTGCTGTGCCTGGAATGTACGACTTTGTTAGTGCGACGAGCAATCAGGAGGAGAATGCGGATACCCATCGTCCTCGCTGACGAGGTAAAAAGCCCGCATGCTCGACGCATGGAATATTGCCATCGCCCCAGGGAGCTGATGTGGAAGGGCTACACTCAAGTAAGTTGTCGCACCGGTAACGGTATTTTGGGGTTTTGGAATCGACTGACACCGCGCACCAGTACCCTGATCAGATCTGGGGGCTTGATACCAATGATGGTGAGAATAGCCCCTGCATGTGGATGTTAAGTTTTCCATCTAAAGCAAACGAGCAGGTTTGAAAGTGGTCTTACCCCCTCGGTTTCTCGATGAGTTAAAAAGCCATCCCGACCTGAGTTTCAAAGTCTCTATCGATAGTGTATGGAAGCTCCCACATATCGGAGGGAATATGGTTATTAACGTATGCCCCCCAGGATATGCAAATCGAATACACCCGATTCGGCGGTCCACCAGAGTATGTGATTAACACGATAAAAGGCAGCTTGAACATATCCCTTCGTATACGTTCCCCCACGATGTGACACTCAGCAGGAGCTAACTCGTTTCAAAAGCTGCGTTTACACCCGTCATACACAAGATCGTGCGAGACAACTTGGAGAGGGTCATTGGCGATTATCCAGGTAGGTCAGTGTCTTGGCACGACTAGTAGTGGCATCCACGTACGTCCTTACTCACCTGGACATTCAGATTGGACTCCTGTCAAAGTGCACGATAGAATTCTGAAGTTGGTCGGTACATCCAATGCACGTGTTTTTCACAGCGCTGCCGTCAGCCAGAGTGAAGAATGGGTTGACGCTGCTACGGGTTACGTTATCACAACATTCGATTGTATTAAAGCCTTGAAAGCCTGGCCACCATATTTGCGGCCTTTCGTGTACCGCTTTCTCCCGGAGAGAGCTGCAATCCTCGACCAGTGGAGGCGAGCTCGGCCGTTTGTCGAGGCCTCGGTGAGACAAAAGCAGAAGATGAACAACGCATTCTTGGAGAGCCCAGGCTCAATGCTCGACCATCTTTGTGCGGTCCAAAATGGCGCATTCTCCAGAGACATCGACAAGCAATTGTTGTTTCAAATGACACTGGTGGCTGTGGGCACGGTAACGACATTTGCCTCAATCACCCAAGCCTTGTACGATTTGGCCTATCGTCCTGAATATATCGCTGCGCTACGCGAGGAAGTGGAGTCAGCACCCAGAGAAGCGAACCAGCTCTTTTCCAGAACCTCGTTGGCTCACATGAAGAAGCTGGATAGCTTCATCAAGGAGAGTCAGCGCTTGAGCGCGCCTGACCTGAGTATGTCTCCTTCTATATAACCTTTGACGTTTGACCACGTGCATAGCTAACAGGTGGTGGTCTAAAGCAACCTTCCAACGTGCCGCGACAGCTGATGTGACTCTCTCGGATGGCACGGTTATCCCTACAGGCACCAGACTCGAAATCGCGACAAGTGCTATCCACCTCGACGAGAAGAACTATGAGCACCCCAACCAATTTGATGGCCTACGTTTCTACCGCGCCCGCCTAGAGCCGGGCGCAGAGAATAGGCACCTCTACGTGAGTGTGGGAAAGAATGATCTCTCGTTTGGATACGGAAGACATGCTTGTCCCGGCCGCTTTTTAGGCCACATTAACATCAAACTGATAATGGCCGAAATCCTTTTGAATTATGACTTTAAGCTCCCTGATGGAGCGGAACGACCCAAGAATGGCGAATTTGAGGCAATTGTGAGTCTTTCATACCATGGAATTCTGGCGGCTCTACACCCCGGCTGACAAATTTCTATCCTAGGTCTCGCCTGATCCCGAGATTGAGATTTTCATGAAAAATCGCTGGCCAGACGAGGCATAATTGAAAGTTTTGAGATAGTTCACACGGAATGAGGCCAAAGAAGGTTACATCACCGACCGAGGGATTGAATCCCGTCTATGAGCGCAGAGAAAAAGCAAGGACGTATATCAGGAGCCTCACTGGCTTTACACTGCCCGCCGTGTGGCCAGCCCCTTGCCAGAGCTTCAGCCCAGTCTTTATGATAACTGGTATGCTGGACAGCCTTGATTAGTGTTCACGTAGACGGGACAAACTGTGTTCTTATCGCAGAGGACTAAAACCCTTCAAAAAGTGCTATGATGATAGGGCTGCGGTCCCTCCGTAGCAATATATAGGAATATCTAGTTAGTCTTGCACAAAGCGGGCCAGCTTCAAGTTCTGTCTAGCAAAGTAACATGGCTCTTCAACCCTTTCAGTTGCAATACCCCCGGTGAGGTCTCAACACCTCCAAAAGGCGTATTGTACGTTGAAACCTTACCATCGCCGCTCGCGCTGAAGTGCGAACTTGGGCGTGGACAACAGATACGAGTCTACGGCTCTGGCCACAACTAAGATAACGCACCCTCTTTGCGGGTTCCGGAGTCCGACGCAATAACCTTTAACGCTAAACATGACTTCCTCCGCGTTAACCTTATTCAGTGTCCTCATTACGAGTGTCGATTAAACTACCTGCTTGCTTCTGTCCACTTGGGCAGTCCTAAGCACTGTATCATCCCCAACTCCAACTTATTAGGCCCTCAACGTCCTCGTTTCAGCGGATCGCAAAGCTGCCCCTGAATTCATACAATTCTCCCATTTTCTGGCCTTTGTGCGAGAGCAGACTCAAACTATCCGATCCCTCAGCTCTGCTCGAATTTTGAATTTTGCTATTTGGGCCTGTATCAATTCAGGTGATGGCGTCACCGGAGTCGAAAGACTCCAAGGGAGGTAATGTTTTCCCTCTTGCGAACCCTACTAGCCAGCGTCTCATCAAAAGCCAACATAGGACCAGAAGAGCTTTCTCTGAGCGTCACAGTTGACGAGGGCGATATGGCGCACGCCGGAATCAACATGAAACTGTTTGCGGCCGACGAGTCTGCCCCAATCAAGAAAAGCCTTTCATTCTTTGGCATTCTTGCTGCTGGCTACAATGTCAGCAACAGCTGGCTGGTTGTGGCAGCAACAATGGTCGTTTCCCTCATCTATGGGCCCATGAATACCATCTGGGGCTTGTGTACTACGACTTTATTCTACGCCTGCATTGGCCTGACATTGGCCGAACTGGTCTCGGCATACCCAACGACAGGCGGACAGTACCACTGGACATCGATCCTGGCACCAGCCTCCATCAGTCGCCCGGCGGTAAGTCGTATCTCGTCCAAGTAGTCATGCGCGAAAAGGGGCTGATCAGAGATCTCAGAGCTATTTCACCGGCTTCATCAGCTGGTTTTCCTGGCTAACTCTTGCGGCATCCGCGCAAGGGGCGCTCTCGTATCTTGTCTACGCTTTGGCGTTCAGCAACAATCCAAACTTTGTCCCTCATCCATGGATGTCTTTTCTGCTTTACGAAGCCATGACCTGTCTTTCGGTGTTGATGAATCTCTTTTTACATAAGCTATTGCCAAAGTACTACATGTTCGGATGTAGGTGCTGGCCCAAACGATTTCCGCACGACGAGCCGCTAATCTTACAACAGTTATACTGAGTCTCCTCTCTTTCGTTGTCATCACTGTGACATGCTTCGCCACGGCCAAAGACAAGTCATCGTCTTCTTTTGTCTGGCTTACTTCGATCTCCGGCTATGGTTGGCCGAAGGGTGTCGACTTCTTGATTGCCCTGGCTTCGCCCGTTGTGGCATTCTGCCCTCTCGACGGAGCCGTCCACCTGGTGGAAGAGGTGAAGCAGGCTCCGAAAGTAGTTCCCAGAACAATCCTAGCAGCATTGTCCACATCGTTCCTGACAAGTATTGTCTTCACTCTCTCGGCACTTTACTCTATTTCCGACTTTGATTCAGTCTTATCTACCCCGTCCGGATTCCTTCTCTGGGAGGTTTGGGCGCAAGCAACGGGATCAACAGCCGCAACTACGGTCTTCACGTGCCTCATTATTGTCCTGCTACCTGTTGGCAGCATCGCCTGCACTCAAGTCGACTCCATGATGACTTGGAGCTTGGGCTGTGATAAGGCTTTGGCTTTCTCTAACAAGCTGGGTACCATTAACAAAAGACTTCAGGCGCCGGTGTGGGCGCTTCTCCTCAACGGATTCCTAATGTTCTTGATTGGAATCTTGTATCTTTTCTCGACTCTCGGTAAGCCGCCTGCTTGCACTTATTTCCTTCCTATAGTCTGGGCAAAAGCACATAAGAATACTATTCTAACTACTGCTACGTCTAGCATTCAATGCTATCATCGGGTCCGCCATCATTCTGCAGCAAATCACCTTCGCGGTTCCCGCAATTCTGCTCATCTACCATCGTCGCTCCCCGGAGGCACTTCCAACACACCGAGCGTTCCGCCTTCCAAACTGGTTGGGATGGTTTGTCAATGTGTCCACAGTCTTGTGCACCATCTGCACAACCATTTTCTTCTTGCTGCCTTCAACAAGCTATGTTGATTCCGAGACAATGAGTGGGTTTGCCCCGTGTACACCCAACGCCCAGCTAGAGAGATAACTTGCTGCACGGACTGACTTGCTTTAGACTATGCCTGCGTCGTCGTCACTGGTGTCTTGCTTTTGGCGCTCGTGAATTGGATTGCCTTTGCACGAAAACATTACCATGGGCCGAGGTCCATTACACTACATCGTGATTAAGTAGCTTGGTTTCCAATAAGCACAGGGATCTCTGTCGGTCTCGGAGGAAGGTGTCTGCAAGATAGTTGTTGCAGGCTTTTGTTCATACCGGCTTAGCACTCTCCACCACTCTGTGAGCAAGCGCTCAAATTTGTAAAATGTTATAGCACATTCCTCTTGGAAGACCCTCTGGGCCGCCTCATGTTCCGAGATCTATTGCCCCGGAGTCATTCTTAGACCCTCTTGTCTCATAGTTAGCCTCGACAGCGGACGGTTGTTCCATCCTAGACGTTTTCGCACAAGACAGTCTCGCTCAGATCATGTCGAGGGGGAAAAGCACGTCAAAACTCAGCAGCCCAAAAACTCGTCCGTGACATCACTTTCAGGTTCTGGCTTTGCGGCTCTATATAGTATATTCGGGTGTCTTCCTAAGAGGAAAGTGTCCCCAGATATCAAAAACATCCCCACGCGGACTCATATCACTTTTCCGTAGGCCAAGACCTTGCTCGATGTCGATGACTCAACGAATTCATGATAGGCGGGCTTCCGCATCTTCCACCACGTTGTGAACACTCGGAAGTGATTGTACATAGGGGTAGCTCCTGAAGGTGTGACATGGTATGTGGCACACCCCGCCGTCAGAAAAGTTGGGTTGCCACGATTATTCTTCAGCCAGTTGTTGAAGTCGTCTTGGATGTCCGGGCGTGGGTGCAGGGCGTACGGTCCCAGCGCGCCCTGGTGCTTGATGTGAGCCAGCATCTTACAGTGCCAGTTGATCTGGATCTCCGCCACCGTGGTCACATTCGACCAGTAGTTGACCGAGTTGGGACCGAGCGTGAGGAAGAGGTTGGGGAAGCCTGTCACAGCGACGCCCCAGTAAGTTTGCGGGTAGTCCCCCCAATGCTTGGATAGGTTGACGCCGTTGATGCCATAGATTTGGAAATGGCCGCCCGAATCGTTCATGTCAAAACCGGTACCCCAGATGAGCACGTCGATCTCTCTGGTTGTCTCGGAGTTATCCAGCTCTTCTAACTTCTGCAGGTAGGCCCCATCAGGATCCTTGTCCCTCTCAGTTTGGGTGGTCAAGTGTGTCGGTTTGGTGACAATAGCATTCTCAGTCAATTTTACGGGCTTGTCAGTAATGAGCTCGACATTGGCATGGTTGAACATTGAATACCAGTCGTCCAGGAAAAGGACACGCTTGCAGCCGAACGCCGCACGCGGTCTGAGTTTTTCACGGACAACGGGGTCCTTGACCTCTTGCTCAAGAAATGCAATCCCGGCCTCGTGCATCGTCTGGTTTTCTTTTGTGCCTTCCATCCACATCGGCTTGGTTGTGTTAAACTGTCGAATGGAGCGTCAGCAAGCACCCTGGATAATTTCAACATTGCCAATGGGGCATACTCACGAACCAACAGTACCACACATGATAAACCCACAAGAGCGGATAACACCATTCGAATACTTTTCTCCTCCACGAAGGAATAACGTGGTTGTTGCGCGGCAAGACGTGGCCAGAACTCCTCTGGAAAACATGGAGTTGCTTGACAATGGGCTGGATTTGGGGCCCAACTTGAGCCGCGCTCGGCCCTGTGCCGACTAGAGCTACCCGCTTTCCTCGAAGGTCAATGTCGTCTGGCCACTTGGCAGTATGCACTTGCACTCCTTTGAACGAATCTCGGCCCGGGATGTTGGCATATTTGGGCCTGTGAAAGCCCCCGCCGTTGTCGAATAGGACATTGGCAAGCCATTTCGTGCGCTTACCAGTCTTCCTCTCCTCGATGAGAATTTCCCACAGCGAGAGGCTCTCACACCACTTGGCATAGTGTACTTCAACGCCGAAGATAGTGCATTGCCGTAGACCCTGACAGTCGGCCATGTTGGCGTAATACTGTTGAATCTCTTTGCCGTCCGCAAGTTTCTTGGTCCAGTCTACCTATATGTCAATATGCCTTTTCCCGCGACGGTTCAGGATCACTTACTTGCATTCAGGTACAGTCGCATTTGGTAAGCATGGCTGGGAATATCACATGCTGCTCCAGGATACCTGTTGCTCTCCCATACGCCACCAAAGTCCTGATTTCGGTCAAAAATGCGGAATTCTTCATGCCTCAAAGTGTGTGTGCGCAGAATCTGATAACCGAGCGACACACCGGTGAGACCTGCACCAACGATAACGCAGAAGATACGTTGGACTTTTGGCTCCGCCTTGTCCATTGCGGCTTTCCACTAGCACTTCTACGCAGAAGAGACTTGAGGCACAATAAAAATCTACTGCACCCTTAGGTAAAGTAGAAAGCAGTAAATAATTTTTGAAATATTAGTATGTTGAGATGTTTCGGTTGGCGGTTTGAGTACCAATTACGAATAGTAATAGCGCTGCTCTGGTCGCTATGGCGTGCATTCATTCTCACCTCATTACTTACGTGCACGGCGTATCTTCATAAGGCCTGGGACATCCGGAATGGTAACTGCAAGCCTGGAGCCCGGTGATGGTGGTCTGCGAGTTGTAGCACGGGCAATTCTCTCGGCTTTTCGGTTTCCGCTGATACGAAACCATCCCCACCGAGATAAGAATGTCCATGTTTTCATCACTCAGAAGGGAAGGGATAGGCGGTAATTCGCTATGCCAATCGGCGAGTCGCGGCATCCGGAATCGTTTGTCTGGATGGTCAAGCTCTGCCAGCAAAACGGGCCGGCTCCGCCTATTCCAGCGAGCCCATGTAAATAGAAGCCATGTCTTTCCTAAATAGGTTCAATCACAGGCGAGGACAGCTCCTGACAGGCCTTTGGCAGGCTTTAGATTTCTGCTTGAATACAGTGAGGGGATGCGCACCACGCCCCTGAGCTTTTCCGCCTCCAGCATCTCAGCCAGAGCCAGTGTGATAAACTTGTAATCTGCCTTTTCGGCGAATTCCGGTCCCAGGTAATTGAATAGACTTCCTGTACGAAGTGCTGGCAGCAACATTGATTAAAGAAGGATAGCTAATCATGGTTCGAAGCTCGCGCTATTTACTCCTCAAGACAAATCACTCCAGGCAATCCTTGCCACTCACTACGAGTGCTTCTTCCTGGCGTAGTATTCTGGATAAGTGTTCTTATAGCCCAAAACCCACCTGCCCCATCCCGCCATGAGAATCAAGAAGATGCGGCTTGCAACGATACCGAGCCATCCATCTGAGATTGGGAGAGCAAGTGGAGTGTCGGCACTATACAGGAAGACCATCAGCTGGAAAAGGCTCGGGGCTTGTTTGGCGGCTTTGCAGTCGTCGAGATAGCCAAAGAAGTTTCGGAAGAATCGTTGCTCATTTTCGTACTCAACGGGGGATAGATGTACATCAACTGTGAGCGGCTCGGTCGACGATGCGTTCTCCAGGCGGTGATAGACTTTCTGCGGTATCGTGGCTTTCTTCTCAGCTCCTTCTGTTGTCGAGAGAACCTTCCATGGCTTGGGGTCTAGGCCTTTGAAGAGGTTGATTGTGCCAGAAACGATGAGAAAGTGCTCCGCTTGGTTAATGTGATAGTGGTGAGGAGGGATCATGATGGAACCTTCCTTATCCATGGGAGGATGCACGTTTCTCAACGTGTATTCTGCGTCTTTCTCTCGGAACTCCAAGGACGAGCGCCCATTTTCGTAAAAAATAGGGTTGTGGTTGGCTCTGAAGGTACGAGGGGGCCCAGCTGGGCGTAGAAAGGCGAGCATGGTGGCTCTTGACAGTAGATCCTGTTCAGTGGTACAGTTTCAGCATGAGTAGCAGAATTTGCAAGTTGAAAAGGTCGAGGAGACCTCGTCTGGAGAAAGGCTCTGAAGACATAATCAACATGTGGTAGAGACCCCTAGCTTATACCGGGGATAACTCACACCTACGGATCATCTTTGTGCGGCACTTGCTAATTTGCGGATTCCGAGGGCCCCAGAGTGGATCCGGGCCGCGAAGACTGAAACCAATTCTGCAGACCCGCGAGCCTTTGGCTTAGAGAGGGTCTACCATTGCTCATACATTTGCCAGCCGCTGGAAGGCCAGCTCATAGTCCACAGTTCTAACAGGATCTAAATTAAGAAGTGTTGGATTCTGGACAGGTTCATCTAGCACTTGTTACGATTGAGATGCCGGCTCTTTGGTGGGAGCAAAGCTATTAGCCCATGAGGAAAGTCCCGGCTGCATCCAGCACTGCGTCCAGACCTCCAACCTCATCCGCCATTTTAAAAAACTTTTTGTACTTCCTCCCTGTCGCCTCATCGTCGACATCTTTCACATCTGAGGTAATCCCTGCCCTACTGGGCCCGTACACAGTCACTTTCCTCTCAGACTTGAAAGGTGGCAGCCTATCCAGGCTAGCAGTGAATGCTACCACGTCTCTGGCGAAGGTGGTAGAGACAGCTTCTTGTTGTAGGGTGAATTTGTCGTTAAAATTCTGCCATAAGTATGCAATGTCCAGCATATGGTTCGCGCGGTCTTGATATAGCCCTTCCCATGGATTCCCTTCATTGAAATGGCCCACAAAAGACATGTCCCAGGCATTAGCAAAGGCAATAGAAGGGGCAAAGAACATTACATCACTAATAAAATCGGTAATCAAACGAAGGGCCGTGGAATCAGGTGTTCCGTCGGTAATCTTGTAGAAGTCAATCAGAGCTTTACTTCTGTTTTCACCCAGACTCGACCGGATAGAGTCTTGAAAAGCTTTGCGGATTCCCCTTTCTCTTGGATTGAGGTTCACCAGAGCGAAAATACTTCCCTAGGAGATAGTTAATTAATCCAACTCGAACAGGTCGAAAGTGTTCGCAACTTACATCGCACTCACAATCAACAGACATCAAGCTTTGGCACCACTTTCTCCCAGGAAGAGGCAAGTCGCCGTCGTTCGCAATACGGTCGAAACTTGGAACACCTGGAATCAAGTCGTGATCCACGACCGGACAAAGCGCCGGAATTGGTCCCAATTTCTGTACAAATTCTGTAAAATCTGTCTTGAGGAGGGCATCGAAACGATCCTGTGGAGCAAGTTGATCGAGTCCGAGGGCCTTTAGAACGACTTCATAAACAGACTCAGCTGTGTCGGCATCTACTGGTCTCATCATGAGTGAGGTACCGGCCAGCAGGACGCATCGATTGAAAAACGGCTCCGGAGAATGAAGATGGTACGTCAAAGATGCTGGTCTGAGTGTCAGAATAGGAACAGCAAAACTTTGGAGAAACAAGGGCACTGTACCCGCACCAGCGCTTTGTCCAATTGCCGTGATAGCATCAGGATCACCTCCAAAACCTGAGATATACTTCTTGACCCATCTGAAAGCGGTTTGTTGGTCTCTAAGACCGTTGTTGGTTGGGCACCCGGCGTTGCGGATTTCTCTCGAAGTAAGAAATCCAGGAGCTCCCAAACGATAACTAGTGGCCAAATTGTGAGCTTCAGGGTAGATACTAGTCCTTTTCGACGCCTTGACTTACTTTATATTCATGGCAATGAAAGGGCAGCCATCTCGCATCCCTTGCTCAGCAATGCGAGCCTGGTCATAGTGCGGGTAGGAGTTAGATCCGAAGAAAAAGCCCCCTCCATGTACGTAGACGAGAACCGGAAGTCCGCGATTTGTATGAAGTGATGGTAGTTGCCCATCGACTAGGGGAAGTGTAATATTCAAGTTCAGACCTTCGAGATCCGACATGGGCGGTATCGTAGGCTTTTCTAAGCTCTGCTGAATGAAGCTCATTTCCATATCGCAAGATTCAGGCGGCGAGACCACAGGAGGGCTTTTTGACCGTGTCAGTTCCATGGTCCACAGCAAAATATAAGCCCAAAGAATGCTGCCTCAACGTGCAACTCACCCATAATTTGTGGCAGTCGTGAAAGGGTCAGAGTTCCCAGGAATTGCGACTTCAGATGTGGCAAATCGATGCTTTAACGAGCCATACTTGATGCCCAAGAATTGAGCCACTTGCCCTTTTCTTCGTCCAACGATGCTCCCTAGCAAAGGATGCTTCAACAATATCGTCTCCGTCATGCTCGTGAAGCCGTATCACTGTCGCCTCTTCCCACAGGAATGGGCGATATAGTGAATATTGAGAGCTTATCAATCTAATGGGGCTTTCCTGAGCGCGTTGTTTGTCTGCTGTAGGAGTATCTTGCCTCGCGTTGACGCGGTCATCTGACTAGGCGGATATAGCTGACTTCGTACAGTCATAGGTGGGTACAGACAATGAATTCGAAACAATCGGCCCGCTTTTTTGTATGCGGACCATTCTGCGGCCTCGGGATGCTTTGGGCCGCTGTGCAAAGAAGGGGCCGCGGATGCCGGTGCCGATGCCTTTAGGGAGTGACTTTCTGTATCAACCCAGCCAAATCACATTAGTTGTTGAGCTAATGGGTATTAGGCCATTATTACCCTTGCCTTGCCTTTGTGCTTCACCAGCATTTTGTACTTCTTTGCAGTCTTCGAATTTCAAAGCCATAAATTTATGTTTATCTTTTCTTGCGTCGGAATCGAAGAATAAATCTGCATGGCTTCGATGGCCTCGATGGATGATCCACAAACATGGGTACATTACGGTGCGATTGATCCAGAGCTTGCCGAGGTAGGCCTTTTGGACAACTCAGAACAGCCACACGAAATGGTGCTGAAGACCACCTGTAGATTTTTCGGCAGGACAACACCCCCAAATTTGCCAAAGATAACAAAATCTCGAGCATCCCAACCACTCGAACAGCCTGGAATCCTATTTACAAAGAGCTTGCTGCGAACGCCTTGGCCAACGCTCAAAAGAATGGTGTGAAAGGACAAGAAATCTATATCCCAAGAAGGGATGGTAGCCTGGCCCGTTGCCTGTTATATCAGCCAGAGCAGAGCCCTCCGAGTGCTAGTCCGCTTGTCGTTTTCTTTCACGGCGGTGGCTTCTGCTTTGGTTGTCCGGAGATGGAAAGCATCAACTGCATCAACGTTGTGCAGACCTATCGGGCTGTAGCAATAAGCGTAGAATATCGTCTCTCACCTGAGAGTCGCTTCCCTGGAGCAATCCATGATTCCTGGGATGCTCTACACTGGGTGAGTACCGCGAATGAGATGGAACATGGCGCTCAAGAGGTAGTTGCTAACAGCCGTTGGACTTAGATTGCTGAAAATGCCTCCCAGCTCTCTTCCGATCCCTCCACTGGTTTCATTATAGGTGGAACGTCGGCAGGAGGCAATATTTCGGCAGTCGTATCACACCTTGCCCGAGATGAGAAGCTATCCCCAGCCCTGACTGGCGTGTATTTGAACATCCCCACCGTCCTGGCTCCAGAGGTCGTTCCAGAGAAATATCGATCGATGTACCTGAGCCGACAGCAGAACAAAGACGCACCGGTCTTGACCAAGGCGAACATGGACATGTACAAGGAAGCTTATGCACCGGACCCCAGGTCGGAGCTGTGGAGTCCTTTCAACTGGCCCAGTGGCCATGCAAAGCTCCCACCTCACTACCTCCAGGTGTGCGGGCTGGATTTGCTGAGAGATGAGGCATTGATTTACGAACGCGTGCTGAGACGGGATTACAACATCCCGACAAAGGTGGATATCTATCCGGGGCTGCCACATGTCTTTTACGCAAATTTTCCACAACATTCGAGGAGCAAGGAGTACGCGAAGGACACAACTCAGGGCATTGGGTGGCTGCTTGAAGCGCAAAGGCTTTCAGATCAATAGAATCAGGTTATTGCATATTAGTATTGTAACAGAGCACTTCAGGGTTCGGCGTGCACGTGCAACAACGCACAGAGGCCTGTCCAGCAGATCGGGAATCGAGAACGCGTTTCTGGTTGATACTGACAAGACAACACACCAACATCACCCAGAGGGGCAGCGGCTAGGGCTACAAACACCTAGCACAGCGGCAGCATCGAGGAACAGGACAGAACTGATAAAACACTTAGGAATTAGGTAGACGGCGCCAAAAAGCCATAGAATTCATGATACTCTGCTCAAGCTAATGAATGGCACTCTGCCAGCACTGTAAACTGTTCCGCACCCCCCTCTCTGCCAGCCCATTTAGGTTTGACTGTGACTAGACAACTTTTCCTCCCTGCCACCGCTCTACCAGCCCAGCACAGCACAGCCACCTTGCCTTGTTACAGTATAGTATGATATTGTAAGCGAATGCTTTTGAAGCGGCAGTGGCCCTGCATATTCGATGAATAGAATCGTCAAAAGCACTAACCTAATACAGAGGCAGGCAGTGATCTTACATTCGTGCAAGAATACCCGATTCCTGGCTGCATCGACATAGCTTCAACCCCGCCTGAGCATGCCCCTAGGGATATCTCGGGGGTTTATAGCTTTCTTTTACGGCGATTTGGGCATATCCACCCCTCTCGGACTCCGAGATCCTCCCCTCGCAGTCCAATATCCGACTTTGGACTGCCGTGTCTTTATCGAAGACACCGTGGCGGTTGAATGAAATTCTCATACGCCAGCAATGAGATTCTCGCAGCCACCAGTTTGATCATTAGTCTGCTCAAGCATCCTTTGCCCAGACATCCAGAACTGCCTTGCCGATATTCTCGCCTCTGAACAACCCAACCAGTCCCTCAGGTGCCCGGTCCATGCCCCTTGTAACGCTCATAAGCGGACGAATGCTGCCATCATGAATCCACTTTTGAACGTTCTGCTGATGCTCCGCGGCGTATTTGTTGCCGAATCCATCGTCGAAAACGGTGAATCCCCTCCAGGTGATTCGTTTCCCTACAACTAGACCAGTGTTACGGACACCGTACTGCTTGTCGTGAGGCACACTGTACTGGGAAGCGTAACCACAAGCCACTGAATCGAATCGCGTCAACGTCAATGTTCGAGACCACCTTAGCGGACTGGCTTCAGACTAACCTATTCTGCCAAAATCCTTCAGCGCTGTAATGGCTGCCTCGAGTTGTTTACCACCGACATTGTCGTAGTAAACTATGATGAAGTTGTCAGCAAGGATCCAAGAGAAAGGACCACGAAACTTGCATACTGTCGATGCCATTTGGTGCGAGACGCTTCAGCTCTTTCAGCACGTCGACTTTCTTGTAGTTGAATCCCTCGTCGAAACCGAGTTTCTCTTTCAAGATCGTCAACTTCGCATCGCTTCCGACACTTCCGATCGCCGTGAGACCCTCTCGTTTAGCCAACTGCCCGACGATCTGGCCAACAGCTCCGCTGGCGGCCGAAATGAATATCTTCTCGCCCTTCTTTGGCCTTGCGATCTCATAGAATGCCGAATAAGCAGTCAGTCCCGGCATTCCTAACGGGCCGAGGAAGAGTTTCAGATCCAAGTTGAATGGGTTTTGGACTTTTTGAAACGTCACTGCATCTTGCGGGCCAATGATTGCATAATGTGCGATAGGACCCATCCCGACCAGGACATCGTCTTTTGAAAGGCCAGAATCTTCACCGGATCTGAGGACTTCAACAACAACCCCATTCACGATTGAAGCGCCGAGCTCAAAGGGTGGGAAATCCCTTGCCCCAGCGGCATCCACCAGCCGATGCCTCAGGTATGGGTCGAAAGACGCGTACAATACTCGAGCAACGAAGCCTCCAGTCGGGGGCGTTGCATCCGTGTCGACTGGCCTAGCCTCAACGGTGACGTCCTTGCCGGCCACAGGTATGCCCTGTGGGACATGTGCAAATATTAATGTCTTGGAGGTAACCATGATGGCCCAGTTGATCTGGAACTTGATGGTAAGCGACGGGATAGATCGAGGTGGTTCTGCTGCAATAAACCAATGCTTAGCAATTTCGCATGGTTTCTATAAACGCCCCCATGGGACTGGAGATATGGCGTAAAAAGAAGTGGCGCCCCATGGCGAAGTTCCCACGGAGATCCGGATGCCGGTGGTTCGAGGCTGGCGGGAATCCCCAAACATCCGGGGAACTGGAAGCTTGAGCTACCGCAGGAGAGAACCCATGTGCTACGTGACGTGTATGGTTAGTGACAGAGCAGGATAATGACATGTCAACGGATGATAAGAAGTCATTATTCAAGTTTGCTTTGAGCGAGACAGAGGTAGCCCTTTAGCGGAATGGTGACTGAGTACCTCGTAAGTCGTTGCGGCTGCGTCTGCCACCAAAGCGATGAAAAAGAATAGTATAATGAGTATTTTCTAGATCTCTAGAGATAATAATTCGAAACCTAATATTTAGTAATCTACGAACTTTCTATTTTACAACGTAGCCCGATCGTCATACGAATTATTAGTATTATTATTTCCGAGAACTTTTAGAGATACGTAGATTAGAAGAATAAGTAATCGTTACTAGGGATGAACTTTTCTCTTCTACTCCTCAACGACGCAATGTCCGTGCTCGTCTTATTAATTTCTGCCGAGGCTTAGAAATATAAAAGAGATGAAAATGACACCGAAGATAATATCGTAATGACCCCTTATTCTGTTTCGGCTGTCGCCGTGGCTGTTACATTCAGCTCGGTGTCCTCGTTGCCAACTTCGAAACCATCATGTATCTTACACGAGCAGGACTCAGATCAACCCATAACGCATGCATTCTGTCTCTGCGATAGCACTGCGACTCTCTCTTCACTTTCTGGGGCATCGACGGGCCACCAGACCGACAGCTGTGCCTACATGATTATACCAGCTGACGCAGACTTTGCTGTAGCTGGGTCTCGAGCAGTTTGGCGCGGCGTCATGATTGTTGAATATTCTCATGAGCAACTAGGGGCAAGCGTTATTGCTAGGGTCAAGCGACCGTTGCTCATTGTCTGTTTGGGTGCCCTCATGATGAAACGAAGAAAGGGGTAAAAGTTCGAACCAAGAAGGCAGATTTCTCGAAGAAATCCGGGAATTGGCTGCCTGACGGGGGGGGAAATGTTGAAATGCGAGCCGTGTGAAGGGGAGCATAAACAAGCAAATCGCATTGTGATCGAAGTCCTCCTAGATATGTCCACCGTGTAAAGTCTGCGCCCCGCTTGCTATTTGTGATATCCTGGGTGCTTTTCGAGTATTCAACCTGCGAGATCTGGCAAGCTCCTCGATCTCCGGCGGGCATTGGGGTTCACCACCCGCCCATGACGCGTGCTTTCGCTTATGTAACTACTTATACTTGTAAATGCGAGACGGACGCTTTTCCAATTCCGGGGTCCAAGCTGCGACGGTGGATACTTAACAAGCATCATTGGCGGACTCCCCAGGTCGCCCAGTTGGGGGAGGGCTACGGCCAGCGGCATGGAGATTCCTTACGGACGTTTCGGTGGATCCTGGCGGTTCAACGTCAACAAAGCAACCTCTTCAATCAGGCAGCCTGCTAGAGCTGTGTCCTTTTGCTGTGTCCTGCCCGCTCCTGGGCTGTACAATACGCACGGCGCGAACTAGTAATGATGAAATTATTGAGGTTTACGGACCCTAGGCAGCCTGAGCTGGATCGCTGAAAAGGGGTGCACACTGCATGATTGGCCAGCTACCAATACATGTCAAAAGGCTAGGGATGATCCTGCAAATAAACAATGCTTCTGATAGCTCAAATGGGTATGGAACACGAGTTCCTCCGAACGGCTTTACCAACCCAGCCCTGCGTACAGGCGAGTCCACGCTACCCAGTCCAGGCACCATTTCTGGACCATTCGGGGAGCTCGCTCGACGTATTCGGTGCCCCGTCCCCAACCTGGATTACGAGCAAGGGCAAGCAAAACACCGACAGTTCGTTCCAGCCTTGTTTGGGAAGCCTCTGTCCTCCGCTCATTGGTTCAAATTCAACAGCCCAAACCCTACGGCCTTATCGCAAGCGGGATAGGCTTCAGGATGGCCCCTATAGCCATGGCGACACGGCTGCAACGCACAGTGCGGCAGAGCATCACGCCAGCTATTCAGGTCTATTTCCACATTCTAGTCAATGACGAGTACTCTCTGGCAAGACTGGGCATATATCCTCCCAGTCTATATATTCGCCACAGGAACCTCACGAAGCAAATTCCCAAGTCAAGCCAACCAAAGCAACAGATCACAGAAAAGAATCTACGGTGTATATTCATACAACACCCTCTAATTCAAGCTACTCATTTGTTCTATCATTCTCCTACAACCGAAGTGACTTAATACATACCCTGCTCCTATATCCGCAACCATAATGCCGGACTCGAACGTTCCAATCTTCATCACCCCAAATGGCACTGTCTACATTGGTGGTGGCAACGACGCCAACTGCACAGTCTCCGTCTGCCCAATCGAGATGAGTGTCTACGGATACCGACCTGCTCTCTCTGCAAGCGGCACTCTAATAGCCCTCTATGGCCTCTGCATAGTCGCCCAGCTAGTCCTCGGTTTCCGGTACAAGACCTGGGGGTTCATGAGTCTCATGTTGCTCGGCTGCGTGGACGAAATCATTGGATATGTTGGCCGCATCTTGTATTGGCAGAATCCATGGGCCCAGGCTGGGTTCATCATGCAGATTGGTGAGAGCACTTAAACCCCCCTACGACAGCATCACCAACTCTCTAACAATGACCAGTCTTGATCACCATCGGTCCCGTCTTCTTCGCTGCCGCCATCTACGTGCTGCTTGCTCAAATGTAAGTAGTATTCGCGTCCACGAGCACTTTACATCTCGCCTGACTTGTCTCAGTGTTAAATACATCTCACTGCAATCCTCGCGTTTCGCGCCCAAATACTTCTACTGGATCTTCATCCCCTGCGACATCATCAGCCTGGTCCTCCAAGCCGTCGGCGGCGCCATGTCGTCCAACTCCAACGGCCGCTCCAAAGCCGGCGTCGACGTCGCCCTCGCGGGCTTGGGCTTTCAGGTATTCACGCTCGCCGCCTTCGTGGTGTTGGCCATCGACTACGCCATCCGCAGCCGCCGGGTGTGGATGTTCGTCCGTTTGCCGACCCGCTTCGTTGTCTTCACCGGCTTCCTGACCGCGTCCACGATTCTGATCCTCATCCGGTGCTGCTACCGAGTCTACGAGCTGAGCGAGGGATATTCGCGCACGAGCGAGGCGCTGAGGGACCAGACCATGTTCATTGTCTTCGAGTCAGCGTAAGTACACTCCGAACCCTCATCCCGTCCTATCCCACCCCGAGTCTATGTGATGCTTGGCTGTACTCCAACGTACCAGCTTCTGTGCCCGTTCCATGATCCATGGTCCATCCACAGCTAACCTCCGTCTCTGAAGAATGGTCATTGCCGCCTCCTTCTGCTTGATCCCCGCCCATCCCGGCTTTGTCTTCAAGACTGGCGACGAGGCACAAGTCCCCGACCCCTCGGTCGCTGAAAAGGCCCTCTCCTCCGCCAAAGTCAGGTCCGCCAGCCGCTCCCCGGACTCAGGCGAGAGGCTGTGAAGAGCATGTGCAAGACCCCCTGTGAAGAGCGTGTTTGGAAGCCTACATGGACGCACACAATCATCTGGAGATGGATGAACTAGTATTACACTAGTGCTTGTGCTTGTTGCTTTGATTTTAACAGGATGGATGCATATAATGACATAGACAAAGCTATACGTATTGATTCTTCAACTCTTTTGGTCTCTGCCATTTTGGGCCCACCAAATCTAGAACCGATTGTGCATTCCAACGCCGGTAGTCTTTGGGTTTCTTCTCACACAGTCGAGACAACCAAAGCAACGTTACCCAGCCAGGGGCTAGCACCTAGCAGTGGTAGCTACCCCGGAGACAACACTGGGCAAGGTCGAGCAGCCAGCATTCTGCACACTGCGGGCGATTCGAAATTGATTGCTGGAAGAAATGGCTTCAAACAGCGCTTGTATCTGGGCTCTGTCCTCTGGGATCGTCCTCAGCTCCCATCTCACCACGTTCAGCGGGAAGATGAGTCTCGGTCGCGCGTATTCGAATCGGGTCTGTAGACAATATTGCAGGTGCCGAAGGACCTGCTTTGACAAGTTCCGCCTGCGTGATGCGTCGGTGTATCGACAGATTTCTGCGACGAGGTCGTGGTGTTCGTTGAATAAGTCGGCGGGATACTTTTCGATCAGTGCCGCGGCATAAACGGAGAATGCCAGATCGAGGGCAATAAGAATGGCTGAAGTAATGGCGACCGTTGTCTCGCCGAAGGGCGGTTCATTGAGCGCGTGCCCCTCGAAGACATCATGCTCGGCGTGCATCTCCAGGAGGTCTTTCTTGAGAGCTGCCATGCCAACGTAGCCATCCCTGATCTGTTCGAGTATTAGAATGACCTCTGTTCGAGCCGAGCGCCGGTAAATTGCCTCGCCCCTTTGGATCAGATCGGATAGCGCAAAGCCATAGTCGTAGAGCCTTTGATCGAGATCCTTGGGTGTATCGGCCCAAGGTTGTGTCAGCCAATTGGGGTAGCCAAAAAAGGACGGCGCTTTCCTGGTGAGACAGACAATCATAGCGTTATAACGTATAGACTCGAGAATGGATTTGGGCAAGGGATCACGATGACGTTCTGGGCCTCGAATCTCAATCATTCGGGCTATACCGATAATATGGCTTTGCCACGCAGCCATGTCCTCTGATGTCGATTCAAAAGCCTCATACAAGACCAAGCAACGAGCAGCCGCAAGAATTTCGTCGTGACGCATCAGCTGTGGATCGTACAGGGCATTCTGCATCAATCGGAGAGTCTGGCCATAAATTTTCTGCCCCTTGAGGATCAAGGTTTGGTTGTTTTGCAGTCTTCCGATCCGAATATATGCAAGAGAAAGAAGTGCTTGTCTCAGCGGAGTTGTTGGTGCTGAGACATTGATCGAGTGATACAGCCAGGCAGGCTCCCTCGTTCTGGAGTATGGAGTTGAGCTTGTAGAGTATCCCTCCCAAAACGAGGATATGACTTGATCCTCGTTGAGTTGACACATGGAAGGGGCAGAGAAAACCATCGTGTCTTGATTCTGTAGGGCGGGTAGGGGTGGTGTGGATCTGACTTCTTCCAGGCGCTGTCTTCTCTCAAGACCTGCCTGGCTACGATTGATGAAGACCGGATATCGTTCGTAGCCTTCGCATTGTCTGCCTGACGAAGTGCATCGTTGACACAGCGGCTTTTTGAGGTCACACTGATATGGTCAAGAACGTCCAGACGCCAAATCGAGCTCGTGCCTACTCTGATCTTCCTTCTTCTGCAAGTGTTACAGCCTTGCGACCTCCCCGGGATGCCAACCATTGAACTTTCCAAAATTTTTCCAAAACTCTTGGAGCTCGTTGTTTGAAACAAACCTATTTTCAGTGGTCATAAATTGTAAGGCGACAGGATTTCTTCGCTGCGCTCGAGGCTGATGATATGTCTTTAAGCCAAGGGTCTTCTGCAGAACTAATTGGATACCCCAAGAATATCCCTGGTCGGCCCTGATCCTAAGAGGAGATCGCCGCCTATAATTGGCGGCAATCTCGCCCAATTGCTCGCCTTCGGCTAGCCTGGTGAGCCTGGACGTCATGAAGGGGCCAAAGTGCTGCATCCCTAGTTGTACATGTTTTAGGCTCCAGCCATTCTTCATCATCATCCTGAACTCTCACCTGTGAATTGGATAAAATGTAGATAGGTAATATCTCCCCTTTGAATCCCGCGTTTGCTCTCGTCACAATGTCTGGCGAGAGCGCATCCAAGTCCCCAGCCAGTCACACAGCCTTATGAAATGGCCTCAGGCGGTAACATGAGACATGTCCGGGACTTGCAGCATCTCGACCCAAGAAGGCGAGTTTGACGGATGCATTATTCCGCGCAACAGAGGAACGTACATGTTTATTGATACTGAGATCTCATCCTTCTGAGGGTCTCGACCCGCACTGCACACCCAGAGAGCAGAAACGGACGCACTACCCTACCGGGACCTAGCCGAGATCCTGTACACACTTACCGAGAAAATCGCCTGGTTTTGACTTCACTTTCTGACTTTAGTTCTGTTATGCCCCCGATTCGGCGATTCGGCGATACTATGTTCATTGGGCTTCAAACTATTCAAACCTAAGCAGACTGAGATAACCGTAATTACGATTCTCTCAGGCTCGGCATATTACGGGTTGACGGGGTTAACTTTTGCACCTAGAAAATCCGGAAAATGATAAATTATATGACAGCTAGGAGGCCCTTGCGCTGGAAGCAGCGGGATTGCATTTGGGTTATATTCAACCCTGTCTCAATACAGCAAACTCACTTTGTCGAATTGCGTGTGTATTCGTTGAAGATCCAACGAGCCCATCGGCAAATATGGCGGCGTATCCTCCCGTGACACCTGCAAATGGTGAGTTTGCCAGACACACTCTCTGAGAGCTCAGCTGGGACAAGAGGGCTGATCTGCATCAACAGGTGCAAACTTCACTCAAATAATCCATAAGCACACCTACCCTTTCATTGATTCTAGATCCAAAGCAAATCATGCCGGCCGTGCTGTTTTCGTGTCCGGAGGCAGTCGTGGAATCGGAAAAGCCATTGCTATTTCATTCGCTCAAGCTGGTGCCTCGTTCATTGGACTAGGATGTCCCGACGGCTTCGGGGATCCCCCTGTCAATGTCGAGATTGAGAATGCAGCGAGACAATGCGGTCGACCGGCTCCCACAGTCCTCTTACTTCATTTAGACGTGACGGATAGTGCGTCGGTAGCGGCAGCAGCGGCCAGAATGCAGGAGTCTTCGTCGAGGCTGGATGTCTTGGTGAACAACGCAGGGTTCATGACCCAGGCTCTTCCGATAGTAGGAGCCGGCAATGATTCATGGTGGAAGACTTTTGAAGTCAACCTGAGAGGGATCTTCTTGATGTGTAAATATTTTACACCTCTCTTACATGGAACAACAGATGGCCTGAAGACACTCGTCAACGTCAACTCAGTGGCGTCCCTGAATCTCCGTCCCGAAGCAAGTGCATATGGCACGTCCAAATTCGCCGTCCTGAAATTCACCGAGTTCCTGCTTGTGGAGCAGAGAAAACAGGGACTCCTGGCGTTCTCCGTGCATCCTGGGGGAGTCATGACTCAGCTGGCAGAAGCAATGCCTAAAGAAACACACCCGAGTAGGCAGCCAAAGCGAAATATCTCGAAACCAGAGATTAAACTGACTTCAATCCAGCTTTCACCGACAGCCCGTCATTGGCCGGGGATACAATAGCCTTTCTCACGTGTGAAAGACGAGAATGGCTCGCTGGAAGGTATCTCAGCTGTACTTGGGACATGGAGGAGCTTTTTGCGAGACGAAAGGAGATAGAGGAGGGTGACAAGTTGAAAGTGCGGCTTGTTATGTAGCACCATTCACGGCACAGCCAAATTTAGAAGCCCCTCCCCTTCGGTAAACAGATAGGGAAATTGTGAGAGGTTGTTCGAGTATTGCTTTCTCTTGTCTCTGTTTGGTCGACTTCTCGCAGCTCTGATATCGCCGTGACAGGAGCCACTGAGCCAATGGCACAATTCGTTTCCCGCAATTTTGGTTGGTTAACTCTCACCAAGACGGCGAAATATTAGCAGGGCAACTGTCGACTATGTAGAGGGTACTGAGAAATGCGCGCTCGTGCTTCGTCTCTCTCAACAACGACACTTACGTATCGAAAACTCGGAGTATATCGCTTAGTTGGGTAATTCATCTTTCCAATCGTCTCATGCCATATATCATTATGCACAGTAGTGTGAGGTCCGACATGGATTTCGCAGCCGATAGCTTCATGGCTAATCAAACACCAGCCTGTAGTTTCCTGAAGATATCATCAACAATGCAGAAATCTAAGATATACTTATGCAGAAGCCCCACGCCCTCCTCACAATTTCATTATCACTAATGTCACGCTGACTTGCACATAGTACTGCGAGCAGAGTGGCGGAATGGAGGCCATCTCGACAACAGAAGAGCAGACGATCGCTTTCAAAAGCAGCGATTGCCTGCTCGCGCACAGACCAAGTCGAATTACCATATTTGTCTATTTGCAGGTGTCGCTCCTTGTTGATCATTCGTCGAGTGGATGAGACAACAGATAAACCATGCCATATTCGGAAGAGTGAACTCCACCAATACTAATATCCCTCACTCGTGCTCGAAAGCCAACATCAGGCCACAAGCGTCAAGGATCGAGCAGGTCCGCCAACACACCGTAGAACCGGAATTGAGCACACCGTCAGGTCACGGAGGAGAAGCTCCTGCAGTATTATCAGTTCTCCAGCTGGATTGCAGTAAGAGTCTGTAAATAGTCGGTCACCGCGCCATCGCATCATCGTGTGAGCTCTCATGCGGAAGTGGTACGAGGCTCATAGGTGGCGGGATATGGTAGGCTGATCCCACAACTTGGAGACGAATGCCGAGTCGCTAAGCATCCAAAGGAAATTGGAGGATTCCCGCGAACAAGACTTCCGCTGGCTTCAAAAAGACTGGCATGCAATGGTAGAATTACTTTGGTATATTCGTGGTGGCGGCAAGGTCAGGCTGGCCAAAACGCGATCTACGAATTCTGCAGCCAACTTTTTTGGATTACGAGGAAGAAATTTGCAGAGCTCGCTGCAATCTACAATTCTCTACTGGCTGCAGGGCTGGAGATGGTTCGCATTGAACATGGTGTCTGGCCAAAGAAGTCAGAAGGTGACTTGAGAGATGGATGCAGCGAAAGCTGGGTCATCAATGATGATGTTTCATTTAATCCTTTGGGTTTGGCGTCACAGGCGGGATAACTTGGAGTGACCCCTGTTTGTATGATTCAATCCAACCATGACACAGCCGATGAGAAGGACATTGGTAACTTCCACCTCGTGTTGCAGACAACGGCTCAATCCAGCATTGGATCTGGGATAACGTTAGATCAAACAAGAACGCCCGATTCCAGGACACCACTGGCCGGCCAAGGAATGGTGTGGACCTACTTCGGTTGGTATCGACGTCAACCTGTCTTGATTCTCTGTTTCAGTATCCTGCGAAAAGACCTGAAATGCCCCTAGTTTATGAAGATAATGCACTGAGGTCTCGCCTCAACGAAATACCTCAGAATGCAAATATCTGACTTCACTCCCTAAAAGCGGCAACGACCGGGGATAGACTTGGGCTTCCAGATCGATGGATCCTGTGGGGCTCAGGCCTAGTTTTAAAAGCGGAGACGGCTGTTGCCTAACTATCCTCGTCCCGCTTTCCCTTATATATGAGATGGCTTTGCACATAACCTGTTTCCTTGTTCTCCTCCTTTCGGGCATTTGACGACAACAAGCGGGAGAGATAGCCACTATCTGCTTATCTCACCATGTCGGCCGTCCGTTATTTTGATTCTGTTCCTCACATTGTGCGTTATGGCATGCACGACGAGAAGGAGGGTAAGTCATGGACGCACTTCTACCGCAACGGCATCTGCTTCAACGCTACGGTCTCGCGTGAAGATGTGTCCGGGACGCCTTTCTTAGAGCCATGGCTTGATCTCATTCAAGAGGCAAAGATACACGAAGGGCCGAAGAGCTGGGTCCGCCAATGGGAAATGTTGTGCGACTGTGTGATCACGCCGTGCTTGCCCTTACTCGAGACTCTAGCTCCCAGCTCACATCAATGGGTAACATTGGCCGACTACCTGCACACGCCGACATATGACTTGAAGTTGGTCGCCGACGAGAAAACGGCCAATGTCGTTCCCGGCATCACCGATGGCCCGACTGACCGCCCGTCCTACGAACACCATCTGATGAAATTCCCGGAAATCAGCCTGCTTCCTCAGAATGTGCGCCGATATGACGCAGAAAGTTTGCTTGTCCTTGGGAAGGAAAAGAACTGGCGACGCCCCCCACACAAGGTTCGGGCGCCGAATGGCGACGTGTTTTTCTTCAGGCCTTGCAATCAACCAGCAACGCACGTTGACACTGGCCTGATTCTCAACCCCGCCCTCGACATCATCAATGCATATTCAAGGCTTTACTCACAGTCAGAGGAGGTGTCGTCTCCATCTGCAGCTGAAGAAGTCCATATCCCAAGACTCCAGGGAGTTGTAGTCAGCTACGCAAATGCAGGGCCAGAGCAGAGCTCTACTGTATCTTTAGCGTCGGGAGAGGGACAAGCCAAGCAGGAACAAAAAGAGGAGCTCTGCGCGGGGATAGTCTTAAACTACGTGTCACATGCGAAGACCCTTGCAGATTTGATGGAAGTTTCCGCTGGCCAGGCTCAGGCAATTGACCTCTCGAAATATAGAGAGACATGGAAAGAGCAAATCGCTTCCGTGATTCGGCATTTACACTACCATCGCATTACCATTGGGAGTGGCGCTGGTGCAAGGTATTTGATCAGCCGCTATACCATCTATATTACGAACATTCACGAGGCGGATGACGACCTTGGTGGAGTCTCTGCAGCAGAGCTAGAAGCCGCAGACGCGTGGCTGATGCTGGAAGCTGGCTGCACAGTACACCCATCAACAGCGCGAGAGACCGACAACGAGAAACTCAAAGAACAGGAAGCCATAGACTGGGCAGCCCTGGAGGAGGTGTTTCAATTCTGACTGGTGGGGGCAGAGGCTTTTGGTCAAGGCTGGCGGGATTGAGTCCCCCATCAGTTGAAACGATTATCGCGGGTCAAGATCGTGGAAATAATTCTAGTAAGCAGTGGGAGAGCAGCCGAAACCCTGCCAGGACGCCTGAACGACGCTGCAGTTTCTCCAACCCTCATCATATATTCAATCTAGCTATATCATTTACTGGCCGGCCAGATTACCTTAGGCACCCAAGCTTTGCCTGCAGAAAGTCTAATAGAGAAAGACTCGCATCCCTCCAATCGTGATTCGTTCCGCGCAGTGAAGGGATAATTGTGTGACGGCTGTGTTCTCATTCTCGCAGTCGGTCCTGTTTCGCCAGCTTGGAATGGTTGTTCAAAATAAGAACAATCTTGATTACCAATATCAGATAGCACGATTGGATCGCTCTGGACCCGATTCCCCGGCTAAAAACAATGCAGCATTTGCTCATTGCTGTCCATGCAGTTGAATGTTTCGTCGACCACAACCTCACTGGTCCGCCATAACTTCTCTACCCAGTATTAACCAAATGTCTGTTTTCTAAGTTCCGAAACCTCAATTTCACAGTTTGACAAAACTGGCCAAAATCGTCGTGTCTGTGGTATAGATGATAACAGAGTCTGGAGCGAGGGCCGATCCAGAGGCTCGGGCACCAGCATCGAGGCAATCATGTCCCTGGAATCGGACGGTAGCTTCTGTAGCATGTGAAAAGCTCCAGTGGAACAGGTCTCGAAATTGATCGTCGATTTTTCCGAACTAGGACAATGACCTGATTTCACGCTGTCTTCGAGCGGCCCCGGTGTCACGTAGGCTTGATAGCGGGGGTCATTGATTGAGGCAGCTGACCAAGGAACCGAGCCGATGATCATCGCATAGAACAGGATGCCGAGGGCCCACACGTCGGCCTTCTCCTTGTCGAACTCGAGTTGCGTAAAAATGTCGGGTGGCATGTAAGCAGTGGTGCCATAGTCTCCGGGGACGACGTTGACAGAGTTTGCCGAGCCGGGGGTCTCTGTTGGGCACTGTGAGAATGTGGCCGCGCCAAAGTCGATCAACTTGGGCCTTCCGTCGGCCGTCAAAAGGACATTTTCTAACTTGAGATCTCCGTGTGATATGCTCCGGGAGTGCATATGCTCAACAGCCTCGAGGATCCCGCGGAATGTCTTGGTAAGAGACTCTAAGCTGGTTGATAGACGCTCCTTCGCAAGGCTCCGAGGACAAAACTCCGTCACCAGAAACCAAGTTGACGAACGGGTTTCCAGGAGAAGTTCAAAGCTCTCTGCTATACCGGAATGGCCGTTTAGCAGAGTTCCAAGGTGGTACTCAAGCTTGACTCTTTGAGCGAAGACGTCATCTTGGTCCGCGGCGGCGTTGTGGAAGCGTTTGACCGCTACGGTAGCATTATCGATGTGACGCAGAAGCAGAAACACCGAACCCGTTGTGCCAGCACCCAGTTCTTTCACAATAGCCCCATAGCCGGACTCCAGATCGTGCGGTATCGTGGTGTAATGGATCCGTGAATAGTTAAGCCAGCACTGTGCAGGGGCGGGGGCCGCCGCCGAATAGCAAACGACATTAACCAGGACAAGGACGAGGCAGAGCGCAATCCGAAATTTTCCATTCATGGTTGGTCAGCTAGTTGCAGCCGTGGTCGCGGGGGTTGGTCGATGGGCTAATGTTGGGCAGAGCCTGCATAATGTATGTACGAGCGAGTCGACATGTTTGAACGAGTGCGTGTGTTGTTGCTGGGGTTTCGCATCCACCACGGAGCTCGCTGATACGCCTATGTCAAGTCAGCTTTGCACATCCTCGCCTGTTCTGGATGCTATGGGCCAGATCGTCTTTTGTGGAAGGATTCTCAGGCCATCGAGGCGGATTCCTGCGTTTTGGGAGACGTTCCTGTTACATTGCATCAACCTTGTACAGGTAAATGAGCAGGTCTCTCAGGAGTGAGCGAGGAAGCGAGACAGAACCAGAGTCAGGGCAGCGTCTCTCTCCCCCCCAAAATATTGAGATCTATCAACAGAAGAAGACGACTCCCCAGGTGATATTTAGTCACAGTCAAAACGCCTCGTGTATTCGGTATGGTCGCGTGCTCACTTTCTACAACTCCCCAGTATGGAGCGAGTGGAGCCGCCGCCTCGTCTTAACTTCCTATAACGGTTAAAGTGGCACATACATAAAATGCTCTGCGGCCTCTTTCGGTGTGATATAGATACCGCCAGTCCGAACTACGCACTTAGTGGAGGAAGTGGTCATCAATCCATATCATCGTCGGTCTACAGAGTACACGTTCCCTTGATTCGTCAAAGCAAATGTGACCCATAAGCCCAGTCTGAACTCGATCCAATCGCCCTGATTTCGGTGGAGCTTCCTTTGAATCCTTTCTATGGGGACGCAATGGGGGCTGGGATTTCAAACGATTATGCAAACAGAATACACCAAAAGTACTCGGATAATTGATGTTGCCATCCCGTCCCACGACGAATATAGTGTAACCTGCATTTTCCTCCTTCGTGGAGACACAATTGGCTCTCACCGCCACCTCAGAGCCCCACATGAATCGCTATTTTCCGTACGTGTACAAGCATATCTGTGGCCGAACGGCGACTGTGTTACCGTAACATATCAGGTTTTGGAGATCCCTTGAGACTTCTTTGCTGAGCGCAGGAGTGTGGGCCAGGTTTAGGCACAGGTCCAGGTTATATCTTAATAACCCTAACCAATATAGGAAAATGGTGCTGTCTGGCGGTAATAGCTTAAGCAGGTGTGACGACTATAGTCCTTTTGTGCGATGCAAAGTCGGTTGCCGCCCTGTTGCTGACACGTACTGCGGAGAGTAAGCCTGTGTAAGTTTAGCGACGTTCGTTTCTGCGAATCGTTTCTTGTATGTACATTGCCGAGCGAGGTGATCCCGCGGGATACTGTGCTATGCGAATGCTTGCCAAATGACTCAGCCTCGATACGTCCCAGTTCGTGAACATGCGGACTCCTCATTGTGTAATGAAGCGTCACAAGAGGTGGTTTTCGTTGGCACGGAAGATCATTCTAACCTAGGTAAGTAATCATTCTACCTCTCTCGACATAGTTTCTGGAGCCAAATGTCAAGGGAGAAGATTGAAACCGGCAAATCAATACCCGTTCCAAGCAGGGACGCATGAACTCACATCTACATCAAAGTCTGGTCCTTTCACCGAGTAGGATACATTGTGAAACGCTCCGGATCCACGATCAAAGTCTCTTTGTGGCAATTGCCACATTCGCTGAGAAAGCCAGTCAGAGCGAGCTCGGCTCGATCCACCCACCAGGGTTACCTGCATCATGCTAATGTTGCCGGCAGCATTCACTGTTTCACAGATACTAGAGGATGAGGATCCTCATAACCTACAGTGAAGGAATTCTCAAGAACAGCGGGGCCGTCTGACCACGTGGCAAGGATGAACCATGATGAGAGGCCAAAATGCGCTCTCAGGCTTTCCGTCGATGCTGAAACTGCTGGGAGCAGCATATATAAGACGATCTTCCTGACCATGTACGTCTTCTGATTGCTAACCCTTCTTTCCCCCCAAGCCTCACCGATCCTGCTCCTCTACTACACAAGCAAACATGAAGTTCATGCAAGTCACTTCTCTCCTTACGCTGCTTGCAGCATCGGCGTCAGCCTTGCCGACGTCCCCTGCTGCAGATGCCCTGAGTAAGCATTTCGAAAGATCTTGGGGTAAATTGAAGTTTACTGACAATGGTTTATTAGACGCTCGCACGGCGGCGTTGATGGGAGCTGCTAAGCGTGAAACGGATATCTACCATGCGACAGCTAAGCGCTCTCCGGAGACCGATATCTACCATGCTACAGCCAAGCGTCGTTCTCCTGAAACAGATATCTACCACGCCACTGCTAGGCGCCGATCGCCAGAAACCGACATCTACCATGCCACTGCAAAACGTCGCTCTCCCGAGACTGACATTTATCACGCGACGGCTAAACGCTCAGCAGCTAAGCGCGAGACTGATATCTACCATGCCACTGCCAAACGCTCTCCCAGCCCAGAGACCGACATCTACCACGCCACCGCGAAGCGTCGTTAACCAACACTCTTGCTACGACCGAACAACTCCACGCAGGACTCTGGGTGAAACCGGCGACATACCTCGTTCAAAATCTACTGACGACGACAATGAAACCGACATTTCTGCAATGAAGCAGATAACGGGATAGGATCGGATGGGTATGTCGTTTAGGGAGCGCTCACATGCCGGGAGATGTAAATGGGGAAGGGGGGAGGGGGACAGTCCAGCCAAAGCTCGAATGTGCGCTCAACGCGTGCGTCTGCCAATCTCTAATACCATCTCAATTGAACCCTCTTGCCAGCAAGCCACCAAGTAAAGGTGTTGGACGCAGATCTCGAGGACGAGGGCATTGCTTGATCCGATAAACATAACAGGAGGAAGACAATGGCCCTCGGCTCTGGATAATAATAAAAAGGACCACGTAGATAAGTGTTCTTGTAGCGTTGCCGCGCAGGATTCTGTAATAATTCCTCTCCTCAGGCCTTGTAACACATCTGCTCGTAGTGCGGGAGGGGAGATGTGAGCTGGGCGGGCGTGGCGAAGTCGTTCCTGTGACGGACAAGCAGATGAGCCCTCTAAGAGTCGAAAAGGCCCGTCCGTCCCACAGTTCTTCGGTCCTTCAACGCTTGATCCATCGTCCGCCCAGACTTACCCTGGCTTCTCGCCAACGTCAGATGTCGATCCGTGAGTATAGATTAAGGCGGGTTGCTTTCCTGACTCTGTATTCTGTTCTTGTCCCTCCCCGCCACGTGTGTCAGCACATATATCTCTCTGTAAACCTAAAACCATCTCGTCCTCTTTCTTCCTCCTTCCCAGTCCTCGTTATCCGACAATTCCTTGGTTATCCTTTTTTATTTTTGTTTTCGTCCGCCCGTACCGCTACTATCAGTCAGTCTTTCCAGATGCCATCTTCATCCAAATACACGTGCGACTCCTCAGCCAACACGCTCATCAAACACGACCACCCTTCTTCTCCATCTCCATCAAGCTCCCCCTCTTCACCCATCGACGAAAAGAAGCGGCGCCGCTACCATCGTCTTCACCCCGCATCTTCGGCGTTGTCGAGCTTGCTCCCGCGCAAGACCCTTGATGACGACGACGACGACGATGACGCCAGCGGAGGCTACCTGATGCGTGATCCGCGCGCCCACCGTGTCCACAAGCTCCTGCTCGGCTGCATAGGCGTGCTCTCCATCCTTTGCGTGTCCCTCATTATCGCCGTGGTAAAACTCAGCGCAACGCCCAAGGACGTCTTTCGACATGTCCCCGAGGCAAAGGCTGAATTCATCCATACTCCTGGCGTGATGCCTCCGATCTTGGGGCCTGAATGTATGTTTTGTTGATTCCTTACTCCTTGCCTTCCCCCATTTCCTTCTTTTGACATAGCTGCGTGGGCGCTTGTTTGCTGACTCAGTAATTCCAGTTACCAAGAGGACGGTGCTGTTTCAGCGGAACGAGTCGTTCATGGGAAGCAAGGAGAAAGCTTATCCTGCATGGCATGAGATCTTACACCGTGCACGCCATGGCCGTGTAGCATTCGACAGTATGCCCGGCGAGTTTTACGGTGTTGCTGGATACCATCAACTGCATTGTGTGGTAAGCTGTTCTCGGGCAATCTTGTTCTTCCTTGCTATTGCTAATGTTGCTGTTACAGTGGCTCCTCCAATGGGCCGTCGATTATTCAGTCCGAGGGATCGTGCCCGACGAGTTGACCGCCGATCATATGTTCCACTGCACAGAGTACCTGCGGCAGTCGGTTATGTGCTACGCGGATCCAACATTGGAAAGGCGCTTTGAAGGCATCCTGGGACCATTTAGCGCCAATAACACCCATGTATGTGGCGATTGGGAGAAGTTGATGGATTGGGCAGATGGCCATATCTACCTCGGACCGTACCTTAATCCCACCACCAAGTTGCCACCTTAGGTGATCTCCACAAAGCGGAAGGGAAGAAATCCCATTCATTCATAAGGATAATAGAATCCAGCCATCTGTGCCGAGATAGCGTACGATCCAGCGTGGCACTAGATCAGTCTGTCCATCTGTCCTCAAACTTGCGTTAGGTTTTAGTCGTGGCCCTTCTTATTCCCTTGGGGCAGATTTTGTTCATCTTGTGCCGCCAGTAATTCCGCTGGCGTTTTTCAAACTGGATGAAAAAGATCAATGCAGCCAGCGGACCACTGGGCGATGCCCAGGGGGGCTTCGGAACGGAACCAAGAGCTTCGTTCTCGGGGCATCGCCATGGGTGATGAACACTCTGCCCCCCCCCCCTAAGATCATACCTGTTGATCTACCTGCACATCCAGGTGAGCCTCACACATAAATCTAAACAACACAAGCCTCTTCTTTGGGCAATTGAAGCCCTTTTCTCCAAGCTGCATGTTCAGTACGCCTCGTACACGAACTCAACTTCCCTTGCCGTGTCCCCTTGGCGGGCGCAATGCTTACCTCTGGTGGCGTTTTTCTAGAATGAACTCGAATTCGAAAATCTGATTTTCCAAGAGCCCAACCTGTAAAAATGCTGGTGCTGTTGGTATGAGAAGTAGACCACCGATCAATTCTCCAACCTCATTGTCCAGGACCCCTTGGACATTTTTAGGTAAGCGTGAGATATACTTGCACATAGTAGCCACCAAGGGGCCACAGCGACGTTCCTCCCAATACACAAACCGCCATTTCTCTAGGTCGATTCGCTCCAAGACTTCTGCTTCTGCTCTCCGAAATCGCTGCTGAAAGTCCTGTGGTAAATGACTCAGTTCTTCGCCGGACTGATGCAGAACTGTATGGCAGCGGCGCTTCTCAACATTGGCTTTATTGAAAGCGATCAAGTCATATGTCTCTGAATTTCGTTGAACTTGAACCTCGAAGCTCAGATATTTAGTCCGACACATCTTTGGTGGCACGTATAGAAGCCAAGCAGGCTCCGTTTCAGAGAGTTCTGAATCTTGCGGTATGTCATTCAACCTGTCAATTTTCCTGCGCAAGCGTGCAAGGGCGCTTTCCATTCCCTCTCCATAGTGCAGCGTCATGCGCACGCCGAAGATATCGAAGAGACAATATGCCTGGTCTTCCGGTCGCTGAGTGTCACGATTCTTGGCCCAAGCGAACCGTGTCTCAACATCGAAGTCGGAGGGGCGTCCATGCAGAGCCCTTCGACTGATGCCTGTGATGTCACTTACCAATCGTGCAAGTGTGGCCTTGGTCCCTAACAGACTACCGTTTTCGGAGAAAAACTGGACAGAAGCCGGGGCAAGAAGCTCCTGCAATGTCCAGCCGCGGGTAAACCATCGACTTGAACGGAATGCGTCTTCATCCCAGAGGACCTGGAACGCGGTGTTGGTGGAGCTGTCTTGATCAGAGCCGAGAGGCTGGCTAGAGACATCAGACAGGTACACGTAACACCAGGCTGCTTTCCTGTACCAGTCGAACATTGAATTTATGGCCTCTGATAATTGAACTATGTTTGTCTTATCAATGCAGCACGTGTCAACCCAGATATATCGAAGGCCATCCCTGCGGGCTTGCTCTACGCAGAACCTAACTTTTCTATATCCCGGCTTTTCAACCCCGGTATGCCCAGCAAGGTCGTTGTAGGTAGGTTCGTCGCTGGGTTCGCCCAGGTGTGGGACAGCACGGCATAGCAAGGTATGTTGTCGCCCAAATACTCGGCAAGCCGTAGGTTCGCATTGTCAATGCAATCGATAAGATGCATTATGGAGGGTTGATATCAACGCGATCGCAATACCGACCAAGCCACCAGTGTGGGATCGAGAGAGCAGGAGGATGAGGCAGATGCTCTTTCAACGTCGTAGCATGTCGAGCCAAATTGACGGTTCTGTGGCGCGAGTGTGCCAGTCGCTGCCAGGTGAGTACGGGTAAGTATGGAGCAGAATCTCTGGCACAGGCACTCGTGTCTACACGTCAAAAGTCAGCCGTAATCAGATATGTCCAGCATCTTGGGAAAGAAGCACTCCGAACGAATTTCGTGGTGAGATGTGCGTGGTGAGGCTGGACAGTGTACGAGGTAAGGGACAGCAAGGCGCAGGCTGCCGACGATAACCGCCCCATTTGGCCTTCAAAAAGTTCCCACACAGGGCTGGCGGGGCTAGTGAGGCTACTGGGTGCATGCCTGGGGACCGGGGTCCCTGGGTGCCCCTGAGCATTAGCTACTCGCGAGCCGGGTACCTCGTGCAGTAGGCGGCCTCGGGACACAAGCGTGGGTCACGTGTTAGAAAACAAGCTCAAAGTTTGCTCGCCCCTTATTACTATCGGACTCAACCTCAGTAAGACCATCTCCTCGCGACTGACCACACGGATATGAAAGCAGTGCGGTCCGGCAACAAATCAACCATACCGTTCCGGCACCAGGCTATATCCTCTGCACTCCGTATTAACGTGGCTCAGAGAACTCCCTACCAATCTCCTCTTCTAACCACAGCTCACTTCGAAATGAATCTGGGGCAGCTTCCCCTGCATCTTCAAATTGGTCATTTACGCGAGATTCTTTCGTCCAATCGTACTCTCACAAGTGTGCTCACCCGTGCTGCCAGCCTCGGTTTACCCAATTGGTACCTCGCTGGTGGCGCATTGTCGCAGACAATCTGGAACAGCGTCTCTAAACTCCCATGTGAAACTGGGATTCGCGACTATGATCTCGTCTACTACGACGCTTCAGACTTGTCGTACGAAGCAGAAGATCTCTTCATTCAGGCTGGGAAGCGGCACTTTGACGACATGTCTGTAGAGGTTGAAATCCGAAATCAGGCACGTGTCCATTTGTGGTATGAGAAGAAGTATGGGATTCCATGTCCACCACATGCGAGTGTCGAGGCTGGAATAGATACATGGATATCTACAAGCGCAATGCTGGGCGTGAGGATAGACGAAATGGGAGAGTGGATCGTCTATGCTCCGCGAGGATTGTCTGACTTTTTCAACCTGGTGGTGAGACCCAATCCAGTGCTGGGGAAAAGAGACGCATATGACAAGAAGGTCAAGCGGTGGAAGGCGATATGGCCAAACCTTATAGCCGAGCCGTGGCCGGCAGATATGCAACAAGCACCCTAAGCACACGGGACAAGTGAAGACGCCACATGGTAGTCGGGCCAGGCTGTCTTGATCCGATAAGCGGTGGCGAAGACCCGATGTTCTCGCCCAACTCAATTGCCACCACGTCTTGCTTCTACTGGATTGGAAGAGCTCGCACTGTTTCTGAAGGAGGATGGCTGGCAATTTGACTATGTCTTCCTGGAGGGCGAATTGGAAGGGGGCGAGATGGCGGAGATAGATTATGACGACGACAACGAAGATGACGAGACTGGCGAATATTCGAAGACTTGTCCTACTGAAATCTGAGGGAGGGAAATCACATTCTAGACGGGTTTGCGAGATGGCCTCTGTTGCGCATGTCGGTGTGCCACTATCTCAGGGCAAGCTCAGGGACAAGGGCAGTTTTATGCCCTACCGAGGGTAATTACCACTTTGGGATACAGCCTGCTGTCGCTAACTTCCCCAACCTTCTCACTAACCATCTACCGTCCAGAACCCCCACAGGGAATTCGGCCGTCGAGGCTCACCTGAAGCACGAGGCGGTGCCCGGGGAAGTAGGCCAACCCAAAGCCACGGTATATGATTCGATGGTATATGTGCCCATCAAGGCCCAGTCTCAGACCACTTCTGCGACCCCCGTCCAGACTCAGTCTACCGAACCGCTCCGGCAGGGCGTCTATGGCAACGGTAGCTTTCCGGCCTGTCGCAGTATCATCTCCACAATATCCTTTTTCTCCAGCTTTTACCCCGCGAAGCCTGTGTCGTCCAATCAACCTTAATTATAACCGAGGGAGTCCCCTTACCCTCGGGTTCGTTGTATGAGTATTCAAGTATATATCTATCAGTGCCGTTTTGGAGCAACTGCAGATCCCTGGTTTCTGCCCCTCAAGGACTCTTTCCATCTCGTGAAACAAGTCCGTCTTTTCGCTGAGGCAGACGGGGCGATTCAAGATGACACATTTCAACAAGTAAGTGATACCGTTGAACCGGCTGGTTCTAGACGCCGTTAGTCCCTGAGACCGACTGACCAGGTAACAGGGTTAACATCTGGTCGATTATCATCCTCTCTTTTGGGGCTTTCTTTTACGGCTATGACTCTGGCCTCACCACCTCCATCTTGGGATACCCCCAATTCATATCCTATTTCAATTTCAACTCCAATACCATCGGAGCTTTAGGATCATGTTATTATGCGGGCAGCTTCTTCGGTTCTGGGCTGAACTTCTGGCTTCCTGATCGATATGGCCGAAAGCCAACTATCTACATTGCCTGCGTTGTGTCAGTTCCTGGTTCCCCGTTCAGGCGGGCATGGGTCGCTAACATATATCAGCGCTTTGGTGGGTGCTGTCCTTCAGACTGCCGCTCAAAACATCGAGATGCTTTTCGTTGGGCGTGTCATTGGTGGCATCGCTTCTGGTATCGTCTTCGGTGTCTGCCCAATGTTCATGTCAGAAATTTCGCCACCAGAATTCCGTGGCAGAGTTGGTGGGCTGTACAATTTGAACATCAACCTTGGTTATACCTGTGGGTCTTTCACCAAATTCAATTGTCAATTCTTGATATACTAAATAAACTTCTGCATTAGTGACCGAATGGATGGGTCTCGGATTCAGTTACATCGGCTCTGATGTCGCCTGGCGATTATTCTTGGGTTTGCAACACGCTCCGCCTATTCTCATGGCCTTGTGTGTGCCTTACCTGCCAGAATCGCCTAGATTTCTCATCATGAGAGGTCGCTATGACGAAGCGTTGGAGGTGATTACAAAACTTCACGGCGGCGCTCCCGGCGCGGATGACGACTTTTACATTCGCGAATTCAACCAGATCAAGGCACAGCATGAACTTGAAGTCCGCGAACGAGTTGGCCTACGCACCATTCTTCGCCGGCCATCCTACCGCAAGCGAATGTTCATCGTTGTCTTCCAGTTCGCCTTTGCCATGTTTACTGGTATCATCCCACTCCAGAACTATCAGTTCATCTTGTACACCTACCTTGGAGTCACCAACAAGATAGCACTCGTCATGGTCGGAGTATGGGGCACTTGCGGAGTCATCTTCTGCTCCATCGGTGCTTTGCTATTTGATAAGCTTGGCCGCAGAAAGTCCTTGCTTATATCTCTTTGGGTGCAGTTCCTGGCATCCATCGCCATGGTCATCTGTAAGTCCTCGCTCATTGGCCCGGATGTGTATGTGAGAGGCATAACTAACGGAGTGTTAGTCTGGGCACGATTCCAGGATTCAGGCAACACCAATTTGCTCCTCGGTCGCTTTACTGTCGGTTTCATGTTCGTTTACCTGATCGGATATGCCTTCATCATGAACTCGTTCGGTACGTATATCCCGTTTTCCCCCGCTTTGTCAAGCGTGTCATTCGTTCAGTTTCACTAATAAAAATTCATTAATACAGGATATACGTACCCGTCGGAAATCATGCCAACGCCGATCCGAGCAGCCGGCAACGCCGTGGCCTTCTGCACATTCAACGCCATTACGATCATGTTGGTGCAAGTGACGCCAATCGCCATCGAGCACATCGCATGGAAGTTCTTCCTCATCTTCATCATCTGCGATGCCATCTTCATCGTCGTGGTCTATTGGGTCTACCCAGAGACCGTGGGCAAAACACTGGAAGAAATTGCCGCGTTATTCGGCGACGAGGTAGCGGTCGGTATCCGGGAAGCGCATGACTTCCCAGACACTGGTGCTCTCTCGTCAGACGAGAAGATTGCCAGCGAGGTTACCGAGACCGAACGTGTGGAGGACCTCGGTAAGGGGAACAAGGCTCTGTAGAGTCGACCTAATATAGCTATCCGTACATACTACATTCGTCGCCCCATGCTCTCATGCTGCCATCCTCGGTTTTCTCAGAAATATAAAGGCCGCTCCTCCTAAATCTGCATCGCAAAATCCAATATGCGTCGCTGCGCCGTCATCACTGAGGCCGACCACCTACCCTTCCTCCCTCTCTGCGGTGTCTGGCTGTGCTGACTCTAGAGATTCGAAGGCGCCCAAAAAGACTGCAGAAGAAGCTAGCTTCGGTCTTACGCAAGCGTCTGTCCTCGTGGCCATCTCTGCATGTAGCAGCTGCTATTTGATAGCGCTACGAGGACTAGTTTCCCGATTCCCACGTGTCCGAGTCCAGCTCAGAGATCCGCCATTTCCGGGATACGACTCGGATTCGCATCCTTACCCCGGATATCCTCATCTGGACTACCGCCCACTACGCTTAGTCTTCTGTTGTTCCACGTGGCTAAACGTCTTTTCTCCAAGCGGCATCTACAACACACAGGATGGACCGAGGCTAGTATCTGCCTAAAACAGATAGGCGAAGGGACTTGTTAAGATGCGAAATTCCCAAGCGATGTCCTTGACGATTTCGACTCCTCTGGGCGCTCACTCAGGCACCGAATGGCGGGTGATTGGCTTCCAAAGCCATGTCCTGAGACCAGAAATCACCTCTTGGACCGTCAAGACTCAGGAGCGCCTGCTCGTGGAAGACCCCCAAGGAGGTTAGCCTGCATAGCGCAGGCCACTGGAGAGGCAGGCGACAAACAGCAGCCTCCTGTCCCACCGAAAACATCTACATCTCAGCGCACGCAGGCTATCTTTCTCTCCGAAAGGTCTCCAGCGCATTAGTCACTGCATGGCCTTAACCACCCCCCCGCGCATCTCCGGCTACGGTGCCACTGTACCCTGGTCGTACTCAAGCACGGTGATGCGAGTCCAGCAAGATGACGGAAGTGGATATACTTGCGTCTAGTGGAAAAAGGAAAAGTGAGAGCATAATATCATTAGCCATGCTATGCTTTCACATCCTTCGTAGGCTGCACCGCGCATAAAAGTCACGTTCGAACACCTCATAAGGCGCTGGCATTTGGTGATAAGCCGAAGCCACTTCTGGATGGTATGACACCTGTTGGATCGACAAGTCGAGCAGCGCGACAACCCAGTGAGGCCATACATATCACCTCGGTGATTCTGCTGCTATCTGAGTGCGGAGCAGATGCGACGTGTACGTATTTGGACAAGGTCTCGTCATTCTGGGGACGCTTCCAATGTCCAGATCATCGTCGGCCGCGTGAATAGCGGCGTTCCGGAGCCGGTCATGGTTCATTCGAGGCCAGGCTCTTCAAGAGCCCATTGGTCCATCGGTGGTCGACTTATTCTCCTCAGAGGCTATTGTGGTTGGGGGTGACAAGAGATTAATGGAAGAATACTTCCTCACGAGATAAGTAGGAATCCCGTCAGCGTCGCCTCGAGGAAGATCGTTTATCCGGTCTCACCAACGCACTGGGCTATCTCTCTACGGTCGTCCCTATCTCTCTGGTGTTGCTGGCGCTGAGGCGCGCACGATGCACCAGCATGGACAATGGACGGCGAGCTAGCAAGACGGACTGCGCACTCGATGCCCTGTGTCCAGGGACCCAGATCGAATGTTCAAACGGGACTGGATATTGAGGAAGTCGAGAATTTCAACTCTGCGTGTAGTGGCGGTATTCACAACGACATAGCATTGGGATAGATATAATATAATACTGCGAACGAGCCTATAACTAGCTAGAAGCCTTCTAAGCTACTGCGTACATTCAACCTCCCTAACCCGCGACTACTTTCGGCTCCACGCCCGCAGCAGGAGCGCCACCACCGCCACCACCGCCACCGCCAGCGGCGGTGACATTCTCGTGCAAGACGTCCTCGTCACCGTCGTCGTTGACGGGGTCAATATCCTTCTGCACGACCTTTGGCTCAGAGAGGCCGTAGACGGTGATGAATGCCATGCCAAGAAAGGCGCTGATGCACGAGAACACGAGGGCGACGATGCCGCGGGCCGTGAAACCTCCGGGCAAGGGCGGCTCCTGGGTATTCTGGCCACTGAGGTCGAACAGGGATTGGGTATCTGCGGCGGCATTGCCCTCGAACGGCACACCCGCGGCGCGGCACACGTCGTAGTGCTGCTGGGGGATGTGGTGCGTCTTTTGGATCTCGAGCGGCGCCTCGATCAGCACCATGGCCAGGCCCTGCGACAGGTGCCAGTCGATGTGGCAGTGGAACATCCACACGCCCGGGTTGTCGGCCACGAAGCGGATCACGTAGTAGCCCTGGGGCGGGAGCACGAAAGTGTCGCGCCGGGCCGGGAAGGTTGGGAACGCAGAGTGGTTGGCCGGGTCGAAGGGGACCGGGTCGCCAGCCAGGTAGTCGTAGAAGTGCTCCCCATAAGGCGGGGCGCGGTCGATGACCTGGAAGTTGTGCCCGTGCAGGTGGAACGGGTGCGAGCCGCTGTCGGCGTTGTTGAGCACCAGCTGCACCACGTCGTTATGCTTCAGCACCATCGGGTGCGTGTATTCGCCGTAGATGGCCTCGTTGGTGGCCAACCCGCCCGAGGACATGACCGTGTAGAGCGTCGGCACTTTCGGCATGGTGAAGGTAATGTCGTTTAGAAATGCGTAGCCGAATCCGTTGCGAAGGTTGTCCATGATGACCGTCACGTTGATCTCAAAGTCGGGCTCCGGCAGAAGCTCCATGTGGTCGTGCGGGACGAGCGTGATGTCGTCAAAGGGCACCAGGTCCGCCGATGCTTCGACCTTCATGACAGCCTGTGGGTGGGCCGCCTCGGCATTGTATTGCAGCCAGTTGGTGTTGTTCAACTGGAGGTCAGGAGAAATCACGTCGAGAAGGTCTGAGTCGGCGACCGTCACAATGGGGTAGTTCCTGTCCGTCGAGTTCTTGGTCGTGAGGAGGATGCTGTATCGCTGAGCAACTGCGATATACAGGGTTTCGGCCTCGGTGGGCTCCGTGTACACGCCGTCTATCTCGACGATCTTGAACGTGTGATCTTCGATGTAGAAGAACTGCGACACAAAGGCTCCGATATTGATCAAGCGGATCAGATACGTCGTGTCGGGCTTGACGGGCAGGCTGGAGTTTTGGGTGTCATTGAACAGGAAGGACTTGGGGACTGGCTCAGCGCCGGTGGGATTGTACAGCGACAGAAAGCGAATGTCCTCGACAAATTCGTGATACCAATCGCTAGTGGTGATGGTGAATTCTTCGTCGTAGTCGTCGTTGAAATATGCGTCGTTGTCGTGGACGATCAAGGCCTGGCGGTAGCCGTCGGGATAGCAGAAGTCGGTGTGGCAGTGGTACCAATAGGTACCGTTCTGGTTCACGGTGAAATTGTAGGTGAAGCTGTATCCCGGAGGAATCGGACACTGGGTCACCATCGACGGGCCGTCCATGTTGCTGGTGTTTGTCTGGAACATGCCGTGAAAGTGGATGCTGGTGTTCTTGTCGCCCAGGCCGTTGAACATGTTGACCACGAGCCGGTCGCCCTTGTCGACCTCGATTACGGGCAGCGGCCATTGTCCATTGATGCCGATGACTTTCCTTTCTGCTAACCCGTCTGGATTGGCATTCACCCAGCTGACATTGAAGTCGTACGTGACGGTTTTTGCCGTGGTAAAACTGGAGAGCAGCAGAACCACCAGCGTGCAGAAAAGCGCCTGGACAAGCTTCGCCATGGCCACTGGGCTCGAAAGTCTTGACCCCGACAAGGCTTGCTTGCTTGCTTACTTACTTACTTACTTGGTGTAAAGCTTGGGCAGAAGCCTGCTAAGGACTTCCAAGGACTCCCAAGGACTTCAGACAATGAGGGCTGGAGTAATGGACATTGCCCGTCGTCGCAAAGGGAGCCGGTTCGTTTTAAGGGTGGGAGGCTGCTTTTCTACGGCCCCGACCGGGTTGGTCCTATGTAGGGCCCGAAGCAGATCCTGAGGCTGGCAGGCTTTCTGCGCAGCCCGATGCCGGCGAAAGCCTTCCATGACAGGAGGGCAGACGAGGGCCACTCTCCTACTCCTCCTTGAGCTTCGGTTTGCTTGTTTTGGGGCACTTCGCCTAGTGGCCGTGGGAGAAGATTTTTTTTTCTCACTGCTGCAGTCTGCGGTTCGCATGCCCGTAGTGGTAACACAACAAGGGGCCTTTCAAGCCCCTTTACCCAATCATATCAGATAGGGGAGGCACCTCGGAGGAGGGGAGGAGTGATTAGATCAGTTAGCGAGCGGCCTAGACGTGGCATCAAAGTTATCTGATGGTGGTTACAGGAAAGTGGCCGTAAGTGACCGCCAATGCCTTGCAGCGAAAGCAATCCACAGAATCCACCGCCTCCAACTATATCCACCACGACCATCCACCGCCCACCGTCCACCATCCACCATCATCCACCTCCATCCCTTATAGGGTACCCAGTATGTGCAGCCCGCCGATGCCCGTTTCCATGACAGCTGATTATCTTATCTTTTCTCTTTATCAGATGATCAATCACCCGCGTCTGTTCTGGCACGAAGGGGGGGATCAATGCGCCGCCCACTTCTTCTCCCCGAACTTCGGCCAATTTGAACGGCTGCTGTTTGTGGAGGTCGAAATGTCTGTGCTACATAACATCCTCCTTTAGGGTCGAGTCAGTTGCGTCGTGAGTTCCAAAGGACAGTCCCCATCCGTCCCTCCATCCATCCTCTTGGTACAATCTCCAAGCTTCTCTAAGCATTTCCCTCTCCACAGTATACATACTGCCTTTTGAGACCTCCATTCCTCTTGCGACGACTACTCTCTCCCCCTCTGTATTTCTACAGCTTCACCCTCTATTTTGATCTCCCTTCCCTCACAATGACCAACGTCTTCGGAGTCCAGGTCTTCTTCATCGTGTTTCGAGAGTGCCTCGAAGCTGTCATCATCATCTCGGTGCTGCTCTCGTTCTTGAAGCAATGCCTGGGTCAACCGTCTCAGGACCCGGCCATCTACAAACGACTCAATCGACAAGTCTGGGCGGGCTCGCTGCTGGGCATCCTCATAGCGCTGATCATTGGGGGTGCCTTTATCGGAGTCTTCTATGGCCTGGGCCATGATCTCTGGTCCGAATCTGAGGATCTGTGGGAGGGTATCTTCTACCTCATCGCCAGCATCATCATCACCATCATGGGCCTGGCCATTCTGCGTATCAACAAGACAAAGGAGAAATGGAGGGTCAAGATTGCACAAGCCCTTGTGGCAAAGACCAAACACCACGATGCGGCATCTCGGTTGGGCGAATGGGGCCGCCGATATGCCATGTTCATCCTCCCCTTCATCACCACTCTCCGCGAGGGCCTCGAGGCCGTAGTCTTCGTCGGCGGTGTCTCCCTCGGCTTGCCTGCGACCGCCTTTCCCATCCCAGTCATCACGGGCATTCTGGCCGGTCTTCTCGTCGGCTATCTCATCTACCGCGGCGGCAACTACATGACCATCCAGTACTTCCTGATCGCCTCCACCTGCGTGCTCTACCTGATCGCCGCCGGCATGTTCTCCAAGTCTGTCTGGAGTTTGCAATTCCACAAATTTCAGCAGCAAGTAGGTGGCGACGTTGCTGAAGCCGGCGATGGCCCGGGCTCGTACAACATTGACCAGACCGTCTGGCATGTCAACTGCTGCAACCCGGAACGTGACAATGGTTGGGATGTCTTCAACGCCATCCTCGGCTGGCAAAACACTGCCACGTACGGCTCTGTCATCTCATACAACGTCTACTGGATCTTCATCATGCTGGCCATCACGTGCATGCTGTATGAGGAGCGCAAAGGCTACCTGCCCCTTGAAAAGCCCTTTCTCAGATTCCTCTCCAAGGTTCCTGGGTTCAGGAGCTATGCTACGCGCCATCTCGCCCCCCCAAGGCAAGATGCGGGACATGCCATCGCCCAGGTACAGAGTCACACATTCACCCAGGGCATCCAGCGACCCTTGAGCGGAAAATAGAGCGAAAAAGACCATCCACTTACCCGATAGGGCTGTACGCAGTATACAACGTCAAACGACAGAGGAGATGTTGGATTGGAAAAGATTTATTCCATGGTTGTGCGAAAAATCCAGGACGGAAGGAGATGGTTAGGGGTGTGTAGCTTCGACAACTTAGGTCCAATCTTTAGCTTGACGTATTGTCAGATGAACGTAAAAACTCATTTGATTTCCAAATCCAGGATAGGTAGAACACTAGACACAAAGATCTCAAAGAGACATAGGAAATCACTGAGTCCATCGAGATGTGGGCTGCAAAACCTTGTGGAGACGCAACATCGTCCTCCATGGTCCACCCCCCGAAATAGGCTTGTGAAACCGGGTCTGGGAGGAAAACTTACCAAACCAGATACCTTTCCTGGTAGACAAAACTGTTAGATCCATTACCACTCGTCCTCGTTGAGTGGTAACGGCCACAAAGGACTTTCCGCCATCAGACCATCCGGTCTAGGGGGAAGCTTCCAGCCCGAAAATCAAACCTTTTCCGTTTGCTCTTCTCCTTTGGACCCGTCCTGGAGCGCTAAGCAGCCATAAGCTACCGAGCCTGCGAAGGAAAAGCAATGCCCCGGGTTGACGGACAGGAGTGGAGTTCGCCAGCAGTGTGTGCCATCGCCAGGGTTGTTCTGCAGGGCTCGGTTTCCAGGACACTGTTTTTCCTGCCACATGATCCCGCTAGCGTACGTGTGGGCATCTCACCTCCTCGCACCTGAAAGCCTCCCAGCTCCCACATTCGCTTTGCCTCGAACATTCCTCCTCGAACGGTCTAGACAGTCATTATCTTATCAGATCATCGCCCCTTTTCCGCTCAGCCTGCAGGGACAGACTAGGTATGTAGCCAAGGCATCATTGGCCACCCCCACCTGTTTTGCTGTGTTGATCAGTCGATCCTCAAGACATCTCCGGGCTGTGATTCTCGTCACTCTCTAGTCCGCTTCTAGAGAGAGGTTTGAAGCGATAGCCCACACCATGCTATTCTGACTGAGGAATGCACTTCACTGTTTCACATTGGAAAACTGAAAGTTGTAGAACAATATAGGGCGAAACAGTCTCTTCGATGGAGCTGCGCACAAAGAAGGCGATTGACCAAATTCTAGTCATCGCGGTAGCAGGAGGCGAAGCTTACCTGGAGGCTGTGGGTCTTCCCACATTCAACCCTCCTGCGTCCCGGCAACGGGCTTCAGTGTCTCGTAGCCGCTTTGTCCGCTAGGCAAAGTTTTTGACAACAAAGCGTGGTGCGGCTTGCTGGGGAAAGCATCAGAAGCCTAAGCTTAGACACAGGTTAGGCTTTTTCGGTTGTCGGTTGCCCTCCCACGTCTAACACCTGATCAGTCTCTTCATACGTCCCTCTACCAGCGCATGGCCCAGCTTGAGTGGCGAAAGTTACAACACTTTGCACATCGACTGAACGAAGCCGCCCTTTCGGCAGACCGAAGTCGGACCAAGATACGAGCGATCATGTCTGTCGGTCTCATGATCATTTGGTATGCTGAGAGCCCCACTATAGCTGCAGCATCGAATATCCCAGGAAAGAAGTGTCGTACAGTTCACCCTTGGTTCCCTTTGGCTGTGGAGAGTATATCCTCAACATACCGCCACGCCTAGAAAACTCCGCTCGACAAATACCTGCATGGCGTCCAAGAGTCGACCTCTAAGACAGGCATCGTACTTAGTTCTCCCACCCCGGTGAGTCTGCCTTCCCAATTGCTCATGTCCCGAGCTTGAGAGGGCATCGTGCAGCTCTCGAGCAGCTTTCGGTAGCTTGTATTGAACGCAAAATGGATCATTGACTTAGCCATGACCATTCCAGGTTTCCAATCATCGGTCCATATACGTTAGAGACGCCTGGGTGCGTCAGGAAAGGGCTTTTGCAGAGGGTGTATGGAAATGGTTGTGTTTCCGTTCGGCATTGTAGCTCGTTCTCCCCGGAAGACATTGGTAAGGCGGGCGGGAAAACATGATCGGCGCCTTCTCTTTCCGTCTTTGACTGCACTCAAACTTGTTGGGTCCATCACCGGCAATAGAGAAAGGAAGGGGCGCAACTGGGAGATTCCTGTCTGCGATTGTCCTACGAATTCCACTCCGCTTTTTATGCTGTCATACACCATACCGCCACAGTCTTGTAGTCGGCATCCTCTTTCCGGTAATGTCCGCCAATGATGTCTTCACTTCGGTTGAACAGACCAAGTCTGCTCTCGAGAGGTTGAGCAGCACTATTTCCCTTGAGGCAGTGTCCAGTCCGGCTAATACCTGAAGATACTAATAGTGTCTTTCTCCGCTGCTAATCTATATGGTCTGTACACCTCGTCATGTTGTGGAACTCGAGAGTGGCTATAAATACCTTCTAGCTGGACAATTTTCTGCTCAATAGCCTCCTATTGTATAATCACTGCTTGCTGAGACGAATTGTCCGTGAAGAACCCAATCAGGTCCTTCGAGGCGGCTGCGTCCATGGGCAATCCTGGGAGAATCGAAGCAGGTTTCATGATTTAGAGGTCGTAGCTTGCTCGGGAATACTCCTCATAGCTCGTGGGTTGTCGGAAGTAATTGCGAGTTGGACCAGTGCCTCATAGTTCTTCATGCCAATTGCGTTTCTACTAGTATTTGATGGCCATCCCGCAAACCTACTCTCATGGACAGTTCGTATTTGGTCTCGAGGCGAGGCACTCGGTCGAAGGGAGGGCTTTCATGTTCATAGCAGAATAATCTGATCAACACAATGCCAGAGGTGTCTCGACGCGTCTTCCCAAGCCTTTACCGACTGACAGCTAGCCCCTGAGGTACGAGAGTGGGCGGCGAGAAGAATTCATAGCACCTCCTGTCACCAGAAGACCTTGATGGAATGCGACGTGCGGGACAACGGTCTCTAAGTCAGATGTCGAATCATTCGAGAACTGAACGCGTCGCAACACGTCGATGACGTGGTCGATGCTTTCATGCATCACATGGATAGTTCCTTATTTGGTCGAGCCAAGAAAACGTGACCACACAGCCAGTCGGCATTCGCACCCCGGCAATGAACCAATTTCCCAAGCTTTACCGACACTTCCCCGTCTGCTCCTGTATTATTAGACTGATGCCCCCAAATCTAAATCGGGGTAAACATTGCTCTCCGAGCTCATTCAGTCAACATTAATGTTCGATGACACCTACCTCTAAGCCTTCTCACCTATGGCCGAATGGAGCGAGAGCCTTCGAGGAATTGATGGAGAAGGCCAAGGTTATAAACCCACAGCAGCTCGGGAAATATTTGGGGTGCACCAACAAACCAGATAACTTAAGCACACGAAGCTGGGTTGAAGTACGGCGGGCAGTGAGGACCTGATCGCGAAAGGTGTCATGGCATATATTGGAAGCACCCTGGATGCTAGGCGCATTGTGAGCGTCGTGCCATCTGATCTCTCTGCCCACATCTAAACTTCCTCAATCTCATTCTTGATGATGTCGTCGTCCGCAGTTAGCGGTCTCATCTCAAACACGGTCCGTCTCATATATCTCATCTGCTTCTCCATCCACCTCTCCAGATTCTCCACGTCGAAAACGTTCTCCTTACAATCACCTGGCCTGCCTTCGTCCGTCTTTTCAATCGCCGCGCGATATGCAGCATCAAGTTTCTCGGCTTCGAGCCGGAACCTTTCAGCGAGCAAATGCAGACGGTAGCTGGTCCACTGGTAATACATCTCCGAAAGTCGAGACTTATTTCGGACATTCATCAGTGAAGCGTCATCCAGGAGCATAGGGTCCCGCGGCCGCAATGAAGCAACAATAGTGATCCTCTCGGACATATTGTCGGCTGGAAGTGCTATGTGAGAAACATGTCTGCCCTGCAGAACGACCGCGCTGCCCTAATGGAGTGCACAGCTATGTCAGTGGCTGCTAATTTGTGCCTTAAATGGTTTGGCGAACTCACCATTTGTGGACCTCGGACTTTGGTCGTTTTGCCATCACCTCTCTGGATCTCAGTCTCTCCACCTTTCATGTATCTTGCATCCGACAACATGACAACGCAAACAAATGGATACGAGTCGCGATGCCATGGGACAACAAAACTTGGAGCCGCCACTGGAGGACCTTTGGGCTTGGCCTGGTCTTCCGACGACTTCTCTGGCTCAGGAGCCCCTGGTGGAATAATTGGGATATTTCTGACGCCTCCCAAACCATCGGGCCCCAATTGGAGATTGGTGTGGCAAATTTCAAAGTCCATGACAGGAACAAGGTCGACTCCTGCTAGGTCACTGACTATCTTGAGAACTTCGGGAGAAGTCCAGAACTGGTGGATGAAAGGGGCATATCTAGGGGCCATCCCGCGGAGTTGGACCGACTCCGCCCTCGTGCTATACATGCAGTTGTTGAGAACCTCGTCAGACAGCAACTCTCTGCGATGCTCGAGAAGAGCCTCCTCGGATAGCAAGGGGAATGGATCGGTCGAGGCAACCTGCGAAATCGGAGAAGGAGGCAGGCAAAGATCTTCCAAAGTATGGATCTTCTTTGGCGGCACATACGCAAGATGTTTCACCGGATCAAACTTTTTGATGGATGGATTTATGCTGCGCAACTTCGAAGACTGCGTTGCGACATCCGCTGGAGGGTATTCGATAATCCCTGGAGCCATAGTGTCTGGTGTGTGGTAAGTCTGCTTGCAGCGGGTCACTGTAACTTCGCAAGAGAGAATGGTGAAGATGATTCGCAAGATGAATCTGGAAACACAGATGAACTCGGTTGGAAGACAACAATGGTGTGCTATATGTATATCTCGGGGCAGGAATGTCTGAGATCCTCATTAGTTCACCACGATGGGAAATCAGCTCGTCCTTTGGAGAGCAGCGCCACTTTGGGAAGAGGAGCTATACCAATTTTGGGGTATATTAGCCGCCGAGGGCTGCCAGCGGTACTGGCACCCCTCCTTTGGTAAGTCAAACTTTCGAACAGGATGCTTCTGATTAATCTATCTACCTTGTTATCGGCATCGGTCTCCTGGTGTTCCAGTTGTTGGCCGCGGCCTAGCAACCTGCCAGCCTGGTTCAATACCCGGAAAGGGTTCATCTATCCTAGACAGACCGGAGATTGCGGCCTTCGGCATCATTTCAACAGTCCCTGTTAGAAAAGGAGAATCGCTGACTTATACGGCCACGCAAGATCAGGGTTCTTCGTCGTTGGAAGGTACGCTGTACAGAGTCCTACACAGTGGATCGCGGTCATCTCCATCGTGTCCATGACGGCTTTGTCCGAAAAGAGAATTTAGAGACCCCGATAAGAACTGATTTTGTCATGAACAATAGGTATTTCAACTATCTGAAGCGAAACCACGGTCATAATATGTACCAGGCCCCGGTCTCTTCGCATCATGACTCAACTGCGACGCGAAAGAGGTGGGTGTTTGACATGCAAACGACGGTAGGTGCCGCTCAAATACAATGAATCCCGTTGCTCATACAGGTGCGGCAACTGAATTTCTCCGTGGTCGGCTAGGAAGAAGAAATGCGACCTGGGAAGTCCTTCGTGCAAGAATTGCACACGTCTCAAGATCCTATGCAAAGGCTATCGGCCACGGCTACTTTGGGAAGATGATCCAGTACGGGAGGGTATAAGGCGCAGAGGGCCCGTCTCGTCCCTCCGGGCGGATATACACTGGACCGCTGGAGCGCAAGGCACAGATGCTCGGGTGATGAATACCAGGGCGCAAAAACCAGGTGTCGGTGGTTTTGTCTCAAACGGCGACATCACGGACTCCAAATCAACAACTTTTCCACGAGCCAAGCAACGTCAAGTACATGGATGGCTGGACCCTTTCACAATACCATATCTGCGTTTCGCTGCAAGTGCGAATTCTTCCCTCGAACGTATACTCTGGGATCATTATATCAATTGCTTTGCAAGAACATATCCGACGCACTCAGAGATGGATAATCCGTTCCTGTCGTGCCTCGCCCCCGTTGCCATCGAATATGAGCCTGTTCGCTGGACGCTGATGGCTATTGCAGGGCTGCATGCCAGATCAAGAAATCTGCCATCTTTGGACCGCGAGATCTTCCGCTTGCGACTTCGGGCGTTGAGACGCTGCCATCAGCTCTCCGGCAGGACAAGGACATGTGATAGCTCAGCATCGAGCTCGGAGTCCAACCCTCTCTCAAATGCTAGCTTTTGGTTCCGGCTCACGAACGTCGAATCCGATAATTTATGTCTTGTTACCACTGCAGCCCTAATGGCCGTCTTTGGAAAACTCTCCGGCGAAGTCTACGACAACATCCGACCGTATCTGGACTTTGCTCAGGACTTTTTGCGATATAAAGGCATCACCCCAGTTACTGCTGAGCTCAGGAAAACACCACTTTACCTGTTTCTTTACAACCTTGTTTCTTACAACCAACTTCTGGCGCTGGTTGCCGACGCAAGATTGTCCCCAAAGTCCTGTGGGAGCTCCGAGGAAACCCTATTCGCGAATAAGTCAGAACAGACGAGGCCAGACTTTGCAGCTTTACTGAGTCGCATTAGTGAGAACGCTCAAGACGTTTCCTCTTTCGACATTGATAGTTGGGATGGAAACCTGGACTTCCTACCAAGTTTTACCACGAAAAAGAAGGTGGCAGAACTCCCGGGAAGCGCTGACACTCGCTTCCTACGAGAGTCTCTATCACCCGCGGCTGGCCGGCAAAACCGTGCCAATGGGGATGAAGAATTCATTATCGGAGAGATCTACCGGACTTCGAGCCGAGTCCACTTCTTCCAGCAGCTCAGAGACCGCGATGAGCTATCGTATACTACGACGACGCTGGCGTTTCCGCCCTTTATGGCCCAGAGACAGATCAAAAGATTCTCAAAACTAGCCATGAGACTTTTCCGTCTCCTTTCCGACAACTCGCAATTCAACACTGCCATACTGCTTCCTCTTGGAATCATTGCTCCCGAACTTACTTCTAAGCGAGATCAGACTTTTGTCATAGAAAAGTTGAAAATGCTGGAAAGGACCCAATGCTTTGATGTCTTTCGGGTATTCAGCCAGGACCTTCAAAGCGGATGGGCTCGCGCCCGTGCTTCTCAGTCGGCTTATCAGTCAGCCAGCTTTCCTGAGACACCCGTGAGATTAATTGGTTGAAGTCGAAGTCGAATCCACGAACTACAAAGCAGAAGTTCTAGGGAAAGTTGGGGACTTGAGGAAATCTGCCTACAACAACCTCAGATACCCATTTCCTCACGAAAGCAAAGCTTGTTTGCCATATACAGTTTGCGCTTGGAGGTTGAGTAAAGACCGCTTGAACTTGGGCTTTAACTGAGCCATTAGCTAAGATCTCCTGAGAACTCCCTGAACAGCGGACCAAGCTACAAGGAGGACCCAAGCTGGCCCCCACGTGGTTGCCAAAGCCTGCCTTTCAGAAGCGCACTTGTCTCAGACCTTCACCGAGAAGCAGGCAAGTTCCCTGGCCTTTCGCTACTGTCTAAACTATTTAAATACTCAAATGTCTAGTTCATACGCTAACACTATTTACCTGCAAATATGGAGAAGACTACGATCTAGAAACTAAATTATAACCTCTCCAACTTTAACTCACCGTCTGCCTTGCGATGGTAGTCTGTCAGTGCTGTTGTTCTTTCGAGGTTAGGACAGTACCATTCTTCCACCTCTTCAATCAGTCCGGTCGATAGATTTACGACAATATTCACACAGCCGCGAAACCAGAATGGTTTGCCAGTCGCTTTGCTGCGCGGGAGGTCGTTGATGAATGTGCCTCTGTTCGCTGTGCGAATCGAGTATCTACATCTTCCACCCGGCAGCTCTTCATACGGCCATGAACTTTCAATCTGAATGACAAAATCAGGGTGCGCGGTCCGCCAGATAGTCCAGTGCTCTTTAAGAGTTGATGGACCAATGCGGATGATTTGATATGCGTGATCCGTGTACTTTGCTGAGAGGCTGTATAGAGCGATCCATGCAGCAGGGTCGTTCCTGTTCCATGCATCAATCCACCGATCAATGATGGACAGTCCACGGGACGGGGTCACTGAAACCATTCTCAGTCGCTGACATGGCAAGTTTGCATCCGGCGGGATAAACTTACAATCAGACATTTTCGCAATGCTATCGATGGCGACAGCGTCTAATATGTCGCGGATAGTGGCAGAGGCGGTTTTCAAAAGCTCGCGACAGTAGATAGATAGGATGTGCAAGAACAACAGGCTCATCCGCCAAAAATTTCGGAAAATAATGGAGAGCAAGGAAGTCAATATCCTTCTCGATCCCTAAGACTGCATCTATCCCTCAGACCAACAGGCTGCTCTCAAAATGATACCAAGAGTCCTCGTGGTGTTCAGTAAACATGTCGGCATTGGCGATCGTCCGCTTGCTGGAGCGGGCCATATAGTACTGTGAGCGTGGCTGAGCAACTCCCCATGCCTCCCTGAGCCGAGGGCAGGGAGCGTATTCGCCTAATCTAGCTCCTTCCACTTGACTACCTAGATTACTTGAGAAGGGGAAAGAACTCGGTTGCTATATACGTGTTACAGTTTGATCTTAGAGGAGATGCATGGAAAAGCAGCATTAAACCCGAGCTTTCACCAAGCCATTAGCTGTGTCACACGATTGAGTGATAGTCAAATCTGCAATCCCAAGCCTTATCGTTCGATACTTGCAACATTACAAAGGAGCATTCACTAGCACACGGTCTTCTGTCCAGAGCTAGCCCCGAAGGATTTTTGAACTACAAAATACCGTACTCTCGCCATTCTACTTGCTTGCCAGTGTCCTGGACTAGCTCACTGTTCATAATACCTTGAATGTCTGTCGGAACTCTAGCGTGCTTTACGAACGTGGCTTACGCCGATATGCTCGATTCACTCGAAGTCGGCTGCGCGTACAAGTTTTATATCGCTTCGCCACATAACTAGAAGACTGTCCATTCTTAATTTTCTCAAAAGAACATGCCGACCACAGCCTGGCACAGGGCAAGGCTTTCGACGGTAGCAGCGAACTTTACCGACCCTGCGAGGGGGTGCCACATGTTCGGATGACCTCCGCGAACGCAGCGATGTCTACTGGGTACGGTGGTTCAAGTGGAGTGAGATGCTATTACCTGTACGGCCGTGAAGTAGGCAAGAGTAGGCTAGATTACCTGGGCCACTGGGCTCGCTGGGTAAGGAATTAGTAGGAGTGCCAAGAATCATGCGGGGGCTTGGCGGGGGATACTGACTGGCCTCATGGAGTATGTGGGGCCACATACTGGGTACTTGCTTTAGATGCCCTCCATCTGAACTTTCTAATTACGAGTTGGTTCTGACAAGCAGACAACAACCAACGCACACAAGCATCACTGAAACCTTGCTCTTGAGAATGCGGGAAGTCGATTTCTGTGTACGATCATCCATATGCAGGCCTAAACTATTTGAAGGGTTTTGTTTATCCTCCAGGAAACTCGGGTGAAGATGGGAATTGCGGTGTCAAGTCTCACATGTTCGTAGATTTGACTGACTGGGACTCGGTAGACTCCTATCAGACTGCCATGACACAACCAAAAGTCACAGAATCAGTCTTCTGTTAGGGCAGCTTAACTGGAGGGTATGCCATTTTTGCTGCTAATTGGCAATGGGTTCAACAATCTCTTTTATGCTACGCCGAATCTCCTGGCGGACCGTCGCGCAGCCCGTTCTCAAATGTGGCATTTTGACGTCGCCGTTGGGCCAGACGGCACTTATATCTAGGTCTATCAGCTCGCACCAGACCTGAATGCCACAGTGGGAATCAATGCAACAAACACCTGGTAAGATCTGCTCTGCTCAACAGCTTCAATGGTGAGGCTTGACGGTTGGATCCTACGGCTTCTTCTCTCGCGACCCCTACTGCTACATTGACGCTTGGCTATACCTACAAGAATTGTGCGGGTTACATTTACTATTACTCCTCATCGCTCTTTCGGACCTTACAAGGATGGCGACTTTCTTACTACAGATGGTTACGGGCGTCTGAACAAAGTGGCTAACGTACATGGGCAGAAAATTGGTCACATAATACGCGCCGAAAGCCTCGGATATCTGACCGATTCTACTGATTTCGTCGTCGAAGAGGTGATTCAACATGGGGATAACCACCAGGCAGCTTTGAGTACATCTTTCTTTCCTCTTGAACTCAACGACGATCGTATTGGCAGTGTTTCGACTTGCCCAGCGACGATCAAGGTCTCATGGGTGACGAAACCTCACACTGTCACCCGCTGCACCTGCTCAACTTTACAAACATGCAAGCTTGCCAAGAAAGCTTCAACAATTGAATTCACCTTTTGGCAACGTACAGACAATCTGTACCCTACCTTGAACGCAGGAACCATACTTGATTGCAAAGTGGCCGTAAATGTCGATTTTGGCGACGATGGCAGCTATGACTTCCAGTGGTACGCAAGCAACGCCTCCTGGGCTTCAGCCAAAGTATCTACAGACGTGACAATAGAAGGGTTGCAAACATCACACTGGCAACGAATGCCAGCAATGGGAGCTATGGCACCATTACACCGCCTGGGGGAGACGCTGAGCGTGGCTATGGCGCCTTCGTGGACGACAAGCTCAAGATTTACATAGGGACCCAGAATGCGCTGTTCAACCTCAGATTGTGCCACGACTGGGACTTCTAGCGGTCAGCATTCTCCGATTTCAGGCACAGCCATCAAAGTGAGGGCAACACGAATGCATCCACATAAGCGATCCAATCACAGGCGGAAGCGTCACAAGTAGTCAATGCCAGTTGGCGGCCCCTTACTGGTTGTTGAATGCCACATGAACCTAACACCCAGGGTTCATGTTACTCATGTTCTAGTATATGAGAGCTTCTTCGACAAGAAAACGCAACGGAAAGATTACCGTCTTGCATTATGTCTGGCGCAAGGGCAATCCAGACGGCTAGACCAGGAAATTCAATATGGCAGGATGTACCAGAAGATGCTTTTCGCCGAAGGATCGTTGCACTTTCTGCAGCGACGAAAGGTGTGCCGGGTGATTCGAAATACTCGGGATCACGGTCAGCCAGTACTCAAGACTTGCCTGCTTCGACTGGGTCTCAGATCTTGTCCTACAAGACCGAGCAGCGTCTCGCAGATGATTTTGCATTCATTTTGGCAGCCCAGGATGATGCTGAGAGTGTGACTGCAGTCTGTATCGAGGAGCTTCACGAGCAGCCGGGTCTTATCATACGAGTCGCTGGGGATGGAGAAGTGCCAGAAGAGATCAAGAGTACGCTCGAACAAATTTGCGAATGCCTAATGTCTTGCGCCAACAGCAGTCAGTATAGACTCCCTCATTAGTTCTCCCATCCTAACAACCTCATAGATATCCACCTCGAGGAGTGTATTTCAACACTGTCGAAACTGATATTGAGTCTTTCACAGGAGCGCATTCTATCCCGCATGCGATTATTTCTCGGGGAACGGCCTGCTTCTTCTGTTCCACGTAGGAGGGATTCAGCAAGCTCGTCCAGCTCTGAAAGGGCTTTAGCCCGAATGCAAGCTGCCGCTTCTACTCCCGCTGCCATCGATCTCGTCAGAAGACTATCCGACCTGAGGAGAATGTTTGAAAATGCCCTCCGCTCAGACAATTCACAACTGGAGTGGGAGCTGCAGAATGTTGTCATGGAGAGTTATGCCATCACCACCGCCGAGGGACAAATGCCATTCCGGATGAATCTGGAGAATGCGGAGCTGAGTCCTCAAGAATGGTTCAACAACAAGTATATTACGCAGATCGACAAACTTGGCGCATATCACCGAATCCCACAAACCATGGCCAGGGAAGCTCGCAGAAGGAAGACGCGGCATCTATTCTCAAACATCAAAACACGGTACATCGGCCCCTACGAACCTAAAATGAGCTCGATATCCCTTACAGGGAAAGAAGTCCTTTGCCATGTTCACGCGGAAATACAGTTGATTGTACATTACCTACTCTCACCAACCCCGATACTGCCCCGATTCATTGGTACCAGCAAGGAAACATGCTTCTTGTGCCACCTATTTATTAAAAGGCTTGGTACTTTCGTTGCCACAGCTACACATGGACGACTGTACGATCAGTGGACTATTCCAGATCTAGCAGAGTACTCCCCTGGACAAGTAACGGCTCTAAGGACGGTGATACGGAGAATGAATCGCGATTGCTCACTCTTGGGAAGGAAAAAGCACCCGCGGCGTGGTCATCATCCTCTCACGAGCAGGCAGAATTTGTACGAAATGCCTACGTTCTCGCCGTTGTCTACACTATTGAGCGCGAGATTCGACACGCAGTCAAGTTTGCTGCCGCCCGCAGATGCCAATAGTGAAGGTTCTAGGAGCTCTTCAGTTCATCATTCAAGAGCTTCGGTGGTGTCGGGAAGTCCAGCTCATAGCAATGACAGATCCCCACCACAGACGGACGGGGAGACGACTACGACCACAGATTCTTGGTGGAACGAAAGTCTCAAGACAGGAACTCGAACCAACGCGGGAAGTGGAACAACAAGCAGGTTTGCGCCTCAAGAAGACCCAGTCCTGAGCGATACCCACTCTGAAGGCACTGTTACTAGCTCGACCCTCACATCGAATAGCCGCGGTCCGATATATGTCAGCCCATACAGGCCCTACCTCATCAACCTTCCGGACTTGGAGGTCGTGGTGGAGATCCAGCCACCTCGTAATGGGACGGTAACCTTGAGCACAGGCGGCGAAATCGATAAGAGCACGGCAAGCCACCTGGTCAAACTCGAAGACCTCCAGGCAGGTGACGAGGTGAACTTTCGGCGTTCCGAGAATGAAACGACAGTGGTGTTGTGTCTGCAACAAGGCGGTGGCGACCTCTGCTGTATCGCTCTGGAATGGACATGAATGGTGCCGTATTATGTGGGAGAGGCGAGAATGGTTTTATGATCGAAAGGAACCCAAGAATCAGAGATTTGCCGCGCTTGAATGACTTCTTACTCGTACATGAATTTATCAGCATCAAACTGGCTGTTCTCTCCAGATTGTAATGAAAGAAGCACACAACCAGGGCCGCAACCAGAAGCAGAACTAAAATTCAGATTTCTGAACCACCTCTTTTTGACTTTTGTACATGTTACATTGTACAGATGATATGAGATCTACAGTGACTTCGAACATCTCTGGATTCGACCGCGGACGCCTGAGAAAGCGGAGATGGCCAGGTTAGCTTCTTGCGGGCGAGTGCGGCATCAGGGCGACACTGGGGCGGCACTACACGTCATTCTCTTTTGGTTTCTCTTTACTCTCCTTCTTGGAGAGCCTTTGGAACCCCATGCCAATGCTGGTGAGAAATGCTGCCGTGGACGCACCGACCGCCAGATACTAGACCAAGTTTTCAGTTCAGAATGCAACTAACAGAGTTATCAGGAACCACTCACGAAGGTCGATACGACGGCGTGGTTGTATGCGCGAAGGACGCCGTCAAGCTCATCACCGGGCACGCTCGATCGCACGGCACAAGCCCCAACCTCGATAATGCTCTCAGGGTTGACGCCTGGGGCGTAGGTCTTCAGCGACGACCGCAGAGTATTGGTGAAGATTGTTTCAGAGATGGCAAGGAAGACGGATCCTCCAAGATACTGCCAGAAGAAGACCTGCGAGGTGGCTATGGAGACTTCCTTTGCCGGCAAAAAGTTCTGGATCGCAGTGATTGGCTAAGAAAATGGGGCGTTTTGGTCAGTCAACAATGTACGCCGAATGCTGGCAGTTAAGGTCTCACCATTTGCACCACGGAGCCTCTCCCGGTCCCGGTAAGGATTTGATAACCGATCCAGGGTCCAGCACCCGTAGAAGGGGCAAATGTGGTCATCAGCCCAGATCCAATGGAAGTCAGGACACATCCAAAGAGTGCCCACGGCGTGCAATAACCAATCACCTGGACTTTTGTCACTGTTAGCAACGCTTTACATGACGTGAAATATCGTCACTCACCTAATTTCCCCGCCATTATACTCCCAATAGCCTGCGCAATGGCGGTAGGAAGTACCATAACTCCGCTCATTACGGGACTTTCGTCCTTGACGACCTGGAACCATATGGGAAGATCGTAACTCAGCGACAACAGCGCTCCAACCTGGAGAAACGACGTGAAACAGCCAAAGACCACGAGCCGGTTTCTAGCAAGTGCCGGAGGTATCATAGCCTTCTCTCCCTTGAACACTTCCCAGGCAGCGAACATGATGAACGCACCGAGAGCGCCGCAGAACAGACCGATGATGACGGAAGGGTTCCATCGATATTGGTTGCCGCCCCAGATCATGGCGAGTAGGAACATGACGCAGGCCGGGGCGAAAATGGTGAAACCCACAAGATCGAGTTCTTTAGTGATGATGGCTTTGAGGTTGGATCTCACCGGTTGCTTCTTGACCTGTTCTGGAATTGGCAGTAAGAGGAAAGCGCATATCACGAGTCCGCTTAGGGGCAGATTTATGTAAAAACCTGTTGGCGTTAGTGTGTACAAAGTACAAAGAGCCGCGAGAAATCACTAACACCGTCTCCATGATACATCTTGTGTCAGAGCGCCACCGACTAGAGGCCCGACAATAGTCCCGATCCTATAGACATCTTCGTGTCAGGAGTGTGCCTGCAAGAACTGAAGAGGGTGACTTACGACGTAAGACTGACAGCAATGCCTATGAACACTGAGACTATTCTTAGCAAGCGGAACTTGTAGGGGAGGCATCGATGATGTCTTTACATGGTCGATCTTCCTTAGAAGCCGCTGCGGCAATTATGGCAAAGGCACCGTTGATAACGCCAGCTCCTCCGCAGCCTTGAACTGCTCTTCCGATAATTAGGGCCTTGGACGAGCCAGCTGTGGCGCAGACAAGAGCCCCGACCGAGACGATGGAGGTAAACATGACATATGTATGCTCAAACCTTATGAGTAGCAGGAACTTTGTCGAAAGGTGTTTATCTCACCTTTGTAGGGAAATGGGTATAAACTCTACCGACAAGGGGTTGCAGAGCGCAGCTGAAGATGGAGTAAGAGGCTTTGTCCAGCAAAAGAACAGACTCCGACTCACGTTGCAACAAGATAGGCACTCCCGTACCAACCAATGTCTTCGAGAGAGTTGAAATGTGTTGTGATCTTCGGGATCGCCTGCACCAGACACATCAGCCTCCACTCAGCTTCGCTCAACTGGCATGTATAGGGCTCACTGTTGCAATTATTGATCCATTCAGTGCCATCAGGAATGTAGAGACGAAGACAGCAGCGAAGAGAATATAGACTTGGCGACGGAGAAGTCTTTTAGCTCCATCTGTCTCCTTCTCTCGCTGCGCAATGGATGGATCTTTCGTCTTCGAGTCTTCTATTTTCGCTGTCCTCTGAGGATTGCTGCTCTCGAAATCAATGCCCTTGGATGACGTTTCTGATGGCGCAAGAGATGCCATGCTGGATTCAATATCAGACATGAGTTCATTGAGACAGACTGAGTCAACACTGTACCTTTAAACCATTGCACGTCCACTGTGAGAGTGCTCCGTGTCCGATCCAAACCATCGCCTAACTCCACTAAAGAGTATCTGATTGGTCAAATGGGCACGGCGAGGCTGAAGAAAATTTACTGTCTGACGATTCGTTTCCCCCCTTAGTGGCAGTTTGGACCGGTCAGGCTGCTGGCTTTTATGCTCACGCTCGGCGTCGGAAATTCCGTTCGTGCGTCTATGCTCCCAGTTTCACCCTTTGCCAACCTCTGCCTAGTTTCTTTCAACCTGTAGCGCTCGGGGGTGTCTTCTTTCTCTTCTCCCGTCGGCCTTGTACATTCTTGCTGTGGCAGATAACCGGAAAACATTGCAACAATATGCCTCAAGCATCGAGTCAGCTGGATGGCCCCGGCGGCGTCCGCGCTCCGAGAGCGTGTGTACCATGTGCCGTCGCCAAGGTACGATGCGAGACTAAAAAGGAACAAACTATTTGCAAGCGGTATGGGCAGCTTTACGCCACAATTGAAAACAGTTAGCTAATGAATCCATGGCCCAGTTGCCTGAGGCTGAAGAAAACATGCCGCGCACAGCCGCCTGGTGCGCACAGGCGCAAGCCCAAGCAGAAATCGTGTGTGAAGATTCTCACATTCTCCCCTGTGGACTTCTGTTGACGATTTTACGCCATTTAGCGATGTAACGCGCCTAGAACAAAAGCTCGACGGAGTGACTGCGATATTGACTGCCTCCGAGCTTGGAGCCTCGAAAGTGGGCAACCGCCCGGTGCAAATCTCCGCTCAACCCTTTCTATCCTCAATTACATATATTGATCAGTTTCTCAAAAGCAACAATGAGGCGCAGTTAATGCTAAATGTGTTCCGAAATGAACTAGTGCAGCATTTTCCCTTCGTTATCATTCCACCACTTATGACTCTGGAGAACCTCCGCGGGAAGAAGCCCTTTCTCTTTGTGGTTGTTATGATGGTAGCATGTCGGCACGACGTCCCACGACAGACAATGATGGGAAGGACAGTTAAAGAAATCATCGGCCAGAAGATGCTGACTCACGGCGAGCAGAGCCTGGACCTATTACAAGGTCTTCTCGTCTATTTGGCGTGGTATGTTTGCCTTTCTCATGAAGGAAGGAAGGTTCAACTCAAGTCACAGGTATCATATAAATCTTCATCTCGGCACACAACTTAACAACCTTGTTCACTTAATCATGGCATTGATGTTCAACCTCGGCCTAAACAAACACTATACTCCTCGAAAATATGCAAAGCCTCAGGGGGAATATTTCCTCCCGGACCGGCAGGAGGGTTCGACGCGAACGTTGGAAGAGCGAAGAACATATCTTGGCTGTTTCTACCTAACTTCGGTGTATGTCTCTCTGCAGAGGAGTCTGTGGAGGAGCCTTGGGAGCTAACAAAGCCATGATAGGGTAATGATGACAGCTCGAGATTTCGAACCCATCCGATACACCAAGTACACTGATGAGTGCTGTTCAATGATCTCCGAAGCTGTTGAATACCCAACCGACATCTATCTTGTCCAACTGACCAAGCTAAACTATCTTGGTGATAAAATAAGCCGTACAATTATTCAAAGAGAATGGGACCCGTCTTCGGGCATATCCGCGCCCATAGGAGCCTATGTAAAATCACTCGAGGCCGAATTGCGCAAATTCAAAGCGTCAATGTCTCTGAATATCCCTGAAAGTGGTAGGTGCCCCATGGAAAGTGCCATGACATGCTAATTAGAAGCAGTGACTCTTCTCATGCACTACTACGCAGTCGAGGCATTCTTGTACGAGATCGCTTTGGATGCCAGTATTCCTCCCTCGAGATACGGGTCTTTCTCCGTTACGCGCCTTGACATGCTGTTTGCCTGTCTCACTTCTGCGAAACACTTCTTCGAAATAGTCCACTCTTTGCCTGCTTCGATACATTTCGACATACCGTACTCTACATTTACCATAGTCGGCCATCTCTATGTCGTCCTATCGAAGCTTTCTCTCTGCCTCCATGATGGCTGGGACCAGAACTACGTCGGGACATATTTGAGCTTCAGTGACGTTCTGGACCACTTGTCGAAGACGGTTGAAGTAGCTAGAGAGCTCATTCTGAGAGACAATCAACAGGCTGACTCCACACCTTTAAACACCTTGCCACGCAGTGTGCCATTGGTCTGGATGACGGTGACCGCAAAAATACAAGACCTTAAGGCCGTGCACGAAGCAAGGAAAGCAGAACAAACCCGAAGGTTTCAACAAGAGAATCCGACTTCTAGCCTCAGAGTTGAACTGCCTGGACTTCCAAACGAATGTGCAATGCCAGATACGCTCAGCTTTTTCGAGTTCCTCGACGAACCTATGTGGCAGAACTGGGCATGATACCACTTCTGACATCGAAAATCTGGTGGGCTGAGCACATTTTTCTATCCGAATATGCGACCAAATCACATTCTACCTTATTGAACTCAAGAAATGTGTACTGATTCAAAAAATATATTTGTTGCTGAAATCAATGACGAGTTGCTGAGGCACGCAAATGACTATTGATATAAGACCGAAGGCACTATTACCGACGTGAAAGGCACTTCAAAGTGTATATACGTCGACGACCAGCCTATTCAGGACACGAGTGGTCTAGAATTCAGCAGCTGTGTCGTCTCCACTACTACTAAGCAATCGAACAGTCGCGGCTGCCTTGTGCAAACCGGTACGACGAGCATAACAATAATATGTTCCCGTCGATCCATAATCAGCTGAATTGGAGCAAACGGCAGACACCACAAGGCAGCACCTCTATTACGCACTTCTCCAATGAAGGTCAAAACAGACCGACCAATCGATTGATCCAGAGCTACAATGTGGGAGCACACTAGAGAATCTGGCTACATCTTAAGCTGGAATATACCCGTCCCTGCTCGGAAGAAAGCCCATGACACCTTCTCCAAACCCTTCCCAGCCATTAAACTCGCTCACGTATTTAATGGCAGCTTTGAGATAGAAGCCATCTTTCTCGCCATAAGTCTCCGCAAGTGCCTTCAGGGCTCGCACAACCTTGAAGAAGTGGTCATCCAACGCCCACCTGTGCTTGAGTGCGCTCTCCGTGATCCATCTCCAGTCACGGCCGTTTGTGTCGACCGACTCGATGCGCTCAATTTCAAAGGAGAGTCTCTTTTGGAGGATGTAGACCAAGATGGTGAAGAAGGCGTACTGCCGCAGGATTGAAACCCTCCTGTCGGCGGGGAAATAGTGGAACAGAATCCGCAAGGCGTGCGCGACGGTCATGATGTGGGCGTAGAAGAAGTCGAATTTCCCGTCGCCGTAGCCGGCGCTGATCGCCAACAAAACCGACAGGTCGCAACAGTGTTCGAGTTGTTGGACCGGGTCCGTGACTTCCCAGGCATTCCAGTGCTCCATAAAGGCCTCAAAGCGACTCTGCAGCACGATGCCAAAGTTCACGGTGCCGGGGAAGTTGACGATTCCGTCGAACCGGTGATCATTCTCCACGCGCTTGATGACCTCGGCGAGGCTGCGGGTCTTGTATGGCGAAGGAATCGGAGGTGGATTGTCGATCAGTCCGTGGCACACGACGTACTCGGTGCACCCGAGACTTAGAGCCTGCGTGACGACTTGGGGGATCCGGAACTCATATCCATACGCGAGATGAATGAAAGGATGCGCAACTTTTTGTCACTTATTGGTGCTGAAGTCCAACCCAAACTGACCCCGGGGGGAAGGGGGAGAAACTTACGACCGCCACAGAAGCCATTGATGAGAGGCTCTGCTCCCGAATACAAGTACTCTTGAACGACCTTCTCCCAGTCGCCGCCGTTCTTTCGAACCTCGTCATCAAAAAAGTCAACGTAGGCCACGGTGTACCTGCGAACAATTCAGCGACTAGGACCACGGGACCGGAAAGAGATTTGCACTAACTCCTTGTTTCCGAGGAACTGCCTCCAGTTCTCCTTGGTGATTTTATCACCACGAACGAAGGTCTCGTCGATCCTGACCAACGTCTGAATGTCGTGCTCGTAAGTTTTGGTCAGCTGCTCACTATCGGCGCCCAGTCCGTAGGCAGAGCCTAGAAGCTGTATGACGTCAGATCAGGGAGTACGGCGATTGGAATTCCGGCAGCCGGTTTGCAAATTCCCTACATGTGGCAGATGGCTGTGGAGGATGAGCTGTGGATTGCGCAGCGGCGCCACGGTAACATGGCCCTTTTCGAGCAGTTTCCGCAGCGTTTTTGTGCGCTCGTCAGAGAGTTTGTAGACGTCGTAAATTGGAGCCGGCTCTAATTCAGCCTTTTTTGTGGGCAGGGGAAGGCGCACGGCCTCGCTGTCGGAGATGGTGGTTGTCATTGTGTTCGACATGGTTGCAATTATGCTGAGTTCGGTTTCTCTGGAGGGAGGAGCTGTTCAATGCCGACATGTAAACTTTATATGACGCAAAAATCCGGGGGTCCCACGCTAGCTAGCGAGGTCTTGGTAGAGCTCTCCCGCTCCGGAAGGCTGGCCTTACACTCCCTTGCTTCGCACCACCGCGTCTTTGAGAACGGGATGGTGGGGAAGAGAGCTTTACAAACAGTAACAATACCGGACGGATTTATGACCGGAACCATCTGGGCCAATCGGAAGCATGGCCGGGTGACTAGCATATTACCGTCCAGTGCTCGACTGACCACAGCTCGGACTCGGCGCCTTTACAATGCGGGCCTGACCGGTGCAGGATGAAAGAAAGACCGGCAGAAAAGAAAATCGAGAGCAGTCTGTGTAAGCAAGCATCCTTCCCGCAGCTCCAAGGCCGATGCGTTCGTTCGGCTTATGGTAGTGGGCGCATCTACAGAAGAGGCTTGAAGGCTGCTCGGCTTTATTCTAGCTGGCCCCTAGATCGTGAGCCTCGGCCTACCCAGGTACGTGGTACATAGTCGGAGCCTTCTGTCCTACCTAGGAACCCTTTTCAATACTCTCGACATCGTCGAATTCTACCCTCCGACTCGTTCGGTTGGCAAGCCTTCCACTTCACGATCTATTCGTGGATGAAGAGCAAATTGAAGTCGCCATCAGCCACTCAAAATGACCCTCTCCCAGATTTCGTTATAGATATTGTAACAAGTCAAAGAGCTGAGCTGTGCTGGGCTGGTAGAGTGGTAGTAAGGGGGAGAGTTGTCTAGTCACATGTCAAACCAAAATGGGCTGGTAGGGGGAGTGCGGAACAGTTTACAGTGCTGGCAGAGCGCCACTCTTTACAGTTTGAGGAGAGTATTATGAATACTATGGTTTTTTGGTGCTGTCTATCTATTTCCTGAGTGTTTTTACCAGTCCTATTTAGCTCCTCAATGCCGCCGCCGCGCTGGGCGTTCGTTGCCCTAGCCGCTGCCTCTCTGGGTGGTGTTTGTGGTGGTGTTGTCTTGTCAGCGCCAACCAGAAATGCGTTCTCGATTCCCGACCTGCTGGACAGGCCTCTGTGCGTTGTTGCACGTGCACGCCGAACCCAGAAGTGCTCTGTTACAATATAGAGAGCGGGGGAGAAAGGGCTTCATTTTGTAATTTTCGTCATTCGGCGGATCTTAATCCGCGATTCGACTTTTTCTTTCATTTTCTAACGGGTGTGGGAGGATATTCCGCAACAAATGCGGGTCCGTGATTTATTACAAGGACGACGAGGGAGAATATCTCATCGAAGATTTGGCAGTTCTTGGTGTTCGAAAGATTAGAGTATAGTTATCAGTGCAAGGCGGGAGACAGAGCGACAGAGAGAGAGGGAGAGGGAGAGGGGAGGATGTTTATTTTACATTAGGTGCTAAATCCATCACCCTAAGATAGCAATGACCCCGAGGATAGCTCCCGTCAATGGGAAAAGGCTTCGAATTCCGTTCAAAACCGTCCACCTCGCAACAAGCTCGTCTACCTCCTCATCACTCGACGGTTGCAGGGGTGCACTTGAGTTTTTGGACAGCGCCTCCGAATGTCGCATTAATTTGTTATTTGTAGAAGACATTGCGATGAGGGTGAAAGGCACGATCCCGAGTGTGAGAGCCGCCGCTGAGGCGTAGTATAGCGGTAGTTGGCTCGTTTGTGCGAGCTGACGGGCCGTCCATGCAAGGTAGAGATACGCCGCGGCAGCGACAGCCGCGATGGGAGGGTTTTGAGCCTTTCCGGACTCGTAGATGTATCTCCACTGCTTCGATATAGTGCTCGACGACACGCCGTCGTTAGCGCTGGAACGGCGCAGAGCCGGTGTGACCAGAAGAGAAAGACCAGCGATATTGCCTTTTTCGTTCTGTTGTTAGCATACTCTTTAGAGCTATTTGGCCTGAGCACCATTTGAAAAGTTCACAAACAACTTGGCAAACTGATGTAATAGCGATCGGTACTCTCGAACGGGTAAGTGCTCACCACCTAGCCACGCTGCTCCAGTGACGCCAAGGATTTTGGCCGCCCGTAAGTAAATGGAGGAATCCATGTTTCAGTTGTGAACAGTAGAAGAGAGGGATGTCTGATTGTTTGCTTTTGGAGGAGACGGGGACAGGCAATCTTCTTGGGCGAAAAATTCATTCATATACTCGGTAACCCCGCCACATTCCGGTGAAAGTGGTGCGATGGTACAAATCGGGACTCGGTCAAAATTGGCTCCGAACTTCAGTGATGATCCAATGAAAACATGATCCGGAGGCGAAAAGACGGTTTCGGAGTGATACCTGGTCTTGATTGACCAGGACGTCACCAAGCTTTACCCGGTCTGCGTATCTACTGGAAATGAAAGAGAAATGCGGCGCCTCTTCTTTGAGGAACGGCAATATTCCTATGGAGTTATGACATATTGCTCTCCCCAGATACATTCGCCGGGCCGCATCTGAGTCCTCGAACACATGTTTGAATCCAACGACAGTGCAGTTAACCGTCCAGCGGAATGGTCATAAGCCAAGAAAGATCGTTTGGGTCAAATACCGTGTCAAAATCGAGAAAACATTCGCTAGAAAAAGTATTAGTATCATCTTGCGGTAAGGTGTTTGCAGTCTCCGCCACAGGCATTGCGACAATGTTGGTTGGTTCTGGTGGGCGCAATGGTGGCATGGATGGCGAGCCTTGGTCGAGATTCCGAGTAGCTGACAACGTATCTGGCTGGAACCCTCGGGAGTTGCCTTTAAAGCGAGAATATTGCTGAGGTACAGCGTCGAATAGGAGGCGCAGAGTCGTCGTCAGACGTTTTATGGAAGCACCAAACGGGTTGTACCAGTCGAGAACTTCCATCGCCTTGCGCCAGCCATCAAGGATCAACTCTTCGGAAACATCAACCATGATAGCAGAGCTGAGGCGAGCGGCAATGAGCACGGTTGCTGACGTGTATAAGTAAAGGACATTATACCACCACGCTGCCAGACTTCCGATGTCGCCAGCATTGTGGCCTCTTCCTTGATAGATTGTGTCGATAGCCTTTAGCGCCACGCTGACGCAGACAATTGCACATTGTAAAAATGTTCTATGAGATAGCTCGCTTGCCAAGGGAACGGATCGATCTCCGTTGTAAAACTCGGTGGTGATAAAACTCGACAGAACAGGTCTCAGGAGTAACAAGCGAACATGCAGTTGCCTATGAGATGATTAGCAGCAGTCAGACCCTGTTCATAGATCTTCACTTTTTCGTGGGAAGCGTACCTTTGATGTAGGATGACAGCTTGGCGATACAGTTGGGACCCTAGCTCGTCAGCTTGAGGTTTTGAAGCAACTTTCAAGTGGTCAGAGATGCTGTTTTCCCATTTGAAGAGTCTGTGCTCAATCTCAAAGACTGAAGACTGCCCTTCGCTCAAGGACCCGAAGTACTTGTCGGCATCCAGGGGACGAGTTTGTTGAAAATTGACCGAGTAGAAGTTAAACAACACATCGTGTAAAATTGCGTACAATTTGAGGGAGTGGACGTAGAACTCGGCTACGCAAGATCGCTGCAGTTGCGCCGGGCGCTCTTGGGCAGGCCCACGCATGAGCTCCTCCTCCTCGATCGGTAAGGGAAGAGGTACCGTAACAGCCGCTTTCGGACCTATCATGCAAGGGCGACCATAAGTCATGCAAACAACCCTGTCCATAAGAATACATCCATGCCACACTCTCCGTAGGAGCTCTCGTGTCCGGATATCAGCGGCACGTTCGCTGGTTTCGGGCAAATGAAGCCCAAGGCTTTGTGCTGTTCGTATACCAAGTCCTACAAACATCCAACATGGATGGGGTTCGTTGGTACTCTGGAAGTATTGGCCCAGAAGCAAGAAAGACTGCACAGAGCGTACAGATCCGCCCTCCACAATATCCAGCAGGTTTCTGGCTCTAGTGTAGTAAGTGTGAGCAAAGCGCTCTCGCTCCTCGACCGGGGTTGACTCGTCAAGTTGACTGGACAGGGCAAATATGGTGTTCAGTAAGCACATGTACGACCGCTCATCCTCTATCGTTCCATCGTCCCCTTTCCATAGCTTTTCGTAATCCTCCTGGACCTGGATTTTGTCCAAATAAGGGTAGAGGACATGAACATACTTCCAATAGACAGAAATCAAAGTATCTGCCCTGCGTCGAGGAGGTAGAACATAGTCAAACTGTTTATGGGTAATATTGGTATTGCCGGAAGCAGGTAAACATCGACGTTGCGGGTGTTGATTCAAAGATTGAATGTCCAGTGGTGTCGCACCACTAACTTTGTGCTGAATCATCTTCTTTACACTTTGCATAAAGGTTCCAGCGCTGGAACTGCCAAAGAAACCTGCCCCACCATCGTCTTCCAAAGAGGCGCCGATGATAGCATGGACTGACTGTTCCGAAGGAGAGACCTGCGGCAGTATCACGGCAGAATCTTGGGGCTCGTGCAGTCCTGCAAAATCACGCTCGCCGGCGCCAAGTGGTTGAGGACTAGCTACAGATAGTGAGTGAGACTGGTGAGAAAAAGTGGACGGGTAGATAGTAGGCTGTGTCGGGTAGGTAAGTGGCTCTCGAGGTGCGGGTGTGCTTTGTAGCCAAACACTCTCGAGCGGAGCGGCCGGAGGTGGCAGCGGAGGTCCAGTATCAACCCTTTCGACGTGCTGTATTGATGGAGGCGGAAGAGTACGCGCAGGACTGGTTTTCCAGGTACATGTTAGACCAGTTCCGCCCTTTTTCTGGCAGGGCTGGCACACAGGTGCGCGTCCATCGCACTTCGTCTTCCGGAGGCGACACGGTTGGCATGCGACATTCACTTTCTGCCTCTTGACTCTAGCCGATTGCATAATTCCGCTGGCGGGCTGAATGTTGCTGCGGTCAAGGTCAGTAATCGAGATTTAATAGTCCATACTTTTCAGATGTGGGGTCGTTGCTGGGAAATTCGCCCCTTGCCCTGCATCTGGGCCGCGATACCGTTTCAGGTATAGTCCGCAATAGGCTTGGCGTGCCGCCGCTTTTGCTCCGTCAAAAGTTAATGTGACCCAACTAGTGACAAAACCCTGCACATTGATTGGGCTCGATATTGAGACTTCAGATTCAAACATATGACTCGCATATGTTCGCATATAACAACTCTGGCATACTTAGGTACCTACCATTACAGATGAGGACTGCCACGGAGACATCGAGGGCAACTTCATCGCCATTGCAGCGTTTCTGTGTCTCTCGGCACTCCCAACCATCTCTCACCCCCTCGCAACAGATAGCGACGTCTTTCTTCCTGAATCATCCTCACGGGTTGCCGTGTCAATCATCCGAGGAATATCATAGAACTGACTCATATCACAGCCAATACTCAAGTCATGCTAAGTAGTTGCGTGTCAGAGCTTTTGTTGCAACAAACTACCATAGAACAAGACAGGCACAACCCACCTTGGCCAAAGACGCAGCGATTTGAGGATCGGTTTTCGTCTGCGCCAGAAGCTGAAAGAATGGATCTCTCTCTGCGATCCCTTCAGCGTCTTGCATGATGCGTTCGAAATTTGCCGTGGAAATAACATTTGTGTTATTTAGAAAAACTTCTCGCCGTATTTCGCTATACTTCTCGAGGATGTCCAAGGACGCTGCTCCGTTGTGGATCCCGCAGAGACAGTCGATCAGACTGCCTACATCAGCGACGCCTGTTGTGAGGCCTAGGCCACCCCTGCATAATTCTTGTCAGTGTGAGATAAATAAGTCTGCGCGAATGGGGTCAGAAGATTTGGTCAGAAATCTCCTGCTGCAAATGGAAGCCTGTCGGCAAAGAGAGTTCCACTAAGGAATATACACTTGCATGGGATTGTTAAGATGCGCAGCATCTCCCGCCAACAATATTCTTCCCACCCTCATCTTCTCGGCACATCGCTGGTGGACAGAGTACGGCATGACACTTCGCAATGTGTACCCCTCGGGTTCTGGGTTGCCCGGGAGATGTTTGCGAAACTTCTCCGTCAGACGAGTTCGGATCTCGTCGATTGACAGACCAGGAGTCTCGCCGTAAACAATACGCCATAGTTGTGAATTATCAATTCTGGCAATGACAAACCAGTGCTCTGGGTGAATTATCCATTGGGCATCGGAGAAGCCTAGTTTGTCAAAATCAATAGACGCCTGTTCATTAGAGTCAGCGGCCCCGTTCCAGAAGTTGGCGTCTAGTTTAGTGACTGCGTTCGACGCTAACACCTACATTTACAGCGATTAGCTGCATAGGCCAGGTATATCCAGGGAAGCTGCCGCCAAACAGTGCCTTCCTGACAGCGCTGGTCCCTCCATCACAACCGATGACAAAATCCGCCACCATCGTTTTGGCGGTTCCCGGCAAGGTCTCTTCAACTTGGACCCAGGCTTTGCCATTGTCCTGGCCGATTTTGGTAACTCGATGATTCCAGTGGACAGTGATACTCGAGTAATTCTGGACTTCATCGGCAAGCAGGGCAGAGAGCGAGCCTACTGGTAAGATGACGGTGTGTGGCAGGCCTTCCAGCGCAGTGTCCAACCGATCAAATCCAATAATGAATTTTCCGTCTGGTTTTCTCCAAGCAACGCTACCTGCAACGAATCCACTTTGGATTACCTTTTCCAGTATCCCAGCTCGGTGTAAAACCCTGTTCCAGAACTTTAGTATGACCAGGTTCAAGGGAGGAAAATGGAGCAACTGAGCTGCCATACCTCACCGCAGCAGGTCCGTACGCCAGACCACGGGGAGAATTGTTGACCTCTGCATTTGATTCCAACACGTCAACAGGAATCCCTTTCTGACCCAACATCAGGGCTGTGAGGAGGCCAACAGGACCTGCGCCCACGACTATCACTTTTTTGATGTGGCTTTGAATCATGTTGGTGACTGTCACAAATTTCCCCAGGCAAAATGGTACGGGTTGATTATGGTGTGTTGTCCAGCTTCACGTTTAAGAGTCGACGCTATCGATGCATTTTTGGACTGGAAGATATAGACTACCGGAGTTTCGACAATGCTGCTGGGGTGGCACTGCATCGCGACAAAGCGGCCCGGTCTGAGACTCCGCCGCTCTAATCCGGTTGCACCTTGGTCCTACAGCTTGCATGACAAGAACCTGGAGGATCCAGGACCTGTTGCCTGGTGGACTAGCTTGTGAGATACAGCTAACACAAAATGGCCATGTATATGTCACCAAAAATCGGCAACTGCAGTCCCAAGCACTTTATACTTAGTGGCCATACATCCCGAGGCTTAGAATTCTCGACATGACGGAAAAGTGTAATGGCATCCCTGACTACAAGTCTACAACTCGGATCAGAGTTCAACAAATGTATTGCAACATGCGATTAGTTGAGAGCAAAGTCTTATAATTCAAGTAGTGTGACAGCGAGTATGCGAATCGATGCACGCGCTACTCCTCGAAGCGAGACTGAGCTCTTGAGCAGTCCACCTACCATTCCAACTCAGTAAGCCGCACATGAGCGAGCATCATTCACACGTCTTCCGACTATTTCTCGCCCTCTGTCCCCCTAGACATCTTTCCTTCTTGCCCTCTAACTTGAAAACCTTGCACGGGCAACACAACGGCGGTGATCCTCGCCCACTTCATCTCACTTGTGTTCCTCCACGCATGGTTAACGGCACGCTGGACCAATCCGTCCCCTGGCTTCAAAGTTCTCGTCTCGCCCGAGTCCAGGAGCACTTCAACCTCTCCCTCAATTACAAAGTTGTAGTTCAGACTCATGCTGCGATGCATGGGCGAAGTGTATGCCGGCGGAAGATCGACGATTCTTGCTGCGGACCCATCGGGGACCACGATCCCTGGAGGGTCTTGGATGAGATGCTCGTACGCGCGGATATCCTTGGCAGCCGCTACGTCAACCGGAAAACCTTGCGTTAAGTAATAGTCAAAGATTTTCATGCCATCGGGGAACTCTCTGGCAGGTGGGTTGTTGTCTACAGTAGTCTGGAACACAGATATGCCGTCATCTTCGTTGTGGCCTGTCACATACCGGACGATATGTCGGAGACCGTTTGGGTTTGACATTGTTATTGATGGTCGTCACTCTGATGAGACGGGTCGATATTGTTTGCTTTTTCTCTGAGATGATTGCTCTTGTAAGACTTAGCGGCGATGGGTTTGTAAGTCTTGGAGTTTGCCAACAATTTACAACCAAACCGCTGGAGCTGGACCAAAGCTGTTGCAGAAGATGAGAGTTGTAGTATTGGGTTGAGTGAAACAATATCCAGCTCGCAGGAGCCCCGAGCTCCACGGTTGAAACAAAGCTTTCGTGCGTGATCCTGCTCGAAGAAGTGCTTGAAGGCCGGGCGGATCTTGGGCCAGACCAAGAGCATAGTATATTCCACTATTCCTAATAAGTTCGGTAAGTCAAACAATAGCGGGTGTGTTTGATCTTTGCCGAAAAAACCTAGAATAGCATTCCTCTCTGAACGCCGTACGGGAATTCCTCCGAGCGTAGAGTGGTTGATGATTGGAAGTTGGTTCGATTCGCCAGATCCTCCGTTTATGACCCTCTCGTGCCTTGATCACAGCTATTTGGCGATTCGGCGTCTGTGTTGATGAACCTTCAATCCACTCACTAGCTGGAAGAGTACAATGAGATGGATCTTACTCAACTTAAACGAAGTCAGAACATATGAGCATATTTCAAATGGGGCTCAAAAGGTAAGCTCCAAAGAACCGAAAGACATCATTGACCTGTAAGAATGTTGCGTCCTAGCTGAACGAGTGGAATTTTTCATCTCATTTACACGGGTCAGAACACTACCATCTGCAAGAAAGAAACAGCCCAAATGCGACCCCTCTAAGCCAACAACGTAAGAAACCCCCCAATCGCGTTGATCTCACAACAAAATCACACAACTGCCCATTTAGACCTCTGTCTTGCTTGATCCAAAGCTCATATTAGACACACTGTGGGCCTGAATCACGCAGGTCAACTGAACCTCGTGAGTTTTAGCCGGAGGAGTTATCGACACCAGTAGTAGAGCGACCACCCTTGTCCGACAAGTTCTCAACACCACGGACGCCGCGGTACTCGCTGAAGTCGAGCTGCAGCATCGCAAAATCCCAGTTGCGTGATAGGGCCAGGAAGCCGACCGCCGCCACTGGCAAGAGGAGCATATCGAGGATACCGAAGAAGATGAAACCACTGGTGACGCCAATAACATGACCACCATCACTCAATGCGAATGCAACAGGATATAGCAGCCACATCAAGTTGACCCAGCCAGACAGGATGATATAGTGGCGACCGATGCCAAGGACTTGCGCTGACTCACGGCTCTCATTGATAGTGCTCATTGCGACAATGACGTAGGCGAAGGTGCCGAAAGCGAAGAAGCCCCATTTGTAGCTGGTGGCGGTATAAGCGGCAACAAGGTAGGTGATGACCCAGAACCATGAGAGTACAATATTCAGGATGATGGTGGTCCACGAGATGCCTGATAAGAGACCAAGCGACAAGATCAACGCCGGGAACGAGACAACCCAGTTAATGTACCTTGCATAGAAGATCTGTCGGGTCAGCTGGTTGGCCTGTTCGAGAGCTGTCCAGCCCAGGTCGGAAGCTTGAGCATAGTATGTCGCTGCCCCAACCAGAAGTGCTGTGGACAAAGTGTAATTGAAGACTCTTTTGCTCTCCGGGGCTGTGAAGGAGGGGACCAAGCAGACAAACTAAACAAAAGCATCAGTATATGTGTCAGGGAAAAGGGCTCGGGACTCAAATCAAGTTAAAGGACTTACGAAGGAGAGTATGTAGACGGCCGTGACAGCCCAAAGCCAGTCAGATCCGTGTTCCGAAAGAGCCAGGTCAGCTCCAGTCGAGGGATTGACTTTCAGAGCATCGTTTTCCCGCGGGAAGAGATCCATTATGATTTAAAAACCCCTGCGTTGGTTTTTGGGGTTGAGATGTGTCTAGTATGTCCTTTATTCTGGTGTCAAAAGACAGGGATGTTGTTCAAGGCTAGGTTTGTTAGGAAAGTGTTGAAGTAGTGAGGCGGCGAGAACTCTGGAGACTGAGAACGTTATAGCTGGGACACCCGTCTTGACATTGAAACAATGGGCGACTGGCATGGGCTGGCTTGCTCCCATAATATAACAGTTAATCTAGGATATTCATGTACACGTTTAATCATGGGATAAAGATTCTCCGTTAATTTATCCTGCTGGCAAGACGCCGGATAGATTAATATATCCGATACCTGTACACTGTAAGTATCGGGCCCATAATTATCAAATAGCTAGAGACGAACATGAATAAAGCCGGGAAGTATCTGAAGAGTCAATTTACGGAGCAGGTGCTTGGACTTCTGTCGACTAAACATAACCGAGTCCCATTCTCAAGATGTTCTGTCGGTTCAGCAACGCTTGAACAAGTCCAGCTTCTTCAGTCGTTTCAGCTTTCTACTGGCTCGTCCTCTACAGACTCAGTTCAGCTCTTAAAGTTTCTGTGCAGATGGCAGGTCTTTTCCAACGATGAATTTGTCCGGTATGGCGGTGGGGTCGTCGACCACTTTTTCTCCGCCCCGCCTCAATACGTCGCTCGGAGCATGATTCGACCGTTGCGGAGACAACTTGTCTAACCAGTACGGAGTAATAATATCCATTGGACTTATCCATGTTTCCTTGGAGCTTAAGTGGGACCCACAGAGAAATGCCGACCCAAAATGGCAAGTCCGAGGGGTTCTTCCGATCACAAGAGGATAGAGCCAGAGCAGGGCGTTTCCCCTCTTTTGGACACACACACTCGGCTGAGATCGCCTTGGCAATAATTGCGGCTCCAACAACACCTCTGGGGCTGGTCGACGGAACTTGCACACACTTGTGAGAAGACCGCCTTGGCTAATTTCTACTGCCATTTTACAGGAGGTCAGGATCATCTGCGAGAATGAAGTTCTTGCATTCATTTCGCAAGGCGGCGAGATCTGTATACCTCAAGCTAAGTCTGAGTCTTAGAAACTCACACCAATCGATTGCCTACATACCGGTCAGGAGCGGTTAATGGCAACCCGAACCATGTGTCGATTAGCTGTGTGCCTTTACCTCTGCAACCTGTTTGGTGCATTATTCGTGGGGTCCCCGGGTTTGGGACCATAGCCAGCGCGGGGCAAATAGACTCCAGGTTTGTCTCGATTCGCTCGGCTCAGCAATTCCTGCAGCCTATATCTTATACCTAGTCTCCTCCCGGCTCAACCACGCACATAGATCCTCAACAGCAAGACAAACAACGAAGTTATCAGTATGGGTGTCGATATCGTCCAGCAAGAGAACATCGAGCAGATCTCCATGGTGGGAGAGCAGAAACCCTCCATACACAAGATCGGCGAGGAGGTGCTTGACTCCCGTATCCACGACGACCACGGTGACCCTCATGGTGCTGCGCTAAACGATGTAGACGCCGATGGCAAAGTCAAAGCCACGACCTGGGCGGCAGTGTTCTTCCTCGGAATCACGTACATATCGTCGCTCAGTTTCACGTTGAATTCATTCGCCTCCATCGCGACCTCGGTGGCGATGGAACTCCAGGGCAACCTCAACAACCTGAACTGGGTTAGCGGGGGTTTCTCCTTGGGCGGCAGCGTCGCCTTCGCCCTTGCCGGCGGCTTCAGCGACTACCTCGGCCGAAAGGATGTCATTGTCACCGGTCAAATCTTCCTACTGATCGGACACTTGGTTGGAGCCACGGCGCAGAGTTTCGAACAAATCATTGCCGCTATGACGCTTCTGGGAGTTGGCACCGGGATCACATTTGTGTGAGTCTCCTTACGTTCAGGCCGCCTGCGGTTTTGAACGACCTGAATTATTAATCTGGCTTTTCTTCGCAGCATCTATGTGGGTATCTCAGAGATTCTACCCAATAAGTGGCGATCGTTCGGCATGGCTACAACCGAGATCAATCTGACCGTGTTGGGCACATTCGGCCCTCTAATGGGTCGCGGTCTCACCCAAAACGCTACGTGGAGATGGCTCTTCATCCTAGGTGAGATCGTTGGGCTCATCGCCGTCGCGGGCACAATTATCTTCTACCGCCCTCCGCGCCGGATTTTTCAGGATCGCACAAAACGCCAAGTCCTGTACGAGTTGGACTACGTAGGGATCTTCCTCTACACGGCTGGAGTGACAGTCTTTCTCCTTGGCTTGGGTTGGCCTGGGACCCGCTATCCATGGCGGAGCGCCGCCGTTATCGTGCCATTGACTATCGGTGGTGTGTTGTTCCTGTGCACATTCGCGTGGGACTTCTCTGGACGGGCGGCCAGACCGCTTTTCCCTTACCGGCTGTTCCGAAAATTCAGAGAGTTCACTTCTCTGATTATCATCATGTTCTCTTCAGGTCTCGCGCACATAGCGTTGACTACGTTCGTGCCGCAGCAGATCGCGTACGTATTCACATCCAACCAAATCACTGCCGGCTGGTACAATGTCCCCACTGGAATTGGTGCTCTCATTGGGGGTGGCATGCTAGGGGCTCTTGTTCCACAGATAAAGCACATCCCTTTACAACTGCTGGCTGCCAACGCTATTCAAGCTCTCGGATGCGGTCTTTTGGTTGTTGTCACTCCACACCGCATTGCCGGAGGCCTGGTTATCCAAGGCATAGCAAATATTCCTTTCCCTTGGGTCATGGTGATCGGCTACAGCACGGTGGGCCTGCATGTGCCTCAACGCGATATTGGCCTCGCATACGGACTGCTTGGAGCGGTCCGTTATCTTGGCGGAGCTGTGGGAAGTACCATCTTCAACACGGTGCTCAACGACAGAGTGCCGAAAAGTGTCCCAAAGCGTGTCGTGGAAGCAGTCCGGCCGCTCGGATTCCCCGTGGCAGATGTGGGCAAGCTGATTGCAGCCATCTCATCGAGGCATTCTTCAGCCTTGGCGGGATTCCCTGCTGAAGTGGTGGCAGCTGCAACAGATGCGATGCGCTGGGGATATAGCGATGCCTTCAGATATGTTTGGTATGCTTCTATCCCATTTTTCATCATCGCCTGTGTTGTCTCTCTCTTCGTTCTGGATCCTTCGCCGTATTTCACGAAGCACACCGCCGTCGAGACCGAGGATGGGGACGTTGCAAGTCGTCTGAAGCATGTCCGGGCTCAGGATCACGGTCATAGTCAGAGTCATGATTATTGTCCCGAGAAGGCTACCATCCAGGAGAATTCCTGAGCGGAAGCTCGAGCAAATAGGTTCGGAAGAGAAGAAAAGTGTTCGGTGTATCCGGGTATCAAAATGGGGGAGAATGGGCAGCAGTTACAAGCTGGATTGAAAACCAAGTAACAATGGCTAGTTTTTTGAACGAGCAGTACTCGATAAGTGCCGAAGTCTGGTAATGTCGTGCATGCAAAAAAAAACTTAGTAGACTCCGGAGTGACAAGGAACAGAACCGGCGGTGCAAAGAATATCACAAATATTCAACCTGGAATCTTTGACCTTTTCAAAGCCCTTTAACCTGAGCAAACCTGAGCCATTTTGTAGTAGCCTTGAACAGAAGATCCTCGCAGGACACACTAGTTTACATTTGTTTAAACGCGGGGCTCACGACCTCGAAAGAGGCCATGCCGCCCTCAGTTCTATTTATTCCAAAGAGGCCCCTCTGGCTATTACAACCACACTCTTTCTCGCATCTTTTAAGATGCTACTCCATTAATTCAATCTTCGCGAACATCCGAAACAAACTCCACGCTTCTCCAGAACAAGCGCATCCCAGTGGCTACCACAACCACTTGGCCCCATAATTGGAGATGACATGTGTGGCGAAATACCCTGATCCAAGCTTAGGATGGCTACCTTATCGGCCTCTAATCACTAATCTTTATTTGGACGAGGGTCGACCTTTGAAGGAAGTCATGCAGATCATGGAAACTCAACATGGCTTCAAGGCAGCGTACGCTCTACGTGATCGAAAATGCATAAGCCCAGCTGACGACTGTAGTAAGAAAATGTTCAAATCGAGACTTGATGCTTGGGGCCGTTGCAAGTACAATAAATCCATCGATGTGCAGCAGATTCTTTTGCAGCGTGAGAGGCGGAGGGCTGTTGGAAAGAAATCAATCTTTGTTCTCCGAGGACGCCCTGTCGACATGGCCAGCATTGAAAAACATGCAAAACGGAAAGGGCTCAACGTGAGTCTAGGAGAGCCTGCACCGGATAAATTACCTCGCCGCCAACGCCATTGCCTTTGAATGCCCCTACCCAATTGCGGAATGTGGAACAACTTTCTTGCACTCTCTCAGTGCGTTCATGGAAGAGTCTCTACGATCAGGTGTGTGGAGTTCAGGCACCAAAATTACAGGAGTCACGAGTCTGCGCGGCCTAACGTATCCTAGGAGCGCTCGGGATGAATTTTTCCTGCCCATTGATATGGGCATCCAGATGTATAGTTGGGAAAATATGACACAAGCTTATCGACAGTGGCGACGGGCGTTCTGCAGACTACCCACCATTGTACGCTCGAGAAGCCCCTCTCAACTGCTTTGCCCGCTTGAGGTCGTTGCCCGCTTGGCTGAATGTAAAGACGAGGTTGAAGCTTGGTTACTTCGCTACGTAGGCGATCTCGTTAAGAATGAGCGAGACTACTGACACTCGGCTGGTATTGCTCCAAAGCCTAAGTCGACTGGCAGCAGAGAACTTAATTGCGCTTGTGAGAGCATCCTACGATTGCGCCCGGAAGGCCTTCCGCCACCACTTTTCCGGCGAGTCGTTCTTTCTACTGGACGCCGAAACTCTCCCAATGGACTCTAGCACGAACATATCAAAAGATGCAGATCTCGTGAACTCACGACTCAACGGCTTGATCTCAGGTTGGGATGCCGACGAATACAAGGCATTACGATCTGCAAGGGCCTCAATGGGGCTTTTACTTGTTGCTGGAAGATACACAGAAGCAGAATATGTTGGCTTGAATTGCCTTACAAGACTGCATCATATTCAATATGACGGAGTTATCGCGGCCGCGTTTTCATACACATACGGGTACCTGATACACCTCTACCTATTGATAGAGAAGTACGAGGAGGCTTAGCGCAACTTGGCCATGAGAGTCGAAAACTCCTTCCATATGCTGGAATATCGCGAGGATCTTCCGGAACGCTTTCCGGTCGAGACGTACTTTCAACTGACCTCTCCGGCACGCAAACTCGGCAGGGATTCGGATGCAGACAGATGGAATCATGAATACAAAATTCTCAAATCCCGGACCGATCAATTAGCCGAGAATGAACTCTCATGTCTGCAGGAAGCACTTAAATACAAGGCCGACCAAGTAGGCGCACTCGTTGGAGCTGTAAAATCTCAGTCGCTCTCCATTGCTGAATCGCAACTGGATACAGATATTGAAGGAAGTCTAGCTTCCCCACCATGTGAAGGTCACATTCTCGATGAGCTGGAGACTTCGAGCGAATAAGTTTCCGAGAGAATGCCTTACCATTCCATAACCTCTACATGGGCGGCATATTCAGGGGGGCCCGATGGAGGCCGCCCAGAACGAAGGAATCCCAGAGTATTAATTGATCCTATACCTGGAGTTTGTTAGAGATCGAGAAGATTGAACTTGTGGATTCTCTCTTTACAAATGGTGCGGTAAGATCCCTATATGCCCGAAGGGAGCCACGAAAAGAAGAGGTTGGGCATGAATTTCCCACAGAGCGGACTAGGATTCGATCTCGGCGCTGTCGACATCAGAGTATCATTCATGGAGCTAGTAGCAGGATTTCGACTGTTTAAGAGCAATCGAGTTATCAAAAATCTTAAGGTAGAGAGCCACAACGCCCTATTTTATGCCCCCTTCATCTAATGCCCCCTTCATCTATCTTGATTCTCCATCACTACCTAAAGTGAAAGAGAATTTAGACACGCGACCGGCCCGCAGTCTGTTGGCGCCTGAATGTTCAACTTGGGGCCTCCATGATTAGCTTGTGTGTCGTTGTGGCTTGCAAAACGGATGTAACAGTTACTCAGATTATGTACATTCAAGTTGCTTCAAAGGGTGAATGAACTCATTGTTTCGCGAAGGAGGAGCGCAATTAATTAAAAACAGAAGTAAGAGGCAGTGTAGTCACCCCTAAGTCGATGATACCACAAAGATCCTGGATTGTCTGTGATCCCAGAGTCAGGTTTGACCATGGTTTTGGGGTCAACTCGAGATTTCAATCTGGACTTCAATACAGTGAGATAGGCGATGTATCGAAGAACTTTGATGTAACAGCAACTCCCAGCAAGAGAGTTGATTACAGACCTCGCAAACTTTCAGCAGATCGATCCCAGCTTTGGTCAATGACCCTTCTGCCTAGATTTTGGTATATTCTTCCTTCCCAGTCCCTTACCATCATGTCCAAATGTCTACTCATACTCCCCTGAAACGGTTTCGAAGGTCGTTTGTGGCTTGTAATGACACCATCCGCATGCGGTGTTCTTCGGATCATCTTTGAACCCGATTTGCCGCAATTCCCTCCCAATTTCCTCGTAATACATGAGGCTGATGATTCCTTTCAGTAGGACGTTCGGCCCGACAAGTCGAACAATGCCAAATGGCGCAAGAGCGAGTTCTGCCTTCTTGTAGTGTGCTACATAAGCAGTCATATGCAGTGCTATTGCGCTCCACCTCAGCTGCAGTCGGTACTTGTCCCATTTCTCATTGTCTTTCTCGAGAAGGGATTGATGGACCAGACTCGCTGGGCTGAGTTCGAATCTTCTGTCAATCAACAACAGCGATTTCAATATACCGAGCCCAAGATCATGCAGGATGTGGGGATGCACCACCAGGTCCATGTCAGGTTTCGCGTCTCGAAGTAGAGTGAGCCGATGAGCCAGCAGCAGTGAGAAGGTCGTTGATCGAAGACAGCGATTCACAACACTCGGGCTAGTATATTACTTCGTATGCTCAAGTATCAACTCGAGAAGAAGGCTACTGGGGAAATATGTATGCTCTTTGGAAGAGGTGGGAAGAATAACTTGGTCGAAGGCACCATGAATTGGGAAGAAATGGCTCTCTGTTCACATGACCTGCTCAGAACTCAACAATTTTCCTCGTCCGGGTGCGATGCCGGGTCACCACTCCACAACACCGATCGGGCCATTCAAGCGGCTTTGACATCTCGAAACAAAAATTGTGACACTTCCCATCTCTCAACACTCACTAGTCTGCCCGGCTAGGGTCGCCTCAAAGCAGCGAAGTACGTCTCCTGGTCCTCCACCTCAGTAGAATGCATCTAGAACTATTGAAGTACATTACGGTACGCTGCCACCAATCGTAGCGGATGTCCAATTTCTCATTCCAGTAACAGTTCCAGAGAAACACAGAAGCGGGGATGCCGAGATGTCCTACGTGTTCAAAGCTGTGAGACAGGCCCAGCCAGCCGTGTCGGGAAAACGAGCCAAGTGTACACAGTTCTCAGCTGACGTATGATCGTACTACATTCACAGATGTTTCCAATCTCTTGCGGTGGATTCAGGTGTGGATAGAATTCCATCGTTCGCACTACATAGCCAGAAATGATTCGTTCTGCATAGAATACTGGTCTGCAGGAAGATATGTTACAGTATACACGCGGGTTGGAATCAGTCCGGGTTCCACATTTCCGCATTTGGCATCATAACCTGAACGGGAAGTTATGGCCCGATCGGGTTGGCCTCCGACACAATTCCAACTTCAAATTTGTGAGTACCATCCTCGCAAGGCTTCAGTTGATTTATCAGCAAGGAGACTGGACAGTGAGTGCTACCCTTCTGCCTCGACTATTTATCTTCGTGAAGGAACATTGCAATCACCTCTTGCTTGAGTACCAAGAAAATCGCAAGCACCTTCCTGTGCTGTCCGCTACATTGCACAAAATATTTGGTCATTATCCAGTCCCAACGCCTCAGATTCGACATAATGGCTCCCTTCCATATCGGTGCGCTAGTGTACGACTACCAGGTACTCGATGTTATGGGCCCTTTTGATTTACTCAACTCATCCGGCAAGACTCTCCTCAATGCTATGCAGCATTATGTCCCAATAGACAAAAAAGTCCTCTCCGACGCGCCGGACTTTGTGTTCCATCACATTGGCGAGACTCTCGACCCCGTCCACCTGCTCACTAGCTCGGTAACCATCGTTCCCACTAACACCATCGACGATTGTCCCGAATTGGATGCCCTTCTCCTCGGCGGTCCCAATCCCGTATCATTCACGCTTTCACCAAAGTACGCTGACTTTATCCGCCGCCACGTCGCCGCCGGCAAGCTTGTCTTTACGACCTGCACTGGTTCCTTCGTGCTGGCAGCAACCGGGGCCCTTGACGGCCGAACGGCCACAATCAACAACCAGGAATTTCACTGGATAAAGAAGCGCTATCCCAATATCAGCTGGACGAAGGAAAAGAAATGGGAGATTGATGGCAACATCTGGACAGGGAGTGGTGCAGTGGCGGGAATGGATATGGTTTCCCATTGGATCAAGGAGAATTATGGCCTGGATGTGCTTACGCAAGGAGCGAGTGGACTGGATTACGAGCCGAGGGATGTGGACGGGGCTTTTGATACCGTATTGAAGCAGAGGTATGATGCTCGTGGGAAGCGGCTGCCCGCACATGTATTTCCGTGATCGATGGCCAAAGCACATGGTAAGGATTAGGTGTTCTAGACACGAGAGACGGCAGGAGAACGAGTTTACCAGACTTTAGAAACGAATGTACTTCGTTCACTGCTTACATTCTTACCGCATCATACTTCATCTTCTTCCACACGTCACCATATACGATCGCCCCAACACGGGTGCTCGACTTCCTAAGTAATGCTCTCTGCTTTTCGGTAATACAGACCAGTGGCAATAGATTAGCAGGTTTTCAGTTACTAATATCATGTGTTAGTCATCACTCTCGTCTCCATCAACGAAGGCTCCCATATTCAGTCTTGATTAAGCAGTATAAATCTTGCAGATTGAATGGAGTATAAATTGGCGGAAGTGTATGTGCAAAGAGTTGCACCCCATCGGTGCACCCAGGAACTTGCACAAGATAACTTCATTAACAAAGCTAACCACGTAGCTCGCCAGACGTCTGCCACCATCCCGACCAGGACCTTTGCGGACATCCCTACACCCCAGTCGACGGCCGCTGTTAGCAGAACCGATACCTCGGGGACAAGCTCTTCCGGATGACATGACACACAAGTCAAGCGCCTGAGCCCATGGCTAGGCCTAGAGGATCCGTGTCCTTGTTTTGCAGCCAAGCGATATCGACAATCTTCTTTCTCGCCGCACTCCTCGCCTTCAAGTCGAAGACAAATGGTTTCGGTTGCACGTTGAAGCCAGCTGTGTAATCATACAGAGGAACTTCAACCCCAGGCTTCTTCGAGATCTCTGTAGCCCAAGCCATTCGTGCAATAAGCAAATGGAGAGAATTCTCCGCAATGTTCATGCCAGGACAGATTCGTCGACCGAAGCCGAACGCGGAGAAGTTTTGAAGATTTGGGAACCTATCAAGCGGCTCGCGGTAGGTGGGATATCCGGGGAAGAGCCACCGATCTGGATTGAATGTCTCTGGATCCGGGTACAGCTCAGGATCACGATGAATAGCCCTAAGACCACGTCATTAGGTGCTAAATTTCTCACCGGAAGGAGGATTCGTACCACTGATTAGCGTGGATATTGGTGCCGGCAGGAAAGAAGAAACCCTCATACACGTCGTCCTTGATCAGTTCATGGGGTACTCCACCAGCAGTCACTGGACGCCACCTTAGAGTTTCTTTCGCGATAGCTCGAACAGTGGGTAATTGAGGAATATCGCCAAAATTGGGCAAGCGTTCGTCCCCCACAACTCGATCAACCTCCTTTTGCATCTTCTTCAGCCATTCTGGGTAGTGACACATGGACAAGACGAAAGACATCATTGCAGCTGCAGTCGTTCCAGCTCCCGCCTCGAAAAGGGTACCAATCACGTAGGCCCCTTCATCGTCTGATAGACCAAACTCTGACTGTCTCTCCAAGAAGGTTCTGGAGAAACACTTAAGCGCTTTTCCATTTCTCATCTTCTCTCGCACTTCCAAAAGCAATTCCCTAAATAAGTTGATCTCGAAGTTATGTAGTCGTGCTGCTTCTTGCTTGAAAGGCGCAAGCCAAGCTGGTAGATGCATCAACATAGGGAAAGTATCGACAAGGTAAGCTCCAGGTGAAGCAACACGCTCAACCGTATGAACGACCTTTAGAATATCTCGAGCATAAGGCTCTTCACCTGATTCAATCTCTTTACCATAACCCAAACGCATAATGAGAGCACTCGCATATCGTTCGAAGAATAGCTCATACTTCTCAGGCGCCCTGAGTAAGTCGTACAACATCCGTTCGGACTCCCATACTTGTGTAGGTTGATATGAGGTAGCAGCTGCATGCATTGTCATGGTGTGCATCACTTTTCTTCCTCGGCGCCACAGTTCTAGCACTCATCAGTCTCGGGCCTTTGACTAAGGACGTCCAATCTCACCTCCATAAGGAAGTAGTAAAGGCCTTAGATTACGCGACATTAGCTGAGCCGCCATGGGCAGCTGTTCTCGTGAGGAATAAAGATTTCCACGTTCGCGAAGGAGGTCATTAGCTATCTTTTCAGTTGAGACGACAACATGGTTCCGCCCAAAAATGTTGAGACGAAATATAGGCCCGTGGTGGTCCGCCCAGCTTTTGAACCTGATCCAAGAGTGTTGAAGCGGTATGTCTAACAAGTTGCCGACGAGAGGTTTGCCTGTTCCTTGTCAGTCGCTTCAACCCACCGGACTTGTAGCTTACCTTTAGGACCAGGTGGCAATCTCGCTCCATCTGGAATTCCGCTTCTCTGATCAAGTCTGTGAAACAAAATTCCGAGGACAACAAGGGCGACAGCTCCAAGCGCAAGGAACGACGGCATTTCAATTTGATGGGCTTGGCACGAAGTACGATGGGACGGTAAGTGTTGAGGCTGCGACGGAAAACTGAAAGCACGTTGTTTAAGGGCCGGGCCTGGTGATTGATTTGGTAGTCGAGTTGACTTTCTCGATATAGTGCTCCTCTTAACTGGTATATTGCCGTTGGTAAATCTCACGCGACCAATACTCATGCAAGACGTTTCACGAGAATGATGGCTTTCCTCACAGACTGTGTTGCCGATGCAACTGAAACTGAGGCAGGGATTTAGGAACTCGCAGTTGAGCTTCTATTAAGTCTCTCGTCAGAAAGGAATGAAACCTGACGCCGACGACTTCAGGTCGACTTCGAGTCGGATTGAGCCGGCCTGACCTTGTTCGCGGGATTTCCCCCAGTATTCGGACTTAGTCCGAAAGGACCGAAGCTGCCATCGCAATACGGATCATCTGCGAGGGTTCTTCGTCAGGCAGACGGTCAGTGCCTGAGAGCAGTCATATGTTTTGTCCGAAGCCCGCGAAGGACGAAATGGAGGACGGCTCCGCGCGGTGTGGTCCCTGGACGGTGAACATCGCTGCACAAAAAGGCCCAGGGACTGGACGGATCGCCGCGGCTCCGCACTTTCCGCTGTGCTCAATGAACCCTTGATCCAATAGATGGCGCGTGCAAACCTCCTGCGAAACCAACAGATCTCCCCATTGTTAATACAATTTCCACAAGAGATCCTGAAATTGCAATATTTGTAAGTAAGTACCAGGGCGAGCTGAGCTCAAAGATGCTGTTTTGTCAGCGGCAGTTCAACCCGCTGCTGAGGTTGCGAGAATATATTGAGGCCTATTTGGGAGTGCCCGACACATAACCCAGGAAATCGCAATTCAATAGAGTGCAATGTCGGCCAATTCGCAAATCAAGAAGGTAGTGCTGATTGGGGTAAGAATCAGTGAAATACCTGGTGTGCTCTCACTCACACATTGGACAGGCTAGCGGCAATCTGGGCTCCATCATCCTACGTGAATTGCTGAAATCGAAGGTCCTTGAGGTCACCGTTCTCACGAGACTGTCCAGCAACGCTACTTTCCCAGCGGATGCCTCGGTTATCAAGACATCCTATTCCGAGAGCGAGCTTGTGAAAGCTTTCGAGGGACAGGATGCGGTCGTGTCGTCCGTTGGACCAACAGGTTTCCAGGATCAGAAAGTCTTCATTGATGCAGCGATCACGGCCGGTGTCAAAAGGTTCATTCCTTCAGAGTTTTCGGCCAATACAATGAGCCCTACTGTCCGCGAATTAGTACCAGTATTTGAGGCAAAAAAAGTTATAATTGATTATCTCAGGGAGAAGGAGAACACGGGACTGACCTGGACGGGGCTGTCCATTGGACCACTCCTTGACTGGGTACGCACGCTGTATAAACTTTCGGATGTCCTCTTGCTGACTCGGAGCAGGGACTAGTCAGTGGCTTCCTAGGATTTGATCTTGCTAACGAGAAGGCGGTTCTATGGGATGGCGGCAATGTGGCTTTCTCGGCCACTAACCAGACCGATCTTGGGCAAGCGATTGTCTCGGTTTTGACGCACCCTGCTGAGACCGCCAACCAATTTCTCTATTTTGCCACTGTGACAACTACTCACAAAGCCATTTTGGCCGCACTCGAAGCCCAAACCGGCAAGAAGTGGATGGTGGATGATGTGAAGACGGAAGAAGAGATCACAAAAGGAAGGAAGATGCTGTCGGAGGGAGATTTTACAGGCATATTTGAGCTTGTACGAGCATCGGCATGGGGTGAAGTTCCAGGGATCAGGTCGAATTACGCTGTGGATGAGAAGTTGGCCAATTCAGTCCTCGGACTGCCGGAGGGTGACCTAGACGAAACAGTCAAAATTGTGCTTAGTGCAGGGAGATCGTGAAGGTAAACGTGATTGGGCACTTGAAGAAGAGAGCAAGGTGACACGTGCGATAATCACGACATTTAAAAAACCGAATATTGTCACCTTGAGAATGCTGTCTGTACTTCAGAGACGAGAATGTTCGTGTTGCTAAGGACGAAATACCAGCGAGCCCCTGAGTCCCCCTGGGTGGCCTCCTTTGGCGGGTCTAATCAAGCCGAGGTGCCGACGTTCTACTGGGTACTCAGTACTGTATGTACTGGGTAGCGACAGGGCGAGGCTACCCAGTGGACCCTAGAGCATACATGCCAAACACGCCAAGGGAAAAGCGCAGAAAAAGCAGCAATGGTACCAATCCTCTATGCATGTGCGCATGATGCATAGTGCGAGGGAAGGTTGAACGACCCCGGCTTTCATAACAATAAATGGAATCACCATAAATCTATCTTCCACGTCTATCTGCATCTCAAGTGATATAGTAAGCCTCGCCATTACTTGGTACCTCTGGCGGCCACCTCGGGTGTCGAGGCTGCTGGAAATGAGCGAGCCAACGTCACCGTCTCGAGCCCCTCCTGGTCGCTCCTGCACCGCCTGCAAAAGACGCAAAATCAAGTGCGACAGACATCAACCATGCAGCTACTGTTCCAAAGTGCATCTGCAATGCGTCTATCCAAGCCCGGCTCAGGAGCCAAAGAAACAACCTGTAAACGAGGTACTTTTGAGCCTCCAACGCATTGAGTCATCATTACACCGGTTGGAATCTCGATCGATCTCTACTGGGAGCCCCCATATATCTGAAACAGTTGGACCTACAGCGCTCTCACCTGATCTCCAAAATGACAGTACTGCTGATGAGGAAATAGCACCTCAGGCGGGAAGCGGTAGATTAGTCCTTGAGGAAGGTGATATGAGATATGTTACCACCAGCTTCTGGACGGACCTTGATGATGTGAACAAAGACGATCCTCCTCCAGTCAAACATTCAACGACTGCAGCTGACTCGGTATCATCCATGCGGCCCACTGAACCAAGCCGTTATCAAACCTTCGTCTTTGCCTTCTATTCTTCAACAGTTGATCTACGCCAGTTGCATCCCACCGAAGGCCGAACTTTCACGCTTTGGCAATGGTTCGTGGAAAGAGTCGATCCCGTATTGAAGCTCATTCACATTCCTACCATACAACGGCAAATTCTTCAGGCCAGCCAAGATCTTGCCAACATCCCTCCTGCTTTCGAAAGTCTCATGTTCTCGATATACCATGCAGCTGTGACGAGTATCCAATGTTCGGTTTCCTATCAGACTTTGTTGCAAGAAGAGAGACAGACCTTACTCGATCGTTATCGATTTGGAGTCGAGCAAGCCTTGGCCAAGGCAAATTTCATGAGCAGTCCGAATGTGCCCACACTACAGGCGCTGACGTTGTACTTGATATGTGCCCGCCAGTCTGCTGATAAGACCTACATTTGGTCTCTGACAGGACTGCTTATTCGCTTAGCCATGAAGCTGGGACTTCATCGGGACCCTGTAGCTCTTGGACTCCCTCCTTTTCACGCCGAGATGCGGAGGCGGCTTTGGTGGCAAATTTTGATTTTGGATGTTCGAACAGCAGAAGATAACGACATGGACCCCGTCATTTGTGAACACGCATTCGACACGAAATACCCGGCGAATGTGAATGATGTTGATCTTGATGTTAATATGACTGAGCCTGTCCGTGGCTCTGACCGTCGCACGGAGATGTTGTTCACCCTGACCCGCTTCGAAGTCAGCTATGGCGCACGAAAACTAGTCTTTTCCCCCAAATTTACTGTCGACAACGGTTATCCAAGTCTCTCTGTGCAAGAGAAGATCGACATGGCCGACTCTTTGTTGGGCAAAATTGAAGGCAAATACCTGAGAAATTGCGATACAAGAATACCCATCTGCTTCCTGGCTGCCACTGCTAATCGAATAGTTCTGGCTAAGATCAAGCTCACCATTAGTCATCCTACTCGGAGCGGATCGTCTAAAATCTCACAAGAAAGACACCAAAGCCTCGTCGAGAACAGCATTGAGATTATCGAGTATGCACGCACCTTGCGAGCGGACGACAAATACTCTCGCTGGGTTTGGCTCTTCCAAACCTACATTGAATGGGACGCGGTTGCTTTCTTGCTGCACAGTATAAATGCTGTCCCGCTACCTACTCTACTTGAACGAGCATGGAAAGCAATCGACACATTTTTCAGAGACTGGAAAGGACATGTTCTAGACACCGACAGACGGTGGCGCCGGTTGGAAAGTCTTAGGGCAAAGGCTGCCACCAAGCAGGGCTTGCATGGATTGCCATCAAACGCTGATGAAGCCCAACTTACCACAAGGTCCTGGGAGCAAGATGCAAACACGACTGTGTCCTTCATTCCACTAAACTCGGGGAATGTCGCAAACCTTGGTGACTGCAGCACACAACCCGACGGCGAACACCAAAGCCATTCCGCTCTTTCAACAGCCAGTCGTTCCCACCTAGCAGGTGAAGCTACAGGGGCAGAGTATGTCGACTGGAATTTTGACAACGTCCCGTATATCATGCAAAGTGCATCAACTTGGGAGATGGACCTCGACGAGAATGCATTCAGTTCATGGATATAGACTGGATATCTTAATGTCCTTTCAGTGCCTCATGATGCGTGAGATTGAGACCCCTACACTCTTCGACCTCTACCGCCTTTATCAAACCATGACGGTCAAGAAGAGCCCCATGCTCCAGCAGCATACTTCGAACCTCTTGCGGATCTGGATCACATCCTGTCAAGGAATGTAACGCTGCCGCCGTCCCAGCTGCTTGGCCTGTGGCTAATGCTGTACCCATGACACGAATTGCACTGGAAGCTGCCTGGTCTCCATCAGCACAACGGCCAGCACAAAACAGATTGGGGGTGTCGACGCCATGCAGACAGCGAAGAGGGATTTCGAAAGTGCCCTCCGGCGGTGCTTTGAACAGGATCGGCCAGTCTTCCTTACTTCCATCATGCCATTCCATATACCAAGCTCCAACGGCCACAGCATCGTCGAAGCTACGGCCTCCTACAATGTCAGCCTCGCTCAGTTGATATCGCGAGTTTATATGACGAGATTCGCGGGTGCCGAAATTTGGTCCCGTCGAGACGAGATACATGTTCTCGTGACCAGGCAATTTGCGAAGAATATCAAGGTACACCTTTGCCTGCATCCTGCCGTGCCTCTCTGCAGTCGAAATACTGGCGCTGTCCGTGGCGTCGTACATCGCAGAGGCCATATATGTGCAGATATCTCCTGATCTGGGAAGCTTTATCAGAACGCCAACATTTCGAGGGATTGTCTTCTTCAACTCCGGATTTGCAGCCTTTGCAGCAAGTATAGCGTCACGCCACATGCTGGATGTTGGGTTGGCATGCGCCAGACCACCAAACCGGGTGGACAACGAACCCATGTTGACGTTTCCATGGTTGCCATATCTGGTCGACGCCCCACAATGGTAGGCTAGATCTCCATCTCCAGAGCAGTCGACAAATGCTTTGCCCGCTATTTTGCGCCTCCCTCTTCTTTCTTGAACCTCGACTGTTGTCAATCTGTCGTCGACTCTTTCACCCGCAACAACCGAGCAATGAAGCAGGACCTCAATTCCATAAGAAGTGGTTATGTCGTCAAGCACAAGCTTTAGCCCTTCAGGGTCGACATTCTGACGACAGTTAGGGCCTGCACTACACTTTTTCCCTGGGATATCTGTGTACCTGAACATATGCAACAATTCTGTCTGGAAGTTCCGAGGCTGCGCCCTCTGACACCAACCTAGAATGGATCTCTGTCCATATGGTCCCAACCGCTCTTCTGGGCTCTGGCTCAACACTGTAAAGTCCACAATAAGATAATACTCCTCGATGAGTTGCAGCACCACCGAGACATCCTTCTGATTCGACGATCAAGACGCGCGAACTAGGTGCTGCTTGTTTAGCTCCTATCGCAGCGCCGATTCCGGCGGCACCACCGCCAACGACAATAACATCGTATGGTCTATCAAAGTCATGGTGGGAAAACGGAATACCACCGGCAACTGTATCTCCTTCACCGTCCTGTCGAAGCAGCATTTTGTGTGCGATTCCGGAAAGCTACAGAGTGACTTGACTTTGGAGATGCTTCAACAAGTCCATATACGAGACGGAGGATATATCGCGGAGTATTACGCAGTGGGGCGCTCCACATGTCCAGTAGACCATCGTCCTCGCACCATGGTCAGAGTAAACGACATCGCGGACAGGGCGGAGCCGCGCCCCTCCGCTACCCCTTCCCGTGCCGTTGAGCGAGGAGAGGCTTGCTACTTCAATCAGGTCCGCGCTCCGCTTTCTCGTTCTCCCCTACGCGGAAACTACCTGCCCTTGCCAGCGATTCCCTAAAGTCTTGTATTCTTGGCCGTGCGCACCTATCCTCCGCACCCCTCAAGGTCCAGATATTCATTGGGCTCACCACAACCGATACTAACAAATTTCGCCATCCCCGTGGAGTGTCGACAGAGTATTGTGGAGGAGATCTGTGGCAAGGCAGCATGTGTGAGGAATTTAAGGAAGCCAACCCGCTCGTCTGACTACGCTTTATCTATTCCCCAACCACCTGAAGATTCCACACATCCAAGTACAAAATGGATAAAGCTGACCACGTCCACGCCGAAGTCAACTGGGCTGAGGACAAAGCAACCGGCCTTAGTGAAGAGAATGATCCTGATGCCCACCTAGGCGCAGAAGAGAGAAGGGCCAAGGTAAGTCACTTTCGACGAACGAAGTCTGTTCCCTTCGTTGACAACGCGTTAAAGGAACGCCAGCTTCTCTGGAAATTGGACGTCAGGCTAATACCATGGCTCTGCTTGCTGTACCTGGTGTCCTTCCTCGACCGCACGAATATTGGAAATGCAAAGATAGCAGGTTTGCAGAAGGACCTGAAGATGTCCAATGGACAATGGAATGCGAGCTTGGCGATCTTCTTCATTTCATACTCAGTATTCGAACCTGCTTCGAACATGCTGCTCAAAAGACTACGACCCAGTATTTACATTCCAAGCCTGTAAGATCCCCCGCCTGGACTGACGTGTGATTTCTCATCGAGTCGTTCCTAGGATGATACTCTGGGGCATCGCCTGCACCTGCCAAGGCCTCATCAACGATTTCTCGGGACTCGCTGCCGCCCGCTGGTTTCTAGGTCTCTTCGAAGCTGGCCTGTTTCCTGGTTCGTGCGCCAGTCATTCGACGTGCCCAATGCTGAACGTGGTTTAGGATGCAATTTCTATCTATCCTGCTGGTATAAAAGATCCGAATTCGGCATACGTTCAGCACTGTTCTTCAGTGCAGCGGCACTTGCTGGCTCATTTGGTGGCCTCCTAGCAGCTGCCATTAGTAAAATGCATGGTGTCGGCGGCAAGGCTGGCTGGGCTTGGATCTTCATTCTGGAAGGACTATTGACTATTATCGTCGGCATCGCTTCGTACTGGATGGTCCATGACTTTCCTGACACGGCGACATTCCTGTCTGCCGACGACCGTGTGAGAGTCTATCACCGTCTTAAGACGGACCAGCAATCCAGCGCTGAGCACGAGGCATTCAAGTGGAAGTACTTTTGGGCGAGCGTGAGAGACTGGAAGACGTACACTGCTGCCCTGATATACATGGGCTGCGGTGCAGGTCTGTATGCGTTCAGCATTTTTCTGCCTACGAGTATATCTTCCTCCATTTTGGGAGCTGTTTCGATTATTGTACTAAAGGACCACAGTTCTAGCCGAACTTGGGTACACGTCCACGGAAGCACAACTTCTCTCCGTCCCACCTTACACAGCAGCTGCTGCACTTACCATTGCGATCGGCATCATTGGGGACAGGACCAAACAGCGGGGTCTATGCGCGATTGCCGTCGCTCCTTTGGGCGTGATCGGCTTTGGACTGCTTCTCAGCGACGTTCCCGCCGGTGCCAAGTATGCAGCGACATTTCTCGCGGCGATGGGTATTTACCCCTGCATCCCAAATACAATCAGCTGGGTTGCAAACAATACGGAAGGTGTGTACAAGCGCGGCGTGACGCTGGGGTTGGCGATGGGATGGGCGAATCTGCAGGGCTGCGTTGTGACTAACGTCTATCGCGGGACTGACGCGCCGAGATTCGTTCCAGGGCACGGAGTTGTCCTGGGATACTTGACCATCGCGATGCTTGGTGGAGCTGTCTTGCATTATGTGCTGCTTCGGCGGGAGAATGCGCTTCGTTCATCTGGAGCGAGAGACCATTGGATTGAAGGCAAGACTGAAGAGGAGATTAGGTTGATGGGCGATATGAGGTAAGTTGTACTCTAAAGATTTCTATCTATGAGACGTATGCTGATGGCAACAAATAGGCCGGATTTTCTCTATACTCTGTAGTAGTTATTTGTGGTATCTTTCTCGAGGCTTGCGGGCTCCCCTGGCCATGTGTGAAAGCATGCGAGAGCTTTGGGGTCAATTCGCTACGGCCTCGCCTCATTCCATTAATGAGTATGGATTGTACTGAAAGCCAAAGCATCCGAGAAGAGGGCAAGAGAGGGTTTAAATAAAGGGGGGGGGGGTAAGTCGCGGTGCCAGGGCGGAGCGACCTAGGCCTAACGGGGCTAGTGAAACATTCATAAGCGATAATGACGTTTGGCCAATAAGAGCCGGCCACTGAGCCGACAGGGAGGCTGAGCGAGATCGAACACTGCCACGCTGATATTTCTTCATCTTCAGGCTCTCCACTCTTCAACTATTCATAATACAATCGCCGGCTCTTCGAAGAAATGGAAATTTGAAGACGTTATACCACTGAACCGTAATGGTCCAGAGCCAATGTCCGGTATTGGCGAAGGAATTGCGGGGTTGGCTTTCGGCGCGGCCAGCCTTGCGGCATTGTTCACCACATGTATCGAGTTCTTCGATGTTGTGGTCGCGGGGAAGCATTTTAGCGAAGAGTATGAGCAGCTCTGTGCACTGGTCAGTTATTTGTCTGCCATTGTGGGTGTAGCCTGGCAGGCTAACTCGTTGATTGGCAGTTTTCCTTACAGAGAGTTCGGTTTGTTCTTTGGGGCGAGTCTGTTGGCTTGGTCCCGAGCCTGCAAAATGGCCGCTGTCTACGATTCAACAAGAGTCTCGAGCGCCCCGACATTAGACCGGAAATAGAACGAATTCTTCTGAACATCAAATCAATTCTTGACGAGGCTGGTCGTGTTGACGAGAGATATGGCTTGAGGGCCGAAGCCTCACGAGGCATTGAAGTCTCCGTCTCTCGCGGAATGAGTGTCTTCAAGACATCTTTCGACCGATTCAAAAATCGAATACGAACACACCAGAAAGAAACTTCGGCCTGGAAAGTCACCAGATGGGCGATTCACGATAGTCGCAAGTTCGAGGCAATGATTGACCGGTTAGGCAAGTACGTGGATGGCCTGGAGAGCATTACTCAATCACTAGGATTACTAGAGGAGCAACGCGCACGGCTTCGAGCAGAAATTGACACCATTTCGGATGTCGAAAGTCTCAGGCTACTTCGCGACGCATCCTCGAATCAAGCTTCCTGTCAAAACGACGTCTCGAGTGCAGCAAGTCTACGCTTGATAAGTGTCACAGAATCAAGTGCGAAGAGAAACGCGCCGGCGTCTAGTATAGTTCTTTCAGACACGACAACCTCTTTCGTTACCGCACACTCTGGCCCTTCCGCCACGGGAGGCAACGTGTTGAGTTCACATCTTCACATACCAGGAAGTTGGCCGGCGTCTGTGAAATTAAATATGGTCGTCTTGCCGGGTGGCGAACTCCAACGGAAACGCGAGTCCTGTGAAGAATGCACACATGAGCGCTATCCATGCATAGAGGATCGATCGTATAACAAGCCATGTGCAAGATGCATGCAAACGAACAGAGAGTGCAGCTTCTTGCGAAATACTCTGCAGCGAACTGGAGAACTTCCCCATCTGACGCTCAATGAGGATGAGCTCCAGCAACAACGTCTTGCATCGCGTGTTGAAGAGATTCCACAAAATCAACGAGTATTGAGGGGTGTATGTGCCAAATCACCGCTTAACAGACATCAGAGTTTTGAAGAAGGCGATGCGGACTATGGCAAGAAACTAGTCGAGGTCAAAGCTCATGACGACAGCTACTGGCTCAGCCATGCTGGAAAAATCCTAGGTCAGGCAAACTCCAGCTCATCGGCAGCGAAAAGAATGTTCATGGAAATTCGCAACATCAGAGCCAGCAAGGTCCCATTTATTAGCGCCACCCCTCTTGGCAACAGGCTAGACAGAGTGCTGGCGAGCATCGAAGGCCCTCCCGAGACACCGTACGAAGGCGGGATATTCTGGATTACTGTCCGATTGTCAGAAAATGACCCATCAGCGCCGCCCATGATGAGGTTTCACACAAAAATTTATCACCCCAACATTTCTCCCCATGGAAATATCTGCGCAGACTACAAAGAGCATTGGAGTCGACCCTTTTTGACGCATTCCCCTGTCAAACGTAAGTACATCAAATCCTAGACCTCGATCCGGATTGACTTAAGGATATTATATGAGACCTTTTTTTCTGACCCTGCTTTTGTGACAACTTCAGATAGAGACGGGGTTTGGTATCCCCCCAAGCCTTCAGGGGCGCAGTGGACCTTGGGTGCTCTTCTCGTTGCCATGTGCGCGCTACTGGCGAGCCCCAACATTGACGATCCCCTTGTGCCAGAGATAGCGCAAAAATATATCGAGGATTACGACGGCTATTGTGCAAACGCAAGGCTCTACACTGAGCGGTTTGCTACGGACAACAGACCGGACGAGAAAGACCTATTGTTCCTGGAAGACATGTCTGATGATACAATCCCCGAAGAGTCCTCTCGTCTGCTGTCAAATGCAGACTCCAGTCAGAGCGACGTTGACTTGATTTCCCTCCAGGAGTCCCTGCGGGCTGAATATGATGACAAATTCCCAGAGGTATTTCTGCATCGAGCTGTACTTGTAGAAACCGACCCACTCCAACCCCGGATCCGAACTTCCGGTTCGTTCTTAGATTGGCTTGGTCTTGGAAGCATGCCATCTAAGATATGGCTCAGGCAGTTGGCGCAGAAGCAAATGTGAAGAGCAATCTGTGTGACTGAGAATATTGGAAACTTGAGCGTGCAATTCACTTCAACGATATGATGTCGATTAGACCCTGGACTCGACCGGAGATGAGGAGCCGCTTTGGGATAAGAGGTGCGAAACTCTTTCCTTAACATAGGTAAATCTAGAAAGGCCCTTTATGAAATCGCTATTGTCAACCCAGTTTTTACCTCCCTAGGTGCAGAATCAAGTGTTGAACAGTACTTAAAATGAGAAAAACCAGACCGAAGCCGAACGCGCTCCAAATATACTGACTTATTGCTTCTTTTTTGGCGAGGCCAGCACGACATGCGTGGCAAAAGAGTGCAGTCAATGACTCTGCCAGAGGACAGATTCATGAACCAAGAGATCGGGTGCCCAGGCGTGTAAAGTCTTGGGTTGGAATCAGTGAAAGTCCAGCGACATCTCCTGGATTTTCAACGCCGATGTAAAGGCCGCTGTTGTTGATTTGATGGCGGAAGGAGAGGGGGGGTATTGGATATCGCCCTGTAAACAACAACTGATGTAAAACGAGACGGTGAGAAGGTGTGCATCGTCGGTTCCAGTGCCGGAAAGAGCTCTCCCTCTTAGCCCACATGGTCGGGGAGAAGTACCTCCGTAATTGAAGAAACTTGTCTGGATAACCTGAATACATAACATAGTCTTGATCCATCCATGCAAAGTATTGCTGTGAATGGGGTTCGAATGTCTTGCCGCCTGCAGGCCATACTTCTTGACGAGAAAGCGGCAGAAGGGACATTTCGTTCTCTCTTCTTCGGCGTGATATACGCATGCCTCGAGCTTCTTGTTCTTTTTCTTTTGGGTCGGTGCAATAATTTTAATTGGCCTCTACTTGAGGCTATGTGAGAGATGACCTCACTCTGAGGCCACGCTATTTACCAATTGGAAATACCGAAGCACATAGGGTAGTGAAGCTTCCGCAATCTCCCCAACGTCCAAGCTTTTGACGGTATGTTCCACGGTATATGGGCGGCTGTAGCAAAGACGGGATGAGGGGGGAAATCGCTGGTCGTTCATAACGTTAACCTCAATGTCTCGTCTCGAGGATTGTGGTTCGTCCTTCACCCAGTCCGGAGTGTCGCCAGTCTTATAAATTCGTGAGTGTGCATGAATGTCCCGAGGTGAATTTCTAAACTTCGAAAGGCCTCTCCCCGCGTAGGAATTAATCGCGATGCAGACAGAAAAGCCATGATCTTGCCTGACTACTACCATTCTCCGAATAGCGCTGTAAATTGCTTCTCCAAGTGGGGCTCTCGACTCAGCACCGGCATAGCTCGCAGGGTTGCTTGTCGGTCGTTCCCACGGCATGCCCGGCTCGTGCCACAACACCGCAAAAACCCGACCGGGCTTGTAGAATATCGACGGCCTCACCACATAACGCATGTCCAATTGTCGTGTGTTCATGCTGTCCAAGGTATCATTTCCGTGGATTGGAAGAAGGGGTGGTTGCGTACTAGAGTCGCGACTGCCACGAGAAACAGCAAGTTCTGGATCTCTCGTGAAGTCGTGAACTGGCGAACGAGGATTTTGCACACGATCATTAGAGGTGGCTGTAGTTCTTTGACCAACGCGACTTGTTCGAGAAGCATCGTCTCCCATTGACGAAGAAGCCGTGGCCTCGAGCCTCGAGCCACGTAGAATTGCAGGTGATGCAGATATCGAAGGCAAAGTCTCGGGTGGCCGATACTGGACAGTTGGACGTTGTGGTGATCCCCCGACGACTGTCGGTACCCTGTTCAGAGCGACATTGGATGATGCCTTTACCACTTCGTGCCAAGTCGAATCACGCTGCTCGAAGAAGCGTCCCATGACCTGGTCCTCCTTTTGCTTTAAGTCGTTGAGAATTCTGTGCTGGGTAGCCCGGGGTTGGTCTTTTAACAGCTTGAGCACCACAGCTTGTTGCACACATGTTCGTGCGAAGGACTTTTCGGGGCCCGCAAATGCTCTCGTCGCTTCTTCTAGCAAAGCCTGAGGGTGGACCTTTAAGATTTCCGGGTTCCTGGAAATGAATTTTTCAACAGCCACGAAATCGAGGTACGGCATCTTTGCAAATTGGAGGGCAAGATCTGAAAGGCTTGGCTGGCTTTGAGGCATTCTAGTAGGAACCGGTATATCAGACTTGTCGTTGTGATTGCTAGTCCGATTGGCTTGTCGCTCGAGCTGACTCGTGAATTCGTGGTATGGCGGGACTGACGATCGAATTTGTGATTCCTGCGCATTCCGCTCTCCAGTCACTCTGGAAATAAGAGGGGAACCACGACTTGGGCCACTAAAGATCCACTCAGTTGCCCAGTCAGAAGGTAATGGAAGCGACATACTTACTAGCTGATCGGGCGCTTGTACAAAGACAATTGCTCGGAGTCACTGGCTCTTTGGATCAAGCCATAATCGTGCAAATCATGGCCCTGTTCCGTGAGCCTGTCGACTGGATTCTTCCGATTTGAGGTGCGGGTTGGCGGTGAAGTCACCTTTGCTGGCACCTCTTCCATCAATGGATTGTATGGATTATCAGTGGGCAAAGCACCGCTGGCGGAGCGGGAGACTGGGTACGGGCCCGCATGCCTCTTGTCCTCCACAACATCGTTCCCATCCCTTGTGTATCCAGGGCGAGTGTACCGTCCGTCTCTGCCCGCATGGAAAGATACAGCTATGTTATCTTCCACCGGGTTGCTTCCATCCAATGTGCTTCCGCGCCTAGCGGGTGCCTCATCTGCTCCCCCCGTGCGGTATCCTTGGGGTTGGCCACGTTCTCTCGCAAAAGTTGGATTCGGGCGATCGTAAGGTGACCTTACGGCTGATTCATATTTGGCGACAGGAGGGTGCATGGGCAACGGGGGCGGCCTTCCAGACTCGTTACGAGATCTTGGGGTGTATTGGGACGCATTGTGAGTTCGGGCGTGATCATGAGGAGTCTCTGGACCTAGAAATGTCAATTTTGGTGCGATGAAACCCTCACTTCGGCCTCACGTACCGCTATAAGATTTGGATCTACGTTCCGTCAAGTCGCGTTCAGGATGAGCAGATGCTTGCGGGCGGGACATAACCGTACGGTGGCAGTCAGATTCATACTGTAAAGACTTGGATCGCAGCCCAAAGGTGAATGTTGCCGAAAGGTGCAAGAATCCAGCATTCAGGTAGGTGGCGGAATGCGGACTCTTCTGAAAGTTTGGGGCTGTGACAGGCTGACGATAATGGGTTTAGCCCAGACTCGATCAGAAGCGCCTCATGATTCGAGCAAACAAAGCATGCTGCTGCCTAATCAAGGCTTGATTTGTGGCACACAGTACCTCGTACTTTAGGGTCTTTTCGCCTAACTACTCGGCGAGTCGGTTCGGGAGCGTCCCTTTCCCAGCGCCTAATCTTGCAATAGGACATGGGTCACCGTGATGGAAACTCAAGAAGCGCACACAAGACCCAATATTTCATCAGTAAATCAACTAAAGGATACCGAGTACTGTACTGGGTAGGAGCCTGTCTGAGAGACGAGAGATGATGTTTCCCTGCTGTTTGCCCTTGCCACAGGCGACAGGGCCTTGAACCCACCAAACCCCAACTTCCGGGGAAGGGGGGACTCTAACTTAGGCTGGGAGGCTGCGCCATGTGCAGGGACCCCACCAAAAATAAAGGCTCTTGGATTGTCTACTTTGCCTGGATTATTGACAGCCCGTCAATGAGCTACCATGCCGTACATACCCAAGGTCTTTGGGAATCTGCTCTAGCGGACATGAATCTATGCAGCACGGCGATTATAGAGCGACTGGGCGACGGCATGGGACTGGAAAGCTGAGAGCTGCGTCCGAGGAACGTAAGTCAATGACTGAGCTGTTCCCTTCTAAATGTTTCTGACTTGGGTACCTTCAGAACGTAAAGTGTTGAACAAGATCCCCGGGAGCTATGAATCGGCCGGAAACCGAACCAAGCCAGCTCCAGAGCTGCCGTCCCTGACTGGGCATGGCGTTCTATCTGAGAGATCAGAATTCGCACCCTCCTTGCCAGAAGATGTCTCGATTCCAGGCTCGGGCCAACAGGCACAGACAAACGATCCGAACAGTCCTTCCGCAGGGAGTCTAGAGACAATATTTGGTTCGGACGCCTTGATTGCGCGAACACTGGGCACTGGATGTTCAACCCCTTCTGCGCCAGCATTACAAGCAGATACTGCCAAGTATGGGATCAATGCCCAATCCACAAGAGCTGCCGAACAAGACTATGCCTCCCGTGGAACCTGGAGAACGCAAGAGCAAAGCAGTGAAGATTCCAATGTCAGTAGTCTGTGGGTAAATGGTATCAATGAGCAAATCCGGCCCCGACTGGACGCTCTCGCGGCAGCCCTCCAGGAAATTAACAACGAAGTGAGGAATTGGGAAATGGGTAAACGCGCGGACAGTGCCGTCATGCCGCCTCCTCTCCAAGTATCCATAACCTCCTTCTTTCGGCAGTGCGACTCCTTCCGGCAAATGATGTTGATCTCCGACATCGATGCCACCGGGACGCTAAATGTTCTTGAGTTATCTAGAAAGACAGATCAACCGTTCCAGACTCGGAGAAGCGAGATCGCTGCAGAATCCACCTATGAGCACCCGATAGAGTACCTCCCCTTCATGGAAGAGATTGACGATATACGGCAACAACTGAGGGAAGTGAAGTTAGAGCTCCGGCAACTGCAGTTTCAAGGTGAGGATGAGAACGGTCCAGACCCTATCGATGAAAGGGAAGCCCTTGAACTTCGTGAGCAAGAACTCCAGCATCAACTCGAATTAGCTATGGAACGCGTCCGAAATCCGTATCCTCGAGATACCAGCGTCAAGTATGCCGACAGTGATTATTACACGGCTCCATCAGGTCGAGAACAGTCCGAAAACTCTCTCGTTCCGTCGCAGTCAAGCCCTCTCATTAGAAAAGAAGTTCAAGCACCCAGCTGGAAGGTTGGTTCAGAAACTAGGTCCGAGCCCATAAGCGCGTCTACGATATCTCGATATGACACGGAACCCGCCAATCATCAGATTGTTCCCAAAGAAGGGGCGTCGGTCGGCGAGCTTCGCAGAGAGAAAAGGGCTTATTTCGAGAGAAAGCAACATTACGAAATGCACATAAGAGACAAGCGTCTTCAGTATGCACAGATCATGAGCGAAGAACCAACGAGAAAGAACGGGAACATCCCAGTGCCAGAAGAAGACAAACTATTTCTCAAGAACTTCAGTCATGAGATTGATCTCCTAATGAAAGAGTGGGAGAGGGTCGACAGGGCAGTCGAGCAAATTGACGAGAAGTTGATGGCGTTGCAAAATCGACCTCCCTGAACCTTTCGTCAAATTTGAAGTTTCTGGTATCAACCCAGATTCTCTGCTCCCTACACCAACCCGATTACCATGGTGCTTACCCAATGACATGACGGGCAAAGATATTCTGCAGAGGCCATTTCTTTGCAGCAGAATCTAGATCAACCAAGGCAGACATCTTCAAATGGTGACTCTGCTATACAGCTGTTGCTGACAGAGAGGAAGAAATCTTTCAAAAACGGGTAGAAGTTCTCTTACAGTACTTTGGCGTTGCTCGAACCCGTCAAATTCACATGGTTTGCGTCAATGGCCTGGAAGAAGTGCTTTCTAATCCGCACAAACGAGGATCAATCCAAGGTACCAACGACAGCCAGTCTTTCTCCTGCTCCCGTCATTGCTGAGATCCTGACTGTTCTCTGATTTGTCTATAAAGCTGGTCCCTGCGAGCGAAAAACTCTCCCACGGCTTCTTGGTCACCGTTGATGAGCGGTTCGAAATACTCCTTCAAGACCTCCTCCACGAAAACCCTGGAGGTGTAATTCTGAAGCATTACTGCCTTGGTGATGCAGCTGCGCACGAGTCCGCCGAGATTTTTTGCCTGGGCAGCTGAGGCAGCGTTGATGAATGATTCCACAGGGACCGAGAGTACGTGCGGATGCTTCATCATGAATTTATAGCAGGGGCCGAAGTCGTTTGAGCATTTGTCCACGAACTCGAACGCGACATCTGGAAGGCCCAAGACACCTTTCTCATCAGTTTTTGAAGCCGTCCATTGCTCCATACGCTGGTGTTGATGCGCAGGGTCGGAGGTCATGCTGCTCTCCGGCTCCGAGACTGTATAATCGGTTGATTTAGGAAAATTCGAGGGATCTGATGAGATCACAGACGGCTCGTAGATTCTCCCAGCTTCGGACATCGTGGGAAGCATCGAGCTGGGTCTGGAAGGGCTCGCTGTCTCCGCCAGCGACGAAGGCACGAGCTGAGGCAACACGACCCGGGGCAATGACCCCTGTCCGCCATCATGATTCCTTGTTTCTTTAGGACCTCTGTCTTCACCGACTTCGAAATTAATCGGCATATACCTGGAAATCTGAAAAACGTCCTGAGGAGCCTCATATGAATCTTGCCATTTCTCTAACACATCCTTGAAGATTGGATCAGCTGGTAACATCCACGACAGACCGGTCTGAGGGCTACCCGCGATGATTATGCCGCATATGACTCCAGACTCCGGATCAATGACCCATGAGCCACAGGAACCGACGCCTGTTGACCAAACTCTGTCAGTTCTCTGAAGAAATGATTGCATGCACTTGGAATTCTAGCATTCGTACCTAACTCGCAATCCAACAGCCACGCTGGGACAAATTTCCCTGACCATGGCAGGCAGATGTTAGATTTCATCCCTATGCCGACACCTTCCCTGGGCCCACTGGGACCACTCAGTACAATAAGATTGCCGAGAGGAGCGCGGGTTCTGTTATAACCTGGACGTGGGATGACGCTGTGGTTCTGTGAGAACTTAACAGTGTTTGTACGCCAAAATCGAGGGTTCGTGATTTCAAACAGTGTCCAATCCAGAGAAGGATTGTAGACCCTAGTGGTGTCAATGGCTGTTGAGCGGTGGTAAAGGTTGTTGTTGCCAATATGCTGATCCGAGGCCTTCAATGTTAGATGCCGTTCTTCAGAATCATATCCTTCGTCTTTTATGCCAATGGAAAACATGGCATGAAAAGCTGGCGTTTTCGGAATGACGTTGCTCGGATGGAGCCTGATTTCGGCACCAGACCCCGACTCGGCTTGCTTTCCAGCGCTTTCGAAAGCACCCCTATCCTCGCTGCTACTTGTCGATTGTTTTGTTCGATCAGGTAAGTTGAAGAAGATATGGGCCGATGTTAGCCCGTAATAGCTCTCTGGGCCGAATCTGAGCACCCCACCCAGTGTTGCTCGTATGCCCTGAGTTTGGCTGTCGATTGGAGGTCTACAAGCAAGGACATGCTTTCCGCAGACGCTGTCAATATTCCAAACAAGGTGTTCAGTGTGAGGTTCTTCCAATGGGCCATCACCAGTGAAGATCAATGGCCCCTTCACAGCAAGGTATTCGAACCCAAACCTCTCCATTTCTTTGTTTGTTTTGAGGACCTTTACAGCCCCCTTGGCTTTCTTTTTCTCCTCATGGTAGCAGATGACGAAGGCCTCTGCCTCCTCCCTCCTCGTCCTACTCAGCATGAGCAATACATGGGAACAGGTGTAGCCCAATCCGCCTGAATCCCGCACCAGAGACTGGTTTTCCTCGTCACCGAGAATTTTCCCAATTTTGGAATCGATTTCTTCTTCCCATCGCTTCAACAGGAAGCCTGCCGGCGGCCAACCTTGCATTCCATCAATTTTCCTTCTAAGAGGAGTTTCACCGATACAGGCTAGTCGCTCTGCCTTTGGGAGGGTGCTCCAGCAGTGGAAGATCATCGTTTTTAAGGCTGTGATGACAATGCTTGTTATTCCGGCCTTTTCTATTGCATTGGGCGATAGCTTGAAGAAGGATAGCATCCACAGCAGCAAATAGAGATAGACGGCTCGTCAATATTGAGCGAAAAGTGAATGTTCAAGTAAGTGGGCGCAGCCTCAAGGAATTTGCCCAAAAGGCAACGGGTCGACACTAGCCAGGGCGTCTTCTGCAGGTGTTTGAACCGCTCTCATTTCTGACTCGACGCGCTCCAAGGCAATGCGTCAATCAAAGTGAGGCTGCGCATGGCACACTACACTTTGCCTGCAGGCTGTGCGTTGGCAGTGTTCGGGTGCAGGGTTTGCAGTGCACCGACCAATTAGGACAATGCAAGAAATCACAGCCTCACCGGTCACACATCCCACGGGGTGTAAAAGCAGTCATTGAACGCCATGCGCCGTACGTGGTTTTGAACACCATTCTCAAACTCAGGATGAATTGCTTTCAACATCAGACGACGGAACGAAAGGACACCATCCGCAATCTTCTCAACGGCATTTGGCGCGTTCTGCCGCCTGAGCCGAAGGAGACAGCCTCCCTTACTTGGGATGAGGCTGACGCGTATTTCAAACACTATCTGAAATTGTTGCAAGACCGACGGGTTGTTGATGGCATTAGTATCAGCTTCTCCAACACTGATAACGCGGCCGAAGAAGTGATCAGATTTGTTCAATTTGTACGGGAGCGATGGGACCAACCAGTTGAGAAAATCGAGGACGACATTAGAAATGATCCACCACCATTTCTGTTGAAATCGACGCATGATGCGACACGAATGGCCTTGAAATTAGCTCTCAGGCTATGGCTTTTCGTCGATCCAAACCTCTCAGATTCTGCTACAGTCCAACCACAACCTGGACAAACATCGGCGGGTCTTCAGCTCCATCAGGCAGTGTCGAGTTCACTATGGCCTAGGAGCAGCCCAAGTCTAAAGACACTTTCGGCAGACTTCTCTGCCAAAAGCCTGATTCGGAAAGGTGGCTTTGAGTTTCAATCCACCGGGGATTTGAGCGAGCACTTGACGTTTGATCCGGATTGCCGATGGATAATCAGGGTTTTCGGCTGTGCGAGAGCTCTTGAAGTTCACAGACTGTCAGAGAAAATGTGAGTTACTATTTCGACAGAGAGTTGGAAATGCTAATGTGCATTAGAATCGTGTACCCAGAAGCCTTCGTGGTCGAGGTGCAGAAAACTCTGCAGCTACTTTTTCCCACCGCTGGCCGGAAGTCTGGCAGACGTACGCGAGAATATGTCAAAAGGTATCGAGCCGACCTCGAAGCCCCCATAGTCGAGATGAACCGTCTCAGTCTCGGCACATACCCCTTTTTCGGCGAAAGGCTCGAACACATCCAAAAGCGTTACAATGACTCCACGCAAAGGCTGCTCCGGCAGTGGTACTATGACAGGCGCAAGCGGGTCGAGTGGGCAACCTTTGTCGTTGCCGTTATTGTCTTCATCCTGACGGTGGTTTTCGGGATCATATCATCAGTGACGGGAATCTTGCAGGTGTACGCGGCGTACAAGTGGCATAATTGAAAGGATGGGAAAGCAACAGGAGACAATGTTCAAGATGTCTCACATGGAAGCTCCAAAGTACGCGCGATACGAAAGTATGATGCGCCAGAATAAAGACCCGCTCGTGGCTGTATGCTCCGCCGTGCAAATACGATGTAAGGAGCAATTCAAATGGCAAGGCTGGGTCTGGGTGCTCTCGTCAGGGGCTCTGTCGGCGCTGAATACCAATTATTCAGTTAATATCATTGCTTTGCCATTAATATCGCTGACCAGAGTGATTTCCATCTGATTAAATCAAATCCAGTTTTGTTTCTCAGCAGACCTACCCCTCGACCTATACCGCAGCCCTTTCGGCTTTCTCCTTGTATGCCTGTGCCACGGCCAGCATGCCAGTTTCCCTCACAAATTTTCCGCCGCGCCGCTCGGGCGGGCGATGCCATATCAATTCATCCCCGTTTCCTTCCAGTGTCTCTCCTGTCCTTCCTCGCAGGACCCAGTCCTCGTCCCCGACGTCGGTAAGATCCGCCAAAGCATCAAAACAGCGAATGACAGTGCTCATTGGTGTGATCTGGTCCGGAGGAAGCTTGCTCACTAGGCCCGGTGGCAGGGCTGGAGTGTCGACGATGGCAGGACAGACGGCATTGATGCGAACGTTGGCCTTGGAGGTGGCTTGGTTTCTCCCCAGGGCCCGAACAAGCCCAACAAGAGCGTGCTTGCTGGCTACATATTGAGGGAGGATAGGAATAGGATAGATACCTCCTCCAGACGCTGTAATGACTATCTTACCACCAGCGTTACGCTTGCCGGCTTCTGTGCTTGGAACGGTCATGTAGTGAGCAGAAAGTTTGATGCCGTAGTATCTATCAGTATGAAAGGTTAGCGCTCTAATAGAAACAGTATCATTAAATGACTTACGTCCCAGTAATGTTCACATCAAAGGGCTTAGTATCGGGCCGCTGTGGTGGCTCGTTCACATCGTTAGAGAGCGTACCGAATATATCGTCTCTGTCGTCGACACCCGCATTAAGCGCAACAAAGTCCAGACGTCTACTCCATGCGTAGGCTTGCTTAAACATATCGGCTTGGTCCTGCCAGGAGGCGATATCGGTCCGAATGAATAATGTGTCGGGAATGACCTCTCTTGGAGGATTGATGTCGGCGATGACAACTCTCCATTGCATGGAGACGAGGTGGTGTACTAGTGCATCCCCTATGCCAGAGGAACCACCGGTGACGATTGCCGTGGGAGGGACCATAGCAGAATTGAATTCAACTAGGGTTTGAAGCAGGAAAATTGCTTCATCGGTCAAATGTGATCCGCAAATTGGTCTCCAGCGGAAAATATAGACGGCGCTCAGAGACGAGTAGGTTCAACTTGGGTTAGCATTCAACTTGGATCCTGGACCCGAATTTTCGTTTAGAAATGCCTTTTGGCGTCTGGAAGATCCGGGCGCATTCACTCATGACGGATTTGCAAAAATTGTCGAATCGCTAGCCAGAACAAAGATCGCATTTCTGGTGGTGCCGAGCATATTGGGAAATGCCGAACGAAAGAGGTGTCTTTATGGGTCTCCTGACAGGAATAACTCTCGCACTGGCTTGTGGTCTCGGAATGCTCGACAAGATGACCCCGAGCCATGATTGTGTGAAGAACACTGCGACGGACTAGTTGGCATACTGACTGAAAATAGTTTGCACAAGTGGGAGCTATCGCGTTAAGACCAGCGAGATCTCGCTGAGTGCGTGGTCCTCAACTTCTCAGCTCGAAGCTTATACTCCGTGCCTGGTTTCTCTCTGTGTTTGCTGTCCGCAATTCCATCGCCCGCTGAGTAGGTCATTGAAACTATCAGACCTCATTCAATATGACTCCGCCATTTATCACGCTCGAGGAACACTGGTACTCGCAGGCGGTCTTCGACTCATACGACAGCTCCTTGAAAGAAGGAATCACTAAATGGCCAGGAGCACTCAAGAGACTCTTCGACGCCGGCGACCTCCGTCTCACAGAGATGGACCACGGCAACGTGGCCCTCCAAGTTATTTCCCACTGCGCTTCCGACAATCCATCGCTCGAGGTCTGCCGAGCTGGCAATGATCAACTGGCAAGCGAGATACGCAAGACAGAGCAGACCAGAAAGCGCTTTGCTGGGTTTGCCGTCTTGCCCATGGCACATCCTGGGGCTGCAGCGAGCGAGCTAGAGCGGACGGTCAAAGAGCTTGGCTTCGTGGGTGCGCTGGTCGATCACAAAACCGATGACAAATTCTGCGACGGGAACGAATACGACATTCTCTGGCAAAAGCTGCAAGACTTGGACGTCCCCATCTACCTCCACCCGTCGTGGCCAACGCCAGAATTCTTTCAAAGATCCTACGCTGGGAACTATCCACCTCGTTCTATGACTGTGATGGGAGGCGCAATGTGGGGCTGGCACAGCGAGGTCGGCCTCCATGTGCTTCGATTGCATGCAGCAGGAGTGTTTGACAAGTTCCCGAAGCTAAAGATCATTCTCGGCCACTTTGGCGAGATGATGCCATTCATGTTGCAGAGAATCATGGACCAAGAGTCGGTCATGGGCAAACGAAATCGGCCCTTTGGACAGGTGTGGAATGAGAATATCTGGATCACAACATCAGCTGCGTACAGTGTCGATCCCATGCGCTGTATCCTCGCCAACACCAAGGTTGAAAGGATCATGTACAGCGTCGATTACCCATTCACGACCAATGAACACGGCCTCAAATTCTTCGAAGAGCTGGAGAAGAGTGGCCTTGTGAATGAGGAGCAGCTCGAGCTTATTGCGTATAAAAACGCGGAGAATCTTTTGAGGGTTAAAATACCAGCAGCAGAGCGGGCCAATGGCCATTTGAACAATCAAGCTTGAGTATCGCAAACGTCATGGGGCATGGAGAGACTGAGAACGACAGGGTCAGCTTCATCTAGATGTTGAAGGAATCGAAATAGGTTAAGCATGCCTGGAAAGGCTAGTTTGCCAGTTAGAGTCGTCCAGAGCCCTCAATCACCGCCTTGACCTGAGGTGTACGAGAAGCTCATCCCCCTGCGCAAGATCTCTTAATCCCTTGCACGCCTCGACAACCTTCACTGCTGCATCTTTTGAAATATCTCGTGCTTGCTCCGAGATGGAGCGAGCTTCAACATCACCTTCGGTCAACCATGGCACATCCTCAGCACTTTCTCGAAGCACCGTACCATCTGCCAGCGTGACCTCCACCATTGCCGGCTGAAGTCCCCGCGCATACATCTTGTCATACTCGGAGCTTGCATCTAGCCCACATTTTGAGATGAGTTCGTTGACTCGCTTGTCATCACAGCACTTGAAAATGTCCTCGTCCAATTTGCCAAAACTTAGGGCAGCGCATACTCCAAACTGGATGCTCATCTTTGTGTTTTGAATGGTGTTCAAAGGACCTGCGTTGTCACATCCTGGGTACTTTACTGCTTGCGTGGTAGCGGTGATCTGAATGCGGTCGATTTCGCCCAGTTTATGCTTCTGGTAAATCCGAACAGCAACTGCAGAAGTCGTTTGGGCGTAGTTGCATCCAGCAACCGGCTTGAAACGCACGTCCAGGACGCCTTTGCCAATAGGATATTTCTCGATCCAATCTTTGAAATCCTCTGCTCCAGCAGGTCCAACCCCGAGCGCATTGAAAAAGCCATCCTTGCCTTCAAGGGCTGTGTCGCTGCTTTCGAAGCCAGCATTTGCCAGATCGAAGCTGGCAATACCAGCCCGGCTTGCCACACCCATTTCAACGAAGATCTCGGTGCCTCCACTCCAGGCCCATTCGTTGGTACCAGCAGCCATACTGACGGCAAAGCCGAGCGCGTTTACAGCAACTGTTTCTTCCACTCCTTCTGCCGCGATCGCTGCCGCTGCGACTCCAAAGGCGCCAATGAGGCCACTAGGACGGAAGTGCGCGTTGAAATTCCCACGGTGACGGATCGCTGATCCAAGAAGCGCGGCCATTTCGTAGCCGGCAATGATCGCCCGCAATAGCTTCTCTCCAGACCATCTCTCGCGCTGGGCGAGGGCAAGAGCAGCTGAAATTACAATCGAACCAATGTGGGAACATGCCTCGAGGTGCATGTCATCCCGGATGGCACTTTAGCCGGTAAGCAATCATCCCAAGCCAACGCACGCTCAACAGGCCAAAGCCCGGCATAAAATCGCGTTCGACAGACTCACCTATGTGCTAACGTTGCATTTACGAAGGCCGCCGTCTCAGTCGAGACATCTCCGTCAATGCCCCATGCATATGCCTCTGCTATCCCACGATTCAGTTTCGCATACTTCACCAGCGCGTCCTTCCATGGCAGCAACAGGCCAGTATGCACTGCACCAAGCCAATCAATAATGCAGAAGGTCGCCTTGTCATACAGTTGCTGAGACAGCTCTTCAGTCGCAATTTGACGAATACGTCTTGCTGCCAGATGAGTAAGGCTTGCTGGGTGCTTCGAATCGCCGTTGGTGGCCATCTTTACGTGTTGCAGCTTGATCAAGCCTCTTGCCAGGGATCCAGCCGAAGTTGTGTTATGGATGCTTGAGGTAAAATCAATCTGCCGCATTACTCCAAGGTCTGGAGGACATTTAAGTACTCCAAAAATCCCCAACTGGATGTGCGGGGAGGTGCTTCTTTCCCCAACAGACAAACTCCGAGGTCAAAGGACTTCAACCAACACCGGATATTCTGTTGCCCAAATATTCTTTCTGACTGGCCTCTCGCGCTGAGCAGTGTCATTCTTATATGCACAGTTAGAAGAGGCACTTTTTATCGGGAGTGGAGCATTACCGGAAGACAGTGAACGGCGCGAGTAGACTTTTCTCTTATCCAGCACGGCTTTTCTCCCTTCGAGACTACCATAGTGAACCTTTACAACATCAAGCCACCAACCTCCTCGAACGGAATAAGAGTACTCCATGTCTCAAGGTCCTCGGCTGGAAGGAATCCAAAGAAGTCCTTTTCCTGAAAATATTGTATCAGCATCGTGCACAGTTGGAGAAGTGGTACCGGAACAAGATGATGGTAGTCAGTAGGAAGTCTTACGAATAAAGGAAGAGTGCTTGTGTCGTCGAGGGCCACAGAATCAGGTATTAGGTTTGCAATTTGAGAACTCTCATGGCCCCCAATTTCTCCGTTGTTTATTTGCCCGACACTGTTCTCTTGGGCTTCCCCCTTACGCTCTACAGCAAGGCGGGCGAAGTGGCACAACTCTCTCACGAAAAGCCGTGGCAATTGGAGACCGGTAACAAATTCGAGGTTAGAGAAGTATCCTAACGCAATATCTGAATGGGACTTTTGTCAGTCACTTGTGGGTGAGGATATGCATTCGCCAGGCCGAGCCCGTGTTGGACCGTACCTTGTACAAAATTGAATCCGGATACATACCTAAAAGCACCAGATCTGACTGAACGGTGGACTGAGTAGTGTCTCGTAAAATGTGAATGAAGAGATTGATGAAACTGTACAGTGGTGCGTATCGTGCAATTCTGGACAGGAGTCAGCATTCGTTCGACAGTACCTTTAGCCACTGGAGAAGCCTATTGAAAAAAAGGAACCTTACAAGGCAGAGCAGCCACCGTCGATATTTATTTGTCTACTTGCCAGAATAGCAGAACGTGATGCCTGCGCCACCTCGTCAAGCGAAGCCTCGACCTGGGAAGCAACATCCATATTATCCGCTACATAGGCGGAGACCCCTAGCCAAGGATAGGTCAATGGAGTGTTAATGTCCAGCACCAGACAGAAATAGTGAGATTGAAGTGATTGGGCCTGGCGTAAGGTAAGGCCAGCTGGTAATCGAGAAACATCGATTGGGTCGTCAAGACAGATTTTCTGCTGCACTGAGCACTTGAATTCTGCGAGATCCTTTCTTAAGCTGCGAGCTGTTTTAAGCAGCTGTTCAATTGGTTGCCTGAGAGCACGCGCACTCGAAAGCCGCTTTTTAGCTGTAGAAGCGAGCTGCATCATTTTGATAAGCGTGTGACAATAGAAAGTATCGCTCGATCGTCCACTAAGCGCGCTTAGAGGTACTTGGCAACTTATCTCGTCGTCATCCATTATCTAATAAAGTTTAGATACCTGAAATGAGATATATTACCGCTGGGAGACATACCGATGGGCGACCCGAACGGGAGCAAATTTGTTTCTCCAGACAGTAAATGGACCAGAATATCCAGTTCCTATGCTTAACCTCATGTGGGGGGATTTTCCAGGAGTTAGAAGGCTGTCTGTGCAGTCCTTTCGAGCACGCAAGTCGCAAGGCGTCCGTACATAATGTATATTGTAAAGATACTTCACCTATACCCTCACTGAAGTACGCCTATCAAAAAACGTCAGTCTCCACTGCTCGAGTATCGACCGAAGCAAGGTATTTACCATTGATATAAGGGCTTGTACACCCATCAAAGAAGTGTGCAGGAAGATGGTCTCAGTATGCACAGAGAGTGCGTTTTGAAAAAAGGCCCATGAGGCTTGTAGGGTCTCGTGGAAGGTTCTCGTCTTAGAACCTAGAATCCGGCACCCATGCGCCCAGACGACATTGCGTAGTGCGTACCAGGCCTTCTCATCTGTGACGGGGTTGTGCGTGCCGCTGAAATGTGCGCGGAGCCGGGACTCGAATAAGGTACGTTCGACCACGCCAAAGGCGCGGTCCAGTCCCTCCTCGAAGTAAGCTATACCAAAATTTCGCGCATCAGCTTAAGAAGGCCTATACGGGGCTAGGAGATGAGAATACCACCCGTGTATTGCCACGCAACTTCTGGAGGTGGCTCTGGTTCTCGGCAAGTCGACAATGTGCCGCGACTCATTTTGAGCATTCGAGCTGATTCTCGAACGAGGCGCTTCACAGTGCTGGAGTAATCTGGCGATTTCACTTTGGAAATAACCCAGTCCTCTGCAGGTTGAGAGTAGAAAGACATCATACAGCGCGGGCCTGTCATGTATCAATGCCACATTCTGCACTGGCCCAACTTGACGAACCATAGTACTCAAAATTGAGCTAGACGAACAATCAGCATTGTGGCAGACGGCCTACGGTAACTAGCCTACCGTATCCGTGGCATATAGGCTGTTATCCTCCTGCCCAAGTTCTCGATTGTCAAAGACATCAATCGATGGTTCACACTCCTCTTGTGGCGGGCATTCATATTGTTGAGGAATTGAGATGAGTGGTTGTGATTGAAAGATGCCAGGGTTTGCTTGTCCCGGACGAGCCTCCAACATACGATCCTGAGGTACATTAGTCTAAATCTTGAGATGTGCTTGACAGTTCACTACGACGGCTGTGATGGCCGCTGGACGAAAGTGCCACGGAACTGCCTCTGTACGTGTGTGGGCTCAAACCTACATTCGTCTCAGAGTACGCACCTGGATTGTGTTTTTAGTTATTATTTTACGCAAGTCTGAGGTACAGCTAGGGACAGAATGAATGTTTCGACGTACCATTGTTGTCGTGCAGGAGTATACGTTCATCAGGATTCTGGCAGCCCTGGACGCGTAGACGGCGTCTGCGCGTGACGACACATTCTTCGGCTCGATCCAGGCAATTGTCGCATGGAGTGTTCCCATTGCCTATCGAACGATGAGCAACATGGGTCTTCGGCAATTACCGATTGTGGGCATACACCGGATTTTCTTTGCCCTACAATGATTGCAGGCCACGGATCGCCGGGTCTTACCCGGCATCTGGATAAGATTGAGCCGAACTCGGGGCGCCGGTGTCATTGTCCACAAGTCGTTAGCGAGATTTTTGCTTCTGCGCAGCGATACAGAGAACGCAAGAGCGACCGAAGCGCGCGACGGTTAAAGTGAAAGGGAACAAAGAGAGCAAAGGGAGCTGGGTCGGACGGACTAAACAGACGTTGTAAGCCGAAATAGTTGTCTATTTACGCGCTATGCCTATTTCGTTCGGCATTGCTGTGTTGACTTGGCCCCAACCCTATAGGGTAGGTTACCCGATCGCAGAACCACTACTGGGTACTGCGGAATTTTCCACGCACAATCCTTCCGCTATGTATTACCGGGTACATAGATTTCCCCTTTCTCCTTAGTCAACCAAGATATCCAAGACTGTTGTCCAACATGCGGCCACATTCCCGGGCGGAGCTCTCCACCATCTTGAACATCTCCAGATCGATCCAGACTGATTCGTGACCCTCATGTTTCACCGCAAACAATGGCAACATGATACCACCTCGAGATGAAGGGGTTTTCTCATGCTGCCGTACATAATTTTCCATGTCTATGTGGAAACTACGACACTTGATATCGAAACCGTTGACAGGTAAAGGACACCCGTCTCATCGCGAAACGTAGCCTTAGGCAAAGGCGAGGCAGTCACGAGACTAGTAACCGGGCCCAACTCAACCTTTGAAACGGTCAAGGGCGAGAGGCTGATGTGGGAATAAATCAAAAGCGCCTTGTGAAAGGGATCTTTTGAAAGCAGCGGCACAGACCGCCAGATTCGGTAGGAAATTCGCTCCCCCACCAGACTTGCTGAAACTATTACATACTTCTACAAGTAGGGATGGCTGAGTCTGTGGAGTCGGAACGCGGGGATTTCCATTTAAAGGTGGGACAATCGGACGTTTCTCCGACTGGACACAATACCCTATTTCGCACCGTGTATCTCCCTGACGGTGCACCAACAGAGCAGAATCCCAACCGGAGAACGGGAAATTTTAGAACCGACTGAACTGAACGGGTTTCTGTGGGACATTTACGGTTGTAGATGCACCCACCTCCTTCTAGCGCAAGCAACCAAAGGAGCTGAGTATAACTAGGACTGGGCAAGTTGTGGGACCAGCAGAGAACCATGCTCGAGCTGGCTTCTATTCCTTGCCATACGGTGTTGCATCTTCCACCCCCCGAAGCTGGAGCCCCCATGGCCGGTGACAAGTGGCTTCTCCCATAGTCTTAGTCCCTTCAATCTCGTCGTAATGCAGATGCTGAATTTGTGCTTCATCAAAGTTGTGATATGCGTTCCTCAGCCCAAGACTCGTTGTCTGAATGAGAGCATTTTCTTTGGTGTAATTTGCGCGGAAGATGCAGTCTTCGATGCTGGATGGTACCACTCTGGAACCATGACCACGCATAAAGACTACGGCATGGTCTGGTCCTGTCAAACCAGAATGTCTCTTGGAGAAAGACGATGCGAGTGCCTGCCCGAGAGGAACACTCCGGATCAGGAGGTCGCGGATCTCGTCTGGTTGATAGTGCTCTGCAACATCATAGACCGGAGTTGAAGTGTCTAGAAAGACTTAAGTGGGGCCAAGCACAAATCAGGACTATCCGGGGGTTGGATGGATTTCGCAGAGCGTGTTCACGGACTGTCAAGTCTGGTGTACCATACCTAAGATCCTATATGGAACGGCAGCACTTGCATGACTGTGTACGATGCTATTGACGGCAGGATACATCTTGTAAATCTCACTGTGGATGTATCGTTCAATATAACCCGGGGGGGCATTTGCTTCGACTGCAGAAGCGTCAGACACATGGTAAGCCAGTAGATCTCTTTGAGGGAAGAGCCATTGGCAGGGGCCATATTACGCGGCATGATGAAGACATCAGGCTGGTTTGGATGTCCGAAAGAGAGATGTCCGTACGCACGCAGGATGCTGCTTCATGTCAGATGGCTCAGGCAAGCCCACTGCTATAGCAAGACTCCGTTACTACTGGTAATGAAGGATATGGCTGCCTTTGATGCACGTGTCGCAAAGCTATTTAAGGTCTCACTGCTGGTGCTGCTACTGAGTTGGTAAAGGCCCCGAAGAATCTGCAGGCGAGATGGGCGCGGTATCTCGCACGGAGGTCGAAACTTGAAGCTATAAGCATAGAAAATAGAACTTTTGGATAGTACGCCCAAACCTCACACGTCAAATTCAAGATTTGGGTGATAGAACAGGCAAGAAAGTCTGTATTATGGCGCGTTCTGGAGGAGTTTATTGCCTTCTCAATAGTAAGCGAGCACCGTTTGCACAATACCAAGCCGGATCCTAACCTCATAGAAACCGAATGATCTTATGCGTTTGCTTCGGTTCCCACTTGCCGTGGGCTCGTCGGAATCGGAACAGAGCGTTATATATCTATCGGACGTCTATCTAGGTTTCCTTTCCCTATGAGTCTGAACTGCTCTCCAATCTTCCCTTTCATTCCCTCCTTTTATTTTGTTCTCAGCTCGTGCTTCAAGAGCTCAGCTCGTGCTTCAAGAGAAAATACCATGTCAGTAGCCCCCGTCCCAGACATCGAGGGTCTCGAGATCGACGGAAAAGGAGAGCCCAGATTACTTCGATCCTACACGCTCAGACTGGTCGGCGACTGGGGCGGAGCCAACTTTCACCGGATCTGCTCATGGCTCACGCAGGAGTTCTGTGATCGAACCGGTCCCGGAAGCCGCTCCGCGATCTGGAGCCTACGAGATGGAGGCCTAGACGGGTTGAAGCAGCTCAATGAAGGAGCCATCGACCTGGCCATTGCCACGCCAGCCGCGCTGATGCGACGAGCCCTTACAGGTGAAAGCCCTTTTACGACAGCGATGCCGCACTTGCGTGCCTTGGGTGTGCTCCCCCAGAACGACCGGATGGTACTCGCTGTCGACCCGAATTACGGCATCAAAACCTACGGAGAGCTCCGGGAACGAAAACCAGCCCTGCGGATCGCCACGTCGGTCGATGACGGAACCAACTTTATCGGATACGTCGCCAACGAGTTCTTGAATGCTCACCAGATTTCAAAGGCCACTGTGGAGGGATGGGGAGGGGTTTTCCTGACGGCTCAAAGGCCAGAGCAGTGTGTGGCGCTGGTCGAGGAAGGGAAAGCTGACGCTCTTCTTCAAGAAGCCATCATGACACCATGGTGGAGCGGACTGATCGAGACCAATAGACTGGTACCACTACCAGCTGAACCAGACGCCTTGGAGGCGCTGCAACAAACTCTTGGACTAGGAGCGAACTCTCTCCCGGCCGGCTTTTGGATGAACTTGACCCAGGAAATCCCGGCGTTGGATTTCTCCGACTTCGTCATCCTGGTTAGAGACGACATGCCGAAAGATGTGGCGTATCTTCTTGCCTGGTGCCTAGTGGAGACGAGGCACATGATCGAAGGACAATACAAGCATCTCCCCCCCGAGAAGAGCCCGTTGAGTTATCCTCTTGAACCAAAAAAGATAGCACGCCCTCCGATTCCGCTCCACGAGGGTGCAAGGGAGTATTACTCCAAGGCTGGCTATCTATAGTTGCACGAAGTAACCGTCGAAGGGTTCCGGAAGGGTTCCGAAACACAGATGAATCCATCCTTGCTCTTCTTGCAAACCAACGTCAGAGTTCGATTTATGACGGGGAAAAATATTCATTGGGAAAAGGACCCGCGGTAGTCGCGGCAGTATAGATTTAGTCCGATCTCATCTCAGTAACCCCGCGCGAGGAAGCTCATGCCCAATTTCATCTTAGTATTCGACCGTCTGCAGAGAACGTGAAATGAAAAGAGCCATTGCCGCGAGAAAGACACCCCCCGGTAAAAATGTGGAAGAGAAGAAAGTGCCAGGTCCTATGACGCCGCTTTTCCTTTAAACGTCAACGTTGCGACTGTCGAGACAACCAACTTGTGCATGTGCCAGAACCCCGGGATATACGTGGCGCACAGACCTCTAATGATTCTGTACCCGAGAATGGGGCCGTACTTCAGGCCGTTGTCGCCGTTCTTGCTCGACACACCGACTGCGGGCAGGGCGTCGAATTCTCTGTCGCAAGCCAGGTCGACGAACGCAGCGCCTAGGTCGCCGTAAGTCACGGTAAGGGTGGCTCGGTCGATGTTGATCTCGTGCCCGCTGGGTTCGTCCTCGATAAGGCCGTTGGGCTGCACGAGGACGACACTGACCAGCGGCGAGGCGGCTAGAAAGACCGCTTGGCCTCGTCGCAGATCCGCGTAAGGGTGGACAAAGGCGGTTTTGATTGCCCAGTGGATCACGGCCGGCCGCACGGCAGCCAAGGTGGGATTCCACGTCGCAGACGACAGAAGCAGAACCCGCGGTCGCTGCCAGTCTTGTTTGTCCCCCCGCAACGCCTCCAGAGCGGCAATGACCGTCCTCGCACCGTCCTCGATCACGCTCACGCCCGGGCGATTGTCGTTTTCACCGAGGGTGAAGACGACCCGCTCGGCACCATTCAGACACTTGCACATGTTTTCGACGTCGCCGAGTGGGCCCTGAAAGATTGAAACGCGCGGATGCGAAGGCAGCGACGGGAAAAGGTCGACGAGCTTCGTGGCCGACCGCACGTAGATTCGTATATTCACATCCTGAAGTGGAAGAAGTCGCTGCAGCACTTCGCGCCCTGTCTTCCCTGTCGCGCCGAGGATCGCAATGGTCGTAGCCATGGGTTTAACGAAGAGTGACGCACTCGGTGAGGGACGCTGTGACGAAGTGAAGTGGAGTGTAAAAAGTCCAGATTTAAAGAGTTAGGATTCCTTCCGCCGTGTTAATGTGAGGCCCTTGAATCTCGAACACCGAGGTTGAAGTTCGAAATATACGTCGGAACCTATTCTGCCCCGGTGCGTTTGAAGCCGACATTGCTGCTCAACAGCCGGGTTGAGACTCTTCCAGCGCCCAAGATACACCCACACATGGGGCAATATGGTAGGGTTTTCCCCGGCGGGCCCGAAAACAGGGAAAGCTGGGGAAGTAGAATCTGGAGAGACGAGACATGCAGGTCCAAACAATGCTCGCTGTCCTACCCCGCGAGGAAACTGAGGTCGAAGGTGTCGCGGAGAAAATACATCGAATAGGAAGCATTCCGACACGACCGAAGCAGAGCCGCTTCGGGATTAGTTCTGATTGGTTAGCTCGCTCCGGGTTCCGAGCCGCTTGGAGATGACGTATTTCAAGGCATGTGTGTCATACGTGTCATTTGTGTCATTTCAATATTTTGCTCGAGGGGATGCCTTTCGAGCTCCGACAGCAACATGCATTCGTCGTATACTGGTGCCTCATCCTGCTTCGACCCTTTTAGAGACCTAAAGACGGCGCTTCTGCCCGCTCATAGTCGTGCACATCTAAGCTTCGCGCTCTCAAGACTAAGTGCCTGAGCTGTCACAAGGCAAGGTGGCGGTACTGGGCTGGCGTGGGGGAGGCGATTTGGCAGGTCACATGTCAGCACAAAAAAGGACAGGCTGTAGCTGGCAGGGTGGACGACAAGAAGGACTAGCTGAGCATTCAACAACGACGACAGCGAGCACAATAGACAGTTGCAGCCAGGGCATGCATGCTAGGCCATCGTTGCCGGCGTGCTTGACAGTTCACAGTGCCGGCCGTGTGCCATTATTTACAGTTCGAACAGAGTATTCTATAGTTTTTCGATACCGTCTACCTATTCCTGAGCATCCTCTGTGTCCTGTTCCACTCCTCAATGCTGCTGCCGTGCTAGGTGCTCGTTGCCCTAGCTGCTACTTTTCTGTGGGTGGTGTTGGTGGCGGTGTTGTTTTGCTAGCGCCGACTAGAAAGGCATTCTCGATTACCGACCTGCCAGACAGGCCCCTGTGCGTTGTTGCACGTGCATGCAGAACCTAGAAGTGCTCCGTCACAGTGCCAGGGAAAAATAATGAGTGGTGTTGCGATGTCTCACCTGACTGACCGTGTCGAGTACTTGAGCGTCACAGCGAACGACGGCATCTATGGCGAAAAAGGAATCATTGAGTGCCCGTACCTCCTGCAGGGTGTCTTGAAGACTGCCTTGGTATATGTCTATATACTCATGAGGATGTGGGTGTCATAGGATCGAGTATCGGCAAGGGCCTCAGAGGTATCTGCCACAAGAGGATCACACCCACGGACACACCAACGGAGCATTATATTGCTGGATTAAGCCCAAGTCCCGCCAGTATTTAAATCTTCTATGGTATCAGAAATCGCCGTCTGTATACAAATCATATAAAAACTCCGCCAATCTAACTATTTTCCAGTGTTCTGAATCAATCACGAAGGCCAAATTATTCAAGCGGCGCTCAAGCTTCACCTGTGACATCTGCCGCACTCTTTCTGTTTGCAGCGCGCCTTCCGAGCCAGATAGTTGCACCAATGAGCAGGATGGCGGTGACTAGCACAACAGCAGCCTGGGTCGCGAACACCGCAGTCAAACCATCCTTCGCAATCCAGCTTGGCTGGAAATAGCCGACGGCAAATCCGCCGCATGTTCGCCACATGTTGATGATTGCGGACACAACTGCAGCGTGTGTGGGATATTTCTCGAGAGCAAAGGCAGTGATGGCAACCATAGTGCCCACCAAACCGATATTCACCATGACCCACCCAAACGCAAGTCCAACCCAGCTTTTCCCGTAGTTGAGGGTGAGACCATACGTCAGTAAGCCACACACCATGCTTCCAATGGGGAACCACACGCCATGCAGTCTGTATTCGCTTCGCCAGTGGGCCTTTCGCTTTCCACCGGAACCATTGTAGATCCATTCATTGAAGAAGTATCCAAAGCAGAAGCCCAAAAGGGCGCCGATGACACCAGCAAAGCGGATGGAGGCATCCTCAACATTGTCAAAGAGGTAAGGCGGCGCTCGCACAAAGGCGTCAATAGTTGTGGTGATTCCGATGGGCCATGTGAAGTTGATCATGGTGGAGAGGCCGACAAGGAGGATGGGGAGAGTGAAAGTGAGCTTGATGATGTCAACAGTCGACTCCGAGAGCGTCTGTGCCTTTGGTAGGTTGGTGTTCCCAATACCCAAAAACCCCTTGATCCGGTTCGTTTGCTGGACGCCCGTTGATCTGTTATAGTATGTCTCGTAGCCGAAAGCCAGGATCATCAGCGTAGAGAATCCGTAGAGGCCTGTCAGGACTTTGAAGCAGTCACGCCAGGAGCCGGTGCCTTCGAGGATGTATCCCGCTAGAGCAGGGAAGAGGAAAGGGCCAACTAGGAAAGTTGTTCCCCAGATGTTGATATATCGTGGCCATTCGTGCGGTTCATACATGTCGTGGATTATCGGCAAGCCAATCACTTGAGGGACTGTTCCGAAGAGACCTTGAAGGGCGCGTAAAGCCGTGAAAACAGACCATGACTGAGCATAAACACAGCCTAGTACGACAAAGAGGGTGACGATCTGAGGATAGAGCCAGACTGGGAGGCTGGGATGAAAGTCAGCAATTGCGGAGCTCAAATGTCTCGAATTTCAGACAACTGACCGGCCGTATGCGTCAATAAAGGGCACAGCAAATATACCGCCAAAGCCCTGAAGCAGGATGCCGTAGTTGAGAGAAGTGGCCGAGTGCGTGATAGAGGTGTGCCATTCGAAGGCCTGAGGAGCTACCAGAGTTGCACCCCAGGTCATGCCTCTTTCAACAGTGTCAGCTTCAACAATTTCCAGAAGGGCAGGGACGACAAACATACCCATCAGCAAGGATTGAACTGGACATCAAGGCGAGGAACAAAAGTCGCTTCTTCGACGGATTCCAGTTTTTCGGGCTTCGGCCGTCATCTGAATCCTGCCCGTCGAGGACGCTGGGTTGATCGGTTTCATTGCTGAGAGCGACCACTGTGCTTTCCGTGTTGATATTCTTCTCGTTTACAGATGTCTTCTCACCAGCACCCGATGATGAGGACGGTGCACTCATGATTGCTGGAAACTGTAGAGGAGAATAAAATTTGGCCCGGCTGAAATGGTATAGAAAAAAAATGAAGAGAGCGGCGGTGTACTGGAATGAACAAGGCACAATGGAGAGAAGATTGTTCAGAAGACGAAAACTCCCAAGATTGTTCTGGAAAAATAGTGAGCCACAAGCTCGTCTTACAACGTGGTTAGCTAGCGCTCCACGACTAGCAGGAGTCGAGGGCAGGTAGGGACTTGAAAGTACTCGATCTCTTTCTACTACCGAGTAGAGCAACCGACATTGGCCTCATCTCCCCCGCCTCGCGTAGAGGAGATATGCCTGTTCCGCTTAGGAGGCAACAGAACAGAGCAGTCTGCCCCGACCCTGTGTTGAACACCTGGCAGCCAAGATTCAATAGGTGCATGAGCCGCTTCGAGGCGGTCCCGGGGACGGGGGTCCTTTCGAGGCAAGGTGTTGCAGATCCGGTCACCGGCACGGCCTAGGCTTGAGCTCGCGCATATGAATGCAGCCCTAGGAGAAGTAGAATGCGCCAAGATGCATGAGGAGGCTGATAAGACAGGGGAATACCTGGATAGACGGGCTCGACGGTTGGGTCCTGCAACGCGAGATAAAGCATAAACACTTACATACCTAGGGCACCATAGACCGTGCACCCCGAACAGCGTGGATACTTCCGGTGAAAATCTGCTAGTTAGGCGCTTTGAGTATGGTATGCGTCTGACCAAGGGGCCTTGCAAGGGTGTACAAAGCCCAATGAAGATGCTCCTTGGTTACCACTCGAAACAAGTGTCAAGGAAGGTTTTTCCGGGAGATTGGTTGTTGTAAGGCAGAGAAGACACCCACTGAAGAAGCAGCCCCGGTGAAAGCAAGTATTTACAGAAATAGCAGACTTAACAGTTCCTACATCAATAGACACCGCGTTGCTGTTGCTGTGCCTGGTCAGTTACAAAGACCGGGGGAGCTCCAGAGACAGAGGGTTAAGCGAAGAAGATCAGTCCACCGTCCACACAAGCTACGAGCAGGATTCCTGCCAGCCGCCGCCCGTCGCAATAAGCGGTGGATCCCCGGGAACTTCCGACCGTGGTGGCGGATCATGTACATCTCTCCCCGAGTGGGGAATTTCAAGATAGATATGGTACCCAGTACCTAGGTAACCCTCAAAGCTTCGGTATTTGTACTTGTACAAGTAAAGACAAGTTTCGGCCCGTAGTGACCTCAAGAAATGCAATTCCATAGGTCTCCAGCGAAACATTGCATTAACTTCTTTCGGAAGAACGGCGCTCTCGGGTCTGCCAGCGACCTCGGCCTTTCCATGATTTCATTGGGAAAGTTCCTTTCCGATCGTGGTTGATTTAATTGATGCTCGACTGCCTGTCTGTGCACGCTCTGTCGAATCCGAGGAGGAAAATGAGCGATCCAGGGGCAGTTCTGGCCTCTACTGTAACTGCAGTAAGAGCATCGAAATCTAGCATAACCGCAGGAACCAGAATAACGCCCGTGATAGGTCGCGGCCCTTGGGTTTATCCCGGTGGCTATCCATTTCAACTTCTTCCCCCTGCTCAATCAGATTGGACCTGTTGCAACGGCCGAAGAGCTGACCAGAGCGTCCGACGCTGAGAGGAGTGATGAAGCCAAACGGTCCTCACCGCTATGTAGGGCCCTCTGTCGCCACCACAAGAGCTTGCTGACCACGATCCCAGGCTTGCGGCTAACAGGTCTGAGCAATGCTGAATACCAGAGTGTTATCTGACGTCTGCAGAGGATACCATGTTCGCGATGGCTGGTCTGGGCCTGGTTGACCTGGTTGACGATACCACATACCGGATCAATCCCATGACTGCTCACATGGTGGCAGTGCCATCGTCTCTCGACGGCATGCTGCATTTGTAAGTGTTCCAGCCGGGAAAACACATCCAGTACTGAGGTTTTCAAGCACGACAGAGCCTCTCTGGTCAGCAGCTTTCTTGATGAGACAGCTCAGAGACACAAAATTCGAATATCCATTCCAAGAAAACAAAACACCCACCCAATATGGATATAAAATGATTGACGAGCAGAGATTTGTCAACGAGCACACTTATTCCATAATGCACATGCAAGGACGCATGCCGAGCTTCTCGTCCTTCATGGAAGGAAAATTTGGCCGCTTCGGCACGATGCCAGAGCGGGTGAAGTCCTTCGGATATGATCTGGAGTCGGTCTTGAAGAGCGAAGCCAACAGCATAGCCATCGTCGACATTGGAGGCGGACGGGGTGAGATGCTTCTAGAAGTAAAGGAAGCGTACCCTCACTTGAAGAAAGAGCATCTCGTCTTGCAGGAGTATCATCCGGACCAAAAGAATGCGGACAAGCTGACGATCCAAAACTGGGATTTCAAGGACGAATCACCGGAGTCGGTCAAAGGTGCTCTTGTGTATAGCCTGACACACATCTACCACAATTTGTCAGACCTCGAAGCCTTGCGACTGATGAAGAAGATTTCAGATGCGATGGCGCCGTACTCCAGGATGCTGATTCATGAGTTCGCAAAAAATGCCACATATGGGAAGATGCACGCGACCATGATTCAACTGTACGCTGGGAGAGTCAGGAGTAGTCGCGAATGGAAGCAGATGGCGGCTTTGGCGGGCTTGGAAGTCACTTTCGAGGCATATCCTGTCGCCGGGGAGGGGCTTGTTGAGATGAGAAAGGCCGGAACATCCGAGGGGACATCCGATGTGGCGGCCTAGATTTTCAGGGTGATAGTTTGTTTGTGCCTGATTCTGAAAGGAGCATACACTTCTCTTTCCAGGAGCCCCCCTGGTCAGTGGCTGGCGTGGCGCTCTTTTCGAGACACTAATCCATGATTTCGGGGTTCCAAGTGATAGAGTTTGACAGTACTCGGTACGAGGTACCTATGAGCATCCTGCTCTTAAGGTTGAGAGCTTGTGAACCTTTTTTGGCCAAGATTCTCTGCCCTTTCCCTTCTAGACATGATCGCCACGGCTGAGATGTCTCCCGCAAGAAGCATCAGGGGTCCAATGCACCTTCGCTCACTAAGTACCTCTATTTCGCTTCCGATGATCAGCAACATGTCGAAATCTTCCCCTAGCTAGGCCTCGTGGGCTGACCGAACTATAAGAGGGTCAGAAACGTGTCAAATGAGCCTGGCCTTGCTTGCTTCAACTAAGGGACTAGCTTGAGAGGCTTAGTCTAGTGGCGTTCCAGTAGTAAGTCGTCCGTGCATCGCGGCGGTGGTGCGATCGACGAACAACGGATGAGACGGGCCGGAAGGATCCTTGCTAGGGCAGAGACTTCCAACACGAAAAGCTCCTCGTCGTGATTAGCGAGTTTGGTGTCAAAGGGAGCGACAACGACCGGGTTGGGCGACACCGACCACTGACAAGTAGCAGAGCCAGCAATTGCAAACTTAGCGCAGAGCAATCTTTTCTTGGTGTCCTCCATAGAGGAAAGAACTTCGATAGGCCTCTGTTGCATGGGCCTCCTTGTATTTCTGGGCGCAAAAGAGCGGTAAGAAAACTCTCCTCAACGGAGCAAACACGCTGATTTCGCAACACAGATACTATTGATCTGTTATCTCTCGCCCCTTTCAGATCTTGCTCGGCAAGGGACATTGAACGCAAGGCCAAGTCACAAAAACACATGGTTAGGGAATTTCTCGAGTCTCGGGATTCCCATTCATTGATGGATTGGGCTCTCAAGAACGCTAATGTTGTGGGCAAAGGGGGCTGGCAAAACAATCAGATATTCGCTTTCCCCCGGAGATGAGAGCCCCCAGCAGGCCCTTGTTGCAAGATCCACGCAGCGTATGAATTGATCAAGGTCTAGGCGCAGTAGCCTCGCATGTTTGAGGATCATGTTTTCTCCCCTAGGATCCCATGACAAGCCGCTAAGGGACTGCTCCAGGTCTGCAGGAGCAAAATCGATGCCGGACTAAGTAATAGGGGGGTTCGTTGGAGCTGTGCCGAGGGTTCGTTTCCAGTCTGCGAGAAACATGGCCCTCGGGACTAATCCCGTCCTCGTGCTGGTCGGACTGCGTCTGCAAGGGACAGGACAGGGCTCCGTATGAGGTTCGAATCGACTGAGTAGGTACGTACCGAGTACTGGGTACCCTATGGGATAATACAAGCCTCTCTCCCGCAACCCTACGATTCTTGCTCAACGAACGGCTTCTTTCGGTGTGAGCAGCAACATGGACGTGCCACGACCTGACGGTCCTGATGTCAACAGAGGTATTTGAAATTTGCGCACCCGAGAATCATCGGAACAAAAACTGACCACCCTCGAAAGGGACGAACATCTTTATAGGATGCTGGGTACTGACTGGCTTTGTATTCTTCGTCCTATTATTTCGTTTCGGTGTGAAAGCTTGGATTTCATGGCTCCTACCAAATGTGTCGAGGCCACAGCGAGTATGGGGTCTGGAGGACTTCTTCTTCGCCCTCGGTTACGCCTTTGATATTGGTCATATGGCATTGATATGGAAGAGGCAAGTTCACAGATGATCCACGTTGATTTTCCCTCCCTGCTTCCTAGGCTCTGACACGGTACCACCACACAGTTGGGAATGGGGATTAGGGAGGCATTTCTTCTACCTGACGCCGATTCAAAAGAACCACGCAATGAAATGGGATTTCATCTCTCAACCCCTGGCAGTCTCTGCTTCGATGTGGTCGCGAACCGGCGTGATCCTCTTCCTATACACATGCTTTGCCCAGAATCGAAGAAGTCTGCGCGTCATCGTTATTGTCTGCCTCGTGGTCCAGATTGTCGCAAACCTCTTCACAATCTTACAAATATTCCTCCAATGCGGGCCCAATCCCTATCGCCTTGTCAATAGAGCAGCTTACTTCCATTACATGTGGGATCCCCTGCCGGAAGACGGCTCAGTTGTCTGTCAGGCACCGACGGTGCAAGCAACTGTGGGATACGTTCAGGGAGGTAAGTGGATGTTGTCCTCATGTTGAGGACTGAATCTGACGGCAGAGCAGCTTTCAATTGTATCATCGACTTCACCTTAACCTATCTGGCCGGTTTTGAGCTCTGGCAGTTCATGTTCCGGGGGGCTCAAAAGAGCCGGGAAAATTCCTTTGTCACCAGATTCAAGAGACTCGATCCACGGATCCGGACTCAACGGCTGTGGCAAACGTTGCTGATTTGCGGCCCGTTGATGTTGTCGGGCGTCGCGTCGATAGTCAAGACATACCTTCTCTCAGCGCTGGGAAGCAGGCTGGATTTTACCTGGAACATTGTTCCATTTATCCTCTGGGTCAAGTGAGCACACACACAGACTCTCTCTCACTCTCACACACACATATACACTCACACAGGCACCATAATGTCTGCAGTCGCACCGCCGTGTGACAATGATAGCTGACTGTGCGCGTTGTCCAGGATCGAGAACTACTCCATCCCGATCGCCACGACGGCGCCAATCCTGCGGCTCTTCATCCGCACCTTCATCGACCAACGCGGCACGGACAAGGACTACGGGCTCAGCCAGAGCGGAGGTGTCGGCGGCCGGTCAAAGTCGGGGACTCAAGCGATGGAATTGAGCAACCGCTCAAACACGAGGTCCCACATCCGGCGCGACAGCAAGGGGTTCGTGCACATGCAAGAGGCGGACGAGGGCAGCAGCGAGACGGCGCGTGGGCCAAGCAGGCAGGGCTCGGAGAACAATTTGATTGTTGTCAACGAGAACGAGATCCGCGTCAAGCACGAGTACGAGGTGCGCGTCGAGGACAAGAGCGACGTGCCCGCCGCCGTCGTGAAGAAGCCCCGTGTTCAAAGCGGCGGGGCTTGGGCCTGAGCGTGAGCTGGTGGTCGGTTGCTCGGCTGGTACGTAGCCAGGTTGGTCCGATCTGACGACCTGGCAGGAGGCACGAAGAATTCGGCAGCAGTGTCGGGTCGCGTACCGTGTTGTCCTGTGCGATGCTGTAACTGTTCTCCCCTCTCGAGTCCACGACAACCTAGCAGAAAGAGAGGTGCTGATGATCTCCCAGTCCTCTAGTGTTTCTGTCCCCAAAAAAGAAATCGGAAGGCGAAGGCGAAAAATGGGGGGAGGGGGGAGGGATACGACGAGCTTGGGTTTGTTGTCCGTCCCATTTTGTTTTGTGTACGAGTAGATGTATCGGCGAAAAAGGGGCGACGGAGGGAGGGATGGGAGCGATGTACTTAGGTCTCGTGGCATAGAAGTCAGTTTATGTTTTGCGAAGTTCAAATCTTACCAGGGGGAAAAAAAAACATGTCTGTTTTCTTCTCGATCTCTGCCTCTCTATCTCTCAAGTTAAATCCATCTCATCCTTTTTGAGCACATCTCGCCAGCATCTCGTTTCCATCTTGTAAGTAGTGCTTGCAAATTCCGTACTGGTTCTGATCCGATCACGTGTTTGATCCTCTTTCCATTCCTTTTTTTGCCTTTTTCTTGTTCCCTTTATCCTCAGGGGCCATTGGCTACTCTGAACTTCCACTGGCTGCTCCAGTTCTGCTCTTCTGTGACGGCTTTTCCACCTCACCGCCTCTGTGCTGCTGCTGCCGCGGCCCTGGTCCTGCTTCTGGTCCAGATGATCTTTTCCTCCGCCGCTTTGCGCGCCATGCTTCGAGTTGTGACTCTGCTTGGCGGGGCCGTCTGTGCTGCACGCGTTGGTCTCGTGGCAGGATGATTTCGTGCTGGAGGGTTTCTCGCACCACCACCACCACCACCACCACCAGCAGCGCCTCTCGCTCTGCCCTTTTGCCCCTTCCTCCCACCCTTCTTCGTCTTCTTGACGACTCTGTTGGCTTGCTCTTCTTCTTGAGCGTCGGCCTCTGGGGCTGCTGCAGCCTCCGCGGCAGCCGGTTCTGCAACGAGAGGGGTCTGGGGGCGAGGGGTTGGAGAATTCTGTTGCGCAACTGGAGAGCCCTGTTGCGGAGCTGAGGAGTCATCTTCAGCGGCAAGAGGAGTTTGTGACTGAGGTGGAAGTGGAGGCGGAGGGGAAGGAGACGTCTGCTGCGCCGCTGGAGAATCCGGGTACAAAGCCGTGGCGGCCTGTTGTGTCTCTGGCGGGGATTGGGCCGCTGTGGAGGCCTCTTCTGTGGCCAATGCCTCTCTAGAGGATGTCGGCGACGTTCTTTGCGGTGCTGACGGGCCTGCCTGCGGAGCTGGAGGCGGCATCTCTGGAGCTGGCAATGGCGGCTCCGGCGGCGGCAGATACGTTGCTCGCAGCGTCAGCTGACCCTGCGTCGAAAGTCTCTCTCCGTTCCACTCTGGGTCAACGTCCCAGAACCGGACTTGGTTGTATGCGTGGCCACTTCCCATGGCAGCCGAGACAATGTTGGCCATACCAAGGCGGTCGACCTCTGTAGTAACTAGTTGATTGACCATGGGGTGGTCGTCGTGATTGAATGCACGACCGCTAGGCGTCAGCGGGCAATTATCCTTGATCGAGGGGACATGCAGGCTGAAGCTGAGCTCTTCGACCGCCAGGACCCTCAGCGTGGTTGGATCGACTCGCGCGATCTTCCATGGACCTGGGACCTTGGCGCACAAGCTCAACAACTCGTAACGGGACTTGTAGAGTTGTATTTCTGGTAGTGGCTTGTGCTGCCACTCCGTGGGAAGGCGGCTTTTCAACCAGGGATGGTTGGCCAGATGGTGGTTGTACCTCTTCCAGGAGTAGCTAGGAGTCAGCATCCCTGGCGCTAGGTCGTCTCTGTACCGGTGCAGTCGAGTCCACTGGAATTCCGGCAGGGAGCCGCCCGTTGTGTCTCGAGCGTGCTGAGCAAGGACCCTGACAGCTTGACGGAAGCCCACAAAGGCATTGTAATCCTCCGGGTTGGTATTCATGATGTTGAGCACGCAGTTCCAGTCTCTGAATGGTGCGAATGTTTTGTTTTGATCAGGCTGGCCACGGCCTTCCAGGACTTTCGACAGGCAGGTGTGGATGCCCCTGAGGTCGTTGATCATTGCTTCAATCTGCTGCGTGCGCGATGGCGGTGGTGGTTGTTCTTGAGCAACGTCCATTTGCCTCCTGGTCTGGTACTCTCGCTGGGCCTGTTCGTCTTCCTCCTTGACAACTTTAACATCTCTCAGTTTCCGTGCGGGCGGATTTCCAGGCACTTCCCAGACGCTCTGATCGATCGGTCTGGCTAAGCCAAGGTCTCCGATGTAAAAGTCCGGGAGCCTGCTCTCCGGGGTCGGGAAATGCAGGTAGATGTTGCTCTCTTTCAGGTCTCCATGGGAGATGGAGGCGTTGCAATGGAGGTGTTCGATTGCTTCCAACAAATTGTCAAGAAGGTGCCAGACAAGCACTTCGGGAGCCAGGATGCGCTCGCGCTCGAGGACTCTGATGAACCGCTCGAGTGTCCCGCCGTTGCAGTACGAGAAGAGCATTGAAGTCGCCCTGAACTCCTCTGCACGTGGGTGGCCTTGAGGGAGCACCTGGAAATCTTGAGAATGCACGAGGGTCGGGATTCGAGGATGTGGGCGATAGAGGCTGACTTCGGCACAATATAGGCCGGCTTTATGGCTTGACGTTGCAGAGGTGGCCTTTGTCTTCTTCCTCACATAATCCTGGTTGTTGACAATGGAGCGAACGATGGAGGTAACTCCCTCGGCGCCTGCGCCGAGCGAACCACAGAAGAGATAACCGTCTTGTTCGGGGAAGAAGACTGCGTACTTCTCGGGAGCCATTTTTTCCAGTGGTGAGATTGGCGGACTTCGAGAACTTGCAGCGCAATAAAGTGAGCAAGAGACCTGGGAGATCTAGAACCACTTGATGAGCAGTGGCAGAGAGAAGAATCGGGGTTGCTTGAGCTTTAGATCGACCGTCGGCCGGAAAGACACTTTCTTCAAATGAAAACCAGGGAGGAAGAGACTGGCTGCTTGGAGAGAAAAGACAAGAGTGTATATATGATACTTGCGAACAAGTTTTTCAACTGGAAGTGTCTGGTATATTAAGGGTAGAAGGAACAATAGCTTGTTGTTCTAATTTTGAGATAGACAGCATCAATTGAATAAAGAGACTGTGTGGCCTGTTCGGATCAATACAATGAATCACATCTCCCTCCTATTGTGATGTCAATGTGTGGAACTGAACTCCCTTGTTGTGAAGTCATTGTCACTGTAAATTCAATGTTCTGGCCATGAATAGCAGTTCTCTCAATGGCGAGGCTCAATGAAAAAGGGGGTGCGGTAGAGCATTCACGTGACCCACCGAGAGGTTGACCCTATCTGGGCCTGTTAAACGAATATTTGCTCGATCGGCGGAAAATACTGACTGGAACGCATTTTTCGTAGGTATGTGTCTGCCGCTGATTTGTTCGGATCTCAGTGGTGCTGGTGTCGTGTGTCCAACTGTTGCTGGTTTGCAGAGCTGCACACATTCTCCTAGGACCACCAAGGCTGCGGCGCGTTTGCACCTTCACATCAACACCACCCCCTTCGTTGCTTCCCGTGCGTCAAAAGAAGATTAAAGACGGATAGGGTATCTTATACACCAATCGGTATCAGAGAGTTGTCGCAAGAATATTACGCGGTCCGAGGCTTAATGTCTGACATACTGAGTTAGAATCGCCCTGGGAAAATCAACGATTGGAACTGCATCATTTCACTTCTTACTGCGGTCTTCGTGGACAGCCTTCAAGCGCCTGAGGGCATACTATTCTTCTCTCTGACGCCGCGATTCTCTTTTGGCCTCGTGACTGTGGCGCCACCAAATCCCGACAGACCACACCGAGAGTATCTTGGCCTCTTTTTCTTCGTTGCCTCGTTGAAGTGTTCGGTTCTTGCGCACGACTTCTTCTTGTCCTCGCCAGAAAGCAAACGGTCCAAAAGCGGTGCTTGGAAAGCATAGTCTAGTGCCTCTGCTCAATCAAACCCACGACACCAAGCACGGTGGTCAGGAATGAGACCAACACCATGAGACACTGTGTAAGAGCGGTGCCGGCTTGGGATCATTTTTATGGAACTTCGTCCATAAAACACCAAAGATCGCACATAAGATCAAGCTCAGGAGCCTATGAGCTCAATAAGCCGGCCATCGATGTAATCAACTGGCTGCATGCCCCATCCTTTGTTCGAGAGTAAGCCATTGGGGACGACAAGTTGGCCTTTCAGCTTTCTTGGTACCAGAGTCAGGATCCTCGAGTGCTGTAGTGTCTGCGAATCCCAAAGGCAAATTTTAAGATACATGGCAAAATCGTCGTGGCATGGCTGGTACTGCTCTTTGTCCTTGGCGGATCCTCCCTCTGGACGAATCTGCACATACTCGCTGTCTAAGAGCAACGCAAACATATTGAATTGCGGCAATTTTGCGTAGACTCAAAGTCCGAAGTGACATGCAAGGCATCGGTCTGGAAATCCGTCGCAACATACCGAAATAGTCCAGAACTGTTTGTATTGACCTCGCGCGGCTTGATTGCTCAAGTGAAGGTATCCGTGCAACTTTCCGCAAGCAGGTGAGATAAAATGAGTCTCGACTTTGATCATTTCGAGAGTTCGTTCAGAGCTGCGCCTCAGAATCGATGTCTGCTGCGGGGTTGCCTCCTGTGGTGGCCGAGAGATCACTTCTACCACGGAGTTTCATGTAGAGAAAGTATCAATGACTTCAAGCCCGTTCTGGGAGCTTTATTTGGAGATGGAGTGGCACCGGCAGCAGTCAGTTGCGAGACATGAAGGAGCCCCTCCTCAAGGATGTGAATCACCAACTCGATTGATTCCGGGTAATCTCTCCAGATGCTGTAACACAGGCGCATCGGAGGCGACTTCGCACAGTGCCTGAGAGTATGTCGGGCTCCTTTCTTCGCCACGTCCAGAATCCAGGAGGCTCGAGCCTCCACATCTGCTCAAGACGACATGGAAAGCTCGGTTCAGACGCTATTTTCGGCGGCTGAGGTTCGATCGTTACTGAGCGTTCGGCACCATCAGCCTCATCTTGCTGGTCGATGAAAGGGCGAACTTGTGCTTGTTTCAAAATCAAGATCGACTTGCTCTTTGGCTGCATTTCTCCAAAAGGGGTTTTGGAAGAGGACGGCTATTTAAAAGGAGCCGTCGCTGCGTGCATCCTCCCGGCCATATTTCTGGCACCGATCGCAGCGACGATGACCGCGCTCCCAGCAAGCGACGTCTGAAGCAAATTTCATGGATGGGTTTAGGCTGCGTCAAGGTGTGACCATTTTTTCGGTGCATTCATAGTACTAGTAGTGAGACCTCGAAGTACATGGAAATCGAGCTCCAGAAGACTTTGGTCGGCCTCTGGGTTCGTTCCAGAGGATCTGGGGGACGAGTGCATGGAGACACCGGACCTCTGTGGTATATCGTGCGAAGAACATCCTTCTCTGCTTCTCTCTCACGCAGCAATCTGCTCCCTGATAAGTTGATTGATTGATTGATCGATGGAAAGAGAAGAGCAGCATATCTGGAGTTACAGACAAGGTTCAAATCGGTGACAGCATACCGCAGTGCTGGGACCTTTCAGCCTAGCTGGATTTGAGGTAGTCCAACATGTGTATTAGTCGAGGAAATGATATTGAGCAGCATTGATGCATGCCTGACAATCGTCTAGAAAGCTAGCTGACGCGGCCAACCACAGACATTGAGAGAAGCGTCAACGGCATATTCTGCTCTCTCAACTGTCCTTCAGATCAACTGAAACGCTTGTGCTCTTGCCATCGATCACACCATGTCCACCTGTCCCTTCTTCATTGAGTCCTTCCTCCCTCAACGCCTCAGCCTGCTCCTCGGTAAGCTGGCTGAGATCGATCGTGATTTGTGGTCCGCGGAACCACTTGCGCGCGTCGACGTAGTAGTACAGCAACGCGCCTCCCCACACGGCCGAGTTGATCACGCAAGTATAATTCATGGTGTCGGCAGCCGGGCTCGGTCCGCCAACAGGGAACATGCACAGCAGAATACCAAAGACCAGGAAAATGACGGCCGCCCAGGCGAGAGGAATCGAAGCTTTGCCCGTGTATATGGGTCCTGGGCTGAATTTCTTTTGTCCCCAGACAACGCGACAGAAGATCGGAGTGCCCCATGCGAGATTGTTGCCCGCAACAGCGAGGGAAAACAGAGCTGCGGCGGCGGCGGGGGCGATCAGACAAAGCAGGCCGAGAATAGCTGCTAGTGTAGCGCAACCAAGCGTTGTGCGGACGGGAATATAGCCAAACGCTTTGGAAATGTGTCGGAAGAAGCTGGAGAAAGGTAAAGCTCCGTCACGAGAAAAGGCCCATGCTTGACGAGAGGCGGCGACCAGGATCGAGACGCCCATCTTAGCAGGTTAGCCACAACAACGATCTCACCAACATGGGAATGGTGCAGATGCTCACCAGGAATTGAACAATCATCAGCAGGGCCATGAAACCCAAAGCTCCATTCTTGCCAAGGGCGTCGTAGTAGATCTGGGCCATCGGCTGTCCGAAAGGCGAGCCCAGAATGCTTTCCGGATCTTGCGACATGCACGCCGCGATAACAATACAACAGATCCACCCAAACAGCCAGCACGAGCCGATGGAAAAAAGGATTCCTAGCGGGGCTGCTTTCGTAGCATTGGTGGCTTCTTCGCTGATATGGACTGCCGAGTCAAATCCACCGATGGTCCAGATGGGACTGAGCCAGGAGAGCATAAAAGTCCAGCCCGAAGGCCAATTTGTCAAGTTCTCAACATGCGTAAAAATGTACGAGGCGCTGTTTCGTTTGTTGGCTCCAATCGGCAGAGCAATGATAGTGGCGAATATCAAGACAAAATTCATCACGACAAACACCGTCTGCATTTTGCCCATGATGCGGGCCATGGTTGAAGCGATGGCAGCATGGCAGGCCACAGTGGCGAGGAAGACTCCGTAGATGGTGCCGTTACTTGGCGTCCAGTTGCCATCACGAGCTATAACAATGACGGAGAGAAACATCAAGGAGAATCCGTCTATCATCAAGTTAGTCATCGGGCGGCACCGAGGCGGGAATAGAGGATAAAGGCATGCGCACAATCAATTGAACAAAGACCTCCCACCAGCCCGAGCGTGTTGCTGTATCCGACAAGGAAGCTCAAGGGATTCCGCCATTTCGGTGAGGCATAGTAATGGGTCCAGTAATAAAGCCTAGAGCCGTGTCAGTTCAAGGGCAGAGCGTACCTCGAAGCAACCGAGCAGCATCAATAAACCACCTACCCGCCACTCGTCGGCATCGAGCTCGCCAGATCGCTCATAGCAAGGCCAACGATGAAAATCCATCCCGAAGCCAGGAACCAGCCCCAAACCAACCCAACTGGCCCCGCCGGGATCGAATACGAGAGCGTACTCGCAATAGAAGGAAGCAAGCCCATGATAGCAAAGGCAATCCCAAAGACCTCGAGCATGCTGAAGTTCCGGCGAAGTTCTTGCTTATATCTAATTAAGTAAACAGTCAATCTCTATCACTTGCTGAACTATAGCTGAAAGTGGCCAAAGAGAAAGCGACCGGGAGGATATGACGAACCCCATCTTTGCTAGAACAGCAGCGTCTTCTTCGCTAGCGAGGTTGGTATCGACGACGAGGGAGCCGCGTCGCTCAGAAGGGGGGTTGATCTCTATAACATCGCGGCTATCGCCTTTGATGTCAGGATGTGCAGCAGCCATGGCGAGAGAGTCGATGTCAAAAGCAGAAGCCGTTTGGTACATGAAAGTCCACTCTCCAGGAGATTGAGAGGGATCTCATAAATGTGCGAAGTCAAACATCGGGGACATGGAAGACTTTAATACCCCTGTGCATCTATTTCGCATGGCGGGGAAGCTTGTGCTAGTGACGCTCAACCAGGGTCGCAAACCAGCGCTTTCGCCTCCAAATTACCGTCTCGCGCGAGGAAGTAAACTGGAAAACGCATGGTGCCATCCTCCACGAACGAGGAGAGAGACTGAGTCTCGGAGTTTCGCGCGACACGAGTCGATAAGTGCCAGTGCCAGTGCCCATGACAAGGAGAAGCCAGTCTAGGGTAGCTGCAGGCTGTTCGTACCGCTCTTGAAGCTGAATGGATGAAGGAACCAGAAACTACCACTCACAGAGGAAGATGCAGATAAGAGCAAAGACGATGTCATGATAAGCATTTCTCGGCCTGCTCGAGCAGCCCCCAACGGTGAAGATCAAGACACTAGCAACGAGGCCAACCGTGCCAGAAGGACGAATAGCTGTGGGTTGGTGGATCGCCATCCCAGCTATCCCACGTTGTGGCTGCACGGAAACCTTCGTTCCAACGGAGAAGCTGGCCAAAACAGTAAACAGATCCGAAGCTGTTGGCTCATGTGGTCCGTTTTCCCGGGGAGAAAGGCACCTAAATGGTATGGGCAAACCGAAGATGTTCAAGGGTCGTGGTTCATGGATCACCATTTGGTCTGGCCTGCTTTAGAACGAGGCTCACTCCATCTTACATGCACTAGTGGCCTAAGGCCTACGATCTGACCTATAACTATGTAAGGCACCCGTCAGGCCTAGAGTGCACTCGACATCGCACAGGCAGGAACGACAGAGACCCGTGGGAGAGTTGAAAATCGACATCGATGATGAGCTATGATCAAAGGCAAAGGACGCGGGTTCGGCTCGTGCTCCCTGAGCCATGCCACTCATAGTCTGTATGAGTTAATCAAATATGACCACAAAGTGGTGTTCATGCTGGTATGACAAGCCATGTCCAAGCAGCTCCGGTAGAGCTCCTGCAAGCACGCCGGCAGACAGATCATTTCCCATTTTCCCAATCAACGAATGTTTCTTTAACAGCAACCAAACCCCCCCGGTCGATATGTCCAGTGGTCACCCGCCCGAAGGGAACTTGTCCTTCCATTCTCGAGGAACAAATGAAACGAATGTAATTCGAAATGCAAACCCCCGATACCCAGTTCGGTCTCTCAATCCTCCTCAAAAACAACCGTCGTCCATGTGTGCGTCTTAGCAAACCGGATTCGTGCCATCAAGCGGACCGCTAGCGGAGCTCAGATCACAGGTCGGATAGAAGAAGGCCGCAACGGCAATGATGACGTAGGCTGCAATGAGCAACGCGCCCTCCAAGTAATTGCTTCGTCCATCGATCATCAGAAAGCTGACAATGAAGGCGCTGGCAAACAGGCTGACGGTTTCAAAAAGGCTGAAATACAAACTCATGTCGGTCTTGATGATCCACCCCAGAATGACCATCAGAGGAGTGACAAAGAGTGCGATTTGGATGCTGCTGCCCAAGGCAATATTGATGGCCAGATCCATCTTGTTCTTGGCCGCAACCGTCACCGCCGTCACGTGTTCAGCTGCGTTGCCAACGATGGGAAGAATAATCAAACCGATAAATGCTTGACTGACACCGCTATTGGCAATCAAATAATCAATGCTTCCAACCAAGAACTCGGCACATAATGCGACCAGTCCTGTGGTGGCTAGAAGAAGGACAACAGCAGAGGTGCGGGACAGATGCGTCTGAGGCTCAACAACATCATCGCTTTGCACCTCGGTAGGACCTTCTGACGACGGTGCATCATGTTGCACTGGTGCAGATATCGAGGGTAGCAATCGGTTACTAGAAACGGTAGGATGGAGGATGTCCGGCATTGAAGCAGTTCGACGCACAGGCCGAGTGGTTGATCGCGGCTGCGAAATGGGGCGAATGGGGATTGCAAGAGGTCTGCCGGTGGCTTGATGGTGAGGGAAATTGGCTGACGTGAATGCCGGCTTGACGGCTTCAGAGATGTTGCGAATGTTAAATGTTCGCTTCACGGTACCATCGTTAGGGATCTCCTGGATATCCGAAGCAAACCCAACCTGAGGTTGTACCGTGTCCGCAGTTGACAGAGAGCTCTCGTGGGTCACCGTCTCAATGACACGCCCTTTTTCCTTCTCCGACTCTTTGCTCTTCCCTTTATCTTTGTCCTTCTTGGAGCGTTTGGATTTCTTCGACTTTCGGTGGCGTCTCCTAGATTTCTCTGAAGCTTGGTCGGTCTGCACTCCGCTTTCAAAGTCGCGAGAGTGGACAGTATGTGTACGTGACCGATGACGAGCCGTCCTTCCTTCTCCGTCGATGTCAGCCTCGTCACCGCTAAACACGGGCTCTAGCTCTGCCGAAGTCGGAGACATTGCCTGGATCATCGAGCCACCATGGCCGGTGAGCATCGATGAACTTCTGGTGAATGTCGTAACCGAGGCGTTTTCTTTCGTGCTTGAAGTTGACTTGCGCCGCTTGCGGCGGAGTGCACGCCTGATGCGTTTGGTTGTTGTGTTTGAGTTGGAACTTGAATCCGTGTCGCCGTCACTCGAACTGGATGAGTCGCTTGAAGAGCTGGACGAGTTCAGGATGTCGGCGAGGACTCCAGGGTGTGACTCTTCATCAATCAGATGCTGGGGAGTACTCTGGTACATGAAAGCGTGGGATTTCAGCGAGAAGAGCAGGTAGAGGATGTAGACCAGCAAAAGCACGACGCTGGTACCTCGTGAGACTTTCAATACCACGTGATCCGCCTTCACAGCGCTCGAGAATGAGGCATGGAATGCTGTCTGTGGACAGGTTAGTCGGAAAGCCCGAGGTTAGGGGGGTTCGTTTTCCTTCCCAAAACTTACTGGCAAAAGGAGACTGATGACGCTCAAACACAGCAGACATGCGCTCATTTGAGACACAGTTGAGTTGTACAGTTGTTCTCGAAATCGAAGACCGCCGGCCACGAAACACATGCCCAGGATCAAAAGCAGGTTCGACAGGATCGAACCGAGGGCGGCGGCTTGGACCACGCGCACTTCTTTTGCTGCGAGAGCAATGATGAAGATAATCAACTCGACGGCATTCCCAAAGGTGACATTCAGAAGAGCACCAATGGTATCGCCCAGTTTGATGGCAACGCTCTCGGTTGCATAGGAGAGAAGGGAAGCCAGAGGAATAATGGCGACTGCATTGATGGCAAATACAGCGCTGGGGCTTACAATCCGGCTGCCCATCCAGTCGACAATAATCCCCAATATGATGCCAACCGGGACAAAAACAAGGAGCCAATTGACCCAGCTGGAGAAGAGGATGCGCTTGACATCGCGGAAGAAACGATTGACCAAGGGCGCTTTGTCCTTGGGGGGAGGATTGCCTATGGGGGAAGATTGCGTTCCATCTCCTTTCTCGTCCACAATCGGTGGATTTTGTTGCTCTTTATCCGTTCTTCCATCGATGGGTTGGTCTGGATTTGTTGCAGGACCAGCTGCAGAGGGGCCGCTCCCAGCATCTTGTCGGCGGGTGTCTAGATCGTGTCGCGCGGAAGTAGATTGGTCCGAAAGGTCGGGGAGATTTCGATGGGGAGTCGGGGACGTTGGCGCTGAGGGAGTCTTGGTCTTAGCCCATGAGATTAGACGACTTGACAGCGGAGGCTCGTCGGCGGAGTCGACCATCGGCGTATGAGTGGGCGTGCAAGAAAATAATGAACGAGGTGTAACAGACTTGCTGTCAAAGCAGGGGCACCGAAAGGGGGGATGATGGTGGAAGGTAATATTATGAGAGGAAAGCGCAAGGAGGCGGGGAGGAGACCTGAGCCTAAAAGGCAGCAGTGCGCAGGCGTGGTAAGTTCGTGGGATAAGCGTGGGAGAGGGCAGGAAGGTCGCGGATCAGTTGCCAACGCGGTGACGGGGCTGGCTCGCTGGTTCTAGGCGTGGATAAGGGTGGTGGGAAGCCTGGTGGCCCTGGGAACAATTCCAAGGAATCAATCGTCCAGTTAAGACGTGGCCAGGGGAGTGGCTGTATGGGTGGTGGAGGTGTGTTCCTCTGCCTCGCTGTTGCGGTTGGTCGCTTGACAGCTAGACGACTTGGGTGCCCGCACCTCGCCTTTTCTTGTTCGCTGCTCGCGCTTCTCGGGGAGGAGGCGTGTCGCCTGCGTGTTCAAGTCGTGGAAATGAGGTATGCCGAGTCTTTAGGCGTTGAATTGGTGGGAGGGGCAGCTGGTGGACGGGGGAGCCGTGGTGGGTTCAACGTGAAGCTTGCAAGTTTTTCCCTGGCATGGGATGCCAGAGAGGGTTTATAATTTTTGCTTGTTTGCCAGAATAGAAGTTGTTTGTGGTATACGAGGTACATGTGATGCTATGAAGGCGAGTCAATTGATGATTGTTCCGCTGTGAATGATCGCAGCCTACTGGCGAGCTGGCGAGCTGGGTACGATGGAGGTGCGGAATCGGATCGGATTATCTTATCCGCGTCCGCTAATCCTTTCTGGGCTGCTCATCAACAGCCCAAGCGGTACTGTACTCCAGCGCCCATTATTGTAACTAGCTAGGTATATAGGGATGGGCTGAGTGGCGCTTGGGCAAAGGCAAGCAAAATCGTTCGATCGCAAGGTCAATGGCGAATCTGAGTTGATAGTCATTTTCTTGGGAGTACTGGGTACGTGTTGCTGTCTGGTGCCTCTCTTGCTTCACCATGGCTCTCAACCATTTGCATTTCCGTTTCTAGTGGCAGCGCAACCTCGAGACTGTCTTCTACTCAGTGGCCACCTGACGCATATCGTTATCGATAGTAGGCCCTGATATATCAAAACTGTAGATCGAATTCCAAAGCTCGGTTCAACGAACCAGAGGTGTAAAAAGATCTAGGTTGTCCCACCTGGGCGTCGCTGTCTGGTGGACTGCGGTGACTTGCCTACCCTAGCCGAGAGATCAATCTGGGTTCAACAGCCGTTGTTCTCAGCGGTCGAGAACGCAGAATCCTTTCTGCTCACACCGCATGAGACACTGTACCAGCTGAGTATGGCATCGCTTGCGTTGAGTATCCTCGCATTCCCAACTAGCCTACATGATTTTTCCTTCATCTAAAGCAGGCAGCTTAACCCTGGAGTTGCCAAAGCTTTTCAATGCACAGGGCATACGCCGCACTGCATGCCAAGTACCGGATAAGTACGGAGGCTTCTCACGAACAAAGGCCGAGGGTGCACTGCTGCGACTGCTATGGTAAGAGTTCAGTGCCGCACTGATCGTGCTTCATGGTTCGGGGAGGGACGGGGGACTTTGGTGGGCCTTTCAGGCGGCGCATTTTCGGGTCAAGCGCCGAAGTTAGAAGGATCACGATTGAGGACCAGCATGGTCTCATGTGGAGGAGGGTCGCATGATCGGAAAGTGCAAGAATGCCATTCCTTTAGCATCGAAGCTGAAAGTGGGTGAAAATAGGGGGTGAGCAGCGAGGCAGAGAAGGACAAGGTAGAAATGATGGAAAAAGGTGGACTGATCATGACGTCCATGACTGCGCTGGAGTCAATGATGTGCGCAGCTGCGCAGCTGCGCAGCTGTGCCCAACACCCCCCCCCCTCCCCCAAGAACTTGGTCGGTCTGGTCGGTATACACACTCTACCAGTAGTGACTGCGTCCTCTTCATCCAGCTGGCAACGGGCAAAGGTCAAAGGTCAATTCTCCATCGCGATTTCCAACCCGGCCGTCTCAATCTGATTGGCAAAACACCTTCTTCAACCACCCGCATGCTCAACACCGACTTTCATCCACTTCCTACCATCCATTATCCACCGTCATTATTATTACAATGAACTGTGCCCAGATTCCCATCCCAGATCAACACTCATCCCTGAAAAGGAACTCTCGGATCATTTTCCCGCCTCCAATACACCCAGCGGTTCACTGTGGATGGCCTGGAGTCCACTATCGAGCTAGCCTCCTGCTCCAACCAAACACTCGACGGCCTTAGTGAACGGTTGTACCACCGAACAACCTCCTCATCCAGTCCATGTCGCCAACCCTGCTTCTCGCCTTGCCGCTCAAACTTTCCTTCCAGCTCTAACCTGCTTACTTTCGGTTGGACTTGTTGGCAAGACGCATGCGGACTGGCAACGCCTCCTATGTCAGTCCGGATCCCTGCCAGCCCTGATTCCTGAAATCCCATCTCGCGACCTGCGAACCTTCCCTTGGCTCACCCTCCTGCGAACCCTCCCTCCCCACTCCGCCACACATTTTCAGCATCTGCTCGGATGATCTGATTTTAGCCACGATTGGCCCCGAGAATGCGCGTTCTGAATGACCCTCCCTCCGGATACCCACGACATTCCAAAATGTCCTCCTTCCCGCGACCCCCTCACCGCTGCCGAACATCTCTCTTCTCCATCATTGAAACGTTCTCATCACTCTGCCATTAGGTCCCCATCTTCCGATCAACCTGGCCTCAAGTACGCGAAGCGATCTTCTTCCAATGGGTCAGCAGCCTCAAAACATGGTCACCTGAGAGGGGAGCGGCGTGGTCGACGGGATGGGCAGGAGGAGGACGAGGACACCAACTCTACCCGTTCGGACATGCAGCCCTCTGCAGGAGTAGATAAAATATCCTTTCTGGAGGCCGCCGCGACGACGCTCGGTCAAAGAGAAGAGGTGCCTTCTTCTTCTTCTTCTTCCAGAATACCAGTACCGGGTAGAGGAATGGCTGCGACTTCAATACCGGTCAGGATCTCCCCTCAAGCCAGCCGTGCGGGAAGTCGACATAAACGTGCATCTTCAGATACCAGAAGGCCAAACGAGACACAATTGTTGCATGCTATTCCCCTCATCGAATACCTGCAATTAGACGAGCGGCCAACTTTTGTAGTTGATATCGTCGACACTGTCAATCTCAACCCCTCTGGTCTCAATTTGATCTTTGCAAACACCGCGCTCAAGTCCCGCAATTCTCTATTCGACCATGTACAAGGACGGTCCGAAGACTCTACTCAGTTACTAGATTTGGGAACTCCATTCTCGGATTTCAAGGCCTGGGCTCTCAGCCCCCTAACAGAGCCCGATATCGTCCCGACATTTCCTTTTGCCGGATGGCTGTGGCAAGGCGCCCTAATACGAAAAAGACTGAAGGTCATCCATGGTCGGCAACATCCTTTTTCCACCCCTTTGGTGGCGGATGGTGGTGGTGGTCGGCTCGGTATGCAGCAATATCAAGGCCTTGGTTCAGCGTCTGCGTCCACCAGTGGAGGCGCTCGCGGGGACACCGAATTGCAAAGCTACTTCGACATTCCCCCGCGCACCAGCGGCGAGGTGCCACGCACTCTCAATCGCTTGGTGACAGAAGCTATACCAGACGTCTCCCCGAACGGTCTCGACCCGACATCACCTGTGCCGAGCGGGGATCTGACATACTCGGAGCTCTTGTCGGGCTCTTTTCAGGCAAGCTCCGATCAGAGAGTGATCTCGGCCGGCGCGCACATTAATCTAGACACCGACATGGTAACTGTTGACGAGAAAGGGTATTTTGATTGGACACGTTTGCCCATGTCGCCCTCTCTCCCAGCGCATATCCGATTTGCCAGAGGCGTTGACTGGAGTGCCACTAGTCTGGGCCCGATCCAGGACTGGTCTGTCGAACTTCGGGGGATGTGTAACTTGATCATGGCCAGTCCGCACCCTTCAGCCATGTACTGGGGACCAGACCACATAGCCATATATAACGAAGCCTATGTTCTGCTGGCAGGCCAAAAGCATCCGGCGTTGATGGGCGCGCGCTATCGCGATGCGTGGTTTGAGATCTGGGACGCGTTGAAAGGAGTCTTCGACAATGCTTTCAAAAACGCTCAGGCGACCATGAAAGATGATGACTGCCTCTTCATTATGCGCAACGGCTTCTTGGAAGAGACCTATTTCTCCTGGTCTATAATCCCGCTTATTGGAGCCGATGGCGGAGTCGTTGGGCTGTATAACCCGGCATTTGAGAAGACGCGTCGCAAGATTGCGGAGAGGCGCATGCTGACACTGCGCGAGATTGGCGAACGGACGGCTGCGGCCCGAGAAGTCTCTCAGTTCTGGGGCTTGCTGCTTCAAGGTCTCGAATACAACGAATACGATGCTCCAATGGTTTTGGTCTATTCTCTCAACGAGGACTTGGCGGAGAGCGAAGTCGCTTCCTCGGGCTCCAGCGGCGCTGCCTCCAACAAAGTTTGCTACCTCGAAGGCAGCTTGGGTATTCCCGCTGGCCATAGATCAGCACCTCCTGTTATTGACATGAAGACGGGCACCAGGGGTTTTGCCGCTTCATTTAGACAGGCACTCACAACCGATAGACCGATCGTCCTCCGGGTCGACGACGGCAGTCTCGACCCCGACATGCTGGAAAATATTGAATGGCGAGGATTTGGCGATCCCTCCAAAATCGTGGTGATATCACCCATCCATCCTACTACCGGGGAGTCAACCTTGGGGTTTCTCGTTATGGCTACAAACCCAAGACGACCGTACGATGAAGATTACGATCTGTTTGTTCAGCTTTTAGGCCGCCAGCTCGCCACTTCGATTGCATCAGTTGTCTTGTTTGAGGATGAAATCAAGAAAGGCGAGAGAGCCGCTCAGCTGGCGGCCCAAGACCGGATTGAGCTCAGTAATCAACTTTTGGCCAGGACTCAACAAGCGGCCGAGGCAGAGAACAAATTCGCGAGAATGGCGGAACTTGCACCAGTCGGAATCTTCATCGGGAACCTCGACGGCAAGATCAACTTCGCCAACGATGCCTGGTATAATATCTCTTCGTATCCTCGTGACGTGCCGGTTGACAACGAGTGGATCGAATACGTTCTAGAAGAAGATCAAGCGAAAGTCCGGGAGTTGTGGACCACTATGCTGGAGAAGAGATGTGCAATATCACTGGAATTCCGCTTCAAGAGCCCATGGGGGGACAAGCTCGGAAACACGGGGCAAACCTGGGTACTTACTAGTGCTTCACCTGAACGAGACGAGGACGGGCGAATCCGACAAATCTTTGGGTCAATGACTGATATCAGTGCACAAAAGTTCGCCGAAAGTCTACAGACCCGTAGAATGGAGGAAGCCGTCGAACTCAAGCGCAAGCAAGAGCGGTACATCGATACTACCTCGCACGAAATGCGTAACCCGTTGTCCGCCATACTGCAATGTGCTGATTCAATCACCGGCTCCCTAAGCGAGATGCGGGATGCCAACGGGCTGACCAAACCTCAGCAGGAAATTCTTGACCTCACTATCGACTCTGCTCAGACTATAACGCTATGTGCTCAGCATCAGAAAAGGATTGTGGATGACGTTCTAACGCTGTCGAAGCTGGATTCGGCCATGATGGCGGTCACTCCTGTCGACACACGGCCTATAGCCGTTGTACACAAGGTGCTGAAAATGTTTGACGCAGAGTTGAAGACGGCAGACATTAGATTGGAGTTGAAGATCGACACGTCCTTCACAGCCCAGGAAATCGATTGGGTCCGAATAGATCCACATCGGCTTTCACAAGTCTTGATCAACTTGATGACCAATGCGATCAAATTCACCACGACGCAAGAGAATCGAGTCATACGCATGCACATTGCCGCTTCGGAGGAAAAACCGTCTCAAGAGGACAAATGGAGACTCACGTATATCCCTTCTCGGTCTCCCAAGGAAAAAGATGTAACCGCAGCCGCAGAATGGGGCTTAGGCGAGCCCGTGTATCTCCATTTTGCAGTGCAAGATACCGGACGTGGTCTGGATGAACTGGAAAAGAAACAGCTCTTCCAGCGGTTCTCTCAAGCTAGTCCCCGCACGCACGTCACATATGGTGGCTCCGGCCTTGGTCTCTTCATTTCCAGAGAACTGGTCGAGCTTCAGGGGGGTGAAATCGGCGTCGCCTCGGAGAGTGGAAAAGGGAGCATATTTGCGTTCTATATCAAAGCTCGCCGTAGTAAGGGGGATATTGCCACCCTGGAAGAGATCCCGGGTTCTTCAGCACCACATAGCAGGAAGGCATCCAAGACAACGCCGCTGACGGGCCTGGCCATGCAAGTGCTCCAACCACCATCTGGAGCTTCGCTCGCTTCTGCGAAGACAGCCTCCGCCAGTCTAACCACGCAAGCCGACGCCGTCCACGTTCTCATCGTCGAAGACAACTTGATCAACCAAAAAGTACTTGCAGCACAGCTTCGCAAGATCGGTTGCGTTGTCCATGTGGCCAACCATGGGGGCGAGGCCATTGAGCAAATCCGCAAGTCAAAATTTCATAGCGACCATGTCACGGATGGTGTCAAGGTCGACGTTGTGCTCATGGATCTGGAGATGCCTGTCATGGACGGGCAGACTTGCGCACGGAAACTCCGGGAGATGCAAGAGACTGGAGAATTGGTAGCGCACGTCCCTGTCATAGCAGTCACAGCGAATGCGCGAGCTGAACAGATCGAAATGACATTGCAGAGCGGAATTGACGATGTCGTGAGCAAGCCGTTTCGGCTGCCTGAGCTGGTGCCCAAGATGAAGGACGTTCTCGCCAAGTTCAAACGAGATGGTGAAAGAGTGTAGGTCTTCTCGGCAACCATCTATTTAAAAAGGGAGCAGAGTCAGATTTTACATGGTACCTCGCATCGCGGTTTCTACAAATCACGGAAGTATACGGCAGGATCGGGATGCCTAGCATCACAGACCCTTGAGGTCATATTGAGCATATCATGTCTGGACTACAGCAGACCAAATCCACCGACGCACACAGGAAGACGATATGGAAAGGCCGGCCTGCGAAACTTGATCACCTCTTTCGAATGGGGGGAATCGGATATAAATTCCTCCTCCTCTACGAGAACCGAAGGATCATAAGGCAGAAGAGTCTGCCTTGGGCTCGATTCTATGACAGCACACGTGGGCCATCTTCTCAACGCCTTGGTATGAGCAAAAGATAGGCGCTGGCACCAGAACTCCAGATGACATTCAAGTGGGGGCGTCGATGATGAGACGAGCTATATGAAAGGAGCTTAGACAGTACAATAATACCCATTACCTATTGCAGTTTACCACAACCTTTGTGTGGAGTCCACGGTAGGCCAGTATGTGGGTAAGAACCGGCTAATCGTCCCAGTTCCGTCGGATCTCATCTGTGGATGGCTCACTTCACCAACCAAAATGTCATACATAATAGCCGGATAACCAGGGAGGTACATGGCGAGGCAGTGAAGTCGGTACATACGGAGTCCTCTCTTCGGCACCACTCGAGCTTGAGCTGTGTACTTGAGTAGTTCAAAGAGGAAGGGAAGGCAGATAGATAGATAGATTGGTTGGTTGACTGACACCTCCCTTCCATCCCTACATCCCTCCCTGTCTTCCTTGTCTCGCCGGTCTTTATTTTTTTTTTTTTTTCTCTCCCCTTCTTCTCCTTCCCTTCCGTGCGAGACTCGCGTGCTACATACAGTATATCAATAAGGATAACGCCCTCCCACATCTCCCTCCCTCTCTCTCCCCTTCCCCCCTCCCACGGGCGGGCAGGATCCAGCTATAATGCTAGAGCTGGTATGACGACGGTGGCTCGCGCCACTCCAAGGACGGTCTTCCTCGCAAGGGCTGTTCTCCGCATTTTGCATCATTCCTTCGCCCGCATGCATGGATCGTCCCGACAGCCGACTTTGCCGAAAAATCCACAGAGATGGAGAAAAAGAAAAGGGAAAGACTCCCGCCCCGAAAACGCACCCTTCATCGACTCGCACAAAGGCGTTGGGCTTCCTGTTTTTGACCTGCACCCCGGACCGGGCACCGGCCTTTGGCGCTACGGCTGTCGGCTTTTTTTTTGGGCCAGTGAGAGATGCTGGGGGGGGGGCTGGGGGACTTTTGTAGGGGAGGTATGGAGGCGGTGGGTGTAGGGAGATGGACGGATGTCGGGGTCGGGGAGGAGGGTGGGTTTCGGTGTTCATGTTTGGTAATGGCATATATTTTCCTGTGTGTTATATCATATATCATCCCTGGGCCATGCATCCGACCGTATATAAAGGCATATACAAAGATACACCTGGGATGTGTACATATATAGCCACGGAGGAAGACTCGTGGGTTGTGTCATTTTTTTTCCCTCCAAGACTTGGGGTATTGATTAATTGACCTTTGGCACTCTGCGCTTTTTTTTGCCTTTGGATTCCTCGGACGCGGGCCGACTTGGGTGAACAGGACACACAGTCAAGGTTTGCGAAGTGTGCGTCCTAGCTACTATTGGTACATGACCTAGATCTGGGCCCTTTATCTCGCTGGCTGTGGCATCTGTTCAACAACGTCCATGGCCTCGCACCCATCGTCGGCTGTAACGAGGGAAGAATATCGCCGGTCTAGGACAACCACGTCAGGGTCATGTCGACATCTTTCTCAATCGAGATAGTCGGGCAGTCCGGGAATGTGGACAACTCACACGGGGGTAGGTCTCCTCGATGCTTTCTTCGTCATCTTTAATCTCTCGCCTTCCCCGTCGAGGCGGGATACACCAGCTGGTTTGGATGAACATGAGTTACTAACTGATCCAAAGTGCCGGTGTCCATCGACGATAAAGACAAAGCCACTGCGGTAGAGTCTCCTCCTCTAGAAGAGGACGCCGTTACTGCTCCCCTGTCGGTACCTCCTCCTGACGTTGGTCTCCAACCGTGGCTCCAAGTCATCGCCGGACACTTCCTCATGTTCAACACCTGGGGTCTGGTGGTCTCGTACGGCTCCTTTCAGACATACTACACGTCGACAACCCCGCCACACAGCTATCCCTTGGGAGACGCGTCCAAGAACGCGTCCGCGATTTCCTGGATCGGGTCCATCCAAAACACCCTCTTGCTGGTTGGGGCCGCGCTCAGCGGCAAGTACTTTGACGCCGGATACTTTCGCCAATTGGTCGGCCTGGGCACAGCTCTCGTCGTCTTCGGGACGCTGATGACCAGTTTTGTCAGGGAATACTATCAAGCGGTCCTGGCGCAGGGCGTCTGTATCGGTCTGGGGATGGGCATGTTGTTGGTCCCGAGCGTGGCGTTGCCGAGCACCTGGTTCCAGCAGCGGAGAGGCCTGGCCGTTGGGACCGTGAGCTCTGGGGCGTCGCTGGGCGGTATTGTGATTCCCATTGGGTTGCGGCACAGTATCTCGTCCGTGGGATTTGGGTGGGGAGTGCGCATTCTGGCGCTGATATCGCTGGTGACTTTAGGGGTGAGCAACCTGTTGATCCGGCAGCGTCTTCCACCCAGGCCGAGGAAGGGGTCGCGGTTCATCGAGTACCAGGCGCTGCGGGAACAGAGGGAATTCGCGCTTTGGATCACGGGCCAGTTCGTCACGTACTTTGGGTTCTTTGGCTTCTATAACTATGTGGAGGCGTGGGCCGAGTCGATCGGCCTGAACCGCGATGACCGCTCGGACGGGTTTCCCCTCGAATACTTGCTGCCGGTGCTGAACGCGTCGAGCATCCTGGGACGTCTGATTCCGTGTTTCATCGCCGACTATATCGGGCCCTTGAACATCCAGGGTCCCGCGCTCTTCGTCACCGCGCTGCTCGTCTTTGTCTGGATACCCTGCCACACTATCGGTAGCCTACTCGCCATCACGGTCCTGTACGGCTTCTTCTCGGGCGCGGTCATCGGCACACCCCCGGCGGTCGTGGCTAGCATGACGGAAGACCTGCGCCGGTTTGGAGGGCGAATGGGCGTCATGTTCCTGGTGATGGCGGGTTCGTCACTCGTGGGACCGCCGGTCATGGGCGCCATCATCGAGATGCACGGCGGATCGTACAACGCGGCGAGAGTGTACGCGGGGAGCATGGTCATGGGCGGAGCATTGTTTGTGTGGCTCGCGAGGGTGTCCAAGACTGGCTTTAGAGTGGCCGTCAAAGCCTGAACTTGAGGGTCTAAGACTCTTGTTTTTCTCCATCCGTGCTCCGTCTCAAAAGACAAGCTATGTGTTGAGTCAGTGACGAAGATGACACCCATTTCATAACGCTTACTTCCCATACAGGAGTTTCTTTGTACGCCAGCATTGTCTGAATGCTCTGCCGCCGGAACCCATCTAACGAGCTCTTGGTAGCTCGGTATCAATCAGCCACGGTCTCTGCGTTAGACAGGTTTCGCTGTCTGCAACAGACGCATTGACGAAGAGAGTCTGCTCGTCCTCGGGAGGATGCTCATCTCCCCAGCAGTGGCTGGTCTTGCAGCATCTGGCCTACCTATAGCGTTCCAACTTTCCTAACCTCTGGGCTGTTTCCCCCTGTGAGTCGAATCTGGATGGTTAAGGTTTGCGAGTCGTCCGATCACATGGGACCTGTTATTTTCGATCGCGGTGAAATGAGTCTGTCGGTCGCCGTGCGTAAACTCGCCAGGTCACCAACCACGCACCCCAGCCTTCGTGGATATGGCCGAAGCAGTGTACCCGTGGCCGGGCTTGGGCAACAGCGGCGAACAGAGCGGCGAACAGATCGGCGCACCCAGCTCTTTCTCGGCCGTGAGTATAGTCCATGATGCCCTTCGGTGGCCCATGGGTGATGACCACGTCAACGCCTTCCTGGATAGCGAAGTTGTGACCACGGTCTGGGTGGTATTGAAATCCGCACGCACCTAACGACGGGGTGTAAGGGCTGGCATACACGGTCAGATGCGCCCCGTTTTGGAGAGTGAAGTGATGGGTGCCTTCGTCCAGGAGAATGATACCTATGTCTTTGGCATCTTCCCACAGCCGCCTTGCCCCTTCGATCGCGCCATATTCCTTCTCAACGAGCTTCAGATCGAGAGGCGGTGTTGCTTCGGCGACCTTGTTCCGAAAAGCGACGTCGCCCAGTGTGAAATCGTGGTTGGCGGAGATGGCAAGCTTCAAGGGCGCATCGATGTCTTTCAAGAGGTTTGTGGTGGTTCAAAACTCGTACAGCTTGGAGCCGTCGGTGAGATCGCCGCAGTGGATGGCCACACCAGCGCGGGGAAGAGGTTTTTCGGCAGGGTTGAAGTCCGTGCCATGTGTGTCTGATAGGATTGGGAGACGAGTTTTGACGGTAGCAGTATCCATGTCACAGAGTTGTGTTGTGTCAGCGATACAGAAGAGGTTGACCCGGAAACGTGGAAAATTATGCCACGAAGGACTGCCAATCGACGAGGTTGAAATATGTATAATCCTGGCGCAAGCTCTGAAACAGATCATGTTATACTTTTTGTGCAAATCCGGTACTTCAGTCATATCTCAGATATAGAGGCAGCCTGTCCCTTGGAGTTTGGTCTTCATTCAGCGCCCACATGTTTGCAGATGGCGCGCTTCAGATGGTCAAGTAGTATTCTGTGGTGCGGCTCGCGTCCACTCATCGTCACTTCATTCAGCTTTTCTTTCTCTTGGAAATGTGAGCGAGACTCCTCGCTAAAGCTTATGGCTTTTGACGAGAGCGAGTTCTGTCAAGATGGCGCTGAAGGCACAGGTCAACGACGAAAACAGAGAGTTATTTACTCCAAATGCCATCATCAGAATAATGAACCGAGCAGAAATGAGTCGTAAATCCCAATCCGTTATCAGACTAACCGGAGTTGACGGATCTCGACAGAGATACACTACTCTGGCCAGCAACCTGGCTTGGGACCCTCGTCGTGCAGCAAGGGCATCGAGTTGTGCATCGAGTTGTGCAGCAAGCGCTTGGTAAATCAAACGATGTTTCAGTTCGATTAGAGTCAATGATTCGAGTTCGGCGACCATGTTGCTACAACGATCTGTATCATTGATCCACTGTTCGATTTCATCGCGCCGGGGTACGGGTCATCTTCAACACTTCCAGCCGCGAGGATGCGGCGTCAGAAATCGCCGGATGGTCTGCCTCGCGCACCTCCGCGACAGCCTGCAAGGCTTGCGGCTGTTGAATCTGTTGAACATGCGAAGCAATGAATTGTATCTGCAGACTGGTAGAGAGGAGAGGTGTAGTGATGTCCAGTGATGTCCTGCAAATCATCGATGAGTTCTTTCACATCTGCAATCAGGCTGAGAAACTTCTTCCGATCTCGCCCCACCCATTGTCCTTTTCCCTTGACACTGGTGTCGAGCTTGGTCGTGTCGAGGGAGAATTGGTTGAAACATGTCTACAGATTCTAGCCGTGGGCTGAGGCTTGTGGTACAATAGTCAAAGCCGTCGTAGCAGCCAACTGTGAATACACACAGCACCCGTAGCAGCCTTGAAGTTTTTCACTGTCGGAGAAGAGTGGTAGGAGCGTCTGCAAGCTCTCGAGAACCAAGGATTTGAATTCAGTAGAGTCGAGAAGGCGAGGCCGAGACTCGTCTGATAAGACAGTGAGGCCCACGTTTTGGCCCCATGTGTAGAGGCGGCACTTTTCGACATTCAGCGCCAGCACAGCCTTGTGGAAGTCGAGTTTCCTGTGATTTTGCGGCTTGAACCACATCGAATGCATCAATACATGCTTTGAACAGTCCAGCGATGGTCAATGTGCTGGCAACGATGCCGATCACTTCAACCTTGATGGCCAATGAAACATTGACAACAGTGGCGTAGAAAGTGAGAGAAGAGTTGAAACCAAAAAAAGAAGAGAGCACCAAGAGTGCCTTGCTGTCGAAGTTGTCACTGCCAAGCGCGCACAGCCTCCTCTTTCTCCATGCATCACATCGCTCTATCCAATGGTGAAGACAAGCTTGCAGCGCTTAAGAGCACCCCGAAAACACCTTAAACATCCCTGAGAGACTGAAGGCTCCTGTACTCGTTGACCAGCAGCTGCCGTTCGACAACTCATAACACTCACACGCGCAGAGACCAGAGATAGTCAAGACTTAAGAGCCATCCACAGACCCCCCCCCTTTTCCTGTAAGATCTTGACCGGCCTGGTTGATGGGTGCCGCAAAACGATCTTCAGAGCTGAGTCAGTGGATTATGTAGAGACTTCATTCAGCCTCGCCGGCATTTCAAGGCTGGCCAAAAGACCAGGAAGAAAAGACGCCATGGCCGATTCCACCACACCATCCCGGGGCTTTGAATTCACATCCCACCCCTCCGTATCGCAATTCGCCGTGCCGTTCCAGACATACGTCGCCAACCAGGCCGCGCTCGTGGAAGGCCTGAACTACGAATACGTCGCCGTGGGTGCTCTTGTCTTCGCCCGCTTTCCCGCCGCAACTGATACCCTCAACTCTACTCGCACTGAGCACGGCAAAAACGACGAACTCCGGGTCCTCCTCGTCCAGCGCGCCCCTCACGACTCTGCGCCACTTCGCTGGGAGGTCCCAGGCGGCGCGTCCGACCGCGAAGATCCCACCATCCTGCACTCCGTTGCCCGAGAGTTGTGGGAAGAGGCTGGGCTGGCCGCGAAAAGCATCAGGTCGCTTGTTGGCCAAGGGCACGTCTTTCTCACGCGGGGTGGCAAGAGAGTGTGTAAATTCGAGTTCCTCGTCGAAGTCGAGGGAGATGGATCCGAGGCGTCAAAGATAAAGCTGGATCCGAATGAGCATGTGAACTCAGTGTGGGCGACCGAGGAGGAGTGTCGGGATGGCAGGATGAAAAGGGAGAATATAGAATTGGCATTTACGACTTGGCAGCAGAAGCAGACTCTGTTAGAAGGGTTTAGGTTGCAAAAGGAATTGAATGGGATGAGCTTCACTGGGTAGGGGGTCTACAATGTTCTCATAGTTCGACTGATCACCCAGAAACAGGCTGGAAAAGCCTCAGACGCAAATTTATAGCCATAAGACAATTATGGCATTCTGGTCTCATTAATAGTTGTTGCTTTTCATGTTACCTGCCCGAGTGATCCTCAAAGTTTGTGGTTCCTTTGCTGCAGCTGCTGTATGAAACCTCCGACGCCCCATAACCTTGCACGAATGTTCCCATGCACGGCTTCTAATGCATATTAACTCATGGTATCAGCGTATCCTCAGTTCGTTTCCATAAATCATGCTGAAGTGGACACAAGTTTGCGCTCCAGGCTCTTCCGACTGGAGTTGTGCGTTCCGTTGGTCACGGCAGCGGGAGGATCTCCCACTGACGACGCGCCATTTCCATAGCCGTTCGTGGTGCCGGCTGTCGGGTGTAGACCAGCATCGCGCTCCACATCGCCCTCGCTCTTGTTGAAATAACGTTCTTGATGCACTGCACCCGTGTTGAACCCAGCAGCTTGGCCCCTGAGACCATGAGCAGCATCGAAGGGCGCGCCGCCATAATGCTCTTCGTATCCCCACCCTGCTTGTCTGGTGAAGACTGCAGTTTCGAAACCTCCAGCGCCTGCAGCGCCTGCGCCGAAGGAGAACGGAGTGTGGCGAGTTAAGGGAATATGGTTGAATCTGAAGTCCCAGACGGAGGCATAGACCATGCGATAGCTTGAGATCGAAAAGACCGACCCAATAACGGCGCCCGCAAAAACGTCGTACCAATTGTGGTATTCGTCAATGGTGAGGGCACCACCAATCAGACAAGCACCGAGCACGGGAGCATACGTGACAATGAGTTTCCAGAATGCTGGGTGGTGGTTGCTAAACACCTTCAGTTTGGCGTTGAGGTAGAAGTAGAGGTAGAGGAAGCCACCAAATGCAGCGGTAGTGTGACCGGATGGCATAGATTCGAGTGAGTCGTCGATCTGGTTGACATCTCCCCGGCAGATATTTCTCTGGAACATGATGTTTTGGAACCCTCCACCAGGGTGAGCCGCCATCAACGCTGGGTCTGGGTCACAGACGCTCAAGAAATGGGGCCGCAATCCGCCAATAAGCCATTTGATGAAGACTTGAAACACGGCCGCTCCAATGAGGGAGTACAAGAGACCGATGATTGCATTGTTGACGTCCCAGAAAGAGCGAATCCGAATTTGCATACACAGGATGACGAAGATTGGGATCAGAGAGGCAAGAAGGGCAGCAAGCCAGATTGGGACGATTTCATGGCGCAGCGGATAGGCAAACTCGGGATAGACAATCTCTCCATCAGAAAAGGTCACTGGAAATGAGCGGCTCGGAGCAGGTTTGGCTTCGTAGACTCCGAGGCCGATGGCGCCCATCGCAGCCATGGTTAAAATATCCAGCCACGTGAACTTCAGCCTGTCCATCCGTCAGATCTTGCGCCATGTCTGTCTGGGGGGAGAGATGCTAGGGCTTACCATTGCCCGAAGCTCGGTCTACGGTTGAAGTCGCCAGAGTCAATGTCGAAACGTCCCGGACGGGCTCGTTTTTCGTGACGAAGAGCATGACCATTGTGAGTATGGCCGTTTGCAGCTGGACCTTGAGCTCGGCGGGAAAAGAGACCCATCTTGACGGTTGAGATCGATATCAGGTACGAAGGAAGGGCTGATGATCACCTAAGAGGGGGGACGTGCAGAAGTCTAAGGTTGAGGAAGAGATTGAGAAGGGGAAACGAAATGGTGAGATACCTGTCTTGACGTCGGACAACTGCAGAGGTTGACAACCGCGCCTGCCTGATCACAGTGAAATCAAAGTAACCGAAAACAGCGAGGCGGCATTGGAGTATTTCAACTTCCTCCTGTGCTCGCCGACACGGCTTAACGGTCGTGAGTGACGCAGTGAGAATTGTGTTAGCAAGTCATTTCCATCCCCAAGTGAGATATCGTGCCTTGTTTTCGGACTGCAACCCACAGTCGCTTGCACGAAAAAGGGTGACGGCACAAAAGTGACTGGAGTTTGGAATGCAGATCACAAAAGAACAAGCGCCAACTGGGAAATCTTGTGCCACGCTAATCGTGCTAAGAGACTTGGCTGACGTTGAAATGTGGCTAGAATCATCCACAGTGGCAGGGATCAGCTGGTGCGCTTTCAGCAGATCGAGATGAGGGGAGCATCAGAGGAGACAGAAGGAAAAGGAACGGAGAAGAGGAATGTCGATACTACTACTTTAGGTAGGGCATTCTCCATCCCGTAGCTCGGTACAATCGAGCAGCAAGACGAACAAGCAACTCCAAGCTTCTAGTCAAGCTTCCACCCATCAGCCATCTCGTGTGGCGTCAACGCCACAATGAAACTAGGTCGAGAAAACAAGAAGTGACAGAGAGGTGAACTCTATTGATATTGTGAGTCGAGATATCACAGAGTACATAACAGTAGGCGAGTGGATGGATCCATCTCTTGTCGACAACGCACCAATTCTGCGGCAACGAGCTCAAGCGCGGTGTATGTCAGGACACGCATCTCCTTCCCTTCGATGAATGCGCGAGCACCAGTCACCACTTCCCAGCGGATACACCCTTCCTCAGCAGTGACGGGTCAAGTATAATGGACCAATCCAGTCATTCCTGTTCTATGTCAGGAAGGCCTTCATTGCTACAAGCCGAACTCGAGCTGCGTCCGTTCCTGTGAGTCGATTTTCAATGCCGTCTCTCGACAGAATCGATGCTTTGTTCCGCAAGATGTCAATGCTTTTCATTTGTTTCCTTTTTTTTTTCTTTCCTTCCTTTAGGCCCAGCCACTTGTCTAGTCCAGCGTGTCGATCCAATTCATGCCTGCAAAGACTTCCATCATCTTGTAGCAAAGTCCGACATCATCACCTGGTTCGCCTCCAAACAATTTGATCTGTTCGGCCTCAATCTTCGCGGCTTCACGTCTTTGAGCTTTGTCGCGGTTTTGCCAGGCAACGTATCGATTGTACCAATGTCTCGACGCAACACTAGGATTCGCGGTATTCAGTGCTTGGGGTAGGGGAGATTCTTCGAGGTCCATGCTTGCAGAGGACGGGAAAAGAGCGGAAGATTCTGATGACGTTGAGAGCTCGTCTGGGATCTCAAAGATGGGGTTTAGAGAAGAATGGTTGCGATTGCGAGGGCGAACCCGCCGGCGATTGTGTTTGTGTGCCATTGGAAGCTGTCCTGGAGAGGATGTTCAGGTGAGCGAAGGAAATGCTGTCGCGAGACCAAGCGAGTGCCAGCTGGGACGATTTTAACGGGAAATAAAGGAAACATGGGAAAGTTGCAAAAAAGCATGAGAGCGAGGTATATATGCCCGATCCGTGAGTCTTGAGTGTTATGGATGGCGACCAAGCTAGCGTGAGTCACATGAGATACACCCAAGGCGTGAGCCAGGGGGGAATCACTACCGGCGGCTGAACGATGGTAGCATGACGACTTGTTGGGTATGCCTGCGTCTGTCCAGGTCCAAACAGGCACAGCTGCCGCTGTGGTGTGAGAGTCACAAACTGAGTGGCGTGTACCAACCGGATCAAAGGGCCGTTCCTGGGTCCATGAGTCATGACACTTGTCCTGCAGTGGCATGAGTTCACAGCAACCTGCATCTCGTGACTCGTGGTCACGACTGTACGGTGGAGACAAGCTCCTGCAGAACTCGCCAGAGTCTTGACTCTACGAGTAGGTAGACTGCGATCGTGAACGAGAAGTGCCTGGAATCCATCGAAACGGGGGGGTTGGGTCCGTCGGGGAATAACGATAAGTGAATACAAGTATGTCTTTTTGCCACTGGCAGGATAATCCTGAAGCATCTTGAGCACCTTGGCATCTTGGCAAATATAGCCTCGTACGGCGGATTATTACGACGGATCATAACGACCACGCAATTGCGGGCTCGGCGGCCAAGAAACTGGGGCAACTGGGGAAGCATGGCAATAACCGAGGCTTCTGGTTGGCAATCAAGCCGAATCGATAACCCCAAGAATGGCATTTTGCCGCGGATCAACAATAGTGCCTTCTAAACATCTAAATTTCAATCTTCATGGTCCTGCCTTCTGTTCTCCTTGACTAATTGTAAACCTCGAAGGAATCAGATATCAACGACAAGCAAAGAGAAGGACGTCTGAAACGACGAAAGAAAGGAGCAGCCATGACTTCAGCAGCAGATCTCCGAATCTCCACGCTGTTCGATGTCAGCAACCACGTTGTGCTGGTGACTGGAGGGGCAACCGGCCTGGGTGAAATGGCGGCTCAAGGTTTCATCCAGAACGGGGCACGGGTCTTCATTGCCAGTCGGAAAGAGTCCGAGTTGAAGAAGACGTCGGATCGGTTGAACGCGTTGGGACCAGGCAAGTGCGAATACATTGTGGCCGACTTGAAAGACAAGGCTGGCTGTGACGGGCTAGTCAACGAGGTGAAAAAGCGAACGGATCGCTTGACCGTGTTGGTCAATAACACAGGCGCCACCTGGGGAGCTCCGTATGACGACTTCCCTGAAAGTGGGTGGGACAAACTGATGGCATTGAATGTCAAGTCCATCTTCTACATGACCGTCGGATTGCACGACCTGCTGCTGAAGGGGACCAACGCCGACATGCCCTCGCGGGTCATCAACGTCGCCTCCATGGCAGGCATCCAGACGAGCGACGTCACCACAACTGGAGAAGGAGGGCTTTCGGCACCGGGTCACGGCACCTTCAGCTGTATGGTTGTCCTTGTACCCTGCATGTGGGAAGAGCCAAACTGACATGCTCGATACAGATGGGCCATCCAAAGCAGCATGCATCCATCTCAGCAAGTTGCAGGCGTCCAAGTTAGCGCCATTGAACATCATGGTCAACTGTATCTGCCCGTAAGTTTTCACTGTGTTGGCCTGGTCCTCGATCAATGTTGAGAAGGCCGATATGCTAAATCATATTCGCAGCGGCGTCTTCCCATCTCGAATGACGAACTTCGGCATTAACAAATACATGGACACTCTACTAGAACGACAACCCACCGGACGAGTTGGCAAGCCGTCTGACTTTGCAGGTTTGGTGATTTTCCTCAGCAGCCAAGCATCGGCCCATATGACAGGCAATGTGATTGAGATTGATGGTGGCAGCACGCTCACCGGCTGGAGAGCAAGGAAGAGGGACAGCAAGATCTAGAATGCTCGAACTCGAATGGACGACTGACTTGTGCAAGGTATCAGCCTTGTCGGATGGGCGCAGCTACAGTGTCGCCTTCGTGCCGCTAGGCAGATTCAATACTCGACTAGCGTGGAGAGGGACTCCGGAAAGTATCTCTACTGGATATACATATACTGGGTAGAAGAGAACACTCAAGCTTTTAATATACTATACGGCGTAACTTTGTATGGCACCACAACTGAGCACGATGGCTTTCAGACCGGGAAGCGTGCATGATGCATGCGAAAGGGCTTGTTGATGCTGGCACGGAGTCACTGACGTCTGAGACCCTTTTAGCTGAAGCGATGCCTCTTGGCGTCCCTGAACACCTGGACTCCTGGTCACCTCAACCAATTGTTAGTGAGCGGGGGGGCCCTTCTAGGCTGAGCCTGTGGGTGGTTGCCCCCCAAAAACCCAAGAGTGACGGCAGCTGGCCCTGCTACTGGCACCGTTTCATCCGCTGCCACGGGAAAAGCATCAGAAGCAGCCTCTGTCTCGGCCCTTCCATTTTCCATCTCCATCTCCATCCTCGTCACTCCCTTCGTCCCTTAAATCAATCGTATAAGTAGACATCTTGGCCCGACCCAAGATGGTGGTATCGTGCATCTCGTCCTCTTGGAGGCATTACACTTGATTGCATTTATTTGTCCTATTGATTGACGGCCAAATCCAATTCTGTCCACGGCGGCTGCTCTCACCCAGCCCACGGTCTGTTCGATCGATTAGCCTAACCGCATCCCCGCCTGCGCCATTTCGCCCTGGCTTCTTCGCTCATCCTCATCCGCTGCCACACATCACCATCTCGCCACCTCTGGACGTCTTCTTACTTCTCCTCTTCCGTCTCTCCTTCCATCGTTGAGCTCATCCTTTGAGCGATGCGTCCTGGCAGTGACCTGCTACAACATGACAGACTCACGATGACCTTTGAAACATCCCTTTATCCGTCTCCCACGTCATTATCCTCGGATCCGACTTCCGTTTCCTCCTCAGCTTCTTTCGCCGACCACAATGGCTGGCAGGAAGGTCCTCCACTTCCCTTCAGATCCCATCACGACGGCTCACCTACCTCGATTGTCATAAATATCAGTGATGGCGGCGCAACAGGCCGTGGCATCCTTATCGGGTTGTTATCTGCGTTTGGTTCCGCCGGCGTTGCAGTACTTGTTCTTGCCATCTTCTTTTTCTTCAAATATACCTCTCGAGGCCGCATTCTGTTAGACCGTATAGGCCGGCCCGGTGAGTTCGACGATGAGCAAGCCTTTGCGCAGGAAGAGGCCGAAGCCTTGGAGACAATGGATGAGTTGCAAAGGACGGAGTATTTGAGGGCCAAAGGTACGGGTCAATCACATCATAAGTCCGTCGCCCTCGCTCGGATTCTAACGGCGACACAGCATTTGTACAAGCGAATCCCCCAGAATCCGTTCAAACTGATATATCGCTGTCGCAGTTCCTGGCGATCCAGGAAAAAGGTGTCTCTGCGTGGGAGTTCGAGCCAGAACTAGAAATCGCCAACTGCTTTGTCGAAGCGAGAACCGAAATCGAGTTTTTCGATTCAGAATGCAGCGTACAGAGCAATCTTCCGGTGCCAAAGCAGAACGAAGTGTACTACTGGGAGGCCAAGATCTACGACAAGCCCGAGAATAGCCTGATCAGCATTGGAATGACCACGAAACCATACCCCTTGTTTCGATTACCGGGTAAGTCCATCGCCTTTTTCGAGAGCGGGTGAGTTCGTATGCTGACTGATCAGGTTTTCATAAAACATCGGTTGCTTATCTTTCCACGGGTCATCGACGCTACAATCAGCCGTTTTCCGCGAGCACGTATGGTCCCCCTTATGTGCAAGGAGATGTGATCGGGGTAGGATACCGACCTCGAACCGGAAGCATATTTTTCACACGCAACGGGAAGAAACTGGATGAGATCGCGCACAATCTCAAGACCCAGAACTTCTTCCCAACTGTAGGCGCAAATGGACCCTGCCACGTTCATGTGAATTTTGGCCAGATGGGGTTTGTGTTTATCGAGGCAAATGTCAAAAAATGGGGGTTAGCACCAATGACGGGAAGTCTTGCACCACCTCCTCCTTATGGTAGCGAGCAAGGTAGCATCCTGCTTGAGACGGGAAGAGAAGGAACGCGGCAGTCGACATATGAACCCGGACACTCGAGGACACGGAGTGGTTTGGCAAGGCTCGGCCTCCCAGCTGGTAACCCTGGGCCCGTCCGGTCAGCCACGGATATATCATTGGCGCAACTGGCGCATATATCATCACAGGATCTGCCGAGCCAGGGCAACGCACTTCTGGACATGGGAGATATCCAGAACCAGCCTGTGGAGAATACACCTGCTGGACAACAGATCATCCCACCTCCCGAGTACAGCAGTCCCCCGGGGAGTCGAAGGACGAGCGGTGACGGCGATGAAGATGAACGGCAGGAGTTGTTGCGTGATCGGACAGGAGGACCACCTATTCCCACCTACGATGCTGCTGTGGGCGAGGCGGCAGGACCCAGCCATACATGACGAGATACCCCTGAGCATGAAATAAAATATCCTTTACGACCACGAGTGTAAATACGATTTTGCCTTCCCATTCTGTTGCGTGGCTCGGCTTGGTTCAGAGTGAACGTTCTGCCTCTAGGGCTGACATTCCATCGAACAGGGTCTGCTTATGAAAGATAGATATGCACCTGTATGGAGTAGATGTGGATACTACGGGTGCTATTGGTGCTACTTACGTCGAACTGGGGAACCAAAGGCGACGCCTAGGAATTGGATGCGCGATTATGAAAGAAATCTGTCATGCAAAAACTTCTGGATACCGAGTAGACGATGCTGGGCACCGACTGGGCTCCGTCCCCCAAGCTCCCCCCCCCCCCCCCGGGCAATCGACAGGTTATGCCTTCTTGTTAGGGATCTGCAGACCATTGAGGCCTCCTTGGGCCCCCTCCGCGAGTCCCTGTTGTTGGCTCGTATTATGCAGTTCGTGCCAGAACCCACTGGGCCCCATGAGTCCCTGGGGGCAGCTGAGTGCTGCAAAGTTTGTACCGCTCTCTGGCGGACCCCAAACACAAGCCACCAAAGCTACATACAAGAATGACGCAGCATGGCGGCCTCCCATGAATGTTTGTCTGTCACCAGAACGCGGATTGCAGACAGCGAAAGCTGGATGAACATGCTTTTTCTCCTTTTGGCTTTGGCACATCGTTCGTTTCCGGACTGCAACATCCGTTTCTCCTTATCATTACTACGTTGATCCTGCGATCTGGAAGGCCATCCGACCTGGGGACATACCTAGACAATGCCTGCGTTGGGGGTTGCTGCTTCACATTCCAACGCTTGCAACCTTCTCGATCCAGCTACATCCAGTGAGATTCCCCTCAAGTAATTGACAACTCGACATACACAGAGCGCCAGGAGCCTATCTTCCTCCGCTGGTCCCAGCTCGTCTTCATCGTCACTCCACCTATTTGCCCACAATTTCGGCTCCAGTTCGAAGCAGCCACCCGAGACCTCTCCCGAAACCCCGACTCAACCCCAGACCAGACCGAAATACCAGGAGTTTGTGCATAGAGAACAAAGGGATTGTGGAGCGAGCCATAGCGGCTCAACAGCGGGACGGAACAAACAATTGAACAAAGACCTATACAGGAAGGGAAAGTCGAAAGGCTCGATGCGAGGAAGCCATGCCTCACACGACGCAGGCCCGGAGCCTCGCGAATTGGGTAACAAAGATGACGCTTCTTTCCAGGTGATAGTCCTGGTAAGTAAGGTTATATCCTCCTTCCATTTCCTGTGTCCCTGTGGCGCGCGATACCTTACGCGTTCGCTGGCGCAGGGAACACTGGACTTGACTTGAAGAATGCCTCAGCAGCTGACCATCGGCTCAGGGATCTACAGGCGGACCTCGCGAAGACAACATCACGGGGCTATTGGTGAGGGCGCCTCAGTCAGAATGGCGCAAGAACTCCATGATCGCAGTGGATGCTGGGGCGCACTTGTCCAGCATGATCCGCATCCTACAGAGAGAAATGCCATTGATGTCTGAAAAGCTGCCAGCTAAGGGATACTCGAAGCTGTTGGAGAAGGGCCCATTTGCCGGTCTTCGCTTTCCAAACATCAGTGCGAAGGCAAACGCACTCTACATCTTCCGCGAAATCCTCCATGGCTTTCTCATCACGCATCCGCATCTGGACCATCTCTCTGGCATGGCAATCAACACCCCAGCGCTCGAATATGGTAGAGAGGCGAAAGCGATTGTAGCTTTACCGTCCACCATCGAAGCTATCAAGAACCACATATTCAATGACTGGCTTTGGCCAAACCTGTCAGACGAAGGGAATGGTGTTGGCTTCGTAACCTATAGGCGGCTGATTGAAGGTGGCAATCCTCGCCTAGGACTGGGCGAATCTCGAGGTTATGTTAATGTCTGTGACGGTTTGGCCACAAAGTGTTGGAGTGTGAGCCACGGGAAATGTCACAGAAGGGCACACAGCGTATCCTATCAACATGGTGATGCGTTCGGGTACCCGTCCGAATACAACTTCCCGTCTAGGAGACTGTCTCGGATATCGGACGATCATGGCTATTTCGCCGCGGTCGCGCAACAACAGTCACAAAATGCTGGTGCCTATCCTCCTGGACCAGTTCAGATGTCTGCTGGTCCTGCCACGCCCGGCGGACCTTTGACCTCGAACCTTCTCGAGAACTGCCATTTATTTGAGCCGGTCTCAAGTTCGGCGTTCTTCATTCGCAATGATGCGACAGGCAACGAGCTGCTCATATTCGGCGACGTCGAACCCGACTCGGTCAGTTTGTCGCCTCGAAACCACATAGTCTGGGACGACGCGGCCGGTAAAGTTGCCAATGGAATGCTCAAAGGGATCTTCATCGAGTGTTCGTATGATGACAGCGTACGCAATGAGGATCTTTATGGTCACCTCTGCCCAAGACATCTGGTTGCAGAACTCACCTTCCTGGCCAATTGTGTCTGCAATCGGCGAAAACAGAAGACATCTGTCGACGGCGCAGCCACTGACACAGCTCTGGATGGATCAGCATCTGGTCGGTCCATTGGAGCTTCATCGGTACCGGATCTGTTGATGCGACAACCGCCGACACCATCAGAACTGAAACGCAAGCGCAAAAGGCCGGTGAATGGTGATTTGACCATCACGCCGGAAGTCGGGCGCGCCAGTTCTGACAGCCTGCCTTCGCCGCAACCTATGCCTATTGGGTACGTGGGAAACAGGTCTATCTCATCGACTCGTAGAAAGGTCTCCCACGAACCGCGAGAAACTGAACATGGAGCTGCTCCGCCCACTCCAGGGCGCGGCCGCAACGTCACCTTCCAAGCAGACTCAGCAACTTGGCCTGTGCAATCTTCGAGTGGTCCCGCGCTCACCACAGCAACAACCTCGACGGCTCACACTCACCACAGCTCATCTTCCCTCTCTGGTTCGGCCAACTATCAGCGGGAAAAGCTTCCCGAACCTCTCAAGGGGCTTACGATACATATTATTCATGTGAAAGATACATTGATGGATGGTCCAGCACCAGGGGACGTGATTCTGGGGCAGCTGCGGGCTTTGGGTGAGGAAGCAGGGCTAGGATGCGACTTTACTGTGACGAATTGTGGAGATAGTATATGGGTCTAGGCAGGATGTGACGGCGGCAACCGAGAATGCCATTGTGCTTGTGCTATGGAACCGAAATCCGTTTGGGGGCTTGTTGGAGTTCAGTTCACCATGTTAGCTCTTCCTGCACTGCCTGTACAAAAATTATATTGATGCTTGCTCTGCATCCAAGCTCCAGCACAGGGCCACGGAGTGATTAAGATGCAGATTTTCCTGACGAGTCTGTCGGATCAAGGAATCTTTAGACCTCGTTCCGGCCTTTGGATCGATCAGCCACTTCACTTCTGATCCAGTTGTGCCATCGATCAATCAGTCAGACGCGTGACCCCATCATCAGCGTTGAATCGTGAATTCACTATCCCAATCTTCACTGCTCTCCCTCTTCTCAGATCAACTCTCGCCAAGAGCAGCACTCGGTCCCAAAGTATATCAACCCCCTCGACTCTGCAAATTCTTTCGAAAGCTTTTCTTTTCCTTTTTCTTTTCCTTCCCTCGAGTTGCCCAAGGTGAGTCCGGCAAACACTGAGGCGCCTTCAGTCCAGCAGGGAGTGTGTGCACTATTCCCTTTCTCTTGGCTCTGGTCACACGAGATCCTGGCCAGGTAACCTGGAGTGGAGGCGGGTGGTTGGAGTGCCTTGTTCAAGGCCGGGTCCTCAGTTCAAAATGTGAAATTTTGTCAACTTCATCAAGTGATCTCCCTGTCTCCTTGCTCTGGGTCTGGTCTTGCTTACTACTCCCTGCTGTGTCTGTCTAGGTTGAACTTGGAAAGCTTTTCATCGTCGCTTGAGCTTTATGTTCGACTCTGGAGAAGAGCTGGCGTGGTGTCCAGTAGCGCAGATTTTAGTTGCAGGCGGGCAGTGAGGGTGTTTTTGTTCTTGTAGGAGTGATAGTAATGTGAAGGTGCTGAGTTCGATACTTCAGAACTTGTCGTGTTGTTGTGTTGTGTCGTCACTGCCTTCGCCTTCGCCTCTGCCTCTAATTCTTGAAGGCCCTCTCACGGCAACCAGCCTGTTCTTGTTGCACTTTCACATCCCCCAGCGCATGAACCGCTGCATCCCATAAGTCTAGTGTGACGAAGCCATCAGGCACAATCTGCTATGCCGGCGAACCTCTCCTCTCCTTCCACCGCAGCATTTCTGTCAGCTAAGAATCGAGGGAAAACACAGTTACAGAGAATAAGCATGCGATACGGGAAATGCGAACATGTTAGGGGAACTGAGGTGAGAGTCCAATGAGCACAAAACCGCAGCAAACCAACCAGACAACCAACACCACAGTGCGCAAGCCGACGTCCTCAGACACAGAAATGATGAGAGAGCGGATCGACGCGTACGCTTTTATCCGAGTAAGCACCAGAGACCTCCTACCGCCCAAAAAACCAACCTCGTCGCGTGCAATCGAGCAGCATTCCTATCCAAATCTCCCTCTTCTCTGTTCTGTGCGGCCCTCAGATTCACCCACGCATCCACCATCGGCGTCAACGCGTTCGCAGTGATGACAATACCCAGGCATCTTTGAACAGTCACTCGCGCTACGGGCGAGCTCTGACATCGTCGACTAAATTGCCAATATGCTGTAAGAGCCAGGATCGATAGTCCTTGGACGAGGTTGCGGATGCCATGAGGGTAGATGTATATCATCCCACTATCGGCCTTTGAGCTCGCTGTCGCCTCCAATACTCGAACCATATATCCCCCAAAGGCTGTCGCAGCTGATGCAGGAGATATGAAGCTCCATAAGCCGATGATGAAACCTCCGGAGCCGATCAGGCTCGTGAGAGCAGGGAGGACTGTACGTGACAGTGGACGAAGAGACATCTTTGCGTCGGACCTGGGTTGCCCCCTCGGAGGGAAGCCAGGAATGCCAGCTCGAAATTCCACACCCAGTTGCAAGCTACATAGGCACAAGCAGAAGCACTCCAGGCTGAGGGAGGGAAGAGCGAGGCTTCGGATGATGACTTGACGTTGACAGCTTCCGCGGTTGCACTTCACTCGCATGCAGAACCGTACAAACTTCTGCGGGTACTGCGGTATGCACAGCACAAGACGCGGAATTATGGCGACATCGGCCCTCGGTATAACATCAGACCAAACGCGTCCTCCTCCAAATCTCAGGTGATCGTACAGAGGGGCCTCCATTGCAAAGCAGATTTGGCAACAATTCTCCCAGCTAAAAAAAAATCGCCCCTGATCCATCAAAGGTGTGAGAAGCAGGTTTGAGGAGACTCAAGGCCATTCGAAAGACCATTTGACAGTCAAACCACGAGAAAAATCATCCTAAGGGAATACATAGAAGAACTGAAGTCGTGGAGATGTCCGAGCATCACTCCCACTCCCATTCTCACCATCATTCACATGATCACGACCATTCTCATTCTGGACCTGCTCATCTTTTTCAAGCCACCTCCTCGAGCGATCAACCACCAGATGGATGGAAAGAGAGCGGCGTCCGGGTCATTCCTGGAGACACTCTTGACACCAACACTGCTCAGACACCAGGGATGAATCGCGCTGCTGCTATAACCACTGCGCGCGTGGGCGCCCAAAAACTGTGGGCAGGAACCGTCAAGATTCACCCAAATGCCAAAACTGGTGCCCATCACCACGGCCATTTGGAAAGCGTCATCTACGTCGTGAAAGGCAAGGCACGAATGCGATGGGGCGAGAGGTTGGAATATACTGCAGAGGCTGGCCCAGGAGATTTCATATACGTGCCTCCTTACGTCCCGCACCAAGAGATCAATGCGAAGGAGGACGAAGAGCTGGAGTGCGTGTTGATGAGAAGCGACGGCGAGGCCATTGCAGTCAACTTGCCAGATGTCGAACCGGTGGAAAACCCAGAGGGTGTGAAATGGATTGACCCCACACACCCAACTGGGGGAGTGTGACCAGGTCTATATGCCCAATTTCAATCCACAAAGATATATCAGATATACAGAATCGGAACCAAAATCTCCGAATGGTCTCAACGTCCAAGTGGTGTGCGTGACGTCCCCTCAAGTGCACTTCAGGCGGGAACAAGAGCGTCTAGGAATCCAACGAATACCGAGGCCGCCTGGGTAGGGAGCTCCTGTTGCAGGTTAATTGCCGATTTTATATATAGGAGCAAGCAACAGATTCGACTCACCCAGCATTGCTGCAACCCCGGATACACTTTTGGTCATAGCGTGTCCTTCGGCATATATCTCCAACGAGACCGTTTATAACAGGCTTCTCCTCTTCCTCCAAGCGACTTGGCGAGTCCGCTCTTCAACGGCAGGCCCCGGCGGACAGGTTACACAGGAACCTGGAGACTTCCCTATTCTGACGTTGTCTTCATTGCGCTCTATACTGCTACTAGGTAAGTCTGCTGGAAGCCAAGAAGACTAGCCATTGATTCTCTGCACCCCGCATGATTCTGGTTCGGCATCTCTTCAAAGGATGCTGCACTGCCTTCGTCCATACCGTTCCACCGGACATGCGGTGGAGCTTCAAACACCAGAAATTCAAGCTGCGAGAAATGGGCAAAATCATCATAAGGACACAAGGAGCAGGATTGCGTCTATATATACTATGCAGCTGAAGACTCAGGGTAAGGTAACACTGGTAACTACTTCTTTCCTCTGCAAACATGGCCAGTATGACTACTCTCCTCGTCATCTTTCTCACTTTTGTTGCTTGCCCTTTGGCTGTCATTGGCAATCCAACCTCCGCGAACAATCCCCGTCCCACTGTTAAGATCGACTCTGGGGTTGTGGTTGGCATCACCAAAACAGACAACACCTCTGGACTCCAGTTGAACGCGTTCTTGGGCATTCCCTTTGCGGCACCTCCTGTTCGATGGGGTCCTCCTCAGCGACCAGCTCCCTGGACAGCTCCATTTTCTGCATCCAAGTATGGACCAGCATGTGTGCAGCAATTCAACTACCCGTTGTCCCGTCGCAATTTGATCTTGCAGTGGTTTAATACCCCTCCTCCCCCTGCGGGCGAAAGTGAAGACTGTCTGAACTTGTGTGTTTACGCTCCGCTTCCCAACGGTAAGGAAAAACCACAGCCAAAAGCAGTCATGGTCTGGTTATACGGCGGCGGGCTGCTTTACGGCTCGAATTCCCAAAGGCTTTACGATGGGTCGAATTTGGCAGCTAGTCAGGATGTCGTCGTCGTCGTCGTCAACTATCGCACAAATGTATTTGGATTTCCTGCGTCTCCTCAAATACCCGTCACAGAGAATAATCCGGGGTCAGTCCCATCTCGTCAAACCCCTCCTTTTGACCTCTTTTGATAACAAAAAAAAAAAACACAGATGGCTAGACCAACGTTTCGCGCTTGATTGGGTGCGACGCAACATTGCTGCGTTCGGGGGAGATCCTGGGAAAGTTACGATTTTTGGGGAGAGTGCTGGTGCTGAAAGGTAAGTCTCATACTCGGAGAAGGCAATATCCGTGGATCTGTCCCCCGTGTACAGCCTCGACCAGCGCTCAAGTCTGGGAAGAATTTGCTCTTATTGACGAGCTTCTGTTAATCACAGCGTCGACGCTCTGATCACTCAACCGCCCAAACCGCTGTCCTTCCGCGCAGCAATCATGGAATCCGGCACCGCAACCTTTCGAGGTCGCCCGGCAGACCCGTTCGCATCCTGGAACATCCTCGTGGCAGCAATGAACTGTTCCTCCGCCACAGACATTCTAGCATGCATGCGCTCCATACCGGCCACCACCATCAAGACATACAACGAGATGAACAGGATGCCGTGGATACCGGTCTTTGACAACGTGACGAGCGCAGACACTGCGCGCTCAAACCGTTTGAGCTCCACGCCGCAGAAGTCCAAAATTGCCCGCGTGCCCATCCTAGGCGGCACCAACGCCGACGAGGGCCGTCTGTACTCGGTGACGGCAAACGACTCGGCCTCGTTCATCCGGGTGCTCTTCCCCACGGCTACGGACCAGCAGGTCTCGAGCTTGCTGGCGGCGTATCCCATCGCCCCGGCCGGCGTGGGGTTTGGCAACAAGCTCGAACAGCTCGGCGCCGTGTACACGGACGTGATATTCCAGTGTCCGGCGCGCCTGGTCCACCTGGAGACGGCCCAGGTCGGCATCCCCAGCTACCGGTACTACTACAACGCGAGCTTCGCCAACACGGACCTCTTCCCGGACGCGGGCGTCTACCACTCGAGCGAGATCGGCATCGTGATGGGAACGTATCCCGCCACAAACGCCACGGCGTTCCAGCGCCGGTTGAGTAGGTATGTACAGAAGGTCTGGGCCGACTTCGCAAAGGATCCGTACTATAATTCGTCTTCTCCTTCCACGCCCCCGTGGCCCCAGGTTCCCGCTGCTATGGGCATGTTGGGCGGAGGCGTACGCGCCGAGGACGGGCCGGACGCCAAGGGAGCGAATCTCACCGTGCTGAATCGAAACCAGACGGACGTGATCGATCAGCGGTGCGCCCTGTACCAGGCCTTCTATGATGCTTTGGGCCATTGAGGATAGATTGGCTGGCTGGCTCGCTGGCTGGGACGCACCAGATGGAAAAAATGGGAAAGAGGGAAGAGGAAGAGCAAAAGGAGAAAAGGAGGGATTAGCATGCCCTGTACTCCGTAAATGCCTGATTGGCGAACTGATTGACGATCGCCGAGAGTTCCTCGTGGGCGGGAACGATGTCGTATCGTATCGTGTCCCGTGTCTCGTCGAACTGGCTTTGTTAGGCACTTCTGATTATATGTGCTGGAATCGTTCCGATAAAGTGTCACGAGTAGAGGCTTGCGGCTTGCTTCGTCGATTCTAGTTTCGCTCCGGTTGATAACATTCGATGTTCCTCAATCGTGGGCCCTTGGTCGCAAATGCACTGCACTGTGTCTTCTGACCCAGAATTTTCTCGGAGACCACGCCCTCAGCCAAGGTTAAAGAAGATCTTTTCTGACAGCTGCATCGACGCCCCTTGAGCCTGCCTGGCCGTGCATCACGAAAAACAGTCCAATCGTGCTTGAGAAGCATTGCTGTCATTGTCTTTAGTTCTTTATTTGGCTGTCAGGTCAGGTCCGCACTGGTGGATAGACGGAAGAATGGCAAGGCGTTTGTTTGCCGAAGAATAAGATGCGGTAGTGAGTGCAAGCAAGAGCGCAAGATGTCCATCCCGTGCAACACGACATGATTGGCATCAGCGTGGGCTGGAAAAGACATATCGTCACCGTAGGTGTTAAATTCGCTGTGACGAGCTGGGACGGACATCTTGTTGGCCCTCGCGCACCGGCATTGCTGGGGGGGAATTGTCCCCGTTCCCATTGTGCAAGGCTGGGGTTCCTCACTCAATCCCTTCTCAGACGGGCTTCCCGGTAAATCTAAGAGGATACGAGTTGTTGGGATGGTCTTCATTGTTCAGCTCCTGGACAGTTTTTCCTTGTCCACCATCCGCTCCTCATCTTTCCTTCCGCCCTCTTCGGCTCCATCCTTCGGAAGGGGCAAATTCTTCAAGCACGGAGCGTAGAACAACTGTCCGCTCCAGGCACCCTTAGCCGTACCCCCAGCCACGACGCACCAAAGCAAGATGACCGCGATGCTAAAGACCGTGCCCAGCACCTTGAAGAACTTGCTCGGCATCTCGACCCCAAAGGTCATGGTTGAGATTGCGTACACGCCTAAGGGGAACGTGAATCCCCACCAACCCATATTAAAGGGAAAGGGACGCGTGGAGTAGATGGTCGCGAGGGCGAAGACGAGCCAACACAGACCGAACCCCCACATTATCAGCGCCACGAAGAAGCCGAGGATGTAGGCAACGTCGCCTGCCACCGGGAGATTGTGGAAGAAGTGCACACGGGGGAATACGAGCCGGGACACCTTGCCCAGATACATGATCGTGTAGCCGCCCATGCCTAGAGGTCCCAAGGGGAGAAATGAGGACACGACGACCTCGCGTGGGGGGAGCTTGTGTAAGGCCAGACGCTGGTAGTACATTACCAACACCGTGACCGCGAGAGGGGTTGCTGGTCGTTTCGTTAGCAAGTGGACAGGAGGATCCAGGTAGACGAGGAAGTGGAGGGGGGAATTCTCTGCGCCGCTGGCTATGGCGACCAGGCCTTCCAAAGGGCACTTACCCATACCCCACATGACATATGAAGTTATCAATGTACCCAAGGCGTGGTCGGGGGAATCAAGCAGTTCGGCGACCTCACTTCCTAGAGACATTAATCAGCACCTTTCCCTTCTCCTTCCAAGTAGAGTGACGGGGCACGCTCGAGTTCCTTTGCGATCGGCAAGGGAGGAGATCAGTACTTACCAGCCCCAGAGGCAACAATTGTACTTGCAATCGGCAACAGCTGTGCCGCCGTGATCCTCTCCAAGCCCTGCGAGTCGCGTTGACTCATCAGCAGAAACGGTAGTGACACCGTCACGGCCACGGCGACCACGGAATCAACCATCCAACAAATCCACGCGACCCACACGCTCCAATAACCCCAGTAGGGGCAACACAGGATAATCCAGCTCTCGACCAAGGTGGCGAAGCCCATGGGGATGGTGCCCAGGAACAACGAATTCGTAGGGTCGGCGATCATGACGGCCCAGATCTCCGGGTAGAGGGTGTATCGGAGGAAAGAGGCAGTGAAGGCCAGGGTGAAGAGCACGCTGTTGAGGACGAAGAACACCACCGAGAACCAGTACAGCCACGCGGCCTTGAAGGGGATCGTGATCAGCAGCAGAGAGCAAATGCCCGTCCCCATGGTCACGCTAAACCAGGACGGCGAAAAGTTCCGCACCACGCGGCGCCAGCCAACATCGTACTTGGAGGGCGGTGGTATTGCTTCTGGTGATGTGGATTTTGAAATGGTGGTAATGGACTCTGTGTCTCCCGACGGATCAGATCTTCTGACAGGTCGATGGGTTTGTTGTATACTGCTTCGTGAACGCAGGCGGTTGAAATCGGGCCGCGACACCATCTGGCTGGCGGGGATGGCCATGGCTGGGTTGTTGGAGGCTATGCGCTCCATTCTGCCGTCCTCGTCGCCGGGGTCGACCATTGTGGTTGATGTTGACGCGGGATGATGATGATGGACGAAAAGCAGGTCAGGTCAAGCATCATGATCATTGACCCTGGTTTATATTGGGGTCCGCCAGATGACGTCTGTAAAAAATATGCTTTTGAGGCGGCGAGGTGAGTGTTGGACATCGGCGCGGTCATCTGGCCGATCCTGTGGCGGCGTCATCGAACTCCGAATACGCTTAGTAAAGCAGCTCACTAGCACCGTGATAGGACCGTGACTAGCCTAAGATGGTAGTCTAGACTTACTAAAAGTGACCTTGCTAGTAAGCTAAGAACAGAGGACAGAATAACGACAGTACCTGGGCACGCAGCCTTGTATATAGAGCCACAGGTAGGCTTGGTGACCAGAAAGAAGGAAGAGACCAAACAAAACCTAAATAAGTATCAGATATGAGCCCAAGCTATTTATGAGAAACATATCCCTCGAGCTTGTATGGTGTTTGAAAATAACTCGTCGAACGAATAAGATAACTCCTAGCTTAGACCAAGTATATGGCGTTCTTAGACCTTGGCCTTTCTGAAGTAACAAGTCGCAAAACCAGAAGTCCGGTATCGTAGCGCGGAGACGAACCCCAGAACACCGCTTGCTATCTCTCTGAAACAAGCCAACTCCATCCTAGCTCTGTTGTGTAAGTTCATCCATAATCCCTTCTGCAAGCCCAATGCTGCCCATTCACCTCTCTGCCAAACTCTTGACGCCCTTGCAGGATTGCTCTTCGAGCCTCACCAACTGGCCTTTGTCATCCTGGTCCGTGTACACCAAATACTCGGTGTCCTGGATTGTTACCACCTGGCCACTGTCTTCGCGCTTTCTCTTCTGACCTGGCCTCGATATCGCGCTCCGAGTCGTCGGTCCGGCTTGGGTCTCATCAAACTCATCATCGTCCTCAACTTTGATCACTTCTCTTCCTGACCGAGTAGGTTTTCTTCCTCGAACGTCTTTTTGGAATTCGTCTGGAACCTTAGGGATCTCAATGGCGCTATTCATCTGGGGTTGACCTGCGTCCATGCACTTGGTGCAAATAGGATTGCCGTCATCGTCGAATTCCATCTCGGACCATGAACAGAATTTCCCACACTTGACGCACTCGCCCTTCTCGCCTTTCGCAGGTTGTCGATTGGCAGCCGATTCATGAAACCGTTTGTGCACGGCTGTGACGGTACCTCCACCTTTTGTAGCCATATCCTGGAGGTCTTCCACTTCCCTTGCCAGCTCGTCCTCGAGTCCGTCAACATCCATGTCTGGCGTCTTAGGTGGCCATGATGCGGAGGATTCACGACGCGAGCCTGCCTTCTGGTTTTGCTTCTAGTGGGATGCGGCCTGTTCCATCTCTGTCTTGATATCAATCGACACTCGTTTCATGATAATTGTTGAGGAGAGGTGTTTGCCCAGGTTCATCCAAAAGGCATCCAGTTTCACAACATGGGACCACCACTTCTGTGTGAAGAGTAGCGCATTAAGGATAGCATACTCGGCGGGAATAGAGCATCCAGCGATCCAGGCCCTAGGTCTTTTTTGCCTTGGCATATTGTCGCTATTGAAATGGATCTCGGTAATCAATCAGAGAAGTCGAATCGACGAAGACGGTGAGCGCTGAAGTTTCAGTTGTCAGACCAATGACAGCAAGCATAGAGTCGAAAGCAGGCTTATGAGAGGTATTTGCGTCTGCCAAGTCTTCAAATAATCTACAACCTCCAACTTCAGAAGTGTAGAAAGGGCGAATGAATCGGTAAAGCAAATGCTAGGGGCCAAAGGACGATATGTCTCAGAAAAGTGTAAATGTCATTGCTGTTGAGAGAGGCGGTCAAAGAGGAGGCTGGTGCACTCCTCCTGAGCTGTTTATTGGGGGGAGAAGTTGAAATGTAGGTCCCGAACGTGTTTTGAACAGGAAGCGAAATTGAAAGTGGAAGTGAAAGTGGAAGTTAAAGTGAGAGCAATGACCATGGCATTTGAAAGCAGTATTCGCTAGGGGCTCTCGTTATTTGGCTCCAGGTCCAGGTCCTCGGATGTCTCGTCTTCAAGCTCAGCATTGCTTTCAGTCTCCTCATCATCCAGGAGCGGGACAAATCTAAAATCGACAAAGGCGACACTGCCGGGGGTAGGCGGTGCATTGACGGACACACTGTCATCTCGACGTGGGCCAACGTTGGCACCATCACCCAAGTCAATCATGAACTGCAAGCTAAGTACTCCCTGTTGATCTTGACGAATGCTGACTTTACTGGCCAAGGCCATAGCCCGTCCTGCTCTCTTGATCATGTCGAACTTGTATTTCTGGCAAATCCGGCCGTGGCTTCTAGATGGTGGAATGACCGAAAATGTTTCTGTGACCAGGGGTTGCTTCTTTGATTTAGGTCCGCTGGGGGTGGGATCGTTCTTCGATTCGGGCATAAAGTCCACAGTGCTATCACCAAACGGCCCTCCTTCGCCCTCCAATGAGAAAAAAGGGGCAGAGCGACTCGAAGCATTGATTACAAGAACAGTTGGATTGGTGCCCGAGAGTTCTCCAATGGCATCATTTAGCCAAGCACTCCGCATAATTGCTTTCAAACACAGCGCGTTCCGGTCAAGGGGAATACCACCATCGTCTCCATAGTCGTCATGAGCCACGTACGTGTTCATCTCACACGTTGTGGTGACCGATCCTTCTTGAATTTTGATGGTGAGCGGTGCACCAGGCTCTTGATACGAAATCCGGCATGTTCCTCCGAGCGCCAGAGCCGGAGTGTTGAAAGCGTTCCCAAACGAGGATGAAAATCCACCATAGGGATTGCGAACCGAGGAAGTGGCTTCGGCGATCCCAAAGATCTGGAGTGTTTCAAGGAGGGCAACAATTGAGACTGAAAATGTGGGCAACGAATGGTCCTCCTCGTTAAGCCTCAGATTATACGATGAGAACAGTGCTTTGTCAAGAAAGGTCAGGCCTTGAACGACTCGCGCTTCCTCGACGGAAAATTTGATCCCTTGTCGGGTGATCTGCACTTCCGCACGCTGCGAAAAAGCAATGCACCGAAGCAACAGGTGCAATTGCCTAGCAGATGTTGACATTGCTGTGAAAATGGGGGAGCCTGCCATTTTTCAGGAGCTTGAGCCTGTTGACACGACGAGCCCCAGTGGATGTCGACCCAAATGGACGGATGCAGATGTACAGATCGTCGACAGAATCTTAGACATAGACACCGAATCCGCAGATGGCGTAGACGGCCCCGAAACTATACATGTGTCAATATATTCGTGTCAAGCTCCATGATCTTTTGCCCGCACGTACCCAAATGCCAGTGAAGCAGGGATCCCGAAGATAGGTATTGAGAGAGGAGACTTGTTCAGGGCGAAGAGTCCAGTGAGTATCAGTCCTGCATACCTAAGTCAATATGCGTCCGAGAGCCAGTCCTCGCGGAGTGTCTCACCAATGAGCAACAGAAACAATCCTACGTTCAATTGGCTTTCCTTACCAACCGTAGGCTGGAAAGGGCTGCCTGCGGCTGCTTGCCACACTTCGTACAGCGACATTGACGTGGATAACAAGGCCGTCGAATGCAAGTTCAAGCGCTTGACCTGGTGGATTTCATATCGAGGAAAGGTCCGCAGTTGCAAGGTGGTCTCCAAATGTCTTGGGGCAAGACGACGGGCAGCAGCAAAGGCCATAAGCAGCAACTTTTCCGAGATGATGCGCTAGTCTTTTTGTGGTAGTGATCGTTGCGGTGTCTTGCGCTGCCGCCCGAAGTCGCTTGTTGCGCCTCTCAACTTCGCGGCTCTAGGTTGATCAGCAAGTCTTGACTGCGGCGACGTCCGTTCACACGCTTGCGACGTGTCATATAACGCATTGTTCAGTATATCCATGAGATCGAAGTCAGCCCGATGGCGCCTATAAATAGTGAACGTGAGAATCCCTGGGTGTGGCAGAATATCATGGGCATTCTTACTGACCCGTCACAACGCAGATACGAAGAGGAAGGCGTCAGAAGATGCGGCTTCCTCTCGCTCCAAAAAAGCAAGAACGGAGTCGCCAGTACTGGAGGATGGTGTCAAGCATGAAGAGGTAAATTCATCTCTGGCCCCGAATCTCCGGCCACATGCCTTTCAACCCTCCCCAGGCGGGGATCTTTCCGCCCGATGATAATTTGTATCGCTTTCAAACAAATATTTCTACGGATTCAGACTCAACAATATCCCTCTCATACCTCGAAGATTACGAGGTTCCATACCATTATTCTCATACTGGGCGTCCTGCATTGAAGACAACCGAGACTAATCTCTTCTCCGAACAGTCCGACACGGAACCCCTCATTACCCCTACACCCGTCGACTTTCCCGACAAACCGGCTGTCGTCGAAGAGAAACAAGGATTTATTGAGTTCAGGGTGGTCAACAACGATAATTCGAGGGAGAGCAACATCATATTGACCGGGTTGAAATGTATCTTTCAGAAACAATTGCCGAAAATGCCCAAGGACTACATCGCTCGGCTAGTGTACGATAAAACGCATCTATCCATGGCTATCATCAAGCAGCCGCTCGAGGTGGTTGGGGGTATCACATACCGGCCCTTCAACTCGAGGAGGTTTGCTGAGATTGTCTTCTGCGCGATCTCGTCGGATCAGCAGGTCAAGGGTTACGGTGCTCATCTGATGGCGCACTTGAAAGACTATGTCAAAGCTACTTCGCCGATTATGTATTTTCTGACCTACGCCGACAACTATGCGATTGGTTACTTTAAAAAGCAGGGATTCACCAAAGAGATCACTTTGGAGAAGTCGATTTGGATGGGGTACATCAAAGATTACGAAGGAGGTACAATCATGCAATGCAGCATGTTGCCCCGGATCCGCTATCTGCAGGCTCCCCGAATGCTTCAGAAGCAAAAAGAGGCGGTCATGGCCAAGATTCGGGCAGTGAGCAAGTCTCACATCGTTCATCCTCCTCCGGCGCAGTGGAAGAATGGCATCGTCGAGATAGATCCCATGTCGATTCCGGCGATCAAAGAGTCGGGATGGTCTCCTTCCATGGATGAACTTTCCCGACAACCTCGACACGGCCCGAACTATAATCAGCTCCTCCACTTGCTCAACGACATGCAGAATCATACAGCCGCCTGGCCATTTGCACAGCCTGTCAATAAAGATGAGGTGCCTGACTACTATGAGGTCATCAAAGAGCCAATGGATCTGTCGACAATGGAGGAACGACTGCAGAACGATCTGTACCCCAGGCCAGAAGACTTCATTAAGGATGCCAAACTCATATTCGACAACTGTCGACGCTACAACAACGAAACCACACCGTATGCGAAAAGCGCCAACAAGCTGGAAAAGTTCATGTGGCAACAGATCAAGAATATTCCCGAATGGTCGGTGAGTGGTTGTATTCTGACAATGGTTCGGAGGTCGGATATACTGACATGTCTTTCCAGCACCTGGCGGAATAACGACGTTATCTTCGATGCATTCTGTAAAGACCCGCATAAGACTTGGTGTTGGTACCATAGCATTGTGGCTTTGTGGATGGCTTTTTTCCTGGGGAGTTGGCGGCGAGCAGTGGATGATTACATGGAATAATGACTTAGCCTTCTTTTTCTTGCATACGAGATGATACCCAAACTGCATCAGAGGCGTTTGATCTGGTTGATCCACTGAGACATGGAATGGGAAACAATGGTACGAGGTACCCAAGGGTAGTTTGCATCAGCCATGCCGATAGGTGCTGACTCGAAGATTGGCAAAGTCCGAGGGACAGGGACAACCTCGTAGTTAGATGACGAACTGCCAGTGCGGCATGTGCCGTAGTTGTGTGGCTGGCAGATACTCTACAACGGAAGAATGAGAGGAAGAGACAGTCCGGGGCCCTGCAGATTGTCGGGGCTCGATGGAACCAATTACTGCCCACAAGGAGGTTGCCCCGGCCGTGCCCAATTCCAGGTTCCCCTGCCACATGTTGCGCTCTGCGCTCCCTGCGCTCCCCTACCATGTTTCCTTGCTTTTTGGCCAGAAACCACCAACCACCGCCCTCAACTTCACTCCGACCAGACTAAACAAGACAAGACAAAGACGACACGGCTCTTACTGTACCTCTACATACACCACTTCTCCCGATCGCTGAATTCTCTTCGACACGCTCGCTACTGTCTCTTCACCCGCCATGTTCACCATGTAAACTCAGGCCCACCAGCCTGCAACTCGCACTCGCAACTCAGTCACTAGGACCTCACGTCACTTCCACCTCACCTCTACTTCACACCGTAATCCCCACCGAGACCAAGTTCGCCGATCAAATCAGATTGCGGTGGCTGTAATAAAATCCTCCCACGTAAAAAACCTCGCGCCTTCTTTTATACCCTGAGAGACACAGACTGCGTGGCGTACCGCGACACCACAAACGCAATGGCAAAACTAGCGAGCCGAGGTGAGGATGTCGAAGTCCGCAACCGACTGCCCACGTTGATGGAGGTTCTTGGAAGGAGGACTTTGGCTCCAGTCGATCTCTTCTCATTCTACATTTACATGCGCGATCAACAACGCTCGGTGGACTACCTGGACTTCTGGTTTGTTTTCTCTCTGAAACAAAGGCTTGGATCAAGATTAACTCATTTTCAACAGGCTCGATGTATCTCAACACATGTCCTTATGCCGCCACTACGTCCGAGAACTGCGCCGTTCGATGCTCGTCGACACGCCAGAGATGGAAAAGACTACCAGCAAAAGGTCCTCGGCGTTGCTTGAACAGTTTGAATTGGGTGAAGGAGCGGACTCAAGAAGGAGTGGCCAGGAATCAAGGGTGTCTGCCATCTTAAGATCAGACAACGGAGGCGCTGCCGCTGCAGGCGCCAGACCACCCCGAAGCAGAGGAGAAGGAGGCGCCGGTGGTGCCAACGATCACTCCCCAGCACATAGCATGGGATCCGTACATTCCAGAAACGTCAATCGACCCTCCGGCGACCGGCCGTCTCCTTCAGAACTACCACAACCCACCTATTCCACTCCTGAAGTGCGGACAGATTCAAATTCTCCTGGGCATAGTGTCGCTAGGGCCGACATTAAAGCCAGCGCGGAGAAGATCCTCTACACCTTTGTGCTGCCTGGATCGGAGCGAGAAATTGTTCTGCCAGACACAATGCTGAATAGGATTATTCGAGCAATTGAAGAAGAAGGACGAGACGATCCGGAGGTATTTGACGACGCCAAGGACTACGTCTTTCAAGCGATGGAAAGGGATGCATTTCCAGGGTTTTTGCAGGCCAAAGCTTTGGGAAATCTGGTCCCGTTGAGTGTGCTGATCAGGCTGGCTATTGGCCTGGCGAGCTTGATGGCCGGGTTTTGGGCCGGTTATTACATGATTCTGAGAGATAGGTCGAGGGCTACTCGTTGCTGGGTAAGGACTCCCCCTCAACATCATCGTCGTCTCACACTGACCGAAACCTTTAGCTTATCTTTCCCTTCACAATCGGCTGCTATTTCCTCGTCTCCTACCAATACAAACTCGACATCATTGCCGCTTACCTGGGATTTAGTGAATACACGTGGATGAACTGGTCGCGAGTCAGGGAGCCGTTTGTGCGTCGACTGCTTCTCACTCGAGCAACCATTGCATTCTTGATGTTTGCGGCGGCGGCGGTGGCGTTAAGTGTCTTGTTTATATTTGTGCCGGGTACCAGGTTCTAGCCCTTGAAGAATATGTGATGAGATCGGATTGATGCAATGAAAATGGGCGTTACGGTGTTCAGTGTGTGCCTGAAACGATCGCCGGGCTCGGAGAGCGGTGAGATTCACCGTGCTTCATGTCCAGCGAAGGGATCAACGGTGTCGGGAACAGAAGGCGTTGATGGGAGTCTGTCATGATGAGTGGGCCAGCTGCAGTCATCAATTTAATGAGAAGAAATGATGAAGGATGCAGGCAGGCGGGAAATACAGCGAGCGCAGAAACGGCAAAACACTGGAAGTGAGATATTTTCGCAACAACAACAACAACACAACGTACAAGCGAGGGCAGTAGATCGACAGCAAGAGAGACACATGGAGCTTGGATATGTATGCTGTTAGCTATGTGGCAGCTGGGACTCGTGAGCCTTTGATATGCCCGAACGTCACATGCAGAGTTGATCGAGCTTCAATTTTTTTTTCCCTTTTCTTTTTTTCTCCGTCATCCCATTGCCGCCAAAGGATGGTCTCTGCCTTTGCAGAGGGCATTGACAAGTAAGCATGAACCAGGTCCACTACGGTATTGCAGATGAACGCGGTCGTAGCCCAAGCAAAGTATGGGCGGGGGAAAGGGGGGTTGTACATACATATGTAGATAGGAGAACGGGATAAGGATAAGGCTGAGATAGCATGGAGTATACAGGATAGGGCCCGGTAGGATCTGGAGAGGAAAGGAGAGGAAAGGAGGGGACGAGGACGAGGACAACTAGATATTCTTCATTAAGCTCGTGAGTTCATTTGTCCTCGTCTACGTAGGCCTCGGACAGATCTATTCTATCTATCCTGCCGCCACGTGTCGATGACTGTACTCACTCACCCACTCGTCGAGGGGTACGGGGTAGCGTTGAATGAAGGCCCTCTCGATGCGGTCTGTCTCAGCTGGTGTTGGCTCAGATAACCGGTTCCATCTGGTATATTCTGGTCTGGTCTGGTCTGGTCTGGGCCATCGGTGTCATGGCATTTAGGACCTGGCTAAGTGCGATGGATTGCGCAGAGAGACCCTCCATCTTTGTCCTTGTCCCCAGACCAAACACCAAACAACCAGTCTCTCTCTACATGCAGATGTGCTTCGGTTCAGGGAACCTCATTTCAATCCGTGTAGGCGCTTGCTTCGACCCCACCAAGCTCCACTGGGAGGTGTGTTCAAGGACAGACACTCTTATGTTGTCAGAATTTGGCCAAATCGTAGCCATGCCGTCGGTTCCATCGTGCGGTAAACGTTGATGTGGCGATCCAAAAGCTCACTTCGACCCTCGCCCACGGTTTCGCTTTGCACCTCTTGAGCCCCCGCTTCCTCCGCCTCTGGATCCAGATCCTATAAAGCCACCTGTGCCCTCACCAATACCCTCGTCCACGTCCATCCTGCCTTCGTCGTACTCGTCATCCTCGTCGTCGCCCTCGCCTTCCATCTGCTGATCGAGGTCCCGCTTACTAGGAGGACGCTGCCCTGCACCAGAGCCGGAGCTGCGACCAGGGCGCGCGTTTCCACCTTTGACATCTGACAGGACACCATTGTCATTCGATGTGAGATGCTTGTCATTACTAAGGACAAGCGAGTCTACCTCATTCTGGCGTTTCCTCTCGCGTACAGCTCTCTGTTGTGCTGTCGCTCGTATTGCTGTGATTTGCGCTTCGAGGTCGCTCACGACGGAGAAACAGCGCGATTCCCATGTCTGTAGGATCTGCAACAATGCGGGAAGGGATTGAGGGCGCAAATCGCGAAGAGGGGCGACGGACGTAATGTGTACGGTCGGCGGACTGGATGTGGGACTGAGACGAGCGGTGAGGAGACCGGAGTAGATCGATTGTGTTATCAAGGATTCTAGCTCTTGGGGAGCGGAAAGCAGGAGAGAAGAGAGAAGCCCATTATATGTCAAAGTGTTGGCTGTTGTGTTTTTGGTGGTGGGAGCGAACGGTGAGGCCAGGGTCAGGAGACTGAGTTGGCGTAGCTTGAAGGTTTGAGCTTCGTCGAGAGGTGGGAGAGACGGGTTGGCTGTGATAGAAGACTCGTTAACTTCTCAATCACATAGCCTCGCCGAATTGGCTCGAAATCGTACCTTTATACTCCTCGTATGTTCCCCAACTGAAGATCTCCAACAACGTCAACCATGGCTCTGATTCAGTGGCCCTCAAACCCTGGACAACTGGCAGTTGAAGTAACTCGGTGAAAATGTAGGCCCCCGGAGCGGAGATTGCTCCCTTGATCAGTTCAGCGATGAGGCGGGGTGATGGGGTCTTGGTGGTCGTAGCAAGGTGAATAAAAGGTTGGATCGAAGCAAGAGCCTTTGCCTGAGATTGATCCATTGTCGGTAAAGACCTGAGGCGGCGGAGGGAGGAAGGGGAATCGCATGCCGGTATAAGAAGCGGTCGAAACTCAGACGAGGCTGTCACTGCGGGCAGAACAAGAGCTTGGCATGGGACCAGGCCGTGCCGCTTTCGTAACCTTTCCTCCCTCCCATCGTCTCTGAACCTCTTGTAACCTCTTGCTAATTACGACTCTGCGCCTGCCATCTGTTGCCATTACTATGCGACTTTTGTGTCCTAAGCTTCCACCATGTCGTCCTCGTGCCCGAAAACGTCCGCCCCTCCATCTGAAACCTCGCCACAAGGAGCCATGCCTGCACGCGATCGCTCAGTGGGGCGAAGCGTCCACATCTATGACTTAAAAGATCCTCCTACCAAAATTGGCGGCCTAATCCTTCTGCCCGGTGTTACAAATACAAACTTCTATGCAATGATAGAGATCATTGTGATATTCGAGAGCCCCTTCTTTCTACAAGATGAGATCGAAGCGAAGATTGAGAAAGACGACCATCCGCTTCGACCTGGAAACTATTACATTGTTACTACTAAGCCTTTTCAGCTTAATAACGAGCCAGCCATTACCCGAACGATTAGTCAAGCTACCGGAGACCGTGTTGAAGCCTTTCGAGAGGCTATTCGTTCTCGAGATCGTCAATGTATTATATCCGGAGAACCTGTACCTTCGATCGGTGGGGTGGACTTCTGGGGTCGCTTTGAGGCAGCCCATATTTTCCCACTCGCTAAAGAAGATTACTGGAGAGCTCATAACTACGGTCGATGGATCACAATTGAACCAGCACAAGGAGGATCTATCAACTCAGTCCAGAATGGAATATTGCTCCGCTCTGATATGCATCACGAATTCGATGCATTTAATATCTCGATTAACCCAGATGATAACTATAAGGTCATAGCCTTTTGTCCTATTGGGGGAAATATTGAAGGCAGATGTCTGGATCGACAATTATTTACTCGTTCTAATGCACCTATCCATCCGCTTCTACGTTGGCACTTCAGACAGGCTGTCCTGGTGAATATGAGGGGTGCTGGAGAGCCGATCTTCGAACATGACTTCCCACCCGGTTCTGATATCGTTGGTGAGGTTCTTCGGAGTCCGAAGCCAGGCGAAAGAATGGAATCTGAGCTATTCAGCCGTCTCGGTGCTCAAACGGAGTTGTTTCCGTCGGAAGTGGGCATTACGAGGGTGAGGAGGGAGGGGGAAGAAGGGGAAGAAGACCACCGATGCAATTCATAGAAGTTTACTTATGTACAGGGTACACTGTATCGTCCCTAGAAGTACGAAGAATACCAAGTACCTCGAATCAAATATTGCTGCCTCAAAAGAAACTGACTCCCTGTGTAGCTGATCTCTCCGCCATTTCTCGGATGAAGATATTCGCCTCCGTCACACTCGACAATGATGCCATTCTTCCCCACCACTGAGAGCGAGGCTGCACACCAGCCTTGAAACGACTGCATACAGCTAGTGGTGGCGTGATACTAATCAGGGAGTGTTTCTCTCCGGATCGGTCGATAGCGTCGCTCTTCGGTTTCAGGCGCTGATCCCGCGCCTCAGGCATTTCTCAGCTTCAACTCCCCGTCTCACTTCTGGCTTCACACTTGGTTTGCAACTCGGTCCGCTTGCGAGGCTTGCTTACTTTTCTTCTTCGCTCTCCGTCTCCTCATCACGCTCTTTTAACGTCCTATCTCTTTTCCTTTCGAACCCACCGCAGTCGTCCTCTCAAGTTCCTTTTGCACCCCCGAAGTCGGCCAGAACGCGTCCCCCCCGGAACAATGCATTTATGATCCTCTATCCATTTCAGCACGATCGACCGCCCCCATTGAACGTTCATTAAAATGAGTCTTTTTACAAATGGCGGCCGTGAGCCGCCGCGACTACCACCCACTCCGGCGCATATGGCCACCACAACCCTCAAAGTCGACGGAATGACTTGCGGGGCCTGCACCTCCGCGGTCGAGTCAGGGTTCAAGGGTGTCGAGGGTGCTGGTGCTGTTTCAGTCAGCTTAATGATGGGGAGGGCCGTGATACATCATGACCCTAAGAAGTTGTCCCCCGAGAAGATTGCAGAGATCATTGAGGATCGTGGTTTCGACGCCGAAGTCCTCTCTACCGATATGCCCCAACCTCCTACTCTGACGATTTCGACCGCAGTCTCCAACTCAGAAGCCCCGCTTACGACCACAACAATATCCATACAAGGTATGACTTGCGGGGCGTGCACCTCCTCGGTCGAGGCCGGCTTCAAAGGGGTCTCGGGGGTGAAAAGCATGAACGTTTCTCTGCTGGCGGAGCGGGCAATTGTCCAGCATGACGGAAAGATCATAAGTGCTGATGCATTGGCTGAAATCATTGAAGATCGAGGGTTTGACGCCACGGTGATTGATTCAAAGCTTCAAGACACCACCAGGCCTGTAGGCGGAGATGCAGAAGCCAACGAGCAGTCGCAAACATGGGCTACCACTGTAGCCATTGAAGGCATGACTTGCGGAGCTTGCACTTCTTCCGTCGAAGGTGCTTTCAAGAACGTTCCTGGTCTGGTCAAGTTCAACATAAGCCTCCTGGCCGAACGAGCAGTCATTTCTCATGATCCCGTCGCCCTCCCCTCGGAGAAGATTGTGGAACTCATTGAAGATGCTGGATTCGATGCAAAGATTGTGTCTTCTCAGGCTGAGACGAACATGCAGGGCTCAACGCATGTTTCTCAGCAGCTCAAGATCTACGGTCTTCTAGATGGACAGACTGCCACTGAGCTGGAAAACAACTTGAGATCCAAGCCCGGCGTCAAGAGTGCTGTTATCAGTCTTTCCACGTCTCGCGCCACCATTGTCTACGACCCTACCGTTACTGGCCTTCGACTCCTTGTCGCAGTCGTCGAGGACGCCGGATTCAATGCCTTGGTTGCAGACTCGGAAGACAATAACGCACAGTTGGAATCTCTTGCCAAAACAAAAGAAATCCAGGAATGGAAGAGAGCATTCCTCACGTCGCTGGCCTTTGCCATTCCCGTATTTTTGATTGGCATGATTATCCCCATGTGCTTCCCGTCCATAAATTTCGGCGGCATTGAGATCATTTCAGGTCTCCTGTTGGGCGATGTCATCTGCTTCGCCCTGACTGTTCCCGTACAATTCGGCATTGGAAAGCGTTTCTACATTTCAGCGTACAAAAGTTTAAAACATAGGTCACCAACCATGGATGTGTTGGTTGTGTTGGGCACCTCTACGGCATTTTTCTTCAGTTGTTTTGCCGTCATCGTGGCGGTCTTGATACCCCCTCACAATAAGCCTAGCACCATCTTCGACACTAGCACTATGCTTATCACATTCATTACTCTTGGGAGATGGCTCGAAAACCGAGCAAAAGGCCAGACATCAAGAGCTCTGTCACAGCTGATGTCTCTGGCTCCAAGCATGGCGACCATATACGAAGATCCTCTGTACGCCGAGAAGCTCGCCGATGCTTGGACCGCTCCATCATCTCCAGTGCTGGAGAGGACGCCAACCGTGGACCATAGGAGAGTGCCATCAGGCCCTGGCCTCTCAGGTCCCTCTGCGATTGAAAAGGTCATCCCCACAGAACTTATCGAAGTCGGAGATGTCGTAATTCTCCGACCTGGTGACAAGATACCAGCTGACGGAGTTGTCACCCGCGGTGAGAGCTTTGTGGATGAAAGCATGGTGACCGGTGAGCCCATGCCTATTCAGAAGAAGAAGGGCAGCACACTCATAGCGGGTACCGTCAATGGTGCTGGCAAGATCGACTTCAAAGTCACACGTGCTGGAAAGGACACGCAACTGAGCCAAATCGTCAATCTTGTGCAAGAGGCCCAGACAAGCCGAGCACCAATTCAACGAATGGCAGATCTCGTCGCAGGTTACTTTGTTCCTATCATCATCCTGCTCGGCTTGATCACGTTTGTTGGGTGGATGATCTTAAGCCATGTCATGTCGAATCCGCCCAAAATCTTTACGGACGAACATAATGGTGGGAAATTTATGGTCTGCCTGAAGCTCTGCATCTCGGTGATTGTTTTCGCTTGTCCTTGCGCTCTCGGATTGGCAACCCCAACAGCGGTCATGGTGGGAACCGGTACTGCTTCGCAACAAGGTATTCTTGTCAAGGGGGGCGCTGCTCTTGAAACAGCCACCCGCATCACGCATGTCGTACTCGACAAGACAGGTACCCTGACTTTTGGGAAACTCAACGTCGCTGACACGAGCTACGCGACTCTGTGGAGCTCAAACGAATGGCGTCAGAAGCTGTGGTGGACGCTCGTCGGCCTCGCTGAAACAGGATCCGAACACCCCATCGCGAAATCCATCGTCGTTGCCGCCAAAGAGCGACTCGGCCTAGAACCAGAGGAAGGTCTACCTGGTCAGGTGGGCATGTTCGGCGTCACCGTAGGTCAAGGAGTTTCAGCCCTCATTGAGTTGAACACCCCAGGTGACGAAACCAAATACAAAGTCTATGTCGGTAACGCTACGTTCTTGGCCAACAAGAAGATCGATATCCCCGCCGACGTTGAGGATGCGGTCAACGCGGCTCTATCTCCCACGACCCGAAGTAAATCCAAGACTGGGATAACGACCATCTACGTCGGGATTAACGGGCAGTACGCGGGATACATTGGTCTCTCCGACACGCTAAAACCTACAGCCCACGCCGCTATCGCCGCCTTGCACAGGATGGGTGTTTCTACCAGCCTAGTCACTGGAGATACCTACAACACGGCCCGCTCTATCGCTGAACTGGTGGGCATACCTCGAGAATCCATTCGCGCATCCGTCTCTCCCGGTGAAAAGCAATCCATCATCTCAGAACTACAGTCACAAGGAGAAGTTGTCGCTATGGTTGGCGACGGGATCAACGATTCACCTGCCCTGGCAACCGCCGATGTCGGTATTGGTCTTGTTTCCGGGAGTGACATCGCGGTCGAAGCTGCCGATATCGTGATTATGCGCTCGGACGACCTGCTCAATATCCCAACCGCTCTCCATCTATGTCGCGTCATATTCCGCCGGATCAAAATGAATTTAATATGGGCGTGTGCCTATAACGTTATTGGACTCCCGTTTGCAATGGGCATCTTCTTGCCTTTCGGATATCATATGCCGCCGTTGATGAGCGCCACCGCGATGATGTTTAGCAGCATTTCGGTGACGTTAAGTTCGTTAGCGTTGAGATGGGTCGGCAGGCCCAAGTGGTTGAGTGTCGAGGCTCTGAAGATGGAAGGAGACCGATACGGTGCGTCCATGATCAGTGCGAAGAGAAGAAAGAGGTTGAACAACGGCGGTTGGACTGGCAAACTGCAGGGAGTCACCGAAGCATTGTTCGACAGACTCGAAGGCGTGGCCACGAGGAGGAAGGCGCAAGAGAGGGAGAGGGGCAATTACGTCCCTCTGCGCACTGTTGATGCAGACGCTGTGTAAAGTGAACGGAGGACGGGACCTCCTCATGTCTTCCTACATTTTCAGGGCCCTTTTGGTATGGATCATATATAATATACAAGCTTCGGAGCTTTGTAGTATACATCCCTTTGTTGACTATACTTGGTAGATTCTCTCGGGTGAGGAATACCCTATGATATATATCACATCTTCTCTTAGGAACTGTGCTCTTGTGCCGTGGCCGCGTAGCCATGACCTCTTCCATGAATTTTAGTAATAAGTCCGTCCCGTTATCCGCACGTAGCCCAATCCCGTACGTTATGCCATGGTCTAGTGGAATCAGTTCTCTCGAGTACACGGTGAGAAGGGGAAAATACGGAAGAGAAACCCCTTACTCCCTAGCCGCCCGAGCCACCCCAGCACCCAGTCACCCGTCCGTCACGGAATAATACTTCTCAGCTAGCTCTTCGCCGACACCATCTTCGCCAGAGAGCGTGAACCCTTCGTGGGCGCTGTGCTCCAACACATCGGCAAGAATTCTTGCCACTCCAGTCCAGAACTCCTCAGATGTGTGGCGGCGGCGGCGGCGGCGGCTTCTTAAGTCTTAACTGACTGCAAACTTACTCCTCGCCCTGAGCTTTGCGCCAAACCTCCAGAGCAGAAACATGCCCACAAGGCCAACACAGGAGAGGCCTGCGAGCAGACTGTTGCCGGGCCCGATGCCGAGGTTTTTGAACATGGGCCTGGAGAAGATGACGCAGCCGGCGGCGAAGAGGGCGCGGAAGAGGTCGTTGGACGCGAGCAGGGAGGCCGTGTAGCGCGGGTAGGATAACGGTAGGTACACGAAGATGCACTGGAAAATAACAAAGTTGGAGCCTACGACGATGACCACGCCGATGAGGCTGACAATCCAGTGCACGCCGTGGCGGGAGGTCCAGCCTGGGACATTGGTTAGTTGTGTTGCCTTTTTTTTTTTTTTTTTTTTTTATAAAAAAAAAAGCCATGGACTGTCGCGAAACAAGGACCAAGAATGGGAACAGAAACAGAGGGAATGTAGGTAGGGCAGAATCGAAACTTACCGAACATAAACAATCCTGCGGGCAGTGTACATACGCCGAACAACGCGGGCACCAAGCGATGCTCCGGCGCTCGGAGGCCGTGTTTTATGATGTCAGGCACCAGGTAAACGAGCAGATAGGTATTGTAGATGACGACTCCGATCATGCAGGCCACGCCGATGCTGAGAAAGGTCAAGCCGAGCTCGCCGAGGTTGAAGCCGTAGATGGCCACGTACACGAGCGGAAAGGCCTCGAAGAAGGAATAATAGACCCCATACAGGAGAGCACTCTGATAAAGGAAGATGTGCTGGTTAGATATTGGGCGGATAACCCGAAAAAGGGGGGGTGGATCCAACAGCCTTCGTATGGGTTCAGTATGGGAAACTCACGTAGATATTCGTGTACGCCACAGCAGGGTCCTTGATCATGATCTCCAGCGGCTTGATGATGGCGTCAAAGAAGACTTCCGAGTACTTCATGTGTTCCTGGTCGATTTCGCTCTGGGAGCGCAGGTCTGTCCTGCCCGTGAGCTTTCGAAGGCGTGCAGCCCGTCGCCGAAGGATCGTGGCACCGGAGGTTTCGGGGAAGGCGATAAGGTAGACGACCAGAATTGGTGCGCTCATCCAGAGCAGTTCCCACAGTGACCATCTCCATCTGCTCCTTTGTCATTAGTGTCGATCATGCAAGAGAGAAGAACGGAGGCAGGGTCAGTGGCAAGACATTACCCTTCGGCAGTCACGGCAAAGGACGCGACAACTGGTCCGAGGGCAGGGCCCCAGAAGCAGGCGGCTGTCCAGGAAGAGAGATAGACTGGGAGCATCAAGAGGGAGAACTGTGGCGATTAGTTCTTTTTCCTTCCACAGATAACATCTCATGAGTAGAGAGACGTACCATGTCGCCGACTGAGGCGGCACCATTTGCTAGGCAAGGGCTGCACAGAAAGCCCTGCAGGAATCGGAGGACCAACAGACCGGCATAGTTGTCAACGACCGCAGTCGGGACACAGATGATGACGAATAGGATAAAGGCAGGCGTATAGACTCCATTGCGGCCGATGGCAGGAATCTCGCAGAGGGGCGCAAATAGCAAGGGGCCAACTCCGTCTGTGTATAGCAGTGTGTCGTCAGTCCAGGCTTCGCACAGGTGAAGGAGGAGAGTCAAGCATACATCCTATAACGTATATGGAAAGGCCCATTGCTGCCGCCGCCTCACTCACACCGAATCTCTGCATGACCCCTCTAAGAGCACGTCAGTATACGAGTGCACGTTGAAAGGAGAATTGAGGCTCACCCTTCGCTTACGACGTAAATGCTAGAGCCTCCGTACATGGCAAAGGTATACAGGCTGCAGCCCTCATGTCAGTTTTCCATCGGCACAAGGGGCGCGAGAAATGATACCAGATCTGAACCAACACAAAGAGCTTCTTCGCCTTCGTCCAATTCTGCGGATTCTCTGGGTCGTCGGTCGTATACCAATCAACGAGAATGGTGCCGTCGGCGGATTTATGGAGTGATATAGGCTTGCTCTTGGTCTTTTCTAGCTCAAGCTGCTGGTCCAGGGCCAATCTCTCCTCGGTAAAGAGCAGACTATGCTGTCGCGAGAGAGTTGGTTCTAGAGCAGCATCTCCCTCGAGCCGCGTTAGTGGATGCGTTGACGGTCCGCCGACAGACTCTGTCTTCTCGGGATCTGCCACCTCGGGCCCAGATTGCCCATCGTCGACCCTTTCAGGGTCATTCTTTTCAAGATCCTGCTTTTCTGCTTTCGGCGGCTCGGCTGTCACGGGCTCAGACTCTTCAGGATCTGGGACGTCCTTCTCAAGAGGAGCGCCAGATGCCTGCAACATAAGTCACCACTCCGATGGCCTTTCGGGAGATTGTGGGTAAACCCACCAGCTTGGGGAGCACGAAACCTTCCCGTTCGTCGGGATATAGAAGCATTCGGTCATGAGTGACCCATCGAAGGAACTGCCCCAAAGGCGCGTCTCTGATGATATCGAGCATAGCGTTCTGCGCACCGTTTCCTTGTCCTCCTCGAGAACAAGCCACCAAAATAGACCAGCGCGTTCTGCGTTGCTATCAGACACGATTGAAGGGAGAAGAGCATCTATTATAAGACACATCGAGAGCCGCGGTGGTTGAAACATAGCAGATCCACCACCAGCGGCGCTCGCTCTAGACTGGAAGGCCCCTTGCATTGAATCCTGTAAGCAGACCAGATCTGTGGACATCGGCTGGGTAGGGATCAAGTAATTCTCGGAGATATCGCCTTCAACTGTGGTCCGGTGGGTACACAGGTCGAACAGGTACCTGAACAATGGCAGGCCGCGGCTGACCACCGTCGTCTGTTGCAGGCGCAACGTGAGCTCGTCTTCGAATTCTCGAAATACTGGCGATTCCCCCGATACCGCGTTAGGGAGTCAGCGAAGGCATCGGACAGCATTCTCCAGCACCAAGCAGCGAGATTGATGAGGTAAGGCTCGGGATGATATGCCTTTGCGCATACAAAATATACTCCGTACCCAGGCTGCATTGCGGATGGCGAATCGATTTCGATTGCAAATGCCTCATCCAATATAGCCATGATTCGTGGTCAGTGGTCCTCTACGCAACCGAATTAAAGAGTAGCCAGAAAAGCGCCAGTCAGGATACGCAGTAATCAAGAAGGCCACCAACAGGGGGTGGATTGTGTATCTCGGTATGAACCGTGGTTGCGGAAGAAAGCCGAGAATATGACTGCCGTCAACAGGGAGACCTTCGTACATATCCAGACTCGGTCAACGATCAGCATAGCAGATGTCACCACCATCACCGCTGTTGTCCTTGATACCTCGTAGGTGCTCTAGCCGAAACACGATCTTGACGCGTAGCCGCGCTCTGATCCTCGGTTATGTCCCATTCAGACCCTTTGCACCTCCCTTTGCCACACCGCAGCCACACCGAGGCATCAGACAGAGCTTCTTACACTGCTGTTACTGCTCATTTGCTGCCTCAGCCAGCGTTCTATGAGTAAAAACAATACAAGATCTGCAAAACACGTCAAGGCTGAGCCGAGCCGTAAGGGCAAACGCCGAATTTTAACCTGGCACCAAGACAATTCAGAGTTCGCTCGCACATTACTGGACAGGCTGACACGATGGATATACCTTTGCAGACAAGGGCATTCTTCCTTGGATATTGCTATCAGTACGGCTCTATCAAAGCTCACTATCTATCGAGCCGATGCGGTGAGGCAGCTGCAGCCCTCTGTTGAACCTTGCAAATTTGCAACCAACGCGCCAGAACGAATCAAGATGCATCTGCCCTGCTGCCGCACAGACTGTGCGGGTCCAGAGGTATAAGAATGACTATACCACCCACACCGGAGAACTATCACATTGAATATAGAGAACTACGTGCAATCTCCCACAGCTGACACGGGATAACCCTATGGAACCGAGGAGATTGGGAGATAGGGTCACCCTATCCATGTCAAAAGTCTTTTGCGTCATGGGAGTGAGCTGGTACTGTCAGCTCTAATGGCGCATTCGGATTCAGCCGTATTCAATTATTTGAAGCCTAAGCAGAGCAGTCCAAGGTGGAATCGTGAAATCCGGTTTCCAGATTGGCCATCCATCTTTTCACGGGAGACTCTGACAAACCGCATGCAGGTATACTGAATGTGCCCAAATAATTCAGGCACATAATATGGCCCGTACCCAGTTGCTGCCCAAAGGTTTGCTGTCTTCCGATTTCAGCCGGAGACCCTGCGGTCAGCCATCGAACAAGTAGCGACAAGGGCGAGTCACCACCATCAGCGCATATATCTTGAACACTAGTTTTAGAAATAATACAATCTTGGCATGTCGTCGGCTTACATTTCAGACTGCAATCGGAAGGATCAAGGAATAATAACGCTCCAGCTACAGCATACCCTATCGCTTCCGAGGTACTTAACCACAGCGGAGATATTCATTCCGCGTCCCAGTCTACGGGAAATTGCCGAAACTTTATCCCTTGCTAATTTATTATGGCTGGCAGGTCCTGGAGAGGAGTTTTCAGGGAAGCGGTGGAATGAATCCTCTTGAGAAACAGAGGCAAAACCGCTCACCCACCGGAAAACCGATATACCTGTCGCAGACATGAGCATCAGAAGGCAGCCTTATCACATAACGCCGCGGAAACAGTATCACCATCCGGGTTCTTGCCTTTCAGATTGGTAAAAAGATTTGTGAGCAGAAGTCAGCTTCGGTCGCGGCCAGATTGAACCTCGAGTCGTCTGTGTCGATTCGGACGGGAATCACGAAGCAATAGGTGATCAAGGATACAGGACAGGCAACAGGCCACGGATGCGTGGAGAGCCTTCACCCCTATCCTTACCGAGTCGGGTTCTTGACTGATTTGTGGATGATTCTTTACTGCTCAACCTTGGACGACCAAACATCAAGATCCTCACCGGTGCCAATGTGGAAAGTGTCAGATTCCGCGACTCCTGCGGCAATGCTATGGCCGACAGGGTCTATTTCTGGCGTGGCCCAAGAAGGTAAACGTCAAGCCATTCAGGGAGCTGTATTAGAAGGCCGGGACCGGTCCAGGAGCAAATCCTCCCTCGGGAGATGGATACCTCACCTACGCGGTGTTAGTGTCACCCAAACAACTCCAAGCTACCCTTGACGTGGCGACGTCGACACAGGGAATCGAGACGCCCTTCGACGAAGCCCAACAGCAACGGGCTCTGCAAGTTTAGTGGCATTGGCCGAGTTAAGGTACCATACTATGGGAAGTTCTGAGATCTTTTTTTCCGTCCACCCATCCATCCATCCACTTCAGCAACTAGATAGCAGATACTACACGGCCAAATTCACCTGGCTGTGCCATTTCGTTTAGATCAATTCTCATATGTCTCCAGGGCCGCCAACCCGCCTTCCAAGCGCCTGACGATATTATTCTCGTCGCACAATTTGACGAACCCGTCCCTCTCACCGCCCTTGCCGTCCAGGCCGTAGATCCTGCCGTACTCGGAGACGAAATTGTCGAGTGTGGTTTCTGGTTTGTCGCGGCAGAAACCGCAGAGCGTCTGCCTCATTTCCTCTTTGAAGCCCAGACGCGGCCACACGGCCAAGACCTCCTTGTACTCGTCCACCGTGATGGAGCAACCCGGCACGGCGGCGTCGAGATGCGGCCCGAAGAACTCGGCCATGATGGACAGCTGAGTCGCCAAGACTTCAGGCTCCTTGTGGTGCGCGATGCTCGGGGTGGTGTGCAGCGCGATGGCGTCCCACATGAGCTGGAGGCGGTGCCTGTCCCATTTTCCTCCGTTGCTGGTGCCCGTGCCACCACCTGTTTCAGTCCGGATGAAGTTGCGAGCGATGTCGGCGCCGTCGACTTCGAAGCGCTTCTCATTAGACGTCAGGGACGAGCTACTGGTCGCCCAGCCCATGTCGTGCATCAGCAGAGAGAGGACGACGGCATCCTTGTCGATGTCCGCGTTCGTTGCCAAGGGCGGGAACTTGCGGAATAGGATGAGAGAAAAAGCGACGCTGCGGAGGCAGTGGTTGAGCGTGGCTCTGGAGCAGTGTTCTTTGACGAAGGCGTAGGCAGATGTGAACAGGTGGTCGGACGGCATGGTGATCTGGGAGACGGGGAAGGTTGGAAACGGTGCGGTCGTGGAAGACATTGTCGAAGATTGAATCCTTGTTTTGGACTTCTAGTATGATACGGCCTCCTTTGCTTTTGCTTTTCGCTTGACGACGCAAGAGTTCTGCTGATTGTGGTTTGGTACGACAGCGGAAAACATTCTCAGAGAGAAGAGACGAGATCTTTATATCCTCCTGTCTTTGCCTACCTATGCACTGATCAGTCAAGACGTTGGACATGGCAGTCATTGATGCTGGATTTGATTCCGCGTGGTCATTCATGGTGCTCGCATGTTGGTGCAGCGGTGTAGCTTCAGCTGAGGCACCTCCGTTGTAGCATGATGCTTGATGCCGTACGTAACCGCCTCAGTAATACGAAATCGCATTACCTTGGTGTTCCTGAATGATTTCTCCGACTCGGCTGGCCCGACCGCGGCTTCTTCGAGGCGTTATTGGTGCATTTTCGAGCGGCGGAACGTCATCCCGAGGATAGATTATTCCGTTACTATAGGGCGTTTCACCAGAACAGGCCATGGTTCCTGTTTTGGAAGACTAACACTCGTCGCCGTCAGGGGGTAAAGAGAGTTTGCAAATGAATTGGGATACAAATGCATAAGGGGCCGCAGGGGGAGCCCGATGGAGGGTAGTTGAGCCGGCGGTGTGTTTCCGCAGTCTGGGCTCAGTTCTCTGGAAAGGACAATTTTCTGATGGGGGGGGGCTTGTGACGTCTGACAAAAATGTCATTTGAATCAACTCGGACTCGACTGTTGAAGCTTCAGACTCTTTTTCTCCACGACCTCATCTACGATACTATCTTAAGTGAGAGTTAAGGCGTCAGTCTGCCTCTGCGCCTGATGTACTATCTACAAAGCAAACTCGAAAACTAGCCAGAGCACTGGCAGTGACGGAAACGAATACCTTGACGGAGAAGTGCCTGTCTGCGCAACCCCCTCACCACGCATTCTGCGGACGTGTAATGGAGAGATTCATCATCACGGATTTCTTTTCTTCTTTGATGTTGTGCAAAATTCGTAGAATCGGAAACCTGTCTGTGATCAAACAGTAATATCCTCAACGGATCAGCTAGCCTCCTAGCCACCAAGTATCTTATGTAGGGACAAGCATGGGGTAAAGGTGCAGCCTTGCGGATGAATCCGCCGAGGCTGCGGCCCCCTTTCCGAGCCTTAATAGCGCCTAATTACCCGGTACAGGATACCTATGCCGTGCTAGGAAAGACTCCCGAGTTGATACTCGGTACTTATCACGGAAGCTATGGCTAGCCTCTCGCGGAGGTGTTATCCGGGCTAGTTCTGTACTTGTTACGAAGTATTGCTTGCTTAGGCGCCCTCTCTCCGCATGACGACATTGGTGTTCGACTATCACAAATGCTGACGACGATATGTAGGATACGAAGTTACTTCAATAACTCATCCACTTCGTCTCAATCCGGGGGAGGCTATCCATAGATAACTTTGAATTCCCAAACTGTTCTTTACTACTAGTTTGGCAGTATAGATTGATTATTTCAAAAATGCTGTCCCCTTCGCCCCCGCATCTCCTGGCCGTCGCCATCGCCCTCAGTCTCCTGACAACATTTCTGCCTGGTCCGTCTTTGGCGGAGCAAGACCAAATCGCCATCCACCACCACCGCCAACAGCAACGTTTGTTGAAAGGCCCGATCAAGGAGATTCCTCAGCTCGGTTTGGGGCTGTGGAATTCAAAGGATGAAGATGTCTGTCTCCATACCTGCGTTACTGCCTGCGTACCTGCTCGCCCCGATCCATTGGCCGTCGTTATTGACTCAATCCACATCACCGATTGTTTTCATGATTAGCTATAAGACTCTTCACAGAATAAAAAACTAACGCTGCTTCTCCAAAACGTCATATAGGCTACGAAGGCCGTCGAATATGCTTTCAAGGCGGGATACAGACATCTCGACTCAGCCGCTGCGTATGGTAAGTTCTATAGCAATTGGGACACCTAGGCAGGCTCCAAGGCGGATTCCCTTGACATACATTGAAATCCATCATCAACCCGTCTCCACGAGACTTACCAAAAAAAAAAAAAAAAAAAAAAAAAAAAAAGAGGGACGGCTGATACTCCTCTTTCCCGCCATCCCATGCAGGCAATGAAGACTTCGTCGGCCGCACTCTCAACAGCTCTGCCTCGCCGCGGCGCGAAAAGTACTGGATAACGTCCAAGCTGTGGAACACAGCGCACCGGCCCAAACTGGTGCGGCCGGCGCTGGAAAAGACGCTCAGCGACCTCCAAGTCCCCTACCTGGACCTGTACTTGATGCATTGGCCCGTGGCGTTCCTGCCGAACCAGGATCCCGGCCGCACGGTCGTGGACCAGGACACCAGCATCCACGACACATGGGCCGCCATGGAGGAGCTCGTCCGCGCCAACCTGACGCGACACATCGGGGTGTCCAACTTCTCGCCGCGCCAGCTAGATGACTTGCTCGCAAAGTGCAAGATCCGGCCGGCCGCGCACGAGTTCGAGACACACCCGTACCTGCAGCAGCAGGAGTTTGTTGACTGGCACCTGAAGAACAACATCACCGTCATCGCGTACTCGCCCCTCGCCAACATGAATCCCACCTACAACGGCAAATACCCAGACCTGCCCCCCATCCTCGAGGACCCCTTCTGGACCGACCTCGCTTCCAAAAAGAACGTCACCCCCGCGCAAGCAATCCTCGCCTGGGGTAGACAGAGGGGGACAATTGTGATACCCAAGAGCGTGCATCAGGATCGGATCGTGGAGAACCTGGGGTCGATGAACGTGACTTTCACCGACAAAGAGATGACGATGACTACCGAGCAGGATAAGAGGTCGAGGTTCAACAACCCGAGTAAGAGTTGGGGAGTGGAACTCTTTGAGGGTTTGGATGATGGGAGTAGCCGGTTCGTTGTGGAAGAGGAACTATAAGACTGCGGATTGTAAGGGGAAAATATTTGGGAGTGTCACAAGGGCAAAAATGTCACACGCGAGTGTCAGAAGGATTGGTGGATCCGGATATCGTAAGGGCGCAAAAAAAGGATGCCATGTTGTATATTCTGTGCTCGGGACGCGTGGAAACAAACTTTAACGGGATAAACCTTCAGACCAGCACCAGGACGTCCGTCGCTTGTACGGGCCTCGCCATCACTGCCTTTATGTACGCATTGGCCAACCGCTCCATCACCTCAATGCAAAATAGAATGACTTCGCACCAACGCCCAACGCTCAAGAGCCAATGCAAGGGTATGCGCGTAAACATCATGTTCAGTCATGGCGAACTCCAGAGCAATGGCCAAGGTCGTGCTGCATTCGCAGTGACTTCCGACTTTTAGTCCTCAAGAGTCTCATGGCGAGCCAGGACCTTTCGCTGGAATTCCTCCGGGTCATGCTGGTGAAGTTGGGCCGCTTCATTGTTCAACGGACTCGAACTGCAAACAAATGTTAGTCTTGCCGTCTCTTCCTAAACACAAGCAAAATCATACTTGTTCGGCTCTTCCAGCAAGCTCTGCAAACTTAGCAACACAGTTTGGACATTGTAGACAGCACTCCATTTGTCCTTAAGAATGTCGAGGCATATCCGACCGCTGAAATCGATGTTGGGATGGTAGACGGGTGTCTTGAAAAGGACGGTGGGGGCACCGTAGGGATAGTTGCTGGGGAACTCGAAGCTGAGTTTGAAGGTGAGGTCTGCATACGCTGTGTCTCGGGGTCCGACCAGGGTGGCGGTCCAGTGCAGCATGTTGCCATCGGCGTCAGGGAAGGCAGAGATGCCCGGCGTAGGGGACATCATGAGGGCCATGAGTTCGGATTGGAGCCTGTGCCTGATGAGTCCGTGCTTTTGACCTGGTGAGGAAAAAGATGGTCCTACCGTTTGGTGACGCTTTGGGTGTCTACTTTCCGAGGTACGACGCTGAGTTTCTGTTGTTCAGCCATGGTAGAGAGTCCTGGAGCAGAGTTCTGAGAGTTTTCGACTGGAAAATCCATCTTGGGGTTGTATTTAAGCTGCGAGCTGCAAACGGCCAGAATGTGCGTAAAGGAATGCTGAAAACGGAAGAATGGTCTAGACTACTTCAGCTCTGATGGTAGCGGTTGTAGACCGGCAATACGGAGCACAATGACTGTGACTGAGGATGAGAAAGAGAGACAGATAGGAAAGATGTGCAAAAAGTGTGGGAAAGCGAAGGTCGAGAGTGTAGATGAGTTAGTCGCGTGCTGCTGCTGGTAAGAGTCGCCTGCACCTGAGGAAGTGGTAGGGATAGTTAGGGACCGCGGAGACTTAACCATTGTTTATCCTCGGGGGCCCATTGCCTGGTCGCTCCAGTAACAGCACCACTAAGCAGCCCCAAGCGGCCCCCAAAATGACGTCGGCGCCGCACTTTGGGTCGCGATCAGCCAATTCATCGCCTCTCTCGCGCCTCAGTCTGTCACACGACGCGCGCTGCGCTTGCTAGACCATTTGGGTGCATTACACTACCATGGTACTCGGCGAGGTCAATGCATAGCCTTCGACGTCGTCCTGCGAAACGGTGAACATCCTCACCAGACCCGGTCATGAACGGGATCCCTCACTCTCAATTGGCACCTCTGCCGACTCAGGTGCCCTTCCGGATTGTCTCTCCCACCATCGGCTCGGGTGCATACGCATGGTATTTGGGTTCCTTCCCTCGGTCCAGCATTGAAGAACGGAGATATTCTAACAATTTCACGAAGTATCAAGAAAGCCGCTCCTCTCAGCGCCGACAATCCCGTCTTTGCCGTCAAGTTCATCAACAAACACTTCGCTCAGAAGTATGGCCGTATCAAACAAAAGCAGCTCGAGATGGAAATATCATTACACAAGCACATCGGCCTCCACAAGAATATCATTGAGTTTTACGACCATGGCCATGACCCGGCCTGGGTTTGGATAGCAATGGAACTGGCTGAAGGAGGCGACCTGTTTGACAAGATCGAAGCCGATGCCGGGGTTGCTGAAGATATTGCACATGTCTATTTCACGCAACTCGTTAGTGCGATGGGCTACATGCATTCTAAAGGCGTGGCTCATCGGGATATCAAACCGGAAAACGTCCTTCTATCTGCGGATGGAGACCTTAAGATTGCAGATTTCGGGATGGCCTGCCTATTTGAATACCACGGCCGGACGAAACTGGCGACGACGTTGTGCGGGAGTCCGCCTTATGTTGCTCCGGAGGTTCTGTCGTGTGGCACACAAGCCGGCACGAAAGGAAGTGGGTACGCCGCCAACATGGCGGACATCTGGTCTTGTGGAGTTGTCTTGTTCGTCTTGCTTGCAGGAAATACCCCTTGGAGTAGACCAGTCGAGGGCCGTGACGAGTACGGGAGACTGAACGACTTCAGCGAGTATGTCCAGAGCAACGGGAAGCCGTCAGATGAGCTGTGGGACTCGCTTCCACTGGAGGTACTATCCCTCCTCCGTGGTATGATGAGAGTCGATGTCAAAACGCGGTTCTCCCTTGAGGACGTCCGCCGGCATCCTTGGTTTACAAGACCGAACAGATTTATGGATCAAAAAGGTCGACTGAAAGACCCGATCACTATGGCCACGAACATGTTTGAAGCCCTCCATGTCAGCTTTGATGCAGATCCATTTGCAGGGACCCAGAGAAGTCGCAATTTAGATGCAACGGAAATTGATGGAAATCTGCGAAGCAGGTTCTCATCAACTCAGCCAGAAATGCCTGCAGAAGATATGCTGTTCGACTGGGACCGACCGAAGCACTTTGCGATGGCAAGCACTCAGATAGGAGCAGGTCGGACGTCGGCGACACAGTCGATGTCAACAGCACAATATCTTGAAGACGAGCCTTCCATGTCACAGTTTCAGCCGCACCCTAGCGTCCCTCTGAGCCGGACACAGATGGCTCGGCGATTTCATGACATTTTGCCCTCTTCAGGCCTGACCAAATTCTATTCCGGTTGGACGCTGAATCTCCTCGTGCCCCATGTCCTAGAGGCTTTGAGCCGACTAGGGGTGCCGACTCCAAATATTCCTCGGCCTACGGCTCAAGACTATGAGTGTGTAGTCAAGGTGAAAACGCAAGATAGTCGCGGGTGTCCTTTGAGCGGCAACATCGCGATGGAGACGGTCAGTGAGGGACTGATAGAGATCTGTTTTGTGAAGGCTTCAGGCGACCCCTTGGAGTGGAGGAGGATTTTCAAGCGGATGGCAGTGCTGTGTCAGGACGCAGTCGTCAAGCCAGAGTTTTGAGAAGATGTTTTGGAGCAGATAAATAGCATGCAAAAGCATAGACGCCAATGGGGGCCTCCGATCGGTTGTGGCAACCCATGGCCAAAATGGCAGCAGGAAAAGTCGGACTCACTATAATTTAGGCCTTGAGATGATTGAATTTGAATCCTTGCAGCCGTCCCCTGAATGGTGGACAGGGTAATAATACTCTGTACGAAGTACCGTGTTTGGAAATGTAGAGGAGTTGAATAATATGTACCACTGGGCCTCGGCGTTTTGGTGTCTTTCACATGTCTTTTTAAGCGCGAGATGACTTCATCTTCGGTTTCCGACCTCGCCGTTCATCAAGACACGCGCCATGTGATCACATCCGCATGCGACACTTGAATCCATTTCCTTTAAATATCCAGGCGACCACTCGTGCGTCTCCAAAGTCCCCATCTTGCCTCTTGTACCCTCATTCTCTGTGTAAACGACCTCTCCAGCTTTCGGCGTCTCCTAATACTCTCCATTCGATCCCAGAGTCCTGCTACGTGATGTCTCTCAAGGACGGTATGGTATCAAGCTTTTCCTAGAATGCGAACACCACGGCAGCTCTGACGTGCGCATTTCAGACGCCTTTCCTTCCTCCGTGGCTTTTGATGCCATCAACGAGTCCCTCGCATCCAATGACGCCGATCGAAAAGACGCCGTCAAGCAAGGGAAGGCCATCTTCGCCTTCAAACTGACCAACAGCAGCGGCAAGGAAGAGGCATGGTATATTGATCTCAAAGACACTGGAAAAGTTGGCAAGGGCGAGGCCCCTGAAGGGAAAAAGGCCGATGGTCAGTTTCACGACATCCCATGGGAAGAAGAGACGGCAGAATGGACTAAACGCGCAATAGTGACACTCCTCCTATCCGACGAAAACTTTGGCAAATTGATCGCCGGAAAGACAAAAGCGCAGACTTTATTTATGAGCGGCAAGCTGAAGGTCAGGGGTAATGTCATGAAAGGCAAGACAAGTCGACCCTGGGCGGCGAGAGAGAGAAGAGCTAACAAGCGCAACAGCAACGAAGATGGAGCCCATCCTCGCGAAAGCTGGAGGCGCTGTCAAAGCCAAACTATAGATGGGACAATATTCAAAACAGATGCCCAAAATACTGCCAGAATATTGAAAAGCAAACCACATCCTAAGAATATCATAACCTCTTATTGCACCTAGTACAACGGATCAATGGACGACAGCAGAGGGCGTGGATCGATCAAAGCACACGTTGGCTGGGTTGCGCGCACAGATCTTTTCGCAACGGTTGCTCTTCAGTACGATGCGGTGGAACGGTCTTGATGGCTTTAGCCCGCTTGCCGTTCACTTCTTTGTTCGCCTTGAGCACCTCGACCACACGACCGAGCACCCTCTCCAGTGGGCTATGTCTCCTTTTTCCGGCGGCCTCGACTCTGACGCGGGTTTTGAGCTGGCGCGTCCGTTGGGGCTATGGAGCCATTGGACTTGCTTTTTGATTTTCCGGCATGATTCTTCTGTTTTTTTCTTGGGGATCCGGTTGTTTCTTCGTACGTCGCGTCTTGACCACGATCGCGCTTCTGACCGGCCTTTTGAGATGCTTGTTCTTGCTTGGTACGAGTATTGGTATGCTCCTTCTCAGAATCTGACCCGGACTGCAAGTTGTCCTGTTTGCCTTGCTTCTTCGAGCGACTTTGCGACTCCGGCCCAAGCTCTCGTTTCTTGCTCCTCTCATAGGTGGCGTCCTCTTCGTTGTTGGCTTTCTTCCTCGCAGACTTTGCGCGAGGGGTATTCGGCACGAACTGTTTGCCCTTTTTGCTTCCTTGTAGCTTTTTCTCCTCGGTCTTTTCCTTCTCCTCCTCGCTCATATCTTCCCAAGCTCTCTTTGGAAGGTAGCGCTTTCGAGTGCCATCGGCCTGCTTTGCATGTCCACTTCCCTCCTTCGTCTGCCACTGCTCATCTGTCCATTTACCCAAATGCTTCTGAGACTCGTCCTGGTCATTTTTGTCCGTCTTGTAACCGCCGCCCCGGTTTTTGTACTCTTCGGCCATCATCTGTGCCTGAGAACATGAGTTAGTCTCCAGCTCTGGGGCGAAAAGTGCCGTTGGAACGCACTTTGCGAGCAGACCACTGTCCGGGGGCGCCACCCTTGTCTGATTGCTGGATATCTTCCTTGACCTCATCTCGGAGCTTCGGGTGGGTGTATTTCTCCTTTGAAGGCATCTTTGAAGATGAGGCTCGTGAAATGGTTAGCTTTATAGGTCGAAAGTTGACAAAGACCTTGTCAGTATTCGGCCTCATATAAGCATCTGCATCTTGAACTGTTTCTACCTGAACACATTACAAGGTACGCGGGCAGCAGCACGCCCAGGGGTCTTGTGACAGTTTTCATGGTGCAATGTACTTGGTAGGCGTCATTGATCTATTGCATCCAAGTTCGCAGTCCGAGTTCCAGCACATGCCCAGCACACCCCGATGATCGATGTCCCGAGGTTGAATTCTGGATACTCGCATGTCAGATCCAGCCACCTCGTCGATTCGGTTTCCCTTGACTCTTTTGGTCCTTTGCACTTCGTGTTTCGTATCTCATAGTTCTTAGGGCAAACCCTCGCCCCTGCGGCCGATACGCCCATTAGCCTTACGGGAGTATAAAAACCCCGTTCTTATTTGCCTTGGGCAAGTTGAACACAATTTCACGGTTTGATTTATGTTCCCATTCTGGGGCACTTCCTGGCTCAATGTTGATGGTCGTGGGCCTTCCAGAGGCCCTTACTACGCTCAGCGTCTTGCAGAGGCCTGGGATCAGCATACTCCTACCGAGCTTTATCACCGTTCGGTCTATGGCGAGAAATGGCTTGCTTGAGAAGGGGCCAGAAACCATCCATGCGTCCTCGTCGAGAAACGATTCTTTTCTTGATACCGCGCTCAGCCGGCCAAATATCTACTCTTTCAATTTCAACTACGCTCATTCTCGCTTCCAGAGCTGTATATGAAAAGCCGTGGGATAAACTACGCCTCCACATCTGCCTCATTTGTCCTAGACGAGTACCATTACAAACACTTCTGCGCGAGACTCTCTCGGTCGCTTGCTGCCAGTTATCATTCCTTTGGTGATACAAACGCCGTTTTGGATACAGCTAAAGGATCCCAAGACTATTACAACTAGCGGAATTCCAACGATAGACCGTGGTGGAGGATCCGGGGGGGGGGGGGGGGTTCCTACCAAGGTTAATGATACATTGGGATTCTTCTGGTGGTCTGGATTTTCGGCAAGTAGCTAACCCAAGTATTAACCCTCCTAACCACAGGCTTGAAGACGGCGCCAATGGCAAGGCCATCATCATCGGATGACAAGGTAGCTTGAGCGCGGACTCCTATTATAGGTTCTCGATCACAGGCAGCCGATCCGAGTTCATTACCTCATTTGCTTCAACAAGCTCTCGTGTCTCTGTTTTATCCGGAGAATCTCTTCCATTTCGAACAATTCGCAAACCACCATTTTCGGTTTTGCTCCACGAAGAACCGTTGCCAGCCTTAAATTCCCGGATCCGGGATTTGCATAGCTTGTCTGGAGGCACCCGAGGGTTCTTAACGCTGACACAAATTCCAGTACTGATCACATTCGGATTATGGTAGAGAAAATCAAGCTTGACCGAAAATGCTATTTGCAATTCACCACATGCAGGACTCTCGCGACGGGATCGCCGACACTGGGCTGGAGAGGCTGCGATGATAGGCCATTCAAACCGCCTGGTGAGTCTAATGCTGCAGGGAGCTCAGCAGGAACAACCAAATCCAACCTATGAGACATGTCCCGCGCACGGGCCAGAACGCCGAGCCCAATGCAGGTGGAGGTGGACAAACACTGGATCGGGTATGGCTTGTTAGACAATGCCACACTTTAGGTAAGCGAATGCGGCTGTTTGAGGGAGGGAGGGAACCAAGGGCGAATACTTGGTGAGGGACTTCTGTTACTCAGTGGCTGGAACTTATACAGTCACTTGGCCCGGGGACCACGAGACTGGAGAAGGTCACACCAGAAGAAACTCATATCACAGACCATCTTCCCCACCACGAACAGAATGGGAAGCAGCACTATCGCAACTTCGCAGATCTGGTAATTCACTCTGGCAAGGCTCCGCGATGATCAAACACGGCATGCTCCAGTGCTCGCCCCAGGAAGAAGATGAACTCATGGACTTCAGCTGGGCGACCAGTGCATTGTTCTTGCTATATAGAAGCAGTCGGGGGATGAAGAGTCGTGATCCAATCCTACCAGTTGTGAAGGACCAACTCTTTTGGATACATCAATTTCCAAGCACTGCCAGTTCGCTGAGTACGAACAGTCCCAACAGTGGACGACATGAAAAACAGAAACCCGTCCTGGGGATCCGTCAGGTCCAAGCTGACCCAGGAAGGCTACATGTACCGGATGAAGCTCGGAAATCCGACGCCAAACGCCAGTAGCCAGCCTGCGCACCGTCGCCCTTCGTCGTCGACCTCGTCGTCATCAGCCAATGCACAGCCTTCCATGCTGGCGGAATCTGTTCCTTCCAGGTCTGCTGCAGACGGGGCGATCGCGGATGGAGGAACCGCCGCGTTCCACACTATCGTCGAACTCCTGGAGCACTGGAATCTTGGTGACAACTTCAGGGATGACCACGAGCTAGATCCAAATGCCACGTTTGAGTTCTGTAAGTCCTTCCTCTCCTTGACACTGTTCCAGCTAATTGAAATCTGCCAGTATTCCAATGTTATGCACCTTTTGCGATACACCGTCGCCGCAGAACTATCCTCTTTGAACCCGGAGACTTCCTCGACGGGGTCATGCTTCATGACAATATGGTCGCAAATGCTGTCCTGGTTTGGGCGGCGGACATGCGGGAGCGATTCGGGGCAGGAAATCAGAGTGCGAGAGAGATGCTCTTGTCCCGGCGGAACGATGTCATCCGAGAGCTCCGGAATAGGATCTCTTCTTCAGAGACTTGTGCCTCAGATGCTGTTATGATGACGATTCTTTTGCTGGTTGGAACTGAGGTGAGATGCCCCTGATTGCATCTAAGCTCTGCTGATGACAGGCTCAGCTTCTTCACGACAATATCGATGCAATGGGAACTCACCTTGGGGCCTTGCGGCACATCATTCAACTCAGGGGTGGCATCGACTCCCCATCATTGAGCAAGTGGGTGAAGATTCCGCTTCTCCAGTAAGGGTTGCGCCGCGCCTAGCCCAGCTATGCCATTGCTGATAAATCCCAGGTTCGAAAATTTCTTGAACTACCGGCATTTCGATCATGTCAAGAGCTCCGGCTTCGAGAGTGTATCGCCGATGGTTGGAGACGCTCGCCACCAATCTCTGCCAGCATCCCCTGCTCGACTGGCCAAGTTGCCTCCTGGATTCGCGGAACTGTTTGCCAGCATTCCTGTGAATGTACAGGTCATGAATCTTGTGGAAAGAATAACCCAGTGGGCTCTGCAGATGGCCGATCTTCCCGAGGTAGGAGTAGACGGGGACAAGAGTGCAGCCACCGTGCATGCGATGACGTTGGATGCATTTCGGGCATTCGACCTGCTCCAACAGGAGCAGCTCGAGGAGACGGAACGGTTATTGGTCCTCGGCCTGTTTTCCTTTTGCATCTTCATGAACGGTGCGGCAATCTACTCGGTGATGGAATGGGCTCAACGACTTCACTGCATGGCCCTTGTTGGCAAGCCTATCGCCCCAATCACGAATGAGCGTCGGGCGAGCATGATCTGGGTTGCTGCCATGTTGATGGCAACGGGGGGAGATGGCTCTCCAGCGTGGCTGTTGGGACGGCGAATCAAGAGCGTATGCAGTGGTGCAGATGCTAGCTTACAGGTCATTCTCCAAACAAGCCAGAGATATTTTTGGGATCAAGATCTGACCACGAGACTGACTGGTGGCACGGCTGGAAGCATGCAAGGTAATTTCTTCGGAGATGGGGTATGATTAGGGCAGGTGGATGCAATCTCTGGTATTGACCGACTGAGAACTGGGGCATTTGGAATAGCGGGAATGGGGGGATGTTCAAATCATGATCTATTCTTTATTATGCGTTAATAGTGCAGCTGTTGTTAGAAGATTTCGTCCGTAGCATAATCAAGCTGGGATCCATTTTCGCACACGTCACCGGAGGACAAATTTCCGCCTCAACGGGCCAGCCGCCACAATGTCCAAATGCACAGGACGTGGTGAAGCCACGGGTGGTTTTTCGCAGACGGTGGTGATGTTTTTTCTTTGCGAGAAAGGGAGGTTGATGAAGTGGAAATGGATTTAAGTTACCGATTGGCCACTCAGCAAGCCCAGCAAAAGGCAAAAGCCAAAAGGCCTATATATATCTTTGCCCCGGAAAGATGCCGCGCGAGGTGGACGGTTTCCCGGGAAAGAAAAGTACCTAGGGAATGCCAGAGCCCGATCGATTGCTTGGCCAATTCAGACTTGTTGACTCGTTTTTGTTGGTGTCTCTTGTGAAAGTGACAAAAGGGATGTTTTGATGACATGCGTCGGGAGTCTGGCCTTGCTGTTGGATGAAAGATGCGAGGGTCTCAATGACAGCCTCGCATGGCCTGGACTATTTTGGCAGCGGGCAAGGCTGCATCCACACGGGCAGGTGAAGCGTTCAGTAATAGGTACTGTACTGGGTACCGAGTAAGCAGGTCCTGGGTAGACACCCCACTAGTCCATAATGCCACTAACCGCTAGCGGTGCTAGCTGTGCCTAGCGCACTACTTGTACCCCGTACTTGTGGCACTACCCAGTAGGTAAGAGCCCTCCCACTAACACCACTAAGTCGCTAAGGAACTGGCTGTGATCTTCCCTCCATCCTCCCCCGGCCGCCTCCTGCCTGCCTGCCTGCCTGTACGAGGTAACCTGCCGCTCTGCCAATTCTCTAACTGCCTCACACTAGGGCGCTTCCCTCGTGTCCGCGAATCCACTCCCCTTCCTCTTCCGTTGTCCTCTTCGACGGCTTCAAAGGCTAGCCATCGACAAACAACACCAAAATTCTATTTTCAACCTCCAGCTTTTCCCAACTCTTTCATCAGGGTGTTGCCTCCGTCGTGCGCCATCAGCCTGTGGGTTGAGAGGCCAAGAAAGAAAAAAAAGTCATTTTTCTTTTTCTCTTCGCAACCGGCTAGTCTGCGCTGGGGTCCAGAAGGATTCAGGAGTTCAGGGTGGTGATGGTGGTGATGGTGGTGATGGTGGTGATGCGATGGTGCTCGTGTTCTGATACGGGAGCTGCGGTTCGTGTTTCCAATGCGTTTCGTCCACTTCCAGTCCCCTCGCGATCCATGGGCCACCAGGCCAAACAGGCGCTTGCTCTGGCCCAATCTGTCCCCTGGACCGTGTCTCTCCCGCTAGCCGCCTTAGGGTCACAACTTCGGAGAATGCACGCGGCCCAGCGCTCATCGATCCTTCGACTTTCCTTTGCCTGTTTCTCCTTTCCCATCTACACGTCAACCTCACGGGGGGAACCTCAAACGTCAAGAGTCTTGAGTCGCTAGGGCACGAGGAGGTTGCGCGTCGGCCAGATTCCCTTTTGTGCTCTCCACTCTCGCCATGTCCACATCCATATCTGCCATTCGCCGCTCAGGAACCGAGCCAGGCTGCTCAAACAGTCCCTGTTTGGCTAATTTTGGCCTGTTCACGTCTTTCCTCTATGCCGGAATTCCCCTGACTAGATGTTTATGGTATATAAAGAGCTTAGAACCTTCCGGGTTGTGGAAGAGGTTCTTGCTCCAGCTCTCCATCGCCCATCCTGACGAATTCCACGACCAAGAAAAGTTGAACCTGCTTTACCATCTCTTGATTTCTCGTAACAGAGTTACTTTGATTTAAACCCATTCTCATCCAGTCGCAACAGACAATCCATATCATATACAACAAAATGCAATCCTTATTTTCATCAACAACCCTCATCTTCGGTGTGCTGGCCACATCCGTCCTCGCCAAACCTCAGTACGACTACGGCAGTTCTGGCTCTTCGACTTCTGCCATGTCGTCAGCCACTGCAACCGCCGCCGCCTCTTCTGCCTCGGGCATTCACTCTGTCAAAGTCGGACCCGGCCTCACCTTCACACCAGACACTGTCACCGCCGCACAAGGCGACTGGGTTGAATTCACCTTCGGCGCTGGCCACAGTGTTGCGCAGAGTTCATTCAATGCCCCTTGCGTACCAATCAGTGGTAGCGCGGGCGTGTACTCGGGATTCCCTAACGATGGGGATGTGTGGCGGATTCAGATCAACAGCACTGATCCACTGTGGCTTTATTGCTCGGCCACTGGCCACTGCGAGGGTGGAATGGCTATGGTTGTGAATCCCCCGTAAGTAACGCTGCGTCACCATGCAAACCCGTATACTGATCATTATGCAGGTCAAGCGGCAACACGCTGTCCTCATACAAATCTGCCGCCCAAAACGCCCAGGGTTCCTCCCCGGAAACCGTTCAAGGTGGCATTTTTGGTGCCGCTGTCGCCAGCTCAAGCAGCAGTAGTGCTTCCGGTTCTTCAACGGCCAGTGCAACAGGATCCAGCGCCAGCGCCTCCGCTTCTGGCAACGCCGCCGGAGTGAACATGGTGTCGAACGGACTGATGGTCCTTGGGGCTGTCGCTGCCGGTGTTGCAGCTGTTTTGTGAATAGATGTCACGCAAGAAGGGGGGGGGAGTATTCATGGGATCTGGGTCGGGGCGCATGCAGCACTTGGAGTATTCTTACACTTGAGTACCCCCTTTTTAGAACGATAAAAGACGCGCACGCATTTTGAAGTCCATTCGCATCGCTTATCTTCTGGTTTGCACTTTTTTTCCCCCACTACTCGCGAGAAGTTGGGGTCCCTGCGACCGACGCAGGTTGATATTAGATATTCGTATGCCGACACTGGAGAATGATCTCACTCGAAAGCCGCCTTACTGCGTAGGTTAACTAATCGGGTATCAAAGACCACCAATGTGTGCGTTTCGCTTGGTAGTTGGGCAGCCTCGTGCCCCGCTGCCCTGCAGGTATTTCCCTTTTGGACATCTGACCTCGGCAAGATTGACCCCGCTCCAAACGTATCGTACACTTTCGGACTTGGAAACATGCCTGGATAGGAGAAGAGACCAAGAGTACAGGTAGGGACACCCGAGGGACAATGCGGCCTCCCAACGGTACATGGGGTCTTACGGACGTAGATAATATGGTCCTCGTTTTCGATGACCCTTGGCCTTGGACGCCTGAGAGGTAGGTGCCTGACACTGTGCAAAGTCGAGAGCGCGGTTCGACGAACTCATGCTCACTGATACTACTCGTAATCTCTCTTTGACTAGAAAGCAGACGGAGTACCAGGGAAGGTAGAGCATATATCGTGTCTCTTCAGCTGTCGAGTAGAGTCTAGAGTCTAGACTTGTTCGCTCCCTCCTCTGTCACCGCCACCACCACCACCACCACGGCAACAATACAACGATAATGCCTCTTATCGACGAAGCGCCATACACGGCGGACGATGTGCCCGACTATCCGCAGTGCACGCCGCAGCCGATAAAAATCATCCATGTCGGCGCGGGTGCCTCGGGTCTTCTGTTCGCGCACAAGGCCGAGAAACAGCTGCAAAACTACGAACTCATCTGCTATGAGAAGAACGAGGTGATTGGAGGCACGTGGTATGAAAACAGGTCGGTCTGAATCCTGAAAAAGCCCATCCCGTAGCGAAACGGATTTCGTTACAAGCGACCCAAGGCTCTGACACCATAACATAACAGGTACCCTGGCTGTGCTTGTGACATCCCGGCACACACCTACACGTATCCCTTTGAGCCAAACGCCGAGTGGAGCGGCTATTACAGCTACAGCCACGAGATCCAGGAGTATTTTCTCAGGTTTGCCAAAAAGTACGGGGTGGAGAAGTATGTTCAGCTGAACACCGAAGTCGTGGCCGCTACCTGGGACGAGAAAACCTCGAAATGGAATGTTGACTTGAAGCGCAAAGACGGCAGCACCTTCGTCGACACCTGCGATGTCATCGTCAACGGGGCCGGAGTCATCAACAAGTGGAAGTGGCCCAGCATAGAGGGACTCCATGACTTTAAGGGTCTCCTCGCGCATTCGGCCAACTGGGACACCAGTATCGACTGGGCCGGCAAGACCGTCGCGGTGATCGGGACAGGATCAAGCTCCATCCAAATGGTGCCCAAGCTGGTGGAGACGGCCAAGCACGTTACCGTCTTCATCCGCAATGAGACGTACATCGCCACGCCATTTGGGTCCATTTCCAACAAAGAGGCTGACCCGGAGGCCCAAGATCCGCAAGCCGCAGGCAAGCATTCGTACACGGAAAAAGAAAAGCAAAAGTTTCGCGACGACCCAGAGTACCATTTGAAGTATCGACAGCAGGTGGAGCGCTCGGTGGCAAGCATCTTCCGCATGTTCCTGCGCGGATCCGAGATGAATCTCGCGGCAAAGAAGTTTTTGCAAGATGACATGGCGCGGAAACTCGGGGACAGAGAGGACCTAAAGCAGAGATTCATCCCCGCGTGGAGCCCAGGCTGTCGTCGATTGACCCCCGGGGAGGGCTACCTGGAAGCGCTGATCCGCGATAACGTGACCTGTGTGTTTGACGATATCGTCAAAGTTACACCCGAAGGAGTCGTCACCAGCGACGGCACGGAACACAAAGTCGACATCTTAGCCTGCGCCACGGGGTTCTACGTCGCATATCTCCCTCACTTTCAAATCACGGGCCTGAACGGCCAGGTCATGCAGGACCAGAAGGAACCGAACGTGTACGCCTCGATCTCAGCCCCCGGGTTTCCGAACTACTTCGTGGTCAACGGTCCGCGGGGCAATTGGGGACAAGGGTGCGTGCTGCCCAGCCACGAGGTACACATTGAATATATCCTCCAGTGCTGTCGGAAGATGCAGGAGGACGGGATCCGGTGGATGATGCCCAAGCAGGAGCCGACCACACAGCTGAACCTCTACATGGACGCATGGCACCGGAAAAACAGCGTCTGGGCTGAGGACTGTAAGAGCTGGTACAAAGTGAGTTTTAGCCTCTCTGCACCTCTCTCTTCCCTTCTTTCCTATCTTCGCACGACCTGGTCAGAAATCGAGAGTTGGAGCGTCCATCTTTGTTTTGGTTTGGAGTTAGTTTTGCGTTCGGAGCGGTGTGACGCTAACCTTGATAATCGATCAAAATAGGACAACAAAAAGGATGGCCGTGTGTACATCTGGCCAGGCAGCCTCTTCCACCACCTCAAGTTCATGAAACGGCCCCGTTTCGAGCACTACGACCTCCAGTACAGTGACCCCGGCAATATATTCGCGTTCCTGGGCAACGGACTCACCATTACCGAGACAAAGTACGGCCCTGCGGACTTGCCTGTGCCGTATATCAGGAACAACGAGGACGAGGCTTGGGATATCGAGTAGTTCCGTAGTTGGGCACACATGTACGGTAGGTAGGTACCCAGGTAGCTTGGTGTAGTGTGGTATGTACCTAACGAAGGTCGGAGCGCGCCGTCCGCTGCTGAGAGTAAGAATGAGGGTAAGATCCGGGAGATCGTGGGTGCTGACGGACGAATGGATGGATAATATGGCGACGCGACAGGGCACGGTTGGCAGCAGAGTTGTAAATGTATGTATCTAGACCGAGCTTGAGATGGAAGATTGAGTTTTCTTAGCCTTTTCCGGACTCTGTGAAGATGGGAAAGAACCAGTATCGCTGAATCTCACGAGCTTCCTCACGAACAAAGTGGAATCAGCGGGCCGAAACCGCGTAGCTTGTAATGGTATTCGGTCCGTCTGGCGCACGAGTGTCGAATGGATGACAAGGCTGAGCCAAGGAACATAAATATCCTCCGTCTTGGTACGCAAGGCTGTAAGACTGTAAGAGTGAGTGGGGGCCCATGCCAAGCCCGCATTTTGGAGGGCAGCCTCGAAATTTCCCCACATCACATCCATCTATCTGGCCTTGCTGGGTGAGCCCCCCAAATTGATTCAATCCGATCGTTGGAAACGGGGGGGTTCAATTCACATTGAATTCCTATTTTCCGCACATATTTGGAGAAATTGAGACACCCTCCGGTGGGGCTGCGGGACACCTTGCTCGATTCTAACAAGTGGACTTGACTTGAATCTGAACCTGAGCCTGAGCCTGAACTCGAAGTCCGAATCCGAATTCGAACCTCATCTGAATCTACCCTACGCAAGCTACGACCTATCCGTGCAATTAGGCCGTTTTGATGAACGCCATCAAACATCAGACACCTCCTCCGTACACTAGCATCCTCCCTCCCCGCAATGTCGCACGCACGAGTCGAGGAGCTGTCCGACTCGGACCCAGACATTGACGACCCATCCGACTTCCTCCCACACTCGGACGAGCACATCATCCGTCCCGCCGCCGCAAGCCACTCCTCACAAACCCATCCATCGCCCTCCTCCTCTTCTTTAGGGACGAACCCGACGCTTTTCCGACCCCCTCCTGCCCCCACGCCCCAAATCCGCCCGCAGACCCGCGAAGAAATCAAGCGGTTCCAGACACTATACCCGGTGTACTTTGACAGCACCCGGTCAAAAAAGCAGGGGCGGCGGGTGTCGTCGCAGCTGGCGATCCCGAACCCGCTGGCCTGGCAGGTTCTGTGCGCGGTGCGGTTCGCGGTCGGCGAGAACGTGTTCAGGATGGCGTTTGAACCCGAGAAGACGCACCCCAAGGACTGGGCCAACCCGGGGCGGGTCAAGCTGCTCCTGAAAGACCCCGACACACACGCACCGCTCAACAGCCAGATACGGAGCAAAGCGCACCTGTACACCATAATTGGCAAGTGGCTGAAGGAGAACCCCACGACAAAGGAGGCACCTCTCGAATTGCGACTGCAGGGGCTGCCGATCCCGGAGAACTTCTTGCAGACAGAGGTCGCGGTGCCCCGGGGGTGGAAGATGGGCACGATCCTCCCCGTGCACTCGTCGGCCGTGAGTGGAGGTGGGGTCAGGGACGATTTCTTCAAGGAGGCCATGGAGGAGCTGAGGCACGCGCAGAGCCAGGGTCATCTACCCGCTGGTGGGCCTGGAGGCGGTGGAGGAGGAGGAGGAGGAGGCATGCCCGATATAAACGCGCTACAGAGCATGATGAACGGCATGGGCGGGATGGGCGGCCTGGGTGGTATGATGGGCGGTGGCGGTGGTGGAGGAGGCGGAGAGTCGAGTGGTAAGAAAAAGAAAGACAAGAAAAAGACTTGATTCTGGCACATACGTGATTGATTGCAGCTCTCCCATGCATCATGGCTCTCAAAATCAATCTGAAACTCAGAAAACTTCCAGCAAAGTGACGCAGCTCTTGGGAGCAAGAAAGGCTCTCCCACCTGGGGCGCGCGCGTGCGCTCTTGCTTCCGTCAAACCCATGCTGAACAAAGACCATGCATCCTGGGATTTTTCTCAAATCGCCTTCTCAGTGCACTTCCGAGCCTCTTCTCATCGAATGTCCATGCGAATGTCCATGCAGCAACTTCTTCGTGTCGTTCCCTGTGCACTTGCAGCGGGATTCTTGGTGCAAGATCCTGTTGGTCAAGCCTCGAGACCGTCTTGCCATGCCACCACGCCACCGACTGTGCACTTGGTCTCATGCTCAAATTTCTCGAGCACGATCCATTCGCCTTTGGGCCCAGCCTTCATGGAATTCCTGTTCGACAGGACGTCCGGTGAAACGAACGTTGAGTTGCTCTTCATCGTCACTCGCGTCCAGCACGGGTCCCTCGTCCTCTTTGAAGTTGGGACACGCTCTCCGCTCCTCCATGCTCCTGTGCATGTGCCATTTCCAGCAGAGGCGATCAACGGGATGGTAAGGCAATCCGCGGTCCTTCAGGCCCTGCAACTCTTCGACTGTGAGCAGGAAGTTGATGAGAAGAGAAGGACTCTCCTTCATCAGTGCGCCATGCTGCATCCAGTCGTGAAGGTATGTCTTGAGGTCTAGCTCGTGTTTGACGATCAGAAAAGCCAGATTCTCAAGCAGGGCGCCAACGACAGAGCAACCGGGATATCCTGCCCGGACGAGACGATTGACCAGGCCCATGATGACATCATAGTCATCGTCGGACATTTCAACTCCAATGCTCGTCAGGTAGTTTTTAAATGGCTGCGAACCCATTGTCGACGCCACCATCCAGCAGTTGACGACAAGGCCTGGAATCTGACTGAACTTGTACCGAATCAGGTCATCAAACCCTGTCTGGACCAGGGCATCACAGCTGTTATGGAGACCGAGCCACAATCCGAATATCGCAGTGGCGTCAAGCTGTGAAGGCTGAAAAGAGAATGAGTACATCGAGGTGCCGTCCTGCTTGACAAGGAGTTCTTCGGGTTTTGAGTACTCATAGGTGCCATCCTCGTCGACGCGGAGTTCTGGTTGAAGAACGGTGCAAGTCTCGAGGATCGCCGCAGTTGAAACGAAGTAATGAAACGCTGCGTTGTTTCGATCGCGATAACCAGCTACAATCTCGACCTTGTCTGAGCTGCATCATCATTCAAGTCAGAAACCGGCTTCGAAGGCGCACGGCCTGTGAACCAACTGACCTCTCGACGTTCATGGCTTCGAGATACTCCCGCACTCCTGGCGGCGTGAGCACCCCGGCAGAAGGCGGCGGAAGAGCCAGGGGCGAGGGACCGGTGAACGACATCTTGATAGCGCGAGGTACGGAGTTCAAACAACTTCAGGGGCGTCGGTTCGATTTAGCGCATACAAGCTCCGCAACGGAGAATGAAACAAGGGGGATGAAATAGACGGCTGAATTGACAGCGTGACAATGTTATGTGATAGATATATTGAAATCAATTCAAAGATCGAGAGCTGTTCGGTGCTGGGACTTGTGAAGGAGCTGATATGACGAAGTAGACGAGGAGGAGTAGGACGAGGAGGAAGAAGGGGAAGAAGAGGAGGAAAAGGAGAAAGGAGGTCCTTTAAATACCAGGGACTCACTTCTCAAATTCGAGAATCAATTCACTCTCATCGTGTCACTCAGTAGTGAATTAACACGGTTTGTCACTCTGTCGTGAATCAAACGGCTTGATCTTGCTGCTTTCCCTCGATCTTGATCTTCGGCTCACCTTCTAGTCTATGAGATACATACCTCCCTCCCTACCTAGGTAGGTAAGTAGTGATATTTCGTAGCTTTCCTTGGCTTGTGATCTGTCTGTGTATGTGTATGATGAACTAGTATGTATCAACGCCTTTGCTTCCCTCAGCCTCGCCCTCACTCGGCCCAATGAATGACCAGCAAAAAGTACAGAGGATCTCTAGGTGGAAGAGTCCCTTCCCTACCTATTCGTCTCTTCTCTGTGCATGTACCGTACCTAGCTATATCAAAGCTAGAATCAGGTTGTCATCTCTTGGGCTCTACACGTCCGTATGCTGGGCTTGCCGTGAGTGCTACGGTCAAAGCCTTGATGCTCGCTCACAATCTGTCGATCTACATAACTCGAAACGTGGCTAAATTCTTGTATCTGACACATTCTAATTTATGGAGACATATATATACGGAATAGCCAGGCCATTACTTTTGGAAACCCCCATCAACGAAGCTGGGAGACGTTAGGCTTCGGGTCATGATCACTTTCGTACATTCCACCTCGTCCTGTACCTCAGCTTGCGATGCGGTACCGACGTAGCCAAATGGCCTGTAGCTCAACGGTCGTGTGGTATTTCAAGCGGCCGACAAGAGCCGGATCTGTGATCTGTTCTGGACAGTGATTGGCACTTGATCACTGCGTCAAGCACTGGTCCTTCTCGCGGCAGCCCAACTTAATTGTCCAAGCCCTTTGATATTCCTTCACGTTCCACTCATATTTGAATTCCAACTGCAAATCAGTCCCATCCACTTCAAATGGCTGTCCTGAGTCCAAGGTCAGCTTCTTGAAGTGCCAGCATTTGTTGTCATCAAGTTTTCCATATCGGCAGATCCAATCGATTGCCGCGTCTTTGAGCGCGTCAGCCTCTTGCATTCTAGAGATCCATGATGAATCTAGAACGTGGTTCTCTATCTCTTTCGAAGTTCGGGGCACGTAGAATTTTCTGTTCGGCTTCGGCGAACAATACCGTGCAAGCATGCAGACCGGATTGAAAGCCCAATCGAATCCCAGCTTTAGCACATAACAGGTAAATTTTGACCTGCTTCGTTGCCAAAATGCGATGACGCCGGCGGTGCCGCTCTCTCTTATGGGGATTTCCAAGACCTCATCCCGCTTGTTCCAGCCTCGTGCGTACACCCGCATTCTCCGGCAGTGAAATGCCTTTTTCCACTCCCGAACGGCCTGCAGGTGAAATCCATACAAGCGGCTGATTTCGGGTTCACCATTCTTCCGCACAAGAACTTTTGTCGCGGTATCTCCACTGTACGTTCGGCCCCCAAGCAGAATCCGGAGCTGACCTTGGGAGATGTCGGTGAATGGGATTTGGTTCACGGTAGTCGTTGCGTAGAATCCTGTCTGAACCTTGTACAGGAAGATGCCGGTGTATTTGTCAGAAGATGGACCGCAATACAGGATCGCCAGGTATACATATAGTGACCAGGTGATCAGGGGCAGTTTGATTTTCAGACCCACATTTGTCATTGAATACGGGCTTGGACCGGTCAGTGGCAGATGCTGGACAATATCGGTACAGTCTCTGAAGTCATTGGGAGATGGCGCCAATAGTTGCGGTTGTGAGGTGGAACGTGTCCACCCAAAAATAGACTGGTCGACAGAGCACTTGATGATCTTCTTCTGCAGCCTTGTGAACGCCTCCGATCCTTCTCCATATAACATTGCCATTCTGACGTTGAAGATCCCCATGAGGCTGTATGCAACATCTTCTATACATGTGGTCTTTCTCCCTGCCGCCCAAGACATTCGTTGTGCAACCGAGAAGAAGTCCGGAGGTGTCCCTAGTAGGGCTTCCTTAGCAATTCTCGTTATAGATGCAACCCGTAGAAAGAGAGATGTCCTTGTGCCTATTGCGTTCCACTGGCAGTCGAAGAAATGCACTTCACGAGGCGCCAGGAGTTCTTGCAGAGTCCAGCCTCTGGTAAACCAAACACTCTTCTCGAAGCTGGAACCAACAACCGCATTAGTCTTGGAGTGTAATACATCAAAGAGATATGCATAGCACTTTTTCGACTCCTTATACCACCGGTACATAGAGTTGATGGCCCGTGAGAGTTCCGAATTGTTGGTCTTGTCGATACAACAAGTGTCAATCCAGATGTGCCCCAGTTCGTCTTTCCGAGCTTGTTTGCAAGCCTCAGAGATCTTTCTGTAGCCCTTCTTTTGTGTCAAGCCGTCTTCATTCATGTCTTGAAATATAACCTCGTCGTCTTCCCACTTGTGTGAGAGAATCGCGTAGACAGGAATCTTATCATCATCGAACGATTCCAATTTCAGAGTTCGAGTGTTGATCAGCCGCATTGTGCGGTGCCAGCAATATCAAAATGATGAGGACCTTTTATCGAGCAGATCGTTGTCGAATCGAGGCGACGGCGAGATCCAGGTTCTCATAGCTGATCACCTCTAGGAGCGAAAGGGGTTTGCAACGTGCTAAATGAAATTCGAGAAATTGAGAAATTGAGCAATCGCCCTTGGGAAGCTCCAACTGGGAACGTCTGGCGAGGCAGACAGGAAGGCGTCTTCTCGCCGGACCATCCAATCGAAGCCCATGATGTCCGAAGAATCAACTTTGGCGATTGTCTACTGATGGACTCGCTTGGACGGCTGAAGCTAATGCAGGGAACTTTGGCAAGGCGTGCACAGCAATCCAAGCAAATGCGGCAGCCGCGTTGATCTTCATCTCGCCGTCGCACATTTTTGGCATAGAAACGGTCGATTTCAACCTGGCTCAGTCACAAAGTCCATCCACGGGTGTGGGAATAGCGCACAAAGGTGCCTCGCGATGGCATCGCCATAATCTACCCTCCCCCCGGCAACAAGCTCGGTCAGCACAGTACGAAGAGCCGTACATGTAACTCTTGTACTTCAAACAATGCGCATACACAGCAGGTGCAGATAGAAATCGTGGAGAGAGGGCAAAAAGGGTTACCGTACCTTGACCGTACTTTTATGTATGTCGATCTAGGGGTAAATCTCGGGACGGGGCCGAGGTACCAGTACTGTACATACCAAGTGCTCAAGGCGGTACATCCTTCTTGATCCTTCCTCTTTTCTCCGTCAGATGTGCAAGTATGGATCTCACGCAGTCAGTGCAAAGAAAGCCATGATTTTGGTGTTTGAGCAGGACTAGACAGTCTATCTCGGGAGAGTCGCGTGGAGACGCACGAGATCTCGCCACCCACCGTCCAGCCGCCGCCCTCAAGATATCGAACCTCGCCGAAGAGGCGAGCGAGGCTCTTCTTCCTTCTCCGTCAGATTCTACCATGCTCTATGCTCCATGCTGCGTGCTGAAGAAACGACCAGCAGCTACATAACATCAACTCGCGTTATGCTGTGCCGTATCCCTATCAAGCCAGCCCACGCCTCCACCAGCCAGATGCTTTCAAAGCAAATCGGGAAGAAGAAGCTGCCCACATTGGTTTACCTTTCCCTCAAATCATGTTCCCGCGGCCAGGTCTGTTGTTCAGGCTCGACCTAACAGGTAGTTTTTGCACTATGTAGGCCGTGCTCAAAGGAGGTCAGGATCTGTTCGCCCATGACCGTTCGGTGCCACCACGTCGCTGTGGCCGTTCACGAGTTCACTCTTGTACGACACCACGGCTTTCCACGGTCGCCAATCTTTTCTCGGGCACTTCGCCTTTGTGTCGTCACTTGCATGCTCATGCAACTTGCAATCCTTGCGATCCGTGGGGGCCACAAGCATGTTTTTGTCTTTCAGCATGCTCAGCTCATCCACCTTCAGGAGCAGCGCATTCAGCAACTCGATGTTGTTCATGTTACTGACGAAATCGTACCACATGTTCCCCTCGCAATCGCGGTCCGCCGCAGTGAAATCGGCCCAGCCATCCATGACGATCTTATACGCGAGGCATTCGAGGACATAGTGGCACAGGTCCTCGAGGGAGGGGTAGTGGGCATCCAGGGTCCACAGCGATCGCAAGTCCCAGTGATCCAGCGGCACGTCCTGCATAGAATCCATGACGGTGTTTCTGAGCTTTTCGGAACCCACCAAGTCTGCGAATTTGAAGTAGCGCTCCACGTCATCGAATGTCAGGGGCTTGCTGCTGGTGGACTTATTGAGAGCACCTTGGTAGATTAAGTCGAGCCAGTCGGCGAGGACGTCATGGTCTCGGGTCGGGAGACGAACGGTGGTACGGTCGGGGGATGAATCGAGGATGATGGCGAAGTACTTGGAGTTCTCTAGCAGCAGTGACTTGCTGACATGGAAGACATTGAGCGGGACGTCAGGGTCGTCTTCGCCGAAGATCTCGTCTTCGCCCGCGATCACCTTGATGACCGGGGCTCGAGCGTGACTTCTGGAAGTCAGTGATGCCTCAGTTATTCAGACACTTGTCTACTCACTTGGAAGTCATCGCCGGTGGTGCTGCCATGGCTTCTTTCCGGCGCTAGTTCTGAGATGGGCTGAGGAGCTGGAAGGAGGCTTCCAGCTGTGTGCGTGCTTGGTCAGTTTGAGGAGAAGAGAGACCAAGAAGCTCAAAGCTTCAGGTTAAAGTGAAGGCAGTGAAAGGAACTTACTTGCTGCTTGGCGATAGTCTTCGGGGAAAAGTGAAGTATGAAGCAAGTCGGACAGCAAGATGAAAAGATGATTGACGACAGAGGACAATGTTTACATGTGAAGTAGTCAGCCGAGCTTCGCTGAAGAAAATTTGATGATCATCGGGCGAGAAGCAGCTCATTTCATGGTGAAGTCAGAATATGGATTGCACGCTGTTTTACCCTCCTCCGGGCTATCACAGGCATCTGGCATCGAAGAACGTAAAGACCGACCAAGTATACAGCGAATACATCATCGAGCAGAGCCCAGGTGTTTCGTTTTGCTGGATTCAACTTGTACGGTGTTCGCAGATGGTCGTCTTCACACTGCTCAATCAGGACACAGCGGGAAGTTCCCATCTCACACCCGCCTGCCATTCACAAGTTTTTGATCACGGCCTTCCTGGCCTCCTTCCGTCAATCTCAATTGCAGGTGGTGTCCTTCGTAGGATGACCCGGCTCCCTTCCAAGTTGTCCAGAGATGGATGAGCCGAGGCACGAAGTCTACTTTTTGTTTTCGCCTCATTGCCTGCAATCCTTATGAAACCCGTCCATCTTTCGCCGCCTTTCTCAATGAAACTATTCCATCTGGAAGTAGCAATCTTGCTCGTCATACCTTCTAGTATGTACTCTAAGCGTTCGGGGCTCGACGTCATCTCCGGTCAGGGGGATGTAGGCAAGATCCTCAAACCAGGATAGATAGTCGCATTCTCCAAAGCATTCTTTACCCTTGTCCCTGAGATATCTCTTGGAAACCAGCTGACTCTAGCTTCTCGGCTAGACACCAGAGATCCACGAATTCGCGCTCAACAATCTTCTCAAGTATGGCACCAGTGTACAGCTATTGAAAGAAGTGATGGAAATCCCAGAGACTCACACCACCAGTGAAGGCACACCAGACGCTCTCGTTGCCGCCCTCGGTCACCATCCTGGCGGCACGGGGCTCGTAGACCAGCATGGCTTGCTCTGAGTACGAGAATCAGTTGGTCAAGGATATTGCAGGTTGGCAGCGGTGTCGGAAGAGCAGGGTGACAAGTCAGGGAAGCGCGGCGAACTGTGGGAATATGAGGAGTTGGACAATACTCGCGCGGAATCAGTCATCCATTATGACTGCGGTGGAAGAAACAACAGACTTTTTGAGAAGGAACTGAAATCGTCGGAAAGTGAATGGCCAGTTGTGCATGAACAAGGGGCCAGCCCAATTGTGTTGTTTGGCAATGAGTTCCGTAGAATCCTCTTCCCTCGTTGTACTATGTGGCGACCTGATCATTTCTAGCAGGTGTCATTGTCCTAGCCAGAGCTTTCGGTGGTAGGAAGTGGACGGCGTATCCGCAAAGTCTAGTTGATGTGTATCCGTTTCGACCAACATAGGGTAGCCATGTACAGATGCTTGATTGCTGCGTAAAGGACCCAGGCCATCCCACAGGTTCCAGAAGCCCTTGTGAGCAGGCGTAGAAGACGGACATCGATAAAGCACCAGTATCCGCATCGTTCAGTAGACGAAAGCAACAAGTTGAAAGATGCTCGGAACGTTGTGCGTGTCGCTCATAACATTTGATGTTCTTTTGTGTTGATGAAACGCTCCGTTGCAGACTGACGAGCAGCTGATACGGTTCGTGGCAGTCTCACAGAGGACTTTGTGGCGACACCACTGACATCAACATGCGGTTGCCAGGAAATGTTCTGCCCAGTAGCAGTCAGTCCCGTCCATCCAAATCCCGGCCGCGGGAGCCGATCAATAAGCATCGTTGCTAAGTAAAACCTTCTCCGCCCGAACGGATGCGGAATGAAGCCTTTTGTCCTGCTCTGTGCCACCTTTAATCTCGATCTGTGAAAGCAATACCCCGGGGTCAATGGCAAGAACATTTTCTTTCGTCGTCTCCGAAGATCCACGATGGACAGTCACGTTGTGCTTTTTTCTGTACCCCTGGTGCTGCTTCGTACTTCCATCTTCTCGACTAGATACTCTTTGAACCGCGGAATGCGGCATCTCTCTGCTAGGGAGCATGCTTCAGTTACATGACCATCGTCCTCGTCGCAGTAGACACAAATCCAGCCACGGTACCAGCACAGCATGCATGCAAGGACGGCAGGTCTGATGTCTGCGAAATCGAAATGTCGAGTCCTTGTCTCCGGGTAGCCTCCATGCAGCCGTTCGTCGAAGTATGCAGACTCAGAGCAGAGTCGGGGTCCGTCGAATGCGAAATACTGCAGACTGTTCCCTTCGCCGGCCGCGAACGTCACCACGTTCGAATAGTCAAATAGATCCCTGGGTGGCATGTTGGTGGTTTGGTCTCCATCCAGTTCCATTTTGCATCTGAAGTCGGTAGGATAAGGAAGTCGCATGTATATCCAGATCCGTTTTCGGGAAGGCAGGTTTTATAGGTCAACAAGCAGCGAGTTATCCAACTATATAGAATGTCACTGATCGAGATACTCACTCCATGCTGTCACATCATCCATCAAATCAGTGAATCCAGAGTATTGCCCGAATACAGCATCCCAGCGTTCCCAGTCAAAGCCCATGTTCATATCTGTGTCACCCTGGTGTAACTCGGTATAGACAAAGCTCTGGTCTTTGTGTGACTCTTCATTACTGTGATTGGGCAGCGCCTCGCTGTCACCATTCGCATAGCCATTTGGGAGGTACGCCTCTGGGGTTTGCTTCTTGGATAACTGATCGTTGAACAAGTCCTGCTGTGTGCCGTTCACGGCACTGGCGGGCGCTTGTCCCCAACTGTGCTGACCGGATCCGTAAGACTTTTGCTGAATTGTCTGCGTCCCATTTCTCGATCCATACCCGTCCAAAAGTGGTATTGTCTGAGTGAGACAAGGAGTGGGCTTCCCCTCTGCTCTAGGCATGTGCGAATGGAGCGGCAAGACTTGAACTGATGCAGTGTCGCTGGCGGCTACCTTACCAGAGCACTTCTCCATGTGCCTACTGAGTGGAAATGGCATTCTTGGCTGGCCTTCCCGCCGTGCCAATACTCGACCAGCATTTAACCCCGAATCGCCTTCGAAAGTTTGACGCAACTGGCTACGCATAGCCTGGGTGCAAAGGGGCCCCTGCGCTTCGTTGAGCTCACTACCGAGTTCTCTTTGGGCCAGATTAACGATGTATCCGACGCCTTCTTCCGTTGCCTTTTGTTCTGCTTGTGGAGGGATTGTTGCCCATGATGTGGGTTGCACGGTCGGGGTTTCGCTGTCATATATTGAATCTTCGCGGATACTCTGAGCAATTTTCTGCGCATCTGTCAATGGGGCAGCCACCCCAAGTTCGATTTGATCAGCCTCTGTCCAGAGGACTGTGGGATCGAGTCCTGCTTTTTGCCAGGCAGCCGAGCGAAGGCCTCGCAGCATATCCCAGGCTTCAACCCCGCCCTCTCGCAGCGGTCTTTGTACGGTAACACCGTCAGGGCCGCCGAAAATCCCGTGCCCAGGCGCAGCCAGTGCAAATACCTTGTCAATTAATTCTCTTGATCTGGGTGCCTCAACACTATTGGGCCTTTCGTAAAGATCAACGAGAATTATCAAAGCCGCATGGAGGGGGCCGTAAGTTGCAGGCCAGCCCCATCGGAAAGGTTCCAAGTCTGGATCGGTTGCGATCGATATGAATTTTCTCAGGAAACTGTGGCAATTGTGTAGTGCGCATTGTCTACCCAGGTCCCACAGCTTGCTCTTTGTATTCTTCAGAAAAGGCGCATACGCAACACAGTGGACTTTGTCAATCAACATAGATAAGTGAATCCGTGCCCATTTGTTGTAAGCCGCTTGCTTCTGACGATAGTAACCTGCCAAAGGCCATGAGGGGTCGGCGTTGTTGACAGAGGTCTTGTAGTACGCGACATCGTTCGAAGTGATAGGACTGCCCATCAACACATCAGTATCTGCTGCACGCTGCTGCACTTCTCTTGGCGCATCTGGAACGAATCCCATTTCTGGCAGGCCTTTGCTGGGAATTGATTTGATAATATCGTTGACTCGATCTCCCGCTTCAGTCATGATTCTTTTCATTTCTTGCACGTCTCCATTCGTGAGCTTTTTCGTCTCCAGATGTATGGACACAACGCTTCGCGTGGCACATGCCATTATCGACTTCCCTCTTGATACAAGTGACAGAGTACGAAAAGATCTCGGATTTCCGCTCTCTCCATTCGATATTGCGCTGCAAGGTGACGAATTCTTCGACGGGTTGTCCGAAGTGGTGCTTCTCAACCCATACTCGGACGAACGAGAATCCCTGTCCTCGCAGCTGATTCTCGTGTCGCAAAACTTCTCGGAGATTTGGGATGGGTAACCACTTGCGACAACATGAGATATATCCAGCTGGATAATTTGCCACCAAAGCCGTCGTCGCATACCTTCCTCCGTCACAGATAATTCGAACAGCGTGGGCTCTCTGTGTAAACCCATGGTCAACGCCAATCTTACCGCCAACGACAGATACAGGCTGCCTTGTAAAGGATCTTCTTCAGCTATCGGCATGCTTTGCAGGAGTACCAAGGCCGCGAGCTTGTACAGGCTGACTCTCTGAGCAAACGAACCCAGCAGGAGGCAAAACACCACCTGATCGTGGAAACGGGTGCTAAGTCTGGCTCTTGAAACGTGAGGAAACCATTGCCGAAGGCCCTTGGTTGAAATACTGAGTGATCCCGCATACCATATCGCGTGGATCACAGCCAAAAAGTCCAAATCAGCAAGATTTGAGTCTGAGAAGCCTTTCGACTCGACCTGATCCCAGAATTCTTCGTGTTTCTTGCTCATTTCCAAAGGCAGCAGAAGCCCCAAAATCGGATACACTCCTGACAGCCAACATCTGAAAAGAACGTTACTCTGTGGTCTAGTTGGAAAGTTCTCCACCAGATGCTGTACGGCGGTTGCTGGGGTACATTTGATTGGGATACTTTGCAAAAGACTGGACTTAGAGAATGGCATTAGGCGACAGATTAGGCAATCACTGTCCGGGTCGAGGCTCTCCAGGACCTTTCCTCCAGCTTCTTTGTGGAAATCAGTCGGGTTCGAGACGTCGTCTTTTTCTTGCTCAGGGCCTTCTTCGACTTGGGGGGCCCATTCTCGCGGCCTGTCGCACTGCTTGTTCTCTGGACTGATTGAGCTTGCATAAGTATTGTCGCGACGTCGCATCAGATGATTGAGTTGATCGATTTCGTCAGAGATATGGTTCCAAAATGGGTCTTCGGTCCTCGATTCAGCATTGCTTAGTCTCAAGCTTGATAGAGGCATGCTAAGGTCAGAAGGTTCCTTCGCCAGTCCGTGAGTGTTGGACTGGAACATGTCTAGACTTAGACTTGACCTTGGCTGGGGTCCATCGGATGCCGAGTCTGAGGTTGAATGCTCGGGCGTGAGCAACTCTTTCAGTCGCAGATCGTTTCCATTACCTTGGCGAAGAGCATCAAACATTTTGGTCAGGCGGTGCAACTGCTCTTCGATAGCTTTGAGATCAGCAGGTGGTCTGGGGCCATCTGATCCGATAGCTGTCCCCAGAGAATCTTGTCTCATGGGGCTCGACTTTCGCTTCTTCCAGGCCGGTCCGCCATCATCCTTCGGCAGATTAGGCTGGGCAGAAGTCGACGGGGCATCGTCCTGGCTATAGAAACAATCTTCGTTCGCCTTTTGGCAACCTCCACAGATTGGACGTGCCTTGTCACACTTGACCTTCCTCCTTCGACACGTAAGGCAACTATAGCTGGTCCGGTTTCTTGTGATTTGACGTTTTTCGATTCTGATGTGGTTCGAGGTTGGTCGAGGGTCGTTCAAAATGGTAGTCTCACTGCCTTGCTGGCCAGCGCTGAACTGAAACATTGTATGGAGAGCTTGTCTAGATGCTAGAGCTCGATATTGGCTGTTAAGTTGTTCTCTGGACCGTTACCGAGGGTGCCTTAGCGGTCTTTCGTGGACGTGGGTGGGCTGACAAATGCGGTTGCAGGATGTTAAGGCAGCCTATGGCTCTATCTTCTCATTGCAGGTGCGCTAGTGCCGGGCGAGCATATTGTTGGTGCGATTGTCGATGCAAAATATATGGCTATTGTATTATGGAGATGGGGCGATAGTGAAGGGATGAGGTGAGATGAGGAGATTTTGCTGTAGGAGGCCAGGCCTTGCCATGTCCATCGGCCAGTGCTAATTGAGGTTAAGACGGGGCTTGGCACTGCGTATGAATGGCTGGTGGTTGTGTATATTCAAGCAGGACCGAGGACGGAGTAGTTGTGCTCGAAGACAAGTAGAGGTAGCTAGGTTCCTATCAGAACCACCACAACAACCATTCTCAGCAGTTCTTGTCTGACTTGCAAGTCCTTAATCGCTAAAGCCTTCCCAGCTCTCTTCCCCGTGTAGGGTATCGGACGCTTTACACGGTGTTCGAGGCGGAGCACGGACAAAACAGCATACGAAAAATCCCATAGTCCCCTCGTCGTCGCCTGGATTGCACCGGATGCACGCTTCGCGATCCGCCTCGATCAAGGCTGGAGAGCAGTTTGCTGCGTCCGCTGACATGTGCATACCGCGATGTGCCCATTCACGCAGCCCACAAACCTGTTCTTCCCTCCGCAGCAGACGCCAATTCCCTTTCTTTGCAATCCTGGAGCTTAACACTCGGGACACAACGGCCTCGTTTTCTTCCACATGCACTGAACAGGTCGAGTAGGTTACTCGGACAGCCGCTGGAAAAGAAAGAGCGTGTTCAACGATTTTCGTCTGCAAATTCGACAGTTTCAGCAACCTTGTGCTATCCGGCGCAACGGCCCTCGTTTCTTCTGCTTCATTCGTATCTTCCGCGGGTCCTTCGTGAGCATGATCTCTTTTTCTCTTCCTCGAAGCATTTCGAGAACTCGTCGGATGTGCCTTTTCAGATTTTCCATCAACAGGTAGTGCCAGAATAGGAATGTCTTCACGCCCGATGATTCCACTACCGGAGCAACTCGGGTCAAGGAGAAGATGTGTGACTTTCTTGTACTGGCTGTCATGTGGGTTAAGAGTCAAAAAGTCACAACTTGCTTGGACGATCACAGCATCCGCTCCGCTCTTCCGCATCATGGATATCAGGGTCTTCGACCGATTGGGATCCCGCTCGCACGCAAAAACCTTGCTTTCTGTCCTCTCCATTTTAGCAAGCAGTGCCGCGAGGTGAGAAGTCTTATTTCCTGGTGCTGCACAGCCATCTATGCAGTAGCCAATGTGAGAGCTGTCATCGTGTTCTCCGAGGAGCATGTATGCTGGGAAACAAGAAGCCTTGTCTTGCAAAATGAGTTTTCCGTCCCTGTAAGCTGGTGTTTTTGTCACGTCTGCCTCTGGAGGCAGAGCGATTAGATCTGGAACATGCCGGTCAATCGACAGAATTTTTTCCGTACCGAAGGAATCAGTTACTTCCATGATGGTCGCGACAGACTTGTATCCTTCGAAAGTCGTAGCAGACTCCTGCATGAAACTAGTCTTCAATGTGTTGATACGGACCCATCTTGGCTGAGACTGGTATGCCCGCGGGTTTTCTGCTAGCAGACTTCTTCGCAGATCGTCTAGCGTTGCGCATCTTCTCCGCAGCCTGGCCTTTGCGAATTCTGCTTGCAGCCTTGCTTTATTCCTTTCGATTGCTAGTCGGAGGGGGTGCGCAGAGGGCGCCGCGAGACCGCTCTTCGAGAAGAAATGATCATGGACCAGAAGCAACGAAAGGATTGGGGTCAACTATTCGGAAAAGCCGAGAGGCTGAGTCAGTCAGCAGAGACACGAAAAATCGAGGGAGATTCATGTCGAACCTTTCGCTCCTGAACCAGGAGGCCCGCATTGTCGACGACCTCTTTTAAGAACTGGTCGTACTTTGCAGTCTCTGAAATCAGCGCGTAGATGTGTGCGGGCTTGGATTTGAATCCAGATTTATTCCCATAGATTCGAGACTTCAAAGAGCCCCCTTGCGCGGTTGCGGTAAGCACCGTCGCGGCATCGTAATAGAGAGACATCTGATGGGGTTGTCGCAGGTCGAACCGTTCAAAGTGATATCGGCACCTGCGGACATAAAGCCAATTGTAGCAAAATTATTTGGCTCCACTCCAAGCCAATCACCGTGCTCCATTCCCAGCCTCGCTAGCCTCAGCCTCGGCCTCAACCCAAATTTTGCACCTTTAGGCATACCCGGTACTCTCACTCTTTATGACTTGACCGCGAGCCAAAAACCCCGTGCTCGACGATGCAGCTCGACAGTCCTTGATGCCTGGATCCGGTGTATCGCAGATCTGAGTCACACCTTTAAAAGGAAGCATAGGAAAATCATAGGACGATTAGATGTCACTCTCGTATCTGACCCTTAACAATCTTATTGGGGACACACAGGGAAAACAGATCTGTGTGTGGGTCTCCTCATGGCGCACTCGCAATACAGAGTCTTAATGCTACCGCCTCCAGGCGCCGTGGTAGCACCAAACGGCTTCCCAGCAGATCCTCGACCCAGAGCGGCGCCAAAAATATTCCTTGATGCCATGGAAGTTCGCATAAGGGTCTTCTGCGACGAGCAAAACTGCGCCTTGGAGGCAGAGCTAGATGAGGACGACCCTAGGTCATGGCACTGGGTCGCTTATCGTTCGACAAAGTCAGGTCCAAACGAGCCAGTTTCTGTCATACGGATCGTTCCTCCGCCACATGATCCTCACCCAAATGGCCCCAGTGATCCGAATGAAGAACCATACATCAAGCTCGGGCGTGTGGCAACCATGGCCAATCATAGGGGGAAAGGACTGAGCCGGCTTCTGACCGAGGAAGCGCTTCAATGGCTTGCTGCACACAGGGATGAGGTTTCTACGGGGTGGAAGGGCCTCGTTCTCTGCCATGCCCAGGTCGCTGTGGAGAAAATGTACGCGAAGTTGGGTTTTGTGACTGACGAAAGCCTGGGCCGATGGGACGAGGAAGGAATTGAACATCTTGGGATGTGGAAGCGCTTGTAGGGGATGAAAGTGAGGCCCCGAGCTTGAGTCGTGGGTGTCCTTGACCTGCTGGCTCGTGAACAATGCCATGGGCATCAAGACACTAGCATCAACTTGTTCATTAGCAAGTCTACCATGCAGCCATGCCTAGATTATGATTTTCCGGCGATAGACTAAGATATTTGGTGACACTGTATCCACCGACCTGGGGATGACTGTTTGCAGCATGTTCTGGCTCCACGAACAAAGGGTTGAAAAACGTATATCCATCATGTATGGGCTGCCTAACCATGGCATTCGCCAAACTTCTCGGCTTGGCTGACCAACAAAACCCAATATTGCCAGTTTTCTGCTGCTCCAGTCAGCCAGTTGCATGATCAAGGGACATGTTCAACAAGGCCAGCCTTCACCGTTACCTTTCGAACCCGCGCATGTGCGGAAGTCGCTCATCTCATTGACGAAGGAGTAACGAATGCAGCAATTGCGCATTCGGCGATTACATTCCGTGGTTTTACTCCACTTTAGTGTGGTCGTTTGATCATCCATGCCGGTCTGTGCATGAATAAGTGGTGCTAGAGCTAGCAGGAATACTTCCCAATCTTGTCTCGAGCCGGTTATTGACGCAGCAGCTACTCATCAACTTGTGCAATTCGAGTCCTCGACATCGGTGTGAGCCTGCCTTCGCTGATGAACGATCTTTCTGTTGTATGTATGTATTTGCCCAACAAGTGTACATTTTCAATTCTTAGCTTCGGCAAAAGATCGTTGAACAGCATTGCCCCTTGAATAGCTTGGGATCTAATACCGAGAGTCAGATTTGACCACCATGGCGCTTGGTGAGCATGTTCAATCCTGTGCTCAGGCTGTCTTCGGCACTGTCACACATAGTCTCATCGGTGGACACTGGGGTTCGTGGGGCAATCTTTCTTTTCTGCCGTGTTGCGTGGACAACAGGGAATGCTGATCATGAGTCCAATTATACTCGGTCGGCTAGAACCGCTCACACAGCCGAGGGAAAGGAGGCTCCACTGACCTGGAAGATAGACGACATACATATCCACCCCGTGTTGTAGGTGTGGATTTGTCATCGTATTTCGTTGGAGGACATGTCTCATCCAGGCCCTTTTTGCAATATGTCGCTTGGGGCCTCTCTTCATTATTCCACGCAAGCTGGCCGGTTAGCGTGGAAAGTGGCTATTTGTTTGTCAAGAAACCCAGGAGGCATACCAGCAAATGGAACAGTTTTTGCCGAGTTTGGCTGTTAGTCAGAGATTACTTAACCTGCTCTTGGGTCGGAGAGATCAGCCCACCTGCCCCCTGCGATTTTGCGAATCTAAAGATCCCGTACCTCGGTTTTATGAGGATTTGAATGTGATCCGACAAGTAGCCTGATTGATTACGACACAGAGCTTCGCGGCGAAGGAGTTCGGACTTCTGCAAGGCCTCCTACGGGTACTCAAGGGGTACCTCAGATCGAGGTGGGTAATCTTTGTTGCGCAAGTGCCAATTCATGACATACGGCTTCACAGAAACCGACGGTACCGGGGCATTGCCTCGAGTTCGGGGGTCGTCAGGACTAGACTGAAGGAGGGAATCTCCGGTTTGCCATCCTACCTTGGTGGGAAAACTCTTGATGCAGTTTGTTATGGACAGAAAACAGGGAAAGAATCTTGCTTCGTGCATATTGCATGAAGCACAGGGAACTCGCACGCGACCAGTCAGGACTTGTGGGAGGTTGTTGACTTCGAGACCAAGTTCGTCACGGGAGTATACGAAAATCTGTCCTAGGCTTGTATTATTGCCGGTGGAGTGAAGCTTCCAGCCATGGGCAGCCGAGCTCTCAATTCCACACAGTATCCATGCTGCGCATATGTACAACTTTCTTTCTTTTTATTTTGTGGTCTCCCCGTCAACCTCTTCCTTGCAAAATTTAGAACTCGCTGATTGTATCACCCCTGAGCTTCGCGCGCATGTCCCATTTGCCCTATCCATTCCAGACGTTCAGTTAGCCATCGCGGTCCTATCCTTAAGTCCGCAGAACCCAACAACCTGATGCTCTGACTTACATCTGTTTTTGCAAAGGCGTATCCAACGACCGAAGGTACAAATATAGCGTACATGAAGGAAATGAAAGCTGTGCGAGGCGTCCAGCGGAAGTATCTCCACCGCTCTTTGTTCAATTCTGCGACTTGCAGTCAGTTCCTTGTACCTTGGCTAGCTCATGTGTGATCTGAAGTGCCTATCAACGTTGCAAGGGGTCCTTCACAGGTATGGAGGTGGCTTCGAATGGGTGAAAAGGGCACGTACGGTTATATTTCTCGAGAGCGGGATCATGGCGGAGAGCTGTTTCAACACCGGCGTCAGCTTCAAGCTCATTGCTGGATCTCTGTACGAACATAAGAACATATACATACGTGTTGGACCAGCCATGATTGACCACTGCTTGAGTGTGAGATGTTGTTTTAGTAAGTCAAGTCAAGGTGCCTGCGATGTCCAGATCAACTTGGATGATGGATTGAGGTCTGGTAGAGGGGGCAGCAGACTCTTGGCGTAGCTAGTGCTCGTTGTGGCAGTGCGTCTTCGATACCTAATTACTCGGTAGCTTGCTAGGTACATAACCCTTGGCTACCCCCTGCCGCCCTGCCCGACCCTCCCTACCCTGCTCGCTCTGGTGCCTCCATCTACCCTTTGCTATTACTTCCCGCTCCGCAGCTGCTGGTGAGCTCCGAGCGACTCTTGGACTCAGTTCAACTCTGTTGCGCAACCGGGACGAATCGCTGAGAACGCGGTCGTCTACAACACGATTGACTCGAGTTGACTCGCACATACCGATTCGATTCCTCATTCGCGTCTAAAGCAGGAACGATCTCTGGATCATTCTGCGGACCTCTCTCGGTCCAGATGTTGACTCGTAACAATTCGTGGGGCTGCATTCCCTAACGACCATCAATCGCACCTTTTGATCAAGTGATAAGCACCGTCTTTCAAGCTGACACCGCGAGATCCTGGCCGCCTGGCGTATCTAGCCAGAGCACGAATCAACCAGGAGAGAAACGTCGCTTACCGGCGCACCCCATACGGACGCTGAGGCGTCGCTGCAAAGGCAACAATTTGCTTGGATTGTACTCCGTACCTTACTTTCAGATGACCACCCCTGCCAGCTGCGACACTAAGGTGGTTGGGAATCCAAAGATCACCCTTCACTAGTGAGCAATGGGAGATGCCTCTCCGTAGATTACTTCGCCTATGCAAACCTGGTTCTGACATAAGCTAGGCTTGAGGTCTCTCAGGCTCATAGGATCCTGTTTCTCTTCGAGGAACTTGGAGTTCCTTATGGACTCAAAACATACAAACGGACCCAAGAAAGACTTGCACCGCCTAAGTTGAGGAATATTGACCCTTTAGGCAAGTCTCCTGTTGTCACGATTGATATACCAGACTCGAGCACGCCAATTGTGCTAGCAGAGTCTGCAGCGATTGTGGAATACTTTTGCGAGTATTATCCGAAGGAACTCTCTCTTGTCCCCTAGAGGTACCAAGAAGGTAAAGATGGACATATAGCAGGCGAAACAGAGTCCTGGCTGCGCTACAAGACGCTTATGCACTATGCTGAAGGCAGCCTCATGCCGCTTATGCTTCTATCGCTTATAGTTGGAAGTAAGTGTCTTCAGATTCCACGCACAGGCACCCAACACTCATGAAATCAGGCATTAGGAATGCTGCCGTTCCATTCTTCATCAAGCCAATCACAAATAGTGTCGCGAGCAAGGCTGAGTCCTCGTATCTTCGAAGAAACATGAAGAACCATTATGACTTCCTTGAAGGTCAACTTGCAACTTCCCCTGAGGCTGGAGACTATCTATGTGGGAAGCACGTGACGGCCGCGGATATTATGCTTTCATTCCCACTTGAAGCTGGTGAGACCAGGTCAGGATTCACGCAAAGCCAATACCCCAGGATCTGGGCGTACATCGAACGGCTTCATGAACAAGACGCATACAAGCGTGCGGTCGCGAAGATTGTGGAGATCGAGGGCGAATTCAAAACAACTTTATAAGAATTCAACACGTGGCCAGCATAGTGCAGGTCTCAAGCAGACCAGATCAGAAACAGAGACGCAATTCACACACTACCACACTCCAACAATTCGCAATTACCGTATTGCGTAATGGGATCGCAATCGGCCGGACACGCGCTCCCTTTACTTTCCTGCGACAAGCTGGTTCAGTGCACTCGTTGGATTATTGCCTGTCGGATCCTAGCCCCTTCCTCAAGATATGAAATGTCGTAAGTTCTTAGGGATGGAATATTTTTTAAGTAGTGGTGGCACGATCCAACCCGATTCGGCCCCGGCCACCAGGCGTTTCGGCACTTCTCAGTCATCCCTCAATCTTTTGGCCTCATTAATTCAGCCCGACTCGCTTAAGGCTAGCATCTCACCTGGTTTCACAGTCACCCAGCAGTCGTTTTCCTAGGGCTGATGAAACACCCAAATGAGGTGAAGGTTGATCTCAGCCGCAATGACGCGCTGGCTGTAGATCGTTCAAGTCTGGGTGGCTAGCGACAAATAATGAAGCGTCTCGTTACAGATCCATGGGGGCCAAATGTCGATGCCAGGGCCCGCGTGAGCCATACAGGATTGGACATGATGCCTTCGCTGTCAATACTGCCCCTTGATGATGCTGACGATCATGACATGTCCTTGGGCTCCCTCACCGCAGATACTTGGGGTGCAGAGCGGCACACGATACGAAGTTGGGGACACTTTTGCAGATATAAGAAGAGCTGTTGCATGCAGGGAAGGCCTGTAATCTCTGCAGTCTGTAGGCCGATCTGCATTAGATACAGTATTACGATCCAAGTGCCGCGGTGTGTCTCCGTACTTCTTCTATAGCGACGAATCGAAGGAAGATTACTATTCTTACTACTCCAAACCACAACAACTCACGCCAGTGTCCGCGCTGCCTCGAGGGTTGGCACGGGAAAGCATATTTTGGCAGCCTCCCGCACCACTTGTCCTCGAATCATACAGCCTCGTCCCAGTGGGAAAACCCTACGTCTTCAAATCACTATTGCTCCAAGGTTCTGGATCATCGAGGACGAGTCCAGCACCACCTGCTTCTTCCGACCACTGAGTTTCTCATTCCGTCAACCCGGTCTGGATCTTGTTGCGCGAAATGCCATTGTGGGACTAGTGAGCCCTACCTGGAGGCTCTTCTTGGGATGTTCTGGACATACGATCTGCCACCAGCACCCACACCACGAACCACGCACGTCATTCACCTTTACCGACCCTCGGTTAAGTGAACACGGGCCTCCACGTTTCGATACCGTCGCGCCCCTACCTCGCTTGTCTCCTGTCCAAGCTATTCAAGCTAACAAGAAAGGATTCAACAGATCCATCCTGCTTCTCTCTTCCCGTGGCCTCCAGGCAGGGGGTTCTTTGAACTGTTGACCTGACGGGACGGGAGCTGGAGCTGGCGATCAAGGTACCGACGGCGTTTTACTTGCTCGCTTTGTGGCAGGAGTGAGATCTGCCGTGTCCCGTCGTGCAGGTGGTAGGCTGTACCCCGACCGCCCATTGCCCTCCGCCTTTCAGGCTTGCTCCTGGGAACGTGAATCTCGGAACCAGTCTTCTAGGCTCAAAGGCTAAGGCTGGTATCCAGCGGCTTCCTTGCTTCTGGCCGGGCGACCAGGCTGTCTGTGAAAAGCACCCCTCGGAGTCCACCAGCCCCTTAGGCGCCCGCCCCGCAGCGGGTAGGTGGAAAGAACGGAGAGTCTTCTACCATACTTATTTCTAGTACGTACAACTACGTATGTGCTCCTTCCTCATCGCCATAAGCATCGTTTCCATCATCCATTTTCCTGTTTTCCCCGTGCACATCTCACATCTCCGACACTTGACTTTTGATGGCGCCGGCTCTTGGTAATCGGCATGCGTCACAAGACTCGTCTCATGGGACTTGTCAGACCGCTGTGGCCAATAGTGCTGCCGTCAGGCCTATGACTCAGGGCTTACTCATCGCACAGTTCAGCCAAGATCTGGCACTCCTCGAATTTCAAGCACCGCAAAGAGTCCGCCAGCAGCACACCAGACACACACCAGCAACACGCCAAAGCCTCCTGATCGCTGCCGCCAGGCCTTCTCGAGCTGTCTCCGGAACCTGCAGCCCATCAGCCCATCAGCCCATCAGCCCATCCGTCCATCTCGTCATTCCCGACCCTGCTTCCCTATTGCGGAGACCCGCCACCAGAGCCAGTTCCCTGTGCCAGGGCAAGGGGGGAGGGAAAAGCAAAAAAAAAAAAAAAACAGAAAAAAAAAAACAGAAACCCTTCTGACCCACTGCCCACCCCGACATAGAGGCCGAAGGCCCCCCCCCTTTAGTCGATGGTCCCCCTCGTGGGCGCTCCTAGAGCTGTGGACACCCCTTTCTGTTTAGCCGGAAGGCCCCGTGCAGGCGGCATTCGGGGGTAAGACCGTCTACCGCTGGAGGACACTGCTGGGCTGGTTGGTGCTCCTGCTGAGTTCACGTCCGGGTGACTGCTGGGCTAGTAGGCTGCTCCCGTCGCCGCCGCCGCTGCTGCTACTACTGCTGCTGCTGCTGCCCGAAGCTCATGCAGTGGGCGTGGTTCCAGCGGCAGTGGTAGGAGTTGTGGGCTGATTCTCTGAGCTTCCCCCGAGGCTCTTGCTGCCACTGGAGTTCGGTGTACCCAAAAGAGCCATCTCAATCTGAGTGATGACGGACCCACATTCGACATTCACCTTCGATCACAATCATGTCACTCATCACTCGGATACGACAACTCACACCAACCTGATTTCCCCAGCCATCTCGATTTCGCCCATGTCCAATGGTCGCCGTACCGGTGCTGCCAGTACAAGTGCCACCGTCACCGGTATTGCAAATGGTCCCGGTCCAGTTCCAGGGCAAGGTCCAGGCCCCAAAGCTACTAATCACCCCAATACCATAACCAGTGTTTGCGCCTACACAACTATCTCTGACCCTGATGCCGAGCCTGCTGACGCCGCTAATCCTTCCCCAGACACGCGACCTGTCTTCCTCCCTGAGGATTTAGAATACCCTACCGTCACTGTACATGATACAGACCCTCAACACCACCTAGCGGCTGCCTCTACTCATGCAGCTCCTGCCGCTAGCTATACCCTAGGCGTCCCAAGCTTTGGTTCACAGCCCTGGGCTGCTCCTTCTGGGCCTTTTCTCGATTTCGCGCCTCAGCCAATATATGAGCCTACCGGCGAGTTAATCCACGAAAACATTCACACCTTTGACGAGTTCGACGCCCCGTCCATTTCGAGGTTTCCATTTCCTCCCTCCACCACTCCGAAGAATCCGCCACCGCCAACAAGCAACTCGGCCGACGTGGCCACCACCGCCAATGGTAATGGTTCGGTGACGGCCTTCATCCCGCCTTTGCTTCCTCGATCTGCTCTCAAACGAAAGTCCAGCTCCGTTGCAACGACCCCGACCGAATCTTCCGGTGACAAGAAAGTCAGAGTCCTACCTGGACCAGCATCCGAATCTGCCGTTGCAAGTAATCGTTTTGTCACCTTTGAGCGGATGTCAGGCGTCGGGCCAACGTCCCCTGATGAAGGATCTACCTCTTCAGACCTCCCAGCCGGCTCCAGGGCAGCTCCAGGTATATCTGCTGGCAACCGCAGAACCCGCCAGTCCTCCGCCTCAACACCTAGACCATCAGTACTTCCCACAACCTCGTCACACACGTCGACTAGGCAGAGAGGGACACGCACTTCTTCGGGACATCCACCTTCAATCCTCCCTCCGGAGAAGGTCTTCCCCATTCAGATAGGATCGGATCTGTTCAGGTTATCAGGAGCCTCGATATCATCCGATGGTATGAAAACAGACGAGCAGCAATTTGGGCCACACTGACTGACGATTCAAACAGCCCCATCCTATTTCACTCAATTTTTCGAAGAACAGATCCGACAAAATGAGGAATCTGGCGGAGTCAGGACGCTATATATCGATCGAGATCCTGCAACTTTCCGAGACGTGGCCAGGCATTTACAAGGTTCAATCCCCTGTCTGAATAGTTGCACCAGTGCTGACGGTTGATGAAGGCTACTACGTCAAACCGGTGGACGGAAGCCACTTTGTGAAGCTGTTCGCAGATGCCCAGTTCTACAGCTGTAGGTGAATGTGGATTTTCTGCTGTTGGCGATGCTGATTTTCCATATAGTACCTCGCCTTATAGACCAGCTGTTTGAGTCCGAAATCTTCATTCAGATCGGAGAACGACATTTTCAAATACCCAAAGACATCTTTTCAGAACCTGGAAATTCACCCAACTTTTTCTCTCTAGGCTTTGCGGTTTTCTTCTCGACGCCTGGAGAAGTTTTTCCCGGGTTAGACCGTCGAGGGCTTCTTCGTCCACCTTCGATAACTCCACCTTACGTCCCTGGTCGATCAGCTGAGATTTTTGCAGAACTATTGCATCTTTTACGAGGCTATCCTCTCCATATTAGGAATGAATCACATCGAGCCGAACTACTACGAGACTGCCGCTACTTTCATTTGAGGGGGCTGGAGCAAAAGATCATTGCCCACGAGATCAGCTACAATTCAGAGAGACAAAAACAGGAGATTTGTCTGCGGCTGGAAGACGTCAAGCCTTCAGGCGTGTCATACACCAGTGACGATTCTCTCGGCGAGAAGTCATCCACTGGAGGATGGGTTTACTACGCGAGGCCCTTTGTAGACGACACTTCCTATGAAATGGTGGTTGAAATCGGAAGCGAAAGTACAGTGCTGGACTTGACGGACATGAGGGCGGACTTTCATGGACTAGCAAAGGCCCGAGTGTCATCTCTGTTCCAAGTGGTGGCCAACAAAATGAACCTGCCCACGAATGCACCTTTGGGACTGGTGATGCTGTCGGGAGGGAGGACTTCGCAGTCGGCCAGCCCTGGACACACCCCTTTGAGCGAAGACCGCGTGAAAGTGCGCTTCGAGGCTGCAACGGACATCACACTGGACGGAGAAAGCTTTGAAATCGACTTCGAAAGTTCAATGGGCCAAGCCATGCTCCATGGGCCCTCGACGGCGCCCAGTGAATCGGAGTCGGAATCGGACGTCATGAGTGAAGGTACAACGGTCAAACCTGGTCCTACTGCGGCCAGCGGTCAGCAACGCCGCCCTCAAACGCGACAAACGCCAGCAGGACCATCCTCGCAGGCAGCTACAGCTCGCGGGTCCTTACCCGTGCCCCCAATCCAGACCAGCAGACTCACTGCGCCATCGGCCAAAAAGAGAAAGAGGCAAAGCAGTCAGGGGGAGCTTGGAGAATGGACCATTCGTACGGGACAGTGGCGACTGCGAGTGCAACCTAATTCCCAAGACTCGATACGAGGAGGATTCGAAATTGTTTTCATCGGCGTCAAGATTGATGCATTCTCCAGCGAGCGAGCAAGGAATGCAAGAAGGCCATTCCTCAACTGATTCCATCGGCATTCGCAGCATCAGCGCCAACTTCTTTGTTCTCCCGCCATCCTGGATCTCGCTTGAGAATCTCACCGCCATCCGCGATTACTCAAGCTGGGTGGCATTACGCCACAACGACCTTGGCGAGTTCCTTCCTTCGTTGCATCTTACCACTTTTGGCAAGTGCCCCATGTCGACGGATTGGAGCAATAACACATCGATTCCTTCTGCTACAACAACAGCATCCGGAATTTCTTTGCCTTGGGCAAGCTGAAAATTCTGTAACTTCTGTGATTCATGTCCAGGATCAAGGCATACGCCACGGCATGACCGAGCGCGTTTGTACGAACTCAGCAGTCTCACTTACCATCACCTCACCTTATCTCATGGTGCAACTTCATCACATAACATTCCGTCACATAACACTGCGGGTGGCGTTTGTCCAATTCATTGCCATATACCTCTGATTCTCCGATTGGACGGGTATGTTCAAAAGATATAGCCTATTTTATTTTCAAACTCTATTGCAGGTGGGTTGTTTACTACACAACAAAGCGAAGGATCGGGAAATTGAAGCGGTGCTACTCTGGACAAGGTGCCATCCTATCTTGGTCGTTTATATACCTACTTCCCATTGGGTGAGGTGACTTGTGCTCTATTTCTCCCTAATACGTGTGTGGCTGCTAGCGCAAAGAACCATTCGCATGGCAGGCGACATGTTGAAAATGGGAGTCAATAGGCGGTGGAGCTTGTGCCTACACGAAACCTATCAGCGCAAAAGTTTTGCGTATATTGTATGCGACAACCGTTCCCCACAAAGACTGAAGAAGAAAGGGTGAGTTTCCCATCAAAGGGGGATATACCAAAATGACCTTTATTCAATTCTAACCGCCAATAGGAGGGGGAGTCCTGATATCCCTAAGACACCGATCACCCATGGGGGTAATCGGAGCCTGCGGATTTTCGGACCAAATGCAGGCTATCGAAGCAATAGCCACTGGAATCGATCACAGAGCAGCACCAATGCGGCCGCGAGTGGAACCAGCAAGGATAGTTGACATGAAACTGCCAAAAACGTGGCACTCAGTGTGGCAATGTCGACGGCTTTGGTGGGAATCTCGCTTGCGTATGGCCTTTCCCGCATGTCTGGCACAGTCAAGATCCGCAGCTGCTTGCTTGCACCAACGGGTCTCCCCATGTTCTATTTTGTGCCTTCTTCCGTTAGGACCAATTCTCATCCAAGAGGCTCGAAGCCTCTTCTCCGCCTTGATCTCACCGACTACGGCGTCAAAAAGCACCGTGACATTGAGGAATCGGTACCATACATCTACACCTTGTGTCATTCTAGCGTAAGACCATATGCCAGGATGAATAAAAAAAAAAAACCTCAAACTCCCTGCCGCGAAGTCAGGTGGCGGTCCCAGTCTTTGTTACATTCTTCAAACATCCCTTGCGATGTCAAGGATAAGAATAAACTAAACCCTGACTTCCCACACCAACCTTACCGTTGCAGCGCCTTATCTCGGGTGGTTAAGGCTAAGGACCAGACAAATCAGACTCTGTCACCTCTATTTCGCATGCGACCAGCTCACTCCACTGGGTCTTGAATAGGTTCAGCAGGCAATATCAACAGGCAATTGCCGAGACTGGCTCGATGAGCCATGGATCCGAAGCCACTCTGAAGGCACGTCAAGTGTCAGCGGAGAAATGGGGAGAAATGGAATTCGTCAGGGAAGGCCGGGTGACAAGGCGGACGTGCATATTATTTTTCTAGTCGCTCGCACCGCACATGGCTCGCACGGACGTCGGGGGATTTTTGTCGCCAGCCAACAAGAGCGCAACATACACACGTGGGGGGCGCCGCGGAGCCAGCGCCAGAAACGAGCGCTCATGGATGAGTACCGGTGGTACTGTACGGAATACATACGGAGTACTAGAAGCGAAGTCAAGTCACTGGGGCGGATTCACACTTTGTCCTCGCCTATCCTTGTCCCGACCTGTCCAAGGCAGGAGAGCATTTACTCTTTACGGAATCAAACAAAACCGGGAGGCAGAGAGGGACCAGGGAATTTCATCTGAGCAAAGGCCGGCTATGCGATGGACGGCCCTGTCTTTTTGAATATTGCATGGCATTGCATAGCGTTGTAAAGCAACATCGCGTCGCATCATATCGGAGAGCTTCCCAGAGACAGTCCAAAACAACAGGCGGCGCAAGGCTCCTCGCACAACGACTAGCTAGCTCCTCATATCTAGGTAATACATATGATAAATTAAATCTTGGGGAGCTTTCCAAAAAATTGGACGTACCTCCCCTGTTGGTGTTAGCCAGTTTCCCCCTGGGGTAGGTAGAAAACAATACTTGTAGAATGATCATGTGTTCGGGTTTTCCCCCCTTCCCTCACGGCGACCGGGTATCTCACACCTTTAGGCAGCTTCGGTTTGCCGCCTAGAGGTTGTAGCATGTAGTAAGACGAGCATGCTCGCCATTTGGTGCTTAGATGGATTGGCGGTCGAGAACTTGTTCCGAGAACCCGTGTGTAGAGCATGGGCTTGTGCAATGCTACAGTGTCTGGATAGTTGCATTGGCATGACTAAAACCAAAGCTTGGGCCGTCCGTGAAGGAAGTTGGATTTCGCTGGACTCTAAGAGAACATTCTGCTTCGAGAAATTCTCGAAGGGGTTCTTTTTCCTCGGATCATTGCTCGTCGCCCCTCCAAGTCCTTCCGCTCCTACGTCCTCGTAAAAGAGAGTTGAACGCCAGCACGGACCTTCTTGAGGGAATTTCTCCTCATTCGGCCAGCGAGTGGCTAATCCAACCTCCCGGAGAGGAGTGCCTGGTGCGTTCAACCCCCCGAAACCCGCACAGTCATGTGGCAGTATCCTTGAAGGGCGGAAGAGGAGGGAACCGCTGACAAAGGAAGGATTGCTTCCAAGTTCCACCGAGGAGTGGAGGAGTGGAGTCCCACAGACTCAAGTTGAGTGGGAACCCCAGGCAGGCTAAGGTCCATGTTGGAGCTGGTGAGTTGAGGTGTTTGGGATGATGCGATGAGGCTGTACTTGGTAGAAGTCTGATGGAAAAAGTGACACATGGCCATTTCGTAACAGCATTCTCCTGCCATTCGCTTAATCGAGCGGATATGCAAGGGTCGTGTCGGGAATGGTGTCGCGCGGTACCCGCCTGTCGATCATTCAGTATAAACGAGGCCAGGCCCGCCCTCGAATCTGGATTTTGCATTGCAGCTGCAGCGAGGAAATACGGAGTACGGAGTCCAAAGGCCACCTCGTGGCGTGATGTTCTGGTTGGGCCACCAGGGTAGCTTGCTGTTAGATGGCGAGCACTGGCGGTTGAGAAATCGAAGTGGTTGGCTCCAACACTCTGTAACTCACGTATTATTCATCAGGCGTCGCCCGATGAGCGGGGGCGATATGCGGAGTGGTGATTACGCAAGATCCGCTAAACCAAGCATCAGAGGGTGTTGAAAGGCCTGTACCTCGTCGAAGTCTTCCTGAAAATCGTGCACGCTGCAAGTCACCTTCGCTAGTTTGGATGGCCCGTATACGAGGTACATAGATCTGTCTTGCATTGGTATTGGACCGAAAACGAGCCTTAGGCATCTGATGGAGTTTGGTATGGGGAGAGATTACTGTAGCACTGGTTAAGCTGTCATCTCCCGGCCCTTTTTGCTTTCGTTAATAAACCATCCCAGATCGACTGATACGAACAGGGAGTTGCTCCAGGTCCTCCGGATGAGGCCTAGCAATCAGAGCCGCTTCAAACTTTGCCGTGTGGAGTATTGTGTTCTGCATATCAGGGAACACCGTACGAGGCAGGTATGTAGCGATCTGCGACACACTCCCCCGAGAAAGGTGATGACATGGTTCTGACGATGTCTGCTAGCGTCCTGCGGCTTTTTTCATGGGCGCCTTTCCATGAAGCAAAGATTTTTAGCCCCTGAATTCCACGATGAGTGGAGAACGTTCGCAGGAGACTTTTTCCTCAGCTCCTTTGTGCGACAGTTGGATATGTACCTCGTACATTGCAATTGCTCTGAGGAACGTGTTGAGGTCGCATCTCTGAGAGGATCTCTTTCCTATTGTGATCGAAGGATCAACCCGGTCTCTTTCCTCGAGTGTGGGCTCCAATGGGATTTGCCATCTTCGCTACCCCTTAAGGAAATAGCCCTTCCGACTTCAGCCTTTCTTAGTAGGCAGCCTTTCTCTTGTAGAATTGTTGCCCGTGCAGGGTGTCCAATGAAGGCTTGAACGATTGATCCGTAGTCTTAAAGGAGCAGCATTCCCTTCTCATCCTGACTGGATTGTTCTGTGATATTTAGGCTTCATGAAGGCCTGGTTGCGGTGCAGCGGGTCGCCCGCATCAAACGGTCAGGGAGGCGTGGCGGCGGAGCTGGCCACATGGTGGAGGATTGCAGGATCCACGAATGATGCAAGATGAGAAGCTGGTGGGTGACAGGGAGGATTCGGATTGCAAGAGTCTGCTGACGCACGAAAGCTTTAATCTGACTTTGCTCATATGGGCCAGGATACAGTTGGGAGGCTTGCTGAAGGTCAAGAAAATGCCAGTATTGAGAGGATTCATTTGCCTTGACCGATCTAAGTTGCATTACTCGGTTCCTGCGTGTCTGCTGTGGGTGTAGGATTGCTTCTTATAGACGTGTTTTCTGTTGAGGCACTGTCGGTGCCCTAGCAGGAAGTAAGAGCGCAGGCCACGGCTCAAGCGGGAGAGAAGTGCAGGAAAGGGACGCACCCAAACAGGCAGGAGTTGAGGCAGTAGCCACTGGTTTCAGTTCAGGCTTGAGGGCGAGCTTGGTCGCAGGGAGTACGAGGAGTAATCCCAGGCTTCATCGGGGTGGAATTGACGAGGGAAGAGTGAAATGATGTCTGGCCTCCTGGATAGCGAGTCTGTCAATGACACACTGAGCCGCACAACCCCCATACAACACTTCCTGGCCACATCACTTTGGCTAGAATAAGCCGAGGAGTTGTTGGATTGGTAGTTACCAGGACTCATCTCTCTCCGGAAAAGCCAACTCTACGTCTCTGTCGGAGCAGCGACAAAGAACCTTACACCAAGGCTGTTCTCCTCCGGGCACCTAGCAAGTTCGAATGGTCTGATTTCGCTTTGATTTCAGCATTGATCTACATTAGACTTGATGAAGACGGTGTTTGCTACTCGTCTAGCGTAACCATGGCCATCTTTGAGCTCCATCCCGCCATTTTGGCAACATTGTGCTAAAAACAACATCGACATTTAAGGAGGATGAGAGGCACGCCCTACGAAGAAAAGTTCATCACCTTTCTTCTTTGTCAATTATTTATATTCGATTTTCCTACTATTTCCCGCTAGGCGACCTTTTGTTTGACTAAGTCGAGAAGATTGTAGCAATTGAGACTTAGACTGTTGACAGACGATACGACTTTGGGCCGGCGAAAAGCAATAGTAGCTTTGGGCAGAGTACAACGATTTGTTCATGCTGCAGCTTGCTATCAGGTGTAGGCGGTTTGCTTCCCAAGAGGCAATTGCCAGAAGGCGGGGACCGCGATTGTGTTGATCCATATAATAAGAGTTCGGATGCACGGCGTACTTTGTCTCTGACATTGAAAATACTCTCCCTTGGGCCGTAGGTCAAGCAGTCAAGACAGCAAAAGGAATGCCACGGGACACGTTTGGTCTCTTGCGTACAGACACAATGGGTTCACCGCATGACAGGCAGGACCTGCCTCTAAATAAGAAATTACACAAAAGTAGAATGACCTCTGCACAGTGTACCAGTTCGAAGGGGACCATTGGGCCGGCCGTTTCATGTTCAGCCGGCGATATCCATGAGACATTAGCAGGCTATTAGAGGAGAGTAACTGGACTAAGGTGCTAAAGCTCGACTTCTCGGATTGTGTGACTGTTGTTTTCAAGTACGACTAGACTGGGGAAGCATGAGCGTCAACTTAATCCCTTTGGATTAACACATTTTACCTTATGGCAGCATCGTGGCGCCCACGATGCTCATGGTCTGCGCCAGGCTGTGTAGAAAAGAGAAAGTATTCATTGCCGTTGATGGAAAGTGGCGAAATGGTTTTTCTGGCCAAAGACGTCAATATGCAAGAAACGTCGAGGCGAGCTGAGAGACTCTGCAGGCTTCTAACCGTGATATGAATTAGAGAAGCTGTGAAGCGAGAGGAACTAGACGGTACTATGTAAGGCCGAGAGCGGGTGGTTATGCAAGTCTGAAAGACTTGTGTCAGTCCAACACTGCACACGCCCAGGGCTGGCTGCACGTAATGTGTAACTCGTAGAGCTAAAAGCCGTCTCGTTGAGGATCAGTTCGAGGTGGCTTTCCCGCTCATATATGTGGTTCCACCATTTCATAAGAACCAGTAGTGACCCAACAAGGAACACCCAAGCTCGTCGTGGTTTGATTGTCTTTTGTCCTTCTTATAGTTGACGATTACAGTCTGGATTCCCAAGGTCTCAGGAGATTGTGCCCTATGTGCTGCGAGGGCTGCTTCGGCGACGGACTCGGCCCGTCTCACAATCATTGGCACTTGTCTGGGCTATTGTCGAAACCAAGTCGAACCCTTGCAGTTGCACCGTGGAGAACACCTTCGGCTGCCACTTGACTCATTAACCAGCATGTGGCCCTTCTGGAAAGTCTCCTTCTGCCACTTCGTCCCTTCGCGCATGACAACCTGTAGCGGTATTGGTACAAGAGCTCAACCCGGTATTGAAACCTTGTCTCGGTCAGGCTGCAAAGAAAAACCAGCTACAAGGGGTGATACGATGAAAGAGTCACCGTACGGGCCACCCAGGTTTCTGCTGGTCTCCCAAAATAACTCATAATGAGTCAGTGCCAAGTTATAGAAATGAAATTGGCCCATAGGGGCTGCCCGTGGCGGTTTTGATGCAAGCTCAACTCAGCAAATCTCTGCCACCATGTGGATGGAGGAAAAGGAAGGCCAAATTCCGTGGTTAAGCCCTGCGGCTCCAGCGGAGAAGGCATGATGGTTTTCCGAGGGCCGTTTCTCGTTGGTGTACTCGGTACTGTAGTGGTAGTTGGGTCTCCCCGGCGATCGTTTGTTTTACGTTAATTCGATTGCCAGATCCGGTTTGGATGGAGCGTGACCAATATCTTGCTAATCAGCCAGGTATGAGGTCGATGACGATCGAGATTGTCGGCACTTGTAACCATCATCTAGGGGCTCCGCAAACCTCGCAGCCATCGAGCTCTGGGCCCAAGAGGCGACCACAAGCATGGTGACTAAAGGAGGCCAACTAGGTAGACACCCGAAGCGTCTCGTCAACACCTGGAAGCGACCTTTGCGGTTCTTTGCTCCTCGTCTCGAGCGTCTGGCATCCCGGGAGCCAGTCAAAAAGATCTCGACCCAGTTTCAACGACCTAGTCTGCAGGGCAATCAGGCTCTGGGCCTGGTGGGAAAACCAACAGTTAGTGGTCAGAGGTAGGAAGTCAGCTACGAAATGGTACAAGCCTGCACCCGCGTGATCAATCTCAACCTGGAAGTCCTGCCGCTCGCAGTATGGAGCTTCATTCAGCCTTTGAAGTGGTTGAAAATTTCCACTTGTCGGTGACGACTCGATATGGGTATACCCAAACTCGGCGAACAACCACCTGCGACATGAGTCAGCCAGGATGAGGCGAGCGTGAAGAAGCGATCCTATGTAACTTGACATTGGAATGGAGGCGGAACCCAGTCACCGAAGTTGAAGATCATTGCCTCCGGCAGCAACTTGCATCTTAGCAAGAGATTGCGTTGCATGCTCCGTGGTTCTCACACGAATCAAGCTGCTGTCCTAGCAGAGACATCATCTTCTTGGAGGTCCGTCCGGTTTTCCATCAATGACATGAACCAGACAGATCGATCGTATAGGAATACAGTGCTAACACATCCGCAGTCGTGCTTACCAAAGCTAAACTCGAGTCCTGCCCACCGACTGCCTCACCGATCCCCAATTGCCAAATACGAATGGAGAGTGCATTCCGAATGCAAAATGCCCGGATCTCCAAGTAGCAAGATGGCGGAACAAAGACTTGAGAAACCATTCTCATTGTTGGATACAGATTTGTTGAGGTCGTTGAGGAATAGCCGCTGCCCTCTGGCGAGGCTAATCTGCGTCCAGTATATGTGTCGTAGGGGCTTTTCACAACTGCTTTAGCATCGTGTCGAGGTGGAAATGTGAACCAGAGCTCGTCTTTCACAGCATCCTCCGGGTATCGGAATCAACAGCATCTGGCATAGAAGGTGACAAGACCGACGTCCATTAGCACCACGGGTGGTCTGAATAGCGGTGAAATACAGGAAGGTTCTGTGCCAATAGCGATCAACTAAGATTTCATTGCAAACACCTCTGGGTGACCTCTGCGGGACGAGCTAAGCCATCCTGGCTTGCCACACTCGTACAAGACTGTCGACAGATAGCAAGCCCCATCGACCATTGCGACATCCCCAGGGAAGCAACTGAGCCTGTGAAATACTACCGCGTTACGCAAGGGAAAACTCGACGTTGTTCAATCACAGGGTCTTCTCTCAAGAGATGTCGGCAGATCTGGTCCTCGTTCCCATTCGTCGACTAAACGACCTATTCAGGAACAGCCTTAGCAAGAAGACACGGGCTTATGAGCAATGCCGCAGGTTGACGGGATTCATCCATGATTACTTGCCCAGGACTTCTTTCTCTAGTTGCTGGAGAGCCGCCTCGTATCTCTGTTTGAGGCCTTCTCCCTCAAGATTCAAACCGAGCTTGGAAATCTTGGTCTGCCTACTGATCGAGATTCGGTCGACGCCTGTTCCTGGCATTGTGTGTTTGGTTTTGCCTCCGATTTCACGCCAAAACCAAGCTCCCTCCCTATGTTCAACGAATGTCCATGCATGACCAACTCTGCCGGCCCGAGCAGTTCGACCGACGCGATGCACGTATGTCAAAGCACTGTTTGGAACGTCGTATGATATGACATGCTCAAGGCCAGGCACGTCCAGACCACGAGAAGCACGGTCTGTGGCAATCAAGATTGATACCTTCGACTTGCGGAAGGAAGATAAGGCACGACGTGACGAGGCAGACGATGTAGTGCTCCGTGTCAGGGTCGAGATTCGCGAAGCCAAAGGAGGATTGACGATACTCAGTAACCGAGACAGTCTCGTCGCTGAAGCGGTAGAGCGGGTGAAAATTAAAGCTCGGGGCACTCTAGTCCTCTGTTGACTCTCCGCAACCTTTTCCATCCTGAGACTTGGAGTCGCCTCACTTTCACCTGAGTCGGATGCTGTGTCTGTAGTCGAGTCATCTCCCGAAGATGTCAGATCTTCGGAATCGGAATCTGAGGATGAAATGGAGTCGGCTTCGGCCTCTGAATCTAGCGACGAACGCCGAGCAGTGTCATCCGGGTTCAACAGCTTTGAAGAGAGTGTGATATGGTTTTGAAGTAGTTCCAGGAGATACAACGGCTTTTCGGCGCCGTCAGTGACAGGTATGACGGTTTCTTTGAGGCTAACAGGTAGATAGACAATTTCATCGTCTTTTTGTCCCACCTCTTCTTTCAGCAGTTCGGGTGCTGCATTGCCTCCAGATACAGTTGTCTTTTCTTGAGTGCCAGCTAGCACAACCAGCTTTGGGTTATATAGTCCCAGAGCATTGAGCTTAGACAAGTCGCGGGTCATGGTTGCGGAAAGCAAGACTTTGCTCACATTTCGTCTCGCGAGTGTCATCCTCATGTGGCGGAGGATTCCATCACTCTTCTGGGTTGCCGTCCGTGACTCTAAGGCGGGTTTGACGACGGCAATCCATTCCTGGTAGCTTTCATTCAGCAATCTGTCTGCTTCGTCCACAACAAGCCATTTCACATTGTCAAGGGTGAAACCCAAGGTGGACTTGAGATGATCGACCAACCGACCGGGCGTCGTAATCAGTATGTCCACTTTAGATCTATAGTGTGTGACATAGCCCACAGACTCCATCGGGTCCGCATCTCTTGCATTTTGGGCCAACCTTGCTAACGAGAAGTTGGACCACTGGATAGGGCTCTGTTGCCATCGCTCGTACTCCTCTGGATCGAAAATCTTTTCTCCTCTGACAAGCAACCCTTGCTCTTCGGTGAGAGATTTGCTCCCCACGGCAGTGGCGAATTTAAGAGAAGTTCCTGCTGCACAAGCCTCACACAGTTCACGTACCTGCTTCACGAGCTCTCGCGTTGGGACCACAATGACAGCCCTAAGCTTTGTACCTGGGAGATCCTTCAAATCGGCCACGATGGGTAAAACATACGAGATAGTTTTGCCGGAGCCGGTGGCAGCCGATACGCAGAGGTCGCCTGGGTGCTGATCAGGACCATTGAGCAGCAATGGTAACACAGATGCTTGTATCGGTAATGCCTGCCGTAGTCCTTGTCTTTTCAAATTGTCCAACAAGGGCTCTTTGATCCCGAGTGATGCAAAGGTTGAGGAGGAATTCAAAGGAACTAGTAATGGGTCCTCTTGCCAAGGTGGTAGGATAGAGTAGGTTGGCTTCTCTGAAACAATATCTATCTGCTTTGGTTGAGGTAGTGGTTCAAGACCATGGAGTTCTGCAGGCGGTTCTTCTGATGCTGTGTCGATCTTTGTTTCTTTTTGATCTTGTTGTCTCGATCTTTCATATTTTGAGAGCAGCGCGGTGTGCTTTTGAGCATGTGCATCATCTGCCTTTTCATCCTCCTGTTCAATTGCATTCCCACGCTTGGCCTTCTTCTTCTCCTTCTTTCTCACACTATCATGTGTCTGACGATTCCCATTTTCCAAGTCGTGATCGTCGTGACGGGGCTCTTTCGGTATTTTGGGTTGAAAACTAACTGAGGCGTCCTCGGATCTTGCAGCCTCCGTAACGCGATATTTGTCCAAGACTCTCTTCCCGATTGTAGTTGAAAAGTCTTCGGCGATCAATGTAGTTTTCTCTGAAGTCGAGAAAAGGGGCGTTTCAAGGGCTAGATCTGTTGTGCTTGATGTCTTCAGCTTTTTGCTTCTCTTCTCCCGAGTCGTTGAATCTTGGTCTCGCTTGCGCTTGTCTCGGTTGGAAACACGTTTCTCAAGAGTGTCTGGGATGGCGTCAGCCCTTGTCGTGGAGGGTACGTAGCGTGCATAGAAGCGAGACATGTGTCAGGGCCGTTGGGGCCTAAGAGGGCGTTATGTAAGGACAGTAGGAACCTAATGCCCGTGGTGCGTGCTCTTCTTGGACCTTGCAGATACTTGGTGGTCGTTGAAAAAAGTCTCACAATTTCGCCGGCAGAACTATCTTACCGCCTTCGGACGGTGATTCCCGAGTTCCCCCTTTTTGCTTCCTCCTGCCGCCCGCGATCGCTGACATCTCGACAACAAAGACAATGACGGAACACATTTATCCATGTGGCGCAAATCCTATCAATGATGGCTCTGGTATTGAGCATCCCATGTCCTCGAACCGGCAGAGACATTAGATGAGATAGTGGCTGCCCAGGATGCCTTACAACATTGCCATGGTCAGCGACTTCTTCTTCCCCCAACCGGGGGGAGTGGAAAGTCATATATATCAGCTGTCTACCAAGCTGATTGATCGAGGACACAAGGTTGTCGTGATCACACATGCATACGAAGGCCGCACAGGTGTCCATTACCTCACAAACGGACTGAAAGTCTACCATGTGCCCTTTCTAGTTATCTACCGAGAGACAACCATGCCGACGGTTTTCTCCTTCTTTCCCATTTTCCGCAACATCGTCATCAGGGAAGAAATCCAGATTGTCCATGGTCACGCAAGCCTGAGCAGTTTCTGCCACGAGGCTATTCTTCATGCTCGAACCATGGGTCTACGCACTGTCTTCACCGACCACTCACTTTTCGGATTCGCAGACGCGGCTTCCATTTTGACGAACAAGCTACTCAAATTCGCCCTGAGTGATGTCGACCATGTTATCTGTGTGAGCCATACTTGCAAAGAAAATACCGTTCTTCGAGCGTCTCTTGACCCATTGATGGTTTCAGTGATACCTAATGCAGTGGTTGCCGAGAACTTCCAACCCAGATCATACGTACTCAAGTCCAACAACGACACGGGATATATGAGGCCCAGACCGCTTCCGCAGCGTCTTGGCCCTGGAGACACGATTGTGATTGTGGTCATTTCCCGGCTGTTCTACAACAAGGGGACTGACCTTTTGATTGCAGCCATCCCCCGAATCCTTGCGGCACATCCCAATGTCCGCTTCATCATCGCTGGCTCAGGGCCCAAAGCCATTGATCTGGAACAGATGCTCGAACGGCGAATGCTTCAAGACAAAGTAGAGCTCCTCGGCCCCGTTCGTCACGAGGAAGTCCGTGATGTGATGGTCAAGGGGCATATCTACCTCCATCCAAGCTTGACCGAAGCTTTCGGCACCGTCATCGTGGAAGCCGCGAGTTGTGGGCTGTATGTGGTCTGCACTAGAGTCGGAGGTATACCTGAAGTGCTTCCAGCGCACATGACAACCTTTGCCAAGCCTGAAGAGGACGATTTGGTCGTGGCGACGGGTAAAGCCATTGCTGCTTTGCGGTCGGGAAAGGTCAAGACCGAACGGTTTCATGATCAGGTGAAGATGATGTATTCTTGGACCGATGTTGCGCAGAGGACTGAACGGGTGTATGACGGCATCACAGGCGCCATTACCGAACAAGAGTTTTATGGTCAACATGCTAATGCTCCCTGGAGTGCTTCTCGTGTTCGAGGGTACGCACTGATTGACCGATTGAAACGGTATTACGGATGCGGTATATGGGCCGGGAAGCTATTCTGCCTCTGCGTCATCATCGACTATCTCATATTTTTGTTCCTGGAGATCTGGGCCCCGAGATCGCGCATTGACATTGCACGGTCCTGGCCGCGAAAACCCTTCATTAATGATAAGAACAAGCCTGTGGAGAACGGCACATATCGTCGACGAGGCACAGATGTTATGGACCGACGGAATGGAAGTCTTGTCATGAGATGAAATGACGACCAGGGTGCCCTTCAACCTCGGATCGGAAATGAGGATCGGAAATGCCCCGGCTTTTATACCCCGCTAACAACGGTGATATTTGAACGCTTGCAATGGAGCATCTCCACCAGGAAACGAATTTTCCTGAAATTAACTGTTCGGGGCAGATGGCAGACGTCTCCCACAAGAACTTGACAACCAATAAGGAAGACCCTATCAACATGACTTGGCCAGCCTTGCCGACTCGCGCTGCTTACTTGACTATCAAAAATGGAAAGCGTCGAAATGCTCTGTCTCTCGCGGTTTTGCGAGATCTACGAGATCAACTGCACGCATACAACAAATCACCTGTTGACGGCCGAGTGAGGATCCTGCCTCCCTTCAAACCGGAAATACTCGCGGAGTTAGAGGCTGCTGCAAAGGACAGGAATTGCGCAGCTGCACAAGAACATGGATGGCTTCTCGATGTGGAAAAGTGGCAGGAGCATCGAAAGGGACTACCCAATGTCATCGTGTTGCGCACTGAGGGACCCGTATTTTCATCAGGGCACGACTTGGGCGAACTACGACGATTGAGCCATGATGAAGTTAAGGAGACATTCGCGCTTTGCGCCGAAGTCATGTCCTTGATCAGGCGCTCTCCTGCACCGGTAATCGGGGTTATTCAGGGTCTAGCGACTGCTGCTGGGGCCCAGCTTGCTCTGACGACGGATCTTCCAGTGGCTTGCGCTTCAACTCAATTCCGGCTGCCCGGAGCATCGTTAGGACTGCCTTGCACATCTCCCTCCACAGCCGTCTCGCGAAGACTGGGGCATGCATTTACGTATAGAATGCTAGCTCTGGCCGAGCCAGTTCGGGCAGATCAACTTCCAGGAGGGGCAGTTGAGGTGTTACCAGATGAGGCAGCCCTAGAGATGCGGGTGGCCCAAATGGTTAGTCAGTTATCAGAGAAGACGGCGGCACAGCCGCTGGCATTAGGAAAATGGGGATATTGGACACAAATGGGATTGTACGGGACCTCCTCTGCATCCGGAGGGGATGGCTACGAAGATGCAGTGGCATGGACTGGCAGACTTATGGCTCTGCATGCGAGAGCTGCCGATGCTAGGGAAGGGATAAATTCCTTTTTCGAAAAGAGGCCGCCTGTGTGGAAGCTCTAAGTCAACCCGGACTCGGTGCTCTTGGAGCCGTGTCTCGCGGGACGATACTGGAAGTCGATTGAACCAGCAGAGAGCCGGGTATCATGGTCGACAACCGGCAGTCTCATCTGCAAAAGAACGGGGCGGGAGCATTCTCCTGAAAAGCAGATTTGAAGTGATTACCTACAGAATCTTCAATAGGGGAGGTTCGACGCTTCGCGTACGAGATGTATGCATATAATTAATAATACGAGTAATCGCCAACTTGGTTCGCGTCTACGGGGGCACAATAGCGAGACCTATCGAATGTTAGAGGGCAAGGGTGCTACTAGTGGGCTCCAGAGGCACCGGCTTCCAGGCTGCAGCTGGGCACCGAGGCACCAGCTGAAGACCTGCCGAATCCAATTGGGGCGGAAAGACCCCGTTGCCAGGCAGGTGGGCTCTCCAGCAGCGCACGCTTCGGCACCCCCAACACAACCCGCCGGTCAGAACTTCGCCCGTTGCGATCAACCGAAGTACCCCTCCACGCCCTCCACGATCATCACCGAAGGCCAAAAAAAATAATTCAGACAGATTTCTCATCACCCCCCAGGAAAATGCCAGAATCCTCAAGGGGACGGGATTTTCAATGGCTCATGGCGAGCCTCAAAAGATTGACACCGTCATTGTCGGTAAGTGCTGCTTATCCTTGCCAGGTCCTCAATGCGATCGATGCCTTGGACAAGTCGGATAGAGGGGAAACCAAGCTGACAATGTATCTATTGTGCCCTCGCTAGGAAATGGCCCCTCCGCCTTGATTCTCTCATACATCCTCCATGGGCACATCCCTTACTACGACAAATGCAGTCCACATCCAGATGCCATCCTCCATGAGAAACTGCTCCGGTTAGGCCATGATCTTCTCGATCTCGATTTCGACTTCTTGACCGAGCATTTTTCCGGCTCGCGATTTTCTTACTCGACTCAAGCCCTGCCCCTCAATGTCTTGCTCGACACGTTGGTGAGACCTCTGGGAGAAACAGACGATGCGGAGAAAAAGACGTGTATCAGGTGGGCATACGAGCCTTCGCGAGCGGTCGCTCATGTGGTTATTGGACAGGCCCGCAGTGCAGGTGGGCAATGGGTAGAGAATCCTGTGCGTGCAAGTTTGGACATTGGAACGCTCAGCTATGCCGGAATGATCTCGCTTCCAGGCTACGGTTTCGATGAACACTACCAAAGACGAAACGGTCGACCTATGCCAGTCTATCTCAGACCATCCCGACGTGCTGTCGCCGACTATGTCGCCGAATATCCCTACCAGGTGGGTATCGCCGATTCAATTCGTAACGGAGAGCACGTCGAGGGTATTTCTCGTCGTGGCGATAGTTTCTATGTCGCATCGCACAATATCCTGTGCAAGAATCTTGTTCTCGCCTCTGGAATTTTCAGCGAGGTCATCCAACCACGACCTCTACTCCGTCCACTGGTCGACCTGCTTGCCAACCAGACTGAACCATCTGCCGACCCGCTTCTCGTCATCGGTTCCGGCTTCAGTGCTGCTGATGTCATGATTTCGAGCCCACCGGACCAAAAGATCATTCACATTTACAAATGGGCGCCTTCGACATCACCTTCTCCCCTTCGCGCTTGTCATCACCAAGCCTATCCCGAATACGCAGGCATCTACCGGCGGATGAAGCTTGCGGCCAGCGTTTCCCCCAAGCACAAGGATAAGCGCCCAAAATATGGTCGCATCATGTCCGGCTTTGAATCCAGTCGCGACTGGAATGCGACGTATGAGGGATTGCCGAACACCGAAGTCACCGGCGTTCAAGCTACCGACAATGGATTGGCAGCCACAGTCACTTTGCAAGGAGCCAGCAAGAACGAACTGCCATTTCAGCGTCAGGTGAGCGGTCTGGCGTATGTCGTTGGAAGACGGGGCTCGCTGAACTATCTCTCACCAGTTCTGCTTGGCCAGGTATTGCCCGCAGATACTGGTTCGCAAGCAGCGAGTGCTGGCATGATATCAGCACAGACACTACGCGAAAAGGCGAACGAAGATCTGGAAGTTGCGCCGCATGTTTTCATCATCGGCAGTCTGACCGGTGATTCCCTGATTCGCTTTGCGTATGGCGGGTGTGCCTACGCTGCAGGAAAGATAATGCGGAACGCGGCAGAGAGTGACCAGAGTAAAGAAGAGTTGAACAAGCCAAAGAGTAATGGTGTAGTCAAGGTTTGTTTAGGCGAGTACGAAACGCCGACCTCCTCGCCAAAGATTCCTGCCATGAATGGTCTGGATGGTCATGAATCGAGTCCCATGAGCTTGGTGGAGAGGAGCTACATGTCGCTAGATAGACGGAAAGGATGAGAGCCACAGGCAAAATAGATGCGTTAATTAGCACCGTGCAAGCCTGGCGTTGTGTACTGTATTTCTTTGGACATGAAATGGTGAAAGTGGGAGAACATCGAGCTATGTTCTCCTCTACTCTCCAGCCTCTCAAGTACAAAGTGCTCACATATGGTCATGTCTCGGCACCCTGACAGGCGAGGCTGAAAAATGTAACCACGTTACTCGGCGAGGCTTCGGAAATCTGCTCCGAAGCTACGCATGACGCACACAAGTCGACCTTCCATGATTTCTGATATAAACAGCACAACCAATGTTTATCCATGACCGTTCAGCATAATTCGGGATCAGAGAGGTGTCTTTGAGGAGACAGTAGCATGCCATGGAGAGCCTCGCGCCTTCATGCTGGAATACGACTGAGATGGAGGCGACCAGACAGCTTCATCTTGCGTCTTCCAAGTCGCCGACGGTTCCAAGTCCCATACCAATCAACGTCTACCAAACAACCACCGTCAACAGATTCAGAGGCCACTATTTACCGACGACCTGATGATACTCGGCGAAAGAATCACAGCCCTTCCTATGACCCAGACAGTTCCAGCTCCCTCACCGACGTGGGCCGGCTCATCGTCAGCGACTACGCGCACCTTCGACCCCACTACATGGCGCCAAAATATCCAATCGTTCTCGCCCACGGCCTGATGGGCTTCGACGAACTTCGTCTGGCAGGGGACTTGCTGCCGGGCATAAGCTACTGGCGAGGCATCAAGGAAGCGTTCCAGGCGCACGGAATCAAATGCATCACGGCATCGGTGCCAAGGACGGCGTCAATCCCCGAGCGCGCGGCGGCACTGATGGACCAGATCGCGCATAGGCTGTCGCAGGTCGGGGAGGACGGCAAGGAAATCAACATCGTCGCGCACAGTATGGGGGGGTTGGACGCGCGGTACATGATCTCGCGCCTGTGCCCTCCACCATCGCTCTTCCGCGTGCGGTCGCTGACCACGATCGCCACGCCGCACAGGGGCAGCTCCGCCGCCGACATGCTCCTCCGCGACATCGGGCCAGACCTCCTGCCCTGGATCTACCGGCTCCTGGCGCGCCTGCACATCGACTCGGGCGCCTTCGCCCAGCTGACCACACGGTACATGACGCAGACGTTCAACCCGTGCGTCCCCAACGACCCCTCCGTGAAATACTTCTCCTACGGGGCCTGCGCCACGCCGCATCTGTTCTCCATGTTCCGCCTGTCCCACGACCTCATGGACGTGCTCGAGGGCCCCAACGACGGCCTCGTCAGCGTCAGGAGCGCCAAGTGGGGCGAGTACAAGGGCACACTGGCCGGCGTCACGCACTTGGATCTGATCAACTGGACCAACCGGCTCAAGAAAATGGCGAGTCGGCTGGGCCTGGTCGAGGAGAGATTCAATGCTGTGGCCTTTTACTTGGCTGTCGCCGAGGAGCTGGCCAAGGAAGGGTTCTAGAGGGCAAATGTCAAGATCAATTTGTCGTGAGACGAGACGACACCATGGCAAATCTGTATTTCTAGGTTTGGTTCGGACAACAGACACAGGGGAGTTGTCTTCAATATGGCCTCGCATTTCAGCAAGGGCATTGTAGCGGGAAGGGCAAGAGGAGAACAAGCAAGAAAACTTTTAAGACTGATAACAAGGACGCCCCAATAATTTATATCTTCCTTGGAGCAGTCATAGAGCCGTCCTGGACGAACTGGGTCAATATGCAGTATAGCATACCCTTCTGGGCCGTGTCTATGTTGGTAGACGATTCGACTCCATTACGCCAGCCTCTGGAGTTTGCCCGCCATTCCTCGAGAACAACCGGGACTCTCGTTCTGCTCTCGTGCCGGTACATCAAACCCTGCGGCGTCCCCCCCAATAGCCCTGCAACTCAGTCCTCCCTTGAGATCTTGTCCGGCACCTCAGGATAAGGAGACATGACCGTTTTGATGAGGTCTTCGACGACTTTCGCTCCTGCCTTCTTCCCCGCCTGCTCGATCTCCTTTACTTTAGCATTGGCATCCTTGTTCGCATCGTCTTCGGCCTTCTTGTTCCCGCTCGATTGCTGCGCGCATTGGATAAGCCTCTCGACCCGGCCATGTGTGACTGGCACTGATGGTATATACTCACCTCGGCTTCAAACTTCTTGAACTCTTCTTCCTTTTTCTTTCTGTATTCCTCAATCTCCTTCTGGGCCTCTGTTTTGGCGTCCTTTACTCTCTTTGTTCGGTCTGGAAAGGCAGTTAGACCGATACAGGATGTCGTAAAGGGGAGGACCGAGGGTGTCGTAGCCTACATTCTCTGGCTTCGAGGACCGTTAGCATAGGAACGGGAAACATATCAGACACGTAGCATTACCTTTCTGGACAATCTTTTGAGCCTCCTTTTCTGCCTGCCCGACATTTCAGGATCTCCTTGAACCTGCTCAAAAGCTCATTCTTGACTTACGTCCAGCAGGGTCTGAATGCCAGCTGAGTTTTGGGCGGACTGGAGTTGATATTAGCGTAAACGTAAAGCCGTGAGCGGACAGACACGCACCATTTCGCTATTGACGACTCTGGTGAACTGAGCGGAGAAAGAAAAGGGGAAGAGGCTACGAGGCGCAAAACGAGGGCTACGGGAAACGGAGTTGCGCAGAGAAGTTATCTTGGATGTGTCAATACTGTATATTCGGTGGCGTTTCCCGTCGATGATGCGCCTGCCGCCGAGAGCTCTCAAAGCTGCGGAGCTTCTTTCTTCTCCAATTCCACCCGCTTAAACATTTTATTTTCCTTCTTTCCTTTCCTCACCAAAGACATCGCCCCCCGGACAGGCTCAAATACAATGTCTAGAGCGTCGAAGATCACCCTGCTCAGCACTATTCTTGGTACCGCCGGCGTAGTCGCCTTTGTTCACTGGGCCCAGACCGCTGAACAAGCTGTATGCTCTTCCTTTCCCCCCTTGGTCCCAGATCCTGATTCATCAGCTGATGGACTATTTGCAAATCTGTGGCTGACTCTTTTCTTCATTTCCAGGCTATGCACGCCGGTGTCGTTCGAGATATGGAACACCAACGCATCAAGAGAGAAAGGCAGGCGGACTTTGACATGCAGAGGCAGCTGGAGGAAGAGTACAAGAAGGTGCAGACTGTGCGTGACAGTACCAGTGGTGCTTGACGACATGCCTCTCCAATGGATTCCCATGAAAAGGACTATCAACGAAGCCCCTGATCCCACCGCCGAGCACTAGGAAGCGCAGACGCCATTGAAGCTGGCAATAAGCTGGCACTGCCCGCACACTGCCGCAAGTTCATTGGACTGGTCAGCGTGGACTGCAGGTACAACATTGACCTCATGAAGCAATACAGGCACGGATAATCACCTCGCATCTTCCCTCATGAGCCTGCATGTTTGCATCATGGCCTACTGTCCCGTTGGGCCTATTCGAGATGTGGAAAAGGTTAGACTTTGGTATCCCCAGCGCGAGGAAAGAGGAAGAGTGAATCGCCTCGAGGTATGGAAGCAGCTTGCTCATATCGAAAGGAAAGAGGCAACCACACGAGGCGGAGGTTTTCATGTCGACGCACAAAACAACCTGCGTGATTGGATGAAGCTCTCCATGACAGTATTGACAGTATTGGTGGACTCAGACATTGCTAGAGAATGCTGGCAGTTCTGATCGCCCCTTAACTGAACTGCTATGCAGACTCACAAGAAGACAATCAAGATTGCGGAGCAGAATGCCCGAATGGTCCTCTTTCGGCTCCGCGTTTAAGCAGCCAGAACCAGTTATGGGAAAGAATTATCTCAACTCAAGTCGAGAACAAGCCCATATAGCAAATACGCATGGGATGTACACTGTTCCAAATATTTCATTTGCTCACGAGAAGCCTGAAGAGAAGAAAGGGAACCATTCAATCATCCTTTTGTTGTTCCTGTTACAGTGCAATCAACACATTTCACACGTCTCAATGCCCGATTCCGCCAGCAACCCAGTTATTCCAATCCAGATCCCCTGGGGGTGGGAACATGCCTCTATCCTGCCCTGGTGGCCCTTCTCCTTCGGGCTGGTGTCCTGGAATCGGTGGCTGCTGCTGTTGCTCTTGCTGATGTTGTTGCTGAGGGGCTGCTCCTTGGGCGAAACCTTGAACTTGATTTTGGTTTTGGTTCTGGTTCTGGTGTTGAGCTTGACGCCTCTCCTCTTCCAAACCCCTCTGTCTCGCCTGGCGGGCGTATACGAGCAAGGCCAAGGCGCCGGCGAGGGCGATGATGATGAGGCTTTCGATGAGGCCGTCATCGATCTCGTCCCACTCGTCGGCGCCGTAGACGTCTCCTTCGACTCTGCCCGCGCCGCCTCCCCCTTGCTGTCCATGTGCGTGTCTGTCGGCGTATTCGGCGTTTCCACCACCACCAGCCATGCCACCTGGCTCGGCGTAGCCCAGAAGCTCGTCGTCTCCGTCCCGCTCTCTCGCCAGAGCCTCCGCCTCCCGCGCATCCATCTCCTCCGCCGCGTCCAGGAATCTGTTGACCCATTCGATCCATGTTTTGGGCCGCCTTTGTTCCTCGTCATCCCCTTCCTCGTCTTTAATACCATTGACCTTACCCCCGCTCACGCCGTTCCACCAACTTCGTAGCCTCAGTTTCGCCAAAGCCAATGTTACCGGTAAATACGCTTCTTTGTTCATCTCCAGTGCGAGATCGTAGTACCGCTTGGCCATGTGGAAGTCCTGCGTAACGCTCCCGATGCCGTTTTCGTGCATCCAACCGAGGTTCCAGAGTGCTTGGGCTGAATGGTGAGTCTCAGCGGCGGTTGTATAGCATGTTGTTGCTTTTTCCAGGTTGGATTTTGCTTCGCCGTTGTCGTCCGTCGGGAAAAGCGTGAGTGCTGCGCTGGCGGGCGAGGACAGGGAGAGATAATAGTCGCCCATTTTGATCAAGGAGTCGACGTTGGCTTGTTTGGCGGAGCGGGTGAAGTATACGAGAGCCAGATACGGATCGTTGAGCAGTTTGCTCTTCTTCGGACTCGGTTTCTTTGTCGAGAGAAGAGGAATACCCAAGTTTGGCAGTGAAATTACCGACGTCTTGTAATCAAGAAGGTGCGCCACGTTGGCTTGGGCATTCTCATATCCGTGCTCCGCAGCCATGATAGAGGCAACATACGCACGTTCAAAATCGCCTCTTTCGTAGGCCGAGTTTGCTTCCACGAAAGAGGAATGTAAGACTTCTGCCCTCTCAGCAACCACTTTATAGTAGGCGGCTGCGAGGCCGCAGTTTCGCTCACGACCAACTCCTTGGTTGGTGAGTTCGGCGAGATAGTAGAAGGACTCCATTACGCCTGCTCCCGCGGCGAGTTCAAAGTATCGTCCAGCGGTATCAATGTCCCCTTGGTCTAAGAAAAGCACTCCCAGCGCTGATTGTGCCAAAGGGAGAGACTGTTCCGCTGCGGCTTTCAAGTATGTGCCAGCACGGGCCCCGTCCTGAGGCACACCAAGGCCATCACGATACATCAAGCCCATGTGGTACTGAGCGAAGGAATCACCAAGGGCAATGCCTCGTTTGAACCAGGTCTGAGCTTTTTCAAAGTTTTGTTCCATTCCTTCACCACGGAGGAGCATGCGCCCAATATAGGCTGCTGCTTTTCCCGCTATACGTTCGATCCCCTTTGGTGCTTTCGGGGACACCTTGCCGTCTTTTGTCCAGTAGACTCTGGCAATTTTCATGAATTGACGCTGTGCTTTGCGGAAATTGCGCTTGTATCCCCGAGGGGCTTCGTAGTAGTGTTTGCCCAGAGTGATGATGGCGTTGAAGTCGCCTTGTCGTTCTTTCGTGTCGAGGTAGTCGAGGACATAGTCGATATGCGCTGCGGTGATGCCGTCTCGAGGAGCGTTGGGACCCGAGGAGCTAACACTCGCGCCTTCACCATAGATCCCTCCGTCAACTTCCACCCAACGGTATGAGTTGCGAACAAAGGAGTTGCCTCCAGGAGGCCCTGATTGCCAATATGTCATCGCCTTGTCGGCGACTCTTTTATAGTAGGAGACAGCCTTATCGCAGCTTCTGGGACAGCCAATACCCGCATGGTACCTGTACGCCAGCGTCATTTCGGACTTGATGTTTCCTTGTTCGGCGGCAAACGTGTGATATAGCAACGCCTTTGCCTGGTCTCTTTCCAAACCGCCAATGCCGGTAGCGTACATCAAACCCAACATGTACTGCGCCGTGGCATTGCCGTCCAAGTCAGCCAATTGGCGGTACCAGTAGTTGGCAGTCTCAAAGCTTCGCGGGTGAGAGAAGTTGCCATAGAAATTCATCTCAGCCAGCAGAAACATGGCGTCTGGGTCGTCGAAGGAGGCCGCCGCTTTGAGCGAATCCACGCCCTTCTTCAAGTCCCCTTTGACCTTCGGGGCATCGTTGTCGTCTCGCGTAGGTGTATTCATGAATAGAGCGCGGAAGATTATCCTCGTGTAATGCCATACGGTGCCCAGGAGGCCGGTCGGTCGTGCTGGGGTCACGCTGTCTTTCCATGTTGGTTCGAAATCCCGTAAAACCGACCATATCTCATGAACTATATCATTTCCGCCCTGCGCCCAGTAGTTTTGTCTCTGCTGCTCGTCAGGACGGGAGTCGAGCTGAGTGTCGACGAGTTCCGCTCTGGCAGTCGTTGAGGTCCGACTAGCGGGAATGAGGATAGCGGAAGCGATGAATAAAGCTGGAGGCAACAGTTAGACCCAGCGTCGGACTCCAGTAGGCGCATGACTTACAGAGGAGGATCGTGAAAATCCTACTGAATTTCCGAGCCATCATGGCACGTCGCATGTACGGGTCACCGACAAAACATCATGAATCCGGTAGAGGACGACCAGCGACAGCCTCAACAGTAGCTGGTTGACTATGTGCTTCCAGAAACAGAGTCAGTTAGGCGGCGGCAAAAAGTGGTCGCGTGAAGAAGCCAGACTGTCGCGAATCATTCGGAAGCGCAGCCGGCGCAATGACGCCGACCTCAGCCTTGCAGCCTCGAGTTCCAGCCTTCCAGGCGACAAGGCTGGCATCAGCAGGGCATCATTTAATAGTCAACACACCGTAAATGCAGAAGTTTGGCGGACTGTGCCATCATATTTTCATTAGTTGCTATGTTCTATGACTGTCAATTTCTTTACAGCATACAAAATAGACCACGGTCCAGCAGCGCCTGGCCTTCTCCTTTTTCCCTTCCTTTGCGCATCAGTAATACCCTCTGGCCTTCTTCGATGTTAGCAATCTTCTAATGCCAATCCCGCTATCCCGCTTGCTCGCCCTCGCACTCGTGCTTCGACTCACACCGCCAACTTCAGACTTAATCTTCTTCTGGCTGCCAGTTGAATCACTGTTGTCATCCATATCTTTGACCGGGCTCGGTGCATCGCTCGAGAAAGTCAAGTCAATAACCGGTGATCCTGCCGGAATCTGAGACAACCCTAACCCTCTCTGACTCTGCGACAGCTTGATGGCAGTCTCGCTTGGAGTTGAAAGGTCAGGGCTACTCGGTGGAGTCGGGCTCCTCAATTTCTTTTTCGTCGTATTGCGGAGAGATTTCCTAGTTGGCGCTGGGGGCGACACTCTCCTCGAGTGTGATCGGGTTCGTCCGTAGTGTCTTTGACTGGATATAAGTCCACTTTGGGAAGGGAGGTCACTGTCATCGTCATCACTACCAGAATCGTGGTACGAAGAATCTTGACCATCGTTGCCAAACCGTCCCAAAAAAGAACCTTCGTCCGCAGCCCCTTCGTCGTCTACCTCCGTACTTTGAGAGGGGATCGAGGCTTGTTGATATTGAGACTCTGGTACCTCGGATTCGAGCGAGACAGGCACGTCCTCTGATTGGCTCGGGTTCTCATTATTGAGGTCCTCAGCATCCAATTCATTCTTCTTACCATCCAAGTCCTCCTTGGTAGCGTTCCCTTGTTCAGAAGCAATGGAAGATAGGTCAAGCACCGGAGTTAATGAGACTTTCTGTGCATCCTGATGTGAGCTGCTATTGGTGGTGCGCGGAGGTTCCGAAGAATTAATGTCCATTTGAGAGATATGAGGATACTCAACGGTTTCTTGAGTTGAGATGTATGGCGAAGAAGTTGGAGGCAACTTGGAACCTCTCGAGGGGTCAGCGTCACCACGGCTGTCGTTGGAATTGGCGTTGGTGTCCACATCTGATGAAGTCTTCAGATCCGACGAAGAAAAATTAACGCGCAAATTAACGCGAGGTGACCTCAGCCGAAATCTGTGAGGATATTCTCCCTGCGACTGGGTCGATTCCTCGACAGGGCTAGGTGCATCTTTAGCGCCATGAGCAGCAGGGTTAGGGATTGGTTCCAGTAATTCTTCGTCTAGACCTGAGTGGAAGCCGGCCTCCATGATGATCCCATTTATCTCTTCTTTGCGAGGGCTATCGATTGTCTGCGCAGCTGCATCTGGTTTGTCTGCCGCTTGGGCCTCAACAGTTTGTCTCGCTGACTCAGGAATGACAGCAAACTGGTCTCCCGTCGACGACATGGGTGCTTCTCCGCCTCTGGGACCGATGATATGGCTGCTATTGGGAACTTCGACTACAGAGGCTTTGAGCAGCTTCGCCGAGATCATATTTGAGAATGACATTTCACGAAGCCCATCATCAGCTTCATGTGGATCTTCATTCGCCAGCTCGAACTTGCCGTAGACTCTTTGGCCTGTTTGTGGGTCGATTTTGCCCTGGGAGTCTGCGGCCACTGAGCCCTTAGTCAGCTGAACGTGCACAGTGCCGTCTTCATCCACTTCTGACACTTCAGCGACCCTGTAGGGGGACACTTCAGGTTGATAGTTTGTCGAGGCATCGACGTGCAATTCTTTGTAGACAATAATCGCCCCGGGCAGGATTTGTGCCTGGTCAAGTTCTGGAAGGCCATCAAAGGAGTCTCCGACTGGCACATCCTCTGCATTTCCATCTACTGTGAGCAGAGCATGACCACTGGGGGCGCAGGCCTTGATATCAGAATTTAGGCTTGCAACTTCAGGTGCAACGGCACCTTCATCCTTCTCGTGAGGCCACCCGTTTCTGCTTTGATAGAACTGGCTTTGATCACGTAGTTTGCGCTTGTTTTTGGCTGGCTTTGCCCAGCCTTGCTCAAATGGAAATGGCGGCGGCGGCAAACAATTCTTAGGCTCTTCGCATTCAACTGCCGCGACAATCAAATTTTTCTTCCATGAATCATAATCTTTTTCCGCAGCCAATGGCCTTTGTGAAGGTTCCAAAGCACTGCTGTCACAATTGCTCTTTTGATGTTTTGGTTGGCGACTGGTTTGGGATAACTTCTCCCTCAATGCTTGCGCCTCTTCGGCGGTCTTGGGTGCTCTCAGGCCAAGGGACCCGAAAACGAGACGACGAGTACTGGCCACGTCGAGCCTAGCCCTCTTTAGAGCCGACTCTGTGACAAGGGGCTCGATCTGAGATGCCTCCGGCATTTCGAGCCCAGCGGATGTAGGCCCGGCAGGGGCGTCGTTGCTTCCAGTTGATTCTGCGTTTTTCGAAGGCTTCACATTCTCTTCCCCGACCTCGTCCATGGCTGATTTAGCCGCCACTTCCTCGACTTGGCGATCAGCTCGTTGCTCGACGGCGTGTTCTTGTTCTTCTTCCATCTTCTGTTGTTGCATGGACTCATACTTCGCTAGATCTTCAAAACTGGCATTCTCTGGTAGCAACCCCTGCTTCTTAAGCTGATTGAGCCGCTTCCTTCTTTTGGCCCTGTCATTGTTATGGTGCGTCCTATTTGTCCCCTGGAAAGGAACGCCTACCGATGGCTTCGCCGGCTTTCCTTTAACGCCTTTGGTCTGCAAGGTCGTTGAAGAGGAAGCTGTCTTGAACTCGGCCGACCTCTTTGTGTTTCTCTCTTCTACCTCGGATTCAGATTCGGATTCGGATTCGGATTCAGAGGTTTCAAAATCTGATGACGAAGCTTCCACCGAATCAGACTCAGATTCTGAGCTGGAGGTAATATCATTGTCACTCTCATCCTCCTCGGAATCAGAGCTTGATGATGTGCTGGGGTCAATATCACCATCTCTGATGAGGCTCAAAGCTCGTTTCTTGGCTTGCTGCATGGCAGTATCTTCCATAGGGCTATCGGCCTCAGAGTCAGAGGTTGAGATATCGGAGCTCCTAGTCGTATCTGAATCCTCGGAGTCGTCCTCATCATCCTCGATAGCGTTTCCCGCACGCTTTTCGGCTCGCCGATCTGCAGTCTTCCTCATCATGCCGTTTCGGCTTTCGGCTTCGTCGTCCTCTAGGTTGGTCCTACCATCATCTCGAGCACTGGACAAGCGATTGAGCCCGGCGTATGAACTGCATACAGGAGTGGAGAACCCTTCAAATGCCTCATTTTCATGCTCTTCGCCGTCGTCTCCGATGTCTCTTTTTCTCTTCAGCTTTCCGTCGAGGACTTGCATTGCAATGGACATGTTGGCAGCTTGTTCAATCTCGGCCGCATCTTCCAGTAGATTCTCAAGCTCTGAGGAGAGATTCTCGCCTTCATCTTCGCCGTTCAGCTCGAATTCGTCTTCCGAGTCGGCGTCTGTGTCATCGAAATCTTCTCTGACAGTGAGTTGCAATTCTGGCTCATCAGCGTCCGCATCGGCTTCAACCACATAATCATGATCGTTTTCGTCGTCCTCGTCTTCTTCACAACTCTCAAAGAGCACCAAAGCATCCATGCCATCTGCCTCCTCAACATGAGCGGGGAGAATGCGCTTTGCGTCCTCCTCGCCCGCAACACCGACATCCTCATCAAACAAAATCTTCCTCTTCTTCCTGGGCGGGATCACGATACCCGGCCTCTGTGTATGCTTCAACCACTGCTTCCCGAATGCCACGCCATCAATCAGATGTCTGCCGTCGCCCGTAATCTGATGCCGTCCACCTAATCTCCTGACCCTTAGATCCTCATTTCCCAGCGCCCTGATCACCACCTCATCATCTTCTCTCAGCACAGAGTGTAGGATTTGAAAGTGCAAGCACTCGTACGTCAAGTTTTGCTCTACAGTGGCCGCGATTTCGACGGCGTAGTCTTCGAGGCCCCATTCGCCGTCGGCAGACTCGAGGGGCACGAGGTCATTCACGTCGGCGAGGAGGTCAGCGATCGTGGCGGAGCGGGACTTGGTATGCGAGGCGGGGCCACTGCCTGTCGTGTGAATTATGGTAACAGGTGGGAGGGAGTGGCGTTGGATGAGGAGTTGAAGCCGCATCTTTGACGTTGGCAGGTGCAAAGAGTGCACGCAGCCGCCGTCAATGATTGCGGAGGAAAAACGAGGAAAAGTGAAATGTCTGTGTGGTCTACTCGGTAGGACCAGGCTCATCCTCACCACTGACGCAGCTTGCAGATTCAGGTCGAGTCGATCGCCGCTGCGATGCCAAGCCGTGCCGCGATTTAGCGACTAGCGCGACGAGGCTGAGATTTGCTGCACCTCGGTCTATGTTCCAAAATCCCCCCAACACTGTCACCCTTCCCCTCCTAGCTTAAACTGATTCTTCAATGAAAGTTAGTATTCGAGTAATCATCTTTCGTTGTGGAGAACAACTCCTTCTCGCAGGGTTCTTATAGTTAGGAGTTGAACAAGAGTTCTGCAACTAACAAGTCTACCTGATTACAAGGGGGACGAATCAGAAAGGAAGAAGAGAGGTCTTCTGCATTTATATACCCTTCGCTTCAGCTTCCAACCGTGCTGCTTTTCTGCGACGAGTAGCGGTTTTTTTCAGATATCCGCAGAGAATGGTCAACTAAAATGGCCAATGATCTACCCCTGTGAGGAATTCTATCCGGTAGACTTGCCAGCGTGATTGCCAGATAGGTGTAACGTCTACCTCTCGGTACGGTTTATTGTACATTTAAATGTGATCGATCAAGGATCTCAGGGTTAGCAGACACTCTTGCTGTAGGTCAAGGGAGATGTCAAGATTCGAGTCATTCTCATCGCAGCCTTCGTCGGCAGGCGGAACAGATACATAGGAAGCAGCAGCGGCAGCATTCAGACATTTTTCCACTACCCCTGTATATGCTCTCCCCATACAAAACCTGAGCTCCTCGGCAACTCTCCCACTTTGCGCACTGTATAGGAAGTTCTCCTTCTCGGAAAATATCGATTCCCACTCGGCGATCCCTGTTGGATTGAGATTTGTGGATCGCCGAGGCAGACGGTAGTGTGACGAGTTGCTAGTTGAGTCCAAATGCTTCCTTGTCCAATCTAGTATCATCGTCAACAATGGCCTCCAAAGGCCGATTTCCAGCAGAACACATCCGAGACTGTAGAGATCAAAGGCTTTACAAAATGGAATTCGATCCTCGCTGAGGGAGAGTGGGTGACGATATAGGCGAGAATGTTCAAATGCTCCCGGGGCCTCTGTCGTTTCGAGCATGTTGTCCCATCTGGCGAATTCATAGCCTCCGAGGTATGCTTCTGGAATATTCTCGAGACTTGACCAATCTGCTTTCCTACTTTGGAAAAACAAGACGTTGTCTGAGCGTATTGACTTGTGCAACCACCCGGCAGTGTGTAGCTGCAAAACCGTCTCGGTCAACGCTGAAGCAATCACCAGTCTCTGATTGATACTAGGGCGCAAAACGTCTCCCGCCACAAGGTCCTGAAGAGTTCGCAATGAAAACTCGTCGTCCTTAGGCGGTTGAAAGATGTACGCATATCGTAAAGTCTTGGGCTCTTTCAGATAACCGATGCATTTGAGAGAATGAAATGTCGGACTATTCAACCCTGACAAGAGATCAGCGACTGCTGCAATCCGGTGTTTGAGTCGTCGTTCTGTATGCTGGGGTAGAGTTTTCCATTCTAGAACAACCTTTTGGTCGTTATAGCTGGCCACTTCATGGTACAGCGTTTGGTCAGCTATTGACGAAGATCGTCGAAGAAACTTGAAATCACGCCTCAAGTCTCTTCCCGGAGACGCCTGTCTCGGGATCATCGATGGTCCTGAAGGGGAGAGGGAAGATGTCGGTCGATGGGTTCGTGAAGGCGTCAGCCAGCCCTGGCCGTTCGGACCATCGTCCAGAATTTCCAAAAGCAGCGATCTCTGTTTCAAGCGAGCGGAGGCCTGAATGGCACTATCCAAAGCATCCAACTTGTTGGTGATAATCTCCAGGAGGTCCTTGTCATTAGTCAGGTTGATGAGAGATCTTAAGGTATCACAGGAATTACCAGTGTATTGACCCTGTTCTGTCCAATGGAGGGTGCTACGCAGTTGCTCGTTGAAGAATTGAACATCTCGGATCAGAGTCTCAAACTTTGTCTGATCAAATATCGCCCACTTGAACTTTTTCCACGGAGAAGTCCGTCGTTGATAGACTCTAGCGGTGTCATTGAGAAATTCTTTGGTGGCATTATTGCTGAAGATCTTAATGCCTCGAAACAGCCTCTTAGAGTTGTGCAGCTCTTGGATTTCATCCGCGGTTATCTCAATCTTTAGGCCATAGTCATTCTGCAACGTGTCTGCATCCGTCAGGACTTGTTCGAGGGTTCGAAGCGTCTTCTCGATGAGAACCAGGTTTGGGGTGTTCAGCTCTGGAGGCTCTTTGAACAGGCCAGCCAGTGTGGCCCAGCGATGGAGGTGGTAATGCTGCCACTCCAATTGGCAACCGAAGATCTCAGCTCGCCTCCCAAAGCCCTGGGCAGCGGACAACAGAATGAACCCTTTCACACATCCATCAAACAACTGTACCGAGAGCGAGACAAATCCGGCAATACTACTTGCAAATTCTGCCATCGTATAGCAGTGGATGCTAAGAGCCTCGTTGCGGTGACCAGGCAGTGCAGCTGTGGCAGTGCTGTCCCTTTTAAGCAGGGAGGTGAAGTATGTGACTGTCCTCAGGCGTCTGCAGGGCAAAAGATCCTCGCTTAGACTGGATCAGGTGCCCAGAATTGATTGGCTTTGCCCTGATGAACCAGGGGAGTGAGTTTGTGATCTCCGTTGAAATTGGGCGCACAGGCAAAGACAAGTTCCTATTCCTGGTTACACAGCGTCACCTAGGCATGATCCTGGGGGCGCTAGCCAGGCGATTTCAGCCTGACCACTTTTCAATATACGGAAGAAGATTCCAGCCTAATTCACTTCTTGACTCTCTCCAAACTCGACCGTGAGAAATCGACAATGGAACCATCTCGACCTCGATCCAGCGGGGGCCAGCCGCCCGAAGAAGAGAGGCTAGCCAAATTGCTTCGTCCTGCTGGTGTGAGCTCTTCATCCGGACCATTAGATGATAGTGTGTTCGACCAGATTGCTCTAGAAATGAAAGTTGTTGGCCTACCGAAAGAATGGGTTAGCCGTCCAAGGACGCACTTTATTCTGCATCAAATCAAGAGGACCAAGTTGATGGGAATGTTCATCTTCCAAGGCTACGATGATACCTGCATCCCTTATGCCAACCGAAGCGCATTACCCCAAACGGAATCTCAAAGCTTGAATCCATTCGAAGCAAAGGCATTCCTGGAATGGCAAAGTGTCTGCAAAAGTCCACGGCTTCAACTGGAAAAGGGAAATCACTGCAAGATCGATGACGGTGACATCTTGTTTGAAAATTCACCACGGCCACGAATACTTGGGAACGGAAGCGAAATGTGAGTACAGTCTATGTCATACAAATGGCATTGCAAACATTAGCATAACGAGAAGCTAAGTTGCTCTATGCACAGGAGAACAGTTGTCGACGAGGTCATAAGCAAAACCACAGGCAGAGTCTATGCGCGAAAGCGAATTACACGCAGAAAGCTGCCCCGAGAGGCACAAAAGGCATTTGAGAGCGAACTTCGAGCCTTGACAAAGGTCAAGAACCACGAGCACCTCATCCAAGTTTGCGGTATGTATACCGACAAGAAGTACTTTGCTCTACTGTTAGAGCCGGTAGCCGATCGCACTTTGAAACAGTACCTATCTTCTGGCCACCCTAAAACTCAAACGGAACGAAGCATCCTTTGCACATACTTTGGATGCATGGCAAAAGTGATGGATTTCCTTCATGAGTCCGAAATGATCTTACACAAAGACATTAAGCTAGAAAACTTTCTGCTCAAAAACGGCCGGCTGATCCTGACTGACTTTGGAACCGCCTTCGATTTTTCTGAGACTGGTCACAGTATGACCATGGCTAATCGCGATGACGCGAGAACACATCGCTACAGCAGTCCAGAAGTAGCCAATGAGGGCAGATTCCATCGAGCATCTGATATCTGGTCCCTCGGAGTGGTCTATTTGGAGATGACAACAGTCCTGCACGGCAAGAAATTGGCAGAGTTTGACCTCTACCTAAACAGTCATGGAACAAGGTCCACTCGTGTTCATGCTAATAGGGAAGCTGTTCTAGGATGGTTTCAAGAACTGAAATCCCAGACCTTTACACCAGCCGACAACGAGCCTCTGGCTTGGGTTCAAAGAATGCTTGAGCGAGCCATGGACAGCAGACCCACAGCCGTAGAGCTGTATCTAACCGTTCGCTCCTCTCAGAATGGGAGGTTTTGCGGATCATGCTGCCTCGAGCAGGAGTCGGAGACTGAATCGGAAAGCTCGCAGTCGCCATTCGCCAAGTGACGATGAAGAAGAAACAGAGCTTCCTGGGAAAACTCAGCCAAATAACATGCTCACCACGGCTCAAAGGAAACTCCCTGGGTCATATCCTTCGGAGCCAATGACTTCCGGCTCTGAACTTTCATTCTACGAAGCCCAACAAACGCCAATAACAGAACTCGATCCCGAGCCATATCCTCCGGAGCCAACGACTTCCGATTCTGAACTTTCGTTCTACGAGTCCCAACAAACGCCAATAACAAAAAGCGATCTCGACGACATGCATCAGACACCTACACCCCACCAGCGAACCCAAAGTGGAGGGGGAGTCCGGCCGACGTGGATACAACAGACAATTTGGAAGATTGCAAATACAGTGGTTAATCGCGCTTCAAATCGGCAGAAATCGGTCAAAAGAGAACCGCGGGAATCTCGAGACTCAGCCTCCCGCAAGCGAAGCGGATCGAGTCGAAGTCGAAGCCGACAGATCAGTGGGAAGGGAAACGACGCTATATCACATTACCAGACTGTCCGGCAACAGCGCATTAACCACTATTTAACGTCTCTGCCGGCCAAAAACCAAGACTTTGAATACGTTTCTGAATATCATAATGAGGAACCTTCATTACCTCTTCCACATCGAGACCCAGAGTCAGAGAGACAGACTCCCTTAAGATTCGCAAGTCAGGACAATCTCCACTCCAGGGCGAATCATGATCGATACCGTCACGAGCAATCTTCTGACTTTCTCCCATCGACTTTCATTCGCTACCCAAGCGATGGGGATCTTAGGCGAATGTATGATTCCCTCGAGGACCACCGGCTTGACGTCGTAAAAGACTTAAAGAGGTTCAGTGCGAGTTTCGTCTTATTGCCATCCCTCTATCAGGACGTTGATGTTACCTCCGAGCTTGCCAAAAATAATGCAACATCCGAGGAGCAAAGCGGAGAACATACTGAACCACTAGGTGAAGGTGTTGCAGAGAATCCTAGTGAATCCACAACTTTTAATGACAGGTCGCATAGTGACGGGGCAAGTGCGAGCCATAAGCCTCAGGAGAATGAAGACAAAGTGCCTCTAGATCACACCAAACCACACGCACTTGACAATGATATGCCCGGGCTTGGAAAACAAGAGCCTTCTCCTCCAGGTGACTGGCCTGGAGCTACGGCAGAAGGTCCAGGTATCATTAGAGACGAAAAGGCCGATACTGTACAGGAGCAATCCGTCGCACAGACTGAAATACTCCAAAACAATGTGGAGCAGCCAACATGTATGAACATAGTTCGGCCAGGCGTCATGACTGCAGAGAAGCCGTCAGCGGAAGGCGAATTGCTAGGGCCAGGAGGGGAACAAACACTTACCACGAGCAACAATCAATCTAGTCCCAGAACTGTACAGCCAACGTCTATGGCAAATGCCAATGCTCTCAGCCCGGCGGAAGAGTCAGAAACTCTTCAAACCCAAGAACTGGCATCTAGTGGCTCGGAAGGTTCTCCAACTGTGCAATCTCTGGGATCGTTCCTGGAAGGGGCTCCTGGGACTGACAGAATTGGGCGCAAGTGGGAGTCAGCGACGGTCATTATGAAACGGATTTTGGACGATAAAGCAACCACGACACCGACCTCGGTCATGTCTTTCAACACGAGAAAACTTTTGGGAGTAAGTCGACCTGTAATGATATGGAATGACGAATTTTACGGTTATCTACCCTGTTTCGTGTCCCAGGGTAAGGTGTCCGCCGTACGCGAACTTCTCGCTGTCGGCTGCAACCCAGGTCGGGCTGGCAAGCCCAGGTGGGTGCCAATGCTCAATGCAGTTCTGGGGAGAACAGAAAAACACAACAAATGCCTGATTGCTCTGCTTCAGAGCGGCGCAGATGTAGGCGCCAAAGACCCGAGCAGCGGCAAGACGTATCTACACTTCGCCATTGCGCAGGAACGGTGGTCTGGATATTCGACTACGGTGTACATTCTGCTCATGGCCAAGGCAAATCCAAACGCCAGAGATAAGATGGGCAACACTCCCTTACTGACACTTTTAACCGGTAATGGACCACTACTGAAAGAGGAGCGCGATGCCTTGATGCTCCTGCTGGCCCCCAATTTCGGCACCAAGATATACGTGAGGGACCCCAATCTCGGTGAGAATGTCCTCCACCTAGCAATCAGGAGACGCGATCCGTACGCACTCGACGCGGTCTTCAGTACGATCTATGACAATGAACTCAAGAAGTCAATGCTCCAGGAATTAAATGCCAGCGGCTTCACACCGCTCCTTCTCCTGGTAAACGTCTGCTCGTTCCACACGGAAGAAGCGGCCGTGAATGCCACACGACTGCTTGAACTCTTGCTCGAGAACGGCGCGGATCCGGACGACAAGGACTCCACGAACGGCGACACCGTTCTGCATTGCGTCATAGGCGTGCACCGGAGCATCGAGGCGTTTGAGCTCCTGCTCAAATACAATGCGAACCCCTTGGTGCAGAACTTCAGTCACAAAACAGCCAGCGCGCTGTTACAGGAAAAGGCCCGTGATCATCCTTCTGATCGGTGGTACGCACAGGCCGTGCGGAAAGTGAGTGGGTTAGGGCAATGGAATACACCAGGACCCGCACCAGCTGTTTCGCGAGGATCAACTCGATTCGACTCCTGACGGAGAGAAAAAAGTTCATACACATTGTTCTCTGTATTTTCTCCTTTGGAGGCACAGAGGCATGGTCTTGACGAATCATTGTAGAATAGGCGAAGGCTGATACAGCCAAATGGTTCCCGCGGGACGAAAAGGGGGGGAAGGGGGGTTTTTTTTCCAGCTCTCAACGCACTTGCAAAATGCTTTGTGTTCACAATAGTCTAGGCCATTGGTGGGCTCATTGCCCTGCTGTCAGGCTGTGGACAATGCTCAGCTCTCCCGTCCTTGGTTCCGGGGAGATCGACCGGTCAAGCATCGGTTTCGCAACTGCGCCGCCATCTCAGCGAATCTCAGCGTCGAGGAGGCGTCGGTATCGTCTGGGGTCCGTAGCACCTCCGGGCTGCCATCAGGATCGAGAAATTAAGAAAAACCGAGCTGTTTGCCAGACGTGGAGAAGAATCCCGAACTGTATTTCTTCATTAGAGAGTTTCAATGTTCAAAACTCCTCGTAATATCGCATGTCTTAGGCCTTCCCATTACTCCCGCTTCTGTCGACAAGCCGCATGTTATACAACTTAAAAACAATTCCCCCCCCCCCGGGCCAGGACCATGCAAAGTAGAAAATTGCTGTGGAATTGGACATTTCAGCTCAAGAAGCGGTGACGATAAAAGGAGATCTCCCGAACGCGGTAGGCGGTGATTCAGGTGGCGTTGACTGAACCTCCCTGAACGAGATGTGGACGCTCATCCCGGCCAATTTGCTCTCCATCTCGGCCAATCTGCGCTCGAGGTCTTTGATCTTTTGCTCCATCGCACTCACATCGGTGGTTGTTGTTGTCTCTTTTACACCGGGCGAGACGACAGGTGCCTCCGCAGCGCGCGGTTGAACTGGAGCAAGGACTTGGACAGCGGCCTTCTCCTCTGGAACTGGAGCAGTCAATGGTGCAGGTGCGTCTCCATTCATCGGCTTGTTGCCGTCGATGTCTGCAAGGAATTTCATGGCTTCTTTCCTTACATCATAACCGAAGAAAAATTGGCAAATCGGTGGGCTGTGCGGCATTGATCCCGTCGGTGGCAGAGGGCCGGAGTAATACTTTCGAATTTCGGCTTCTTGCTTGGCATAGTTGGCCGCAGCTTGTGGTCCGGGAACGACAGGATCTGTCAGGATCTGTGTTGCAGAGACTCGGGGTAGGCGGAAGGCTTCAAACTGGGCCAAACGCTGCAACAGCTTCTGTGACGGAGCGGAAGCGACATCTCCGGTGGCGGGGACATCGGCGAGGAAGAGCTCGAGAGCGGCAGCATCTTCGATGGAGGACGATACACCTTGAGCGTGAGTCAGGAGCATCGGGTGGCAGGCGTCGCCGATCAAGACAGCTTTTCCCTTGGTCATTTTGCTTAGAGGATCTCGCTTCATCTGCGTGTAGACCTTCACCTCCGGTGACTTCAAGAAGACCTTTTTGACGGCCGGATGGAAACCATCGAGAACTTTCTCCAGGTCCTCGTGTGTAGCAGGGAAGTTCCAGTCCTCGATAACCACGTCATCTTCACTCGATGCATGCTGGCCGAGTTTTCGGTGCACAGCCAGCACATTGAGGATTTCGTTGTTTCTGCAAGGATATGTGACGGCCATAACACCTTTGGATGGTAAGGCGGGGGCCCAGAACCCGGGCGGCTGATTCTCAAACAGAAATTGGGTCTCCTCATCCGCGAGGATTTCCCTCATGGGTATGAGACAGCGATATGCTGTCTGGCCGCTCCTCTTCATCGGGACCTCCTTGCCGGTAATCTTCGCGTTTAAGCGATCCTAGGAACAAGTCAGAAACTTTGTTGCAACAAGGTCGGTGATGAGCAATGCTAACATGCTGGCCATCAGCTATGATAACAAGATCTTTTTGCACTCTCGTCCCGTCCTTCAATGATATTACTCCCGTCTCAGGGTCGACATCCATGACCTGGTTTCCCAGCCGGATGATCGTCCCAGCTTCTTCGGCTTGTTCTTTTAGACGGCGGTGCATGTCGACTCGGTGATAGAAGAACCACTTGTTGCCATATAACTGTTCCACATTGGAGAAGTTCAATGTAGGAGCCATTGGTTCCAGGGTATCACCCTTTGGTCGACGGACCTGGAAGGGTTTGTCAGCTGACATCTTTGACTAGCGGGCAAGGATTCCAGCGGCCGAGATAGACTAATCGTATCTCCTAGAAACCCCGGATCTTCTTCCATCCAACCCACCTGAATATTCTCAATCCCTCCGGCTTTGATCGGGTCGAACCCCCAATGCTCCAGAACCCGTGTACCATTTGGCGGGATGGACACGGCAGCGCCATTTTCGTTCTTGAACTGTGAGCGCTCAAAGATCTGGGCGGAAAAGATCAGTTTCTCTCCGATTACCCATTCCGAAACAAAATATAAGAGGTATTGTTCTGGAGAGATGAAGTTCACTGACCTCGACATCATGCCCGATTTTTCTCAAGGCGATGGCGGCGCTCAATCCAGCAACACCAGCGCCGCAGATTCCCACTTGCAAAGCGCCCGCAGCGGACATACTGAAAGCTATATTGGGCGAGGGTGCTGAGGCTCGTTCGAAGTTCGTTCTGCAGAAATCAAGGTTGACAAATTAGTGAACAAAGGAAAAAAGGACAACTAGGCTGGGGTCGACCAGAGATTTTGAATGCGGCGGCTCAGCAAAGGAGAAAGCACCACTTCAGGTGTGATGGCCTGAAAGTTACTTATTATATCGCCTCGTGCAGACCACCTACTTACCTTGTCCTCCGAACTGTAGGTTTCAAACTTAAGGAGACCAAGCGAAGTGGTTTCTCCTGCTAGTGGCTTCGACACTGGGCACCCGTGAGGGAGGCTGCGGAGGAGATGGTGATGAGCGAAGTTCCTTGACCCCTAACAGCCTGCAGTCAGCCATTTCGAATGATTCTAGCCCACACCGCCCTGCCGAGGATCGAAAAGTTGATGGACCACAGTCAGCGTCAGACTTTCGGGCTATCGATTCGTAGATCCTCCAATGATGTGATTTGCAAGAGGCGCAAAAGGAACCTGGAAGAAGTCAATATGTGGAAACTGGCGATGACCAGAAAGGGTTGGCCTGGAAAGCCACCAGCTTAGCGCTCGGGGCTCCCAGCGCATGGATAGGCCTACCCGGTACCTAGGCCCCCCATGCTTTGAAGAGCCGAGACCAAAAGCCTGGGACGGTGGAACCTGCAAGATATCTGTACCCAGTACCCAGTACAAGCAATTGATTCCTTTGCAGACTCTTGCTGGCTGACATTGTGCTCAGCAGTATCATTTGTGTCGAGGGCCAAAATGTGTGATAGTTAGAGGACCTGCTTTCGTACATACAAGTACACAACTTCCACGCGCTGACTGCGGACACAAGGTGAACAAGGAAGTATCTGCTGATACCTGTGGAGCCCCCGTAACCGTCAAGCCACTTTAGCAGCGGCTGAGTCCATGCGTCAGCTGGACAGAGACAGGGGTGGTCTAGAGCCTCCGATAGGGCTTGGAAGACAAGTTGGCTGGCTGATAAGAGGCAATCTCCCAATCTCCACGTGGAGTTGGTTCAACGTTTCTGGCCGAAAAGAGGCGTTTGGCGATGGCGCATAAGCTGCATCTGGAACTAAAGCTAATTTAATGAGCGCCAGCCGAGGACCAAAGGCGACCGGGAAGCTCCTACTGTACTGTACGAGGCTAGGAGGCGAGGTGGCTCCTTAGGCACGCCAACTAGAGTCCGGGGACTAGTCAAGGCCTTCCAAAAAGAAATCCGTCCAATTTTGAGGGGCAGGCAGGGGGAAAAAGATTTTTCGCATGCGGGCAGATGCGGGCTGTTGTTGCGTTTTGTGACGAGGTAAAGGGGGGCTGTGGTGGCTTGAAACTTTCGTTGTACGGGCAGCTATATTTTTTATCCCAATATATTCCGTAGCCTTGATGAACAAAAACAAACGTCAATGTCGAGAGCGCAGGATGGGGTGATGCTGAAGACAAGGAGGCTCAATGCTCAATTTCACCCCCCGGAGCTGGCCGACTGCCGAACCTGGAGAGCCGGTGGCCGAGCTTAGTACCCAGTACGAGGGACTTGCTTGTGAGCACCGAGTACCCAGTACCGACTAAGGTCCGCAGCAGATGAAAGGAGCCAGATTGAGCTTATCTCGCCTAAGTTCAGCAAGCCTCAGGAAGTTGCTCACTGACGCTGTTCGTACGCTTGGAAGTTCAGCTTACCTAAACTAAAGTCGGACATGCAAACACCCCCTCAAGTTACCAACTGCCAATGCCTCCCGTACACTAATTGCAGAGCCATGTCTCTAACGAAGTGTCTCAGAGCGTCGGAAGCCTTGCCTGACTGTGGATCTGAATGAAGTGAGCCTCGCTGCTCAGACATATACAGTAGAATACTAGGTAGCTTCATGGGGATTTTCTAGACGATCTGCAGTAGCTGGCAGTTGGCGCTTACCTGAAAAAGAAGTCCGTACCCTATACCTATTACCGGGAGAGTTGGAGGTGCCTCCAGAGTGTGGGTTTGATCACCAAATCCGATGTTACATGTCTTCGTTCGACATCCCACTGCCTCCTTGCCCCTCTCCTGCAAACCTGAGCAGCCAAGGCTGACCCAGTCTGGCGGACTCGCAGGGCTACCTCGTACTCGGTACAGGCAAGCCTGCCGACCTTCGGGTTATCGAAGATTGAACGTTTAAGGTGGCTGTTGAAGCATCCTCTTCAAGAAGAGCCTATTAATCCCGATGCTCACAGCTACTGCTCGATACCCATACCATGCGGGGTCTGTCATCTGTTATGTCTGGCTGCAACTCAATGTGTAGCGTCTCAAGATTCTCGGACCGAGGTGGCAGTAATATGGCCCTGAAGGCATTTATTTGATCCTGACCAAACGGTGTCCGGCGCAGCCTGAGATGCTTGATGGACGACCGTGACAGTGTCCGCTAACTTCGATTCCGTCCTGGCCGAGTCACGGCACGAGGACAGTCGATCAGCTCCAAATTGAGAGTGGACTTCTTGATGATAAACGGGAGTAGAAGGATATATGCTCCAAAGTCAGGGTCTGCAGCCCTTTCCATTCTGCTTTCCTTTCCTTTGTCCCTCCCCAAGATGCAGGGGGGTCAAATTGCAATCCACTCTCTGCGGGCTGTCGAATCGCCAAGCCGGTGAGGGTGGGGTTGGACCCAAGGTTTCGTTGACGACGGTCGTTTTGCGAGACCTTCTCATTGCAACGGCAGAAGTGGCAGAGAGGTAAAGAGACAACAAGGCAAGGAGGTTTGGATAGTCAAGAGGGTATGTATGTAGCAGGAACAGGAGGCAAAGGAGGTAGGTTAACCGCCTCGCCGCCAGCCTTGCCCACACTAACCCTTTTTGTCCTAGACTTCGTAAGCCTTGTAAGTCTCAACAACATACCAAACATACAAAACCATAATGTGCGAAGCTCCCAGCATCGACGATGGCACCATGTTCAAATAGAAAAGAGATGGCCGGTTCGAAATCAACCCTGGCAATTATTCCTGCCCTTGGCTGCAAGCGCAAATTGCCCGAGTCAAGAAAGACTGCAACCACTACACCTCCGGGAGAAAACCGGGTCAACCCTACCTAGCAAGCTAGGTATGCCGAATCAACTACATAACGAGACCAGAATTCTTCACCTTACTTACAATACGAGCCTTCTCCAACACATGATGAAGCCGAGCTATGTCCATTCTTGCAGCCCTCGGGCTTCAGGAACTTGTGATGAAACTCCTCCAACAAACCCCCGCACGGGAGGTAATTTGGGTTTCGACACAGCGCCATGAGCGTCTTCTCTCCAACGCCAAAATGTGGGGTGTGAGCCTATGAGGGTGTTTGTCTTCTGCATGTTAATGTCTGTGTGGAATAGCCATCCCGGCGATATAAAGTTGAAGTGCCGACCCAGACACTGAGCCTTTTGTCATCCATTCGGGACTCCTCAGCCGACGATTCTATCCAGATCCCCATTTGCGAATTCAGAATCTTGACAACGTGCAACAAGGTCAGGTCAATTCACTTGCATCTACCGTAAACAAAAGTTCGAGAATCAGACAGAGCTTTCGCGACCCCAGCAAATATGGCGCCAAAAACCTTGAGCGACTTAAAGCGCAAAGACCTGTTTCAGACGAAAGGGTACATCAATGAGAGCTGGGTCGATGCAGCCTCGGGCAAAACATTTGACGTTTATGACCCTGCTACACTGGACAAAATCGCAACTCTCCCCGAAATGGGTGCCGAGGACACCAATAAAGCCATTGAAGCTGCACACGAGGCCTTCCAGACTTTTAAAAAGACAAGCGCACGCCAGCGCGCAAGGTGGTTGCGGAAATGGAGCGACCTCTGCCTAGAGAACATCGACGATCTTGCATTGATTCTGACTCTCGAAAATGGAAAAACCCTTGTCGAAGCCAAGGGCGAAGTCACTTATGCGGCTTCATTCCTCGAATGGTTTGCTGGCGAAGCCGAGAGGGTCCATGGCGAGGTTGTCCCCACGGCCAACTTAAATCAACGCATCTTGACGTTCAAGCAACCTATTGGGGTCGCTGCTTGCCTAGCTCCTTGGAACTTCCCAATTGCCATGATCACGAGAAAAGTCGGCGCAGCGCTAGCAGCAGGATGCACCACGGTGTGGAAACCGGCCGGGGAGACACCGTTGAGTTCGCTTGCACAAGCCGTTCTCGCGCACGAAGCTGGGTTTCCCAAAGGCACCATCAACGTCATCACCACGCTCAATCTTGTCAACGAAGTCGGCGAAGCGCTGTGCAAGAGCAGTTTAGTCCGAAAATTGAGCTTCACGGGCAGTACTCGCGTCGGCAAACTCCTCGCAAGACAATGCAGTGATAGTCTTAAGAAACTGTCACTCGAACTGGGCGGGAACAGCCCATTTATCGTGTTCGACGACGCCAAACTCGAAACCGCGGTGGAAGCTTGCATATTGGCCAAGTTCCGAAACTCTGGCCAGACCTGCGTGACGGCCAACCGGATTTTTGTACAAAAGGGCATCTATGCTCAATTCGCCGAAGCTTTGGCGGTCAAAATCAAATCTCTGAAGGTCGGCCCGGGAACTGAGGACGGGGTCTTCGTGGGCCCATTGACGCACGAGCGAGCCGTTGAGAAGGCGATGAACCACATTAATGGCAAGTGCAGCATCGGGTCGTTCTCCAACGAATGGTGGCTAACTGAAAACCAGATGCTAAGAAACACGGCGGACAGGTCATCCTCGGAGGAGAGCCGATGAAAGACTTCAAGGGTTACTTTCTTCAGCCGACCATCATCAAAGGGATGAATCGAGAGATGATCACTACACGAGAAGAGATCTTCGCTCCCGTTGTCGGCCTCTACGAATTCGAGACCGAGGACGACGTCATAAGGATGGCCAATGACTGTAATGTCGGTCTAGGTTCCTTCATCTGCACTGAAAACATTCCGCGCGCATTTCGGGTCACGGAGGCGTTGGAGGTCGGCATGGTTGGAGTCAACCTTGGGCTGCTCAGCGCTTGCGAGAGTCCTTTTGGCGGCGTCAAGGAAAGTGGCTATGGTCGGGAAGGTGGCCGTCAAGGCATCGAGGAGTATTTGAGCGTCAAGTCCATGTTGATCAACGTTGCAAACTGAGTCTTGGGTAAACGCAGCCGGCTTGCCGGGAAATGTCAATATGGGTTGACTCGTACCGCTAATCCAGGGGAATGTATGTCTTTCCTAGTCCGCTTTCTCGCCTTTCTGCCCTGCCCCGTCCACTTTCCCCCCATTTGCCGTCTTTATTTCGTCGTAGTACAGCATCGCGTAGCGGGTCAAGATCATGATGCCGATGGCCCGATTTCTCGCCTCGGGCGCTCCTTGGCCGTGCGAGGCAAAGTAGTAGACGTCCATCCCGATCCCAGCAATCAGCTGCACCCAACCGGTGACGCGCAGAATGGGCCTGAACGCAGTCACACCACCAAAATAGGCGTACATCCAGAAGTGGTGGAAGCAGTTGAGGAACGCAAACAGCTGCCAGTCGGAGGCGTTCAGGACGCGGAAGTGGGTCAGGAAGGGCGTGGTGATGTGGTGGAACGCCATGTGCGGATTGATCGGTGTGCCAGCAGCCACCAGGTTGAAGACGTCGATGTATTCGTAGAACTTGGAGAGGTGGTAGATGTATGCCAGGTCCGAACTCTTGACCACTTGTTGAAGATCCTGGAAGTGCAACACGTCGTTCAAGATCAAGTACGCCAGTGCCAGGGAGAACAAGGCGTAGAGCTGGCTGTTGAGACGGGTCACCGGTCGAGCGAAGCGGAAGGGCCCGTTGCGTGCGACATAGCCTCTCAATGTACTCCAGAGAAATACGAATGGCCCGGTTGTGAGGATGACGCTTTGGAGCGAGGTCAAAGGCCTGTCGTCTTCGAAAGCCATATCTGCTCAACTGAAAGTCCCTTCGCAGAGAAGGAATACTTGGAGTGAGTCTTTCTCGGGTGTCGGGGAGCAGAGAATTCGATTGCAGGGTCGACTGATACAGAAGGACGGAATCTGCTCGATTCATGTATGCCGGGTGAATAGTGGTGAGTCACCAAAGCTGTGGCCTTGACGCAGCGCGGCCTTATAAGTAGCGAAATGGTACCAATGAGGAGGCTTAGGCAGCTAGCCTGGTGGCCCCATTGATGTAAGGTACGGAGTACATATACGTGTGTATACCTACCCAGGTATAGAGGCTCATTACGATCCTTACCCATTCAGCTCGACTCTCCGTTTCAATATGTTCCTTGCTTCCCCTTCGCTGAGATGATATAGGCCTATATCCCCGAGAGCCTTTCGTGCTGCTTCGTTGCTCTCGAAGATCAGCTTCTCCACATCCCATAGTCCAAGCTTCCTGACCTCGCCATCATTAGTGATAGCTTCATCTGCAGTAGTTTGTCCTGTTGTCTTCTCTTCGTCATCGTCAACATCAAACCCCCACTCATCCTCTTCGCTGTTGTCCAGAGCTTTCGAAGCATCTAGAGAAAGTAGGTCGACTGCCTCCTCGAGCCGTCTCAGACCTGGTCCCGTAACTCCTAGCAATCTGCTGTGCTTTTCGATGCTTGTTTTGATCTCGAAAAGGTCTCTCGCCAGCTGTGCTGCGCCAGTGGCTGAGAACGTATGGTGCATGATAACGTTCTCGTAGAGCTCTTTCTGCAGTGTCGAGCAGTAATGTTTACATATGCGCCGCATGGATCCCGGAGCCAGCACCCGAGATAAATACCCAAGAAGGGTGGCTGTTGTTTGGAGTAAGCTATCGAGACTTGGAGAAGGTGTCATCGCCATCGGATCGGACAGTGGCTCGTCAAGAGACGACCACTGGGCAAGCTTTGCATATGGTCGCAGTGCGGCTCTCAGGTTGATGTCGAAGAAACGGAGCATTTCTTCCTCGCTACGTTCACGTAGCCGTCGATATGCTGAAGCAGTCTGATCAAACAGTCCACTTCCGTCCGTATCGGTATCCGTCTCTGTTCCACTTGACTTGATAGCCGTTGATGTCTTGTCTGCAACGTCATCCACCCTCAAATCTGTACCAATTGAGGCACCTGTGCCGCTGTTTGCCTTGGCGCGATATTGCAGTTCGTCCCACAGCTCCAGAAAGAAAACTTCATCATTCCAATCGGTCATTTTCCGTTCGAGAAACTCTGCACTACCAAATATCTTGGCCAGTGATTCCAAGCCCTTCAAACCGAAGGCCTCTGCCTCAGATTGGCCCTGAAGTAACCGGCCAGCGGTGTGGGAGGATACAAGATAGGCTTGCAGCGCACCATGGAGATGGTTGTGATAGTCATCAAAGATAGACAATTGAATCTCCAGGAGAAACTTCATCTTCTGGCTGAAGGACGAAAGACCTCTGTATCGATTCGTGATCGTCTCCAAAAGGTCGTTGACACGAATTGCTCCTTTGGTCGGCTTTGTCTGAGTGGCGTCTGCGTCAAAGTCAATATCGTTGCTATCTGGAGTATCTCTAATACTTTTGTATCGAGAAAGAGCAAAATCTTTCTCGACTTTAAGCCACATGGCAAAGTAGCTGTGCGTGGTGAGCATCCTCCAAGTGATTCCTTTCCACTCTGCCAACATCCTGGGAATTGGAACATATCCCCAAGCGTCACGAATAGCAGTATCGAATTCCATCAACTCGTGCATGAAGTGAGACAACAATTGTGGTTGTTGGGAGATTTGAGGTAGAAAAGACAGACACTTTGCTTCAACCATCGGCAGCAGCGCCGTGATGAACGCGGAGACTGCATCAGTATATATAGATTCCAGAGCCTCAGATTGAAACGCTCTGTCGTCCAAGATAGGACCCATCATATCGCTCATGAATCCACTGTATGTCTCTAGCAGATCGAGGAGATGGGTGAGGAAGTATTCGGGCTTGTCCAGTCGATTTGTGGGTTTATCTCCATAAAAATGATAGCGGAACCTTACTGCCAAAGGCTGAACCATGACCTCAAGTGGGAGCAGAACGACAGGGTCAGGAGTCGAAGACCGACTTCGAGTGTCGATGCCTGCGAACGCTGCAATGAGGTCTGGATCTTGTAGTTCGAGAAGTAATCTGACTTCTTGTTCCCATCTCTCACGTACATTGTCCGATAATTTCAATTCTTTCCCTGGCCAATTCATTTGTGCAAGAGTGTCACGCAGATTCCCCTCCAGGGATTTCTTGATGCTGGCATAGAGTTGCTGCGATTGTTGCTCGAGGAGGTATGCTAGTTGAGGCGCTGCCCCTTCCGCAGCCGGCTGAGCATCCTGAATGTGCTTCCAAATGTCCCTCAGCCGAATATATGCTTTGACTGATATGTCCGGATGCGCGACCAAGTTCTGTTTGGCTCGGTTGTTCAAAGTGTCCATGTGCTGGACCACTTCTAGATAACCTTGAGCGACTTCGAGACTGCGCACCTTGCTCATCCTAGCTTCGACTTTTTGCGCCGCATCGTCGCTCACATTTGATTGTGCAAGATATCGGAGCCGCTGGTCTAAATCGGCGTCTTCCCTCTTGAATGCTTCGGCCTTTTCTCTTAGTTCAATAGATCGCTCGTCGGCTCGGTTTACAGCCTGCGTGTAGTCCTTCCGGGCATTTTCGAGCTTGTACAAAATTAGATCCAGCCCAAATACGAGATGGGAAACCTCACCTGCTCCCGCAATAGATTCTGCTGTTCTTGCACTCGTTGCAGTAGGCTCTCAACCTGGTCCAAGTCCGCCGCAGTTTGTATCTTGTCATTCAGGTAGTCCTCCACCCGCGTTTGTACATCCACAGTTTTTGTAATCTGGAATTCAGCCATATTTGCGGCCTGGGGTAAAGTGGCTGAATTGTGGTAAAAATTGACGACGGTATTCCGGAAAGTTGAGATGCGCACGATGTGTCTTTGGTGCGTCTTTCTCCAACTGCGACCAGCGCGTCATGGACTTGGGGACGCGACGCCACCATCTTAATCGTGAAGTCACCATTTATCTAGCGCCCTCAACTTCTGAATGCGCATGCAGGATGGTTGCCGAATAATCACATTAAATGGCACTGGCACTGCAGCCAGTGCCAAATGTACTCAACAATCATGGAGAGTCCGGCTAAGAGAAGGAAGAAGAACGACTCCAAATCCGCCGCAGTGCCGCACCGCAGCCTCGATTTCTTTTTCCGCAAGCAAAATGAACAACAGAAGGAAGCGAGAAATGGAACAGTGCAGAGTGATGAGATGGCGACCACGGATTTGTCGGTTTCGGAGAAGGAGCTGACAGACGAAGAACTGGCCAGAAAGCTCCAAGAGGAATGGGCAAGAGAAGACGGACCGCGAGAAAGCACTCTGAATGATGCCAATAGCCACAACTTGCCAAAGGATGCAGAAGCACACGAGCACAAGGCTGAGGAAGATGTCAGGGACTTTGTCACCGCTGCTATTGATCAGACCCCTCCAACTGGACCTCGATCACCGTCGAACATCAGTAAGAAGGGAGTCCTTGGATTGCAGTCTACGGCCTCCGAAGAAGACACCATCACATTGATAATCCCCTTTGATCAAAGTCCTTTGGTGTTCGATCCTTCACACTATGTCCCGGAATTGAAGAGGCATTGGGCAGCAGACGGAGGCAGCGCATCATACGCGCTTCTAACTCGATGCTTCGTACTGGTCAATTCAACTCAAAGTCGGATCAAAATTGTTGACACACTGGTCAATTGCCTGAGGGTCATCATCGAGGCTGATCCAGAGAGTCTTTTGCCTGCTGTTTGGCTAGCTACAAACTCCATCTCGCCACCTTACATCTCTCTGGAACTAGGTCTGGGCGGCTCTGCGATATCCAAGGCTTTAAAAAAGATATGCGGTCTCGATGGAGCCGGCCTGAAAACACTCTATGACAAGCACGGAGATGCAGGAGATGTCGCATTTGAAGCAAAGAAGCGACAGAGCTTTACACTGAGAAAGCCAAAGCCGCTCACTATCAAAAGTGCCTACCAAACACTAGTCAAGATTGCCAGCAGTAAGGGCCATGGCAGCGTCGAACAGAAGCAGCGACTAGTGGAACGCCTCCTCCAAGATGCACGCGGACCAGAAGAGTCTCGATACATTGTGAGGACATTGGTCCAGCATCTGCGAATTGGAGCCGTCAAGACAACCATGCTGATTGCTCTGGCACGAGCTTTCCAGCTCTCACGTCCGGCCGGCGCGGACTTTCCCATCAGGAACACCGCCGAGCTAAGCAAGCTCAAGAAAGAGGAATTGGCTGTTTTATGGTCGAAGGCAGAAGAGACTGTGAAGACCTGCTTTGCACGGCGGCCAAATTACAATGACCTTGTGCCTGGCCTCCTAGAAGTTGGTGTCTCGGAAGAACTGCTGCTGCGTTGTGGCCTAGCATTGCACATCCCTCTACGTCCGATGCTGGGTAGCATTACTCGGGACTTGAGCGAGATGCTCACAAAGTTACAAGGGCGAGACTTCAGTTGTGAATTCAAATACGATGGACAGCGAGCGCAAGTTCACTGTGACGAACGCGGCAACGTCTCCATCTTCTCCCGACATCTCGAAGTCATGACTGACAAATACCCCGACTTGGTGGCGCTGGTGCCCGAAATCCGCGGCGACGGTGTATCCAGCTTCATCTTAGAGGGAGAAGTCGTCGCTGTGGATAGAAAAACAGGTGAACTCAAGACCTTCCAAACCCTTACCAACCGAGCCAAGAAGGACGTCGATATCGGGTCTATCCAGGTTGATGTGTGTTTGTTTGCATTCGATCTCATGTACCTCAATGGCGAGCCTTTACTAGATCGTCCCTTTCGAGAGCGACGCGGCCTGCTCCGCAGCATGTTCATTGAAAAAGAACATCACTTCACATGGGTGAACAGCGTTGACGCCACCTCTGCAGACTCCGAGGCCGTGTTGGAGTTCTTCAAGTCCGCGACTGATATGAAATGCGAGGGTATCATGGTCAAAGTGCTAGACAACTTACCGAATCCTGATCTTGCGGGTCTGGAGGAAGACGAAGACGTCCCTGCACCAGCACCTGTGACCCCAAGTAAGAAGAAAACCGGCAAGAAAACTCAGGCTGAGAAACAAGAAGAGAAAGAAAAAGGTACTCGTCGTAAAGCCCTCCTCTCAACTTATGAGCCGGACAAACGCCTCGACTCCTGGCTCAAAGTGAAAAAAGACTACGCTCAGTCCGCCGATACGATCGACCTCATTCCCGTAGCTGGGTGGCACGGCCAAGGCCGGAAAGCGAAGTGGTGGTCTCCCATCCTGCTCGCGTGCCGTAATCCTGAGACTGGGAGTTTGGAAGTGGTTACGAAATGTATTTCGGGGTTCACTGACAAATTCTACCAGGCAAACAAGGAGAAATACGCCGAAGACAGCGATAACACAATGCGGACAAAGCCGACTTATATTGAGTACAGTGCGTATGAACCTGACGTATGGTTCGAACCGCAAGAAGTGTGGGAGATGGCCTTTGCAGATATCACGTTGTCACCGACATACACAGCTGCGATAGGACTGGTTAGTGAGGAGAGAGGCTTAAGTATGCGGTTCCCCAGGTTTCTGAAGGTGAGACAAGATAAGAGTATTGAAGAGGCGAGTACGAACGAGTTCTTGGCCGGTTTATACAGGAAGCAGGAAGCGCGGATGAAGGAGACTGGGAAGGCCGGAGGAGAAGCCGATGGCGAGGAAGACGAGTTTGAAGAATAACAAATAAGACCGTCCTTCCGGCTGGACTGCTCAGCTTTGAAAGCAGCGGATCTTCAAACCTACTTGTATAGTAATGCTTGGTCATGTATGAGACGAAACGAATGATGAAGACCAAGCAATCGCCTTGATTCAAGATTCTGGAAACAAAATCCCCGAAATCAACGCTGTCGTAGACCTATTATTCCCTTTCTCCCACGGGCGCGCAGCGATCGACGACTCCAGCCGTGCTCCTACCTATGTAACATGAATCGTTTGGCGACTGACTGTATCGTGCCGTTTGGTTCAGATCATTGAGAACGACCTCCCGCCCCTGGGCCCGTTCCAGAACTCTGTGCAAGGCAGGAAGGAGTGATGGGGGAAGACAGGAGAGTTCTGGGGACGAAGCAGTGGGTGTAAGAACTAGGGGAATCCAGTGTCGAAGATGAAGAATAGAAAAGGATAACTGTATAGAGAGAGGACGGAGACATGGGGAGAGAAGAGACATAGGAAGGTGGATATATAGACGCATAGACAAGGAGAGACTAAGAAAGAAAGAGTGAGAGGAGGGCAAAGATGGATGAAAATTCTGGGGCGACTGGCTTTCGATCTGGATTGATTTGAGGAATATGTAAATAGCCGTTGATGGTGGGTCGTCCACTCAGTTGCATCCATCCGAACCAGTTCCATCGTGCACGGGGCCAGAGTCGACCGTGGATACTATTCAACACGCACTAGATTGAGCTCAGATATTGGTGTTGTCCGCCACATTGACAGTGACAGAGTTAGAGAATTGAAGGGCATCGAAGTGGACAACTGCTGCACTGAGCCGTTGAAATCGGAAAATGCAGATTTTGGTGGTGGCAAGGGGAATGGATTTTGCAAGAAAGCTGGAAATTGGCCACTGGGTCATGAGATCTAACCACTCGTGGAAACAAAGAGGAAAACTTTGCTTTGTCGACTTGAGCAGAGGCAAAATCGGCGTCTGGTCCAGATCATGAGACTGGAGGCCGAAAGGTGCTATTATTCCTCAGACTTCTTGCCAGCGAGGACGTCAATCCACATCTTCTCATCCCTCGGGCGCCGAATGCCGCTCCCACCGGCAAGGAACGACTCGCCTTCTTTGCCAAAAGCGATCAGGTGTTCCTCACTGCCCCAATCACCCATGGCCTGCGCATCAGTTAGCCAGTCATTTAGGTTGTGGGCAATAGAAAGGTGGGAATAAAAAAAAGGGACGTTACCATAAGACCGACTGGAACATTCTCATCCGTATATCCCATTGGACAAGTGATGGCCGGGTTGCCCGTGAAGTTCGCCAGATAGACGTATTCCATGGTTCTCAAACTCATGTCGCCGTCGCTCACACCGTAGCCGCTGGTAATGTCGCTCGGCTTGCCAATCTTCCATCCAGCGCAAGGCGTCGTGGGCGTCAGTATCAGCATTCCAGGATACTGATGCCACAGCCACGCCAGATGGCACATGAGAAGATTGCGCATTTTCTGAGAATATATAAAATCTTGAGCCGTCGCGTGGCCGCCGGCGACATTGAGAAGCAGCTGATTGTGCCAGGAAAGCTTGGAGATCTTTGGGGGGACAATCTGACTGCGGCATTCGGACAAAATGGTCAATGCGTGAGCCTTCTGTCCCTCTGGTATGTAGGGAATCTTGATGTCGATCACCTCATAGCCCTGGATTTGGACATATCCGTCGATGGCAGCGTTGAACATATCCAGCACCACCTTATCCGACCGGTTGACCCAGCTTCGATCGATCCCTAGATACTTCTTTCCATTGGCCGGGCTGCAAGGCTCCGTAATTAGACTGCTGGGGAATCCAGAGCTTCTCATTGAGCCGGGATCGGGTTGAGCCATTACTCGGTAGCCTAAGGCGAGGTCATCAATGCTGCAAGCCATGGGACCCTGGACCACAACAGTGTCCACCCAGTCTTTGCCCACTCTGGCAGATACACGACCATGAGTGGTCTTGAGGCCATAGATACCGCAAAACGCAGAGGGTAATCGAATTGAACCACCGCCATCAACACCCAGTGCAATTGGGCAAATGCCGGCCGCAACAACAAACCCGGAGCCACCAGAGCTGCCGCCAGTATAGAAGCCGTTATTGTGCGGATTCAACGGGGTCCCCCAGGTCTGGTTGTTGTTGGAGGTGTCCAAGCCAACCTCGTGCATATTGGTCTTTCCTATTATCACGGCACCCGCCTCCTGCCATTTCTGCACACACCATGCTGTACGGTCTTCTTTGTCGGTGAAATCAAGCTTGCTGCCAAGAGTCTTGTTGTATCCTTTTAGATCCACCTCATCCTTCACGGCCAAAGGCACGCCATCTAGAACACTGAGCGGATTGCCGGCTTGATATCTTTCGGTGGAAGCTTTTGCGGCGGCTCGTACCAAGTCGACTTTGGAATCGATAAAGGCGACGGAGTATTGACCAGAAGGCTGGGTGTCTCGCCGGATCAGGGGTAACAGGTACTCAATGACATCGGAAGGGGTAACTTTGCCAGACTTGTACAATTCGTGGAAGTCGGCACAAGTGTAGTAGTTTGCGTTCGAAGCTCGAGGCCGAGGCGACGGTAATTCTGTCAAGCTGGGCACGGGGCTCTCAGAGGTAGCAGATCGAGGTACGACCGTGGGGTCGAGTCGAATCTCGTATTCATCTAGAAACTCTGTATGCTTGAGCTTGTCGAAGCCGTTGAGTTTCCAGAAGACGCTCTGAATCCAGGTGGACGACGAAATGCTTCAAAACGTCTTAGCCATTGGGGGCACGAGAGAGGAATAGCTCATCCATACATCTTGGAGACAGCAGCTAAGGCAACGCCGCGAAGCACAGGATTGGAGCCTGCTTCATTCTTGTAAGGGACGTCGGGACCTTGACGAATCTGTGGACGATGGAAGAATGTGCTCGCGTAAACTGCCTGATCTGGCATCTCGACTGCCCCCTTGGATTCAAGGTTCAAGAAGGCACCTGACAAGAAGAGGTGGTCCGCAGCTGGGTCATGGGAGAAGGAAACGGCGGAGTATAAGGAGGTCTATCTTCAAAAACCCCCTTCGCGCAATACAGTCGAATCTGGAAGTATGTTGCTGGGCAATGTGGCAATGCTGACTCCCGGATGGGCAACTGACGTTGATTGGCTGTGATTCAACCACCGGCCTCGTGGGCAAATAGACAAGCGAGACAGGGGAACCTTACCGTAACGTCTTGATCCAACATCCTCCCTCACGACCGCAACTTTGAGTTGATGAAGTCCGGTCGATGTCGCTGGGCATTGATTCTTGATTGCTTAGGTGGACTCCAGAACTGCTCCTTGTTGATGAACATGCCGCAGCAAGAAACCACGAGAGCCACGGATTCTTGTCGATGTGACCGGACTGAGGCCGTTAGGAGAAGGAGTCCCACGAGGAGGAATGAAGATCAAATCGAATTGACAGGATACTCGATTTCCCGCCAAGGCTACATCTGGACTCTGGTACTTCCACCCATCTCCATATCAACCCAGTGTGATTAACATCAGCGCCCTCGCATGTGACACCCGCCAAGTCACGAATGCACACACTTACACACACAGATTCATTCACTAAAGTGGATCTATCTATCCCTGTATATTTTATGATCCTGGAAAAGTGGTCAACATAGCCCAATTTGAAAGAAGTGCAACGGCGGTACTGAGACCTCGAGAATTGCTACGCTTCAAGTCCGGGATATGGATGCCACAAAAGTTCATATTCTATCGGGTTTGGTGGGAGGGGCCTTCCCCCCTTTCTGATAAATGATATGCGCTTCGCTGTTGCTTAAGGTAGCACGAGGTCTCGGTGCATATCATTCATCAAACATCACACCATGATATTGCCTTCGGTTTGAAGGGTGCCTACTACTACTACATCACCAGCTGATGTGTGCAGTAATTGGGACCCGCTAGAACTGAAGCACCCAATATCATGGCTAGTATTACCATACTAGAAAAACACAATTGGACGCTTGTAGCTGCATTGCGAGACTCATTCAACTCCCTCCACCGGGGAGGGGGCTAGGAGCCGCATCACCTTTGGCGCCCAATTGTTGAGGGGGGAAGGTAAAATAGACCACACCTGGGATTTGAACTTTTTTGCCAGTTGGATCTTTAGGTGTCCTGTTCGATTCTCACTGCGAGCAAGCATTTTTAGATATAAATACTTATAATATAGCTTTCTTCCCGATTCACCGAGTAACACAAGTTAAAGAGTGTTGCCTAATTTCTCTTTAAGTAACTGCACACTTAGCGCCCATAGCCGCCCGCCAAGTTCATCGTCTAAAGCCTTACTACTTAGACCAGTTACTTTCTTATCTGGCACAATGTACTGTTCTCTAATTCTCTTCTCCTCGACCTCCTTACTTGCTATATAGGGCTGGTCGACAGCCTTTGGCAACCGGATCCTTCATAAAAGGTCTAACGAGCTTGTGGCCAACGACACCAAGTTTACCATATGCCTCTTCGGCTTGGAGTGGTTGATCAGTCGCGACGCCTCCTAGGTGCACCGCGTTGACATATATTTTTTGACCAGGTTCGAAGCCGAGCTAGCTGGCATTAATGCGGCGCTGGAGGGCCCGCATCGTCAGGATCTGAGCAAGCTTAGTTTGATTGTAGAGCTTGGTAGGCCCAATGTCCCAATTGATCTCGGCTTCGTTTTCGAATTGCACCTCGGCGTTAGCACCACGGTGTAACTCTGATGACTCGAAAACCACACGGGATCCTGGAGTGTTTTGCAGTCGGGGAACAAGTTTCAGCAACAGCAGAAACTGCGAAAGATGATTAACTTGGTAGTGCGAATCGAGTTTGTCTTTGGTCTCGTTGTAGACTCCCACACCAAGGCCGGCGTTGAGAACGAGCTGCCAGCAGTTGAGTTAGCGCACGCATCCTGAAATATCTCGGTCGAGTGCCCGTCAACATACCCCATCGAGCTGCTCTTGAGAACTCGCCAACTCATTGGCAGCCTTCTCCGTGAGCTTGAGATCTTCGAGGTCGCATTTCACCCAATGAGCCTTGCTGGCGTCCCCATACTCCTTTAGCTCTTCGAGCGCGGACTGAGAGGATCGTGACATTCCCAGCATGATGCTGCAGCAGATGGGCAGCGATACCAAACCCAATGCCCGCACTACCCCCAGTGACAATATAGTTCTGGACCGGTAGTGTCACGAATGTGTTTCATAATGGCTCAGAGAGTTGGGCAATATCTACCCTGCCAGACAAATCAGGGATATCCGTGTCTGGGTTGAACTTGTTGCTCCCCAGGAGAGACGACATTCTGCAACTTCGTTGTTTGCGAGCAAGAAGGACAAGATTGACTTTCGTGTTCCAGGCAGTTCTACAGGATGCGGTCATCCAGGTGATCGAAGGTAACATGAGAATTGAGACGACGCATGTCGATGAGTCCCGCAAGTCTCTTGTCTGATGGTCGGCCACTATATACAACATTTGACACTTGGTCAGGATGAGAAGTCATGATGACAGACTTAAGTCATGACTTTGTCGATGGATACAACTTCCGACCGACGTCAGATGGAGCAAATTGGACACAGCCATCAGGCTGTTGACCCCCTATTCCCCTAATTCAACTGCTAGGGAATACTCGAATACAAATTTGAGCAGTTGTACGACATATTTGGGTTAGTACAGGTGCACCCTATTCCTTGAGATTGATTGAAAAGCGGAGGCGCGTTTCCCGACTGGACGCAAGCCAGCATTTTATGACCAACCGAGCTCTTGCTTGCACGGGACCGTGAGCATAGAGCTGTTGGAATAGTTTACCTCCCACAAATGCTCAGCAGCATTGTGATGACGACGGAGTCCACAATTCTCAGCTGGTATGGGACGATCCCGACAGCCTCCTTGGGCGACGGAATTCTTCGCGAAGGCCCCGGTCATCATCCACAATGACCGGACGCTCTGCCAAGTCTGCATCTGACCGTCGGGGATTAGCCGGGCGTGTGTTTGGTTCCGGTGGCCCAAACAACGCTGTTGGAACGGCACCGGCTGGCATCGGCCTCGGTAGCGGTACCTCAGAGGCCAGAAGCTCAGAGTCCATGCTAGATCTTCCCGATGCAGGTGCTTGGTCTGAAGGTATTGCAGATCCACGCTGTCCGGGATTTGGTATTTCAGCCACAGATGGAAGAGCCGAAGGATTCGCAGGGATTCCAGTGACAGGTGCACGATCTGTGGCATCTGAAGATATTTCAGGAATTGGTACATGGCCCGAAGAAGGTCCCGACCGAGGGCCCCTTGGGGTATTGCCGCTAGATGAACGTGCTGGGGGGCTGGCAGTGGAACCAGAATTCCTTGATGTTATCGAGTTTCCGGACGCAAAGGACGGAACTCCGTCGTGATCTAAGACGGCTTCGAGCTCAGGGTGCGACGCAATGTGAGATCTAGCTAAACGAGATGCCAGCGCGAGGATTTCTTGACCAATTTGCAACATATGAGCCTGCTGGGATTGCACTCGTCTGCTCTCTTTCACGGCCTTTCTGCACCTCGAACCCAAGGTTTTGACCTGGCTTGTATACAGAGACCTGTTACATGGCAATCAGCATTCACTATTTACTCAAGATTCAGTGAGGTTGGGCGACTGACAGTTGCTGAAGCAGCTCGTTCGGGATATTTTTCTGCTCGGCACGCAGCTGGTCGAGCTTGTGAACAAGATGCTGGCAAAATACAATCGATATGAGCAGATCGGCGCTCAGCTTGATAGAGTTGAGTTCAATTTGAACAGGGATCCATTCCTCCTTCCGGCCGGACCATTTCCAGCGAGCGATCCATCGCTTGTGAGCTGGATAGCCCTTGTCGGTTCTCAGTGGATCGACTTCAAGCAAAATTTGTTTAATCTTATCCAAGGCTGCCCTCCCTGAAATGACGATATGTTGCGTCATTTTGGACGTTTTGATTTTTGTGGACAGGCCTTCGTCGGCCAAACGGTCGTCCGTCACGGTACTGTGAAACAGGCCGAGAAGGGTGCTAAATGCTTCGACTTCGTCGTGGATAACCTTGATATCGCGCCTGGCGTACGTAAGGGACCTGATGCAGCGACGAAGCCTTCTGGAAATATGAGCGAACTCTACCGCGATGGTTACAACAGCGGAACCCGCACCAAGTATCTCCATGGTAGCAATGACTCGGTCAGGATAGTATTATTGAGCTGTCGCAGAGAAGAGAGAAGAAGAAGTGAAGAAGAGGCAAAAGAAGAAGGGAAGAACATAGGAAGTCGACTTTTTGATTTGTGTCGTCAAGAGGTTCATCATGGACCATGCATGGTTCTTGCAGGGGCTAGTTGACATTTGTGTATAGCTACCAATCCAGAAAGAGAGACTTTTCGGTCACTTCTTAACCGGTGAGTCCCGCAAGGATATTTTGGACAAGGAGTCGGCCGGCATTCTCAGTGGGCTTCCATTGGCCGTGGGCAGGTCGCCTACTGCTTACCAAGTGATAATCATTGGGCCATCTGGTCCGTTTCAGATGCGAGAGACTGAATGCGACTGAGACTTGATGAAGGAGCAACAAGAGGAAATTGTTAGCACCACGACCGGTATTTACGTTGAGATGAAGACCAGAGCAATTCGGACCACCAAAAATACAAATCGCAGCCTCATTGGCGTGAGTCAGAAAGTGTCCGTGCCCATAGTGTGTTCGTAAATATGTAGATGAGGTGCCGCCTTTGGCGGCGTCACACCCAACACCGTGAAAGAACGAAGTTCTCTAACACTTCGAGACTTGGACGACCGAGGGCAAGGGTACACCTGATACACTCATCCGCTCTGTTTCTAAATATGCCTTTCTCCATGGGCCGTTCGTCGCAAGGCGGCTATACAGAGCATACAGCGAGAAGATAAATAACGCCGTCTAGTTGGACATCAAGTATGCTTTTGCCTCTTCCAGATTGAGGTCGGATGTGAAGATAAAGTCAGAACTTGCCGTGACAACGATCATCTCTGTGATGTCGCGCCACATGAGTTTGAACCCGCCACGCTTTCAGGCTCTCAATTAGTCCTGCGTCGGAACTCACGTTGCTGGCTATAACCAATGTTGGTTGTATAGAACATGGTAGAGTCTGTTTGTACTGAAGGAGGTGCTAACACCGCCACAGGAGCCATTGTTCGAATCTGTGACTAAAGACCTGGTAAGACTCACATCAAATTTATTTTCCACGCTTGTTCCCAGCGCGGGTCAGATCAGGAGGTCTAAGTGCCCAAGAACTCGAATTTGATGCTAGTTGAGGGCAAATGTACCATGGGGCAGATCGGCGTCCACCCTCTGCTCAAAGATAACGCTCAAAGTTATGTAGCGTGTCAGAATCAATGCATAGCATGTAGTTCTCGAACGCAATTTTGATTGTGTCTGCCTCGGGTATGATGGGGGTCCAAGTGTTCATTCAGTTGTACCATCGCTGGGCCACATTCTGGAGCCATATATCACTGACTCCGAGGGTTGGATCCAGGATGGAGTCGTGATTAACGCCCTTCATTATTTTTGGATTGAATGTAATTGTTGATGGCGAAACAGCGCTTGCCCAACAGTCATCAAAGTGTCTTGATCCACTTGCGCCAATCATGATGTCCTTTTCGGAATGTAGCGCGTCGATCTGAAGCTTCCCAGAGTCGACAGTGCTATGGAGACGGTTTTCCTGATCGACGACCGCAGCGGCAAGAGTTCGATGGTCAAGCCAGTCCTTGCCTTGTACAGTCCCCATATCTCCGGTTGCAGTTATTGGCTGTATGTGCTTTCGCAGAAATAGAAGTGCATCGTCCGAAGAGCCCTCGATATTTTCAGCGAACATGTATTTTTGGACTAAATCCCCCATTTCCGTCAGGAGAGCTTTCTCCACGGATTGCTCGCTGTTTTGTTGTTCATCACCCTCCCCAGTCTTGGACACCGCAATAGTGGCAAATTTGCCAGAAGGTCCCCGGCGCAGCCCTGAGCTGAACGCAAAAGTACGATTAATGGCTTTCGCGCAGGAAGGAAAGCTGCCAATTGCCCCAAGCGGTAGTGCCGCAGCCGCCCGCATCAAAGGTGCGCCTCCATCTTTGGGGGGTACCCATGGGGCAAGCAAGACGATATGAGGCCTTTTTGGATGCAGCAAGCCGCGATGCGCCAGAAGCGCGGCCAACAAATAGGGTGCGCCTCCAGAATGGGATGCTAGCGTGACATGTCTGACACCCAAGTGACCTAGCAGAGCAGGGACAGCGGCGACCTGTGCTGCTACACGCTGGTCTATAGGAACCGGCGTCGAGCCACCAAGACCCGGTCTATCCATGGCGATGATGCGGATCTTGAGACGTCGAGCAATGTTGGCTGAGCGGCAGAGCGTATAACGGCCACCTAGGAGACCACCGATGAAAAAGACGACACAGTGATCTGATTCGTCTTCTCCATCACTGCCATCAGCCGAAAGATTGCGGGTGTTTTCTGCATGATATCCAAGGTCTGAGTAGGTGATGCGTAGATCCCGTCCAGCATTGGGAAATACTGAGGCGGGCAGAATAAATGATCTGTGGAGACGGATATCGCAGAGTGTTTCAATCGCGAGTTCGCGAACCTGGTCGATCATTGTCTCTCTGACTCGAATAGTGCAGACATGCAAATCACCAGGTTGTCGACAGTCCTCAGGCAAGCACTTGATATCGGAGCACCAGAGGCTGCTATTTATCTGCGCACAGGGCTGGTGCCTGGAAGACGCAAAATAGTTGACAGGGATGGTTGGACGCCACCTTCAAAATGCGGGTGCCTACTCGGTTGTGATGGATGGGCGATTGGGCGATTGGGCTATTGGGCAAGGTGGCCCAGAACACTGTCTTTCCCCTTTCCCCCTTTTAGACGAGGCTGAGACGATTTTCCTTAGCCTCACTAGCCCCGATTCGGAGAAAAGTTGAAGCCACCTCTCGCCTCGACTTTTTGCGGAGTGAAGAGGCATGCATGAGCCACTCCCACTCTGCACCAACTGTTCCTTTCCTTATTCACTCGTTGCTCGTTGCCCTTGAGCGCTTTTTCCTTCGGATTATTGTCTTTGATCAATAGGCCTTCTGCACTAGACGATCATCGACGACTTGGACAGTTGACAGCGCAGCCCAAAGCGGCTTGCGCACTCAGATCAAGTCACCATGTCCTCTGAATACAACTACGATGACCAAGGTCAATTTTTCCCATTCTTTATGCTGACCATGGCCGGCTTGGTCACCGTGCCTCTCACTTATAACGTCCTCAAACCATCTACAGATCTCGAGCAGACCGCATCCCGAGTGAAATCAGACTTCAAACCCAAAAATGTTGATCTTATCGACATGCAGAGGAGAAGACGTAAGAGGCAGAATCGCAAGACAAAAAGAATCATAGCGGTCGTTGCGGGATATACCTTCATGGCTTACATGATATACCTGATCATCGTCACTCAGAGAACGGTGCCCAAGATGTGGGATCCGTACGATATCTTGGGCGTGTCGAGGGTTTGTGAATGGACACGGTTCTACACTAGATGCTAACGATTGGGCAGAGCGCATCGGAGCGGGACATCGACAAATTCTACAAGAGGCTATCGCTCAAATTCCACCCTGACAAAGCCAAACCCGATGCCTCCAAGAATGAGACCATGGACGATGTGAACAATCGATGGGTAGAAATGACAAAGGCCTACAAGGCATTAACAGACGAAGAGATCAGAAACAACTATCTTCAATATGGCAACCCTGATGGGAAGCAGTCCACGAGTATTGGCATTGCATTGCCCAAGTGGATGGTGGAGGAGGGTAATCGCTGGTTTGTGGTGGCCTTCTACGGCATCCTTCTTGGAATCATCCTGCCTTACACGCTAGGGAAGTGGTGGTACGGAACACAGGCGCTCACAAAAGATAAAGTCCTCCATGCCAGTGCTGGCGATTTATTCCGAGAGTGGAAAGAAGACTTATCGGAAGGCGACGTTGTGGCAGCCACCAGTATCGGCCAAGAATTCAAAGAAAACCTGAAAGGTCCTCGAAGTGATGCGGGAGCCGCAAAGGTGGAAAGCAGAGTCCTCAATAGCTCCGCTCTCACCGAAACAGACAAGGAACGATTGAAGTCCATTGACGACCCTGTGCGGCGGAAGACGCTAGCCCTGCTCTGGGCATACCTGGCTCGGATCGACCTGGCGGACCAAGAACTTGAGAAAGAGAAATTCGACGTCGCGCCTACAGCTCTCCTAATGAACAATTCTTTCACTTCAATCACCCTACCGTTTGGCGTGGTGAAGCCACTCCTAGCAACCTACCACACTTCTCAGAATATCATTCAAGCTGTTCCGCCATCTGCATCAGCCATCCTCCAGCTCCCCAACTTCACTCCCGCAATCGCCGAGAGGATCGCGAAATCGTCCAAGACACCAATGACATTCCAGAAGTTCATGTCCCTGCCGCCTGTAGCGCGAAGACAATTGTGCTCGGACCTCTCGGACGAGCAGTATAAGCAAGCAATGGCGGTCGCTGCTCAAATCCCCCACCTTGTCATCGCAAAAGCGTTCTTCAAAGTGGTCGGCGAACGAGTTGTCACGCCCGGCTCACTCGTGCAACTTGTCATCAAAGCCCGCGTTATCCCTCCCGGTACACCAGCAAAGGATATCCCACCAATTAACCCCATGGATCTTGAGGACATTGACCCGGATGAAGGGGATGTAGACGCCTTGCGCGGTCGGAAACCAGCGAAGTCGAAGAGGAGGAAACTTCCAGATGGCTCGTACGTTGAAGATGATGCCAAAGAAGGGAGTGTACAACCACCTTTGGCACATGCGCCCTATTTCGCAGCGGATCATGCTCCCAGATGGCATGTCTTCCTCGCAGAAGCACGTACCGGTCGCATATCTGTACCCCCCTTCACATTTACCAGTTTCGATCGACCCATCTTCCATTCAGACAGTGGCAAACCAACTTTTAACGTCGTCACGCTGAAGTTTTCATTCCAGGCACCACCACAGGTCCATGCCTTTCCGTTTGTCATGCACTTAGTGTGTGATAGTTATATAGGTTTAGACGAGAAGGTAGACGTGGTATTAGATGTGAGAGACGTCAAGGAAGCCGAGGTGGTGGAGAGTGATGAGGATATCAGTGAGCCTGAAGAAGGTATGCATCCACCATCCCCCTGAATTTATATCTCAACAACAAACTGTCCACATCACGGCGGAACACACAAAGGTCGATACTAACTTTTTTTTTTCAACCACAGATTCTCTGGCGGGCCAACTCCAAGCCATGAAATCTGGCGGCCTGACGGGCTCCCCTGTGAAATCAAAGAAGAAAAAGAAGACGCTGGCGACGACGGCCGATGCGAAAGCGGTCCCCGTGGCCCAGACACAGGGCAATGAGATTGAAGAGGCAAGCGATGACGACGACAGCGACACCGAGGGCGACGATGATAGTGACTCCTCCGAGACCGACACCGAGACAGAGGACGAGGATTCATGAACAGGGGAAACACAATCAAAATTGTCCACGGGAATTCTATGTTGCGATTGCGTTGCGTTGCTCTACTCGACATGCCATGCCTCAGAACCCCTAAGGGAAGTCGAACACTCAGGACGACTTGCTTGTATGCCTATGTGTGTCAACTTAGCTTATTTGCTTGCCTAGCCGTCCTTTGGCATCCTGAAAAGCCCGAGGACAAGGGGGGGGGGGGGTTCGTTGTCTTCGATCGGTCCGATATGAATGGATCCAATCGTGCACCGCGGGAGGGCGAATGAGATATTAGTCGAGTTCCTGTATCTTTTTGGATCCGAGTCCGGGTCTACCTGGGTATGTAACGCGCCGTATGAGGGCGTGATAGAGTGAAGCGGGCGAGCAAGCAAACAAGCAAACAAGCAATCATTCAGCGACCCAGCCCTGTTCAATTCGTGACAGATCTCACATTGTCAACGTTTTTGATATGACCTTGTCTTGAATTGATTTGAACTTCATGGTGCAAAATTATGCTACGTTGCTGATGAATGTTCTATGGACGTAGCAGCAGCAGCTCCTCTGACTCGATAACAATCCTAACATTCTGGTCGAATGCTCTCCAGCTTCCTGTTACATACACAAAATACTCAGCCCCCTAACCCCCGCCTTGATCGTATTTGCTATGGGATATATGCGCCCTCAAATCATCACATTCCGCTGGTCTTGTATCCCTGCCCCTTCTTCCCTCTTCCTCCATTCTACTTCTTCCCTGTCACGGTATTCGCCATCTGATTCATGCGCTCCTGGATCTTCTCCCTGCCATCGTGCATGTACTGGAGAGTTCTCTTGTACTGGCGGTCCTGGGATTGGATGGACAGTTGGGTCACAGCCAATGCACCAACGCCGAGAATGGCGCCGACGCCGAGAATCGTGCGGGTCTGCATTATTGCGGCTTGTTGTTGTTTTGGGAGGTGGGCTCGAAGAGGTATACTCGGGGATTGTTATGGGCGTTGATGGGGTGGTAGGCGGGGGTCTGGCTTTTGATTGCAGGAGCGTGGATGTGTTTGACTGTGGCCTACACGAGTGTGCGCGTCTGGTAGGAGTCGCGACTCGTCGTGCACAGTTGTGAAACAAGTTGAAGTGAGAACTCGGTAATGTCTTCGTTCAAACTCCGGTAGAGGCGAGGGCGACGAGTTGGTGCGGTGAAGGTGAAGCGTCAATCGCTAGAATGCTTAATCAAAGGGCGAGTTTTGCAGACTAAATGCAGAGTGGAGAGTTAGAGAATAGCATATAGGGTAGAAAAGAAGATGTTCTCTCGGTGATGGATGATGAGAAGGAGGTGAAGATGGAATTGAACCGAAGTTGGTGCGCCGGTTAATATACTCGTACCAAGTAACTGCCTTGTCCCCTATTGCGACCTGCAAATGGCACCTTCCCTCCTGTCCAAGGGCCTTCACATGAAACGTGTTGCAGTTACCGGGTGCCGGAGACTTGTTTTGGGCGGCAGGCAGCGAGGTTGGCGGGTGCCAGGGCCACCAAGGGCTCCCAGGACTTCCCCGCACCTGCTGATTGTCCCCAAGTCCCCCAAGGTGCCTTATCCTCCACAAGACGCTTGACCTAGAAAGGCTGAGGCGCCACGGCTGGCACTGGCACGAGCCAATTCCCCTCATTTGATTTGCTAAGCCGCCCTTTGGGCTTCGGCAACACTCGGACTTGTGGATGCAGGTACCCAGTACGCCGCAGAGCTCCCAAAGTCGGAGGTCAAGAGCTCATAAAGCTACTTGTAGACCCAAACAACCTTCATAAAATGCATTAGGGGTCTTGTGCTTCTTCTGAGGATGCGCTCTAGCACACGCTGTTAACGCCCGCCAGCCTTGTACCGTCCTGACCATGGTCTCTCTATATCCCTGTCGTCATGGAGATTGTGTGCCAGTGGAAGTGAGGAGGATTATCTAGCTCCTCCCTCCGAGTTTGTTGAAAGACCCGGTCAGGCCAAAGCATATCTCTCGCTCAACAACTTCCAATTATGAATCTCAGCCTTCTGCATCAACAAACACATCAACTTCGCTAGTGTCAGTGTCGGCCCTCCTCAGCGGCTTCTGACCCTCCGGCACCATTGCTTCATGCATGTTCATTTTCGACATTTGATTGTTCATGTGTGACAAGTCGTTGTCATCATCCATCAAATTTGCTGTCTTTTGTTGTGCGGTCTGTTGTGCTTGTGAGATGGGCTTTATGGCATGGTTCTCCGGCGGTGCTGTGCTTGGTGGCCGTGAATCGAAATCGATCAGGTTGTCTGAGGCGTGCAGGTGACCATGGCCAGAATGCCCTGCTGCTGCGTGAGATTCGTCTGCGTGATGAGGATGAGGATGAGGATGAGGATGAGGATGATGATGATGATGATGATGAGAGTAACGCCTCGTGTCTTGTTCAGAATTTTCAACTTGGCCAGGAAGTATAGGAGCTATCGAAAGAATCCGCTCCACTAGTTCTTGTGGGCCGATCTTTGGATCCCTGACGAGATCTGTCAGTCAATACCAAGAGCAGAGCAGGGTGAAAACTCACAGGTGAGCATTTATAATCCACTCCAGATCCTCCTCGCCTTCTTCACAACCTCCTGGTCGAGAATCCACTCTTCGGAACAGTTTGGGCTTCCACTCAACACCCAACTCTTCTCTCCGTTTAGCCTCTTCTCTCTGGCGATCTTCAATTTTTGCTTTTTCGGTTGTAGCAGCTTCATGATCCCTCACGTGCACTGCTTGTACTGTCGACTTCCAAAGTTTTTGGGATTCGCGTTCTCCCTGTTCTTTGAGTGGCCGTGTCAACGGTTGGGCGTGTTTGGCATGGGTGGCATCAAAGAGCGTCTTTTTCTGTCCAGTTTTGGTGTCCTTGATGATCATCTCTCCGGACCAAAAGCCTGACAGTTCATAAAGAACCTCCCCCGTCCGCTCGTTTTTGATGGACCCTCCAATGGCATTGTAGGTGCCTCCGACCCAGCCCTTGGTTTTGAATTCGATGTCCGCCGCCAGCCCAGTTTCTGGACATCGGACGTAGGAATGGTCGCCCAATTCGTACTTCATCTTGCCGAAAAGAATTCCCCGGGCGTACATATTGGGTTGTGTCAGGATGCTGCAGCAGTTAGAAGCGCCTCTAGCGCACATGGACAGTTCAGACATACTACTTTTCACCGCCCTTGGACTTTCCTCTGTTGGTAAATCTTAAATATGATATGCCTTCCATCATGCTGGCGGCCGAATTGCCTAGGAACTTGCTACGTGGTTTCAAAGTACCATCAACGCGAATATGGTGGTGCGGCGCCATGAAGAAATACGACGACTTGGGTGGATGGTGCGACGTCTGCTCAGCGATGTAGTAGCCTCGTGTCTTGTCCGGATATTCCCACCAGCAAGTAAATGTCTCCCCAAGAATTGGATTCAAGGGTTTCTTGACGCCACTGGGACATAATCAGCACCTCCGTTTTAATTCGGCATTGGGTGGTATCGTACGCAGGTCTGATGTGCCACCCACTAAGGTAAAATCTGACCACCGAGACAAATCGTTCGATCGGGTCGTCAATTAAGGGCATCCCGAGCAGTGTATCAGGATGGGCCATGAAACTGGGGGCACCCGTGAGCTCTGAACCGGCCATGTCTATTTCTTCACAGAACACCTTACTTCGTTATTCTTTCCAGCATCGATCTTTCTTCGAGGATGAAGGTCGGGAGGGTGATTCTGGACAGATCGGCGCCGGGGCGCAATTGTGCGATGATGTGTAAAAGGACTATTTCGGGTGGTCAGCACCGGCTTCCCTTCAGGTCTTGGAGGGTAGACCCTACTGTTTCCCTGCTCGGGCTCGATAACCATAGTATCCTCATCTGTGGCTTCTCGTTGATCCTCTGAGGAAGAGCGAGCGCCTGGATTTTCGAGTCAGCCTAACGAAATGCCCGCGCTTCGACGGGCTCGGTATACTTTTGGACTCGCTGCGATTCCGCAGCGCTCCTCCCAACGAGTGCTTCATTTTGTCCATTGTCCACCCACATTCACCAGCGAGGTCTCTGTCTGTGGAAAGGGTGCGGTTGGTAGAGCGAGGAATTGGTTAGGTTGTTATATGACGTCGTGGGGGGGGGGGTCGGATCTGGCGGGGCGAGAGAGCAGTCGGTCTCTTGCTTGACAGAGACGAATAGCTTTGGAAGCCACACAGTCCAATGCTAAACTGAAGCAGTGAAGGAGACAGAGTGAAGAGGTCAGTGACAACCAGGCAGGGATTTCGGTGACACAGCTGGCAGAATGAGCAGAGGATCTAAAAAAGAAGCCTCGTTCCCGCTCCGATGGGAATTTGCAGTTTCTAGTTTCTACCTGCGCATGCGGACCCTTCATCACTGGACAAGGCACCGCTTGGTGCGGCGGGTTGGTGAGCACAAGTGGAGACACCGGTGACCTGTGACGGACCTGTGAGTGACCTGGACAAAGGCAAAATGCTGCGTCATCCGCGTGCTGCAGAAAAAGGGAACAGCGCACATTCCGCACACCGCGATCCGGTCACAAATATTTCCGAGTTCCCGTCACGAGTAAAAACCGTGGGTTGGGACTTCACATCTATGGATCCTCATAATGAACAGGCTAAGCTCCCGATATTCTATCCTTCCCTACCATTTATATTCTATCTTCGCGAATGGGTTCCTCGCAGCCAACGGAATTCGATGGACTGAACGGCCAAGTTACACAGAGTACGCTCTTGTTGACTCAGCTCGTCGTTGCCATCCAGCTTTCGCATGTAGGCCGATCTCCCTGCGTAACTACATCGACAAGTACCTCTGGGGGTTTATAAAGCATGACATGGAAATGTTCTGTGGAACTCACGAATTAGGCACAGTCACTCATAATCATCACCTCCTCCTCAAGCGCGTCCTCACCCTCGCCCTCGGGATAATTTCAACTTACCTAACGCATGTACACTCTTCAAACTCTTCCAGTTCTTGAACCATACGATCTTCTCCCTCTCTATCCTCTTCCCAGCTTCTCCCTCACAAAACGTCTTTCCGATGAACTCGTCAATCTGCCTCTTCGCCTCCCGAGTCACCTCTCCCGTCTCTTCATTCTCGTCGATGGGAAATTTTGTCCATACAACAAGATGTTTGATCCCCTCCTCGACAAAGTAAGGCCAGTCGTTGTATAAAATCTTATAATCGGAAGGGTTGCTGAACGGTGCGTCCCCGCTGGGGGTGATGGTGGGCCAACCGAGACGATGTTGTTGGATGTATAAGAGAACAGAGCCGTAAGTCTTCTTGAGATGGTACGTGTAAGCAAGGTAACCACGGAGTTGGCTTGATGGCCGATGGAAGTGGTGGATATTGTTCGTCCCTTAGGCAACAGGAAATGTTAGATGTCATGATCGTAGCCGGAGCTGTCTTCATCCAGCTTTAGAAATCCCGCTATGCAATATGTTTGTCGTGCTTGGAACTTCACGGCCGTCTTCCCGCTGTAATTATAACCGCTTCCATGCTCACGACAGGGCAGACTTACGAACTAGTTCCTCGACCTGTTGCCAAGGATATCTCTTGAAATCTTCGTCTTTGCGGCTCAGGATTCCAATGTTCTTCTCGCTCTGCCCGAGCAAATAAGGCGGACACTCCTCCGTCCATTGCTCCTTCGGAACATTGATATTCCACCAAAGTTTTGAAAGATCTAGCACTTCCCCCGGGGCTGGCGTATTCTCCCGTGGCGTGGGATGAACTGAATGCGGCATTTCCTCCACAATCTGGATCTAGTCCACTACTCTTCAAAAATGTACTTGGTAACGTGTATTCTTTTGATCGCAAATATGTAAAGTCAGATCTGGGACTCCAGGCGTAGACAAGAAAATGCTACGGAAGGGTGTAACACTGACCAGGAGACCAATGGCTGCGCATGATTGGCCGACTGATATCGTTCTAAGGGTCTATCCGTCCTCAGATCGTCCTGCACCGGTGGCTTGGATCTATTTTATTATGGATGTCGGCCATGGTTGAATCATGGATGCGAGTTATTGTAATTGCAGTGCGCCTCTATGTTTAATGGGAAGAGCATGTTTGCAATCGAATGACTCGTGAGGGACACGACCTCCTCTTTTAACAGGACAACACAAGAGAGGAATTATCCACAAGTTGGTTTTGCGTCTCCGCCTCCGCCAGATAATATCCCGGTTCGTCCACCCCAGAGACGCTTGTGGATAGTGCTCTCTCATGTGCTGAACGACGTCCTCCAAGCCCTTAGGGGCCCCCCTGGCACATACAAACGGCAGGAGATAGTCGCATCTGCGAGTCATACCAAGTATATCTTGGCGACGGTTTCCCTTGGGGATTAGCAGGTATACGAGTTCCGTGTTTGGGTGAAGACACGGAGGCCCGCGAGACGTGCAAGTTTTGAAACGGACAGGTCATTCTCCTGAGCCTTGACGATAAGCTGAGTGCTTGAGAATGCCGTCAAATCAATAAATTTATATACCGAGGAGGCCAGCAAACGCGCCGGCACATGTTGAACAGATTGATTCATTTTGAATGCAGCTCCTTCTCTGACCTATTAGCATGTGAAGACATCGGGATTGAGCATCATACTGCTTTCACACTGTCGTCTTGGGATTGATGTGACTTGATCGACTTCAAGGGCCGAGAACCCGCCGAACCTCGTCACTGTCAATGCTGACCACAGTCACAGAACCTTGTGCTAAAGCACCCTTGACATCGGACCACGTCCCGGGGTCCACACATCTTTGGGCTTCTTCTATCACATATGTGGTGAAGCCGGCCTGTGCCGATCCAAGAGCAGTGTCTTTGACACAATAGTCTCCAGCCAGGCCAACAACATAGACGTGGGATACATGCTCAGCAGCCAGTTCTTGGGCAAGGTCATGACTTACACCTCCAGCACCAAAGGTCAGGTTACCAAAGGAATCGGAGAAGGCAGAGTACATTTCCACCCGGGAGTCCTGGCCCTTTTGGACGGTGAAGCGTACATTGGAGACGTCAAGTTCTGGAATGATCTCCGCCCCTCTGGTGCCCTGAACACAGTGGATGGGCCACAATCTTTGCTGCATTGTCTCGTTTGGGTTGTTGCCAACGAGGTTGTGCACTGTGACAAAAGACTCAAATGGTATGTTGTTTGGAGCGGGATGATTCGCCGCAAAAGAAATGTGGTTAGCTGGATGCCAGTCTTGGGTTGCCACTTTCAAGACGAAATGTGGTGAATCAAGGAGCCTGTTAATCAGTGGCACAATGTCCCGGCCTTCTGAGACCGCAAGCGAGCCATCCTATGCTTGTTAGCATTGAGGATGAGTACAGGTGTATCACAGAGGCTGTCCGTACAGGAGGACAAAAGTCGTTTTGCATATCAACCACAATGAGGGCGGGTCTAAAAGCCATGATCGTAGGGCCAACGTAGGCAGATCAACGATGTAGATAAAGGTGTCTTAATGTGCGAGAGGCTTGCAAGGACTATCTCTCAATGAGAAAGAAGAAGTGGTTCTAAAGTCTTGAGTGAAGCTCTCTCACAGAAGGAAGCTTTTTTCATGGGATGAGATGCTTGTTTGACGGGTTGAAGCTATTCAGAGTTGATGCAGTTGGGGGCAGCTGGGGGTTAATTCGCTGGAACCCGGAAGGAAGTTTATCACCAGGGCAGAGCCGCTGAACAAGGGAGCCAATGACTACCCAGTACGGGAGGCACGACGGGTTAGCGGGAGTCCTCTGTTCCTGGGACCCTTAGCCTGGTGCCCTGGCGCACCCCCAAGCAGGGTGCCCACTGCCCACCACCTGGTGGCTCACCAGGTCAAGCCAAGCCTTTGTTTGCGGGCGACGGGGTCATCTCTTCTCTTGCTCTTGTAAACTTGCCGTCATGCGTTATTCACCACCTCACATTCCATCACTTTAGATCAACCTCACATTGTTCCGCAGTTCTTGGATTTTACTTGAAGAAGATTCTGCGATTCCTTAGATGTACTGCAAATGTCTAGTGACAGGTGAACTGCACTGAGAATCCGACCTCGTCAGCCTAGCGGCTGTCACTCTTCCGTAACGTCACGGTGGTCGACACTTCGTCCTCATAACTCTGACATCTACGCTCGACACCTTCTCCCAGTTTCAGGGACCGGCGCATTGACAGGCTTGAAGGCCAGACAAAGCTCGAACGGTATCACGCTCATCGCCGCCGCATCATGTCCAAAACTTCGGTAGTAAGTATCTAGTGATTTTGCCTGCCGGGCTCAGCCTCTCTTTTTGCCCGGACAAAGAACCTCGCTTTGTCAAGCGCAGTCCTTGTTGTCTCCATCAAAGGCTAACCATGTCACCTGAACTAGGGCGATGTCTATGCGAAAGTCATAAATGATGTCTGCGAGGCGTCACGGCAAGACTTCGAGGAAGGCGGTGTTGAGCTGGCGACTCTTGAACTGCTGAAATCGGTAAGCCCATCTCCTGCCATCAAATGCGCATGATCGTGTATTGCATCCATTTCCAAAGACTGTCTCCATCGACCTCAGCATACTGTGCCAAAGAAGAGATGCACCGGCGAAGACGAAGATGAGGAATCCATTTGCGTTGGCATGGGACTGCGGGATTGTCGCAGGGCAGACGGCAGAGCGCTGAGGGCGAGCGTGGGCGAAGGTGGCGGGCGAGGCGGGGATCGGAAGGTTCTTGAGGGCACCCCCTTCCCTGACTCATACCCTCTTTTTATACGCCCTGAACGCCACCGCTGCGCCTGCGCACTACATCAGCCCACCCACTTGTTCTGCACTATTCCCCTTTTGGCTTTCGCAACAACGCCCGTCTCTGTTTTAGCGCGGCGCTGTGGTTGGTATACTGACCAAGTCCCTCTGCAGGAATGGCAGAAGAAGCTCTCTGGTCTCAAAGTCGCGCAGCTTCCATGGGATCCTCCTCCAGTCCCTGTCATCAAGGAACAGAGCGTCGTTCCCAGCAGCGCGAAGCCGACCCCACAAACTCTCCCGAGCAATGGAACCACTGTCAGCACTCCACCATCTCAACAGGCCGCTCCTCCAGCGCCTCAGATCAAGAGGGAAAATAGTGCTCCCTCCTTTTCTGCTCAGCAAGCCCCCCCTCCTCCTCAGCCTTACCAGGCTCCCTCATTCCAACAGGGCCAACCCTTGACAGCTCGCGATCGAGCGATCATGAATCTTCACCAGAGTTTTGGTCAACGAGCCGGGCCTCAGATTGCACAACTTCAATCCGGCAACCCACCTCGTGCACCCATGCAACAATCCGCCGCTCCTTCAAGCAACTACATCAAGCAGGAAGAGTCTAACTCTGGGTTCGCCGACATTCAGGACTATACCGCTGACATCAAATCTCAACCCCAAGCTGCCGTTAATGCAAGTCAAACCGATGGATCGTGCGATGCTCGTGATGGCTGGGAAACCGAATATGCTCGACGAAAAGCATTCGCCGCTGCACATGGTGGTGAAGGTGATGGTCTGATGCGTGCCCATTTCCAGGCCAAGCAGCAAGAACTCGAAGGTGGTGGTCTTCTGATGGCACTCGATGAACGCGATATCCCAAACAGAGCCCTAACTCGGAACCTCAAGACTCTTTTCGCATCGGAGGCCTGCGCCAACAACACAAGCATCAGTCGTGCACAAGGCGACGCGACAGGTGATGATGATGATGGGGATGACGATGAGGATGCCATCAACTCCGATCTGGACGATCCTGATGACCTGGCCGCAAACGAGGAGAATGGCGAGAATACGGATCAGGTCATGCTGTGCACCTATGACAAGGTCCAGCGTGTTAAGAATAAGTGGAAGTGTACCCTTAAAGACGGTATTTTGCGGGTTGAGGGTAATGAGTAAGTCCTAGTAGCCCCCCCTTGGTCTTCATTTCTTTCTTAGCTTTTGGGTGAGGCGGTATTGCGATTCTGACTTGTTTCGGAAATAGGTACGTTTTCCACAAGGGCCAAGGTGAATTTGAATGGTAAGAACAGAGCGGACGGCTTTGAGCATTGCTCCGTGAGCATCGCTCCGTAAGCATAAAGACACCTTATTGCTTACAAAAGCCTCCAAAACACAAACAAACCCTCTTTCATCCTACAATGGAAATGTCAATATGAAGTAGTGGCTGCACAATCCAGATCGGACAACAAAGCGCCATATCAATCCGACTCTGGGTCATGTCGGCCACATTTTTGTCAATTTTCTGATAACGCACGGCGTTCCCCTGAGTCTTGCTGTCATGCCTGGAAATCGAGATTGATGTGATGCGGAACGAAATGAGCTCGACTTTCAGCGGGATGGGAAAGGGGCTGGTGGACACCGTTACCATTTCTTGTCTCTGCTGCTCGTCGGAGGAGTGGCTGTGCAATGCGCTGCTGCGTGCTTTGAAGATCTGTTTTCTCGTTTTGACAGGTTGGGCCGGGAGGATGACTTTTGAAGCACTAAAATGGAGCTGAGGAGTCCGAAGGTGAATGAGCTTATCTGCACATATTACGAGGGATGGGTAGTGAAGGCCAAAAGTCTCGTCTGGCAGAGACAGCTGGCATAATGGCCTCGCACGTAGAGCTACAGGATTGCTAGTTTCTGCGAAGCACTGAGAGCCGATTCCATTTTCACGATTCAAGAACAAAAACAGTCTCGATCTTGTTTAAGACTATGCAATTCCAATAACTTGTGATATCCATGCCTAGTTCCTGGCACAAGAGTGACGTTTGTAAAGCTGAAAGGGATGCGAACTTGGCGTTGAGATTGCACCGTACCCAGTAGTGCCTATCTGTGTAAAGCTGTGTGCAGTGAGGGCAAAACTGCGCTAACGTAGAAAACAGACCACCGTGGCAAGTCCCTCGGCGGAACATGCAGCTCGGCTTGTGCAGTTATGACGCGTGACTGGAGCAGTTCTTTTGAGCAGTTGCACCTGTGATAGCAGCTGACGCCCACCTGCGCTTGGGGTCGACAAACCAGTGACGCAACAAAACCGGCCCACAGAAGCACAGAATTACACCGATTGTCGCCTGCAGACTCTGGCCTTTTATTTATTGTCTGGCTCAACTTGAATTCGTGTCCTCTCTGTTCTCCAAGCACTGCATCCAAGTCGCCTGCGACTTTTATCTGTGTCTGCACCCTCTACTCCTTCACATTGTCCTTCCAATCTCCCTGATTCTCCTGCCATTGAAGGCAGACCTCCCTCAATCAGACCTAAACCGCAAACATGACGCTCTACTACAGCCTGGTTGGTCATCCCTCGTCGCTTGTATCCTACTTGTGATACCGGCTGGCTGCGACCTGCGACCACTGATGCTGACCATCTAATGTAGGTTTTTGTGCTCCTGGTGGCGGAGATGGTCATGTTTCTGGCCCTCATCGTCCCCATGCCATTCACAGTCAAGCGAAAAATGTTCAACTTCATCTCTGAAAGTCCAATTGTGGCCAAGATCCAATATGGAATGAAGGTATGCTGCGACTTCAGCAGAGCCGACTTTATTCGACTGACAGTTCGCGAGATCACCTTCATCTTCATTCTCATCCTATTCCTCGACAGTGTCAACAGAGTCTACCGAGTCCAGGTTGAAATGGCAGCTTTTTCGAAGGACACCTCTGGTGCAGGGTATGACATAAGATCACACGTCGACCTTCTGGACGATCATGACTGATCATAAACAGGCGAGCGGCTGCAATGGGTTCGGAGCGGATGGAGGTCCAAGCCCGCAAGTTCTATTCTCAACGCAACATGTACCTAACCGGCTTCACCCTTTTCCTGTCCCTGATCCTCAACCGCACCTACGGCATGATCCTTGATGTCCTTCGCCTCGAGGAGAAGGTCAAGATGTACGAAGGAGACAAGCGCGCCGGTGGCAAAGAAGGAGAGAAACTCAGCGAAGCGTACCGGGCCGACCAGATTGGTGAACTCAAGAAGCAGCTCAACAAGAAGGATAAAGAACTGGAGGCGATGAAGAGCCAAGCGCAGGGTCTGCAAAAGGAATATGACGAACTGAGCGTCAAGTACAACCAACTGAACCCTAGCGGTGGCGACAAGAAGAGCAACTGAAGCACTAGCCAACGCACCACCCATCTGTCGAGCTCGACCCTAGCACCAAGATCTTCTGCTGTTGTGCTTGGAAGCTAAAGCGTTTGCTTGCGGATGCAGACCTCGAACTCGACTGGCTGTAGGGAAAGTACCGAGTAGAAACTGGCGGAAGGCGGCAAAAGAAGACAAACCGTGGACGTGGCATTTCACCGGACCTGACAGGTGAGAAGGTTGGGTTTGATTATTATCTGCTGAAGGTGGTCATAGGAAAATAGATTTAACTGTTCGATGCGTACGCGGCCAGCACACTCATGGCGCTTTGGATTCCCATTAGCTCAAACAGGATGCTTCTCGTTTCAATTTTCTAGGTTGTTTTCGAGAGTGACCATCGGGGCAAGCGGTCTAGCAAACAACATCTGCCGTACGGAGTGCCCAAAAGTGGCCCAATTGCCCGGTCACCAGCCTCATAGGGGGCTGCACGGCCTTGCCCTGCTTCTTTGCATCCTCAATGACGGGGTGGCTGATCCGAGAATGAGGAGATCAAAGTCTAAGTGTGGGGAAGCCAATGACGTCTATCCATTTTCCTTTGATCTCCATTTTATGTGGCTTCTGTTTTGATATACGGCTAATATCAACTGCAGCTTGGGCAACTTGGGGTCACGCCCACAATGCCATTTGCAACTCAATGCCGGTCACTGTCCGATGGCCACGGCATTCGCGGTGCCTCGTGCGACCAGAGCAGAGCAGACCGACTTTACCCTGATGATACAAAAAACTGCGTGTCCTCGAAAAGCCACTTTCGGCTTCCTCAACCTCGCGAATCCCATCCACATCCTCTGCCAGGGGATCTCGAGGTAAAATGCGTCTCTTATTCTTCATTGCCGCCTGGTTTTTAGCAAACTGCTCCGCCCATCCCCAGTACAACCCACAACCGTATCCACCTGTCCTCCGTTCTCGTCAAGCGTCCTCTGGGAACAGCTCTTCTCTCCAAGTTGACCTTGGCTACGAGGTCTACGAGGGCTATACTAACTCAACAACGGGATTGAACGTGTGGAAAGGGTACACCTAAGCTGCTTCCCTTCTCAAGGAACCCCGAACTGATCTTAACCTTAGCATCCGGTTCGCAGCCCCTCCAACTGGCTCACACAGGTGGCAAGCTCCTCAAGCTCCTCAAACAAACCGCGATGCTGTGATCCAAGCAAACCATTTTGGACCCATATGCCCGCAAAACCAGGATACAACGAATACATTGGTGCCCCTTAACAGTACAGGATCGAGCGAGGACTGTCTGTTTCTCAACGTATATGCGCCACCAAACGCTGCCAGTCCGCTCCCAGTGCTTTTCTACATTCACGGCGGAGGGTATGGGAGAGGTAACGGTCAGCAGGACTTATCGGCTATCATTAATGCTAACAATAACTCGTTCGTTGGTGTGACCATCCAGTACAGGGTAGCTCTTTCAACCCGTTCACATGGAATCCAAACGCTGACCTGCCTCAGCTTGGGGCCTTTGGGTTTCTTGCCGGCGATGAAGTCTTTCGAAATGGAGTGGTCAACGCTGGCTTGCTAGACCAGTATCTTGCGCTTCAGTGGGCGCAAAAATACATCTCTTTGTTCGGAGGCGATCCCAACCACGTGACAATCGCTGGGCAATCAGCAGGTAGGTTCCCACCGTCCGTGGTTTGATATTTCCCACACGAGGAAAGCCCCGTTGCCTACTTGTCTCAATGGAGACACATGCTAACGGATTTCGCAGGAGCTGGATCTGTCATGGTAAGTTATTCGTTCAGATGAGGAAGGCAGCTGCCGCGCTTCTTTCGACAGAGATCAGCTGATACAGGACTTTTAGTTGCAAGACATGGCCTATGGTGGCTCCCAGGGCCAATCCCTTTTCAGAAATGTAGGATTCCTGCTACGTTTTGCGTTGTACACGATTTGACAGAGCCAGACGATCGCCTCCTCGCCATACCTACCCATGCAGTACGGATATAAGGACTGGCAGCCTTCTCAAGCATACTACGCCTTCGCTTCGATGGTCGGTTGTGCACCGACCTTGCCCTATGGTGCTCATCCAAATACAATCTTTGAATGTCTGGTTAGCCAAGATTCGGCTACATTGCAAAATGCAAGCGCTACCCTATCCGAGTCTGGCAAATATGGGACGTGGGCGTTCTTACCGGTAACGGACGGCATCTTTGTCCAAGATCTTCCCAGCCGCCAACTCTTGCGCAAAGAGCTTAATGGACTAAATCTATTAGTGAGCAATAACGCCCTTGAAGGACCGGCATATACGCAGCCCAACATTACGACAGAAGACGACCTAGTGGCGTGGCTGCAGTTGACGTTTCCACTTTTCACGAACGATGAGATTGCAAAAGTGCTCCTTTACTATCCCAGTTCGAACGAGTCGACGAAACTCGATGCCCCTTTGTATGCTTCGTCAGGTACCGGCTCACCCAGTTTCATCAACCAGAGTAGCGTTGCGACGGGGCAGCAGCAAAGAGCCTTTGTGGGTGTTCAAAGTGGAATCCGAGCATTATGGCGGCCACTGATTTGAGGTCAGGCCATTTATTCAGAGACAACCTTTGTATGCCCCTCGTACTGGATGGCAGAGGCCTACAGCGACCACGGACGCAATTCATTCAAGTATCAATATTCTGTGCCTATTGCTGTTCACGGGACCGACTTGACTGCTTACTTTGGACCTCCGACGCCGAATCAGAGCCCCGACTTCGTCAATGCAGCTATGAAGATTTGGGGTAGCTTCATCACCTCAGACAACCCGTCTATTCCCAATGCTGTTGCGAACGGGCTCTCGTCCAACAGTACCTTCAGCAACCCGGCTTCCGATTGGCCTCCGTTCAAGATGTACTCACCATATCAGATCAACCTCAACGTGACCGGGGGCACGCCGTTCTCGTTCAACTTGTCCTACATTAAAGCCAACTTGACAGAATATGGGGAACCGGGGTTGGTGAACAACTTCACCCTGGTCGATGCGTATACGTGGGAAGCTGGGAGAGGATATCGCTGTGACATGTGGAGGAGTTTAGGATCTATCGTGCCTGAGTGACAGACTGGGGGTTGTAGAAGGTCTCACAGAAAGAGGGAAAGGTGGGACGGAGTACATAGCCGCAAACGGGCTTCACGGCAGAGCAGCTTTTGCCCATTCAGGCAGTCCTCAAGCTCCGCTCGCTCATCGCACATCTGCTAGCCGTCGAAATACAGGTTCTGGGCGATCTCCACGTCGGTCAGTAATCAAGACATGGATATTGTGCCAGTTGTTTTGGTTACCTGGCGGGCTTTCAAATGCCTCGGTCTTCATTCGATGGCCGACCTCATTACACGTGCGGCCAGGCTCGTCCAAGTGTGGCTGCCCGGCAACATCTGGCTTGTGCTGCAGCTAGTAAGTAGCAGTAACTACTGCATGCTTCCTTCGATCCAACTTTGGTGTCGTCCTGCGACTTACCTCTTCCGATCCTTGTTCCACGCAAAGTTCCAAAGGGTCAAGCCGTGCCGTCATTGCTCCAACATGCTTCTGTTCGACTTGACTACGATCAGATAGACAGTCTTAGGCACAGAGCCAAGGCAAATCCGCGTGCAGCCGACCCAGAATCTGGCTTGAGCGTGGTTTCCCTGGCCAGCTCATGTCCGCAGCCTCGTCATCAATTGGTTCATTCCTCCCGCCAAATATGCACCCGGAAGCTTGTCCTTGAGCCTGATTCTCCATGGTTGCCTGGCAAATAGCATCTTCAAGGATCACCGGTATTGAGGAAGCGTGGGATGCGAGGGTCGACGCCTTTCGTCAGTGCGAATTGGAGATGCCAGAGCTTTGCAAGCTCTGAGCTCCCTTCAAAAGAGCTTACCATCCCCCCAGGTGAGACAGAGAGGAAAAAAGGTGAGGTGCAATTCTCTATCTCTCTTCCAAGAGCTCTACTGCAAAATGTTGCAACTACTCGTGTTTGTCACCTTCATTGGTGCTACATTAGCTAGCTACGGGGCGAATCTGAACTACCGCTCTCCTTCTCTTCATCACCCTGCTCTAGGGATCTCGGTGCGGAAGGTCGTGAAGCGACATGTTGAGAGACAAGCTTCGCCAGCCTCCCAGCTCAACTTCACCCACGGAGTTGCTTCTGGTGACCCATACCCAAACAGCGTGATTCTGTGGACACGATGTGCTCCTAGCTCGGACGACGTCAAGAGTAATAGCTCTACCAGCGGTGTCGTGCCGCTGTACAATCCTGTCCCGATCTACAACGATACCGATGAGGGAAAGCCGCCGTCCACCTCTCCCGTCTGCCTGACCTGGAAGATTGCGAGTGACAAGGCGTTATCATCTGTGGTCGATCAGGGAACCGTATACACGAGCTCAGACGTCGACTACACTGTGAAAGTCGAGGCTTCAAACCTGCAGCCTTTCACCCAATACTACTATCAATTCACCATCTGCAACAGCAGCGTTTCTAGCATGGTCGGCAGAACCAAGACTACGCCCATGGCTGCTGACAATGTGACTGGAGTTAACCTGGCCGTCTACTCCTGCAGCAATTTCCCCTTCGGTTTCTTCAACGCATACGGTAACCCTGTCCGCAAAGATTCTGTAGACTATGTTCTCCACCTCGGCGACTATATCTACGAGTATGCCAACGGTGAGTATGGTTGGGGTCAGACCATTGGCCGTGTCCCCTTACCGGATAGACAGATATTTACTCTCTACGATTACCGCAAGCGGTGAGTAGATCTTGTCCCCTTCATCTGTCCAACTCTGTGATGCCAGCGATGGTACTGACTCTACTCGTGCTTTAGTCATGCTACCTACAAGACTGATCTGGATCTGATTGCCAGTCACGCGAACTTCCCCTGGATCGCCGTCTGGGATGACCACGAGGTGGCCGACAATACCTACCGTGATGGCTCCTCGGAGCTCAACAACACCGAAGCGTCCTTTATTGAAGATGGAGGCGTCTCTGTGGATCAAAGAAAGATGAACGCTGTTCGAGCATATTTTGAATGGATGCCTATCAGACAAGTCGAGATGGGTGATGATGTAAGAAAATATGGTCTAGGAGAAGTTCGTTCTGACACTCGATTTAGCTTCGAATTTGGCGGTCGTTTTCCATTGGCAACCTCTTCGACCTCATCATGCTCGATACTCGCCAGTATGACCGCTCCATAACCGACCTGTATTGGAACACAGACTATGTCCACGAAATATCCAACGATGCCGGTCGCTCCATGATGGGATCTCGCCAGGAAAATTGGTTCTACCAATCCCTTATCAACTCAAAGAACCGTGGTGCCACGTGGCGCGTTATTGGATCCCAGACCGTCTTCAGTCGTGTTAACGAGTCTGTCGCGTACGGAAATGTCAATCCCCTCGACTATGATGCGTGGGACGGGTATCTCGGGAACCGCAACCGTACCTTGCAGACGTTGTACAGCAACAACATCACCAACAATATCATGATCTCAGGAGACAGTCACGCAAACTGGGTCTCCGACCTTGTTTGGTTGGACACTCATCCTTATGACCCCGCGACCGGCGCAGGGGCCATCGGTGTTGAGTTTGGCGGCACAGCCGTTTCGTCCCCTTCACCTTATGGCGCAAACATCTCCATTGCGCGCAGCGTCCAAGCCAGCCAGTGGCTCGTAGGTGCCAACCGCGAACTGCAATGGCAAGAGATCTACTACCGAGGTTACTACGAACTGCACATCACACAAGAGCAGGTTAGCGCATACTACTTTGGAATGCCCACGGTGGTCACCCGCAACCCGAACGAGATCTCTCTGGCCAATTTCACCGTCGTCAACGGCGAGAACAGGCTTCATCGCTTCAATGGGACAGTCGTGCCCGGTCCTGTGGAGAACGGCTTTGTCAAGTTCGGACACACCAAGCAGACCAATATCACCAATGCGACAGACACGGGACTGTACTTTATCAGCCACGCGGGACTGGAAGTGCTTTGAGGGAATTGCTTTGATCAAACCGAAAGGCAGTTAGGTGATGACACGTTCATGAGCGGACGGTGGTTGACAAGAGGAAGACACCTTCCCATACATATAAATAACAACAATTCCGGGCGATATAATAGATTTGGTTATTGAAACCACCACTTCGCCATAGACTTCGTCTCACATGAGCGGCTTTTCCTACTCCCCTGTCCTCGCTAGACTCTATCTCTGTAAGGAACGGAATCCTTTCCTGACTACCGCACGCACCCGCAGTCGGTAAACATCGTTCAAGTGACTACCGAGTACAGAGTCAGACGGACTGTGAGGCTGAATCCGAGTCTAAGTCCCGCCTGTATTCCTTCCTACTCTGTGGCTACCGGATGTCCACTGTCGTGCTGTGGGTAGGCAGGATTAATCAAGTACCTCGTGCTTTGTACTACTCCAGAGCTTGAGACAGCCTCACAAGGCTGACCGACACTTACGTTGCGATTGACATTGTGGCACATTTAGGCAGACGCCGCCCAATCAGAGCGACCGGACGGGGGAAGAAAATACAGGGCTTGATTTGCTAGGTCGCTCAGGATGAGCACCGCCACAGAATTAGTATGACTGCTTAGAAGCACCAGAGCTGACCATGGGTATCAGTGCCACGTACTTGCACGTATTACGTGTAACGATCTACCGGATTGCCTCGTCTGTGATCTGCACAACCACGACAACGAGAGAAACCAAGGGCGAAGTATTGACTTTGGGGCTTTTTGCGTTTCGAGTGTTCGAGTTTGGGGGGATTCTGGATACTGGACAGCGCGATTCTGCCCTGCGCTGGGAAGTCAAAAAAGCCACCACGCGAACGAAAACACACGAGACCAAGCAGACCAAACAGACAAAAGGGCAAATGATCGGACCGTCAAACGAACAAACAAACCAACAACGATCGAACAATCCATCAATCGGACAGAGGAACCTCTGATAGAGGAGGAGGAGGAGGATTCTGTCACCTGTTCACTCTTGCCTTTCCGCGAAACACACTCACTCACTCACCGGGGGACAAATTCCCCCAATTCCACTCACTCACTCACTCACTTATTCATGTATTTTTTGTTTTTGTTTTTTGTTTTTTTTTTTTGGTTTTCTAGGAGAGGAATATTCTTTCCTGTCCTCTTTTATATTTCCTCTTTTCTTTTCCTCTCCTCCCCCTCCTCCTCCTTAAGACTTGATCTCAGTTTGCAATCAAGGAAAGGCTTTTGGACCTTTGTTCTTTCTTGGAGACAAGGATAAGAGAAAAAAGCGAGAAAGGGGAACGGGAAAAAGAAAGAGAGGACTTTTCTCAGATCTACGATCACACAGATCCATCCCTTCATTCAACGCCGACCAACTTCACGACCACGACAACGACAACGACGGGGGATATTTTCAGCCTATCTCAGCACCGGCGCACACCTTTGCCATACGGGATAGAAAACATATTATATCATACCGCGACAACCACTAGGTGACCATGCCCTCCCCGCCCGGCCTGCTGGCCTCCTGCGTTCCCCGCGTTGGCGTCGCCGTGTTCATCCTCCACGCCGATCTCAGCGACGACACCACCACCGTGGATAATTCCACCGTCCCATCCGACTCCAGGCGGTCCCAACGACCTAAATTCCTGCTGGGTCAGCGTCTGGGCTCGCACGGCGCAGGGACCTGGGCGTTGCCCGGTGGGCATCTGGAATTCGGCGAGTCCTTTGAGGAGTGCGCTGCTCGCGAAGTACGTGAGGAGACAGGGCTCGAAGTGGAAGAGGTCCAATTCCTCACCGCGACGAATGATCTGATGCCGTTCGAATCGTCCCCGACAACAGAGCAAGGGAAGGAAGGAAGCGTCAAGGGGAAGCATTATGTCACCATCTTCATGACCGCGCGAGTCAAGGCCAACGACGATCAGACAGAGAGCAAGGCGATGCCGGAAGCGAAACTGCTCGAGCCAGAGAAATGTGCTGGGTGGCATTGGGTGTCATGGGACGACTTGGAGCGATGGGCGATACCACAGCTTGCGAAGCTCGACGGTGAAGAGACCACCGCAGAGCGAGCAAAGCCACGATCGAGAGTGGAGGGAGAAGCAGGAGATCGACAGATCACCCATTCGACAGAGGCGAAGAGCCAAAAGGGTGTGGAAACGGATGGTTCTGCAGCTGACGGCATCGCCCGCACATTATTTTCTCCCATGATCTCACTTCTGGTCCAGCGGCCTGAGGCGATTCCTGGTCAGAATTGAAAACGCCTGGATCGCCAACGGATGGCTCTATGCAAGGTGACGCTTGATGGAATTCCCTTCCCCCATGCCCTACCCCCAGAAAAGTGAACATAAGATGTAAGAAAATCCTTGCTGTCCGTGCAACACAACGAAAAAAAGGCCTGTGCAAGGGATGCGCAACACAGTTGGGAATGGGGTTGGGTGGGAAAGGGAGATTGGAAGGAAGACAATGCCTTCCCAACTAGTCAAAAATAGCGCACACAGGTTCCATCACTTCAATTGGTCAAGTTCGTGACCGCTTTCTTGTTGATGCTTCCATTTCCGTCGGAGCAAGCACTCCGAATCACCCAGCATGTCCAGCTCCCGCCACGTACGTAGAGGCCGAGGCGTGCAGAATATCCCAATGCGAAACCGGTGTGATCAATGCAAAACTGGCGTAATGTGATTCCCCTCGATCGATATCCGTCTCATTCCTCGTCGCGTCTTTTTGTTTTCTCTGAGCAGGCCGTCACTTCGTCAAACCAGTCATGCTGACCGATGGCCTCAAGACTGGAGAACTCCGATGGCATGCAATCTCTTCCTCAGATCATTATACAAATTCATTATGCGTTGATGGTGGAGTTGATCGCCAGATGCATACCAAGGTCTTACCGAAGAAAATGACTGAACAAGATTGATGGTATCGCGTCGTGAAGTCGTAGCTTGTGAATTAGGGGATTCAATGACCTTGTAACATGTGGCCAATGCGCAAAATGATCGCCACCACCGCCCAAATATCCCTGGCTCGCGGTGCTGGTATGGCGCTGACTGTCTGCTGGCTCGCTAAAAATGAAAGGCTGGTGAAATATGGTCCAACGTCCTTGGGTCATCGCAGCATCCTAGCAGGGCCAGTGGGATGAATTTTGGGCTCCAAGGTCCAAGGCAGACCATTGACAAGTGGCATTTGTTCGGCGGCGGGCCTGATTGCGCGCGGCGACTGCTGCTGGACATTCTTATTGCTCGGGGATGCATTTGGCCTTGGAGGACCAGGCTCAACCTTGGATTTGGTATCTGTTCTTCCATGAGGAAAACTCGACTCTGAACTGTACTTGGGGGAAGGAGGCTTTCCTGGCGAGGAAGCCGATGTATTGGCAGAAGTGGGCGTTGCGGGCTGACTGCCGGATTTGTTGTTGGGCTTTCCAGGCTTGACCGAGAAGAAGAGTTCGTCCCTTCTTCTTATATAGTCGCGTGCCGAAGGAGAATTGTGATACAGGATCGGCTCAGGCACTCGAATTGAATTGGACTCGGCGGCCTCGGCAAAGGCGCGTTGATATGCGATCTCACCGTAGGGATCTTCTATGGGAGCAGACCTGTTGGCATACGCCACGTCTGGTCGATAGCCTCGTGCAACCCATGGGTGGTTGGGATCTCTCGGTGAAATATCGCGGAGGTGGTCGGCGCGCCTTTTGGTCATCGCTTTCCGCGGTTTCCTTTCCCCGTCTCTGCAAAGAGAGAGAGATGGTGATGACGATGACGACGACGATGATGACGATCACAGTGGGATGAGGTATCGGGGAGAGCGGGTAAATGTGTGTGAGAGTGTGGGTGAGACGGGGAAAGAGACGCCTTGGGGGGGGGAGGATGGCCGTTAGAAGGACGAACGGCGCTTCACAGATGAAGTGTCTGAGAAGGGTATTTTCCTTCTCTCTTGCTGTCTCTCTCTCACACACACACACTCTCTCTCTCTCTCGCGCGCGCGCTCGCTCTCTCTCACTCACTCACTCTCACACTCTCTCTCGGATTTGAGAGGAGGGGAAGCTGAGGGTTGGAAACGTGGACGATCCCGTGGGAACAAAAGGTCTTTCACCGAGTTTGAAGTTGGGTAAAACCTTAACTGGAACATGGGGGGATCCGGGGGAAGGAACACCGCCCAATTGGCTACCAAGCTACCCCCTAGGCGAGGAAGCTGCAGGTGGGTGCAGCAAGGGTGGGTGCAGCTGGCGCCAGAGGGAACTCCCTGTACTTGTTACTTCTAGGCACGCTACAGGTGGACCAGTGTGGACAGTACTGGGTAGTGGTGGCAGGTTCACCAGGGCTGCAACCATGGAGAATTTTCCCGCCTAACAGCACCCAGCAGCCCGACCCTACCTAGGTATTTGGGGGAAGTCAAGGGAAGCCCAGCACCAGCTCCAGCTGCACCAGCAACCACCTGACGGGGTCTGGCGAGACCACTGACAAGCCAGCGCGGAGCCCGGCCGCAAAGCCGCCCACCCACTGAAGTCCAAGCAGGAAAATAACCAGACGGCCTGGACGGGCTCACGGCTCACGGATCATTCGCTCCTTCTCTCCACCCACTCTGAGAGAACCAGCTTGCTCAACTGTTCTCGGATCGCTGCATGATGCCCTAAGGAAATGCACATCATCCTCGAGAGACAAACAACCGTAAGTAGGTATCTCTTCCAGTGTCTTGCATCCCTTCCCTCCCCCCACTTGGGCCTCTGAGAGATGGAGTTGCAATTTCATCATGAGATCCACCAAAAAGCCCACCCAAACAACCCCTTGGGCCTTGAGGGCATTGCAGGACATTGTTATTATTCACCGAAACGCACTGGCACCACTGGCTCGGATCAGCTTTCCCTGATGATACCGATGGCGCCGACATCATCAAAGATCGTCGGCCTTGTCGATAAAGAGACTTTTCCGCGCACGGCTGATCAGCGGCTGCTCCGACAGCGCGCGAACACGAAGCAGCACATGTCAAAAGTTTCAGCATCCCTTCGCCCATCTCGTATCTGACTGTGAGTTGGGTTACTCGACCACCAGAAGGTAACTGCCGTGTCTAACCCAGCCAGTGGGCGCTGCAGGAAATCGGGAAGGCAACCAGGTATCCTCGACTTATACCGACATATTGGGACCAATTGATGTGCCCGCCGGGTCCCTTTCCTGCTCGCTATTGAAAGTCGGCGTCGTCCTGGTTAACCCTGTTGGGAGTAACCGGCCAGGTGTGCTGCTCAACCAACCCGATGCGGCGGTTGTCGCCGTTCAAGACTACGACACACTTGACACAACGAAGTCGCCTTGGTGGCAAGAGATCAAACGTTAAAGCATGGTTGGTTGGGGGAAGTCCAGGGAGTCCAATGGCGCACGGTGTCCAAAATAAGAGCCTGTGTCTGACATCAAGACTGCTGCGTGCCGAGCACTCTCACCTGGAGAGCTCTCGCCACCTTGATTGAGTACCTCCGAGGGAACAGAACTGTTGTCTTCTCCGGAGGGTTGGACACCCGCAATACCTAACAAGGAGGTCTGGGAGGTGTCTACCCAGTAGGCCTTGGGCAAACCAGTCGGCATGCCTACCTACTACCCAGTAGTATACAAGTACCCAGTACCTAGGTACGCATGCCTATTCGCATGCCGCGGTTTACCTGGGAGCGATAGAGGGGGAACGCCCTGTCAGACAGCAGCGCATTTCCGAGTGGCCCATCGTGTGTTTAATATACTGCAGCTGTGATTGGGTCATCGGGGGTCCTTATCAGCTTGGGGCGGCCTAGTCCCTTGGGCCTTTGAGTCCAGCCAATGTGTGACGGCGGTGATGACATGGATATCCATACCATCAATCATCCAGGGTTTCTGGTCTCGCGACCAGACGACAGACTTCCTCACACAGCCTTCCGCGGGCAAATGCTTCTTGCCCTTTGCTCTCACATACTATTCTGTACCTACTATGTACTTGTACTCTCTGACCTCTTCGATGTTTTCCCCAGATATTCCCTCCCGGTGCCGCTGTTCGATTCCTTTGGTAGAACTTCGTCTCTTCAGACAAAGAACGGGCTGGCGCACACCTCTCTAGCTCGATCCCGCCGTGTCTTATCCCTCCCTTTTTTATCTGTTATCGTCCTCCCGCGATCATCCCACTCTTCACAAACCATCTCTCTCTCTTGTCTACCACTCACCTCCCACCCCACCTCCCACGTTTTCGACAGCCTCAACTCAAAAGGCCCATCTGGTTGCCTTTCGATCTGAAAGATCACCCAGTGCCTATCAGAGACCTCTCCCTGCGCCTCTGAGATCATCCTCGGTACCGAAAACGTGGTTGGAGCGTTCCGCGGGCAACTGATTGCCTTGTCATCAGCCGCAATTCCATTCCATTGTCGACACCGACATTAAGCGCATTCACAATCCTCTGCACCAACATTGTGGCGCAGAGATATCTCGGGAGCCATTGTACAACTGTGACCCACCCGCTTAATATACTTAATCGACCTGGCCTAACAACACGTTCCCGAGGCTCTCTTCTCTGCTCTGCTCCAGTCCGCGCCCAAAGAACAATCAACACGTCTGAATTCGAGCAAATGGCCACCAACTACACGACCCAGCCATATGCGATCCCCGATTACATGAGTCAACAACCATCCCCAGCTAGTTCGACGTCGCCCACCTCGCCTCGCATGCAGGACTACATTCAACAGCATGCGCCCAACCCCTACAAGCAACTGCGGCCGCTCAAGTCTCCCCTCTACGTACCGGCCGCGCTACGACCAACCGAACATTTTTGCACGCCCTCCCCCATGACCCCGCCCAAGAGTCTGCATGGATCGTTGGACAGTCTGCCGGAAGACGAAGGTCGGACAGCGAGTCCAGACCATCAATACGAGTTAGGCCTGGAGGCCTTTGACCCTGATTGGGTTCAGGAGGAGGAACTGGGTGAAGTTACAGGCCCGCCAACCAGAGAACATTGGAAGGTACGTCAAGGTTCAGTGTCACTCAGTCAATTTGGCGATGGCCGACCTCAATTCTCGGCACGGCTGCGTCAAGCCAATGCCACCTAGGACGTGCATTGAGACATACCGATGGATGCTAACACGTATATTCTACTCCAGCCCGACGAAGCTTCACCCACTTGTGACTCGCCACAATGTCGCTCCTCGTTCAGTCTGTTTGTCCGCAAACACCATTGTCGCCACTGTGGGCATATCTTCTGCTCCTCACACACCCCGTTCACGATTCCTCTCAACCAGTATGCCCAATTCCATCCCGATGGCGTACCCTCCAGAGCATGCGAGGTATGCCATCGGCAGTATCAACGCTGGGATACTGCCAGGTCCATCCGTCGCAAAAACAGCCAGAACAGCAAGGATGACTGCAGCAACGAGAGCGGCCCTCCGACGCCTCTCGCGGGACCGACAAGCCACCGAAGGATGGTTTCCAACGGCATTCGTACGGGCAAACCCGTCGAGGACGTCGCCAACAGCGTGCCCAAAGATTGGGCCTGGAGCACTTTCTGAGCGAATTTCTCGCCCAGCTGCCCGCCATCCGGGTGCCATTGGGGACTCCGGCGGAGTACTCCACCGATTTTATGCACGTGACACGGGCTCCACCGCTCGCCTACCGGAAGCCTTCCTTTGCAGGGAAACAGAGCCCTCGAGGCTGGAACCTCGGCGCATCGGCGCATCGGAGGGGCGCCGTCGCCGTTTGGGACAGCCCCGAGAGTCAGCGACTAATGGTGGCGTACTTACTCGATCGGTTATCTGCGGGTGTGACTAGTCCGTACCTGATCGGCCGTTGCCTGTCAGGCTGAAGGAGTGCCACTCCAGATGGCTGTGATGGCTTCCAGTCACGAGGTGCGAGTCTTTGTATATGTCAGATTAGGGTCCGCATTATCATATGATCGGAAAATTGTCCTCGCACACATCGACTGCCAGGCGAAGTGACAGAAGGCAGCCATGGATGTGTCCAGCCCACGCCGACAAAAAGCTGGACCCGGGAGACGATGCGACGCGCCATATGCCATGCCTACGTAAAGCGGTGTGGTTACACGACGCTAGACCGACAAGGGTCGGTGCAAAATATCCTACCCCGGAGCAGCGGAGCAGACGTCTGACCTGTGGGATTGTTCCGACTTAGTCATGCGCGATAAGTATAGACGACAAGGGAAGCGGGGAGGGGGAAAGGATCTCTGGTTTCCATTTTGAGGAGGGGGAAATACGAGTGCTCATGCACGCCCCGGCTGGGTCGACCTCTTTAGCGAGCCCGGTTTTTCTTGACGATTGCGATACCCAATGGCACTCTTCCCAACGGGAAAGGGCAAGGGAAAGGGGGGTTTTCTGTTCTGTTCTTCCTAGACTTATCAGGGATATTATTAGGGATAGCAGTACCCAGGCATCCTGGATAGATTATGGGGCGGGGCGGTTATTTGATGCGTTTTATACGTGGTATACCAGGTCGGTGCAGGCACATTGTCAAATTTTTTTTTTTTTTAATTTACTGTACGTCAATAGCAGTAACAAAGACAAAGACTGTTCTAGAAATGATTCATCTCTTGTTTCTCTCTGATTTCCTGATTTAAGACAGGCTCACGGCTTCACGTCTACGGTACGGAGTAGTATAGACCACACCAAGATGACGTCAGGCCTTTTGGACAGAATAGACCGTGGCGACTCTGAATGGGCCTGCAACAGGAGAATAGGCGGCGGGGGGACATCTGTCTGTCATATTCCACTTGATAGATCCGTTGAATGGAAGACAAGGATTCTGGCTTTGAAGGCAGGCGGTCGCGCGTTACATTCACCCCATTAGCTGCCCCAAATCCTCCGGCGGCCACCTCGTCTGTGCGAAGCTGATGCACCGCTTAATACTCTGCAGAAACTTCCGCGTCACCTCGTCACTCATGATATGCGCCTGTTTCCCGCTCGAGCTCTCATGCAGCTTCTCTCTTGCGGACCGTTCGTGGATACCAACCATGGTCACACCGATCGGCCATGCCGCCTTGCCGATCGACAAAGTAAGATACTCGTCGTTTGCCTCGACGTACCGTCTCTTCTGGGCGGAGCGCACAATCTTGCAGATCGGTTCAAGCAAGCTCGGGTCGAGGGATTGTTTCTCGAACTGCCGGAACAGAGGGGTGAGGTCTTTCAACACGACGAGATAGTTGTTGTACGCGGCTTTGCCGCTGGAGGATTGCTTGACCAACTCATCTCGTTCGGAGAGCGCCTGCGACCATTCGGTGAGTAAGAGCGTGAAGTAGGACGCAAGCTGGCGATAGAGGAATGCGTGTTCTTTTGTTCCCGGTTGAAGAGGAAGGGTTGAGGGCAGGAGCATGTCCTTTGCCGCGACGGGTTCTAATGTGGTTGGGATAGGTCCATTGCTCAGCTTTTGTGAAGTCGCCAGAGCGGTTTGGGTGAGAGCGTAGTAGCGCTTTAATCGTGCAGAGTGATCTTCGTCGAAGAGAGTAGCCGGTTCACCGAGTTCGCGGAGTTTGCTTCGTAGCTCGTCGTCGGGGATATCCTCCCCAGCTTCACCTGTACCTTCTTTCCCTTCGCCTGTTTTCCCGTCTTCAAGAGCTAGTTGGTCTGGTACCTCAGGCAGCCCAAGGCGTTTTCTTCGTTTCCTCTCCTCTTGCTGCTCCTCTTCTTCTCTCCTTCTCCTTGACTCCTCGGCCAGTTTCCGCAGTTTCTCCTCCCTACGCGCATTCCGTTCCTCTTCCTCCTCCTCGAGTTTTCGTTTCTTTGCGAGGCGTTCTTCCCGTTCGGCTGAGAGTTTGGCCTGTTCGACGAGGTAGGCGGCTTGTCTGGACGCTTCAAGGTCGGCGCGGCGGACGTATTTACTGGACGTTGTGGAAGTGGGAGAGTTGGGAGCTGGGGAGGGACTGGAAGGAGATTTTGAAGGCGGTGGTTTTGATTTGGCGATCTGGGCTGACATCAGGGATTTGAAGTCCATGTTGGGTGATTTTCGGGAGGGGTGTAGGGACAGAGAGAGTAGTCTTGTATGGCGAACTGCTTTCTGAAGCCGTGACGGTAGGCAGATGGAAATACTACGGAATATGCAGGAACCTGATCGTCTGTCCAAACTTTCCCCACAGTTTTGGGGCTAGTGAGGCCTCCATGGATCAGTAAAATCTTGCCCAGGGACATAAAATTCTCGAGGACTTCGACTTCTCAAGACTATTCTGTACCTCGAGCGCGAATGTGATCGCCGTTTATGAAGGTCCCTGAACATTCCGCATTTCTGAGTAACATCTGGTTGAGCTGCCCACAATCAATCCGCCTGTTTGCCGTGCCTAGACTGCATTGAGGCCCCTCAGCAACATAGAGCATTTTCCCGGTGGCCCGCACATTCGGGGGATGTCTCCAAAGAACAAAGCTCTATAACCTAATCAACAATCTCTATACAATACCTTGGAGATCACCCGTTTTGTGCGCATTGGAAGTGTCTCAACCCAGCCCGAGACAGCGCCAACTCTATGGGACGCTGCGTTGAGGTTTTCGAATGATGGATTTCGTCCTCACCAAGTCGGATGGCGTATTTCCCGTACCGAGGGAGAGGTAGGTAATGGAAGGGATCTTGGATGAGGCAGAACTGCTGGTACTGGGTAGGTGACGGCAGGGACGAGCCCACTCCATTGAGCCGCTGCTGTCAAGAGGATTGTTAGCAAGCCATCTTTATTCTGCGACAAATTCTGTCCTTACATCGATCAACCTGCCCTGGGACGGGCCAAGCACATTCATATATTGGGAGGTGAACATGCCCTGAACGCCGTCGATATGCTTTCACGGCGGCCAACATCAGAGGAGGAAGTGCGACGATAACTGCGATGATGCCAACAACAGTCTCGGCAGAAATATGCATCACAAATGGAGCACTGAAAGGTTATCTACGCAGAGTCTAGGAAGCAAATGGCAGACCTATGCATCTCTGCGAGGCGGGAATGCATATTTATGATGGTTCTTTCGCTGTCTCTGTTGGGTGAACCTCGACCACGAGATATATTCTTCTAGCCAAATCTATGCTAAGGGACGAAGATATTGGCTGTCGTCGGAAGTTTGGACTTCACCCACGCCACAATTAGCTCAGAGCTTCGCCGTTGAAGGACTGCAGACATGTTTCCGAGATCGCAAGGCTCCGCCTTCCAAAAAGGTCCCCCGTCGATTGGCAGAAGACCAGAAGTTCACTTGGACTCCTCAAGGACAGACGTACGAGGCTTTGACAATAAGAATGACGACGAGCATCCTTGCACCCTGTTCGGCGCCAACCTGGAGCTGCGGGAATGCTGTGATTGGAAAACGCCCAAAGTACATGGCCTAAGGGGGGCAAGGGGAGGCCATCATAGAGCATTATGGCCGGCCTACTTTCGTTGCTGGCCAGTCATTTGGAGACAAGAAGGAGTAGCCGACATTCGCCAAACCTGGATATGGCCAGCCAAGGAGGCCCCGGATCTCACCACCAGCCTCGTCCTTTCACCAACCTCACCTCCCACCTACCTCCCACCTCTCCTACAACATCCATGAACACATGATCGCGAGGCCATCCGCCCCATCGAACTTTCAGCATCAGCCAATCGAGTCCGATTTCATCCACGCAACATCATTGCTTGATTGCCATCGCTCCTCTCCCGGCCTTGCTCCAACACTCCACCGCATGCTATTATAACTGCTCACTTCTCAACCATGGCGGTCGCTGCATCCAGTCGAGCTGCATGCTTGAGTCTTCTGTCACGGAGTTGGACTATTCATTTCCAGCACCATCTTCATCATTTGGGGCAGTCACGCCCTCCCGGTCTCCCTAAACAGTCTGTGGTCACTTCTCCTTCTTCAGCCTTACTAATTGAGCAGCCGTACAGCAGTGGGATTTGATTTAGGGCAGAAGGAGACCGGTTCGTCATCTTCACTGCGCCTTATACCGCCCTACAGCCAACGACAAGTCGAAGATAAACTGCTCACAATGGGTCCAACCCCGTCAGCGCTGGCACTCAGAAACCCGCCCTTTCCAAACAGGACTGGTCCGAGCACCAGGTGACCATATACAACCTCTATGTGATTCAACGCCTGCCCTTAAAGAAAATCTGTGAACGACTCCGAGACCAATACTCTTTTCACTCCAGCATACCACAATATAAGCGGAAGCTCGAAGAATGGAGATATTCAAAAAATCTCAAAGCCTCGACCTGCAAAGCTCTCGGTATTAGATTGGAACAACGAAGCCTTACTGCCACAAACGCTATCACGGAAGTGAACGGCGTTCCTCTAAGCCCTCGAAGACTTTAGAGGGTTTTGAGGAGACATCATATTCCATCTCTGCAGCAGAAATTCGGTAGAGAGCAAAAGCCTTCCACCCCCGAAGGAATCTCTATCCACAGAGCTTTTACGAGCTCGTCGGCATTCTCAAGCATCCGGCTCCTCGGATTTTCGTTTCTTCAACAAGCACAACAACTTTGTGGATCCCTTCAACGTCCAACCCCAAATCCCCCAGGTGTCCTTTCCCATGATACGGCAATCAAAGTCCCACCAGGCGTCAACCATCTGTTGCAGCTAGACGCAGTCGGAAAGCCGACACAAGTTGCCGCGACAAAATTCCTCAATTAGTTTCCAATGCAGGAGCCTGACCACGTCCGCCACAACCTAATGTGTTGACACATCAAGCTGGAAACGTCGACCAGCCTCTACTACTCAGCTATGTCATATATCTTTGTGCAAACAATCACTTGGGTGACATCCACTTTGACCGCTTTGTGGACTCCCTTTTACGTGAGGGTAAGATGGATTCGCTCAAGCGTCTGGTTCACTTGGAGTCACTATGTATCTGGAGCTTCGAAGACCGGCTCCTCGTCTACGCGGCCAAGGAAAATAGGTATGACTTGGTAAACCTGCTAAAATATCGATGGGTCGGCCACAGCATATCTTCTCCGAGAATTTAAGTCGTTGCTACAGAAAATGCTCTTGGAGGCAATCAAGCACAGAAATGAAGCATTTTGCTTGAGACTCTTGCAAGAAAAGATCGGGAACGACGAGGGTCAAACGATCCACATTGATTGCCTTTCTGGTCAAGGGCTTCTGCAGTCAGCAGCGCAATATCTGCCCAGCGCCTTCCCACTTCCTCTTGCTCGGATGCCTGCCAGTGAGAAGACTCAACTTCTGCCGTTGGCCGTTCGGGCCGGGATCAATTGACCATGTTTCTTCTCTTCTGGCCGAAGGGGCGGACGTCAATGCCATGGTTGTCCAAGACGAAGACGAAGTAGGTTGGAATGCGCTTGACTACGCCATTGATAGGGAAGATTTTGCCTTGACACAGTTTCTGCTGCAAAATGGCGCTTGCCTTGATTCATATGAGAGAACACCATTTGGTTGGGATTTATCCAAGAAGTGTTTGCCTCCGTTGGTTCTCGCCGCCAAAGTGGGCAACCGGGACATCTGTAAGCTGTTGCTGCAGGCAGGTGCCGACGTGGATTCGAGTTCATACGGGCCAACTTTGCCCCCGGTCGACATGATGCCGACATAGATTTCGGTCGGTGTGCAAATCCCGTACAGACAGCCATATGGAGCAACCAAACCGGCGTCTTGGAATACCTCATCGAGCATGGTGCAAATATATCCGCTTCGAATGGCTGTGCAGCGCTTTTTTTTTTGCGGCACACATGGGTCGTCGTAAAGCTGTTGAGACCCTCCTTAAATATGGAGCAGATATAAACGAATATTCCGTCGTTGGGCGAACCCAAACTGCCTTGCAAGCAGCTTGCTTCAATGGAGATATCGGCATCATATCAATTTTGATTGACGCCCGCGCCAGGATCGACGACCCTGCTCGCGGCTATGGGGGCAGAACGGCACTACAATCTGCGGCCTGCAGTGGGAATACGGCGACCGTGACTTTCTTGCTGGAAATGGGTGCGGACGTCAACGCTCCCTGTGCTCAGACAGGTGGCCTCTCGGCTTTGCAAGCAGCTTTTCTCAGGAAAGAAGAGGAGCTGGTAGAACTCCTGCTACGGTGGGGCGCGAACGTCAATGGGAACATCTCCAGGGAAGATGGACGAAACGCAATAGTGGCAGCCGTCGAAGCAGATTCAGACTCGATATTCTGGCGTTTGATCGCAGCAGGTGCAGACGTTTCTCCCGTCGAAATGGAAGACGGCAGTTACTGTTGCCCTTTTATCACAACAACGCGACAGTATTCCATAGTATTCGTCCAGATGCTCCTTAATCTCGGAATCGACATCGACGTCCGCCTGAACTCTGGGTTTTCCCTCGCTGAAGAAGCTATACGGTCCATCAAGAAGGAAAGTCCGGCGATGGCGATTATAGGCACAATTCTCCAACACAGCTCTGCTGTCCGACTTTCTTGTTGCGGGGATCAAACACTCTTCATGAGGATGTGGAATGGGGTTGATCTCAGCTTCATTCGGACACTCGTAGACAGAGGGTTTTATATCAATACTACAACAGACGATAATGCGTTTTGGGAGAAACACCTGTACGAACCCCGGGCGTACAGATCATTCTTGCAAAAAAGCGTGTGCACATGGGAGTTTTGAGGCTGCTGGTCATCTTCTCTTGGGAGGTGCAGACCCGAACGGGCCTCCTGCTTCAGCTTGCGGGAATACGGCTCTTCAATTTGCAATCAAGAGTGGAAATCTTGACATTGTCAAGTTGCTCCTACGACATGGAGCAGACGTCAATGCGCCTGCCAGTGTTTACCGGGGGCGCACAGCTTTACAAGCGGCAAGTCAAGCTGGGAATTTACAAGTCGTGGAATTACTGCTAGATCATGGTGCGATTGTCAACACCGCGGCCGGCAAGCTGCCGCTATTCAGGGCTATATGCGAATTGCGCAGCTGCTTCTTGCGGCTGGAGCGGATGTCGGTCCCCCCGAAACAGAACTTGGGGGCAGAACAGCGATCAATGGGGCGGCTGAAATGGGCCGGTTGGACATGGTCAAGCTATTGCTCGATCATTATCAGCTCAAGGATGGTGAATCGCTCTCGGGTATCTGCGAGAAGGCCGCCGGGTACGCCAGGGATGAGGGTCATTGGGCTGTTGTGAAACTTCTGGAAACCTACCAGAGACTGCCTGGATCTCCTTGACGTGTTGCTTTGGGCGGGGTGTCCTTCTTTGTTTCGAATCATTTATGTACTTCTTCCAACTCGATACTGCTTCGGAGATCTTATCTGATACACCGGATCAAAACCACGGGCTCGCTCCTCTCTCCATCTGCCCCTGCGACGTCGGAGATGCTCATCCCAAGGCTACATACCCCGGAATCCACTGAGATTCCAGCGGAACCAGGGTCCAAATCACGGTACGCAGGATGTGGCACAACTACCCGAGTCCCGAACAAGGAGAGGTATAGACAACCAGGTGTGAACACCGAGCCGTCTTCTACGACTTTTACACTCTTACACTTTGATTCTTATACAGAATGGCGCAAGGCTGAAGGGGACAGATTCACATACGTACATGATACCCCAATATGATCATTTCAGAAAGGGGGAAGGAGTACTACTCCATATAGTATTACTACGTAGGGGAACAAGGAGAGATAGGATAAATCAAGACAGGTACTTAGGTGTTCAGGTAATGGTGGTGGTTGTGACGAATCTCACGATCCTATTTTTTTTTCGATTCCATAGCTCTCAACCAGGGCTTCAGGACTCCTCTCTGGTCCACAAAACTCAAACTCTCTTCACGTCTTGAAAACACGGAATAAGAAAAGAAAGCCATTCAATGATAATGGTGATGCGATTTCGAAAAGAATATAGTAATAGTAGGTGGGGGGGTATCTGTCCGTAAATGCTAGCGAGTAAGTAGTTCACAACGAGAACAACAATAGCGGATTACAACAACATCAAGAAACCAACTGGCAACCATCCAGCACAACATCTCGAATCTCCCCTTCTCAGGGGCCTTCGTCTCTCCCGATGACTCTCACTCTCTTCTCCTCTCATCTCCTCATCGATCGATGCATGGATAGATAGATAGTTAGTTGATAGATCCATATCGTTCGGGACTTCCCATTATCGTAGCTCGTCAGATCATTCGGCTCTTTGTTCCAAAATCTCGTAAAAAATGTCGAGTTAGTTTCCCTCTCTCGTGGCTCGGTACTCTCGCATCTCTTTCCGGGCAAATCTTGACTCCATATTTTCACACATGCAGACATAATCGCTTGCCGTAATTGAACATGTTGCAACAGTGAAACAGCAACCAGGGATGGCACATTGAAATAAATCTCTTTACCGGACCAACTTCGTTCCTGAACTGACCACCACAAACTCGACCTCCCGGCCCATCGACCGCCACCGCTCGATTCCACCGCTTACCAACCAGGGCTGCAAGTTCTTACACTGGCTCACATCGAAGAGTTTCAGTTTTTGACATCCCTCGACCACGCTCTGGACGCCAAGGCCAGTTACCCGTACACACCCTCGAACAGCGAGTTCGCGAAGGGAGGTTAAGTGGAGGCCGATTGACCGTAAGCTCGGATCGGAGACAGCGCTGCCGCAGAAGGAGAGGTTCAGGTGGGTTAGGTTCGGACAGCCCAGGGCAAGAACCTCGGTGGCTGTGTCGGAAAGCGCGCAGCAGAAGGACTGAAAGACACTAGTCAGCGAGCGACTCAACTACATTCATTGAAAAAGCCAACACTTACCAGGTCAAGCTGTCTCAGACCATTACCTGCCCCGTTGACGAGCCACACGATGCTCTGATCGCTGAGGTATGTGCAGTCGGCTAGACAGAGTCTTCTCAACCGTTCAAACTTCACATTGCCCCAGAACTGAAACCCGGCGTCTGTTATCGTCGTACAGCGAGTCAAGTCTATTGAAACGATCCGATTGTGGGCGTGTGTTGCGATATGCGCCATGGTTCGATCGGTGATGTGTTTGCAGTAGCTTAAAGTGATTGAGTTCAATTCTGGACATCCGATGACTGTCCCAGGGGGAGGTTGCTGTGGAGGAGCGTAGTTGCTAAGCTTGGTATTGAGTACAGGACGCTGCGAGTTGACTTTTGTGCGGCTGCTAGGTGCCTGAGGCTGTGCGGTCACGACCCAGCCAATTATTCTCGCTAGCAACGTGTCGCTGACTTTCCGGCAATTGCTCAAGTCGACTTCCTTGAGTCCGCGAGCCTTGTTTGCCATCTCCAGGATGGCCGGAGCAGTAACGTCCCAGACGCTCTTCATGCGCCAACCCTGGACATTGGCCCCGCATATGTTCACCAGAGCGGCGAAGCCTTCATCAGTAATATGAAAGCAGTTGCTGATGTCGATAAATCTAGGTCTGTCTCCTACAAAAGGGCAGATGCGGTTGATCAGTATGTCGTCCGTGACTTTCCGATTATAGCGTGCAAGGTCAAGGCAGTGTAGTAAATTAGGTGAATTATTGAGAACATTCTGCCAATGGAGGGAAACTCCCTGTAAAGACATCAACTCATGCAAGTCGAGGTATTCAAGAATCAGCGGCAGCAGTTTATCAGGGATTCTTCCGCGATTCAGCCCGCGACTGGACCTTGGTCGAGGTTTGGGTCGGCCGCCTGGAGAGAAGGGATCGGAAAACGGAAAGCTGCTGCTGCCTTTGTACTCGGAGGTGGGAGATGGTGTTCCAGATGCAGAACTCTTCGGGGATGGGCTGGCCGTGGTAGTAGGGGATGATCGAGGAGACCGGCGTCTCTGATCTTTTGATGGTTCATCTGGAGGCGGCGGAGCAAGTGACCCCCTCCTTGATCTTGATCTGACCTTTTCCAGACCTTCACTCAAGAAAGGATCGGGATCTGAAGGCTCAAGGGTATTGTTGGGTTCTTCTGTCTGAGCAGGCTGTGTAGAGCTACTGATTTCTGTGTCTGTAAACGTTACTCGGGGTCCATTGTGGACTTTCTTTTGTCTCCTCTCTTTCGAGTCTCCAATTTCAAGATCATGAATGTCAGGCGTCGCATCCGCTTCGTTCATAACAACGTCATTATCTGACGCGAGTCGCAATCGGTGCTTCGCCGTGTCCTCAATCTGCCGTAGGATACTCGGGGGACAGCGGTTCCAAAAATCCGCCAGCACATTTTCAGAGATCATCAAGCATTCAACTTGAGTTACCGATCGCACAGTAGCTGTCCGACGATCCGCTAACGACAGACTCACAACCTCGCCGAAGTACTGCCCTGGCCTGAGTCGGGCTTTTACCCGTGGTGTCCCCGGCACGCCATTAGGTTCGCCGGCCTTGTGTGGCTTAGGGATTGACACGTGCCTCTCGTCCAACACTTCAACCTCGCCGCGGACTATGAAATAGACCTCTCGGCCTCGGGTGTCTTGTTTGACGATGTCTGTAAATGGTGCGAAGCTTCTTGGCTGAGCACTGAGGCCGAGAAAATGAAGAATATCGGGAGGCAGAGAGGCAAACAACGGCAGCTCCTTCAAGGTAGCACGGATGTTGACGAGGCCATGTCCCAACGCACTGGCTGTTGACACCTCGTTCGTTCCTGGGCTGGGCGATTTGCGCCGCTTGCTTGAGCTAGTGACGCTTCCGTCACTGTCTCTCATGTAGACATCATCTCCAACCGTAGCCCTTGCCCTCTTGGACCCTCTTCTTTCGTGATTTGGGACATCTTCCGTACCGAGCAGCACCTGCCTCTTCTTCTTTTCTAGTTGCGTCAGTCGCTCCAATGCCTCGTCTCGAATGGCCTGTTCCACGTCTGGATATTTTGGTAGTATCTTTTTCAGATCCTCCTTCTTCAGCACCAGGACCATACACCTTGTTCGGGCGACCACTGTTGCGGTGCGAGGGCGTTCCATGAGGATTCCAATTTCTCCAAAGAAGGCGCCAGGCTTTAGTTCGGCAAAGGTGCTCTCACCGTCTCGAGACGTTACAGCGACAGCGCCCCGGACGAGCCAATACATTGCTTTAGCATCTTCGCCCTCGGTGATGATGTAGTCGTTGGTGTTGTGCAGCTGGGGTTTGAGGAGGAGGCCAATGTCAGCGAGGAAGTCATCTGAGGTGGACTGGAAGAGAGGAAAAGAGCGAATGCGTTCGATCAAGTCTAATGGCATTCCCTGAATCTGAGACGTTGCTAGGGGGGATTGTCTGGCAGGTCTCGACGGGTTGATCTTGGAGTCAAAACTGCGGACCAAGGAGACTTCTGCGGAGGGAGGGGCGGCCGTGCGGCCATGGTATGGCGACAATGCTCGTCCATGATGTCGTCGCATGATTGTTGGAGGGTTACTGAGTCTGAGCGCGTGTCCACGCGAAATGAACTGCTGCTCTTGATGGAATGCCCCTCATCCCATGTTTCTCACAAATACTGGTGCGACTCCCCCTCTTGACCGTGACTGCGCCTTCAGAAAATTGGAGACTAAGCCAAAGTCTCAGATAAAGAGTCGGTCTGCCAGATAGGTTTCTTGTTGGGCGCCAGGAGGAGGGTGTGTGAGTTCCTTGGCTTAGTAACGGTAGGGTCCAGAATGGCACGAGCTGGTCGGCACGGGTAGACGGGGAGGGTTCGACGAGGGTTTTCGCAGTCGCACGGTGACGACTTTGGATCGACGCCGGATTTTGGGGAAAGCGGTGGGTCGGCAAAGGCAGAATACCTAGGGACAGGTGGTCGTGGTGGAGTCTTGAAGCCAACAAAGCTCAACAAAGCTCAACACTGGTCCTGGGTCTCGCAGGAGGGAGTGAAATATGGATGCTTTGGAAAAAGCGTTGCAGGGAATTTGCGCATCCAAAGGAGGGTCTCAGGAATCCAGCGTTAGAAGCGAGCAAGGCAAAGAAGCAGAGGCGTGCAGCTGCAGCCCACAAGAGTCAAACCAGGGTCCCGTCTATCCAGCGAGGCCAGCAAGCACCAAGGTGGTGGGCGGTGGGCTGTGGGTGGCTGCCGTGGCGGGGAACAGCATATCCATCTTGGAGAAGGCCGCTAGACGATGTTTCGAGAACAGAGATGGAAGGATTGCATGACGCCGCCCACAGACAGCTTTGGGTAGAGGAAATTAGCACTCTGCCGCCCAAACTCTTCGTCTACATATCTACGCCCGAAACTGGGCTCATCTCCCTCCTGTTCTTTAGCCCACTAGCCTTTGGTGTGATTGCACTGGAGAATACTCCGAAATTATTGCTTCGTATTTATTATTGCTCTAGATCCCAAGTTGGTGACACGGCCGATGGGAAGGTGCTCACCTGGCAACCAGCATGGAGTCCTCTCACCGCATCAGAAAACAAAGAACATGATATAGATGTAGAGAACGCAATGCGGTGGAGAGAGAGAGAGAGCGACATGCGTCAACAGGGTCAGGGACCTATGGCGCAATCGCTACCGTCAGCCTGCCGATGGCAACTGAGACCGTTTAAGCACCAAGCTGAGAATCCTAAGCGATCCAACCATACGGGCATGTGTCTCCTGCTGGCAATTTCAGGGCTCAGGGACTGACTGTGCCTAAGTAAACAGCTAAAATGGACGAAGCCCACACCTGCACGGGCGCTGCCTGAAACCGCGAACTCCGTCTCCATCGGCCTTACCAAGCTGGAGGCGCTAGAGGGTCCCCGAGGGTCTTCCGGGCTTCAGTACCCGCGGGAACTGCCTCATCGCCTATTAGAACACGTCTAGAACATCGCCTGATTGCAATTGGATGCGAATCTGAGGCTCTAGCCCAAGTGCGTGTGTGGCTCCCGCCGTTCATTTACGTGATTTATTTCCCATCGATGCCATGAGATCGTGTTTTACATGTAAACCGGAGGCAACAGTCCCCTTCATCCCAAGCTAGTAGCCACCACATTCTCTTCAGCCAAATTCAAGGATAGGTGCCGGCCAACGTCACTCAGCGGCTGAGCCATTTCTCATCGACTGCACTGCGAGGTCCCGAGGTTTTTCATCGTGGTTGGTCGATAGCATCTGGTCAGCCCGGGACCAGGAAGTAGGTATGGAGGGCGTCGCTTGTTTTCTGGCAAGAGGCTAACCTCTCTGCCGATGCTGTTCTGGCGAATTCCGATCTCTGTCCGCTGTCCTCACCCCGAAATTTTTCTCTTCAGCCACGAGACGTAAGCCGGTGGGCTTCCTCGGAGTGACGCTGCCAGATCTTGCACGAGGCCGTACGCTAGGGACAATCTCAGCGCACTCCTTGCAGTTCGAGCAGCAGCAAAATGGTCCAGTCCCCTTTTCCAGCTGTAGATGCCGGCCAGTGTCATCCCAGCAATAACTGTACTGCCAAAGTCCCTCTGCCCGGTCGCAACATCGTCATCTCCTCTTGCGAAAAGGCGAGCTCTGGACAGATCAACCATCTCTTCTGTGACCATAAATAGTGTCGCCCAGCCAGTACAAATAGATCCGAATCGAACACCTTCTTTGATTCCACCGAGCATCGCATGGTAGTTTTTGGACTTTTGGTAGAGAAACCACCCTGTTTGGGTTGTCGGGAGACGATGCGCGTTTTCGGCTCGATATCGATATGCGCCCTTTGTAGCCCCTTGAGAAGCTCCCAAACTGAATCCGCAAGCAAAAGATGCCAACATTAAGGTGGGGGCGCGCAGAATCAATGGAATCGAGAGCCGTTCGTTTGGCCATCCTGTAAATCTGACCAATGCATCCTCCTCCTTTGTTTCCATCTTGCGCTCTGATTTCGGTGGCAACGTAGGGAGCGGAGGCTCTTTGGAGAGCACTCGGAGATTGTCTTTGTCGTCGTCTTGTGAGAACTTGAAGGGCCACATCTTGCATTCACGCCGTGTAAAGCTGCGGACGCCTGCAACTCCGAAGCTTTGCTCTCGCGGTCGATCTTATGGACGTCAACCCCAAGCTGCTCTCGAATTCAGCTTCACTGCTTTCAGCATGCTGGTCGTATTATTTACGATCAGATTGCGGCACACTGACAAGGATGGAATGGATTGGTCGATAGAAGAGCAGTCTAGGACCTATAACACGGGTTTGCAGCTTAAGGACGAAGCTTTGCCCAGCGAGTCGAGGTTAGTCGGGGGCTGGGCACGCATCGACGCTTAGTCTCGTCATGTGAAGCCGCTACCCCGCGTACAATCTCTGCCTGCAGCGCGCAAGGGCGCACAAGGGGCGCGTCAAGTCGCGCTTCACCCTGCGAAATTCCACAATCGGAATCCATGGGTGCGGAATAATTCTCAACTACACTGCTGCGTCCTCAATTGGGAGCTCGGTCAAACCCTGAAGCAGTTCCTTAGTCCTTCGGACCACGTTAAGGCCTAAATATCTCGCCGTTCAGGCTTCACTGCTCGAGAGGAATTGCAGCATCGAAAACGAGATGGCATTCATCTCTCAGGACCAACTGGCAGAACTGCCGACACCAGATATGATCACTCTACTCTTCAAGTGCCACAAGTCCACGACCGCACTGTCGGTTTTGCCAACTAGACCGTTTACCGAGATCAAAGCTCTCTTGCTCGCAGCCCTTGAATCACGCAACCTGAAAACATTACCCAACTCTAGTGCGCCTCTGCCAGATGACCCAGAAGAGTTGGAATTTGGCGTGTTAGCGGACAAGAAGGACCCCAGTAAAGGCTGGGTACCCATGGAAACCAAGGAGCCAGAGATAACTGGTCCTAAGGGTGCCAAAACGAAAGTTGGAGGAAGACCCTCCGTTCTCAATCAGCACCCGCTTGGGGCTGGGCTGGGCGATGGTGCCTGGATAGCATATCGACTGAAGGCGAAGCAGAAAGAACCACAAGTGAAAGTTGAAGATGACGAGAGTGGTACCCCAGACGTCGAGATAGACGAAGATCCTGGATTCGACGTTATCCTTCCAAGCTTTGAAGACGAGGCTGAGTGATTTTCGGGCCCCAACAGCTGGTGATACCAAGTAATCGCCAGCTACCGGGTACCGTTATGAATGACACAACGCAGCTCCGGGCTCATGCAATGCACCTTTACTGTACCGCCATCTGTACAATGAATGGGATCGAGACATTCTGCAGCTCAAGAAACATCGATGAATGGTTGAGCGCGGACCATGGCTTACTTTCTCGAGCGGCAAGTGTGCTGCAAGTCCAAGACAAAGTGGAAGCATGCAGCCTCTGGGGGCGCTGATATGTGGTATCATCCTCGGAAGACGGATTTCAGCCCCCAATGAGCTTATGCATCTAGTGAGGTCAAGGAATTGATAGTCATGATTTAGTCTTGCGAAGGGCTGGCCGAGCGAGGGCACACTTTCAGGGTCGATCGCAAAATGATGCGGCTTGCTGCTGTGAGTTGTGTGCTATATCTGGAAACTTGAAAGTGGTTCCCCCACAATTGTCTCTGGGATAGGGCTGAAAGGGCTGACAGGCGGGTTACACTTTGGCACATTCCCAAGTCCTCCTCCGTCCTACGACTCGCGGATGAGTGGTCATGAGACGAATACCAGTAAGAAGTGCGCCAGGGTCAAAGGCAACCAAACTAGTTAGGCAGCTAGAAGACGAGCCTGTCCATCAATTGGGCAGATGGATGTCATTAAGCAGATTCCAATCCAGGACGCAGAGAGGCTGAAGAGCTGCCTGTCTTGACTACCAGCTCTCCAGGTCGCCAGGCATTGGGTGCGGCGCAAACCCCTCGGGCTTGGTAGGCATCGTCTTCTCCATCCCATCCCATAATCAAAGGGTCAGCCCGCCAGCCCGCCAGCCCGCTTCCATCAATTATTTTGCGTCGAGCACTGCAGCTGACGCTTGGTTTGCCCTTTGGATTGTTTCCATATCACACTGTCCAAGAACACGCTGTAGCATCTTTCGATCCCCTCGCGGCGGATGCGGCTTCAATGCAGCGGCTTTTCAAGAGCAACAAGTCGCAGGCCTCCATAGAAGACCCTCAGACACACCCTGATCCACATCCCCATCAGCAACAGCAGCAGCCCCAGCCTCAGCATCAGGGACGTCAACAGCCTTTCTTCGACCACCAGCAGCAGCACCAACTCTATCCTCAACCACCTTCACAAACGCATCCATTGAGCGACCTTCATTATCAGGGACAAGCCTCAGATCCCCTGTCCCAACCTCAGCCTCCTCCAGCTGCCCCTCCCCACTTAGGACGCACCCAAAGCGGTCGCAGTCCTTCCATCCCCGACGTGTATGGAACTCAAAGGCCGCAAGTAAACATTGTGCCTCCTCTGTCTCAGCAGCACGCCTTCATTCCTGAAGGCCCCGCTCCCATTCCAGGGCAGACAACATTTGGCCAGTCAAGACAGGTTCGAACTATTGAAGACAAGGAACACAAACGATCAAAGCGCCATTTCATCACAAGCCTGATCAAAGACAAGAGCAAGGACGAAGACAAGCAGCGAGAAAAGGAAAAAGAAAGCGCTCCCCCTGAGCGCAAACCTCTTGGACGATCAAGCTCAGTACATCTCTTGAGAAAGTCGCACCCTCCTGATCACCCATCCCGCGACTCATATTCAACGCAGACCTCACCCCAGTCTCAGCATCCATCAAGACATTCGACCTATTACCCCCCTGCACCATCGACCGACGCTTCAGTCGCACACACAGATCAGGCTGCGGATCAAGCCCAATACGAGCAGTACCAGAGGCCTGCAGGCCATTTCGACTCTCCACAAAGCCAATTAACACATCAATCGGTCGACTACGCCGAAGACACTCCTCACTTCAGTCCGCAACAGGACCAATATCACGCATATCACCAAAGCGAGTCTGCCAGCACCTCGGAACATTACCTGCCCTATCAACCCCAGCAGCCTCGACCCAACAACGGAGATTCTGACCCGTATCAACACCTTAGACCACCGTCACAAGCATCCCTGGGCCCTCCTTCTCCCATCAACACCCCTGCTCACCCCCAACTTGCTCAAGAGTCTCGCCCCTCCACAGCGGCCACCAATCGTTATTCGGCACAATCGGCCACTCAAGGCCAACAGCCAGTCCAGACTGCCATGGCAAGAGGCGATCCCCCTAACGGGAGCATTCGCCAGCAGTTGTCGCAGCGAGAACCTCGTTCTGAAGATCAGAGTCAATATCAGAATCAAAGCCAGGCCGACCCAAGAGTGCGAATGTCTCAACAAGCAGCGTCTGAACAAGGCCGAAGCACGCCCCCTCCAAGGAGCCGAGAGGATATCAGTCAGTTGGACTACAACCAACTTCTCCAACGCCATGAGGAATTGCAGGCGAAATATTCCAAAGTCAAGCGATACTACTTTGAGCGGGAGGCTCAAGTGACTCAGCTACAGAACACCGTGGCAAACCAGCGTCTGTCGATGTCCAAAACGTCGCTCGATGACGCTCAATATACGGCAAGATTTGAGCGTCTTAGTCAGGCAATCAACAACCTTTCCTTCAACATTCGCAAGAATTGGCGGGCGATTCCGCCATGGCTGCGACATGTGTGCAACCAGGATGCTCACACTGTCGGCACGAAAGAAATGACCGCAATAGGACGAGCTTGTATTACTCGATGGCTATACGAGAGTATCTTCCAGCACACGTTCCACCCGGGCATTGAACCATCATTATCTGCACAGTTGAAGCACATCGAACACAATTTGCGTCGTGGAGGGCAAGCTGGCACTCTGCTGGCCGACGAGCAACGCGACGATTTGACGACCAAAATCACGACCTGGCGACTCACGACCATTGAAGGTCTGCAAGACGTGCTCAGTTCCCAGCAGGCGGAGCATTACATAGAGACGATGAACAAGCATTACACTCACCAGCTCACCGAATCACTGAAAGCCAACTTGACGGACCCTCCGCCCCCAGGGTTAGTTGAAGGGGTTGGCATGATTGTTGGACAAGCCATTGGCATTGCCTCCAATATTCCACTGGAGTCGCGCGAGATCTGTATTGAATATTTCATGCCGGGCACTCCTGTGAACGAGACGTACATGAAAATTGAACCACAAATAGTCGCCTTGACCAACCCTGGTCCAGACGAACGCATCCTCCAACAGCAAGCAGCCCAAGCGAAGGCGCAAGAACAGGCACGAGCGCAAGAAGAAGGCGACCAAATGAGCACAGCCAGCACAGAAGATGGGCCGCGCGACCGTGACGTCGAGGCCGAAATTCGTGAAGCTGCTGGCAAAGCTGCATCACAGGCAGCCCAGCCCCCAGGCCAACAAGGACGAAATGAAAGCGGGGCGAGCGCCGGCAGCCAGACGACGGTCAAGGGTCCGAGCGAGAAGCACTCCAAGAAATCAAGTTTCCTGGGTGGCTTCGTAAACAAAAAGCCCTCGATCTCGTCGCGTGGTGAGAGTCGTCCCGAAGGTGCTTCGGCAGGCAACGAGGGCGAGGATCAACGTGGACATGTTCGGAACAGTATGGCAGTTGATCCGGCGCAGTTGGGCCCACCACCTGGCGCGAATGAAGGCCGGATCAGATTTGCAGCTTTCTTGGCTGTCGAGGTCAGAGGGAAGGGACCGACATCAAATGCGTCGGGAGGTGGCGGCAACAATGGAAAAGAGCCCGGGTCCGCAGCCACAGGAGCAGCTCCTCAGACTTCTGTCAACGTCCTATTCAAGGCGCCAGTCTATGAGTTCTAGGTGTCCCGTCGAGCTCAATAGGAGGCAGGGTAGAGTTGGAGGCGGGCAGTACAGGGTATACTGGAAGGGGTCAGGGGTCAGGGGCTGGGAGGGAAAAGAGAAGCCTTTTCTTTGTTTTTGTATTTGCAATCGTTTCCTTTTTGAGCTATGCAGCGTCACCATTCTCATCTATACATTTTGGTTTGCAGTTGTTGAGCGAAAAAGATAAGAAGAGGACGATGTGGGACTATAATATCGACACCAAAATTTAGAGCCATGGACTCAGGACTGGGAACCCCGTAGCAATAGCAACTCGTCATTTATTGTTCGCTTAGGTCTTGCTTTGGCCAGGCGAGTGCGGAGGGCGCAGCGAACCAGGTCAGTGGCTGCGTGGAATCAATTGAGAGGCTCGAATTAGCAGTTGGTTTTGGGCAGCTTCCAACCCTTTCCAAACCCTTTATTGTGCCTTCTTTCCCCCCCCCTTTTTTTTCACTGACGCTTCGCATGCGCGCCTGACAGACGGCGGGGTCGGTGGTGATGCTTGTGTGCCAGTGGTCAAGAAGAATCTTCTTTGCACCCTCACTTTGTTCAAAACTAGTTGATAGCATGCATGTCCATTGTTCTTCTTCCTCCCCAGCGACACCCTCAGTTGCCTTGACAGCAAAATAGAGGCAAACTCCCCCGTCGCGCTGCCTCTCCCGGCCTTTCCTTTTCTTCTACTTCTACTTTTCCCTATGGCTTGCTAAAACATCCTCTGCGCCTTCTTCTGTCCTACGGGGATTGATTTCTGCCAGGTCTCCATGCCAGCATCAACGAATAAGATCGAGGATCCATGTCAGGAATGTCGTGGTATGTCACCATTCTTTTCCCGAGACGCGGGCTGGCTTGTTGACTGATGGCTGTCCCAAGACCGCCATCTGAAATGTAAGTTTCGCTACTGACAGCTCGCCCATGTCTTCATCTCGCAGCGCCCTCTTTCTCCTGCTCCAGCTCCATTCTGCACATGGCTGTTCTGCACGAGGGCTCCCCGACGTGCCACAAGAACCACCTTTTCTCACCGCCCCTCTCATTCCCTGCCCCATCCCATCTTCGTTGGCTGGCATCACCGCGTTGAACATAGCTGACATCCTCAGGCGACGACAATCATCCCAAATGCAAACAATGTGAACGTCTCGGGGAGAGGTGTCGGCGCGGAAAGGGCAAGCTCAAGTTCCGAGTCGGCTCCAGCGCGAGATACGACGCCTCCTTTTCCAAAGATCAAACATGGCTCGAGCAGACCAAAAATGGTAAGCATGTGTAACCGTTGCGCAAAATTTTCACACCTCGGACTCTGCGTCCTGCAAGAGGGGGGAAGGGTTCATCCAAGGTCATCTTGGTGCTCATTCCCCATCCTTCTGTCGCGTCCTGCAGCCCACAATACCGTCGCCCACCAGTTCATGTCACACTGCTCGACGGCCACTTTCGCAGCAGCTACTGACGCTGTGTCCCCGCTCATGCCTCTCGGACCCGGGCACCCACCGACGATTGGCCCTATTAAATCGTGTGCTGACAATGCCTTCTAACAGCAAAGTTCCAATTTGTCGACCAAGGTCCGGAGCTGGAAAACTACTACTCCCAGGACGACCTCCTGGTGGTTGGTACCAAGGCAAATGCTCAAGACGAGAGACAGGAAAATGCCTCTGGGCCTCCCAAGCGTTTCCAGTCCTCGGTCGAGGCCGAGCTGTCCCCTACAGTTCGCAGCGCTCCTTCCTCCGACCTCCCTCCTTTCTTATCGCCTTTCAATACAAATCATGAACCGATCTTGCCACATGCTCCCATAAAACGGAGAAGAACTGCAGATGCCATTCCGCCAGAATATCAGGCCAGGCCCAACCGATCGCCCAACACTGCCTACGACCCAATTCGGTCCCAATACAGAATTTACGACTTTCCAAAAGTTTTTAGCTCCACCAGCCCGGACGGCTTTCCATATATGCCCGAGAAACATCACGTTCCCAAAGTAGTAGAGGCGGAATACCGTCGACTGGCAGATTCGGCTGCGGCCAAGATCCCAGAAGACCCTCTACTCTCTCCCGCCATTTGGAAAGAAGATTTCTACTGGCCGAACAAATACACCACTACGCAATGCGCCTGTTTGATGCGATACTATATTGAAAATCTTGCACCATGGGTAGGTGATCTGCTTCGACTTTAATATCTATCGCAGAGCTGACCAGGGGAGTTTGACGTGGGAGACCCAGCCAGACATTTCACGTTGGCAGTCCCTCAACGAGCCAGGCGATGCCCTCCGTTACTCAACGCGATCTTTACTCTAGCAGCAAGACATCTTGCTTCGCTCCCTCGGTTCAAGACGACAGACGGTGTCATCCAGTACCAGAACATTCTGCTTCCCAAACTGACCGAGGACACTGCTGTCAAATATCATAATGCGTGTATTGCGTACCTCATCAAATTGTCTAGCGATCCAGAACATGTTCGCGACGAGAATCTGCTTGCTGCTGCAGTCATTCTCCGGTATTACGAAGAGATTGATCCATCACTTACCAACGAAGATAGCAAGACGCTCATTCATACTTTTCAATTATTTGTCAACGCCCAAGCAAATCCTTATGCTTATATGATGGACGACGAGAAACATCCTGAATACCTAAGACCGGGGTCTGCAATCGGGTTATTCGAAAATACTCTCGCTTACTTGAAAAGTTTCCAGCATGCGTCATTTCGAGTGGCTCTCCGTCAAGAGTTGACAATCGCTTTTCTGAGGCAAAGGCCTGTACGGCTACCTCTAGAAACGTGGACCATCCTGCAAGGTTTTGACAAAGCAGAGGATTTCATCTGGTCCGACCGACACCTTTACCACTGTGCGAAAGTTTTACAATTCTGCTTTGGCGGTGATGGCGGTACGGGCAAGACACAAATTGAACGATGGAGTGAGCTTCGAGATTTTGAGATCCAATGGGATCAATTCAAGCCGTTGTCGTTTGCGCCTATTCATTACCAGGAGCCAGATCGCTCCAAGGGGGAATGTCTTCCTCATATATGGTACATGGCGGAGGTCCATGCTACGGGACTGTTGGCTCTGGACCTGGCTCGGATTCTATTGACAGTCTACAACCCAAAAATACCGCGAATTGGCCCAGGGGTAACAGCAGCCCAAAAGAGAATTGCAGAAGAAGTGCATGACATCGTAATTCGACTCTGCGGGACTGCGATGTCTCTGGGAGGGACAGTAGCATCAAATGCTTCTTCACAGCCAGCAATGGTACAAGCGTACATGGCGGTTGTCGTCTGCGGGGAGTACTTTTCGGATCCGCTCGAACAACGGGCTCTGATGGGCATTTTGGACAGGTTGAGGGACGAACATGGTTGGCCCACAGGAAAAACTGCTATTCAACTGAAAAGGGAATGGGGATGGCCTTGATGGATTTGAACGGATATCTATACCCCATGTTGTTGTTGGTTTTTCTTTCAATATCTGGACAACTCTTCTAACGAGGAACAGCTTTTGGAGCAGCATGGATTGCTCGGGAAACCATGCAATGGATAAAGGCAGTCTACACGCATGGACACGGATATGCCCGAAATGATTCTGGGCTTCTTATGACGGGTACGGGAACATGTAAGGAATCCCGGAAGTCTTTTGTGATACGACCAACATCATTACCTCGATGACTTGTGAATGAAAAATCTATTCGTCAGATACGGTTCGATTGTAGAGACTCAGATTGAATGAAGGCTGCGTCAGCCTGAGGTTTGGCTGAGCCTCACGGAACATGCCGAGGGTACGTCGTAGCAGTCTGATATTCGAGTAGGGCCGGTGTAGCTTCCTAGAGCGCTGCAGGTTCTCTGCTTATAAAAGCCCGAACTTCCCCATACGTGGCTGCCTCCAAGGACGGGGTAGTTCGCAAGATAGCATCAAGAACGAACGTGTGGGGCAGCAATCAAGACTAACGGCTGCTTAACTGGCTAGCGAGCTGACTTTATAATACTCAGTTAGAAGTTGATAGTAACTGGTATGTACTTATTGTACTTACTAGAATGTACCCAGTACTTACCTAAATAGCTCGCTAGCTAGCTAAGTACGAGGTAGTTAGTGTTGTGTTGACAGGATGCCGTCATCGACCGCTCTGTGGTAACGGTACTGCCCCTCCTTGGCCCCTCCTCCATTGACGTGCCTGCGATACATTACTAATTGACCGTGAGACAAACAGAATCTTGACATAGACGCAATTGCGCCATCCGCTCATTAAATGATTGGAGTCGAGTCTCCCTTCATCTTGATTAGTTTTTCTTTTCTTTCATGCTGAGGAATCCCCTCGGATCCTGCCATTCTCTGCTGAAGAAAACAGCTCTCCAGCTACCGACTAACCATCTCGGCCAGTGCATAAACAAAAACTCTCCCCTGCCGTCCTGCATTTCTGCTTCAGTCAAGATCCTTGTGAATCCCATCTACAATGTCGAACAACCTCTACATTGCGGATACACCTGCCGAGGTGTCCCAGGCAAAGGGCCTGCACCTCATCACGCAAAACACTCCCAATGGCCAAGCCACGCAGATCATGCTTGAAGAACTCGCGGATGCTTATGGCACCACGTGGACCACCAGCCTCATCAACATCATGACCAATGAGCAGAAGAAAGAGTGGTTCCTCCGGCTGAACCCCAATGGACGTATTCCCGTGCTCATCGATAACGGACAAACCCCTCCTTTCCCCTGCATCGAGACGAGTGCCCAGCTGTTATACCTGTTAAAGTTTTTCGATCCTGAGGATAAATTCGGCTTTAAAGATGAATTGGAGAGGAATGTGGTTTTGCAGTGGATGTTCTTCTTCCATGGCGGAGGTGCCCCGTACCAAGGACAAGTGAATCACTTTACAAGAGCGGCGCCTGAGAAGATTCCTTGTAAGTTGACATCTACGCGTTTCCAGCCGTATTACCTTTGGGAACATAGCCACGCTGACTTTTGGAGGAAGACGCCATCAATCGCTACAAAAACGAAACCCTCCGCGTTTACGGCGTCCTGGAAATCCGTCTCTCCGGCCAATTTACGGGTGGACCGCGCGACTACCTAGTCGGTCCTGGCAAGGGCAAATACACCGTCGCAGACATTAAGACCTGGCCCTGGGTGAAAGGCTGGGAGAGAAGTGGTTTCACCCAGGAGGAGATGAAGCCCTTCCCACATTTGCTGAAGTGGATTGATCGGATCGCTGAGAGACCCGCGGTCCAGAGGGGCATCGGCGACAAATACGTGCAGAAGTAAGTGAAATAAAGCCATGCCTTTGAAAGTGAGGAAGGAGCTTTGCTCTGGGACGATCGAATGAGACGAGAACTACACTCGATGTGAAAAGGAGTGCAGCCCATGGCACAAGATGACAACCACTGGAAATATAGAGTAAAAAAAATGAGGAAGGGGGGAAATCCCCCCTTCCCAAAAAGCCCCATATTTCCCAATGAGCTGAGCCAGCGGTTGAAAGAAACTTGATGTCTAAAAGTGCCATGATCCTCCCTCATCAGACATCTTGTTTGCAGTGAGATTCACAGTCGCCGCTCCTGCGTCTTGCCTCTGTCTCTTTGCGCACACAATTCTCTGCCCCCACTGCTGCTCCTGCTTCCACTCCTCTTCGCGACGAACTCCTGCGAACATCTCAGCTGACCTTCTTGTGCCCCCCCTTCCTCGGAGAGGGGCGCCTTTGGTCGCTTAGATCGAGACTCTGAGATACATATACATGTATGTGTGTGCGCACGCGCGTGTATTAAGACCCAGAAGCGAAGTGTTCCTGGGTCTTTTCTTTCCCTGCAGTCCCATTTATTCATTGTGCTGCCTTTCTATCGTCTCTCGAGGACAAGAGGGAGATGGGGGAAGAGAGAGCCCTGCGGTAGGAAGAACGTGTATCTACTCCGCTTTCGACTTTCTAGTCCTTATACCTCACCATGACGTCCTCGAGGTGTCTTCTCAGCTCGCCCTTCCTCTCATCGCTGCACCAGCTGCCGTCAATGGCGTGGCCCACGATCCTTTCCCACTCCCTCTTGTCCAGCCCGAAGGCCTCCTGTACCGCACAGTGGTTGTCCAGGATATAGCCGCCGAAGTAAGCTGGGTCGTCGCTGTTGATGCTGAATTTGACGCCGTTGTCCAGGTAGGTCCGGATGGGCAGGTCGGCGACCTTGGACACGCAGCGGAGCTCGACGTTGGAGAGCGGGCACATGGTCACCATGATGTTGCGTTGGGCAAACAGCGCCATGACGCTCTCGTCCTCGGGCAACTTGATTCCGTGGTCCACGCGCATCACGTTCAGATGGTGCACGGCGGACGCCATGTAGTCGACGCCGGCCTCCTCCCCGGCGTGGGCGGTGCGGTTGAACCCGCGCCTCTCGGCGTCGGCGTAGATGTCCCGGTACAGGTGCGGCGGGTTGCCCTTTTCCGTGGACGACAGGCCCAGACCCCTGATCACGCCGGTCTCCAGGTGCGGGATCGCGTCGCGATACATCTTCTCGCCGTCCTCGACGGGCAGGTGCCGCAGGACGCAGACGATGAGTTCAGAGGTGATTCCAAAGTCCGCGGACGCGCGCTTCTGCGCCGCCGTGAACCCGTCCACGATGGCGTTGTAGGCGACCCCCCTCGACGTGTGGGCCTGCGGGTCGAAGAAGACCTCGGCATGAACCACGCCGTCGCGGTGCGCGCGGCCGAAGTACTCGTACGCCAGGGATTCAAAGTCCGCCGGGGTGATCAGCACGGACATGCCGATGAAGTAGTAGTGCAGGAAGTCATCGAGCGAGGTGAAGCGGCGGTAGCGGGCCAGGAGCGTGTCGATGGACTGGAACGACGGGTCCTCTGTGGGCGAAGGGAGCGAGATGCCGTTCCGGGACGCGAGGTCGAAGAGTAAGGATGGTTCGAGAGAGCCTTGACACAAAGGAAGATGCGTTAGCTCAGTTGAGTTACATGGTCCTTCCAGGATATGTATACTTGCGAAGGATCCAACCCGACTCACCCTCGAGATGCATATGATGCTCGCACTTGGGCAGAGCCTGGAGGAACTCGTGCATTGGTCCTTGACACATTTTGCTTGTCTGTTCGTTTGTTTGGGTGTTTGAGTCGCTTCAAAAGAATTCCTTTTTCCTTTTTCCCTCTCCCTTCTTCGTCTGCTACTTCTTTCTACCGCTTCTTCCCTCCTGGGGGGCTGGATTCCACACTTGCTCCCGCCTGTCTGCCTGTCTGTTTGGGGTCTGTCTACCTGCCTGATGACGAATTCGTTTAAAACACCTAATCTTGCACACACCAAGTGCGAGGTGGACACGCAATATATTAAAAGTGAATCCTCAAACCCCCCTGCAAAACATCCAAGATGTTGAAAATGGGGTAAGCAAAGGCGCTCAAAGGGGAAATATAGTATACACAGGAAAGAGTTGGCAGGCAGTTGATGTAGGTAGTAGGTGGTACATAGGTAATACTTTTCTTTCTTAAATTAAAAATTTTTTTTAGAGCGACTTGGGATCGGTGACCTCCGAGCCACGAGGATGAGGAAGGCTGACATACTTACTTACCATGGTCAGATAGCTACCCAGCTCGCTAGGTAGCCGATTGAGCTGAGTTTTTTTGCTTCGTTTCCTCCCCCTCTTCTTACCTCTTTCGACTCTTTTTTTTTCACCTTTGCGGGCTGCGGATGCAACCCTAGCCACCTGACTGGATCAAGGGTGGTAAAATGACGTACTATGGTGCTAATAGGATGGAACTATCATATATCGTTAGAATGGAATGTTCGCTGGCCTATCGAGAGCTAGTGGCGGAGAAATGATTCACCCTACATATTGATGCTCGGATAAGTACCATCCAAGCATCTCCGTCCCTCCTTTCCTTGCTACCTACCTTTGCGAGATTATATATCTATAAGCAGCCGCTCCAGGGTACCGAATCCAAGTTGAGCAGCGTCCCCAACGCACCGTTGTGATTACGTTGTGTCGGGCTTGCTTAACAAGTTGAGGTGGGAGAGCGATTTCGGTTTCATAGTCTTGCTCTCGCCGCCGACAGGTCGTCCCAGTCGGCCGCTGTGAAGACGACATATCGATTTCCCCTCAAGACATACAGCTGGTCACCGCGCACTCGCGCCGGGTCGACGCCTTCAGACCGAGGCTGCACCTTGTCCTGCTTCAGCCCCATCGAATTCAGTGAGCCCGAAGGCACTATTCGGAGGAACAGCGGTACGGCGAAACCTGGGAGGTCTCTTCGCGCATGCCTGGACGTAACGGTGTCAACTCGGGGTTCTGTTGGCAACCATGGGAGTTTGAAAAAAAAACATGTAAAACATGTTACATACCTCAGCAGTCCAGCAAGGCCAAAGGTCTGCGCAACTGCGGGATCGAGCATCAGTGCCGCACATCCCGCTCTGCCGTCATGGTTCGGCAGCTGGACGCCGTAGACATTGGCGTCGATCACGCCGGGGTGTCTGCCCAGGCATTCCGACACTTCGGCCGTCGACACGTTCTCGCCTTTCCATCGGAACGTGTCGCCCAAGCGATCCAGGAACGACCACTTGCCGCCCTTGTCTCGCTTGAGCGAGTCGCCGCTGCGGTACCACAAGTCACCCTTGCGAAACACGTCTCGCGCAAACTTCTTCTCCGTCGCCTCGGGGTTCTTCCAGTAGCCGACGAAGCTGGCCTCCGAGTCTAGCCGGAATAGAAGCTCTCCGCCAATCTCATAGGGCATCCGCACTGCACATCCAGTCTCGGGATTGCGAATGATGCCGTTGGTCTCTGCGTCGACCAGCACAGGCACAATCTGGTCATGCAATTGCCATCGGCGTATCAAACCGTCATGACCCACGGCATTGAGGAGAAAATCTCCTTCCTGGATGTTGAGGTGTGACAGACCGCCCTCGGTGGAGCCGTAGAACTCGCAGACCCTGGCGATGCCGAATCTTTCCTGGAACCGGCTCCACACATCTGGCCTCATGCCATTGCCATACACCATTCGGAGGGAATGCTGGCGGTCCAACGGCGTGGGAGGCAGAGCAAGCAGATAACGGGCTATCTCGCCGACATAAGTAGCCACGGTTGAGCGAGACGTTCGGACCTCGTCCCAGAACCGCGAGGCCGAGAATTTCTTGCTAAACGCAACGGTCCATCAGCTCGAAAGCCAAGCATTCGGGCAAAAATGTCCCGTTCACTGACCCTATGCACAATGTTGTCGGCATGAGCATGCAGATGATGACGGCCGAACCTGCAGTGGCGTGACACATGGGCATGCAGATGTACCATCGATCCCCCGACCCGCCGGCGGCCTGAAGCCGTTGAATGCCCATCTGGGTGAACTGGGAGGCGAGTCGCGCGTAGTATCGACCAGTTGTTGCCATCACACCTTTCGGATACCCGGTCGTGCCACTACTCCGAGTCAGCTGAAATACTATATAATACATTCCAGCCGCCAAATCCCCCCTCCCCAATACAAAAAAGTTAAAGTGCGGCGATGGAAGGACCTACCTACCTCGTGTACCGCAACGCCAGTTTCGTCTTCTCGCCAGCATCCTTCGTATACTCCGCGTCCGGCATCTTCACGGGTATTCTCGAGATGCGGGCCCTGAAATCTCGATCAACAACATATACTACCGCGCCCAGCTGCCGCAACTCTTCTTCGATCTCAAACACGCGGTCCTTGAAGTCCTCGTCCACGAGGAGCACCTTGCACTCTGCGATCTTGACACAGTGCACCAGCGCTCCGCCGACGAGGTTATAGTTGATCAGCGCCGGGTAGCACCCGATGCCCAACAGACCGAGCCAACCCAGCACAAAGTCCGCGCTGTTCTGCAAGTAGAACCCGACACAGTCCCCCGGGTTGACACCAGCTTCGTCCAAAAACCATGCCGCGAATTGACACGCATACTCGCGCGCTTCTCGCCACGTGAGGGTGTGAATCGTCGGTGGGATGGTAGACGGGTCGGAGTACCAAATACAAGCGTCGTCCGCGAATTTGTCGCAGTTCTCGCAAAAGGTCGCCCAGATGTTGACCTTGTTCTGCGCCTTGAGGCGCGCTTGGTGCCGCGTCCCGCGGTGTTGATAGTAGATATGAGACAAATCCTTCGCTAGGTGGTACTTGGCGTTGAGATAGGCCGAAAGTGCTGCGGCGCTGGCGAGTGCGGCTGTGGCTGTTGCTGCTGCTGTTGTAAATGTTAGATATTAACGTGTTGGAGTAAGTTGTTATTAAGCCACCCTACCCATCTTGGACCTGTATTACAAGCGTGGGTAGGCGGAATCTGCAGAGACAAAATTCTACAACTCCGGTATTGTACTGATTTGCAACATAAAGGCAGGCGTTTCCGTGCTTTGCTGAATGGTGATGGGAAAGCCAAGTCGAAGTCTATCCTCTAGTCTAGCATGGTTTCCTTGGATTTATTACATCGGCAAGGCTGGATAGAAGCGGGGTGCGGAGAGTCCCCCCACAGTACTGAGAACCCCACAGTATGGAGGGCCGAGGTCTTGCCGAGGCGCAACCATGGGCCCACGAGCCCCTCGGAACCCCTAGCGGCTCGCAGCCTTGCTGACATTGTCGCTACCGAACCGCTCAGAAAACGGAGTGGTTCACAATTCAGGTTTCTACAGTATTTGACCGGGCACTGGTTGGAATAGACGCAACCACAGTCTTTTCGAAGAATGGCGCTGACAAGTACAAAGGCCCGCGAGGTATCGTGTGTCCAAGTCCATCGTCATCGCCTTTCATGGTCTTCGTCACTTCATGAATCGCTCGAATCCCCGGCGCGACGAGCATCTGCTTTCCCCAATCCAACGCCCTTTGCTCTGCCATCAACTACCGCTTCAAGGCAGCGCCCCACTCCCTCCAGATCGCCCATGATTCCCACATGTCCCCGATCACTTTCCACTCTGCCTCCTTTGACACAACGGTACCCTTCTGGCAGCTGTGCCGCACTCGCAAGCACCACTCCGTCTCCTGCTGCAAAGGCCAGGTCGTCGAACACATCCGTGTACTTGATCGCCTCCTTATTTGCGACTCTGGCTCCATACACAGTTGGGACTGTCTTGCCGAAGATAAATGCGTGGGGTGGGTAAAGATTGTTTTCTTGATGGGCAGGGATGAAATTCAACTGCTTCTTGAAGACCGAAATCTCCGCTAGCGTGCGATCCAGATATTCCTCTGCAAGATCTTTCGGAATTGTCACAGCTGTCGCAACGGTGGGTCGATGGGTGGACTGTTTCATTGATGGCCCAACCATTCCTTCTGCATTGCCTTCCATATCCTGACCCGCTTCCAGGGCCTTGTCCATGGCTCGCTGGTTCGCTTCCTCTAAAGCCACTCTGGTATCCGTTTGATTGGAGGACTGCCCTTGAGAAGGTTGACCTCCGAACCATGACCCACGTTTGTTTGACCCCGAAATGCTGTCGGAAAGAGCCCCGATAATACTCTTCCTACGATCTTCTTTCTCTCGGAGGCTGTGTGGTATCGGTGGGTTGATGCAGGGAGACAAGCGATATTCTTCCCAGACGCGCGGATCGAAGAAATCCAGATCGTATCTCCTGTTTGTGTGCTTCTGGATGAAGCAGCGACCGTCTTCCGGAAGCAGAGCGTAGCTGGTTCGAAGCGTGAAATTGACTTGTGCGGTGAGGACCCTCGAACTGAGAAGCACATCGTCGCCATTCCGCAATGGTCCCAGAATATTGACACAGTGCTGCGGCACACCAGCGTAGATCACCCCCGCAAAAAGATCTGGCCGCTGATTGACCGCGTGCCGTGTAATTAACCCTCCGAGGCTGTGTGCGATAACAGTGGCACCTCGTTTTTCGTGAGGCGTCTCTGGATGATTGCACTCCAGCGATTCCAAGAACTTGATCAGCTTTCCACTGAGAAGATCTGGAGACAGCCGCCAATCATAGCCCCAATCGTGGACTCTAAGTTTATTCTCACGTGTGCTGGGGCATTTCTTCATGTGCTTGAGCAATCTTCGGCAGATGTCGATCGGCCCGATATGGGAGAGAATGCCGGACGGGATGATTGTTTGTTCCATGCGCTCTTCGTCCTCACGCGTCAAACCAACTTCAAGATCCACTTTACGCATGTTCAGTCCAACTTTGATGGGGACCCAAAGCTGCCGATGAGGAGGTTTTGCGGATCTTAGAATAGATCCTCTGTAGCCGCCCAGCACAACAATGTCACCGGTAGTCTTTGAGAGGGCGCGTGACAGTATTGGATGGGCTCGCTGCTGTGGAGTTTCCACCTCAACGCCTTTTGTTGCGTTCCGTATCTTCTTGACCGAACTGGAATGGGGATGCTGTTCTCTTTCGTCGCCGCTAGTTTCACCAATTCCTCGAGGGATTTCTCCATTCGATTGGTCAGGCGACGTACGTCGCTTTGCTACCTGTCGAAGTGCGGGTAGCCGAGGTAGTTTTAGGGTCGAGTTCTGGAAACTGTCCGTTATGGCTTTGAAACGAGAATTTGCCATATCCGAAATGTGGGCAAAGGCGCTAATGTCATCGTATGCCGAGACTCCTGAGACTCTCCTTCTTATGTACAGAGATCCTTCGGAGTTGGACCGCGCTCGACTAGCGTTGGATGCCGGACTGGTGGGTGAGAGAAGCGATTCCACATTGCCGTCCACCTGACTCCGCGACAGGGCGGCAAGGTCGTGAACCCGCTCTTGTTCCGACTGCATACCGCGGGCTGCGTCGCCAGTACTGCGCCTCTGAGGAGGTTCGCGAATGGACCATCGAAACGGCCTACTGGTTGGTGTCATTTGACCGCTAGAGGGGCTCTGCTGGCCAGAGTTTCCATTGCTCGATGGCAAAAGAGACAGAGATATAGAACTCCTGTTAAAGTGACCGGAAGGAATGTCCGGTAGCAATCTTCGCAAATTGGAAAGCAAGTTCGTTGGAACCGACGAGAGACTGCGCCTTCGCTCACTTCCTGCCCCGCTCAAAAGGTTCTTGGTGATGGACAATCTGTGAGGGTGCAGTAACTGGGCACCTTCTTCGATGCTGATAAGGCGTGATAAATCGCCCTCAGAATGTTGGGGCTGTTGAGCCATTTGATCGTCCCCCGGCGGCGTAGGTGGTTTCCGACTCGGGTGGGGTGGGAATTTGTACTCCCGGGACGGACTCGCAAGTTGATCCGCATCTTTTGGTTTTGAAGCTTGGGGTGCATAACCCCTGTCAAAGGCAAGATCTGGTTCTTCGATAGTATGACTAGAGCGTCTTCCTTGGTGGCTGGCGGCGGTCGACTCGCGCGACAAGGTTCTCGTTTCTATTCTCTCGGAAGAGGCGGATCTCTCGGCATTATCCTGGTAGAGTGCAGGTGGCCTGGGACTAGCGTGCGGTGTACTGGGCTGGCTGTCGTTTGCTTCGTCGGTGTCATTTTCTTGGTCAGGTTCCTCGGCCAGCGCCAATATTCTCTGGAAGTACTCGACGGGCAGATTGAGAGCTCTTGCCTTTTCGGCCACAGGCGTCTCTGGAGATCTCATCTGGGTCTGCGCTCGACTGATACTGACACCGATCAGATCATCGCCATACAGATGTTCGGTGTCAACTCGAGGTGTTTGGCCATAACCACCAGAGAGGGTTTCAATGTCAACAAAACCTCCAAAGCCATCTGTCAAAGGGGACCATTCTTCGTCTGGGCCGCGAGCGGAAGTGAGGCCGGCCGTCCCAGGAGCATGGGCTGATTCCATCATTGGGTGGAGAATTCATGAAGGCATGTAAGCTGAAAGTGGGTTGGTTGGATCGGAGGGATTGAAGTTTCTCGAATATGGGCTCACTGTAGCACGCGGGAGAACAGCTTGGGGTAATATACGACTAGAGATCCGCGGAGGACAGATCCTGAGCTGAGATACAGTGCTTATTATTGTCGGGGGATTCGAAGCGATGGCCACAACGGCTCATTCGAGGCTGACTGACGAAGATTTGGGATCCAGGTGAGGCTGGGTTGCTGTGCTTCTGGGCTAGGTAGGTACAAGTAGGTAAGATGATGGAAGCTGGGTGGGTAAGCGAAGGATTGTTCCAATGAAGAAAGGGGACAGTGGTAGGGTAAAACTTGGCTAAAAGGCTTGGGTTACAGGACGGGCTCACCAGGCAAGACGGGTCCTAGCCAGGGTCGAGATCCGGGTGTCGAACCGAGCATAGAGGACACCGAGGGTTTGGATAAGCGAACGGCAGCTGGGATAAAAGGAGTTTCAAAGGGCTAGGAATGGATCTTGTGCGATAGGCATGAGGATGATAGACTTTTTGGATGGCGATGGAATCGTGCAGAGGGATATTGTAAGTGTACTCGGTACTCGGTACTTGTACTTGTACCTGTTGAGAGCAGTGAGCGCTGGGAGTCGAGTGTTAGCTCGGCGGGAAAGGACGGATCAACCCCCTCACCTCATATTACCTCGTACTGTCTACTTGGTATTGGGAATCAAGGAAGGGACATTCGCACGACCACCTGCAGTGACTTAATTATGCCGGTGGAAGGGCTCTACTGAGTCCTGGGTACAGGTAGATGATATACAGGCATAAGTTATGTAGACGAGATCCTCAGCCCGCTGGCCCTCGAGCCCCCCACCATTGATGCCACCAAACCAAGATTTGCTTGCTGCTCTTCTTCCTTTGCTTTCTCGTCACGTCATGTCAGACGCCAAGCACCGTCACTACTGTGCCAAGTCGCCATTGGCGGCTTAGTCACCATTGCCCCTCTTTCCTCGGGCGCTAAATCCTAACTAAAAGCTTGTTTTCAGACGCCATCCTTGGCCACTTGGCCATCCCCAACTCGCTAGCTGCTAAGGACATTTGCTCACCTTCTCCTTACTATTGACATCGCCTCCAGCATTTACTGTAGCATCAGGAGGCACCAGTCGAACAATGACTAAGCCCCCAGATTTTATCATGCGTAGGTCAAGCAGCATTGCTCAGTGCGGCATGTGCTAGTGATATTCAGTCAGAGCAACCAGCTGGTCACAGCAAGTGAAACATGCCCTTCATAATTCTTTCCTGCATCAGTCATTCATCTTGACATACACCGCCTCAGACGACAATAACGAGCTGTGGCGACACATTCAGGCCCAAGTGCGGGTACAGTCACCATTGAGAGTTGCTGTCATTCTGGATCTGAGTGACTCAGCAAATCAACAGATAGGTGAAAGACTTGAGCAGCTATACCATATAAACCCCTATCTTGGGCCTTATCTGCGATGAGTTCGTATTCCACCAGTCGGCCACCGGAGTCGATGCCCTTTATCCACCTTCAGCCAAATGCCGAGACAAATACCACGACTTCGCTGGGCTGGCGGTGACAGCCGTTCAAGCGTCTGGTTTGGACTTGCAAAGCTGTGCATGCACGACAAATACGTGCGAATCGAAGCCATTCGGAGGAGCAGGCGGGGTCGGGCACGTGCCGCAATACTTACCGAAGCAGCTGCCGGAGCTACCACTGTTACTACGCCTGGTGATGACCAACAGGGAACCGAGACGGAGCCACCCATGGAGGAGGGCATTGACGATGAAGACACACAGGCACAGGAGGCTCAAGCCGGAGATGTGGAGAATGGCACAGCGGCGGATCTTGCACACGTCGCGGGAGCAGGAGAGGCAAGTGGTCCGGAGGATAGGAAGTCTGATCACAATCATAACCCAAAGGATTCACCCATTTCTGCGACACAGTCTGAGGTCCATTCCCGTAGAGCATGTGGCGCGAGATCCCATGCCGGGCCTGATAAATCTGGAGAGAACTGCCAAGCACAAGAGTGTGCTCCTTCGCTTCAGCCCTCAAAAGCAGCATCAACGAGGACGAGAAGCAGCATACGAGCTCTTGCTGCCCATACGCCTGATGAAGACAACCAAGAACCACAGCGGGCTCCTTCTCGCCGTATGCCAGCGGTCTCCTCCATACGATCTGGGAGCGCAAGAACCGTCACTGGACACCAGAATTCTCCCGCTAACCGTCAGGGGTCCTGTCGATTCTCATCTCCTCGACCCTCAATTGTGCGGTCAACCAGAACTGGGAGCACCACAACGATTAGTGTGGATCACGGTACTACCTCTTTTCCGCAAGAGAATCGGCAGCGCTGCGCGCCGCACTCATCCAGGGATCCTTCACGCGACTCTACAGTTGCTGAATATCGCGACAGTCTATTTAATTCTGATGAACGAGACAGGACAGCATCTCAACCCTCTTTTCGACCCGATTTTCAAGCAATGCGGCAAACCAATTCGAACTCCATTTCAAGAAGACTGAAACAAATGCCTGCTCCTGCGTCTATCTCTGGAAGGACGTGCGCCTATCCATTATCTCCCGCGCAATCACAAAGTCATTATGACACATCATCTGTCCCCACGTCTAATCGAGTGCCAACACCCCTTGATTCCCCAGCGGCGTTGAGGTTACACTGGAACTGGCCCGTAGAACAGACCCAAATCCCTCACAACCAAGCCAAGCACACGTATGGGCAGCATACTCAGCAAGAGATGATGGCATCTCGGATGCAGGAACAGCACCAGACGTCTTCACCTTCCAGCTTCTATCCAAGTGTTACCCAGATTGAATCCCTGTCAAGGCCCTGCTCAGATGCCAATCCTCGGACTCCGCATCCAGAGAGACATCATAATCACCAACCCCAGCTCTGCCTTCCGTGCCCCTACCCCTACCCTTACCAGTATCAATGCTCACCATCTCCAACCCCCAGACGGCCAGGGGAAGGCGGAGCTCTTGCTCTCTACAAAAACCACATTAATTACGGAAGTCCAATGCCCTACCCACATCCACCGCCACCACCGGTAAGCCTCGGACCGTCTTGGGAGCTGGCTCTCCCACCCCATCTATCACCGGGACACGCAATTTACCCATACTAAACTCAGGACTGGCAATGCTGTCTGCATACCCGGCTTGCAAGACGAAGTCAGCTCAACAAGAAGGCTGGTTTAGAATGCAGCCGACAGCATCGTGAAATGAGATCTGCTACCAAGTTTCCAAACCGGCCAACGGAGAGGATGTGAGGATCTCCAACAGCACCGGAGGTGATCAATGAAGGAAGGAAGTGGGGCGTTGCACTGGGCAGGGGATGCTGCTGAAACAGAGCCTCGCAATGCTTGACTAGGGCTCTCTAGAGGGCTCACGAGGCCACCTTCCCACATATCTACGTACCTACGTGCGAACATAATCCGCTACCTGGAGAATGTCCCGCCGCCTTGGGCACGGAAGAATCCGCTCGAGCACAAGGCAGTAGCAAGATAGCAAGGGTATCCAAAACGGCCGACCGACGAACCAAAAACCCGCATGCACAGACCACAGCGGGAGGGGGGACCAACAAGAAAAGCTCGCCGGGCCTTGCCTTGTGCCCCCTTTTCACTCCCCGTCTTCTGCCCGACTCTGACTTTGACTGAACTTGACTTGCTGCGCTACGCTACGTAATTCTATCCTTGTCAACTTACTGGTAACTGCTTACCCTAAATAAGTCGTCCTGGGTGGCTGGCTATGCATGTACGTGGACGGGTCTCTCAAGGCTGAAGCCCCCTTATCCTGCGCTTACCGGCCCAAGAATGTAACAGGAGTAAGAAAAATGGGAGCCTTACTTTATGCCCATGGCCAAGCCGTAGCTTTGAAACTTCCGATCTTCTGTCCATGTGTCCTTAACTCTGTCCAGGGAGCAGGAAAGATATTCGCTATCTGTGAGCTAAACCTTCGCTATCACTATGTAAAGGCGCGGCAAAGCATCATGCCCATGTCTAGCCTAGTCTTATTTTCCTCAAAATGTGTACTCTGCATTGGTTCTCATTCCCCTCACTCGGTTTCAGGTCTAGAAAGACATGGGCCGCCTGCAGTCAAGGTCCACTGCGATTCCCTTTCTCCTCCCTTCAAAAAACATCTCTCGGCGACGGTTCTCGTACAACGCTGTCTGGACGAAGAATACTTTTCGATACTCTCGTTGAGCGATTTGTCGAATCCGAATTGTCGTAGGCTTTCCGACGGGGTTCACCCATTGTCTGATGGGCCGCAGCAGCGTCTCTCAGTATGTAGTGGCGTTGTGAAGTTTTCCAAATCCGATCAATAAATCATTAGCGTCGTCCTCAGTCCCGAATTCGACATATGTAACATCAGGCCACGACAGTAGGCCAGGTCATGAGCGGAAGTCTCAGCTTTTCCGCAGCGTCATGATAAGCACAATGATCTCTGGAAGCATAGGTGTGGCGCGTCGATGTTTGTCATTGATCTATTCGCGGCCGTTTTGCATTTGCGTCTTCCTCAGCAAACGGGTCTTCAACCAGAGAACGTTCCTCGCGTATGCGAATTGCCTCAGTACCGTCGTCCACAATGGTTTCTTTGAACCAAGGATGCTTGAGGGCTTCTTTTGCTGTGATCCGATTCTTCGGATCATAAACGAAGATTCTCCTCAACAGGTCAAGCAGATGCCTGTTGAAAGACGAGTTGGCAGGTATGAATTCCTGTATGAGAATCACCATTAGCATACTCTCCAAGTGGAGGCAAGTACAAGGAGCCCAAACGTACGTGAAGGTGCTTCATCGCTTTGACGTATTTCCTAGATCCCTTTGAGGTTTCACTGTTAGGATATTCCAGTTTCCCTCTGTTGAAAAATTTGGCGGCAGAATTTGCGTTCGCCCCGCGGCCCCCGGCGCATACTTGCTTGACTAGTTTGGAGTCGATCTTGCCATTGCATACTGCTTCCATCATTGCCAAATGCTCGAGATTATCGTGCGTTTGGAATAATGCGTCGCCTGTGAAGAATTCCACAATGATGCAACCGATGCTCCAAATGTCGCAAGGGAAACTCCAGCCCAGTTGCAAGATGATCTCAGGTGCTCTGTAATGCCTGGTCGACACTACTGAGGAGTGATATTCGTCATCGAACGTAGCAGAGCCAAAGTCTATTAGACGGATCTCACTGTCTAAAAGGACTCTGCGTTGACGAGCTGTTCTTGATATGGTATGAGACGATGAAGGTATCGAGCGATTGTAGGTAAAGGTTTGGTAAGCATTGTGAACCAGCAGTATGTTTTCAGGCTTGAGATCTGTATGGATGAGGTTCAAGTCGTGCAAGACTGTGCAAGGTTAGTATGATGTTTCTGGCACCAAGGGGGCGGTGTAACTCACAGGCGACGCTGGTGAACAGTTGCCGGGCAAAGCTCTGAATTTGCGTACTTGGGAAGGGAACAAAGCCATTTCCTTTGAGGAAATCGAACACACTCTGTCCCAGCAGGTCCGTGACTATACAGATGTGGTTTCGGAAGTCGAATGAGTCCCTTAGATGGATGCACTTATTTCGATTGTTTTTGTCATTCAGAGCAAGTGTGGAGAGGACGCGCAGCTCGATCCGAGAGGCATCGCGGTACTTCTGCACCGATCGAATGATTTTGACCGCGCATTTCGTCTTCTTTCGCGAATCGTAAGCCTCAACGACTTTGCCAAAAGTGCCTTGCCCAAGGAGCTTGATGATCTCATCTATCAAGAATTGTCAGAGAGAGACACTGTCATTGAGGAAAGATGATACTCACATCGATCAGCAAGTTTAGTGCCAGAGTTCACGATATAATGTCCATCATCATCATCAACTTTCAGACTTTTATGCTTTTCTGTATCTCGTACTACCGGAACGTGAACATCCGCAGCTTTTCGTAACGGTTTTGGAGGAGGTATGTAGTCTGCAAAGGCGTCTGGTGCAGATTCTTGTTGTTTCCTTTTTGCCGCTTGTGATCGGGTCTCTTTTTGGGGTTGTGCTCTCTTCCGCTTTTGTCCCACTCTGACATCTTCGTAACTGTTGCTAGCAGGGTTGCTGCCATATGATTCGAGAGAGGTTGGCGCGGTCACGGTCTGGAGGGAAGTGGTTCGATCACCGGAATGATAAGAGGCAGACGACGAGGACGCACCGAATTTGGCTGGGTGCGTCGAATACGTTGGGCTGTCTGCATATTCAATCTCTTCGCCTTGATCACCTCTTCTTTTGCGGCCCGCATTCGACGTGTAACCTGCGGCATCCTGTCTCTGCTGTCTTCTCGAAGCGTCTCCTGGCCATTGAGGGTCTGGACTGTCATCGTCGATAACAATGATTTCTTTCGGGATGCCGTTTTTGTAAAATTCATTCCAGTCTGGTTGTCTTCTGAGGTGAGCATCAGGCAGAACCGAGGTAGACTGGGACGCAGGCATTGTGGAAACATTTGAGGGCCCTCTGTAGGACATTGCCGGGGACTGTTGAGGTCGTTGATACTGAGCGGCACCTTGGTAAGAATGAAACGAGGTGTTCAACCGCTGGGGTGCTGGTAGAGTATTGGTAGTGGGGTATGGGCGGGCAGTCGGCGAATATAGATTTTGATGAGTATAACCATACTGGCTATGGTGAGCAGGTAGGAGGGTGGTTGCTATCGAGGGCGTAGACATGGTGTTTCAGGCCCGTTTTCTGTGGGAGAGGCTCGACAACCCAGGTGTTGCCGACTGCAAAGAGCAACATGCGAGGTTCGGGAGGGGTCAATACTCGTGTGCTTGGTCTCGAAACTCGATCGGGAGATGGGAGAGGGTAGTGTTTGATGGCAGACGATGAGATAGAGCCCCAGGAAGGAGGTCGAAGGTCAGAAGGTCGTTGTCGAGGCGGAGTTCGAGGTTCGGGTGAAAACGTGGAGACGCACAACCTCAGGCGGAAAACGCCTATTGCAGCAGATCCACGGTCATGTTCGTTGCGTTCAGGGGGATGATAGGGAGATAGGATGAAGGAGAAGCGGCGGAAGGTGACAAAGAATAAAATTGATGCCGGTCAGGGTGAGAAAAAAGCAGTTGGTGGAGGATGGCGATGATGTAGACTGAGATGAAGTGAGGTTTGCACTTGACGGTTGACGGTTGACGGGTGCCCAGCGTTCCAGTTTGCCGTTAGCCAGGCCAGTCGTAGCGCAGTTCACGTTGCAGGCGAGCGGCGAGCAGGGCAGGAAAGGGTTCAGTCCTCTTTCTGCACCCTGTACTCTGCACATCGAGAGAAAGATGGAGAACTGCGTCCAGTGCCCAGTTAACCGGCCGAATCAGGGCTGTCCACGGCGAATGACACCACCATTACGAGGTACTACCATTACCACCCCCCCCTTGCACCCCCCAAGCCCTCCCAACCAGGGCAACCACTGCCCCCCCGGGCTTGGGATCTTAACCTGTGCACCGCCCGCCGGCAGGATTTACTACTTGGTAGGCCCTTGATTCCACGCTGTAGACCGTGCAGTAATCAATCCAAATATCTACGTAGATGGATGTTCTCTTTCTTCTGCCTCTGCTAATTACTGAATCCTACGTAGTATTACCTCGCAGATACGCTGGAGACCATCGCACTTGTCACTGGCGTCTAACTTGACCCGCGCCCCCGGATTGCGGATTGGTGAGCAATGGCCCCAATTCTTTCGTCCACGCGCCTTTGCCTTGCCTATCGTCGCTTATGAGGCCTCCCTGGCCCCCCAAGCTGTGCGGCAAATGGGTGGGTGAGTCTGAGGCACCGGGACTTTCCAATGGCGCCTCGTCGTCACACCACTGCAACTCGTTTTGGCGCACCGTGGCAGTTTTTGATAATCCGATATGTACAAGATACCTCCCAAGTACTCCCTACTCCGTACTGTGATATCCCGTCCCACAAGATTGAGAAAGGCGAGAGCATTTCACGTGTAGTCTCAGTAGTCTCAGCACTCTGCTTCTCACATCCGGTGTCGGGGAAAAGTAGGAGGGATGACAAGTTCGCCACCTCGACTTGCCGTGGCATGGCGATCACGACATGCAACAAGACCCGAATGGACGCGTGGTACTCGGTACTCGTGTGTGGTTGAAGCAAAAACCCTTTCGCCGAACAAGGCCAGATTTGCCTCTCTGACCTGCCACGATACGAAAGTCCGCATTGCACTAGTCTAAATTGGACAATTCAAACTCAGCCTGACGTGAATCCCAGTCGTCGTTGAAGATAGAAGCTAGATACGTTGATATCCTTCATGCCAAAGGCAATGCAGCCACCCCCGTTCTGGTCACCTCAGATGTGGCTTCTTTTTCGTTTGGTGTTTTCTTTTTATATGAAAAACCCATTATCGTACAGTGGTAGACTTGCCCTGTCGCCCCGCCGATAAAAGGCGCGCCGCAAATCGCTCCCTCAAGCAGTGGCTGTCAAATCTAGAAATGCACACATCAAGAATCGCTTCTCTCTGGCAAGCTGAGCCCTCTCACATATGAACGTGTGGCACGCCCGTCAGTCTCGAGCACAAGTAAAACGTCTCGAGCCTGGATCTTAGCATCCCTGTCCTCATCCCACTGACCAAACTGCTTTTCTTTTGGAATCGTTCGAGTTCGATCAGGGGCCGGTGTTCCTGCTGCCGACGTACTGGCCGACACTGGCAGTCTGCCTGGAGTCACAGCAGGGCTTGCTCCGGCTTTGCCTGCATTCATCCAATCGTAGGTTCTTGACTTCTTTCCTCCCAACCGACTCCCGAACAAACCTGCGACAGCCATTCGCGCTGCTTCATTTGCCGACTTGTGCTGTTGTTGCTCGGTAAATTTGCTCTCTGCCAGTTTCCTCTCTTTCTTTGTCGTCTTCTTCTCCATTTCCAGGGCAGCAACACCGGCGGCATCTGGCGTCGCTTCAGTCCCCGTTGCTGTTGGGGCTGTTTCTTCGCTTTTGGCAGCTTTCCGTTTTGCTCTCTTTTGTCGACGTGCTTCCTCGGCCGCCCTTTCGGCTTGTGAAGCTCTCTCGAACGCTGATATAAGACGTATAGGACCTGGAATCTGCTCAGGTCGAAACGAAGATTCACTGCCTGCTTGAGAATGGGTGCCTAATGAGAGGTCAGCGCCAGAGAAGACGAGGTCGAATACCAGAAACCTCACGTTTTAAGCTGGAGCTACCCGTTGGGCTAGCTGCTCTATCAGGGACGTCGGTTGCCTGCTTGGGTTGAACTGCTATATCTTGCCACTCATCTGGTACCTTTCCCTTGGAATGTTGCCGCCGTTCCTTTGCAAGTCTCGAGGACGCGCTTAGTAGACCAGTCATTCGGGCTCGTGCTGCCAAACTGATGACTTTCATGATATCAGAAAGCCGCTCGCCTTTCTGCCCAGTGTCGAGGATAGCTTGCCCCTTGTCGATGATACGGGACGCACCTTCCAACCCGTTGACCCGCACCGTGGGCGGAGGCATATGCTTTTGCGTATTGACAAGTACTCCCGACTGTGGATCAACCAAGTGCTCAGTAATGCTGATATTTCGAATCTTGTCGTTGAGCGCTCCGCCCAACAAAAACATATCCCACAGCGGATACTGGCCGTATCTAGATGCTTCCCAGTCGGCACGGGCTTCTTTTCTCTCTTTCATCTCTTCCTCTGACGGCTGGTATTCCTGGGTTAGGCCCTCTGCTTGTTCCTTTTGTGAGGCTGCTACGCCTCCGCTCGATCCAGGTTGCGGAAAGGAATTGTTTTGATATTCAAAACTGCCGGAAGTCGCCGTTTTGGGAGTTGAACTGCCAAAGTAGTCATTCTGAACCAGCATCCTAGCCTCCTCTTCAATATTGATTCCAGTTCCAACCAAGATATCCTCATAATTCCGATCTTCTGCTTTTTCCGGCGGACGTTGAGGAGGAGGCATCAATACTTGCCCCGAGGGTGGCACGGCTGAACCATTCACGGGGCCATTTCCGCTGGGGGTGGTCGGCTGGGCTGTCGGGGTAGGAGGATAGCTTTGAGCAGCAGAAGGGGACTGAACATCGGGAGACAGTCTGGGTCTCTTAGCAGCTGGCGGTTGGAAATATTGCTGGGGAGAAAATGCTTGAGGCGAAGGTGAGGAGTAGTTCATCGCTAATGGAGGTGACTGAGGGCCAAGCGGGCTGGGTCGGCCATTTGCAGAGGAAAAGGTGCGCGCAAAAGACGTCTGGGTCTGAGGGAGGGGAGGCCGTGATGGCGCAGGCGGCGACTGAGCCATGGTGGTCAGTTCCGCCTCAGTGGTTGTCTCTGTCTCTGTCTCTGAACCTGGCTCTGGATTCCGAGTGAGCGTCGACTCACGCTCGGTTTCCTTCTTGTGCCAAGCATGCCTGATTCCACTCTGCCGACATCCAAGGAATTGGCCGATACGCGAAATAACGTGTCGGGATTAGAATTGTAAGAGTAAGTGGTGTGGTTGAGTGATGCGATGATGGTCGAAGTGTAAAACTGCGGGTAAGGGCTGCCTGCAAGCGACCCAGGATCAAGGACCGCAGTCACGTGTCATGCTTGTTCCTTTACCCAGTATCTTGAACTTCACTCACTGTACTTCGTACTCAGTACCGGCACCACTCAACTCTCACCGTTGTCTGTCTGAATTCTCACCGAGCCAAGAGACCATCCAATCTCCTGATTCCCAGCGCACCGAGAGGTAGCATTCATGATGTTTTGAAGCTGACCCAGGTGACGTGACGTATGTATTGATTAGGCGGCTTCACCTGTGTGTGCAGACATCTCATTCCAGCCCACCTTTTGTCAATCTCCTACGTTTTCCGACCACATCTCCGACAATTTCTTCGAGAATATGGCTACGAAAAGAAAAGCTGCGGCCATGGCCGCCGCCGAAGACGATGAGCAAGTAGACCCTTCAGATGAGCTTGTGTTTATTGGGCTGGGTGGATGTCAAGAAGTCGGCCGATCGTGTCATATCCTACAATATAAGGGCAAGACTGTCATGGTGAGGTCTGAAGACATACCTGGAGTGAACAGAGTCTGACAAGCGTATAGCTCGATGCAGGCATGCATACAGGTCGAGAAGGGATGTCAGCCATGCCCTACTTCGACGACTTCGATCTGAGCACTGTGGACATCCTATTAATCAGCCAGTAGGTGATCCTCTCCTTGTCTGATCGTATATTGCTTTGAGCATCGAATGTGAGAAGGATGAGCACAAAGCAAATGGGATCTTGGTGTTTTACATCCGTCGGGTGCTTCATGTTTGGAAGCAGGTGGATTCGACGGTCCTGCTCGATGAGATCTTGTACCTATAGGCAGACACCAATACAATCTTGTTCACCTAAGACCCTTGTTCCTGCTCTTTTCCCTCTCTGTGGGCCTCAATCCAATGGGTTTTGCTCTCCGGTACCCGACTCCAAGGCGACTTCCTCCTGCCTGCTCCGAATTGAAAGCTAATTACAACCCTGTATAGTTTCCATCTGGACCATGCGGCCGCGTTGCCTTACGTGCTCGCCAAAACCGACTTCAAAGGACGAGTCTTCATGACGCATCCAACCAAAGCAATCTACAAATGGCTTATTCAGGACTCTGTCCGAGTGAGCAACACTACATCAACTTCGGACCAAAGAACCTCGCTCTACACCGAAGCAGACCATATTTCAACCCTGCCTCAAATCGAAACGATCGACTTCTACACAACGCATACGGTTTCCGGGGTCCGAATAACACCGTACCCGGCTGGCCACGTTCTCGGAGCTGCCATGTTTTTGATCAATATCGCTGGGCTCAATGTCTTCTTCACCGGGGACTATTCTCGAGAGCAGGATCGACATCTCGTAGCCGCCGAGGTTCCAAACGTTGCGAGCGTGGGCAAGATCGATTGTCTTATCACAGAATCGACATTTGGCATCTCAAACGCCCCACCACGCACAGAGAGAGAAACAGCTCTCCTGAAATCTGTTTCCAATATACTGAATCGCGGCGGGAAAGTTTTGATGCCAGTATTTGCCCTCGGTCGGGCACAGGAACTCCTGCTCATCCTCGAGGACTACTGGCAGCGGCACCTCGAGCTCCAGAAGTTTCCCATCTATTATACCGGCAACACGGCACGAAAATGCATGGTTGTGTATCAGACCTACATTAATGCGATGAACGACAACATCAAACGCATCTTTCGAGAGAGAATGGCCGAGGCCGAAGCCGCTGGCAATGCGAAAGGTGTCAGTGCAGGCCCCTGGGACTTCCGCTATGTGCGAAGCTTGCGAAATCTAGACCGGTTTGACGACGTGGGAGGATGTGTAATGTTAGCTTCGCCCGGTATGATGCAGTCAGGCATGTCCCGCATCTTACTCGAAAGATGGGCACCAGATCAACGCAACGGGGTCATAATGACGGGTTATAACGTTGAAGGGACCATGGGCCGGACCATCCTGTCCGAACCAGAAATGATTCCTGCGATCATGAGCGGTGGAAACACTGGTCTGGGCCACGCAATGGGCCGCAGGAACAAAGACGATGAGGCCGCGGTGATGATACCCCGACGGTGTTCGGTTGAGGAGTTTCAGTTCGCAGCCCACGTTACAGGGGTTGAGAACGTAGATTTCATTCAGCAAGTTGATGCACCCCATGTTATTCTGGTCCACGGAGAACGCTCTCAAGCCGCACGACTCAGATCAAGACTGCTGGATCTGAATTCCCGCCGATTGGCGAGCAACCCAAACGCACAGCAAACAAAAGTGTACAGTCCAGAGAACGGCGCAGAGATCAAAATCCCCTTCAGGAAGGATAAAGTGGCGAAGGTCGTCGGCAAGCTGGCGCAGATACCTCCCCCTTCGTCTGCCGAAGCAGATGAGACGCGAGTGATCAGTGGAGTACTAGTGCAGAACGGCTTCAAGCTCAGCCTGATGGCCCCAGAGGATCTTCGCGAGTACGCGGGCCTAACGACAACGACAATTTTATGCCGACAACATATCACACTTGCCGCAGCCGGGGTCGAGCTTATTAAATGGGCACTCGAAGGCACCTTTGGCAGCATTGAGGAAGTCGGTCACATTAAGTCCGAACCAAATGGGCATCCTGTCAAGGTCGAAGCTGACCAGAGAAATGGGGAAAACGGAGTCAAAGCCGAAGAGGAAAAGGAAGAAGAAGCCGACGAAGAAATTGTTGCCCAGCCACAGCGGACGTTCCTCATCATGGGCTGCGTCACTCTCAAATGGTCGGGGAGAGAAAAGCAGATCGAACTCGAATGGGAGGGCAACACAATGAACGACGGCATAGCAGACGCAGTCATGGCCGTGCTCATGACGGTTGAGAGCAGTCCGGCAGCTGTCAAATACTCGTCGAGCATATCGGCACATTCACACCACGGCTACAAGCATGAAAAGAACGGTGTCAAGGCGTTGACTAATGAACTGACCAATCTCTCTCCACAAGATCGATTCTCAAGGCTGTGCATGTTCCTCGAAGAACAATTCGGCGACAATATCACCCCCATAGAGAAGCCGCGCATGACCAACCCTCCCAACCGGAAAGTCCTGCCGTCCGGGGCCGAAGGGGTCAAAAAGGAAGAGGACGAGGACGAAGGGGCAGATGCATCCAACAAGGAAGCCGATCTCGAACAGGCTGAGGCAGCAGAGCGCGCAAGGCTGGCTGCCGCAGGGATTCCCGTCCCGGGTCTGGAAATCCGATTCGACAAACACGTGGCAAAACTATGGCTGGAAAATCTCGACGTGGAATGCGCCAACGCGGTCCTGCGAGATCGCATCAAAGCCGTCGTGGAGAGGGCCGTGGAGACCATTGCACCACTGTGGGCCGTTCATGACCAGCAGTCAAAGGTCTGAATGTCGCCGCTTAATAGCCCAGTAAAGGGACTCTTCACTCCAGGAAGAATGAAATGGGTTTGACGAGTCCGTGGGAAGAATGGTGATCTGGTCCATATGAAGGTTGGGTGTGACTCTGCCGACGCGCAGTAGGGCTGCAAAGACAACATGTAAACCTCCCCTTTTGCTGGAATCGCCGACAAACTTTGTTGGCGGCATCGGCCACACCTTTGTATGCATGCAGGCCGTGACGAGGTTGCAATTGCCTGATGCAGCAAGAGCAACATTTGCACCGGGAGAGATACGTACCGGGCCCGGACCTCGAATTCCCTTCCATATTTAGTCAAGACCACAATTGACAAAACAAACTTCTGCGGGGAGGAATACGGAGAAAAGCTAAAACAAACGGGAAATAGCTGGAGGGGAAGGAGAAGAGAGAAGAGGAGAGGAGAGGATCCTTCTGGTTTACGACTCGACAATCATGTGTCAGGACCAGAAGCCGAAGAATGCAGCGGGAATTGGGCTTGCAACACCTCGGTACCACCACGAACCAGCATGTTGGCGTTGGGTGAGTCTGAACGATCGATATATGTAACAACCAGTGGCATTCACAACGAAAAAGCAGTCAGTGCCTCTTTTAAAAAGCCCCATCTATTTTTCTTTCACCCATCTCGCCGTCCAGCACCCGCCTCTTGTTTTCCCCTTGTTGCATGATATACATTCCTAGGTGCTTTTGAGTTTTTGGGGGGTTGGCTTGTCCCAACAGAATATCGCATACTTCCAGCATCTGTCCTTCTGTGATCAAGCCTCAAACCAACAAGAAGAACAAGAACAGGAGGAAGAGGAGGGAAAGAAGAAAAAGAGATCTCACAACGGCGAGGATCAACATGAAGACGGCAATAGTCACCGGTACGTTGCCCCCTTTTTTTCCATCTTCTCTTCTTTCCCTATTTGCCTTTCACATCTTTGTCTTTCCTTTCCTTCCCCCAAAGCCCTCGCCAACATGAAAGAGAGAACAAGAGTTTGTTTGGGAGGAGGGAGGGAGGTGAGTATGTGAGAGAAAGGAGAACACAAAAAAGCATCCAAACTTTCAAATCAGTTTCTAACCTAAACAAATCCCTTCTCTTCCAGGCGGCTGCAGCGGCATCGGTCTGGGCCTGGTGACGCACCTTCTCTCGAAGCCAGACTGGCGCGTGGTGATCGCGGACATCCGACCTGAAGCATTCGCCGCCATCTCGGGCACAGATGCCTTAAGGGACAGCGAGAGGCACCTCTTCGTCGAAACGGACGTCGGGTCGTGGGACGCGCAGGCCGCGCTGTTCAAGACGGCGTTCGCCTGGTCTGGCGGGAGGATCGAATTCTTCGCGGCCAACGCCGGCACGGCCGAGAGGGAGCACATTGCGCTGGCGAGCCCGTCGTCCGCGGCGCACGGGGCATCTGCAGAAGAGGAGGAGCCCACGAAGCCGCCCATGCTGTGTACGCAGGTCAACCAGATCGGCGTCTTCTACGGCCTCAAGCTGTTCGTGCACTACGCTCGGCGCACGGCAAAGGCGCTATCGGTGTCCTCCAACTCGACAACCTCGCCGTCACCACCGTTCAACCCGAAAATGGTAATCACCTCGTCCTGCGCCGGCATCTACCCCTTCCCCGTAGCGCCAGAGTACTGCGCGACCAAGCATGCGGTTTTGGCGCTGACGCGGTCCGTCGGCGCGCTACTGTACCAGACGGACAACATCGCCGTCAACTGCATCATGCCGGCGTACGTCGACACGGGCATGACTCCCTCGGACGTGACGGCCATGTGGCCCAAGGAGTGGATCACGCCCGTCAGCACGATGGTACGCGCGTACGACGAGCTGATCTCCGAGACCGGGCGTGTGAGCCAGGACGGAAAGTCCGACGGCGTCGACGGCGAGGTCAAGCGCGGCCAGAGCGTCGAATGCGTCGTAGAGAGGTTGTTTTATAGGAAGCCCGTCGACTACGCCGACGAGAGCCAGCGCTTTCTCATCGAGCAGAGCTTCGATCTGCAGGACGGCTTGTGGTGGAAGTTTGCGAGGGCGAGGATGGCGAAAAGCTAGCCAGCTGGTCAGCTACCCCCATCACCCTGGGGGGAACGTGGGGGCAATGACAGATCCTGAGTTGAGCAAGGAGTGACTGGACGTGGGGAAAGGACGAGGTAAGGAGTGGACCACGGGTCGACATGGATGGTATATGGAATTGGGGTCGGACTGGCGCAGGCGTTGTGCGAGCAAGGTATACGGATTGAAGCCAGTACGAGGGATCATTTTCCTGTTCTGTTCGAATCAGATACTACAGGCCCCTAGAAGCTGACATGGCTGAATGAGTGGTACGACTCTAGCTTAGGTCGTAAGAAGACTACGACGTGCCATGCGGTTAGGACAAGTCATCGCCGATATTTCACCTCAGCGCAACGGTCTCACGTTTGCTAGACTGGTTTTGAAGACCCGAATCTGAACCAATTATGGCCATCTCGTTTGAATTGCTAGCTAGCTCAGTGCTCGAGTAACCTCCGCGTGGATATGAATGATGGCCACAAAGCGGAGCCCGGCAAGGGTAATCAAGTCAGAAGTAGTGTATGCGTCTCAATAAAATACCGGTGCCCCAACTCGACATGACGATGCAGGCCAAGCAAGCAATCGCTCACGCCAGCACCCTTCGTGCGTCTGCCAACGCGGAGCAGTGGGCTTTCGACCACATTCCAGCAGAAAAAGCGATGCTGAAATGCAAAGGGAAGCGGCGCGAAGAAGGGGAAAGAGGGAAGAAGCGAAGGAAGGGGGAAATGGGTCTTTAAGGGGGGGTATCATGGGGCTGTCTCGTGTATCTGTTCCGAACAATCGCCAAATCTATTCATCCAGTCCTGCGTCTGAACAGTCTTCTCTGTCTTTCCATGCGCGAACCAAACCGGAGACTCTCTATCGTTTGCAAGTGCCTTCGCCATGTCGGCCATCTCCCTTCGTGTGAACGTTCGGTGCGGAAGGCTTAGAGCTATGGTGAATCGCCGTCTTCATCATAGTTGTGACCGAACGGCACTAGCGAGCCATTCGTATTTCCATCTAGAGCATGGGAGCGGCCGTGGATGGCCATGGCCATCCACTCTAAAGGCGACATTGATTCGAAGTCGACGAAAGTATCCTGATCTAGGGGTCGTAGACGTGACTGCAGGCCGGGAAGGACGTGCGACGGACCTGGGCCCGACGCAGCAGTTGCAGGAGATACGTTCGGAGCCATTTCTTCGAGATCGAGCCGCTGCGCAAAGGATAATGGGTTCAGGGCCATCGTCCGCAGGAGGGGGCCACGAGTCCGGGATGAAACATGAGTACCATTTCGGGGATCGTTGAAGAGTTGACGCTTGTCCACGTGACCATTCTCTCCGTTTTGCAATGGGTCATCTTCGTCATCGTTTTCCAGTCGTCCCACCATGGTACTGGCTTGCGATGAGAAATGGCCTTCACATAACGGTGATCAGCGCTCTGACAGGGGGATTCAAGGTGCTGTGCTGGGGCTGGTGCTGGGGTGTGAACGGGCAAGGGTAATTCGGGGCTGGCGGTGATGGTGCCGGGGAGTGATAATCATATTGGGATGAGAGATATGCTCGACATCAAGTTCATGAGGCATTCATGATGGTACCTTGATGTTGAGTCTGTCGTTTGACTTGTTCTCTTGCCCAGCGTGCTGCGTTGATGGTCCGGGGCGAGAAATCTCGAGCGGTCCGAGTTTCCTTGATGATCTTGGTGACCCAATCTTGTCGATAGTAATCTGAAAGTGATCCGTCTGGGAAGGTCTCGCTGAGGTCACTGCAATTGTCAGCAAGGGCGAGCGGCACTCCCCTGGGACACTTACGCGATAATACCCATGCACGCTCTGAGTAGACCCTCGTTATGATTCATATCCTGAGAAACGGTCTGTAAAAATTCGAAGATAGGTTGCACGTAGTTCTGGAGGAGGGGCGCTGTCACTTCGTTAGCGTCGAACCGTGCGCGTTAGAAGGCATCCTACCTTTCTCGGTGCCCTTGAAAGCCAGGATCAAACCAGACCATGCATCGGCAATACCGGATCGGAGAGACACAATGTAGTCAAGCATATCGAACGAGACATCGTTCGCGACGGACACATTGTTTGCTTGCTGGAGGACGCCGGCGACCACAGTGACGTAGGTTTCAAAATGTACACCAATGCTAGTGGCGATATCACCAAAGGTCTCCAAGATGGGCGGTTTCAGTGAGTTGGAGAGCTTGTCGGACTTTAGACAGTTGTTAGTTAATGTGATGAGGAGGTAAAGAGGGGGACGACAAACCCTAAGATCGTTGAGCAGGTAATTCATAAATGTATCGCAGTATGGCCGTGCCTTGTCCTCCAGCGCACGAACAATGTCGCTGACAAGTCCAATAGCTAAGGAGCACATGTCGGGAGCATCCTGATTGCCCAGAGCATTGTAGAGATAGGGAGCGAACGAGTCCATGTACTTGAGAAAGTCGCCTGCCAATGCATTCGCCAATCCGCTGACAATTTGGAAAATGACTTCGGGAACGCTCGTGTTACCAGTGACGTTGAGAAGCTCCAAATTAATCTGCATGATCCGATCGGCCTGGAGCCCGATATTCTGTTCAAGTCTCTGAACAATGGCAAGCAGAACGCTGCTAAGGCTGACTTGCAATTCCTCTAGAGTGATCTTATCATCAATACTGACAATCTGTTTCTGCATGGGGATCGTGCTCTCTAGACGCTGAATGATGACGGTGGAGAGTTCTGCGACAATTTGCAAGCTGTCATGAGCGGCATTTGTCACAAAGCCACCAAGCACTTCATATGCAGCCGTGCGAAGTTGATTGTTGCCTCCTTCTTTCTCCGTAACGGTAAGCAGAGAGGTAACACTGTCTTGGAAATGCGGCGTCAATTGGTTTGACGATGCACCGTCCTCGCCGACAAACCGCTCCGTCAAATTGAGGAGAGCCAAGCAGCAGGACGCGGCAATCTTGGGATTGCTCATAAGGCCAGAGAAAAGGGCGGACATAAGAGGTTGCAAGTGTGTGGACGGGTCGATGCAGTCGGAGCAATAATCGCAGATCCTGCTCAGGGCAAATGCTGCAGAATCCTGCACTTGGACGACTGGGTCTTGCATCATTCCGATCAAGACAGGAAGAGCTTGCTTGACCAGAGGATCAAGGGTCTTAATGTCAGGGCCGTCCATCATCGCTCCAAACGATGATACTGCGGCATCTCGTTTGGTCCAGTCGTCGCTGCGTAGATTCGCCTCGACGAATTGAAGGACAACTGGAACCAAGTCACCTCCTATCGTCTGTGCATAGAGTTGGAGACATTGATAAGCGGCGCGAGCGACGTTGTATTCGTCATCGGCATCATCTTCGGACACTTTGGTCATCAATTGGAGGAGAACCGGGACAACCTCACGCGCAGCAACTCTGGCGAAGTTGAAGTACGGTCGCAGTTCGGTCGATCCTTCTTGTTGTGCTTGTTGGTTGTCATCCTCGATGCTAATTTCCTCCTCGCAGACGGTGCACCAGAATTCGATGGCCAATTTAGCCACATCCTCTTCATCGTTCTTCATACCCGCGATGGTCAGCCCGAACAAGGCCTTTTCCATGTAGAATCTCATCTTGTCGTAGTAGATGCCCATGATTCGGTTCAGACAACCAAAGGCAGCGGCCTGAACGCGGGTGTCAGGGGATTGTGTAGCCTCGCACACGACTTGCATGATGTAGTTCCTCTCGCCCTCGTTCTCAAAATTGCTGCGGATGAACTCGGTGGCATCGCTGAGCGCAGACAAGGCCGAAAGTCGGACATCCTGGTTCTCTTCCTCTTTCCGCGCACCTTGAACAACGGCAGTCAAAATTGCGTTAGAATATCCAACCAGAGACTCTCTGAGTTCGACATCGTCCGACTCGCAAATGAAGCCGATGGTGGTGAGACTGGATTGCTTGAGTTTGTCATCACCAGCGCCAACATTGTGGACGAGGGCAGGCAACAAATCAGGCCACTCGTTACGTGGGAGTTCAATTGCGGCAATGGTCGCAATTAGTTGAGCCGCCGAGTTGGCGGCTTGAGGCGTAGACGTGAGAGTCTTGACAGCCAGTTCCTTGACCTGAGCCTTGATCTGAGGGTCGACTCCTTGCAACCATCTTGCCTGGACCTCTCTTAATCTGGTCACGTCACGGTAGGAGAAGGCGTTCTTCAGGGCGAGACCGGCGGCTTGTCGGACGGCAGGACTAGCCTGATCGTTGGCGAGTTCTCTCGAGAGGATAGACAGGTATTCGGACTAGATATGCATCCGTCAGTTGGTGTAGGATCCAATGCGCAGGATCGGGTGGACATACAAAATTTCCCTCACGGGCTTGCCTGAGCTGTTCCTCAGCACCACCACGGATTGTTGCATCTAGGGAGGATCAGTGCGAAGCCGGAAGCGCGGGATAGAGGAGATTGTCTTACCGGGAGAGAAGGTGTTCTCCAAAACCGCCCTGACATCCATTATGGCTGGACCGAGCAGCGGTCTGGGAGGGAGAAGGCGGACAAACCGAGGATTGCAGGTTTTAATTCGAAGAGCAGGAGAAGATGATGTCAAATTGAGGAATGACACAGGCCTGGATTCAAGGAGAGAACGACCTGCAAGGCAAACAAGAGTTATTGGGCGAGCGGCAGGGGAGGGAATTGGTAGAGACAAGGGAGAAGGGGAGGGTGGTTTGAGAATGAGTGTGCGTGTATTTGGTAGGGCTGCGGGTTTTGGCTGTGTTTTGCTGAGGGCAACTGCAAGTGGGATGGATTTGTTGATAGACTGCGCTTGACTGCGGTAGACTGCGGTCAGGCTCGCGCTAACTAGGGTTCTCTTTACAGGGTATTGAGGGTACCTAGTACTAGGTACCGAGTACGTAGCCCAGGCTGCTCAGGTCAGAGGACTAGAGGCTGGTGAGGCTCAGGGAGGCTGCACCAGCTGTGGTGACCTGCAGGGTCGAAAATGCGTGGTCAAATCGCCATTTACTCTCGACTGCCTCTACTGACGCCCATTTAGCTGCGTACGGGCAAGTACGGGGTACATTACTACCTCTGTGTGGCTGCCGCCCGCCTGTTATGTACTGCTAAAGTGCTCCTGGTGGCTCCTGCCTGTCAACGCCAAGTGGCGCCAGTCAGGGGGGCAATCTGCCAGCCTTGATCAGCCTTGATCAGCCTTGTCCTGTTGGTCACAACTATCACAGTACACAAGCTCCTGCTGGAGGGTGTCCAGGAGTGGTGGTACAGAATCTTTGTCAGGCTATGTTGCTGCTACTAAGACTACACGCTCGTCTAGAAAAAGAGGACCCATCCTGATCAACTGGGTCGGGCTTTACATAGCATGCATCTATGGCCAACGGCTTAGCCTCTTGCCACGACACGCCAGCACCATCTTGAGCGCTTCCAGGCCATCGTTTGATCACTCTGTCATAAGCTCGTCTTCTCCGCTATCAGTATCGCCCGGACTGTCGTCAGCGTCCAGGTCCAAGACCGCATATCCCAGCCCAGCCTCATCGAGGACAGCGACCACTCGTCTCCCCACTCGCCCATTCACATCGAGCCTCACGGGCTTCATGACACCATCTATTTTCCCTCGCTGGAAGACGTGCCGGACATCCCAGGATCCTTCGCCGTCAACACTAATCTCTTTCCAGTAAATTTTGACATCAGAACCTGTCTCAGCAAGGACCAGGAATGCGTCGTCGTCAACGAATTTCGCGTCGAAAATCTCCTGCACATTCGGAATCGCGAGTGATTTCGACTCCATTGTGTGCTGAACACCCTTTCCGGCTCCTTGGTGTAGCTTGACCACGACCTGTTGCAGATGGGCTTTCTCCTGGCGGTCCTTGGATAACACAAAGAGGCGGTAAAGACTTGGATCGATCGAGTCGGGAATGACTCTGATGTCCATATTCTCACCATTGCACTGCCTAGGCAGCTCCAGCAGATAGCTCGAGAGGATACTTTTCCTGAGTGTCTCCGCAATCTGCGCAAAGACCGCGTCACATTGCCTCTGCAATCTGTCGACCAGTTCCCCCACTGTAGGCATGCTGTTGCCCCTGCTGCCGCTTGCTCTGCGTTTCACGTATTCGGTGTAGAATCCTAGATCCGAATCATCATCAAACGATGCAAACATCCCACCTTCTTGCGCTTTGCCCTCTTCCAAAAGGTATTTCTTTAGCCGACTGTCCTTTATTGCGCCTCCGACATAATCCAATACCAGCCTCAACTCTCCCTCTCCCGTCCACGACTCCCTCACCTCTTCCGCCCTCTCGCTGCCTTCCTCCATTGCCTCAACTTCACACTCCCACTTCAACCACTTGATAAAGGCCGCAAACTCTCTCGTTTCGACGATGACATCGAGCAAGAGATCCTCGCCGAGGATACCCAACGCATCGATCGTTTCCGTCACCCTCTTTATATTCCTCTCGTCGAGTCCGAGCTTCGAACTCGTGGGCCCAAACTTGGCAAGGCCGTCGAGCCTTGATAACACAGCAAGACTCCTCTCGAGCGCAGGAAGGAGACACTCACTCGTCATCCTCCTCACAACCTCAAGACAGTCCCCCACAGCGTTCTCCCACCGCTTCAAACCCCTATCCCCAACCTCGTCAACCAACCAATCCTTCAGTTTCGGATCGCAAACTCCAGTGACGGCGAGATGATGGGCTGCGTATATGAAGTCCGCATCCTCATCCCCTTCAGCCAGCGATTCGTTGATATTGCGGAGGAATCTGCCAGGTAAGTCGAAAGCAGCTTTGATCTCGGCAACCAACTGCGTCCGCACTTGTGAGATGTATCTCAGCAGATTTCCGAGCTGTGAAACTTTCCTCGCCACAAGTGGTAAGTTCCGCCCCGTTTGCGGGATGAAGCTCAGATCAAGGCTGAGCAGATGTAACGACGATTCGGCCTCATCTTTCGGCGACTGTTCCATGATCAAGAACACCGTCGACATGAATGGATGGCTTTCCATTCTCATCACCCTCAACGCGCTTCCAATTGCTAAGCCCGAAGGGAAAATGCCCTTCAAATCGACAGTTCCAATCTCGAAGGAATCAAAGACCCTTAACTGCACATTACATCCACCATCTGCGTCGCTTGAACCGACGAGCAAGGCATCAACACCCCCAACCCCGCCCGAGCCAGTATTGCTTCCCCCATGAAACAAAACATCCACACTGGCCCGGGAACTAAACACATCATCATCCGCTCCAAGACCTGTAGGTGGCAGCGTCGCAAGCTTTGGCAAGGACACCTCCACGTCAATACTGCTCAGTTCGCGGGGCAGATCAGATTTCAGCTGCAGAAGTCTATCCACGTCAGCGCGGAGGCTAAGAATTTGGTCGAGTACGACGGTTGAATTTGGCGCATTGAGATGAGAGCGAACGGTAGTCGGGGAGGGGTCGACGAAGTGTGTGGTCCAGGCGATGGTTGTGATGGTTCGACATATGGACGTTGCCTGCGACGTAGGGAAGGAGTGGATTCTGGAACTCCGCCTCGGTGTTTGGGTCTGTGACGGTACCGGTGATGAAGTCGAAGGCAGGGGTTTCTGATTTCGACTAGATATTCGATGGGCAATCTTGCCGGTGAAAGTATTTATGAGCGACAGACTGCCATCCGCACAAGCGATCGCAAGTATTTGACCTGTACATCCGTCCTCGACGTCGAGACGTAATAGTCAGCATCTGGTTTCTTTCTGAGCCTGTGTGGAGAGGGCGATCCGAACTCGGGGGGCACCGCACTCTTCGAAATCGGTCTTGACATGGTCCTACGGACCCTGTGGTAGTAACGAAAAGGGGAAGGGATCGTGAAGGTTGCTCACCATCCCGTCTCCACGCAACTGCCCTTACGTTTCCTCCAGCGCTTTTATTTGCTCCCGCATTCCCGCCAACGCCACCACTCTTTCCCTCATCTTTGGGGAAATTTGAACCAAAGACTTTCTGCCCATTTAATCTCCAAACATCCACGATCCCCTTGCTTGTGACGGTCACAACAAGATCCATTGTTGGACAGTAGGCGAAGAGGAAAGGGACAAAGGGGTCTGTAAGCATGCGCTTTGATATTTGATGCATCGTGAAGTCTTATTGGCGATACTACGGGTTATTCCTGATGAGGTGCTGGACAAGGACAAGCATCCGTCGTGAAAGCGTACTGTCAATTGAAAGTGGACGAGGAGGGCCAACGGAGATCGGGAGGCTCGGCGATACCAAAGACAGACAGCTCCTCCAAGAAGCCACAGGCCAGGGTAATGGTAAGTGGCTTAGGTAGATGATGTACGCAATGGAGTGCTAATCCTTGCGTCTCAGGGACGCGTTCAAAAGCCCGGGTGTTCGATGAACGCGTCAGAATAAACCAAGCGCCAGGGGTATGACTCGAAGGTGAAAAGGCCGCTTGCAGTGAACAGTCATGGAGCCATTAAGTCAAGATCATCGTCATTCGTAAATCTGTGCTCTCACAGATATTGGGTAATTACTGGTGAGTATGTCTGGTCTATGTCTATGTTTGTCGTCCAGAAATTCTGCCAAGCTTATCATGCAGCCTTGTGCAGCCTCGTCAATAGGATGCAAGGCTGAAAGAGCCTCGTGTCGATCCCTCATCCTCCCGCTTTCAATTTTTGGGTCATCAGCAATGTATCCTCTAAAACGCCACAGCTTTCGCCCGAGTTGAAAAGTCCAAAAAATAAAAAAATAAAAAAAAATTCGTCACTTCCAAGCCACTTTGCTCCCACCCATTAGTACATTGGTATCCGTCTCTTTCAAAAGTCCGAAAACTCCACTCGTTCATTGGACGTCCTGTTAATACGGTGATATCGAGTATTCACACATGTAGGTTAGATCACTGTGGATCTGACCAGCTGAATGTCTGCTCATCTCAATATCTAGAAAAATAGGGCACGCTGACAAGCTGTATCAATTGACTGCCAGGCGATGTCGTAGAAATATGTAATTTTGACGTTAATGTTGTTGTATCATGCCTCCCAGATAGCTCAATTCAGCGAGAAGCTGTTGCATACTGGTGGAGTGGGGAATCGTTGAATCGTTATAACCCGCTGCTTGAGCTTGGTAGACCCCCACACGATGGTTTTCATCAACGACCAAAGGCGCCACATGCTTGGGAAGCGATGTTGGTTTGTGCATTAGCCCAGATCCAACGTCTTCTGAGGGCAGGCTATAGTGTTGAAAGCTGGTCCAGGAAAAGTGGTCATCTTTGGCGCTGTCAAGGTCTATGTGAGAGCTTGGAGTGGTAGAAGAAGCAAATGAGCCGACCGTTGAGAAACTGAGCGCCGATGGCAGTCCATCTTGTTTGGAAGCGGAGGAGCACTTTTCCTCTGAATGGTCCTGGCCGGTAGTTTGATTCTCGGCGTTAATTGGATTATCAATCGGCAAGTCGAGGGCTGCTTCTGGTATTGGATTGATTGGCTCAAAGTCAAGAATACTCGATACAAGTTCCGATTGTGGCGAAAGTGTGGTGGTCCCGTCTGTCCAATCCGAGAAACGGCTGTGACCATGGTGAATGTAACTATCCCTGTACGATTCCGTTTCGATAGTGGTAGAGGAGAAATGACTGCGAAGATTGGCAATGTCATCTGAATCGTCGTCGATGAGAGGCTCATCCACGACGCTCGGGGGATATGCAGAAGACGGGGTATTGGGTAAGGTTGGTAGGCGTTTCTCCAAGTCAAGAGCCCCGCGGACCTCGTTGTCCTTTTCGCTCTCAACTTTCAACGCTGTCAGAGGCCAAACAGGTGTATTTGTCGCTGAGGCAACCTCCTCCAGGGTCGCCAAGGGCTGGTACTGTACACCGGGCTGATCAAGTATTCCTAGATCAGGAGAAGAGTCCGGTTGAATCGAACTGCATAGAGATGAAGGCTCGCGCGACAAAGACCGTTGGCGACGATGTTGTGCAAAGGACGACATCGGTAGATGATTGAAGGTTTCAGACGCATTGTTAAATGCTCGACGCAGGACAAGTCCTGCTGTAGGCTCAGACGCTGTGTTATCGTCCACCTCTGAAGTCAGCGGAGCTGTCCCCGGTACAGTCCTCTTGGGAGTGATACTGCGCTCTGATACGCCTTTTGATCGATCCCTCGATGCCAAATCATCTGTGAGACCACGACCTCGGTCCATTGTAGCCTCAGGACTCGCGATTCGTGGAGATTTGAGGGCTCGAAAAGCTCCAATAATACCAACAGAGCGATTGCTCCCGCGCGAAGTGGATCTCGACGGGGCGTCGATGGACGGCTTCATTCGAACAACCCTGTAAGCATTGGCACTGCCAGGTTGCGAGGGTGTTGTGGTAGATGTCGACCTTCCCCTTCTACCAGGAAGAGATGAAGAGCTAGCAGGGGAGCTGGAAGAGGACCACGACTGTTGAAGCAAGGTTGGGGATGTCTTCAAGCGAGGTAGGGATGGCTTTGCTGGCACTGGTCGAGGGTTCAGGAACTTGTCGGTAGGGTCCATGGTGCGGTAGTCAGAGCTGATTGAGCTCACGCTGTCATTGCGGGAGCGGCTGCTGGTAGTGAGTGCAAAGGGAACATTTAGGACGTTGACCAGTTGGCCAGGGAGCATTGGACAGGAGGTGGTTGATGGTTCGGCCGAGTTATGGAATTCGATTTCGTCGTCCAATTTGTACTGTGAGAGAATGGTAAATAACAAGTTGACGAGAACGAGAAGAGGTCAAACACACATAGTACCAATACGTCCCACCCATCTTGAGCCCTCCTTGCCTGGGAACGCCATTGACTTTTACGTCGCCATCACAGATGATGTTGGAAAAGCTATGACAACCTGACCAGTGCTCAGGACCCGTGCGTGTATCCCTTTGCATGGGATAGGCGTTGGTGAAGTTGTCCCAGGAACCATAGAGGTAAACTGATCTAGTTGAAGGCGGACTGCGACTGCAACGATTGTCAGCTCGAGTGAGAGGATGATATAGGACTTGACATACACCAGAAAAGTCACCAGCGTGGTTGGGGCCATTCTTCAAGGTATCGGGTAAGGCCAAGGATTAAAACAACAAAACAGTTTATTTCAGGGTAAGGCGCAAAAGAAAACAGATTCCCAGGTCGTCGAGCAAGGCTTTCTGTCCAGCAGTAACGTACAGGATATCACATCAGGCAGATCAGAGAGAGAGAGAACAAAATTCAAACAACGCAATCGACAAAGGCGAGGACAATGTTTGAACACTCTGGTATGAAAAGCCACAGGCCACCAGGAAGACGACACAGCGTCTCGTGGTAGAGTCTCGTTTTCGATGCGCCTTGCTGCACAAAATATAGTCGAGTTCTGGCCGTTGGAAGGTGACGCCACGAGATGGACAGATGCGCAAGTACGAGGTACCCGGGTACCAGATTGGACGCTATTTCTGCGCAGAGGGTGAAACTGAGGTTGGCCTCAAATCACCTTGTACAGCACCTGCGGTGTTGTCTGTGATGGAAGCATGATGGGGGCCAAAGATGGAGAATGCTCGTTTGAGAAAGCTGAAACCGAGTGACGAAGGAGACAGACAGGGACCGCGCGTGTTTGAGGATTGGATGAGCGACGGCCAGCAGAGTCGATGCGGGATTGGATCCAATTAGAAGAGATGGAGAAGGTGCAAGGTTGAGTCTCGTCGGGCGCTTCGTGGTGGTGATGATGATTGCAGGAGAGCAGGAGCGATTCAGGGTCTGGAGAGTCTGCAGGGCCTGGCGGTTACTGAGGACGACGTGAGTGGTGTTTCGACCAACGACGACTGGTAATGGGATGCGACCAAATGAGTGGTTGTGGGCAGGGAACAGAGTTAGCAGCAGAGAAAATTGCAGTCGGAGGTGAGAAGTCGAGCAGAAGACTGTATTGGTGGAACAAGGCAGATTATATGAGTTGCAGGCAACATGCTCTGTCCCAGTGACGGAGACGCAGCTGTCTCTCGTCCATGCAGACTGGAAACTTGACAGATAAAAGCCGGCTCTATCGTGTCATCTCTTGTTCATGGCCATATTGTCTCTATTTCCGAGGCTCTGGGGGCCTAGGAGGGCAGCAAGCGAGAGAAAAGGCCGCTCGAATCGAGCCCCAGTGTTGATCGGGCCAAGTCAATTTGGGTCAAGCGAAGAGGCTGGGGGTCTTTTGGGGCTCAGGGCAATGGAACAGGGACCCATGTATTTCTGGAAGCGGGAGGGCTGCGTCTGGGATTGGCCAGAAACGGTCTGCAGCACATTGATTGTATTCCGAGGCGAGCAAAACAAGGCAAAGGAGATCGTGTTGCTCAGCGAGTCAAATTGGTCCCAGTTGGCCGCTCCGAGTACTTCCAAGCCCAGAGTGGTTAGTGCTGGGCACCCCATTCCTAAAGGGGATTAGCCTCGGATCTGCATCTCACTGCTCTAGGGCACTACTCCGTAATAGTAATAATACGGTATTCCGTTCTCCGTCCCGAGTACATCCACCTCTCACTTTCAGCTCACTTCATACTCACTCATTCTACCCTCTTCCCCTCCTACGGACATGCCCATGTCCATGGTTGTTGATAAGCGCACAAAGTATCATGGCACGACGAAAAGTGAGGTAGGCCTAATGCCAAGAGCTAGGAGCGAGCTCAGGCTCTTCACTTTCGGCGGCAGCCCCTATTCATTTCTCAAATCGATCTTCCTAGGTAACCGCCGGCCCTCCTTGCGACACTCCAATTTAACCGGGGATTCAGCCAACTCATAAAAAAAGGGACCGAGGACCGCAATTAGACTCTGCCAGCCACGTGGTGCAAGTCTTGGTCATGAACCCCGTCATTTCACCCCCTTTGAGAGTCCCTGTCTGACACTCACGCATAGTGCAGAAACAGCACTCCGCAACTTTCTTGTTGGCTGTTCATACTTTGTATAAGTATGGCATAGACCTAGACATGTCTAGGCTTGTACATATGATGTGCCCCCAGCAGAAAGCGCCTCAAGAGTTGACGCATATTTGTACATCCAAAGGCATCATGATGCCAGGTCATCAAAACATCAATCGGCTTGGATCCAAGCCCCCAGGTGCCTCCAAAAACGCCCTCAATTTCGCCGCCCACGCTTGTAAAAGACACATTACCGACGCCGCCGCCGCCGATTTAGTTCAAAATCATTCTCGTCAAATTCGTCATCCTCTTCCTCACGGCTAACTGGCATTTCATGCTCGTAAATCGTTTCTGTCCCCTGCTGCACGGGCGAATCTTCACCTCCCCAGACGGAATTCAGATTCTCGACCCTCTCAATGCCGTGATTGCCCAACATCCATCGCCCCAGACCAACCACGCCTTCATAAGCTTCTTCGCCGGTGGGCAGAATGTGAGACCTGGGCAGCAAGAAGCCATATGTTCCAGTATCTCTGAGCTTGATTTGGAATGCGAGCTTCACGTCCAGATCATGGTAGAAGAAGTCCAACGCTGAGCCGCCCTGTGGCTCTATCTGAAATCGAGCCTTTTGCGCGCGGTCCTGGAAGACCATGCTACCTTGACAAGCGCTTTCGACTCCATAATAGTGTCCGTTGGTCAATCGGAGCGACTTCGCGATCCCGAGAGCAACTTCTTCCAGATCTTCCAGATTCGGTGGATCCGTCTCACACGTGTAGCTGTACGGGTAGAGCACTTCCTGAGAGTATGAGTGAAAGTCGAGATACGACATAAACGTCACATTGTTGTTCCTTGTCAGGTTTTGAGCCCATTCCGTGAGTGTTTGAGCTTCAACTGCAGTCAATGGTCCAGGACCGGCATAGTCGTCACTGCAAGCGTTGTCTGTGTTACCATAACCGTCCCAACCAAATCGAAAGGCACGGTCAAGATCGATACCGGGGCAGAACGGTATGGAAGTCGCTTGTCGATTCTTGCGCCACAGCCTGTCGGTCGTCCAAGTATACTCATATCCATCAGGATTCAGCACGGGAACGAGAATGAGGTCGAAATGATTCAGGATTTTAGTGACTTCCGGAAACTGGGGGTGGCCATATCGGGTGACGAGGCTGTAAGCAATATAGGCCACTGTAGACACCGAGATCCACTCGCGAGCATGGCTGCCGCCGACTATTAGCAGAGTATGCCTGGATGCATGCGAGTCTGTCGAGCTATCGTCCACCTGCGCCCCAATACGTAGCGCAGGGATGTCGCGACCCTCGGCCGATGTGCCGATACTCATCAGGGAAGCATGGGTGGGAAAGAGCGAGGCAAGCAACCGTAGCCAGGGATATAGGACCGACAGCGGTTGATAATCCTGAAAGAATAGATCGTGAGGAGTGTTTCCCTTGACCCGCCAGTCATGTGGAGTTGTGAGGCTGGACGTTTTCTCATCGGCGAACGGCGATTCAGGGTATGTATCGTAGACGGCACGAGCGAGATCGTGCATCAATGGAATGTATGAATCGTGTAAAGACGATGGCAGAAGGCCAACAAACGAAGGGACCACTTCTTTTGCTATTCGAATATCGACCCATTCATTCGTCGCTTCCCAAATATCCAGATACAATATATCTGCTGCTTCCGATATAGCCTTCGCCTCCTCTTCGCTCTTGACTTGGAAACGGAGGACGACATCACCGCCGTAGCGAGCTCGAAAGTTTTCCGGTGCCCTTGCTGCTTTGGAGACCGACGAGGATTCGTAGGAGTATCTGCTTGGGATAGACCATATTCGTTCGATGATGGCGTCTCGGAGCCTGCGAAATGAACCTGCTGGCCTTTCTCGGGGAGGAAAGATGGCTTTGTTTTGGAGGGAGGTCTGAGAGAATGACTCGCTAGTAGGGACGGAGATGGTGGTGATGATAAGAGTTGAGATCATCAATAGGCAGCGAAGAAAAGGAGCCATGCTGGGCAAGAGACAATGTTGTTATTGTGACATGTGAGTCGAGTGCTGAAACTCAGAAGGTCAAAGTGACCCGAAGGAAGATTTTCTGATGTGGAAATTGAGCACGAGGGCTGTATGGAAGGAGTGGTGGGCAGGACGGTGGCGGTGCGTAGCTGCTTATCAGTCAAAGAATGCTTCTTCCAATCCTGCAGATCACTAGATGGTACAACAAGAATAACCAGTCATACGATGAATTTGAAGAAGATAGTTAGGACTATAAGGTTCTGGATGGATGCGGTGCAAGGTATCGTAACATGTACCCAGTAGGGGAAAAAGGCGTTGCCTGCGGGCTCCGGCCCCTTCCCTTCTCACCAACGAGATCAGACGAAGCGAGGTAGGCGGAGTTCAACTTTGCCTGCGGGGGAGAATTTCTCTTCTGCCATATTACACCGCCACCAATAAAACAGCCTGGAGATAGCAATAGTGTTCATGACAACCTGGCCGCTTTCTGGCGCTATTGCTGGCCGTCAAGAAGAGAGCACATGTCTACCGCTTCTACGCGCACACCTGCACAGGAGCAGAACCGGAGCCAGATATTCTTTGCTTCTGGCCCGTTGATATGCTGGAACAACATCAAGGCCAAGTCTGGCCACTTTTATGCCAACCCTTCCTCGTGGTCTGGTCTTGTGGGTTTGTTGGGACAAATAAGAATTGAGGCAGCAAGCAGGTTGCGGATTCTATTCTTCGTGATATGCTTGGACGATAACGAGCTATCGCAGTGCATTTATGTACCGCGTTCAACATTTTAGGCCGTCATCATATTGTCCCGTATGCACCCTCCAATGCTCCAATCCACATGGTTGTCTCGCTTACACCTTGTATTCTTCCAAGCCCCATTTCCAGACGGTCGCATATGGCGTCATGCCGTCCTCGCGGAAGTCGACGAGGACGTACATGCCGTTCTCGGTCATCGATTCGCCCTGGTAGATGTCGTAGTTGTCCCAGTTGCCCAGAATCTTTTTAGCCGCAGCAGGCGCTTCGGACTGGAATTGCTTGATCTCTTCTTCACTTTTTCCTTTCTCCTTCAATTTCTCCGTCAAAGCCTTCATGTATTCTGTTCCAAGGTCAACTCTATACACTTGAATATTCCAAGCCCGGGACTTGTGGACGTACTCTTGAGTTCCGACTGATATGATTTCTTGGTCATTCCACCTTCCAGCTTCTGCAGACGGAATTGGTCGGCGAGATCGAGGACCGTAACCTTGGTGTCATCCATGCCCTCGTCTGCATCGTCACTCTCGGCAGACGGGTTGGCGCCCTCAAGAACTGAAATTCAAGAGTTTAGCATGAGTTTGCAGAAGGGCAAGGCATGAGGATCCGACGAACCGAAATTCTCGGAACCCTTCGTGACCATCTTGCCATCAATTTCCCACAAGCCATTACCAACATCGATGATTTTGGAAGTGTCTGACGCGAGCTCATCGCCGGTGATGATGTCCTGTTGTGAAATTTGTCAGTTAGTCTAGGCGGGGCAGAGTTCGAACCCTGATGGTAGCGGATGTAGTATTTTGTACCCTGTAGATGATCATCTTGAGTCAAGCGCTACTGCAATTATAGGAGAAAGGAAAGCAATAGAGAGAAGCAGCGCTTAAGGGTTGAAGGGCCTAGCGAAGAAAAAAAAAGTGAATGAACGCAAGCCTGGCAGATTGATGAGGGGTTCGAGATCGAGAGGCATCTGGCCTGTGAATGCCCATCCACCTAATACCATGCAGTGTGGGGGTCGGTCCCGCTACCACCCAAAAATTTTGCTGCGCTTCGAATCGACGGTGCTTGGCGCACGTGATATCCGTATTTCGTATTCGTCTCACGTGACTGCATAGAGGAACTGACAGAGACAAATTTCGCCTCGTCACTAAATTCTCCGGAAACTCCTGATCCTGGTTATCTCAGCAGTTTGTCCCTGTCAAGTCTCTCCACCTCTCTTCTGATCATCTCACTCTGTTCTTAATTCACTCCCTTCACTTCCTTCACTTCCGGTGCTCTTCTCTTTCTTCGCTTTCTACTGGACTTGTACTCTATTTTTGTCAGCCCCGTTGGGTTGAGAGATTCCCTCCTTAACGCACCCTTCCTTGTACTCCCGGGCAATCGTTGCATATTCATCCGAGCCTCCCGCACGCGAGTCTAATATATCTTGGGTCCTTTGAACCTCTACGTCGAATATCGTCCTTCTGTCTATTGCCATCCCGTGTTCGGCAACATGGCGAACGCAACGTATTCGGACCTACCTGCTCTTCCTGCCTATACCTTGAAGCCCCGTCCTCCTATGATTCCAGGCATATCGGATCCCCTCCTCCAGCTTCTCGCCCCTGTCATTGCCTATTGGGTCGTCTCAATCTTCTTCCATGTCTTGGATACCTATGATCTGTGTTCACAATACAGGCTGCATACTCCTGCCGAAGTCCTCAAACGCAATCACGTCACGAGATTCGAAGTTCTGAGAGATGTCATTATACAACAAATGGTCCAGACAGCGTTTGGATTGATTATCGCATCTTTCGACCCTGTTGAGACAATCGGCCAAGAGGAGTATGATGTTGCCATCTGGGCCCGACGTCTGCGCCTCGCAGAAAGGTACATTCCAACACTTTTCGGCTTCATCGGCTGCGACGCTGTGTCTCTGAGCCGAAAGCTGCAACACAGCTATCCTCAACTTGCGGGCGCTTTGACCGGAGGATTTTATTCGACTCCGTCTTTTGCACCTTGGGAAATGACAGTCGCGCAGTCGATCTATTGGATTGGCATTCCTTTGGTGCAATTTACCATTGCTACCCTCATAGTAGACACGTGGCAGTACTTCCTTCACCGGGCCATGCACGTGAACAAATTTCTTTACACCACCTTCCATTCTCGTCACCACCGCTTGTATGTTCCCTATGCGTATGGGGCACTCTACAATCATCCTTTGGAAGGCTTCATGCTTGACACGCTTGGCACTGGCATAGCCTATTTGACCACTAGAATGACCATCCAACAAGGCATGTGGTTTTTCACCATCTCGTCAATTAAGACAGTCGATGACCATTGCGGGTATGCCTTTCCATGGGATCCCTTACAGCACATTACCTCGAATAATGCGGCTTATCACGACGTGCATCATCAGAGTTGGGGCATTAAGACCAATTTTTCGCAGCCATTCTTCACGTTCTGGGATCGCGTCCTTGACACCGCATGGACCGGTGGAGATGTGTCAGCCCGCTACGAACGCGACAGGATTGCTGCCCAAAAAAAAGTGGACGCAGATGCCGCTGCAACCAAAGCTTCAAACGTCAACTCGCCGAATCTTGATGTGGACCACGCAGAACACCAAGCCCGCTCAAGTCAAAGGCGGGTCCTTGACAACAAAGAGAATGGTGGGCCTCGAGTGCTTGAGGAAGAGACAAAGGAAGAGCAAGAAATCAAACAAGCTTTGCGGCGAAGCAGCAGACGCAAGAGTGGCTTCGACGCTAAATCAATATCGGATCGTGTCGCAGGAATCCACAGCAGGAGTCCGGCGATCCTACATGCAGACGGGATGCATTGAACAGTTTTGTATAAAATATTAATTGTTACGACCCGGTTCTTTCATGGTACATGTTGAACACTGTTTCTAGTCGGTATAGGGAGGGACCAGGAATGTGCTCAAAAGATGACGGGGTCCAGGAAAGGGCTTATGTGCCTCGACTATGTTTTTGCAAATCACGGTAATGTGTATAAACATGGGCCGGCGGCTTCAGGTCATGGAGGCGCTGGTTTGCATCTTCAAATAAAGAAAAAAAGGAATTTCCTCTCGCTTCTTTTTGATGCTGAATCCTGGTTTTCTGGAGCCCAAAACACTATATTGTCCAGCCAGGCACTTGGGATCATTGTCTGCATCCCCATTGTCAATGTTATGTTTGGACAGCGCGCTTTCAACTCTACGTTCGCCGAACATTGAGATCCATGAAGGGGGAACAAGGAGTTTAGTTTTGCCTTTATCCACCAGATTTTCTTTGATCTATTGTCTGTGGAAAGGAATATAATTGCGCCATCTCTACCAACTCCAACCATCTTCTTCGAAATCTCTTATTGCACACCCTCCAAAGCTCATCAAAGCATTTCTTGACAGGATCCTTCAACCTTTTGTCTGGGCTTTCATTGGAAATTGTCTCTTTGGAAGGACGGTTTCTTGCAATAACAAGAAGAAAACGAAAAGAAGCTGCTGCTCAACATCAGCAATAGCACGAACCAGGTGAGATTGCTCAGCCACTGGCTCAGAAGAAAGAACTGACGAGATGTATATTCAAGAGATCCCGTCTAGATCCATTCCGACATTGGCGAAGCTTCTACAGTCTCGACCCAATGAAGCCCCAGAAGCCCTCTCTCGGCGCATTGCCAAGGGTGTGAAATCGTTGCCCTCCTTCCTCAGACCGAGTCGACTGGAGAAGCTCCTCCTGCCGCCTCGCGGTCATCTCTGCCGGCTGCATAAAGCGCTACATTACGACGTGGTGGATATCGTGCTACACCATATCCAACTGGAGGTCGGAGTACGTCTGAACAACCTCATTTCGCAATGCGAATTGCTTTCCCCGGAGCAGTACGTTCGCGTTATGAGACTGCGAGCTCTGCACGCCTTGTGGCTCACGCCGGAGGACTACGAAAAGACCTTCTTGACTTCCAGTCAGGATTCACAGTGGAGCTACCAGAATGACCGCTGCGGCGCGTGCATCCTGTCGCGCATTACATGTGACCTGGAGATTCTCCTTGACCTGAGGTGGACGATCCGGTCGAGGGCGACCCAGTATTTCATCGCCACGTATGGAAACCCCAGACTGCAGTTGTGGGTGCAGGTTTGGATTGCGGCGCTGGCACGCCGCGTCCAGAAGGCCACCGGCCAAGAGATTGACCTGGACGCGGTCATGTTGCAGAATGAGGAGCAAGCAATGGCTTTGAAGAAGGCACGGGCCAGCATCGAAGCGGTGAGGAAGGAGAAATACAAGTACATGAAGCTGAGCAGAAGGAAAAGCGGACGGTCGAGAGCCAAGCGCGACGACGGCTCTCGCCTTGTTCCCAATCCCCAGGGTCTTCCCGAGCACGAGGCTGCACGAACAGCCAGCCTGCCAAGCAAATGCGATCATAACGTCGAGGAGGGTCTGCCAGGGGAGCCAAACGAGGCCGATCTTGAAGGCATGGACGCGTTTGAGGCGTTGACCAGCACGACATATCTTCCAAGTCAGCCGCATCCGCACGTGAAATATACATTCGAATCAGATATCAGCTCTGTCTCGGGCGACCCATCTATGAAAGGCCAAAGTCCTTACGAACACGCCTCCCCGAGGAGCGAACGACACAGTGTCTGTAGCGTGGTCGACGATCCACAAACTATCACTTCGCAGGTGCTGAGAGACGACAAAGACGAAGATGAGTGCCTTGAATATGTACCTCCAAGGTCACATTGGAAGACACCACCTCGACAAGAGCGACAAACACAGCCACCTACGCGCTATGGTCGCTCACTAGGCAACCAAAGCCATAATCACCAGATGCAACCGCCTTTCATGTCGACAGATTCTTGGGAAACAGAGCCGTGCTTGGCCTCGAGTTCGAGCATATATTCTTCCGCAACGGTGGCGTCCAAAAATCAGAGGCATCCCACCTCTCGAAGCAGGCAGCATCTGTCCCGAGTTGATGAGGACGAGGACGAGCGGAGTGAAAGCCAATCACACTCTCGATCCCGAATTCATGCACCATCATTTACCACGGCGCATAAATCACTATCAGCGGTCCCCAGACGCAGTTCGGCAGACACCTACACGGATCTCCTGGCGCCGTCTCCATTCACAGAGACATATGAAGCACCACCGAGACAACAACATGTGCCGGCACCTGGGCCATCAGCATACGCGCCTCCAGCATCCGCGTCGGAGCTATTTCTCCGTCTGTACGATGAAATCAGCCGGCCTGCTGGAGCAGGGACACAGCGGAGCCCTCGTAGCCCATCGTCCTCCGTGGAGACATGCACATCCTCAGCTACGTCTCTATCTTCACCTGAACCGACATTTCAGCCCTCATGCCGACCGGCACCGGCGCCAGCACTGTCAACACCTCCACGGTGCCCAGTGTCCTCCACAGAGGCCTTCCTCAACCTGTACGACGAGATCGTCAGCGCCTACGCGCCGACCAAGAGGCCTGGGAACACATCTTCGTCGTCAGCGAAGCTCCATCCGGCAATGTCGTTCTCGTCGTCGACACTCATCTCGTCCACGACTAAGAAGAGACTGACGCCCGAGCGCCTGTCCGTGCGTGCGAGCACAGGTGGCGAGAGCAGAAACCACCACGGCGACGGCAGAGCGTCCGAGACACCTGTCACGCCCCATAGCCATGTGCATGCGCGCGAGAGAGCAGCATCCAGGAGCTCAGCTAGTCACAGCAGGAGCAGGAGCAGGAGTGACGTGCATTCTACATGGAGCCGAGCATACGAGTCGGAAATTGCATCGAGGGAGGATCTGGATTGGTTCTACCGCGGCAGGTAATTCGTAGAATCGGGTATATGATATGTCTTCTTCCTCTCCCTATCTCTCTCTGGGCCTGTGTATGCCTATCTGTCTCTGTGCAGGAGGGTGGATGGGTGGCTATTAAAATAGCTCAAGAGATAAGGGAAAAAAAAGGAATGAAGACAAATGAGCGAAACTTAGTTACTATAGTGATGTCCATCCATTCAAACCGAGAGACGTATTTCTCAGGGAGCAAGGAAGTCTAGCTTTCCTGGGAAGCTTTGTAGAGAAGCCCAGATACATTGTCTAGTGGAGGAGCCAAGGCGTCCCTGTCATGCCAGGTCTTTATTTAAAATCGATACGTTGGCTAGATTAGGGTAATACCACCAGTCCTATTGCCCCATATTGAGACTGTAGAGACGATGTCCGAGATATGTCGTAAAGAAATGGACTGGAAAACACTTGTCTCCGTTTTGAGATGAAATTCATTCGAGGAAGAGATCAATTGGGCCCAGAGAATGACCGAGAAGGTTGAGGCCAGTCAGTAGTATTTATTGTGCGCGCAAGATCTCTCTATCTAGGTATCTGACTTGTTCGTCGTACTTGTGGGAAAGTCAGCTGATGATGACAGGACGAGGCTGGGGATAAAAACGAGAGCCCCAGCAGCTTGGTTCGGGTGCATTCATGTCTTTCTCTGAATGGCTGAACGTCGACCTCAAGGCGTAGATGCAGTTTTCGGCGATGCCCGTTGTCATATGGCCGTCAATCCTAATGTAAGAGCCTATTCAGTCTTGCGCCTCTTCAGTGGACTTTGACTGCCAGTGCTGAAGACCTTACCATTACCAAGCCTCTGCTCTGCGAGGTTTGGGTCTGCTGAGGCTCCGTCTTGCGCTGGCATGCCCAATATTTGCGACTCACTGCCGTCACCGGCCTGGGCACGCTTAGCATTTACACCCTCACGTGTATTTGTGTCGCGTTTCTTACCAACTTCAACGTAGTTGTTCGTTGTGGGCTCCGCCCCGGAAGCATCGAGGATCACTGGGAGAGCAGAGTGGTCGGCTGCTGCTCCATCACCGTCTCTCTTTTGGGTTCCCGCCGGCACTCCCTGATTCTGGGACATATTCACGGTTTCTCCTTTCCCCTCCTTTTTCTTGGCCCTCCTGTTCTTCTTCTCCCTGTTCTTGTCCATCTGCCTCTGCTTGTTTTCCGCATCCATCTTCTTCCTATTCGCTTCCATAGCTTGTAGCCGTTTTAATTTCCTGCTCTCGAGGTCTGCTTTCTGCTGCGCAGCTGCTTCCATACGTAACCGATCTCTTTTCTCCTCCTCAATCTCAAACATCTTAGAGATTGCGGGGAAGAGTTCTTTCATGTGTTTGATCTGCGACACACGCATGTGCATCAAGTCGAATGCTACTGCGATGTTCAGGCCGCGCACAGCTGAGTCGGGTTGGATCCACGCGGAAGAGTCCAGGTTTTGTGCAGGGAGATGCTCCGACTCTGAAGAGTCATCGTTGCCATTTGCATTTGTATTGATCATCTCATCATCAACGTCATCAAGCAAGTCTTCCTCAGACACGCGCTCTGGCATTCTTACACTGCTGAAGACTGGTATCTTCTGATAACGTTGACTGAAATGGGTGAGAATGAGATTTTTTGCGCCCATACCCAATGCAACACCCACAGCTTCGCCTGTCGTGCTGTGCTTTTTAGCCATAGCATCGCCTTCCATACCATCGTCAAAGGTGGCTTCATGCACCAGGACGTCCGAATTGGCGCCAATCTCGCAGAAAGCCTCGCTAGGACGACAGTCGCCACTGTAGGAGAATTTGAACCCATTTTTGAAGGTGACGGAGACAGCTTGCGCACCATGACAATGACTGACCTTGACGGTACGTAGCTCGCGAATATAAAGATCACTTTGTATCTCGAAGTGCCTCCTACGATGGAATAGCCCTTTGTGAGGGTCACAGGCAATGGGGGTGCAGAGCAGATCCGTTGGTATGCCCATAACAGATTCGTAGTCATCCAGATAGTCGATCATGTTGATCTCGGAAAACAGATATGGAGGCGGTCGGCGACCGTGGTGCCCAGGACCTGCCAATCTTCGAACGGTTTGAAATACATGTTTCAGCACAGACACGGTGCCCAAATGATGATCTGCGTGAAGATGCGATATCCAGATCCCCCGGAGGTTGCACAAAATGTCGTCCAGTTGTTCGGCGTGATATAACCTCTTCAATTGACCGAGAGTACCTTCACCACAGTCAAATAGGTAGTTCCCCATCCCATTGGGCATGCGAAGAAGGAGGGACGAGACATTGCGATATTTTGACGGAGCTGCGGAACCCGTGCCTAAGGTAACAATTTCCGGCTCATCCAAATCCATGCCTGACTTGAATTCAGGAATTGGAACATGGTGCACCGGCACATCATCCGGCAACACTTCTTGCACTGCTGGTTCCATGGGCGTTGAAAATGAGTCAAGGTCAAGGTTAGGTGTGACCTCACCCTCATCAATGACGAGATTGGGTTCGACATGTACTTTCAGTCCTCTTTTCGCCGGCACGATTTGGAGCTTTTCGAAAACGTCGGCCAGCTCAACCATTGATTTATCGATCATTGTGCGATAGGCGCGCGAATTGTCGAATCGAGGAACGGAGAAAAGGCCTGGCGCGATCTGGGACAATCGGGCAGAAGACATGGCGGTAGAATCATAGGCGATGTAATCATTGCACAGATGAGGATCCGAAATGATATGCTTCAAGTCTTTGAACTTGTGAAGCAGTTGATGAAATCTTTCCGCTTGCAGTACCTTCCCTTTGGTCATCCAGACAGCAGTTTCGACTCCTTCTAAAAGCCAGTCAGCCCGACTATCTAGTTGTCGTTCGAATTCTTCAAGATAGCCGGCCGATGGTATATCGAACAAGGCAAAACCCCTGCCAGGCCGAGTTGGGCTCAAGACCATCTGCGGGGTGATTGTGGTTTCCTTGCCATCGTCACTCTCAACGGTTTCTCCTGCTACCAGCTTGGCATATTTTGGGCCGGGGCGTAGTCCCAGGGCTTTTGCCTTTGCAGCATCAAAATTGCCGCGCTGAGGATGACCTTTGACAATGTAGGACATTGCAACAGTTTCCGGCAGGCCCGTGGCTGGTGGCAGCTCCTGTACAGTCGAGGCAGGCCAGGGACTGCGAACCAGCACTTCCGTGTCCGGTGTAAAGGTGGTTTTACTCATGTCAAAAACAGGGTAAGTGATCAGTGTCTTCGTCTCGGGATCCCTCACCCACACGACTGCCGGTAGTCTGATGTCCTTGAGCTTAGCCTGAACAAGATGATCACGCCTCCAATCAGAGTCGAACATGTTGTTGATGACTTCGTTTCGTAACTTCTGATCTTTTTCTAGTTGGAATTCGTCAACGCCAGAATCGTCAGAATTGTCCTGTGGCGTGGGGATGGTAGAGCGGTCCTCGACGGGCAGTGCCCATACCCGGATATGCTCATCTTCATGGATCGGGTTCAAATGGGGACTGCTCTTGCGGACATCGACCTCATGAACTGACAGCGGCATCCCAGTACGGAAGACAAATCTCCGTGCACATGCAAAAGAGTGTAGCTGCTTTGGGCCTGCATGTATGTGCAACCTGGGACGCCTGTTCGTGTCTTCATCGATCTCGGATTGCTGTACATCTGCCATTGAGAGAATGAGGCCTATGAGTCCTCCATTGTTCCAGAGCGTCTTTCCTGAGAGGAACAGACCTCGTACTTTCCGGAGCCCGACCCCGCGTTGTACGCATGCTCTTTGAGTGCCTTCCGTAATCTCCCCAAATATGTATCTCTTGGAATTGAAGTGTAGTACCAGGGACGTCCCGGGAGTATCGGAGGTGGGAGTTGTAATAAATTGGAAGTGGAAGTTTGTGCGCACTCCAATGGGTTTGGGTCCCTCCTTCTGCCCATGCATTGTGTCGGACCTTTCGGACCTCGTGGATGACAGTTCCTTGAATCCAACACGATCCGCTAGAATTCTTTTTCTCTGGCCTTTTTGCCTGTGCCAGGGAGAGGGCAGTCTCTGAGCAGAGAGGCGAGAAATGCTCAGGCGGGCTCGAGGGGAATTAAGACTTCTCTCTTGTATACCACACTTTTCTTCATCCCAGACCAGTCTTCTCCCTTTCGAGGAACGATTTTTCCCGCCCAGGTGAATCCGCTGTCGTTTGGCCGGGTAAGATTTGGGGGAGAAGAGACTAGCAAGCCGAGTCGAGCGGTACAATCTTGCAGAGAAAGGAAAGAGAGAACGATTCGACGAAGCTCGGTCTTTGGTGAAGAGCTGGGTCGCAGAACATGCCCGAGGAAAGACTGAGATCGACTTCGGGGTAGCCAGGGCGACTGGCTGGGGAAGGAATGTATCTCAGTGCATGGTACAGTTCAAAATGCAAAGCCCTAACTGGCGGCAGGTAATTTCCCCAAAGCTGGAAACCGGTAGAAAAATGAGTCACGACAAAGGAGTGTCTGAAACGAACTGCGTTGTTTTCAGCGATGGCAGCAATGGTGTAAGATGTCAAAAAAGTTCTCGGTCATGGCGGTTGACGAGGCTGCGAAGTCGCCTTGCGTCACCCCTCTCAAGCCCTCTCTACCCTTTTTCTCCCCATAGTACTGAGAACCTCGTACTACTAACGAGTAGGGAGTTACAGAGATTCGTGAGTCAAATCATGCAGCTTTCCACTCTAAAAGAATCCGCATAAAAAAAAGGCGACAGATCCCAAATGCAATCACAGAAAGTTTCTACCTACTCATCATATTGGATGACAGGACCGAGATAGGACATGATGTAAAAGGTATGATTTCAAAAACTCTATACACTGGCAACATGGCCGAAAATGAGCATTAAAACCCCTCACTGCCTAGTTAAGCTATTGTATCACTCTGGCGAGCACCCTTCTGGTTGCTCTTCATCGCTAGATCAACGAGCTTTCATCTCATATGTGCCGTGTACTCTGCAAGCTTGCCACAAGTCTCATCAAGATCATGGCACAGCGATTTCAGATTCGCCGCCCTTTCCTCTTCAGCGAGTTCCGTATCTTGCTGAGCAGAATTGGTGACTGTCCAGAAATCGTCAGAGCAGGGTCCAAGTGGATCAAAGTACAATGCAAAACTGTCTCGGTCGAGAGGAATAGATTCGTCAACTTGAGGCATCTCTAGCTCCGTAGAAGTTGCCACCTGGCTCGGGAGGTCCGGCAAACGTGGTGCATCTTTTGATCCTTTACTTGAGCCCTTGCTTGATTGGGGCTTTCCGGATAGATTTTCTAGATCGAGAACAGGTAGTTCTGGTAAGTCGATGACAGCGTAAACTTGGAAGTCGTTAGTGGGAAGAGCGTTCATCCAGCCATTCGACGGTTGGATTGCAGAGAAATCAACGCGAGTGTCTGGAATCAAGGCCATCCCAACTTGAGGCTGCTGAAGCTGCATTTGGTGAGCAGCTTCATCTGAGCCGATATCTTTCTTCATAGGCTGGGTTGGGGGTTGGGGTTGGGGCTTGTTTTGGAGAGATTTTTGCTGCTGAGGGTTGCTCTGAACATTCGGCGCTGGCAAGTTAGACTGGCTGAGTTCCTGCAAAAACCCGGAAAAGGCTTGTGAAGAGAGCAACATGCGCGTGAGGTCTGTGAGACGGTTGTTCTCTTCGCGTAGTTGCTGATTCTGAGAACGCAGATCGTTGGCTTCTTGAGATTTGGCGGCAACTTCTCCTTCCAGTTGAGAAATGTATTCTGACGACGTGAGTTAATAGACGTCGAGTGTGAGATCGAATAGAGGGGCATACCTTTTCTTCTAGAACGGAAGGCACGGGCAGACACCTTGTTCCTAAGTTGGCGACGTTCCTTGCTGGACAACTTTTTGCCTTCCTCGCTCGCCAGGAGACGTTCGTCCTCATCCATATCATCTTCATCCTTCTTGACACGAGGCATGTGGGACATGCCAGTCAGTGGGGAAGTATCTTCATCAGACACGGAAACAGCGCTGGCTTGCCTCATCCGATTCAAGACTTTGGAGATGCTTTCTTCGACAAGGGGATCCTTGGCTGGCTGACTCTTTGTGGGAGCTGGACCCGGAAGAGGTTTCTGGCTCTGCGGACGATGTTGCTGTTGTCGGGCCATCTGTTCCTGCTTTTGAGCCTGTTGAGCCTTGGCCTGAGCAGCCTGTTGGCTGTGCATTCCAGGATAGATTCGTTTGATCGGGGTAGAAGCAGTGTTGTTCTGGGTCACCAAAGTGGTCGGGCTGACGAATTGTGCCGGACCAGATGATGCGTCAGGATAGAACATGGCGGGAAGACCATTCGGCGAATCCGTCTCGAAATCCATATCAGCTGGATTGCGGGAGAAGTCGAACTCGTCCAAGTCACTCAATGGCATGTTCAGTGTCTCGGTGGGCATAATGAAGCCTCCATTTCCCTCATGGTATTGCAAGCCAGTCGCTTTGTTGATGTTGAAAGTGCTGGCTAGGGCGCCGATGGGGATGCCGGTCTGCTGGTGGTAGCGATCGTACTGGAAGCTCGGTCCGGGGAACGTGGTAGGAGTCGAGCTCGAGGCAAAGGTTGCAGAGCCTGGGATGGACGATTGAGGGGTCAGCATCGGGACTGACTTGATGTCTGGAGAGGTGGTTGCAGGTGTGAAGTCATTCTCGATGTTGAGGAAGGAATCGTAGTCAGGGTCAAAGGTGGTGTTGAGTTGGGACATGCTCGACTGGGAAGCAGAATAACTCATTGCAGAGATGAGAGTTGGTTTACTTGACGGGTGCGTGGCCTGGGAGCCTACGCGGGTTTTCAAGGCAGCCTAAAAATAGGCACACAGGGTTCCCAAGTGTTTGTTCAGTCCAATGTCATCCAAATTCTGGCGTCTGGCGTCTGGCGTCGTGTGAAGGTGTTTGTATCTCGGTCGAGATGGTAGCAAGGGCGAGTTGGTGATGGAATGAGGGAATGATTGAAGAGTTTCGAGTGAGAAGTTGCAAGGGAGGAAGGAGTAAGGGAGAGAGAGGCAGAGGAGGAGAGGAGGGAAAGCAGGAAAACGCAGGGAGAGGGAAAGTTGGCAGACCACAGTACCTCATACGGAGTCGTTAGTTGCGCAGGGCTCATCCGGACGAGAGCCTAGCAGCCCGTAAGTGCCTAAGAGCACAGCACTTGGGGGCTCACCAGGCTTCTTGAGAGTAAGTGCTGAGGCTGTGTCGGAGTGTCTCCCCCCTGGAACTGCCTGTGACTGGCTCGTGTTGCTTGCCGGGTCCCGGTTTTGGGGCATGTCTTGCGAGAGTCAACGAGGGTCCGGAGTATCGGCGGCTCCATCTCCCCGTGATCAGCGCATCTGGTATGCAATCTCCGCCAATGACATGGCCAGTGACCTCCGTCTTCAGGCTGCCATGAATCTTGCACAGAGATGGCCAAGAAATCCAAGCATTGGCAGGGCACAAACCGAGTTACATACCATCATACGATGCCTCGATGGCTCAAGGATATTGGAATCCCCCCTGGCAGACCCTACTCCATTGTCCGCAGTATGAAACCTCAGCGATGAATTATGCGCTGGCCCATACCGGGTACAATCTCTCTCTTATTCTCACGTGACCCCGGTGACTGGGCGATCAGACTGAGCATTTAGCCTTTCTAACGCTTCAATCATCAGGCGCGAACATCCACCGTGGCTCCGAAACAATGGCAAGAACTACCGGTCATGAGTATGAAACTTGTCTGGACCCGCTGCAAATTATTGAAACGTTGATCCGCCTATGTGGATAAGCCTGATCAACTATGGTTCATCAGACGAGCTCTCCTTATTTTCTGCCCCTGGAACGACCGTCACCGAGACCGTTGACGTCTCGACGTATTATGTCGCGAGGTAGGTAGATCGCCCATGCCGCTGCTCTCACCCATATACAACGTCAGTCCGCAGCGATCCACGACAGTGATTGAGACCTATGTAGATCTAAATTGATGAAGACTTGCAAGGGTGAGCGATCTGACAGCTTGATCCATCACCCGCAAACCCGGAAGAAGTTCACGAGGAATCGAGGTAAGCGTACTTGGTACAAAATAAATGTCTCTCACAGTCTTCGGCCGAGCAAAAACATGACTCGCCCTTAACCCTGAGGCCGAAGCCCTAAACCCGACGTGTGCCAGCTTGTGGCCACCGTGGCAAACGTGGCGCGAGAATGTGGCTGGTGATCTAGTCATGTGACCAGACCCGGCGTGTCCAGCCTGGCGAGCTGGCTTCCACGGCTCGCACGGATCTCGCGCGAGTTTTCCACATCTGGTTGCTGCTTTTGCTTCTTCGCTTCTCCTCACATCTCGCATCTCACATCTCCGCCCAAGGCATTGACGTTGAATTCCTGCACCGTGACTAATGTCAATCTGAGATACACCAGTCACCAAGCCAATTACTTTCTCCGTTGTCGGCATGTTACCCGCGTATAAGATTGCTCCTTCAATGCCTTATTATTTATCCCATTTAGTTCATTTTTGCTAATGATAAAAGACTGCTGACCCCTTCGCGGCTAATGTTGGAGGTCTTGTGCAGCTTTGACTCGTTTTCACCATGGCCGAGGCCAGCTTCAAGCAGATGATTGCTACTCTTTTGCGCCAAACGAGACCACAGTCCTTTCGCCACTCGAAGCCTCCCCGCTACCCTCAGCGTCAGTTGTCTACCGCTACAAACCCCCAGCCGCAGCCGCCCGCAGCCGAAACTGCTCGATGGCAGGCACATCCGATTCGGACTCAGAGTGCTCAGACGCCGCAGAATGAGCGGCCGCGCCTCGAAAGCCTGCGAAATGAGGCTGAACCGCGACCTTTCTCTTCCTTTTTGACCGACAACTACTCCCGACAGCATAACTATCTGCGCATTTCAATTACTGAACGATGTAATCTACGATGCCTCTATTGCATGCCCGAGGAGGGTGTTCCGCTTTCTCCCTCGGCGCACCTGCTCACAACCCCCGAAATTGTATATCTCTCGGAATTGTTCGTCAACCAGGGCGTTGACAAGATTCGGTTGACAGGGGGAGAACCTACGGTGCGGAAAGATATTGTGGATCTTATGCATCAAATTGGAAAATTGAGGAGTAATGGTCTCAAAGAACTGTGCATAACAACAAATGGCATATCCTTACATCGAAAACTCGACTCCATGGTAGAGTCCGGGCTGACCGGCGTCAATTTGAGCTTGGATACGCTCGATCCTTACCAATTCACCATCATGACGCGGAGAAACGGGCACGACGCAGTCATGAAATCTATCAACCGTATACTCGAGATGAACAAACTGGGGGCAGGTATCAAACTCAAAATAAATTGCGTGGTAATGCGGGGTCTTAATGAACGAGAGATTCTACCCTTTGTGGAACTGGGCAGGGACCAAGATCTCGAGGTGCGATTTATCGAGTATATGCCATTTGACGGCAACAAATGGTCGGAGAAAAAGATGTTGAGCTTTAGGGAAATGCTGGCCCTCATCCGCCAGAGATACCCTGATGTTCAAAAGGTACGAGACCACAAAAACGACACGAGCAAGACATATAAAATCCCGGGATTCGCTGGTCGAATTGGGTTCATTACCTCCATGACCCACAACTTCTGCGGCACTTGTAACCGCCTTCGAATCACGTCCGATGGAAACCTCAAGGTTTGCCTGTTTGGAAATTCCGAAGTCTCTCTTCGTGATATACTGCGTGAGTCAAATGACGGCAAACCTATCGACGCTGAAGCCATGGAAGCTATTCGACAACTTGAGATGGATCGTCGACAGCAGCTTTCCGGGACTAAGGGACTAGCGATATCCGAAAAGGAAGCAAGGTTGCTCGATGTCATTGGCATGGCGGTGAAACGCAAGAAGGAGAAGCATGCTGGAATTGGCGAGCTGGAGAATATGAAAAACAGACCAATGATTCTTATCGGTGGGTAAGCCTTGATATTCTCATCATTGTCCCAGATCTTCACACTGCTGTCACGACGAAAGGATCCGATGGAACCACAGTACAGAATGCCAAAACTTTGGATATGATGAATATAGACCTATTTCGTGTCTGCCTTTGTCCTGTCTTCAGCCCATTTGTTTGGTCAGTGATCTAGCTGACTTTGGTGTTTCTGTAGATGATGCTCCTCTTGGACAGCCTTTGCCAGCTTTGCCGCCACGGACACCCCTGTTCAGGTATTCTAATGCAATGACTGCCTTGCAACAATCTTCGCTACCGATGCATTTGCTGCCGCAATCTGCACCTTCATCATCATGGTATCAAGTTCGCTGCTTTTCCTCGCTCTTTCCGATAAGGCCTGCTGGGTTTAGGAAGTTTAGCAACTCGGCCTCTCTGGCGAGATTGAGGCATAAGCCTTTTCGCTATGTGCACGGCCAGTCTTCGTATCGTCGCGTACCGACCAAGGAGCCGGAAAACGTTCCAGCAACTTCTGTTCGCACCTGGGATGAAAGCCGACAACGAACCCTACGGGTTAAGACTCCAAGAACAAGATCTCAAGCGCAGTGGTACGGACAATATCTAGTTCGAGATATTGTGAAGCGCATTTACCACTACCGAAGCCGTCCCGACGAACGCAGCAACAGTGGCGCACCAGGTTGGTGGGGAGAGAGCGAAACGCTGAAACAATCCTCTGAAACGCAACAGGAAGAGTCCCCAGCATCATCCACCACGGACGCGACTCTTACCCACCTCACTTCTGACGGCGAAGCGCATATGGTTTCTATCACGAACAAGAAACCGACCTCTCGCTCCGCCACGGCAACAACTTTACTCCTTTTCTCCCACTACGGGACATACGGCGTTTTGTTTGCGTCGCGGCTACGAAAGGGTGACGCACTGGCTGTGGCACGGGTAGCAGGCATTCAGGCTGCAAAGAAGACGTCTGATCTCATCCCTCTCGCTCATCCAGGCCTCAACATCACGGGCGTCACAGTCCGCTTAGAGCCATTTATGGGAGACAACTTGCCTTATCCGCTGTCAGAGGGCAAAGTCGACGCAGCTATTCCCAGCGATATCAAGAGACTCTACGGTGGTGTGCTGGTCACAGCCACGGTTGCCTGTGAAGGTAAAACCGGCGTGGAGATGGAAGCCATCACCGCGGCGTCTGTGGCGGGACTGACCATGTACGACATGCTCAAGGGCGTGGACAAGGAAATGGTTTTGACTGGGACGCGGGTCACGGCGAAAAGTGGCGGCAAATCTGGAGACTGGGAATGGGACTACAAACTAGGCGAGCGCATATCTTTCAATAGCTCCAACAGAGAAAAAAACAATCACGTCCAGAGCAACGGGGCAAAACAGACGGAACAGGGTGTGGAGGAGCAGGACCAACTCCTCAAGCAGCGAGAGATACGGCAGGCCGTCGACCAGAGACGAGAGGAGAGCTCCACCAAGGGACAAATCTCAGCTGAGGACCTGGCCAATCTGCGAACGAGGCGGCTGAGGAGACTGCATGCTTCTCGAAAGGCCAACCACAGGACCCCCGTTGCCCCGGCCAAGGGTGATGCATTCTAGGGACAGGAAGACAGACCCCACTGAGGAGGCTAGATGTATGTATGTACAGGCATACGTACCACCAGAGGTCAAAGCAAGGAATCAGCATCGGGCGGAGACCAAGATATCTCACTCGCATGGCCGTACACTCGGGACACCGTACTCATACATATATGCATGGACATGTATTCTGTACAGATATACCACCCTTCTTAGCAGGTGCAGTTTCCGTGCTCGATGTTTACCCTCTTCGTACCCAGTACTATCTATGTCTCTGTGCCTTTCTTTCCACACAGAATGATAGCTTAACTCGGATTCATCGCCTGCAAGACGTAATACCGTGGCGATTCTTGCGGGTTATTTAGTGTTCATTCATTCATTCATTCCGTTGCTCCATTCCCCCCCCCCCCCCTTTTTTTTTTCTGTCTAGGTCTCTACAACCAGAAATAATAGGAGTTCTGTAGCTCTACGTGTTTGATACGTATACATGTATGCTTATTTCAAAGCCTATCTTCGACATTCTTTTGTATTTGTTTATTCATTTATATGGCTTAGATCTTGCGAATAATTCAAAATTGAATCGCAGAGAGGTCGGTCTATATGGGTATCGTTTCGCTGGTAATATGCAACAATGATAACAATAATCACTAAGAAAAGTATGGCGGCGATGGTGGTGGTGGTGGTGATGATGATGATGATGACGATGCAAAATGAGTCCCCTGACCATAGGACGGAGTACTTGGTCAAGTTGAAATAGCCTCGGATATGTAGTCAAGACGCCGACGCCAGAAGAAAATAAAGGTCAAGAGAAAGAGAGGTATGTAGGAGGCGGTAGCAGCTAATTGCTAATCTGCTCCTGTGCTGGGTTTGATCTGGTCGAGTCGGGTTGGGCTGGGTCAACCCATTTCATCTCATTCATTTCATTTCAACCAGACTTGTTCAAAGACGCCGCCTAGAGGCTTTTGGCCGGCCATTTCCTCCATGTATTTCTCCGAGACGGGCGTGATCAGACAGCTCCAGCGGCTGAAGCGCGTCTGGGCCCAGTCGAGGCAGAAGTGGTGTGTGCGCAGGAACTCGGGCGGCTGGGCGCGCGACGTCAGTTGCTGCTGCTGGCGCTGAGTAGCGCTGGAGGCGTTTGCGCCTCCTGTAGCGATGGAGGGTTGCGAGGGCGCGATATTCCACCGCGACTCGTACAGCGTCGGCCCGACGGCGAGGTGTGCTAGGGATGGTTTGGCTCCTCCGGCCAGGGAAGGAAAGACCCATTCGACGAATTTGGTCGCGTATTCCTTGATGCTGTAATCCCCGAGTTGGCTAAATACCTGGTTCTCGGGGAAATTGCGAATGTGGATGGTTCTCAGGTGCTGGAGAGTCGGGAGAGCCGTCTTTCGCAGTCGGATCATCTCATCGTTCCACGGAAAGCCCATGCCCAGTTCTATCATATTCGGGCAGAGGCGGGCGATGTCGTTGATCGACTCCTCCCATAGATCATGGCTGTATCCTCCCACGCCGAAGGGACGGGAAGTGTCCATTGAGAGATGTTCACGGGGTTGAATGCGGGATTCAAATACTAGGGTCTCAAGGGTAGGACCGTGTTCGGCAATGAATGTGCTCGGTCTTTCCAATATGGCGCCGTTTTCAAATAGAAGCGATAATGTCCGGAGGCCGGTGAACGAGTTGAGGAAGCGGACGAGAGCATCCTTGAGCGGGCTTGTGGGATTTTCGTGGCGGAAGAGGAAGTGTTTCAGCGATGGGTTGACACGTGGGTTTTGGGGCGCCTCAGGGGATGCCGACGCCCAGTGGAACGTTCCCGCGATAGATTCGAGGAGTTCGTTGCTACCAGGGCAAGATTCCAGGGCGAGGCGCTCCAGTTGGCAGAAGAACAAGGCCTGAGGGATAGAGGACGGCCGCAGGAGCGTCACGTCCAGACCCTGTAGGGAGAGGTCACGAAGCTGAGGGAACGTGTCTAGTGCATACGCAGAGCTGAAGAACGTCTCCATCGGTTGCGGGATGTGGTGAAGGAAATTCAGCCTGCTCTGCTGGTACCGCTCAATCAGCTGCTTCTCCTGTCCCAGCGACAGTCTCTTGATCGACTTCGTGTTGGCGGATATGATCTTTTCAACGGCCTCCCCATCGTTGACTGTGCGAGCCTCGAGACCGGTCAGGTTTTGGGGAATGAGCGTGCCTTCTTTCCAGGAAACGACATCGTAGAAGTGGAGGCGCTGGAGCGTCCTCTCGTGTCGCTGGGTGAGGAAGGCCAGCGTTTGCCGACTCAGGGGAGTCTGATGGAAGAGTCTGGCATAATTAGCACGAGCACATTCGGCCTCTGTGCAGTTCACTCACGCGAAGCTCGTCATTTGACCGGTAGGGACTTTCTCCACGAGGCTATTCACATGTCCCTCGATGGATGCCACATCGGATATCCTCCTGCGCTTGTAGACCGAATTCCTCCTCTGCGTCCTGCCATTTCTGATTGTGAGCTCTCGGACAGACTGAATGAGTGGCTCCCGGAATGCAGTTGTTCCGTGCATTGGAGATTGAGGCAGATGGAAATCGACGGTGTGGTAGAGCCGAGCCATGACCATGTCCTCCAGGACACGGCATGTTAGGGACAAATTGTAGAGGTCTCTGCGATTATCAAGCTGCAGACTTGTCAGCTCCATGATTTCTTTCAGACAGTTCCTCGAAGACGCACATAGTTGACGATATGGAGTTTGACCTCGTTTGGAAGGTTCAGAAGCCGACAAGGCTGCGGAAACGGGGATGACTCCATGGTCCCGTGGTTGGCGACCAACACGACCAGCTTGGGTATGCGCAAAACAGTCAATGTCAACAACACGTCCAATATAAATGAGTCACACAGCTTCACATCCAATTCTCTGCAGCACGCAGGAGATTTTTTGACATGGACGGGCAGGAGTCGGATTATGATAAATGGTGACAGAAGGAGTGGATACGCGATGAGAGGAGCACGCAGCCTTGACATCAAGGGAGGAAATGGAGCCAGGACCCAGGGGAGGCGAGGACGGGCATGACGGGAGCCATGCCGAAGAGGTAAGCCTGGCGTTAGACTGGCAGACAGCGTAGCATTATGTCAGACTGACTATCGTTAATCATAGTGCATTCCGCTCGCTGGCGTGCGAGGGCTGAGTATGTACGAAGAAAAATTCCAACAAAGAGCGCAATAAGGGGTGGTGGAGGAGGGTGAGAAGAACGAACGATAAGCAGGTTCCTGGTCGGATGCCTGGCGCCCACAGGCTGCTCATTTTGCGCAGCATGTCTATGCATGTGAATGCTTTTGGTAATCAGCTCCCAACACGAGCAGCTGAAAGCAGATACCAGCATTACTAAAACAAGCATCTGTTGATGCGAACAAAGAAAAAGGATGTCGAGCGTGCATGTGGATGCACTGAGGATGGTTGGCATCCCCGATCCCCAAATGCAGGAATGGGTCGGGGGGGGGAGAGTAGCGAGATAGTACCCAGTAGCATGTAATGACGATCATCCACCTGAAGCCTCGTGGCGCCAGGCCAGGCACAAGCAAGCCTGGCCTGCTTGGCCGAGTCCACATGGGAGCCATTACTTCCAACTTTAAATTGCCATTCCTGATGCTTCAAGCGGTGACAAGGACAATAGGGATGAGCCGGCAAGGCGGCCTTGGCGGCAAATGGTTTCCGCCATGGTTGGCTCTATTAGCTCTTATTTATAAGGTACTCAAAAGACTATCGTGACTCTTGCACTTGCTTCCCGTGTCGTGCTGGAATCTGCCGTCATTGCGGCCGCAATGTCCGAGAATTGTCCTCAAAATTGTCCTGCTGACACTCTGGGTCCTCGTGTGTGGGTTCACAACTCCCCGTCTTTGTTTCCCAAACCTGGTGGCGGTCCTGTCGTGGTGTTTTGGGGGGTGGAGGGGGATGCGCAGGGAACGGCAAGAGAGTTCGGCGTCGCCATCCAGGTTCTCTGCGGCGATGAAGGGAGTGCCGAGAACCAGGCTCATTCACGAGAGTCTTTTAACCCAACGCCACAGCTAAATATAACCGAAAGGGGACAATCCTCCTTACCACTTGTAGTCCAATGCATCAAAACCACTGAATACCGAGTACTCACACTACACACACTCTTGAGTGCTTGGCGTTTGTAAGCTCACATTGACGTCATGAGAGTATTGATGACCGCAGATGCATCATGCATGTTTATTTATTCACTCACGAAGGCCAAAGAAGAGTAGACGTCCAAGACGTCTCAACGTCTCAACGGTCTGGTGTCCCCATGAGTCAACGCTCGACCGTATTCCTTCATCGCCCGCCGCTACACGCCGCCGTATGCCAGCCCCGACGGAGAAATATACTTCCACGCCGATGGTCCACCTCGACATCTCGCAAGGTTTTGGCGGCCCACTGTCGATCAAATGCATGCCTTTTGGTTCCTCAGACAAGTCGAGGAAGAAGCAGAGCTGCGGCTGTAGTTGTCTCCTCGGCCGCTCCTGGACAATTCTTCCCTTCTCGGCCCTTTGATTCTTTCGCTCCCTCTCTTCCAGTTGTGAATTGCTGTCTCCTTGATGCCTGGCCTAGGGTTCTCACACTTCCTGACCACTTCAGAATCGCGGATGGATGTTATAGGACGCCTCCAAAGACTATATTCTGTTTGAGCAAGTCACACGTGCAGTCATCATGCCGTCGGGGTGAACCGTTACATTGAGCAGGATATAACAAACGTGGATATTCTGACAGTGGATGAATGGTGAGTCTGTCTTTCTCTCGCTATTTTGCCTAGGTACAAAGGAGGCCAGCGCAGTGAATTTCTTGAACTGTTCAGACAATTGTACCAGACCCGCGACTCTTGAGAAAGAAAGAATATGGCTTGTTGTCTGTTGTTCCTTCCCATCGCCCCGGCGACTCACCTTCTCCATGTCTTCTATCCAACTTGAATTCTGTCAACATGGAGCGCCGAGACGAGGACAAAGCTAGTAGCACGACTAGTGGCGCGAGCCTTGAAGAGCGCCTGAGAATGGCTTCCATCAACGCTCAACACGGCCGCCTTCCTGATTTCCCGGCCGCATACACTTATGTTGAACCTCCGAAGACTAACGCGACTGATGTCAGACCGTTTCTCAAATCTCTAAGCGACGAAGAGCAAGCTCTGAGTGCGCACGATACGGACAAGCCACCTTTCGCTCGCCCATCCGAATCTTCCTCCTCCTGGCAACAGCCATCCCGCGTCTCTCAAGGTCAACCCTCCATCTCATCGGCAGATATGGATCGCCGACTTCGTCAAAATAAGCCACGCTTGTTGCTGATGGGCCAGCGCCGGTATGATTCTTGCCAGCTCTCTTTCACTGTCTAGTCACTGACAAAATCGTAGAAGCGGCAAGTCCTCCATCACCAGTGTTGTCTTCCACAAGATGCCTCCACAAGAGACCCTGTTCCTCGAATCTACCACTCGTATCCAGAAAGACACCATGCACTCCTTCATGGACTTCCAAGTCTGGGACTTTCCTGGACAAATCGACTACTTCGACCCCACGTTTGACACCAACGAAATCTTTTCTGAGATTGGAGCACTCGTCTGGGTCATCGACGCGCAAGATGACTATAGCGAGTCCTTGAACCGTTTGACCACCACGATCCTCAACCTCCAAACCACCTTTCCCCACGTCAACGTCGAGGTCTTCATCCACAAGATCGACAGCTTGAACGATGAGTTCCGAGCTGAAATCTACCAGGACATCGCACAGCGCGTCGGTGACGATCTGAACGACGCAGGCTACATCAACCCTAACGTCAGCTACCACATGACTTCGATCTACGACTACTCCATTTTCGAGGCATTCAGCAAGGTCGTCCAGAAGTTGATCCCACACCTTGACACTTTGGAGAACCTCATGAACACCCTTGTCAACAACAGCGGCATGGCCAAAGCCTATCTCTTCGACATCCTCAGCAAGATCTACGTTGCTAGTGATACGAGACCAGTTGACATGGAGGTGTACGAAATGTGTTCTGACTACATCGACGTCATTGTGGACATCACCGACCTTTACGGACACGAGCGCAAGCACGGCTTGGTCCTCGGAGAGCAGATGCAAGAAACAGAATCTTCCATGACAATCCATGACGGTACCATGATCTACCTCAAGGAGATGAATAGGTAAGAAGAGAAGTTACCACAACCACAATAATGCCATTCTAACACCACTCAGATACCTCTGCCTCGTCACCGTTATCAAGAATGATGACGCCAAGAACAAGAAAGGATTGATCGATTACAACTGCCACATTTTTCAGGAGGCCCTCAACCAAGTCCTCGCACAGGCTTGGAATACAGAGAAGGCCACCGGCACCGAGGAGGGTGCGGAGCAGGGTGGCGAGGTGTTAGACCACCAGACAACGCAAGGAGACAATTGACGGAAAGGAGCACGCCTGCGTGAATGATGAGAGAGTGAAGTTTGAGAAAATGCTGCTCAACTACCACACCGCCGCGGGCGCATGCCAGCATGGCTAGAGAGGCTGAAATAGCGGAAGCTTCCATGCACAATCGTAGCTATTTAAATGTGTAACTGACGATTGCTGAGCGCCCAAGGAGTGAGTTGCGCCTTGACTGTAGTCATTACCTCGACATTTTTTCCGCCCGCGCCCGTTACCGTCTCGCCGTGCTGTGGATCCCTGCCAAGTCCACCTTTAATGTCCTTTTGTCAGACTCTCATTTTCCCAGACGGGATGAATCAGTCCCTTACCTACATGCAGACGCGCTTGACCTCTGAGGCAGTAGATCATATCAGTCTTCTGCGCGACGTTGACGGCATTGATTCCCTTGCCAACGAGCTTCGTCAGACCCAGCAGGAGACCGATAGCACAGCTACAGGCCCGAGCCGGCAATCACTGATTCCGCGCATTCAATTTTTACGTCTCTCAGCCATCGTTCGAGGACAGGTTGGCGTGCCTGGCGCAACTCCTCCATATCAACCTGTCCCGCCTTCCCTGTATCGCCCGCTGAGTCTCGATCAAGACGAAAGCGTAGGTCAGGGCGAAGTGACGAATCCTTCACCCTTGCGCAATTTCGCTCTGTCAAATTATTCCACAGGTTATGAGTCACAGCGAGACGCGCATATAACGACGCAGACGACCTTTGAGAGTCTCTCTAGAAGTCTGTTCTCTAAGGCCATCAAGATGCCTCAGACGGGGTTTCAAGCGCTAATACTATGCGGTCCGGGCATCGGGCTCAGCACCTTCACCAGTGTGCCCGCAGAATATCCCAAGGCTCTCGTCGAAGTCGCGAACCGACCTATGGTCTGGTACGTCTTGGATTGGTGTTACCGGATGGGCGTGACAGATATCACCCTCATAACTCCGCCAACATCAAAGGACACAATTGGCGCCGCTCTTGCGCAAAACCCCTACCTCACGTCGCTTCCCTCGCCATCGGCCGATCTTCTAGCCCCTACATCGCTAGAATACACTACCCCGACGGCAGAATTGCTCAGACTACCAGAAGTGCAGCAAGTGATCAAATCAGATTTCTTATTGCTCCCCTGCGATCTGATTTGCGACATTTCAGGGGACCATTTCTTGGAGACTTACTTCACCCGGCTAGGCGGACCGGGCGGTATCGGTGCCAGTTCTGGCTTAGACTTTGACATGTCACGAAACGAGTTACTATCGCTTGGAGGCGAACGACGGGGTCGGCGCGGTGGCCTGTCGATATGGTACAATACAGTCGATAGGGAGGAGAGTGTGAAAGGTGAAGAATGCGATTTCATGTGCACCTCCAAACTCGACCCCGAGCACGATCTGGCACTCTCCAAAACTGCCATCATGCAATCCCAGGGAGTCCTTCGCAAACTGGTCTGGACGATGCCCATGTCCGAACTTTGGGACCAGTGCGAGGAGGACAAATCATGGAAGATTCGGCAGTCGCTCCTCCGCAAGTATGGGGCAATCAAGTGCATGACCAAATATCGCGACTCACATATCTACTTCTTCCCCTACTGGGTCAAAGATTTTGCAAAATTCAACGAAGATTTTGAATCCGTCAGTGAAGATCTCGTTGGGACGTGGGCAAAAGCCGAATGGCGCAAACCAAGCTATCGAGCACGATTCGGCGCGAGGAAAATATTCACACACCGCCTCAGCTCCAAGGGGGATGAAGTTCCTTCACACGAACGGCCGATCGAAGAGGAAATCGACTTGCTATCATTGAGTAGCACCCACGTCACAAGCCATCTGGTACATCGATCTACAACAGCACCACGCACAGCCCGACTTGCATCAAGAGTGCAGACAGACTCGGAAGACAGAATCCTCTCGGCAGACGACGAATCACAAGCTTCCGAAGAATCAGGACCTGTACCGCTCGTCCCTCCGATCCTCTCATACATACTTCCTTCCACTCCTGACGCTCCCTTGGTGCGTCGCGTGGACACCACCCCGCTCCTCCTCTCTGTATCGCTCACCCTCGCCAAACTCTCCTCGATTGAAGAGTGTCTCGGCAACAAATCAGCCATCCCACCATTTTCTCACCCAGCCAAAATCCACGCAACCGCCACCATCGCACCGCGGGTGACGATCTCTCGCTCTGACACACTCATCGACAGCAACAGTACAATTGCCACGCAATGCGTGATCAAGAACAGCGTCATCGGCGCCTCGGTCGCAATCGGCACCGGGGCTCGAATCACGGGCTGTGTTATTATGGACGGCGCAACGATTGGGGATAAATGCGTCCTGACGGGTACGGTCGTGGGCAAGAAGGCCAAGATTGGCAATAAATGCTCCTTGACGAACTGTGAGGTGCAGGATGGGAACGTCGTCGCCGACGCAACGGAAGGAAAGGGCGAGAAATATCTTGTCGGTGGTCTGGAGGATGAGATGGAGGGCGAAGAGGGGATGGGATTTGATGATGAGGCGGAAGACGCAGAGGGGGAAGGGGAGGGGTTGAGCCTGGGACAGCCGTGAATGTGAAGAAAGGAGCAGGGAGCAGAAGCGTGCGCAGACCCACGGCTTGCACGACCCGTGGCTGATGATATACATCAGAATTGTAAAGACAGAATCCACAGAAGGAACCCCATCGAGTATTAGCTAAGCAATGAGCACGATTCAGGGACTCTTGAATACAACCTGTTACGCCATAGGTAGACTTGGATGAGATAGCAACAAAAAAGAAAAGATATGTTTCTGACTAAGTTGGGATCCGAGATCGTGCTTTTTGCTAGAATGGTGAGGAGGGTAGTATCAGAGTGGTGGGAAGCCTAGTACTAAGTCCGCTTTTCAGGTGGGATTACCGAAGTCTTTTCTCTGTTTACAAAACAAAAAAAATGAGTACACACAGATAGGTACGTACGCTTTGGGTCGATGCTCCAAAAAAAAAAAAAAAAAAAAAGGGGATGACTAGGATTTGATATTTAACAGAGACTCTTTTCCCTTCATTTTGGGTTAAGATATAATTAGAATAGGATGCTATTGTGTGATGTGAACGAGCCGGGCTTTTACAACCTCTGGAAGACAGACTGGACATCACGGTCTAAGCACCGTCCATGGCACAGCTCATGAGCGGCGGCACCCCACATGAGGCTAGTGTTAGGGATTCCTTGGCAAGTAGGCAGAATCTAACGATAAGAGTATATATAAGATATCCCTATAGTATATGGTCGATACTATACACGACTCAAAGCGTAAGAGAGGAAAGAGTGCGCCTCCTATGCGGGGAGTGTGCTAGTAATAAGGATGCACTCCTCGAGTCGCATTTCTTGGCCGGTGGCCTGATTATTCGCCAATGTATCAGACGTCCGTCCTTCCGATGTTTAGCCGAATCCGTAACAGCTAGCTCATGCTTCTACCGCGTCACAAGCGCGTCACTGCCCCTATTGTTAGTGAGACTCTCCTTGTCAGAATTCAGAGCCACAATTGCTTCCAAAAACAGTCGACTATCTCCTGTAATTGGTTGCGCCGTGATGCTCGTCAAGTCGACACGATGATAATACGATGATAATAAGATGTTCAGAAAGACTCCGCTTAAGCTTCCCGCTGGATGGCAGAGCTCGGGGAGCCTCTTATTCTCGCTACAACATTCAACGGACAATGCCTCCAAATCTTCTACCCAGTAAACAAATTGTCACGTCCAAGTTGAATGTCTTTGATAGCAAGCCAGAGGCTCCTAAATGAACATTAGTTGGTTCTAGGAATAGAAGGTCGAAGTCATAAGGGTTGTGGCCATAAGTTGCGCGACAACATTTTTATTTTCCTCTTGTTTGAAAGATCATTTAATTGTTTCATCATCGCCGCACCATTTGAAAGCTCTTAGCTACTTTCGTTATCTCTTTAATAGCCGATAGTAAATAAAAGATAAGTTGACAGGATTTAATATAATATTCCTGGTCTTCTATACCAAGTTTAGCGCCAAGGTTTTTCTTGGCACCTGGCTTTCCTTCTATCCTATTTTCGCTAGGAATTCAACATTCTTCTCTTTTTAACATACTAACTTTCCACGGTCTCACAAAACACGCCTTATTCGACCTCCCTTAGACTTGGTTTTAGACGCAATTCACGAATGAACGTCGAAAGCTCGACATTAGCAACTTTATAAGGCAGCTTCACGGTGTATGTGGATGGCCGTGGCTATGGCAATGCCCGTTACGCTCGCGGCTGTCAGTGCTAATAAACGAAGATTCGACCAGACCAACGATCATGTGGTATGTTGCGCTCTCTTTTTCTTTCATCTTTGTTTACTTCTTGGATCCCTTGCCTGTCATTTTACGTCCATCTTAATGCATTCAGCGTTGCATCCCTCAATGTCGGTATAGCATCGTTAAAGCGTGGAACTCTCCCTACCGTTTAGGGGAAGCCGAGCTCCTCTGCCACCTATGTCCTAACGGCGAACGGTATTTGAAAAATAAACTAACATTCTTAAACTACACTCAGAAAGACAAGAGAGTCGTGATCGAGGAATCCGACTCTGAGGACGAAGTGAGTCTCCTTCATGTGGCCCGCCTTTCTTTTGACTGCATTCACCGCCAGCTACGCTGGCCTCGCTCTCTCTCCCACCCATTGCCCACCTCGACTATTCGCGTGCTGACCGCTACAGTTGCCTTCAATCCCTCATGCTAAGCGTCAAAAGTCCCATACGCCAGCAGAAAGTGACGCGAAACCTATTCTACTCTCGCAGTCGCGTTCACAATCAGAGAACGCTAAGACTCGTCGACACGTGACTTCCCTCGCATGGGCTCCGTCACGCGTGCCACAACGCGATGTATCAGCGACGCGCCCACCAAATCGCTCGTCATCGACAAAATTCACAAAACATTCGTGGTCAAATGAGAATGTGATAGAGCTCATAGATGATTCCCCGCCTCCCAAAACCGTTCGCGGACGCCAGCCGTCAACAACGTCCCTTCCCACCCGGAATGGCGCGAAATCAGAGCCCGATGCCAGCCAGTTGCCCAAGAAAATCCGGGGGGCCAGACAGCCTGCGGAGCGTACACCGTCATTCTCAAAGTCAAGAGTCAATGGCACACAGTCACACCGAACGGATATCGACCGGCCAAGGAGTCTTTCTCGATCCGATGATGGCCTGTCCGTGACGGCAAATCAAAGTGAGGGATTACTGACAAGCCAAAGAAAGGATACTGCAGATCGGGGTTCTTCCTCCTCAATCAAGTTCTCGATCGAGATTCCGCAGCCAACTCCGGCGTCCCAGGTGGTTGCCTCAAAGCAGAGACATGGAGGTCTGCCGTCGATTGAAGTTGTGGTCCCCTCCCCAAGTAAGAGTCTCAGACAGTTTCAAGGTCCCTTACCAAAGTCCAAAATGCAACTTAAAGCTGAAAAGGATTCGATTTTTGTCCAGCTCAAGCAATCTACGAAGCTGGCCCACGAGAAGCCAGAGCTGGTCGAGCGACTTTTCGGAACAACTGGCTTCTCAGAGGTTTTTAGCATCAAAGATGACCTCAAGTTCATGCAGAGTGCAGCATCAAAGAAGAAGAAGAAGGCAGCTGAACGCGCTAGCATCAAATTGGAGATCGAATCTCTCTCCCAGTCCTTTGATCGAGTCAATCTCAGAAAGAGTCTCATCCATCCGGCGCGAACTGCGCGAGATATCCTCACCAGGCCCTTCGAAGAAGTATCAAACCCACCTCTCACTGTTTCCTACGACTTAAACGACACACGACTTCCTGGGAAGTTTCAGTTCATCGATCGATACATTATTGGCTCCAAAGTCAAGAGTGCACCACCCTCGACGAACTCCGGCTGCGATTGCACAGATTGCGCCTTATCCACATGTAAATGCTTCACGAAGGGATCTAAAGGAGATGAAAAACAGGTCGAAGTCTACGTTCGCCGACCCGATGGCATTGTTGTTCTCTCGGACGAGTATATTGCTCGAGGTATTATTCCACATGGGGAAGGCCGCCACGAAATAACGGAATGCAACGAGCATTGCCGGTGCGGTGATGATTGCTGGAATCGTGTCGTGTGCAAGGGTCGCACTGTTCCTCTCGAAATCTTCCAGACTGAGAAATGCGGCTTCGGAGTCCGCTCGTCGAAGGACATTGTCAAAGGACAGTTCATCGAACGGTACTTGGGGGAGGTTGTGACCGAAACAGAATTGGAGATTCGAGAAGATGCTGCTGAAGAGCACCAACCTAGCTATATCTACACGCTGGACTGGTTCAACGACGACTTGAATTACAAGTTCAACCACGTCGACGGCATGTACTTCGGAGGAGCCATGCGATTTGCCAATCACAGCTGCAATGCAAATGCCTGGTGTTTCCCTGTGCAGAGCCACAGAAAGGACAAGAGGGTGTACGACCTTGCCTTCTTCGCCATCAAGGATATCAAAGCTGGCGTGGAGATACGTATCGACTATCGACCCGACGGCAGCGCCGATGACGAGAAGCCTTCGGAGGATTTGATTAAGTGCCAATGTGGAGAAGAAAATTGTCGAGGAATTTTGTGGAAACCAGGTGTTAAGACCAGACGAAGAAGGAGAAGAGAGGGATAGAAGAGCTTGCCTCGGCGTCTGAACGACTCCTGTCGAACACGCAGAATCTAGAGATGTGAGATCTGGGAGGGCGTTGTCGTGGACCGGATTGCGAGATGCGCCAAAGCACATATGTCAGTCACATGGGGCTGTACTCAGACGCCAAAAGGGATACTACACTCAACGATATGTCAAAAAAACTCAAGAAATAGCCGCGATGATGTACAAGAAAAGACGATCCAAAAGAAAAAGGCGAAGAGAATACGTTTTGATTGGGGTTTTAGATTGGATCCTCGGTATCAGGAAGGGTTGGGCGGCGTTGTTATGTATCTTTGACCCCACGGACGCTACGAATGAAGGAGTAACGACGGCGTTTTGCGCGACACCTCGCCCGGGAGATGAATCTAATGTACTACTAGGGGGATGGGAGTAGGCGCAACGGCATGCAAGTCTCAGCGGACGGGCAAGCAAGCAGACTAGACTGGCCAAAATCTAGACCGGTGGCTGGGGGGAAATGAATGATGAGGCATAGTCTGCACAAATGAACCACGAAATGCAAATCAAGGTTCTTGGTGTCGCAATCGCTGTCACCATCGCTGTCGCCGCCCCGTCCCTGTGGTGCCCGTCGCTGGCCCCGCCCGTGGCTACTTCCATACAATGTATCCACATTCACATCCACACCCACATCGATATCGCTCAACCCCCGTCCCCCGCTCTTTATCCTCATCGTGATTTCTAAACAAAAACATGAAATCATAATACGATGTCGCGATAATTAGAGCTAGACTATCGCCTATCACGAGCTACATATGCTGGTTCCCCCAACCTCTGCCTCCCCTTTTTTTCCCTCCAAGGCCCCGTCCTTCGCGCCAGTAGTACAAAAATAGCACCTGGTAGTTTAAACCAGCCGTTCCCCTAGCACGAGCGAGTGAGCAAGACAGATGGTAACAGCGAGGAGAAACGGTGATGAAGACGGGGGATCGGACAACGATATCACCACTAAGGCGCGCGGGTTTATTTGTGTATATCGTTACAGAGTACCGCCGGCTCTAGCATCAAAGCCTCGTTCCGGTACGCAACTATTCAACAAACCACTCGGTGAAATTTATTCATTTACTTGTGGTGGCGCTCTACTGATTCTTATCTCTGTCTTTTCTTTCCCTTTCCTTCCCTTTCATTTCCTTTCTACCTTATTTTCCCCATGATTCTATCTTGCTTTCTTTTTCTTGATTTTCAAGTCTTTGGATCCTATTTACATTGACTTATTGATCTTATCATCGCGTATCGTTACGCATTATGTAGTTACTGTACATGCAAACCCCCTCCTACCCCTCTTCCCCTCTCCTCCCCACATTTAGTACACATATACATATACAGTCGACATGCAGAATTGGCTAGTCGGTATAGGCACGTAGATCAAAGATAAATGTAACGACAGTCACACTAAGGGAAGATACATTTCCCCCGGGGAAGAGATCCGTCATGTACATGTCTTGCTATGCAGGTACGTACCTATGTCCTCTCTCTCTCTCTCTCTCTCTGTGTGTGTGTAGGTGTATATATTGCCTGGCTCAGACTCAGGATTGAAGACTCAGCAGTCAATCGCCAAAGTGTCGTTGATGAATATAAGCGCGCATCTTGTACAGTACTAAAATACCCTGTGAGAACTCGGACAAAGACCGCTCTGTAGTACATCGGAGAGTTTGAATGTAATTATTTAGTGACCAAAATTGAATTTGGTGCAATTACTTAATTATTCCTTTTCTTTCGTTCAATAGAAAGACTATCAGAAGGAGGAAAAAAGGAAAAACGCCTGCATAGTGACCTTAAATTTTGACTCGTGTCCTAACCCAAGCCCGTCGTCACGTTTGATATCACAATAACTATTTTATAATGTGAAGAATGAAGGGGCGAGAGGAATCTGTCGTGGAGTTCTGGCCACCCCGGGGGCCGCACCCACATTGATCGTTTTTGCTCCACGGTCTTTTTCTATTCCCCAGCTCTCAGGTTCTCAAAAACCCTCCTGCAAACTCATCACAAGAGCCTGGTCGATCGTGTCCTTTCTGAACCCGGGGGCCCGGCCTAAGCAGGCGCTCCCATGAATCATGCGCTCGAGAAACATCTCGACGTCAAAGGTCAGAGGATTCTGTCTTCTGCCTAGGAGATCAGAGAACGTAGACGGTGAGGAAGTCGGGTTGAGTGCTGCGAAGTCGGCCCACGGATCACCCGCAGACTTGACAGCAGGGTTCTGGAAAGCGGAACTGCCACTGTTATTGTTGCCATTGTTGTTGTTGGTCACGGCGCTGGAGGTGGCAGACGGGAATAACGTGCCTGGTCGGGCGAACATCTCGCCTAGTTCACGCGCGATGAATGGGTCGGTGATAGGGTCGGTCAGGCCTTCGGCGCCCAGCAGCGGGCTGGGAGTGCGCAGCGTCGCTTCGAGCGGACTGCGATCTGAACTCGAGGTCCCGTCGCTGGTAGAAATGGATGCTCTGACTATTGGGAGGACACTGGAATCGACCTCAATAAAGCTGCTCTGCCCGTCGAGGTATATTCCTTTGGTCTTCAGATACTCTTCGACATCGTGACTGTCGAACCAAACCCCGCCGAAGCCAATGTTCTCGAGCATCTCCTGCACTGACGTCTCCATTCGTGGAGTCTCGACTTGGACGTAAGGCTGGGGCCCGAATGCTCTTGTGGGACTGATCATGTTAGGCGGGTAAATGGGGTTTCCTTCCTCGTCATGGCGAGGGAAATGCGTCCCCGCCCCGCCAATGTGGAAAAAGGGCACGTTCCAGTTTTCCAAAGACTCGCCGGCTTTGCGCTTGAGCATTTCTTGGAATCGTTGCAGCATCCGTTTCCGGTTTGAGAAGCAGAATGTGAAGCGGAAGGCCCGCTTAATGTATTCCGGGTCAACATGCGGGTTGGTGAGGTTGCGGAAAGCGCGTTCGAGACACATTCTGTGTAGGCGGCGTGCAAAGGTAGTCTCTTGGAAGCTGTAAGTGTAGGATCCCTCGGGCTGATGAGCGGGCTTGAGAGGGCGTTCAATGACGAGTTTTTCATCGGGGTCATCGAACAGGACGACATCGGGGATGGCGGCGTTGAAGGATATGAAATCGTTCAGACCGTGGAGATTAGAATTGTCCGTTGACCACGCAGTCTCTGAGAGCGCGAGCAACGAGTTGTCTTCTCTGCCTATGAAAGGAACCTCTTCCACATCTGCTTCTGCGTCGGTGGAGCTCTGGTCAAAACCAATCGCCCGACGCACATTATCAGTCTTGGTTGCTGCCGGCCGTGACAAGGTCTTTGCGTCCAGCTGGACACTAGATCGTCTGTTGCGCTCACCTGATTCGGAGGATGGTTTCCCATCACTGCCTTTGGTGATTTTCGCAATGGCCTCCTCTTCGTCGTCTGATTCAGGTGATGCTATCTTGGACAGTGCGACGAACTCTTCGGTGGCTGCCTGAAGCTGCCGACCTAGCGAGTAGTGCGAGGCCAAGATCCCGGCGTCGACCATGTTGTCATGTAAGGTCAGAAAGGTCTTGTTCATATGCTCAATGGTGATTTGGAGATCAGTGACCTTTTGCTTTAGAGCCGAGATGGTGGTTTCCTTGCGATGACGGTATGCTCTCTGTGCTAGCCGAATCTGCGTCCGCCGACGATCGGCTGCCGTTTCATCATGCGTGTCGAGTCTAGGTCGACCCCTTTGCTTCTTTTCGGCCCCTTGATCATCTCCATCATTTGCCGATGAACGCTTTGTCGACTTTGATTTCTTTTGGATTGAGGGTTGGTCCTGTTCTCCAGAGGATGAAACATTACTGTCGCTTGGAGCGCCAGTCAAGACAATGCCTCCATAGAGATGGTTCGACGACGTTGTTGCCTTCCGCTTGCGTGGATTCTGTTCCATGTCCTCGTAAGGCTGCATGAGTCCCTGGGGGTATCGCGAGGCCGACAATATCTCGAGATCCCCACCGACAGGACGCTCAATCGTGTTGGACGGCATGAAGATCTGTGCGGGGTCATCGAGGAGTGATTGAAGGGATGAATATGTCCGGTCGCCAAACTGTGCTTTTCTGAATGCGTGCATTGCGACGGACATGGTCTCGATTCGAAAGCACTGTTTGCGCCGAGCTGATTACTGAACCTGACAGAAGACAGGGCTTGGGAAGGCTGAGATGGTGCCAGTTGACGGTCTGGGGTTGTCTTCCAATGACCAACAAGGATGCCCACCACGGTCAACCACGGGGTTTTGGTCTCTGTAGATGTTTTGTCTGGCCCGAGCAACGGGAATGCCGTGCTGAAAATTTCCAGAAAGAGCAAAGGGGGAGATGTATGGTTGGCTATCTTCCTCCTTGATCAATCGATTCCGATATCCAGGCTTGAATATCTGCCCCTTGATCTGTTATCAATGGTCCGTAGGATGTTTTTTCCCTCCCTCCCTCTCCCTCTCTCTCTCTCTCTCTCTCCTCTCCTCTCTGTCTATAAGAGTCAATGTTCTGCAGAATTGACTGTGTCCACACACCGTCGGGTGGGCAGCTGTCGAGAGTCGATGCGTGGAGTCTCTCGAGAGGCAGGTCCCAAACAGCGAGAAGGAGCTTGTAATACTAACCGCCCTTCTTCAGGATTGCTGCTTTAACACGCCTGAACCGCAAGGCCCGCCAAATTAGTCAGATTCCCACGGTCCCACGGGGGTCGAGACAGGTATACGACATGACATGTGGCCAGGGATCCAAGGCCACACGTCTTCTCCTCCCTATAAAACAGGCTCAAGTAGGCTGAGCGGAAGGCCGTAATACCTGCAGTCCGCCTTTGTCGAACCAAGAGCCGTCTCTCAAGCTGATGATAGCATGGCCTGATCCCCGAGCCATCACCGGAAGGGCTGGAAGGGAGCCAGATGCCTTGAAGATGCGGTTCTTGCTCGTTCGGGCAGTTGCCGTCATCCATGTGCAGCTGGCTGAAATCGAGGCTAGGCTGGAAGAAGTCATGGTTCGACATGATGAATAGTAATCATTGTTCGCTGCTGTGGACCGAGGCCCGGAGTCAGACGCCCTTCCACCATACAGAAGTCCTGCTGTCTGGGCTCTCTAGGCTAGGTACGTCCGTAACACCCTTTCTACCCTGATGGCCACCTGTCTCCGGGCGGATTCCTAGAGGATCTGTTGAGGATCCAAATCTGACAAACTTGCTGGTTTTACAGCCTTTAGGTAAGCTGGAAGGCTACACTCCGAGTGACGAGTCATCCAGAACAGCCCTAGACACTTGACTCAGCCATAACTCTAGCAAATACCACACGTACTTAAGCCCGTGTAAGTAGTTGAGAGTTTCCTGCTGTGGCAAAAACCTACATGGACTGCTGCGTCCGTCTTGGTAGTTGTAGCGATGGCGCGCTGACGTCTTCGGCTTCGATAAAAAGACCCTTGTGGGAAAACGATCAGGGCACAACATTTTCTACCAGGCCCAAACACACGGTGCACTAACGCGGAGGAATGGGAACATGGACAGTTGCTGACTAGAAGACCACCCTTCCCAACGTTTTCTGGGAACCTGCCGTGCCCCCTACATGCTACAGTTGAGCCGCTAGGTGGGTGCTGACCAAAATTGCTGAAAGACGTTGATTCACACAATAAGCAGAAGGGGTTTTCCCTTGAATCCAAGATCGCTCTTTGTGCCTCTGTATTAGCTCGCTATAAGTGGTATCGTAAAGTACATGACCTCCTGTTCCTCACTGCCACCAATCCCTAGCTGCCGTCCAAAATCAACCAAGAGGACGTTTCCCTAACTCATTCACATACATCATAACATTCGTTGTACACCAAAAAAACCCCCCCCAAGAACTGTAACAGATGCGTTCAATTGACCAAGGTCCCCCGTGAAAATGGTAAAGACTCGTGGGAGCAGTCACACTGATACGACTTGCCTCTTCAGTGTCCCCCCACGTATCCAAAGGGTAATGTTCATGCGCGTTCCATGACCTCGAATATGCCGTCCAGCACCACCGGCGTTTGCATGGTCTCATTCATAAATTCCATCATCGAGCACTGGGTGGAGGACGTTGTTGAAGCGGTGGTGTTCGCTCTGGGTCTGGGCTCCAATAGCCCCAGTCCTATGATTTCAACTTCGTCGGCGTATCGTTCTGCTTCGAGGGCCAGGTCGATTGCTGACGGTTGGCGACGGATATTGTGGGTCGACAGAGGTGAAACGGGGGAGAGGGTGGCAGAACCATCGTCGTTGGTAGGTGCTCGTTGTCGGCCTGCAAAGCTGCCAAAGTAGGTGCTGGGCGAGGATCTGACGGATGAAGAGGGCGTGGACGAGGACGAGGACGAGGACGACGTCATTGTGCTTGATGGGCTCTTTGCTGACGATCGGTGTAGAGGATTGTGGCTGAAGATGGTGTGGAGATGTAGACGGACTTTCGACGAAGTGTGATTTCGAAAGCTGCTGGAGATTGGTTTAATTGATGATTCTTCTTCGTTCAGAGCCTCGAAGAGAGAGACTAACTGTGCAACTGCCATCTTCCTGGAGGTATTCAATAAGTAGATGTCGGATTTCTGGGTTCCCTTCTCCGCGTCCCAAGAGTAAGAAGCGCTTTCTTGCCTCTAGCGACCTTGGCCAGCAGGTCGAGCTCTTTTTGGAGCTGGGAAATGTGGTCAATGTATAGAGTTGCCAAGGGGTTCTGTCCCAGCTGCCCTGGTGAACTACGGGCAATATCAACGAATGTATCGAAGTAGAAGTAGAAGGAAAGAATTGATACAATATACAAAAAAGGTTGGAAATGAGGGGAAGCTGAAGAGGTCAATGAGACATTATTCCCGTGAGAGAATTCGTCGAAATCAAAAAATATATGCGTCGGGCCGTTCGGAGCAAGGCAGTATGTATGTATAGGAACGGCTCATCAAGCCACCCTCCGCATGGGCCAACTGCTTCCCTGCAGTGACAGCCCCTCATTTGTGAACTATCTGTAGATATGCAGACAATAGTTTCGGCCCAGAAACCTTGTGGGAACCAGGCGGGCAGGAACATGTCACGACTCCTGTCATGGGCATAGCATGGACCTGGCTGGTTGGGATGGCTCCTGAAAATTCTTTGAAAGGAAAGGTGGGGGAAGGTAGAAACCCATCAGGATATGCAAAGGAAACAAGCTCCATGTCAAAACGCGAGTGTCTTGGAGCTTGTCAAGTTCGCGAAGGGCATGACAAGGTATGGAGAGTACTAGGTACTTACTCGGTACCTAGGAGAGAACCCCCTGGTCTCGTCTGATCATCCTCCCCCCTTTGATATCCGACTGGTTCCTGACACAAAAGCAGAGACTGGGGACTGATGGTGCAGCAGTGATCCGAGATAGTTGCACAGTTGCTGAGGAAGCTTCGGAGAGTGAACAAGCCCCCCCCCCAATGTGCCTCCCGATCTCCCTGACGATGGGCGCGGTCAGTTCCCGCAGTCGATGCAGCGCTCCACCTACCAGGGATCCGCGACCCCTCTGGTGACCCTGAACAACCCTGAGCCAGGGTCGAGCAGCCACTGGGGCGTGTTTTGGCTTTGCTTGACGCGGCTGACACTCATGCCGAACATGCACAAGACCATTTCGATACGGAGCCAAGGCAAGCCAAGGTTTGATCCGCTTGGCTCATCTCATCTAAAAGACGCGATGGGGTGTCGTAGAGGCGTTTCAGGGGCAGACAACCGAGCTCAAGCCTGGGTCTAGCAGCCTCAGGATGATTGGTGTCAGGTGAGAGGCGTTTTGGTCTCGCCTACCCAGTACCTACGCACGCCTCGGCATAAAGGGAGAAGATAGAGGGGGCTGAAGGGGCAGGATGAAGCTCGGTTTATAGGAATGCCGTTGTGGCATTTTGTGCTCTGTGTCACCATTTTAGTACCAAGTAGAGCCTTCTGATTCAGAACTGTTAGACAATGTCACTCGGTCATGGGCAACACGAAACTGGCAGCAGGAAGGCATGTACCGGGCACCCTAGCGAAGCCAACATTTGCCCTCTGTCACATGATGATCATCCACCTGCGAGGAGTACTTACTTCGGTATGTATGTAGACGATCGTAATCATCAGCTCCAATGAAGGAACCAGGGTGTGAAATTAACCACAATTACCAATACGAGAAGGGCGATCAAGCGGTTCCTGGGGGATCAGCAGGACCCTGCAGGGCCATAGACTAATGCTCCATACAAAAAGTCATTCCACAGATATGTCATCTCAAGATCGTGCTGGGTAGGCACAGAGTTGTCGTCAACTTCACTTCGCTGGACTTCTCATAATCCATGTAATGTGTATGATGTACATTGACGACTGGGTGCCAATGTATAATTCGCACATTGTTTTCAGTTATCCGCCCCAATCTCATTTCGTCACATCGGAGGTGGAAAAACGCCCTCGCTATGCTCCTCTATTTTCATTCCGAACACCAGTATCATTATTCACCTCGTTCCATCTTAATATTCACAAATGAAGAAATGAAATCAAAAAGACTCTGGTCGTTCGTCGTCGTGAAACATTCGTGCCGAGCAAGGTGTGTGACCATCACTCACTCATCCGCGGGTGCTGTTGCTCCGTATTCTCCTAGTGGTGAAGCTTCTGCGGATACTCTCACCCCATGCCGAGTTGTCAAAGCTTTCCATCATGCCTTGCCCATCTAGCCCGCTGGCATTACTGCTGTGTCGACTGTGGTCAAGCGTCGGTGTCGTTGGAGAAGATCTCGTTGCTCCATGATAGCTAGTATCCACTGATCCCAATCTCACCCGTATTGGGCTGCCTCGAGGCGAGCCGTCAAATTCCACCGGTGACGCGCTTCGCAAAGAACCCGAAGGAGGCATGGATGTATCGATGGGTGGTAGGTTCACTGACTGTTTTTTTGGAGTGTACGAAGGCGTGCTTGTGGTGAAATCGCGTGGCTCCGTGCCGCTACTCCCTTCCATATTGTCATCTGGATCCTCGATAAAGATCTCAGGAACAGGAATGGAAGGCGGCGCCACCAGGCGGGAACTTCTTCGCCTTTCGACCGCTTTCTGAAACTTTCGAGACCAATGTAAGGTGTCGAAGAAGCCGACCACGGTGTTTCTGCGGATACTTTCCTGAACTCTTTGAAGACGGGCTCGCCGCCGAAGAAACTCTTCCAATCGCAGACTTCGAGAATCTGTGATCACATTGTAGTGCGTCAACAGGAAAAGCACCGCTGTGAATGGAATCCCACGGTCCGGATCCGCGGTTAACATCACCTCTTGATAGAACACGTTGATCCGTGCACGTCTCTGCCGAATCTCTGCAATGGGAATTTGGTTAGTACGTTCGGCCAACTTGTCGAGATCCATGCCGTCTACTATTCTCCCTGCTGGTTTGACAGGGTCACCTGGCTGAACTGAGCAGTCCTCTTTGATTGCTCCCACGGTGAAGTCACCATCGTAGATTCGCATCTGCCAGATACCGGAGAGTTCCTGCTCCGTTGTCAGTAAGAGCAAAACAGACAAAAGCGTCATCGAATCAAACCTACCCCTAAAAGCCGAGGGAATTGCTCCTTCGAAATGAAACCCGTCCCATTTGGATCGAACTCTGCCCAGGCTTGTTTGAAGCGTCGAATCTCATCTCGACTCACGATGGACATCCCACTGCTCTGCTGATAGACATAGGAAAAGCTCTCGAAAATCATCGAGACAAACAGAGACACGAAAATGTACATGCTGATAATGTTCCACGAGATGAAAAGAGACCTGGCCCAGGCGGGGCTGCCACAGTCGCTCGCGAAGAAACTGTTTTCCCTTACGCAGAAAGGTGGTTCAAGACCAGCAAAATCTTCCATGATTTGATTCCACCCTTCCCCGATACTGGTCCGAAACAGCAGGATGAGGGCCTTCGGGACGGTGCGGAAGTTGACATTGTTACTCTCATTTTGTCCAAAACGAGTGAGACCGAACGCTTGGGTGAAGGCAATCGCGTAGACTAGGAACAAAACGAACCATGTTGCAAGCAGATTGGCGATCAGTGGGAGCGAAGCGGCGGCGGTCTTGAAAAGCTGGTCGAGCTGGTTGTTCCGCGGGATAAGGAGAAACGTGACTGAGACGAGGAAAAGTTTGCGGAGCTGTTGGAAACTTCCGCTGTTGACCTTCGACAGGGAGATCAGGGACATGATGAAGATTCCTGATACTGCAAGGATCGAGTAGATATCCCATGAGCTCCGTCGAAATCGATTCCATGAGAGGCCAATTATCCTGATTATGATATTGGCGATCAGCACAATCGTAAACCCAAGAAAAATGTATTCCCGCACAGTTTCCCACCACGCTGGCTCAGGATAAAAGTCGATGGTGAGAAGAATTAGGTGGAGGATCAATACCGTGGTGATGAACCTTTGCCATTTGCCCCGTTTCTGGATCGATAGGTCATAGCACCATTTCTTCCATTTGTTGGTCTGCTCACCGAGAGATCGCTTGGAAGGTGAGATCTGCTTCAAGAGTTTCCGCAGTTCCAGCCAGGACCGTTGTTCTGCCGTCAAGAAGGCGACCCCTGTCTGCTCTGTGTAATTTCGCATGAACACAGAGATGAACAGGGTCAAGACAAAAACTGCGCCTAACAAATTGAATATGATAAAATAGACTGCATTTCCCTGCGCAGCAAATGGCTGTGGTTGTAATCCCGTGCCAGTGATACTGGTCCCGGACCACATCACATTGACCCAACCTTCTTGAGAGACGATCTGGAAAAGGATGAATAAAGCACTGCCGAAGTCGTCGAAGTCGAACCACGGGTTCGCAACCTGCCTGGGAGCCAGTACAGGCCAGTTGAAGGGCGTAGAGTTGTACTCTCCCACGCAATTGCTCAAGGCATTGTAACCGAAATTGCCATCATTGCAAGCCTGCATCTTGCCATTAAATAGATTTACTCCCAGAATGGCGAACGGAATCAGCAAGCTCATGGAAACAAACGCGGCTGCAAGGACTTTGTATCCACCAACAATGATAACCGAGTAAAACGTCTCTCGTGCAGTGTCACTAATGTTGAGTAAGCGTAAAGCCCTTAGCGCTTTGAAGGCCCCGACAGCTCGAGAAACACCGTCATCGCGGAGCATAGCAGTGCTAACGTTGATCCAAAGCGTAATGAGGACAACACCGTCAATGAAGCCCCAGACACTTCGAAAGTAGGCGTGTGGCGTGAAAAAGAGTCCATCCGCAATGATTTTGATGATCGCTTCGACTGTGAAGAGTATTGCGAAACCCAAATCAGTCCAGACAAACCAATTAGTGATGCTCAACGTATTGTTCAAGTAGTAATCACGTTGATACAAGGGCGTGGTGATGCAGGCTAATATGACCATCGCGACGATAGCAGCATATGTGAAGGCGGAGAAGGCGTACCAAGCAGGTCTGTAAGGCGAGACGCCCTCCACGCGCTCAGTTCCTCGCCCCGGACCGACTAGGTATTGACACAGCTTTCTCACCGGATTGTCTGGCTTGAAGATGTACAGTGACACGTTGTACTTCGGGTGTTTTTGCAAATACTGGCGTTGTGCACGTCGACGGTTCTCGGTTGTCATGACCACTCTTTTTGCCACAGCTCTTGGGTCAAAATCCTCGTTTGCTCGACTGATTTTTGCGCTCGAATAGAACGGATTCGGTTCTCCTTGACCGTAAAAACCAGTTATCTTGCCCCAGTACTTGGACAAAAAGCCAGGTTTGACGGTTGGCATTTCGTCGAGGTGCATTGATGTCGTCCTCCTTGCAAGGCCCTCGTCTTGTTCATCCAGGAAGTCCTTCACCACAGCCTCCTTGAGGAGCTGTTCAACTGTTGCTGAGCCGTATTCCAGAGCATCCCGGTGTCTGATTGATTCACGTCCCATCTTGAAGACTGCGGCGAGTGAAAGGTTCCCAGAAGCCGAACCAGTCATTTCTTTCTGCTTCAAAAAGGCCTTCACCTGTTGCAAACGTTTCTCATCCTCAGACACGTCAAAACTCTCTTGGATGACAGCAATAAACATGTTCAACACAATCAAGTTTGACACCACGAACCAGAGGATGAAAAAAACGGCACTCAGCCACGCCGTGTCCCAGATGTTGTTGAATTGGGTAGCATTGTACATCAGAGTAGTCCAATTCTCACTCGAAAAGACTTGGTACATTCCTAGGAAGGAGTTCCAGATGTCGAAGAATGTCACACCAATCACGACACCACCGGCATCTGCTGCTGGAATATCCCCTCTGAATAGTTGCGAGGCGAGGATGGCGGCCAGGAAAGTGAAGAGGAATACAAACAAGATCAGGTTCAAGAGACCGACAATATTGCCAAACACAACCATGACTAGTTCTCTTGTGACCCTGACTGCGAGGACGACTCGATAAATACGGGCAATTTGAAATGCTGAGAGCCACGCGTATGGCTGACCAGAGTTGCGAATCACTGGAATTTGCATGGCTGTAGTGACGATAGCGAGCAAAAGATCAACGCAGTTCCTTTTCCCATGGAAGAAACGTCTCCAGTCACATAAGAAGCGCATGATGATCTCCAGAAGCAGAAGGAATGTGACAACCGTCTCGCAGTCCATGATAAAAGTCTCGCGGCTGTCGCCCATGCTTGCACTACGCAGACTTTGGACGATCAGGTCGAAGACAATGATGAGAACCCAAAAGGGATGGGTTTTATCATAAAACTTCTTCAACTGGCTCCGTTTCGCCCTTTGATCGTCATCGAAGAGTGGTGCATCAATGTGTTCAGCTGTGAATGCGCTTTGCCTGCTCTCCTCGCGGATGATCTGGAATGACGATGTGATAACTGCGACCAACAAGTTGACAAGCCACAAGCTCAGAACGACAATGCCAGCTGCAAAGAATAGTGCTGCAGCAAGGTAATCCGAGTCCGTAAGATAGTAAAGGAGATCGGAAAAGGTGTTGGAGCTGATTATCACAAAAACGAGCTCGAGCGACTGGCCGATATTGTCGAAGCTGACTGTGCCGTTGTAGGGGCCACTGAACCCTTCGACGCACAAGGAGCCTTGCGGGCAGATATATCCTTTAGAGCTACCCGTTCCATTCGAGCCGTCGCCTTTAAGCCACGGCATCGCTTCTCCTGTCACAGCATCGAGGTAGCCCCCACAAAACTGAATGTTGTCGGGCGCGATATTGAGGCTGTAGTTTTGACCGGAACCGTCATTCCCAACCCAGACACAGGTACGCCGGAGGCTTGATTTGAAGCTTTGCACACCAACGATGCCAAATATCAACCAAAAGAAGCCTATGAGAAAGGCAACGTGAACTAGGAGAGGGGCTGCTTTCTTCAGACTTCGTAGGATGATTGATGTCCCGGCGGTAAGGCCCAGTAGACGTAGAATTCGGAGGCAGCTGAGCATATTGAAGACATAAACGTGACTCGAATTTTCAACGCCGCTGATCTGCATTACGAAAGAGATCCAATAGGAAACAACTGCGACAAAGTCGAGTCGATTGAAGGAATGTCGTAGAAAGGCGCGACGGGCCAAACGTATTCTTTGTTGCTGCTTTGTATGGCCTGGACCTCCAGGATCGGGGACTCCTGTGAAGGTGCGAACAATTGATGGCTGGGTGGGTGCATCATTGACCATCATTGGCGTCTCTCGAGCTTCCTGGGGAGCGAATAGAATGTGAGCCTTTTGAAGAACAGCCTTCTTGAAGCCGACAGATCGATTTATCGTGCTGAACTCCAGAGGATTCGAGATGAATCCGGACACAATAGTTCGGGCAATGAGTTCCAGAGTATAGATCACAAACAACCCGAAGATGGCGTAGTCAAAACTAGTGCGTCCCCATCGCTTTGTCCGAGTCTGTAGGTAAACAGCATCGGATGCAGCGTTGACGGCCAGTAACACGGTCTGGGCGACGATCAGAGCCAAAATGGTGGGTTCGGTCAAGGGATGGACGAGGATTTCACACAGCCACTTGCGGAGGGGGTTCTCTGACCCAAAAATACCCCAGGTTTTGCCGACCAGCGGATTCGGGTGGTAAACTGGGGTTATTGGGGTGAAGGCTTCAGTAAAAACTTCGGCTGACGGGGCCTTCTCCAGAGGGGCTTGCTGGGGTTGTGCTCCTTCTTCGTCTTGGATATTAGGCAAAGGATGGGCAGAGGTACTTGGGCGCCTGTGTTGCCGTATAGAAGACTTACGCCGGATACTCTGCTCGACCATATCGGAATCATTACTCAGGTTGACCACACGTTGTGAGATCTCTCGCAGCATGGAGTTTGCCCTTGCCATTGGGGACGGAGATGGCGACAAAGACCTCGATCTTTCACCAGAGTCGCCTTGAGTGGAAGTCAGACGACTGATCCCACTCGCAGAACTCAATTTGCGATGCATTCCAGCGCTTGTATCGAGAGTTGGGAGATCGTCCCCGAGGCGCGAATTGCGCCCACGTATGACGGAAGGGGATTCACCATCCGTCCAGTGAACGCTTGACCCTTTTCCTTGTCTATCATGCCTCTGGCCTCTGGATATGGAGCTAGATGTCTTAAGAGAGGACGGCAGGTGGCGCGAAGTCGTCAGGGGAGTGGTATCGGAGTCTGGAGGCGAGAAGGGACTTTCCACTTCATGAAGGTCCCCATCAGCATGCGTAGTGATAATGCTCGGTCGTCGTAACCCAACACTGGGCGGCGTTGAAGGTAGCTGAAGATCTAATCCGACCGTCGCCACTGCAAACCCCCCTACATCTTCGAGGGGGGATTCCCTACCACTCCCTCCTCCCACAGAAATTCCAACAGTTTCTGAAGGCCCTCCTCTTGCTGGTGACTCCTCGTCATCCAATCGAGCGTAATTGGGGGTCCGACGTCCGACTAGCAAGGACCTGGTGCGACTATGTCTCTGCTTGTGGCCTAACACTGCGCTGATTGAGATATCAGTTTCGTCTGATCCGCCATCGGGAGGTCTTGAGAGATCTCGAAGAGGTATCGACTGTGGGCCGGTCGCCTTAGGGGGAGTCTTGTCGCGAGAGGACATGGTTGTATTGTGACCCTAGAACGAGTAGGCTGTCGAAAGTACATGCTATCTCAGGACACAGCGCAACATTGCGATGGCGTTCGAGGACTGAATTGTGCCCGCTATTCTGCACAGAGTGATGCCCCTGGTTTGAGTCCAGAAGGGAAGAACGAAGTTGCGCGAGCGCAATTGCGACAGCAATGCCTTTAGGATGAGCGGAGGAAACTGCACGCAACGCAACCGTCAGAGATTAAACGAGCGAATGATATGATCTATATTGCGCAAAGGTCGGAAGTGAAATGGCAGGGCGAGAACAGGGTAGATGAGGTTGTGATCGTTCATTCTTTGCGGGAGACAGCGACAGCAAACCGCATGCGCAAGTTCTGGGTGTTGAAACGCAAAGCGCTGATGCGGCAGGACGGTTCCCGGCCTAAGGCTGGACGCGCGGCGGTTCCTTTGTTGTGCCTTGATGTGCCCTAAACCACCAGGGCACTTAACTAGCCGAAAAAGGGCCTCTAAATTTTGAAACAAGGGCCACTAACTAGCCACCAAAGCCACTTACCTGGCCACCGAAGGACGCAGCATTGAACTGTTGGGCCTGGTGGGATCGAGGCTGAAGCCCCCAAGGCAGACTCGTCCAGTTCCCTAACTCCCGGGACCCGTGGTACTATTTTCAGGGGTCCAGCCCTCTACCAACTCGCAGAATCCTCACATTCAGCCAGTGTGACCCACGTTAGGAAGAAACACGTCAGCCAAAGGCAATCGAATTACTGTTTCTGATTCATAGCACGCACAATTCCTCTAGTACGAGCACTCTTTCAGCTTAACGGGGATCCGATTCTTCTAAGGCCACCCATCACTCACTCAAGTTAATCCTTGGAACTGGTTAGCATTTTCCCTGGAAATGAATGTTGTATCAATTCTGCTATCTCAGTAGAATACATACACCACTCTGGGAACAGTAGCCAGAGCTGGCGGTAAACCGATGCATTTTGAAATGGATCGTGAGGACATAATATCGTAAACTCGCCCACCACATTGCAAGAATGGTGTCACTGGCCCTTTTAATGCCACGCAACCCTGGCATTTCTCAATAGTCGCCTTACTTGTTCCGGAAGCAGCACTTTGGTCTTGAGGCTAACTTTTCGGAGAGTTTGAAGACCCTTGCTCTTGCGGAAGACATCATCCCATAGGTGATCTTGGACACAATCCATTTCGGTCTTCTCATCGAGCGGACTCAGCATGATTGGCACATCCATTACTTCCTCTTGTTTCTGCTTCCAGCTGTCGTTTCCGACGATGCGAGTCAATGGAGCCAAGGCATCATCCCAGGTCCCAGATCTCAAATGGCATCGGTCGAACTGGAATTCGTGCAGGACTTTTCGATGAGACATGATAAAGCCAGAAGCTTGAACAGCATCCAGGCTCGCGTTGCTAAGACGCATAGACTTCAAGTGCCGAAACCTGAGAGGTCTGCATGATGATCTCGTACTAGCATTTGGGCACGCCTTTGAACAGTCTAGAGATGTTGGGCGTGATGTGCAAGGCTCTGTGTGAAGAGCGAGGGGACAGGGCCCCTTGATACCGAGCCACTGGAACTTCAAGTGCTCCAGAGCCTGGAACGTCTGCAGGTAGCTATGGAGAATCTTCAGATGGTCTGACGGGTGGTCACGACCATACTCGAAGCCGTCCATTTCAATGTTCAGAGACTTGATGCGCTTCCAGACCCGAGAGGAGGCTGGGGATGACCCGATGCTCAGGTGAGGACGCATGTGGAATACTGCTGCAGGATGTATTGGCGCCAGCGTCAACGATTCTAGCTGACTTGGTTTGGCAGCTTCCACCGCCAGCCTTAGCGAAATCAGAGCATAGTCGACAATATCTTTTCGGTATCTCTGGCTTACGGGTTGACCAGGGCAAGAGATTTGAAGATGCTGTAAGCTCGGCATTGAGCTAAGTGCATGAAAGAATGAGTCCACATTGGTGGCTGCATGAAATAAAGGAGGATATTGCTTGACCAGAAGGTCATTCGTCTCCCAGGAGCCATATTTGGAAGCTGAGGAGGACGCGGAGGAGGACGAACTAGAAGAGGAGTGCGGTCTTGAATTGTTGATCCGGGGTTCGTAGATGAAGGTGACTTCCTCCAGAGTTCCTGGCATGAGCAGTGGAGGCAGGAAGGTGTCGGAATGGTGTGGCATGATGAAAGAAAGGCCTCGCACATGGTGACCAATCCTATTCAATGCAAACATGCGCGACCTGCGCGAGAATGTGTTTGTATTGAAATGGATGTCCAGATTCTTGAAGAGCGTGGGAGCAATGTCGTCGGCGAAGGCTTTGTTGACGAGTCGTAGGGACAGCAAATCATCCTTTTGCAAATGAGACAAGAAGCACTCGCGGGCAAGGTCGGTCCGCCAGAATGCGGCGAATGCTGTTGAAGACATTTCTGGTGTGGACCATAGCTAGAAAGCGTGTCAAGTTTTCCTTGGTGGCCGCCGTACAGACCAATTTGTACGGTATGTATGAGGACATGCAGGTTTAGAAATGTCAATTGAAAGGACAAGAGTGGAGAATCTGGAACCAACAAGGAGAGAGGGAGAGAGTAGAGCTACCTCATTGCCACAATTGTAACACCTGCCCCGAGATCAACCGACGACAGCAGAATGGCAATTGTAAGATCTCGAGAGCAAGGCAACCCAGGCAGAAAAGATTGTGAAAATGGACAGGAACTTACCATCTGGAATTGAAAATGGGTGACAGATGGAAAGACATATAATTAGAGGTTTGCCTAGGGGCACCAAAGGGGGACAATTCCAGTCCGTTGTGGATTTGGAGGACAAGATAACATCGGGTGCATATGGTTTGTAGGAGCTATATCGCGATTATGGCACGGTCGTGAGAGCGCGATGGAGGACAACGACGTGATCATAGGTCGCCGGAGTCGGTGAAGCAGGAGGCTGGACCTGAGGTGCATATTTCGTGCATAACTGGCTGCATTTCGTGACTGATACGCGCCATATTCCTCGTGTTGGTGTTTTTTTCTTGGGTTCCCCAAATCCTTTGGAGAAGCGCGATGTTATTATCATCCGTTCCGGAACGTTGACGCGAATGGATACTCGGAGCCTAGATGAGCTGAGTGCATGCTTGCAATCTTGCCTCATCAAACCGTCGGTAATTATATTGATAAGGGACGAGCTCTATGGTTCATGCAGTGACATTTGTGCTTTTGCCGTATGGAGGCTTTATGCAGTCCGCGCAGGATGATTTTCCCAGCCCCCAAAGACAGATTTGATTGATTGTGGTGATGGACGGTCCGCACCGGGGCGTGTGGTCTGGCCACCGCGACTGTGGACCAGACTGCGTCATTCTTTCTGAGCGTCGCGTGAATTCTCGATCGGGATGTGTCACTGGCTTCGTTGTGAAGGACTCGGTCGTGTTGATCGATTGCGGGGGGGGAACAGGTATGAGAAGTAGAATACTTGTACAGTGTACATGGTAGAGAAGAGTCGAGAACAATCAACCGTCATCATGGTCAACGCGGGTGGTTGACAGCATTGGTGGTGGGGATGGGTGGTGAGCAGTGACCAAAAGTGAGAGCAAAGTGAGAAGAGGATGTGCCTGCTGCCTACCCAGCTCGCGAGCTACCTACGAGGTACTGGTGCCTGGACCCATAGGCACAGTATCACTGCCATGGCCGACGACTCCGAGCACCCACTCACACAAAACAAGTAACAACTGCTCCGTACTCGGTAATAATACTTGCATCTTTGCGCCTGGGTGCCTGCACGCAAGGTGCCCGGGTGCCTTGGAACAATCGTGTGGGATCCTTTTTTCTTTTTCTCGGGTGCCCCAAAAGGTTGTGCTTCCCAAGGTTCATGTGGCTGGCTCGCTCAATTGAAAATTCCCTCCAATTCCTTGGTACTGGCGGTTCTGGTCGCCACGCTGACTTTGCCGGTTCCATCCAATTCCCCGAACTCTTCCATGTCCTTCAGACTCCCAGTGGATGCCACCACTGCAGCCCAAGTCTCCCCAATGACATCAACTATTACAAGGTACCACATCGCCCTTCCATCTTCCAACATGTACCAGCCATACCATTCGCCATCCGCTGCTGGCAACTGTGCCTGCCTATCAGCTTCGCTCGGATGAGAAAATCTTTCGCAGAACAAAGCAGGTGAGCACGCGAGTGGTAGCCACAAAGCCACTTTGATATAAAATGACAATTTCGACCCCCATGTTCCATCATCATGAGGCGTTTCACTAGCTCCGTGCCTTTACTCCTATCCTCAAAGTTCCACCTTCTCACTGAGCTTCAAACCTTACAATAACACGAGGGAATCCACTCTTCCTGTTAGCTATCGATAGACTTCTGTGTAAATACTAGAGTCCTTCGCGGTGGCCTGGATGCACAGTCATTTTCACACAAAATTGCCGTCCAGACCCCAGGCACGAGACCACTTGCTACTTCCTCAAGTGCGATCTTCAGGGAGGGAGGAAAAAGGGGAAAGAACGAGACTACCAGGTCATCATGATTCCACGACTGAGCCCGGTCCCAGCTCTTCCTGAACCCTTTGGGCCACACAAAGTCGGCACCACCGAATGGGAGATTCCTGTCTCTGAAATTCCCTCGTCGTCGCCAATCCCGGAGCGCAAAATCACAACCATCAAGTTTCGCCTGTTTTATCCCACAACACCAAAAGCAAAATCAAAGACGTCAGTTCCCTGGCTCCCAACACCGCAACGAGAATGGAACCAGGCATATGCGACTTTTCTCGGGGCCGGCCCTCGAGTCTCATCGCTCATCTCACTCATACCGTTTTTGATCAATATGACCAACATCCCAGCAATAGCAGACGCACCACTATTACCGAGGGAGGCGTCCTCTGGGTATCCTCTGGTAATCTTTTCCCATGGGTTGGGAGGGAATTTCAATGCCTACAGCGCAGTGTGCACTGCTTTGGCCAGTTTTGGGATTGTGTGTGCGGCCCCCGAGCATCGCGATGGCAGCGCCCCTGTTTCCCCGATCCGCTCAGCTGACGGGCGCAAATCCACCACAATCCCCTATCAAAGACACCCTCACGCTCCCACCACCAAAGTCCTCAATGCTCGCAACGCGCAGCTGAGGATACGGCTGTGGGAGCTGGAACAGTTATTCACCGTCCTGACAAATTTCAATAGCGGCGTGACCTTCTCCAACTATGCTGCGGCGCGGAGCAAATCGAAGGCGGGCCCGTCATTAAAAGACGCTCTTGATCTGCGACCTGGCCGCGTAACGTGGGCAGGCCACTCTTTCGGTGCCTGTACCACTGTCCAGTTTGTTAAATCAGTCTATTATCACGAATTCCTACCCTCGCTCAAAGGTACCGAGTTCGAAAATGACTTGGACTGGCGTCCTCTCTACAAGCCGGCCGATGACGGTGAGCTGGTCAGGCAAATCACACCAGAGTCACCCGTCATCTTGCTCGACCTGTGGGCCATGCCTTTGCGGGCCGGATTGACTAAATGGCTCTGGGAAAAGCCTCTGCCATGTTACCACCGCAAAACGACCGACAGGGAAAATCACCCCCCCACGAACGTCGTCGCAATCATTTCTTCCGAATTCTACAAATGGCCCGAACTGCTGAACCGGATGAAGGCCACGCTGTCCGCAAGCCCCCCCGAGGCCATATACACGCTGGAGAAACGCGAAGCTGCTAGATCCTCCAAGCCTCAGCAGAAGTCGGAACCGCAGCTTGTGGCAACGCCTGGAGACAAGGTTCCTTCAGATGCACAAGAGCCAGAGACCACCTCACGTCGAGGATTTGAAGCGAATCGGGGTGTAGATCTAGAATCAGATGATGGAGATGAGCTGTTCATAACGCCTTTCGCGACGCCTGGAGATGAGTTTCCATTGGGCAAGATGATGACAAACAGACGTAGCGGGTTTGAAGCATGGAGGGGAGGAGGGTTAGAAGCGCAAGGCATTGACATAGATGTGGGGAGAGAAATCGACCAAGATTCACTGAGTGAAGCGGTCAGGCAGCCACTGCCAGACTCAGAGCCAGAAGATGACGACGACGACATATTATCTGGAAGCATCGAGCTGGATTCACAAGTAGACGAAGCGGCAGAGGCGGAGGCAGATCCGGAAATCGCCTCAGCATCTCGATCATCCACATCCAGCGACGTCACAACCTCCTCGACCGCCTCGCCGTCGGACTCGACATCCTCATTGTCAACACCGGCCTCATCCGCACAACCCAGCCGCACTTCCTCACCGTCGCCCACTTGCGACAGCGTCTCCAGCACAACCTCGGTCTCCAACGTCAACGCCACTACCACCTCCGTGAACGATGACGACCCTGACAAATTCAACCTATCCTTCTCCCCTTTCTCACTGCTCCCATTAGACCTCCCCAAACTTTCCGTCGCTCCGAACCCCAATACGCCATCTCCCTTAGATCCTCACCTCTACCTAGTCCCCAACACCGCACACTTGTCACAGTCGGATTTCGGCGTCCTCTTCCCAAACCTGACGAGGTATCTCATGAACGCCGAGTCTCCGGTTGAGGCCATCAGGTTGAACGTCCGCGCGATGTTGGCCGTCATGAGAAATGTCGGCTTGGATATTGAGGGCTATTTCGACGATTGTGTCCGCGAGAAGACAGAGGTCAAGGTTCCACCTCGGCGAGACGACACCGAGGCCGAGGCTGACGGCGATGACGGTGATGATGACGATGGGATGGATCCAATTCTCACGGAACGGTGCAAGGAAGAGAGGTTCCTAAGGGTCGACATTTATTGATCCGGTCCTCGCCTCACGTTCTTCTCTTTTGGGACCATTTTCTTGTTCGTGAGACTCCTCTTCGAGCCAGGTTCTGCCTTTTACTTTGTTTTCATGAACGAAGCGCATGCTGGACGGCGTCGCATCGGGAATCGAGGAACAAAACTCGGCCATCACAGGTCCTGCTTCGGCTTCTTTTCGACTTCCCTTTCTGTGTTGGTATATATGGTTTGACTTGCTTGCTTCCTGGATGGGGCTATGGGACACGGGACATGGATTTGGGACATGGATGTGGCTTATGCATTACGATCTTGTGAATGGTTTTCCTTTCACCCTTGGTTTTTGTTTTGTTTTAGCTTTTCCCCCCTCCAATCCTGGGTCTGGTTCTATGTTTTAGACGATTTATCCCCCACCCCTTCGATTCTCCATCCTGTCCTTTACACACACACACACACACACATTCATACACAGCAAACAGAGTTAGGCTTCAAGCATAGCGGCTGGGCAGGGAACTCAGGAACTCGTTGCATTTAGCGCCGCCGCCGACGGGAAAGATGAAACCAAAGTGTCGGTCTGCTTCGGAGGAGGGATTGGGCATGTGTATATATGTACAGTCTCCGTACTCCGTACATCCAGTCCGGCCATGTATATAATCCAAAACAACATTCAGGTTTGTCTCAGGCGTCGTTTGAGTAAAATTGGATTCAATCAAGTCTCACGAATTTAGCTTTGTTTGAAGCAATGATCTTTCTCGTCTCGCTATGCTAAAGCTAGTCTAAAAAGCTAAGAGCAGTCACACCCAAGATGATTTATCGCAATGGCCATTCGTTTCGCATGGGAGGAGGCAAAGGTCGCGATTTACTTCGTTTTGGCGTCCTCTACCACTTGCCAAGCTGATCAAATCATTCCCTAAAGACTCCACCGTTATCTCCCAACATCACTTCCAGGATGGCGGATGCCTCCGCCACAAGGCTTGACACGTCCACACCAGCCGTCCCCCTTCATTCTAAAATATGATGGCAACAGCACGACCTTCTTTCTGTCGTCTCGCTAGACCAGTTCCTTGACCGTTGATATCCTCTGATTCACAACAGCGAAGCCCAAGCGCAGGGTATTGGCTGTCATCGCTTACAAATCAGGATCTTCCTCATCTGGCAGAGGCATTGCCGCAGCCTCTGTCATCTCCTTGTGATATTGGTCGAGTTGTGCCTGGTCGATCTGAACCTCGGGTGGAGCAAGAGCCGGGGCAGCCACGAATTCGAGTTGAGGGTTGCCGACCAATTTTCGGGCCAGCCAGAGGAAGGGTTTCTCGAAGTTGTAGTTGGATTTGGCGGAAATATCGTAATATTGGAGGTTCTTCTTGCGGTGGAATGTGATGGTCTTGGCCTTGACTTTGCGCTCCTTCACATCGACTTTGTTTCCGCAGAGGACGATGGGGATGTTTTCGCACACGCGCACGAGATCACCTGCAGTTTTGGTCAGACCTATACTCTTCTAATCGTGTGCTCAAGGTGTTTTCGACATACGGTGCCAGTTGGGAACGTTCTTGTATGTGATTCTGGAAGTGACATCAAACATGATGATACCGCACTGGCCGTTGATGTAGTAACCATCACGAAGACCGCCAAACTTCTCTTGACCTGCGGTGTCCCACACATCGAACTGGATCGGACCAAGGTTCTGAATCGAAGTTAGAACTGTATGCGCTTTGGACATCTGGCAGACGTACGGTTGAGAATCCTAGAGGATGGACTTCGACACCAAGAGTGGCGATATATTTCTTTTCGAACTCCCCAGTCAGGTGGCGCTTGACAAAGGTGGTCTATGATAGTTGTCAGTATTGTTATATTCAAACACTTCCATTTCTTGATGCTCAAACGAGCGAAAAGAAGATTTTGTTTGCAATGACCCTTACCTTTCCAGTACCGCCATCGCCGACCAGGACGAGCTTGAAGGTTGGAATGTTCTGAGCAGCTTCCGCCATTGTGATTGTGGTGTGGTTGGGATCTTTGAAGTCGGGTGAGGAGGGGAATACCGACGAAAATGTTGCGATTACACCAAAGCCACGGTCTTGAGATTGGTGTTGTATCAAAGAAAGGTAGTGGAAAGAGATAAAGAGAAGGATGTTTGATGGTATCTTAGGGAAAGTGAAGGCAAGCGCAAGTTGAAGGCGTCGGTTTGTTTTCAAGGCCAGCGCTTGGCATATTCCAGCGGCATCACTACGATTTTTGCATCATTGCGTAGCACGTGACCGACACATGTTTGCCTCCGTGACCGAACATAGGTGAGGCGAACCAAGTCTATTCATCGAATCGAGTAACTAGAACTATTGTTACAACATGAGTGACCTTCTATCTTCACACAAGTTGCTTTCAACTGGGTTCTATCGATGTTTTGTTGGTGGCAATTCGAAGCTCTTCATCTGGGAAATCATCCACGTGCTGAGATAGCGCCCAAGCAGCTACGGCCCATTTCATCTTGTCGTTCGTTATCAGCTATTTTCCTCATGTGCTTGCACTTTTTGTCGCTCACCCGTGAGTTATTGTGCGACACAGGCTCTGACCGGGGTGCGGATTGCTATTGAGTTTGCATAAGGTCCCGTCGTTTCTGTACGAGGTAATCCTGTGTGGATTCACGTCCTGGTTTCTCATAGCGCATGCCAACTATGGACTTCATAAGGGAACAATGTGGCACCCGAGTGTGCCTCTCCCACCCCAGTTCTGTCTTGGAGTCAATCTCAAGTCCATCTCTTGTGCTTCTGTTCCTGTGCCGCGAGAGACCTTGACCAGGATCGGTCGACCTAGGTTCTGGCTCACAACTTCCCCAACTTTGCGTAATCTTTCATGATTTGACCATATTGCGGCACCAAATCTTCTTATTAGGTCGCCAGCCTTCAGGCCAGCTTCGTGTGCAGGACTGCCGGGCTCAACACTGTTCACCTTTGCAAATGGATTCTCAGGGACGGAGGGTGTCTGCTCGGGAGTAGGAGTAGGTTCTGGGTGTAGTCGGGGCTGATTCAGGGAGTTCTTGTATTCGTCCGAGGCTTGGTACTTGGCATGATGTTCATGAAGACCCTTCTCGATCTTGTCCATCAAAACTTTCCAGTCGTTGCGGAGGACAATAATGCGTGCTCTCGTAACCCGTACTTGCGCCACATCAATATCTGATCTCGGAAAACCATCAAATGTGGTCAGACTTGTCTGCATGGTGACTCCATGGCTGTCGAGGACTGCGCCCAAAGCCTTCAGTTCTGCTTCGAGATTGTCCTTGCGTGCAATAAGTTGGTGTAGAGTGAGTCCTTCGAACGACTCGGCCTGGTGGATCGACGTAGGTCCACTTGGGACATGAATATCTGCAAGATTAGGATCCATCGGAAGTCCCATGGTCATTCATCAAGTGCACAGATAGGGTAACGGGAGCAAGCCAGATACATAACACGAATGTTCGGCAAGGAACCATGTCGAGCGCAGGCTACCTCATGGAACGCGTAGGTGCGAACTACAAGTAGAGCTACCAAGAGCCAGCCTCAGATTGGAGAAATGGGAGCGGGGAGTGAAATGGATCATAGTTTTCCCGAAGATGTTCCGATTGGATCCAACATGACTGCCCGGTCCTTTGCTCTGTGCTGCTCTGTGCTCTGCACTTGAATCAATCATGAACTCCAGTATTGACCATCTTGAAATGCATCTGCACAAGATGATCCCTATCTTTTAATCGAAAGGTTCTGGTAATCCTGTTATCCTGTCCTTTACAGACGCTGGCCGATTTCCCGCAGGTGTTTCGCTCTCTGATGCCATAAATGGCAACTCAAACATTTGGTGGCTTCGACGCCCATGTTCCACAGACAATTTCATTGTGCTGTTTTGCTCCCGTCAAATTTTGGAAAATAGTATCCAGGTAAGGAATTGACTTATTATACCACGAATAGCGCAGAGAAATGTGTTCGACTCGTTACATCGCCAGAGTCTTGCTCCTTCTCCCTCACGGTCGCCGGATGCCACCTTCCTTCCCCAACCAGGTTGGAAACTGGTCGTCCCAAAGTTCTCTTTGGCTTCAGCTACCTTCTCACTGTCAATCTTGCCATGTCGTATCACTCAACTTTTGGGAACCCTTTCAAAGTTGGTCGTTTGGTCCCTCAAATGGGAATTTTGACCGTTGGCTCTCATTTTGTCTTCCATTGTTGAGATCTTATCTTTTTGCGAGCTTACTTTATCTTCTATTGATAAATCATGACGGCTCAGCTTTTGCCGTCCATTATCGCGAGTCCATTCAGCAGACATTTCGATACCAGAGCGAACATCTATTGTGCCTCCCGGTCAGCATTTTCTTCCCGTCCGACCATCTCTTCGACCTCGTTGAAGCCGTTCTGCGTTCATCACGATTCTCAAGCATCTCCCTCTTCAATCCTCTCGTTTGCATCGGCTCCTGTGCAGACAAACAAAGCGGATCGTGATCTGCCAGGCAGCGAGAACATCCTTCCAGGATTAGTTCGTCAAGCTTCAGTGCAGTCTTCCACCAACGGCCCCAAAGTACATTCGGAACGCTGCGATTCCCTGCCAGGAGTCGAGGACGCAAGATTGCTCTTCGTTCAGCCCACCCATGCAGACCTGCGCGGCGACACCGAACCTACCCAGAGGTATCTTGTTAATACAAGTCAGGCTCGCCAACCGCTAGCAGAGCTGCATAATGAGGAGAAACGCACACCCAGCCTGCACCATAATTTCAGCCTGGGAGTTCGAGTACAACATAAGTTTCGCACGTCGTTGTCCACAGAACCATACTCCACAGAGCAGGAAAAAAGTCAAGATCTGATTACGCATTCGAGAGAACACACCCGTAGCTGGTTTAGCGCCGTTGATGGGCCTTCTCAGTCTCTCTTCGAGACATCATTTCTTGTGGATACCTCAGAAGACGCACCAAAGACAGGGCCACACTCCGTCTCGCATCGAAAGAGACACTCTACCGCATCGTCAGGCTTCATGCATACGATGAAAACAGCGAGCCTCAGCAATGCAAGCTTCAGCCTTGTTCCTCGGTCTCTCTGCATCGGTCGCTCAACCGATAGTTCTTGTATCTTTGGCTCGGGCGCGAGGCCTTCAATGGAGAGTGACCGTCCGCCAACGTCAGCATCCGTGGATGAAGCGGCCTTCAGAAGAGCCATCAAAAGGAGACAAATTCTTGAGGAGCTAGTGACGAGTGAGGAGAGCTACATCGCTGATTTGAAGGCTCTGATCTACCTATATTCGACTCTCCTGGCGACTACGATGACGATTGTAGGCCGGGTCAGGGCATCTGTCCTAAGGAACGTCCATGATCTTCTCTCTGTCCATGAAAGACTCCTGGAACGATTGCACCAGGCCGCGTACGAGGCTGCAGCACGAAAGTGGGCAGACACAACCTCACCCCGGCATCTCGGATCACCTCCCTATCATAAACGGTGGAAAAGCCTCGACTCCAGTGCCGCGGTCAAGATGAGTCGCAGTCATCGGCGAACACGCAGCTCCATGGAATCATCTGAAGCATCCCGCGGCCGGACGTACCTAGGCGGAGCTGAACCAAGAGATGTTACTGACGTGGCGGCCATTTTTAGGGATTTCTTGAGCGACTTCCTAGTTTACGAGGAGTATTGTGCCAATCACAGTCTCATTGCTCATGAGTTGCAGCGACATGCTCCCACACTTTGGTCAACATATGAATCAGGAATTGAATCCCTAGCAAGGTCCCTTATTGCTCTCGACCACAAACACCAAGATCAAAAGAAAGGTCTAACGGTTGGCGATCTCCTTATCAAACCGATACAGCGCATGACCAAATACCCTCTTCTCTTTGACGATCTTCTGAAGCAAACACCCGTGGCGGACTGTCCCAGCGCACATTCTGATCTGGAAGCAATCTTGACGTGTTTGAGAGAACTTGTTCAAACCGTCAATAAAGCCACGGATAACCATGAAACTCGAAGTCAGATTCAGCGTCGATGGTCGCTTCAGACGCGGCTGATCTACGATAAAGTATCTTTACGGGCCGAGCAGTTTCGAATGTTGGGAAATATCCGGTTGAGTGGTGTTCTGCATGTGACTTGGCAGACGAAGAATAACAGAGTCGATGGTCGCTACGCCCTCTGCGTGTTGTTCGACACCAGTCTCATCATTGCGTTGCCCACAGGAACCACTGCGAAATTCGAAGCGATCGCTTTCTTGCATTTACCGGATACTAGAATCGAATCCGCCAGTGATGGTCGGGGACTCCAATGTCACTCGACCTTGTACACGTGGAAGATATGTTTCGCGGCTAGTGGTCACCTGCATGAATTCATCTTGAGTGCCTGCTCAGCAACAGAGGAAAATACATGGAGAGAGGGCCTACAAAGCAAGGATACTCCAGGAAGGAGGATGGACGAGCTGTTGAACCAGATTCCCTCGAGCATCAGCCTCAACCTCAGATCTATTGGGCAGGTGTACAGTCAGCAAAGTTCGACTCTGTCCAGGAATCCTTCGGTGCAGAGGGCTGCCACGGTGGGAAATCGAGCCAACATCTGTCAAGTCATCATTCGCAACACACACAATCCACAAGACTTGCACGAGTTTCGTCAACCATCATCGTCGGCCATCAACAGATCTCAGTCACATATGACATCTAACAAGGTTGTCATCCTAGCACCGAAAAGGTCGGAGCGAGCAAGGCTCGAATCTACCTTGAATGACGTGTGGACAAAGGAGAAATTACCGTATCCAGGAATGATTAGCTCTCGCGGTGGTCAGATCATCAGAGCTTCGGCAGGCTCGCTAGTCCGAAAACTGAGTCTGGCATCCATTCATGCGCCGTTTTCGAGGCGGTCTGGAAGTTTCTCGCTTACCAGCCGCAAGTCGTTCGACATGTCGATGGAAAGCCGACGTAGCAAATCGAAACATTCGACACCCGTCTTTGAAGTGCGCAAAGAAAGTTTGGACGAGGTGACACCGGCGAGAACGAAGTCGCATGAGATACCAGAGGTCGATACTATGGACAATGTGGTTAGCCGGATGATAGGGAACAGTGTCTCAAGGAAGTTGTCTATATCCCAAGGTCACCACGGTCTGGCAAGGAGGGGAACGAAGGGCCAGAAGATCAGTCACGACACAGCGGGGGCCGAGGTAGGACCAGAAGATCCAGCAGAGATATTTTATGCCGAAACGAAGGAGATACCAGAGAAGCCGGAGATTGTGGAAGAAGGGCTAGCAGGCAGGAAGAAACGATGGAGCAATCCGCTTGGAATCTTGAAGGTTCTGTCAGCTGATGGGCTTCGACACATGTTGTATTCAAGTAAATAGTGTACCCAACGTTAGTCATCGACGGCATGTGTACAGAGTGGGCATTGTGCATTCGATCGTAGCACCATCTGAAATTACTTTGAAATTCTAATGCTTCAGACTAGGAATGATGGCGAGTGACCAAACTCGTCCAAGAGGCCCGACAGCTGCCGGATACGGTGACGGCGACATAACAGTGGAGGCCCAGACAATCCAGCCCGATGACCTTGTCAATTCGGCAGCCTCGTGCCTCAACAACCTCCCCACCCCCTCTCTAAAGAGACGTCAGACGTTCTTGTGCTTCTGAGTCTTCTCCAGCAAAGTCTGCTTCGCTCGGCGAGTGGCCTCGACGACATCATAGCCGAAAACCCAGCTGATGACTTGGTTTTTGTTTTCTGGTTTTTTTTTTATTTTTAATTAGTGTTTCGCTCGATGGAGCGATCTATGGGTCAGCATATCGCGACAAGTGATAGGTGACGGGCGATAAGCGAGGGATCGGACGGGGAGAGATCAGGAGGAAAGGTAAGGAGAAGGTTTGGTGGGGGGGGGGGGGGGGGACTATGCCCTGTGTGTGTGTGTGTGTTCACTCACGAGGTAACTGATCTCCCGGCAGCATCCTCAAGGCCTCTTCCCGCCTCTCGACGGTGGGGTCCTTGTTCGTCTCCACCTGCGAGTAGAGCTGCGCGATTGACGTGCGCGGTAGGCGCACGTTCTGGAACGTCTCGAGCAGATCGGATATGGACGCAGATGGTGGTATACTCGTACGTGCGGATCCCGAGAGAGGGACCGAATCCGACTTCGAGTTGGAGGTGGAGTTGGAATTCAAGTTCGATCCCGGCGCGGTGGCGGTGGCGGTGGTGGTAGTATGGACAAAGTCCTCGAAGAGCACGCCCAGCGCCGCGGCGTCCTCGATCGCGGTGACGGCGCCGAAGCCGCGGTGTGGGAGCATCGGGTGCGAGGCGTCGCCTATCACGACGAGCTTGCCGCGCTGGCAACTCGGTAGGGGAGAGCGTTCCGCGCACCGCCACAGCGGCAGGATGGTGTTTGTGCTGGCGGTTTTGTCGCACAGGCGGAGGAGAGAAGGGTGGAAGCCCGCCATGGCGGCGCGCAGGTCGTCCGGCCGGCATTGCTGTTGCTGGCTCCTGTTCCGGCCCCGCTTGCTCAGCGGCCGCTCCACGTACATGCCGAAGTTCTGCAGCGTGTTGTCCCGGCACGGATAGCGCACCAGCCAGCGCTGCTGGTCCCGGTGCAGGTAGAACGAGCAGTGGCCCTCGCCGTACCGCCGCAGCAGCGGCGCTGTGTGCGGGTCGTCGAGGATCTCCCGCGTCGGAATCAGAAAGCGGATCACCGTGCTGGTTGTCGCGTGGGCGGGACAGTGATACCCCAAGACGTGCGTGGCTGCGTTAGAGTGCACGCCGTCGGCGGCGACGACCAGATCTGCAAATTCCCAGCGTCCCGTCTCGGCGACCTTGACACCTCCCCTTTCCGCATCGTACTCGACCACCGTGCTAGACGTGTGAAGCTCAGCCGGCACACCTGAACCGTCTGGGCTGGTCGCCAACGTCCTCAACGCGGCGTGCAGGTCAACGCGGTGCGCGAACAGATACGGCGCCCCGTATTGACTCGCAAAGTTGGTACGGTCCGTCGGCGCCAGCTCCGCTAGCGTCACGCTGTCGATGAACGTCTGCCCAAGTCGTGGGATGAGCCTGGCTTTGGCGAAGTCCAGCCGCCACAAGCGCATGATCTTGACCGCGTGCGGTGCGAGCGTGATGGCGGCCCCGATTTCATTGTCGAGCTGCGGCGACCGCTCCAGGATCTAGACAAATACCGTCCGCGCCTCCGCTTCAGTTTTGCTTCGTCTTTCTCCATCTCTCTCGCGGTGTTCGACATGATACAAAAAAAGGAAAAAGGAAAAAGCAAAAGAAAAAGTGTGCAGTTCTCAACTTACCCTGACTCTATGCCCAGCTCGACGCAGCGCTATCGCCGCGCAAAGACCTGCGATGCCTGCGCCTGCGACGAGGATAGATAACTCATCCGCCTGCGGTCTGATCGTGCTCTCCATTTCTGGCTCCCTTTTTCGGGGTGGATGGACCTCGCGATCTGTTGCCCAGAAGCGCTCCGTCGTAGAGCAGTAGTGCTAGTCTTGAAGGGAGGGCTCGTCGTCCGGGATGCAAGCGTCGCTTCAAATTGATATCTTGCTTACCGTGATAAGAAAGACGCAGATAGGGAAGGTTAGTCTAACCTTTTTTGTTTTGTTTTGTGGTCAGCAGGCTTGACCTGAGTACGAGCATCATATGTAGAACTGCATGGAGAAGCCAAGTAGGTAGGCGCCCTGTCTGAGCAGGTGCCGACGGTGTTACGAACCTGTGGTATGTACCGAGTAGTGGTGGTGTATTGCAAGATGACGCAAGGCTGCTGGCCTGAACCTTGACCTGGGTAAAGTCCCGCCTCCCTTTCTTCTTCTCGATTCAAACGCCCTCGCACGTACATGCATTTCGCTTGGGGAAATCGAGCTTGACCTCATCATACTTAAGCGAATCTAGGTCAGATTGAACGAATGGATCTTGCAGGCACTGCTTGTAATCGACTAATTTTACTCGCAGCGCACGGGACGATGTATACGACCATCGCAGTGCAACGGCAAAAGAGCCAAAATCCATTTTTTTTATTATCTCATTGAGACTTCACACAGTGGTTTGGTCTCTATTGGCTTAGTTGAGAATAGCGACCAGCGACCGCTTAGGAACTTACTTCAACTAGGATGGAATAGCGAACTTGGAGTTCCGCATTGGATTACACAGGCCCTGCAACAGGTACACATTACATATTTGCATGTTTGCTGGAATACATCTGATAGAGACATGGACAAGATTATTTAGTAGCTCCTTGTCGGGTGACATGGGAAACATAGCCTCGTCGTTAGCGGTGGCTTTCCTCGCAGACCTCGAGCGTTGGTGCGACAATTTCGAGGCTGGTGATCAGGAAACGTAGATGAGGAAGCATTTCCGAGTTCACGCTCCACAGTGTTGTGCCCGGTTTTTGCTGTTCAGATTTCTTGGCTCCAGGTTTCATCTACAGGACCAATGCCAACCCAGCGATAGCAACGGCACCCATTCCCGCAATCTTTCCATTGACGTTAGGAGCAGCGGCACCAGTAAAGGCAGATGGGGCGGCGGAAGTCTTCGAAGCCTCGACGGAGGTAGCCGGCGCAGCGGTAGTGGAAGGCACTTCGTTGCTGTATACACTGCTGGAGGTCGGCGCAGGGATCATGCTCGTCCAGTTTGAAGCCACGCTATAGCTCACAGACGTTGGGACGGTCCATGTAGAAGCGCCGGAGCTGTATGTCGCCGTGTAAGATGTTGTGGATGTCCATTCGGACCAGGGAGTGTTGGACGCGGGGACTGCGCTGGTAGCAGTGGTTGCGTTCGCTGATGCATACGTGCATGAGGTCCAGGTGCTGTGCCCACTGGAGAAGGTCCAGGTGAAGCCCCACGCCGAGTCGGAGCCGGCAACGGCGCCAAGGGCGAAAAGCGCGGGAATGGCGAGGAAGGACTTCATTGTGCGATATGGTAGGAGTTCCAAGTAAACAAACGGTTGATTCAGTTTGATCGGAGCGAAGGATAGGTAATGAGCGAAGGTGAGTTAGGGAGCGCAACGAAGGAACGCGAGCCTTACACAAAGACAAACGAACGACTGTGTAGACGATGGCGACAAGCAGACAAAGGTAGATCACGAATCTCGAGCTGGGCGATGAACATCATATAGGTAAGGAGAGCCACAAACCTTGTGTCGCTTAGGACAGAGCCTCGCACCACTCAACATCTCATTGCGCGTGTTGTGGTGTCACTGATGACCTCAAAGTGGTCCTCGACAGGGGTTCCAGGAAATTGGCGTTGCAAACTCAACGACCCGTCGATAGCACGCAATTTCAGAGTCGACAAGTCTCGAAGGTTGGATGGATTTCGCGTCCACAGGATCTGCAGAGGTTGCGAGCGAGAAATCGAGAGCGTCGCCTGATGCGTGGAAGCCATGGAAGAAGTCTTCTGTTTTCTGGCCATGATGCCTGCTCTGAGTAGTACATGTTGAATTTCGAACCTCGCCAAGTGGTTTCAGCCACAAACGGGAAAGCCACTGTCGATAGGCGTCTCTTGGATCTGCGGGCACGAGATCCGCCTAGGCTGTTGGGCTGCTTTGCAATCCTGCAGGCCCCTCGCCTACTTGTATGTGTCCTTGCTGCAAGAATGAAAAGCTCCAGATGCATTTAGAAGGCAGGTTGAGGTCGGACAAGATTTCAATGGCTGGCAGCTGACCAGCGTCGGTGTCACTGAGGGGTTTTGGTTTGTGTCAGGAACGCGGATCGCAGCCGCTTCAATGGCCAGCATCCAAACGGCAACAACGCGAAGGTCACTTCGACACGAACAATCCGCGAGCTGACTTCCCACTTCTGGATCCTGCACCCGCTCGGACACGCGACAAAGATGATGGACCTACAGAAACCTCTCCGCTCCTTTGGAAAAGGAGGATCTCTCATTCCGCATTCGAGCCTAGCGAGCCTGCGCCTCTGCTTTGTGAAGATGTCCCATGGTGCTTTTGCCTGCCTCGTCGGCGTCCTAGCCCCTGTTACCTGCTCCTCTCCCTGAAACCTCGAGCCTTCAAGTCTTGGTCTGCAACATACCCACATGTGGTTCGATGGGAAGAAATTCGGCAGGGATATGTAAAAATGGGATGAAGAGCAGGCAAGGGAATGGAGACGACCAATATCAGTGTCTCTCAGTTATTTGGAAAGACGATGACTTTGAAAATAGAGCCGATCGTCACTGCAAAGTGGTATGAGACAACAAGATCCGGACACCAACGCGCCCTACAAAGAGTTCTAGGAACAGAGGGGGGCACCTGTCGATATTTCGTCCATCGCTCCATATGTACGGCGTCCGGGGATACTCTCAGGGGTTCTACGCGCACTATCTGGTCATCAAGAAGACGCGCCAACGGTCCAGGAATCTCGCAGGAACAGAACAGACAGAGTAAGCCTCCAAGCGGAATCCTCTCAACTCCCTGCTACTGTACGATCCTCCATGCATACCAAGCCCGTGCAGGATCGACTGAATCCATTTACATAAGCTCCTCAAAGCGTATCGTCCACGAACGAAAGGCCAAGCAATCCATACGAGTAATCCATCACATATGAGCGTCGAGCAGGGCTAGTTAATGCACGACATCTCGGTACTCAGATGGCGTACTCGGGTGCTGGCAGCTAAATGAACTTGAATATTGGGGGGCCTAAATGAGGCTTCCTGCCTAGGCTTGCTGCGTGGGTAGCACGGGCACTACTGTTTAGCTAGCCTGGCCCTTCTCTCCTTTTAGACCGACGACGACGACCTTTGTTTTTGTTATACTGCGCGAACCACGATCCAAATGTGTATAGTTTGTATGACATGATGTTCTCATTTCCCATGTCGGGCGTAATATCTACAGTTGCCGGCAATACGTGCCGCGTCCAATCCTTCAATTGTGTCTGGTCTCGTCGACTTTCATATCCAGAACGATCTGTGACTATGTCCAACGCCGTTGTTCCTGTACATCGAAACAACTTCTCTTAAAATTTAAAATTCAAAATTCCAGCACAGCTGTTTGAGGGTCTCATACTTTGCCGGGCCTGGCACCGCCTTTCTTTGGAACAGTCCAAGGTTCTGGACACACCGTCTGGGAAGTATACGTCAGCAGGATGTTCGCGAGTCGTGGTGAATGGGGTCAAGTATCTTACCTCGCCTTCTGAATAAGCCCAGAAATACACAATCACGCCAATGATGTAGTATAATGCCGCATTGGTTGATTGATACATGATGACCGCCGCCAGAGCACACAAGGGATACACCACCAATCTTGCTTCCATGCTCCTATGGAGGCCCGGCAACATCTTGACCACCGGAGCAAGTGGCCATTCCCACGCAAGGCTTATGAAGGCCATGATCAGATTGATGATTTGCAAGACGGGAAATGGTTTGACAGCTCCGTCGAGATTCTTGGTGAGGAAGTCCCAAAAGATCTTGGGCCAAAAGAAGCCCTCGAGGCTGGCTAGGACTTGGTATGCGGCGGCGGTGAGGATGATGAGGCGAGCCCAGTGGTTTTTGATGAGTTTACCCATGTCGAGGAAGAGAAAAGTCTATGGAATTCGGAAATGGTTGTGTGGTGCTGTGTTGGAAAAGGTCGAATAAAGAAAAGCACCCGAAAGTAAAGAATGAAAGTCGTCCTTGGAGCAAACGATCGAAGGAAAGGAGCATGCAGAAACCGACGACCGGCGCCTAGAGTTCACCAAAGAAGCATGAGGGTTGGCGAGGTATATGAAGAGACTTGGTCAAGCAGACTTGGTCAATGCTTGACTCCTCTCTGAAAGGGAGGAATGGGTGATTTCGGTGAGGGTTAAGCCGGTATCAGAGCGTGTTTGGCTGTGTCTGATCAGGCAATCGACAATGAGGCATCAGCGGTCAGAGGGGAGGTGTCAGGAGCCTCAAGAGTGCTGGTCCGGCAGTGTCTGAAGGCTCGAGTACTTGAAGTCAGCGGGTTGGCGCGTAAGAGATTGGTCGCAGGTGTAGACCCGTCGCAGAGTGGTTGAGGTTGGTTCGGAGACAGGAAGTGTCACAGGTGTGGAGTTTTGCGACAGTTTCGACGTCAAGCACCACCAGAGCGCACAGATCTCAGTCGATGTCAATCGATATCCAGCGATTATCGACGTTACTCAGTTAACAAGAAGTATTCAGAGAAAAACAATGAAAACACTCAGAGATGTAATAGCTCGTGGGAAGATAGATGTGCTTTGATTCTGGTCAAGAGACCACGAGCTCAACCCGGCCTACCGAGCTCCGGGATAAGCCAACCTACCTTGACCGTTGGATGTCAATGGAGCTATTGCCTTGGTCTAAGATGCAGTGCAGCAATGGGAAACAATATCATTCAATAGTGCTGGCCTGTACCCGCCAGATCTGGTGATCATCCTCGCCATGAGGTTGTATGATTCGTGGAGTGGGTGCAGAGTGCGGAGGGGAACGAGGTGACTTGGGTAATGGCTGGTGGATTTAGCACCTGAAAATAGAAATGGGAGCAGTAGGCCATCTGCACGATGCATGGTGTGTCGAGATCTGGAATCCATCAAGGCCATTTTGCCTATTGTTGGGTGCTGTGTGGTGGTGAGAGCAGAGAGCAGAGCGAAGCTGCAGCGAATAGAGGGACAGAATTAAGCACCGACATGGATGTGATGCGGGAGCTGGGGGCGGGCGCTAAGGAGCCTAAAGAGCCTAAAGCACCCGTAACGCCTAGAAAAAGCCGTGCAAGCGAGTGATTCGAGGGGAAACCGCCAGTGACCTGGGTCGCCCGTGGGCCACTAAACTCTCCGGGCACTTCCAGGCACCTTCCAGGGCGCTTCGAAACGCTTCCTGATACGCTGGTCAGCTTCACTTTTCGCTCGCTTGGCGGCCCTTGGCGCTCTCCTCACATTCACCCTGCACGCACCATTCTCTTTCCGGCCAAAATTCCTTCCCACGCTCCCATCCCCCAAGCTCTCATTTCTGGTTTTTCCCATATTCGGCTCTACAACTCTTTGTCTTTTACTCCAGGAATGGTGTTGAACTAGATGCGTGATGGCATCCCGTCATCACCCATCTATCGATTTCCTAAGAATTAGCTGGAGAATCAGTCCGTCATGCCACGCCTGTCGGGGCAGTCGTGCTGCCACGTTCCTGTTCCCCAGCACCAGCCACCACCTCTTCCCACCTGTCAGATCATGTTTTCATCCATCGACCATCGGGTGGCTCTCGAGCTTCATCTTGTTTCCGACGGCCGTTTTCCTGACCTTGAGTTCCCCACCACCCAATAGCCGCCCAAACTCCTCGATCAGATAAGACGCGCTTTCTCAGTGCCTGACCCCCAGGGTCCATTTCTTGCCCATTTAGAGAGCTTCTCGCGTTGAGACCGGGACTAGGACCAGGGTTTCATGCAGGTGGATGTGCTTGGAGCTCCACAAATTCACCGACTGACCACAGGTCACTTTATCAATCAATCTTCAAGGGCTCATACATCACCCAAGAGCAAGTAAACCACCTCGTTAGTCTTGTGCCACCGCCCGTGTCTTTGCACAATCACATCTCTTCGAATCTTTTATATCTTCTCCTCTACAACAATATTCTCCGAAAGAAAGGTTCTATATCCTCGCACACGCGGGAAATATCTCACCCCAAACTTCCCTCTACTCCTGTTACAGCTCCTGTCCCAGATCTCGCGGGTCCCACTTCCAACCTGTTTCGACCTCAACCCTCACCCATCTGCCCTTCTCATTCAGTCGCATTCCCCTCTCCAAACCTCACCACTGCTGCAGACTGTCTTGTTTGAACTCCTGCTTCACCATTGCCACCCACTGCGACACTCCGGATCCTTGGGAACATCGAATCTAATCGGCCAATTTGCCATCAGTACCGCGCTCTCGTATGATCCAGCGTCTGATCGACTGGTCAGCACACAATATCTCGGATTGCCAGTCTCCGGACATCAGATGTATCCCTATTTTCCATATCTGATCTCTTCTCAAAAGCCTCAACTCGCGGCTCTGGCTTGAGTTTAATCTTCTGTCACTCGCAAACTTGATTCGACGCTCTTTTTGGTCTTCACCATATCTGCCACCCACATATCGCTCCCTTCCGCCACAACACAGCTTTCTTGGCTCCTCTCAGAAATGCAGACGAGATAGCTTCGAGGAAATAGGAATATCCGTCAGCGATCTCACCGATAGATCATCTACATTCCTTTCACAATTACACTTGACCCAAATCATGGCGACTCTCAAGTCCCATTTCGCTCCCAGCAAAATTGTTTTTTATATCCTCTGGTGGGGCTTTCACTGGGGTATGTTTGCCTTTGGCTGGTAGGTGTTCCTACAGCATGAACAATCCTATCTGCAAACTAACACAACTTCAAGGTGGAAGCAAGCATCAGATCCACGTTTGGCCGGTCTCAACAGTCTGACCTTCTCAGTATGGATATCTCGAGGAGCTGGTCTTGTCCTTTCTGTGGACGTTCTGCTCATACTGCTGCCCATGTGTCGGAATCTCATGCGTTTCCTGAGACCAAAATTCCGGTGGCTACCTCTTGACGAAACACAATGGTTCCACCGACAGTGTGCTTATGCCATGCTCGTTTTCACCACGGTTCATGTCACTGGCCATTATGTTAACTTCTTCAACGTCGAAAAGAACCAGATCCGGCCCGAGACGGCAGTCCAGATTCACTATGCCCAGGCAGGTGGCATCACCGGTCATATTATGCTGATGTGCATGCTGTTCATGTACACTACTGCCCACCAGAAGATTCGCCAACAATCCTTCGAGACTTTCTGGTACACCCACCATCTTTTCATCCCGTTCTTGCTTGCCATGTATACGCACGCCGTGGGTTGCTTTGTGCGGGACACAGCCGATCCCTTCTCCCCATTTGCGGGTAAGGAATTTTGGGGTCACTGCCTTGGCTACGAGGGCTGGCGATGGGAGCTTTGGTCTGGTGGCCTCTACCTCTTCGAACGACTCTGGCGCGAAGTTCGTGCAAGAAGGGAAACCAAGATTACCAAGGTCGTGCGCCACCCTTACGATGCTATGGAAATCCAATTTCAGAAACCCAGCATGAAATACAAAGCGGGTCAATGGCTATTCATCAATATCCCCGCCGTATCGAGCCAACAATGGCACCCTTTCACCATTACTTCATGCCCATTTGACCCGTACATCTCAGTGCACGTCCGCCAGGTGGGTGATTGGACGAAAGCTGTAGGGGATGCTTTGGGTTGCGGTCCCGCCCAGTCCAAGGAATTCGACAATTTGGACAAAGAGGGTATCTATGAAATTGCGCTGCAAAGTGGCCAAGAGATGCCTGCCATCCGTATCGATGGACCCTACGGTGCACCGGCCGAAGACGTGTTTGACAACGAAATCGCCGTGCTCATTGGCACAGGTATTGGTGTTACACCGTGGGCCTCAGTGCTCAAGCACATCTACAACATCCGCGCGGGGCCCAACCCACCTCGGCGTCTCAAGCGTGTTGAATTCCTCTGGGTCACCCGCTCCGTCGAATCCTTCGAGTGGTTCCAGACCCTCCTTACTTCTCTCGAGCGTCAATCCGCCGAAGCAGCCGAGAGCGTCGGCGGCCCTGAATTCCTTCGCATCCACACATACCTCACGCAACGTGTTGACGCCAACACGGCAGCAAACATCTATCTCAACACTGTGGGCAACGCAGTCGACCCCCTGACAGCGCTGCGCACAAAGACACAATACGGTCGGCCTGACTTCAAGCGTCTCTTCGGCGCCATGAGAGACGGCCTCATGGACCAGACGTATCTGGACGTGGGCAAGGAATCATCCATCACGGCGCAAATGAAGGCCACAGTGGGTGTGTATTTCTGTGGCCCCAGTGCCGCAGCGAGAGAAATCAAGACCGCCTGCAAAGCCACGAGTAACGATCTCGTCAAATTCAGGTTTTGGAAAGAACATTTCTAAAGTCTCGAAGGGTTTCGAAAGGTCGGACTGGTTCTGGTTTTTCGGAGGTGACACTTCGCAGAGACCTTGAGCTTATGCTTCATGATTCTATATTGAAAAGAAGCCCAAATGTTTGGACACTCCCCATGTTTCGAATTTGGCTTGATCCGTCGTGCGAAGACGACACCGGAAGGGATATATCGAAAGGTCCCCCCTCCCTCCCTCCCTCCCTTTCACTCCTCCCCTTTTTTTGGTTCCGGGATCTATGGGGCGAAACTGCAATGTACAGACTCGTTTGTGAGAATTTTTTTGTTTGTTGTTTTTGGAAGCGATCAAAGATACGCCAGAGATACCAAAGCCATGCATGTGTGTGTATGCCAGCGATCAAGGAAGTATGAGGCAAGATGAATTGCCCAAATGACTGCGAGATTGGAGGAGAGGAGGGAGAGCCTCATGTATACTATCAGGTTACAGCCGCGTCCGTCCTCCCTTGCAGAAGGGGGAGGGCGGAGAGCAAGCGGGAGATAAGATGATCAAGGGGGAATGGACACATACATCGATATGCGCCTATGTAGCTATGCCCAAAACAGCCACGTAGCTTGCTGAAAAGGGGGAGAATGAAAATTTCCCATGCAGCACGAGGCCTGTCGACTTCTACCCTTTTTTTTTTGGTCTCTTTCCCCTTGCTGTCCCCTTCCCCCCCCCCCTCGGGGACCCCGAGCGGAGGACCCGTGTTAAGTTCCCTGAGCCAGGGGTCTCACCTAATAACTACCTTGAATACTTGTTTCATCCGCATTTTCCTAGACGACTGACCTGTCCTATTACAGTACATAGTACCTCGTACACGTTATTTGCCTTCTGCAAAATGGCATCATCCCTGTGATCTCTACATTGGGCTGAGCCGTTGGTCTCAGCGTCTGGTGTTGATACTTCGCACTCCGCACAGGTGGCATCCTGCGCGCACTCTCTCCTAAACAGACCACCAGCTGAAGTGAGAAATAAGCAGGACGCTCGAAGTCCTTCGCGGTTAGAACGACGGTGGCCTTCGTTGGTAATGAGCATTCCGTTTGTCTTTGAAAATAGAGGCACCTCATGCCTTAGCGACGCCGTTAGCTTTATTCGCTATGGCGACCTCTTCGTCGTTATTGAGCCCTCTTTTAGCCACATTGGATGCAGCGATGTATTTTGGGTCAAACTTTACCACATATTTTTCACATCGGCTTGCGCGCTCCGACACTCGCGGGTTTTACTTCTGAAGAGTACCAACGCGTCCTCCACAGAAAGCCAGACATAGCGAGCACGATACCTTTGTCCTGGCATGGCACATATTAGATGGTGCTTGAGGAAAACGGCCTCTGATGAACATCACTTGACTCACATTTTGATCGTCCGTGTACCAGCAATCCGGCTTGATGCTAGGCGGAGTGTTCCACCATGCGGAAGATGCCCGGACATTCCCAGTCTCCAGTGCGTTCACATCGATGTCTATCGTCACCGCCGCGCCTTTGGATGGCAACCCTATGATCCTCCTCCGAGGAGCACTGTAAGTCCTGGTTACCAGCCAAAACGTCATTGTCGAGCTTTGGGTTCGGGCCTGGTTGGCGAGCATTTTACCGTATTTTGCAATCCATGCGTGTAGTGCTGCTGCAGCAGAGACCTCGCTACACATCACTTGCCCATCTGTCACGAGGATAGCTCCTCCCCTGTCGGTCTTTGCTGTATAGCTATATTGCACACGTTGTGGTGCTGCAACACTGCAACGCGTCAGATGCCATGCTTCACTCCTAACAAAACCTTCCTGGAGTCCTTGACGGATGTGTGGGACTTACTCGACAGTTACAGGGGCAGAAACTTGCTTCTGCACCACATCATCTGACCTCCGGATCCTCCAATTCTCCTGGTTTTGGTCCTTTTCAAGTGAGCATGTGAGCTGACCGACAGCAGGTAGACCCCGAGCTTGCAAATCGGACGAGTCTGTAAGGTCGACTATGGTCCGCCACGCGCCGTCGACATCAAAGTATCCGCACATGCCTGGCCTGAGCATCGTGCTGTCAAGACGCGTGTAGACTGCCAAACCCTCGGGCTGGTGCTCGAAGTATTTAGCATATTGTTCTGATATCGTCTTGATCTGTTTCTTGTGCTTGGTGTCCATCCTCTGACTGGGCGCCTCTGTAGGTGTGCCGGCCTGAGTCGGTTGAGAACGTAGGTCTGTCCCTAGAATGTCGCGTTGGATTTCCATTATCTTCTTCCTTGTATGGTATTCGGTACCACGTCTGGTCTCGGAGAGTCGTATTTCCTTGAGCGCTTTGGCGACAGTGATCAGGTCGAGCAAAGCTGCATGCGCTGAGACACAGGACTGCAAAGCCGCTTGCTCGGGCGAAGTTGCCTTTTCTTCTTGATCATTGCCTGCTTGGTCGTCGTCGTCGCCTTCATCTGAAGTACTTTGATCATGATAGCCTCCTATCTCGCTTTGACGCCTACCGGCTGTATCGTCGTCACCTCTACCGATGACATTGCTATCGTGGCGTCCTCCTAGTCCACTTAGGTGTTTATCCCCTACTTCTGGGGACCTTTCAACGTCCACCTGGGACTCTTTAACGTCGCTCACTTGGGATCCTTCAACGTCCACCAGCCTATTTATTACTTGGAGCAATGCCTTTCTTATTCTTTCACATGAATCCCTGGCAATTCGATATAAATCTGCTCCTCTATCTCCCACATTGTCCAGTTCAGCCACCTCAATTTTCAGGTCTAAAAGCCATATGTGCAACCGTATGTCTAACTCCTTGACGGCATCGGCTATGTTTTGACGCTGACGTTGAACATGATCGAGGTATTTTCGACGTTCGTTTGCTTTCCAGATAAGTGCTAACGTCGCCGCTTGAATTGAGGATACTTGATTTTGGAGATCTTGAGGCTCTTCAAAGCTCAGTAGTGATTGGATACTTGAATAAGGGTTGACTTTCTCTGGATTTGACTGACTCGCCTTGAGATCCGGTGTGTCAGCCTCCTGGGACATCGCAACGATCAATTCATGTACTGCGGCCAGGAACAGTTGTTGATATTTAAGGTCTGCCTGAGCAAGGTCGACGGTCGAAGTTGATCAAGGGAGGGGTCATGCACAGGCACGATTAGGCAACGACAGCCCAAGGTGCTTAAATGCGGGGCAAGAGCGAGCTAAGCAGAAAAATAAGTGACACATTCTGACACGGAACGCACGGTGAATCTAATGTAGGGAAGAATACTTAACGATAGCGAACTGGCCGCTATATTCGATATAGCTAATAGTGTGGGTATAGGATCGAGCATCACTCTCTCTTAAGGTCCACTTAGTACCCCATATAAATGAAGATAACCTTCGATACAACGAGGAAAGAACTTAATGTTTTACTACCTTGGTACGAAGGCCTGCTCGCCTGACAAACGTCATTTAACTTTTTATCTGGGCTCGAAGTTCCGTCTGCTGTAATGTCGACTGTTAGACTTCGCCTGATTCCCTGACCGAGAGGCGACCGCCAGACAAAAGTCTTAGACTTTGCAATGCCTGTCACGGGTCTTGAGATACTTCCACTTGTTAATGGGACGCTAAAGTTGATCACACTTGTCATCACCTACGGCAATGGCCTCAAAACCAAATGGAATGATCAGCAGACCGCTGCAGACCATGTAGCAAACATCATCCGTCAATTCCATAACCAGGATAAATTGCTCAACTACTGGTGCTTCGAACACTGGATGTTCGCTCAATCGATCAGTGTCACCAAGTCTCATCAGCTGTGCAATGCATACTGGGGCGAGGACGGGTGGGTTATCGTAAGCAATCATCTGTACGATATCCAAATCCTCTGCAACGACTTCGGGACGATCTTTGCGAAATTGCTAGATCAAAAGACTTTCGAGACGCTTTACAAGGATATCACAGATCTAGCCGAATCCTCTATCGCACGAGGGCAGCGTACCACCCCTTTATCCAACAACAATCATGAGAGATCGTGGGTAGTAGGTCGTACCGGACCAGTTGATAGGGACCGTCGGAGACTTGCAGAAAAAGCCGATCGACTTGGAGAAGTTGAGAAATTCAACTTCATGGAGACACACAATGGAAAATTAGAGGCAATTCTTGAAAAGATCAAGACGACTTACAACGCTCTCGCGCGGGACTCGACACAATTTTTCCTCGACAAATGGGGCGGTCAAATTGGGTCAGATCACAAAGAAGCAAGGGTAGATGTTGTCGAAAAGCATTTCGTTTTGGAGCATGTGCATTCTACGAAACTTGCCTCCGAACTTCTGTTCTGGGCGTGCGACAATGTCTCAGAGACGAGACGTGAGATAAACGCAGATCGGCGCCCGAATAAGCCTTGCTGGTCACTCGCAATGTCTCTCGAGGCAATGGACAAACCACTGATAGATGAGGCTCCGCAGCATCAAGACTATCGGATTGGGATTCCCTGGCCTACAGACGCGGATCGCTTAGTCCGAAGTGTGAGACATCCCGGCGGTGGTACCAGAAGAAAAATGGGCACAGAAAGAAGTTTGGAAGACGCATGTGTCATTTTGGACACCGTACACGAGACGTTCTGCGATTTCAAAGCTAGTCTCCCCGATGAAGCAGTGCTCAGCAGTATGTTCAGACTCCGCAAGCCTTACGATGTTGCAGAGGCAATACCCAGATTAAGAAGAGACAACGACATGCCCACTGACCACGTCAAAGTGAATCTGTATAGCTATCTGGAGAGCAGAGCACACCGGCACCAGTCTTTACTGCGGCCAGAGCGTGTGAAGATGGCATTCTTAATTGCGGGCAACGGGATGATCCTCTTGGGCACACAATGGGCACATCATTTCCGGAGCAAGAACTTGATCGGCCCCAGAACAGAGGAGGTCTTCCACGCCTCGGAGATAGTGTTAGAAGTTCCGGACACCGAAGCTCTTGAAGCCAGGATCGACAATGGGATCGATAACGTCGAACCTCAACTCTTCAGAATTGGGGTTTTGTTGGTCGAGCTTGCGCTGTCAGCGCCTGTCCATAGAGCAAGCTATGACAGGGAGGGCAATCAGCCAAGGCAGTTGTGCCTGGAGACTTCCCTACCGGAGCTCAACACTGCTGAACTGCGGAGACTGCAGATAGCGAACGTGCTCACCAGAGCCGAGGAAGCTGTTGGCGATGGCATGTCTCAAGCGATTGAATTTTGTTTGCAGCACACCAGAGGATACTTCGGTGCGGAATGGAGCGGATACTCGCGACTGAAGCCCTGGAAAAACCGAGAACTGGCGTACAAGAATGTCTTGAGCCGCTACTACGACAAAGTCTACAAGCCGTACGTAATTCATAGGCGCGTATTGAGCGGGCTCACTGACATTCATGTTAGCTTGAAAGAATTAGTCGTCCGCGTGCGAGAAAGAGAGGAGCAATGGACACAACCACTCCGGTAGGACGTCAGGTCCACGGATCTTTGCCTTGCCAGGTACCTGGATCAACGGTAGGCGATTACGATTCCACGATAGTTTCCCTTGTAGTGTCAGCAGTGTGTGACAACGTTCTTGGGACAGATGTTGGCGCCCGCAGCTAGGCGATACAGTACGGCAAGCCAGACTCAGAATCAAGTGAGTGGCACACGGTCTGACAAAGTAGAGTGGTGCACTATGTTGTAGATCAAAGGCACCCTTCGTTCACAATAGGTATACTGTCCATCTTTAGTAATTGGTACTCAGCCGCTCATCATATGCTGTTGGCAACATTCTGTATGATAGCGGCCGCTTCGGTGTCATTGAGCAGTCTTGAAGTATACCCACAGTTCGTGCCAAAATGAGGCCAAGTGCTTAATTGTGAATCCTGCTTGCCACTCGCAAGGCCAGCTACAAAATACAGAGTCCATACGCGTGCAGGGTCAAAACAGTACCAGCGCTAGCATGGGCATGGGACTTGCTTGTTCGCGTTTAAGCCGTTCATTCTCGCTGGATCTAACAGCGATAAAAACCCGGTGTAATCTTGCTTGTGGGTGCGATTTGAATCTGCGAGGGAAAACAAAACCAAAAAAAAAGCAAAAAGGTGCTCGTTCAAGCGCCCTTGAAATTCTTTCTTTCGGCAGCTCACGTTTTGTTTGGATTTGGAAGGCCTTTTCTTTCTTTTCGCAGCTGTCAATACCAGCTATGGATGGCTGGTCTTTGGTTCTCGAGCTGCTGTGTGACTGCACTGTCTGCGATATCCGCGACACCAACTTCGACTCCGTATCGGCATCGTCGATACACAGTCCCAACCTCTCACCGCCATGGTTCTGCATCACAAGCTGCTTCAGTCATCACTGCCTCCACTACTTCGCCGAGTGTCATATGATGATACAAAAGTCACGTCAAGTAGAACACTTTCACTTCGAGCTTTAGCTCTACGCAGTGGGATGTCCTTGTCTTGGGCCCATGGATTCATTGCGGTCACCTCCTCGTTCACCGGTCTAAAAGGGAACTTGTAGTTAGTACACTTGCACTGCAGGACATAGCTAATCAACTGAGAAAAGGCGTACCATCACAGTTTGTGGCTGTCCCTCCATGAGGATCTTCTTGATGACTTCATCTTCATTGCTGGTGCCAAACTCATTCTCCAGACTGGCCTTACTTGCTCCGTCCAGAGGACCCTGCGCACCATGCTTGTGGGTGACCATAATCTTAAAGCTATTCACCACCTGGGCCAGGGGGATCGAGTGGTCGGCTTGCCATGCCTTGAGATCTTGGGGAGACTCGACGAAGACGATGAAGTCGTCGGTGCTGCCTTTATAGAAGACTTTGGTCACTTCGCCGACTCCGCGAGGCATCTTGTTGTATGATGGGAGATGGAGTTTTAGGACACTGAGAGATATTGCTCGAGATGGAATTGCGTGATCACACGACCCTCTGAAGTCAAACCTGTTGGAAGGAGCGCTTATTGGTGGGGTGGATGGACACTGTCGACTGTCAGGCAGGTTTCCCAGCTGGAAGAAGTTGAGTCTGAAAGGACTGACCTTGAGAATACAGTGTGAAGGTTTCGATTCAGGATGAGAATGATTGCAAGAATGAGTTTCGTTTATGGTGTGAACAGAGCGCAATATGACTGCGTGGTGGGATCGTGTGAGGCTGCGAGAAATATGTACGCCATTAATCGTATGACGTCAATGCGGGCAGCACAAGCGCAATCGTCAGGGGCAGCAATTAGTGGGGTGCGAGCCCACTTGGCACTCAGCCCATTGTGGTGACTGCGCACCAGGTAGCGTGACTTTGTGACTTGGAGATTCCCAGCTCGCCAGGCACTGTGCCCACAGAACCTTCCATCAACTACGTAACTCCCGAACTCCTTACCAAGTCACAGGTCGATCATGCAAAGAACTCAACCGCAGAGCCTCCACTCTTGTCGCACAAACCAATGCTTCCATCGGGCCCAATGACGTCGAAAGCGCCGACAGCGGCAGAAGTACTTCGGTGGCACTTCCAGTGGTAAATGACTCGCTTAGAAGAAAGAGGCCACTCGGCCAATATAATATGCATGATGTTGAGCCAGCCAGGGGGGTCTGTTTCGAGTAGAACGAGAGACTCCGTCTAGGTTGAACACCATTCGATACATGACGACGAGATTTGGAACTATGGCTGTGTAGGCTTGCGCCTGGTGCGCTGCTGTATACAAGAGCGCTCTAAGCAACATCTAACCCCAGCAGCTCCCACGGCTAGCACAAATCGTCGGCGTCTATTACGCGGAATAGGCTGCTTTGGTTTTCTGCTCGTCTTGTCACTTCCTCCATGCTTGTAGCTAAACCCTTTCACAAGGTTGGCAGGATGCACCGTTCTCTTGTGTTGAACCTGACTGATTCTCTGGCAGTTTTGAGGTTGAATCTCGGATAGAAAATCTGATTGCATGCTCCAAAGACGGTGCTTTTAAGCTCGGGCAGCTATTCCAACACCAAGTCCCTGGTCGAATTGCTCTGCAGCTGGACCACGATTGCATCGAGCAATGTCAAGCTGTGTGTCTCCAGCGGAGAGTATATTGTGTTCATGAACGCCTTCTGTTCGAGCAAAGCATTCGTCTTCAGGAGTTGATAAGACAGGGCATGAGACAGTATCTTTCCAACAAACTAGGACCCATCGAAGAAGAGAGAGACAGAGGGTCTCATGGATGCCATCATGGACAATGCCGAAGAGATTTTTCTGTGGGAGAATACACGAGCAGATCGAAAATGGTCGCGACCTCGACACCTTGAAGCAGGAGATCAACGCTCTCCCCAAGGAGATGGCCGGCCTCTTCATCTTTTGGATTCCTTGCCTGATTTGGGCCTCATGGAAGCCTCCTCGGCCTTTTCAACACTTGCGAAGGTAAGCAGTTGCTATGTGTCTTCTTTGTGGGCTCTGTCGTACTTTTTGCCTAGACGATTCAACCAAATCCGCCTGTGCTCCTGGAGGGGGACTTGATATATTCCACGTTCGCCCATTCGTCACCAATCTCAATATGCTAATCGTCATGTTTGCCGGCCCCCAAGCATCGACCATGGACCATTTCACGGACTATCCCCGCTATCATAATCTAATGGCTTCGAGGCGTGAGCGCCGAGCAAGCATGTCTGCCATGAAGATCTCGGTTGGGAACCAGTGCAACGAAGCTAGAAATGTCAAGGCAAGCTCGTCATAGGCCCACGCTTTGTCAGAACTCGAAAGGATTTCTTGTTTTCTAAATGTCCCCGTTCAGCCGTCTATGCCAGAGCCACACATTCAGCAATCCAAGGTCAAATCGTTACGGCCATCCCAGGAAGACAACTGCAATCACAGCGTGGAGAAGTTGTTTTCGCAGCGAAGTCACCTCGACGATTCTGCCATTTATGTATAAACCCGGTAAGGATAACAGGCGTTTGCATGGTGGCAATTCCACCTGGGAGAACAGAGAATTCAACGCGTCAGGGCCCGTTTCCTGTTCTCTGATCCATGGTGGTCATTTGACATTCTTCTTGTTCGAAAATAATCTCATCCCCATTCTTGAGTTTTCCCTCTTAACCATTATATAATCCATCCAGCAATGACACCGCCGAGCTTGCAGCTAACCTTGTCTCGCGTCGATTGATATTTTATATCCCAAGTTGAGTGGCTTTCGTCAGGATCTGAAGATAGCGGAAGATGTGAATGAGGTATTAACCTCTCTCGGTGATGGTGGTTCGGTACGGTGGACAAGTCCATCGACAACGACTTTTGCTCCGCAAAATGTCAGATGCAAAATAAAGTCCGACAAAACGCGCACAAAATATTTCCCGCCGGGCTCAACCCCCCAAAAGCCTCATGTCAGGTCAGCACAGCCAAATAGAGGCAATAATACGACAATGGGCCCAAGGATGCTGTTTGCATCTGCCGAGCTCACATCCGATCCCGCGCTGAGTCCGAGGCAAGGCTGAGATCCGCTTCGCCTAGCTACATAGCTCCCTAGCTGTTCGGCAGATCCAAAACCTTCGATTATCACCGACCGTCTTTGACTCCTCCCCCGGATTTACATACCTCCCTCGCCTCGAATCAAATCGAAATAGAACAATCTAGATCGTTCCGCCCTGCATGCCGTGCCCTCGGAATCCAGAATCCATGTACCGAGACATAGATACCACCTCGACTCAAGTTCCGCGCTCACGCGGCTGGCGCCGGATCTGGTTGTTGACTCGTGCGAGATAGAGGGAAGAGGATGAGAGACCTGTTTGTGCGAAAAAGCATGCATGGATGGGAATGAGGGCAAATGCCGGATTTTCTGACGCTGGTGCCCTTTCCTGACGGTTGCTATACAGTGTGCTTTTACTGTCTCTGCCTCCTAAGAAGTATTTTCTGTTACCATCGACTTACATACATACCTGCAGCACTATGTTTACGTACGGTAGGTATAGGTACGTAGCACCAATGCGCCGCGGACACAGGGCCGAGCTCACTAGACAAAGCCACACAGACAGTTCAAGGCGGGGGGAGCAACTCACCTGGCGGTATTCACTAATCCGCTCGCGTACCCTGTACCTCAGACATGTCAAATAGAAGACGAAACTCGGACATTTCGCTCCCAAAACCTCCACTCCCCCGCGGATCTCGGGGTGGTAGTTCCAGAACCATGGATGGCGGGCTACATCGCTACCGACTACGAACTAACCCCTACCTACCTAAAGTCCATGTGCCATCGGCATTTGGAGAAAGAAAAGACGACGCAACAACAGCCGCGAGGTCGTTTGCTAGGTTCTAACTTCTGCTCCAATCCCGGTCCACAAGGGCGCCCTTCCCCCCGCCCTCAATCTTACATATTACATAGCGATCGATATCATCATAGTCATAGGTACTCCCGGTAGGTAGTCATACGCAGTAAATAATAAGAACCCAAAACCCCCGGCCCCCCTATCCCCGTCCGAGACGTTGACGAGTACTTTGCTGAGTATATACACATACACTTCACACAAACACACACACATATATATGCATCGTTTGGCTTACTCCTCCTCCGTCCCTCCCTCTGTCCTCGCAGTCCCTTGTTGACTCCGTTCGGCGCCCATTTTCACAAATACTAAATAACGAAAGAAAAAGCGTCGATCGGCAATTGTGCACAGGCGCTCGGAGGAACGGTACTTGCTCCATATATCCACAAGGACTGCGTTTGCCAGTTCTTACAAACCGGAGCATTTCCCGTCCGCGAGACCTCGGACTTGCAAGGTCCAGGAGGTATAACTGGAAGACGACACCGGATTTGGCCCACGAGTTAACCGGTAATTATTACATTTTTCGATCACGAATAAGTCCGAGGACCAGTACATCTACGAGATCGACCGATACCGAGGACCGCTGCACTGGTGGAAACCCACCCCCCGACCGCCAGCATCATGTCCGTTGTTGAGGCGAACGACGGCTCCTCGCTCACAGGCATCCTCCTCCGCTATGCCCTCTGGGCCACCGCCTTCCTTCTCACCAGCCAAATCGCCATCTTCCTATACAAAACCTTGACATCTCCGCTTCGCAGCGTCCCCGGTCCTTTTCTCGCCCGCTTCGGTCGCTTCTATTACTTTTGGCGAGTCGCTCAAGGCCACTGGGAACATGATGACCTCGACCTGCACAAGAGATACGGGCCCATCGTCCGAGTTGGGCAGGACATGTACAGCATTGATCATCCCGAAGTGGTCAAAAAGGTATACAGTATCAACTCCAAATTCCCCAAGAGCGATTGGTATTATGCGTGGCAGCATCCGGACCCAAACCGCTGGACCTTGTTCCCGGACAGGGATATGAAGAGGCATGCAGAGACCCGCAAAAGGTTTCAGGCAATGTACTCGATGTCGAGTTTGGTGAATTACGAGTCCTATGTAGACTCGTGCGCCGAGATCTTTGGGCGAAAGTTGTCTGAATTCGCTGCAAAAGGTCAGACTATCGACATGGCGCATTGGTTTCAATGCTATGCATTCGACGTAATTGGCGACATTACCTACTCTCAACGGTTCGGCTTTTTGGATAAAGGCGAGGATATTTCGGGACTGTTGAAGGCGCTGCACAGTGTCTTAAAATACGGTGCCCTCGTGGGCATCTACGCCAAGTGGCATCCCTTGATCTTCAACCTTTCGAGTCGTCTCGGGATTGGCGGTGGTGAAGGTCGAGTGTGGCTGATGAAGTACGTGAGTGAGAGAATCAAACAACGAGAGGAAGAAAAGAAAACCGGCATCGATGTTGAGAAGATTGGGGAAAGAGACGAGAATGCACCGATGGACTTTTTGGAGAAATTGCTGGTGGCAAATCAGCATGATCCGCAGAAGGTAACCCCTTATCATGTCTTCATGATGGGCTTGTCGAATATCATAGCCGGCTCCGACACGGTAAGATTGCCCAAGTACCGCGCAGATGTATTCGAGGCGATCGAATTCAATCTGGTGCAATTGGAGATCGGCATGCTAACATGATCTTGTCGAGGACACTAGACCGCTGTGAGCCTATCTTCGATCCTATACAACCTGCTCAGGTATCCGGACACGATGCAAAAGCTTCGAAAGGAGATTCAGGAATTCGAGGAGCAGGGTAGGTGTGGCAATCCTGCTGTATCGTTCAAAGAAAGCCAGGAGATGCCCTATTTGCAGGCGGTGATGAAAGAGGCGCTGAGAATGCACGCTGCCACCGGTTTGCCATTGTGGAGAGTTGTACCTGAAGGCGGCGTGGAGATTTGTGGTCAATTCTTTCCTCGAGGCACCACTATTGGACTCAATAGTTGGTGCGCTCACTATAACGAGGACGTCTTTGGACCAGATGCCAAACAATTCCGACCCGAAAGATGGATTGAAGCTGAGAAGGAAGGCGGTGAAAAGCTCAAGATGATGGATGCTTATTACTTACCTGTGAGTGAGATCTCGTCAACCACAGGTTAGCCCTCTGCTGACATTGCATCAGTTTGGACTCGGCGCAAGAACCTGCATAGGTCGACACATTTCATTCCTGGAGATGTCCAAATTGATCCCACAACTCGTGAGGAGGTTCGACTTCGAACTGGAGCATCCCGAGCGTGAATGGGATACCGTGAATTATTGGTTTGTCAAACCAATAGATTTCCGGGTCAAGGTCATGCTCCGAAAGGAGTAACAATGCCCTGACGCCAGAAAAGAGACGGGTGGAAGAAAAAGTGTGTGTGCGTGTTGGTTGAATACCTCCTAAAGGAACCTTTTTCCTTTCTACACCATAGCATACCTGCATGAACAAGCCACATTGAACGCCACTGATGCGTTCGATGCCCTCAGTACGCGCCGTTTGAAACGGCAGCTGGACAGCCCTGCTCGTGGTCGAGGCTCAGATGATGGATCCTGACGGAAAGTAACATGGAAATTCCAGAGAGGTTCGATGCAGACTCCTCGAACGCCCATGTGGTTGCAGGGGATAAAGCATCAATCTTGTGTCAGACCTGTTCCTCGTACCGTACACCCTGTCGTATGGCAAGATCCACGGCGAATGTGATTGCGCCTTTCAAAAGACCCAGTTCGGGTGTCCAATACGGTAATTTCAACGCTTTCATCACTACCTATTGGTAGTTAGGTTTGCTCGCGAACAAAATTTTGAAACTCCTCGCAATGGGAAGCGAACAGAGTGGGAAAAAGGGACTGGCGGCTACAAAGTAAACAGTAGAGGGATCTGGTCCATCACAAACTAGCATGGTCTATTAGCGTGGGGAGCGGCTCGAAGCTCTCGACAGAGCTGGCCAACCGCCGAAGTGATGTCGGGGAAACCCAGGCTAGCAGTTGGCAATTCACCCTCTTCGCGTTCAGACAGTGCTAGCGAGTCCGAGCCGTCCGCATGATCCAGCGGCTGCGATTCGTGGGGTTACCGAAGCGGACAATCCCCCTGCGGTTGCTCAATTTCCGCCCGAGCGCAGAGGTGGGTATTGACCAGTAGTCCCCGGTCAATGGCGATTGATGCCCAGCACTAGTCCCAGCTGTATCGTGGAGTAGACCGAGATGCAAGCAATCATTGTACTCCGTAGCAAACATCGAAACCGTGGGGATTGCAATGGTGAATGGGGATAAAAGGTGATCGAGGTCGTTCGAGCCAGCAATAATCGGCAAGGGTCGGCAGGCGGCAAGCAAGGACGACGGGGCAGACAGGAAGGTGACAGGCAGGCGTACATACGATAGTAGAAGGGCAAAATGAGGCCAGAGGCAAAGGAGGCAAAAGAGGCGCTCGAGTCGAGACCGAAAGAGGAAAGGAACCTGTGAAGAGTTCAGCAGCTGGCAACATGATCGACCAGACCCCTACCTCAACAGACGATCATTGGAGCTCGAGTTAGAACCGTAGACAGCCTCAAGGAGCAAGAGAAGTCACTCGCTTCACAGTCGGAGGGACCTACTGGGTAGTAATAGAGCAACAGGCTGAGAAGGAGGAGCGAGGTCTGGGACATGGACTTGCGAATGGCGCCTGCATGCGCTGCGTTGAAGGAAGCCAGGCCAACAGGCAAGCGCAAAGCCGCCGGAGCTTCTTCAGAGGAGGAAGAAGGAGGGATGGATGGATGGATTGATGAATGGTACGAGGTACTCGGCAAATGGGTTGTGGATGGATGGGGGATGGAGATGGGTGGACACTGGACAAGAAGTTGGTAGAGTGGACAATGGGCAGTGGGCAGTGGGTTGTGGACACGCTTACCCTTGGGGGGTGGTCAAGATGGTTAATCCCATCCCATCAAGACCTACGAGGTACCCAGCGAGCCAGTACCTAGTAGCGGTTCCAGTTGATCGAATCCCGGCTGCTATTTCACCTTCCAAGCCCAAGCACAAGCACAAGCACGGCCAACTTCCCTGCGCCTGCCTGCGCCAGCTTGCACCAGCTTGCACCAGCCTGCACCAGCCTGCACCAGCCTGTACCAGCCTGTACGTACCATCACCATTCCCGCTACCACCACCGCCGCCTGCTACTCGACACTTCTTTCGATCCTCAATCCGCAGCTTTCCCATCAACCTGCGATCCTCTCAAATACCAGCTTGTATCCCATGTGGTGTATCTTGCGACGTCGACGCGCCTCTCCCTATCTCCATCTTTAGATGAATCCAGTTCCCTGCGACCTGTTATCCATCGTTTGACCAGCCACTCGGCTTGCACCTCTCCGTCTCTTCTGCTTGCCGTCATCTTTTGCCCCCGTTCAGCCGCTTCTGTCTCGTCGCTCGCACCTCGCACCTCTTTCCACCCGCCGCTCTTTTGCGCGCAACTGCTCTTCCATTCCATCTCGATAATCATCTTGAGCACTGCTCGCGGCCCTTTCGCATGATTCGAAATCTATCCGCTTCCCCCATCTGCGCACACACCGAAGAGCAGGCCTCTGCAGGCCAGTCTGTCGCCCCACATGAGTGGCAGCGCTGCCACTCGGCCCTCGTCAGGTACGGTCCGACCTTTCACTATCAAATCTCAATCGGGTCTCTGATCCTGCGACCTTCTGGCCGCGATGGCGCACTCTTGTTTCTAACGTGTTTTCATCTAGGCGCCTCCCTGCAAGGACAAGAAGTCACTTCCAATGACGCCGCTTTCGCTACCATTCCTGCTGCCAGCTCCTCACTTCAGGTTGCTCCTGAAGCTCCCCAAACCACCGAGACAATGACAGAGAAGCCCAAAAAACAGCCGTCGCTTGTCAAAATTCCTTCTCGCACGTCTTCCAACCTGAGATCCGCCGAACCTGCCAACGCACCTCCTGTACCAACCGCACCTGATGACCCACCCCCGTCGCCTAGGCGAGGCTCGAAACGAAGTCTACTCAGTAGAAGCAGGAACAATAGCAGAGGTAGTCGAAGGTCATTCAGAGGAGCTCGGCCGGCGGAGAATACCAAAGAACCCGTACCGCCTCTTCCTCAAACCGCGGCTCCCAAAATCGAGAAGAAAGCTCGTAGCGGATTGCTCGCCCTCTTGAACTGTTGCAGTCCCACCGAATATCCTGATGACACCAAATCAGACGACCCCGATATTGCAGCCAAGAAGATTAAGATCCAGCCCCAGCTTCAAAGGACGTCCAGACCGCAAGAACAGAATGAGGTCGTGGAGAACGAGAAGACTTCGGAAGGCAACACCGCAGTGGATGATGCAACTGCACGAGGCAAAGCTGGAGAGGAAGAGAAAGCAGAAATAATGGAGAAGAAGGAGCCTGACGACTCCCGACCGAGGATATCGCGGGAGGAAGCATATCATGAAAAGGTCACGCTTCCTGGCACGAGCGGGACAATGCCATCTTCGACTCTCACTGAAAAAGATGTGGGATCCCACGGCGATGAGGACCAGATCAAATCAACTACTATCACCATGCCTGAACCATCTTCCAAACCGGATGTCAATGTGATAGCAGCCACACCCACCGATGCAGAGCATCCTGTGGAGCCGCAACGATATAAGGGCGATGAGAAGACAGCTTCTGATGTGGAGATGTCAGAGGCCCCTCCTGCTGTTCCAGTGGTTGATGAAGAGCCGTTGGACGAGCCACCTCAGCCTGCAGAACTGCAACCACAAGTGCCTCTCCCTCCTCCGCCGCCATTGTCCAAACGACAAGAGCAGTTTGCGCCCAAGGAAGTTCCCCCGGTCCCAGAAGCAGCACCGGAGAAGCAATCATGGCTTCTACCTCCTGTACAGCCCCATCTAAAAGGACGAAAGTGTTTGATTCTCGACTTGGATGAGACCCTGGTACACAGCAGCTTCAAGATCCTAAACCAAGCCGACTTCACCATCCCCGTCGAAATTGAAGGCCAGTATCACAATGTCTACGTGATCAAGAGACCAGGCGTAGATACATTTATGAAGAGAGTTGGGGAGCTGTACGAGGTGGTGGTCTTTACTGCTTCTGTATCAAAATATGGCGACCCACTACTAGATCAACTAGACATTCACCACGTTGTTCATCACAGGCTCTTCAGGGAGAGCTGTTACAACCACCAAGGAAACTATGTCAAGGTACGTTGGCCCAAAAAGAGATTCACCTGCAGTTGTTCGAAGCTAATATTGCCCAAGGACCTGTCACAAGTCGGCCGAGATTTAAAGGAAACTATCATCATTGACAATTCTCCCACATCTTACATTTTCCACCCGCAACACGCTGTTCCAATAAGCTCCTGGTTCTCGGATGCACACGACAACGAGCTGCTGGATCTAATACCAGTCCTGGAAGACCTGGCTGGACCGCAAGTCCAGGACGTAAGCCTGGTCCTGGACGTGGCTCTGTGAGCTCCAAAAGTCTGTTGTCGAACGTTCAGAACGGCCGTCTTCACTTCGTTTGTTCGTATTAGAACGGTATATGATTGACAAAAGTCTGTTTGGCATTTCTAGCGTGGCGTCCATTGACTTAATGCTGTTGATGCTGGGTAGAAATCACCCAAGTACGGACGGACATCTTGTGGATATGGGAGCCAGGCCTGGGGAAACAGGGTTCCAAAATTTACCCCGTCAAGAAAAAATATCAATTCTTAATCGCTTTGGGAAGGTCTTTGCGTCTTTGCGTCTTCGCGTCTTCAGCAGCCCGAAATTCTAACGGTGTCGTTCGAAAGTCGAAGAGGAAAGGGCACTGAGACACCAGGTTTACAGGGCTTCATTCTTTTTTTTTTCCCTTTTGTTGTGTCATTTGAGATTGAATTGCACATCGGCAGGCATGCATGTGATTTTGCTCTAGCGGGACCGAGATGTGTGGATTGAGGAGATTGAGCGTCCACGCGTGACAGACGCTTTTCGGTGTTTGGGGACATATCGTTTGTACAGTCAAAGACGGCCTGTACCTGGAGAAGCTAAAGAGGCCGGTAGACGGGAGAAGTCGCTGCTCAATTGAGGAGAAAGGTGTAGGTAGTGATGCTGCTTGAAGCATTACACGAGCCACGGGCACTGCAAGGAGTCGTTGCTGGACCTGGAGTGTGACGTTGATGTCTAAAAGAAGCTCTAGCAGGCAGAGCGAAAACGCACGGAGTCGTGGAAAAATACAAGAACAACAATTGACTAAATTCTCTATTCAGAACACGGTAGTATGTCGAGAATCAAATTATCTTCACCGGTTGTCTGTCGCTTGGGCGGATCCTGCAGCAAAGAGATGGCTTGCTTTCCATGGTATTGCTATATACAAGGAGCTCCGCAGAAGGACTTCATCTCTATTCATCTTGTCCATACTGTGGCGTTGAAGCCATTCATCCTACAATTGCTCCACAAACTGTTTTACAAACCGGCCAACCTCGTCTGGCGCCTCAACACAATGCCAATGGCCAATTCCCTTTAACACGTGCAACCTCTTCCTCTCGGGAGCGGTGCCCAGTTGGTCGAAAATCATCTGACACCCGGCCAAGGGGGCGGATTTGTCCTGATCGCCCGCGATGATCAACATGGGACACCGTACGTTTGCATACTCTGGAGGCGTGGCGAGTTCGATGGCGCGACAGTTTGCGCAATAGCCCTCGGGCGACTGCGCGAGGAGCATTTCGCGGATAAAGGCTTTTTGCAGGGCGGTGGTCGCGGGCCCCGTGGCGGCGTTGGGGATGGTGTTGGCCATGGATTCCATGCCCTGGGCCTGGACCGTGGGGACGCGCTGTTTGAAGACGCTGGCCACGGCTTCACTCGGGTGGACGGGGCCGATGCATATCCCTGCTTCGACGCGGTCGGGTGACATGGATGCCAGGTACGTCGGCACCATGCCGCCCATGGAGTAGCCCAGGACGATGGCCTTGTCGACGCCCAGGTGAGAGAGCAGACCCAGGACGTCGCTGGCGATAGAGGGGATGGAGGTTTCCGTCCCGGCTTGGAAGGGCGAACGACCGGCGCCGTAGTTGTCGAAGATGATGCACCGGTAGGACGTTAGGAAGGGGAAGATGGGGAAATAGTAGTTCTGGGTTGATCCGAGACCGTGGACGAAGATGAGAGTGTGTGGTGATGGCGACGATGGCGAGGATGATGACGATGATGCTGGGCCGATGTCGGTGTAGTGCAGCGAGTGGCCATTGATGGTCGCGAAAGGCATGGTGTGGATGGCGTGACGATAGATGTCTTGCTCACTATATCTATGTAGTAGTATTGGGGTGACTGGAGATAGATCTCTCTCTTTACCTGATTGACAAGGGCGACGGTGACTTCTGTCCCTTTTCCTGGCTGATGACTTGGAGGGACAACTTACAAGACTAGACGGAGTGGCATTCTTCCTCCTGCCTTAGCCCATTGTGAGGGGATGTTGAGATGGGATGTCGTCGAGTTCGGAAGACGAAGCCGGATATGTCGAGCATCAGGAGGGTCCGGCCCGAACACGTTTCCACACCTCAATGACCTCTAACACCGATATATTACTGTCTAGTCGAATGCTGGCCACGCATTCCCAATAGAGATGGACATGATATTGCACACGGGGCTGATGTTGGTCGGTGTGCAACTGGCCCAACTGCGGTTGCAGGCAATGTTTCAGACCAGATGAGAACCGAGTCTTGGCGAGCGCTGAGCACTTCATTGAGTGTTATTTTGCGCAGGTCATGGCAAAAGAGGCGAATCTGCCATTGTCTCTGACAGGTTTGCCGAACGAGAAGGAAAGAATAGAACGCCTCTGTGTGTAGGTGCCTGGCTGAGTCAGAAGGCAGAGAGCAGAAGGTCGCTGAAGCGGTGGACGACGCAAGCAGGGTACATCCCTCTGGAGGATCTCCGATGCTTCGATTGCGGGCTGCTATCGGGGCTTACGATATGTACTTGTTAGGCATGTTAGGTCACTAGGCATGCTGGCCACCTAAAATTTAGCTTTCCAGGCATCCCTAGCCCGGACGCTTGCCTAATGCCCGCCCATAAAGAGTTATTGAGGATTGAGGCCCACCAATCCTATTACCCTGCAGTTCTTTCTCCCCGTCTGGACACGCGTTGACGTGATCCACTAACCACCGCTTCGTCAAGTTCCACCCAACGCTTCTGATGCCGCCGGCGGAAACGAAAAGGAACACGACGACCGACAAGAGAGGGACGAGATGGAGATCCAGACACGGAACAAACACGCACTGCAACCATCTTGTAGTCTCCCATAGTCTGCATCCCCAGGTCAGGCGTCTTGCATTGGGCTTTGCACCACAGCACGATACCGAGTATCCTATTTGACTGCGCTTGCGAATCTCCGTCTTCTATCCTTCCCCCAGCTTCGGTTGAGCTTAGGTTAGGTCAATGGGTTGCACGTAGTTGCTCCCTCGGACCACCACCACCACCACCACCACCACCACCACTTACCTCCGCTTCTGCCTCTTCTCTTCTTCTCTTGATTCCTCTTTCTTCCTGCAAGCCGGCCATTCGTGCCGATTCCACTCGCTAGGAATCTGATTCTGTCCTCTTCGCAATGTCTCTAGACGTCCGGCTCCGCGTCTCCTGGCCGAGTCGCGCGGTCCTCTTGTTCTCCTGCTTATCACACGCCTTTTACATACCAGGTATACTGCTTCATCCGCATTCGGCCGTGTCGATGAATTGGGCAACACTGACGATGCCCAGGCGTGTCAATACGAAGCTATCGAGACGAGGAGAACATACCGCTGCTCGTGAACAAGGTCTACTCGGATAAAAGCCAGCTCCAGTATGCATATTTCGACTTGCCTTTTGTCTGCCCTCCCACCGGCAACAAGCACCATGGCTCGTCCTTCGCCAGCGGCCATAGCGTTCCCCTCAATCTGGGCGAGGTCCTTCGGGGAGACAGGATTAAGACTTCGGACCTGGAGATGAATATGGGAGAGGACATAGATTGTCAGTACCTGTGCGATCGGGTGGTGGGCCGGAAAGAGGTGGAATGGGCTCAGCAACTGATTGAAGACGAATACGTCACCGAATGGATTCTCGACAATCTCCCCGGAGCCACCTCCTTTGTTACCGTGGATCGGACTCGGAAGTACTATGCATCAGGGTTCAAGATGGGATACAAGGATTTCGATGTCGCCACGGGTCAAGAGATGTTCTACCTTTACAACCATCATACCCTTGTGGTCCGATGGCGGCCAGCTCCTGGAAAGGCCGGGGATAATGGCGGTAAAGTCATTGTTGGATTTGAGGTGTATCCCAAGAGCGTCCATGGAGGGCATCGCAACGAGACTGGCTGTCCACTCGATGTCTCAGGTGAACAGGAGCCGTTGGCCCTCTATATTCCTGGCAACAGCACCAACTTGATGGAACAGTACGCAGATTCATCCTACATCCCCGAAGGCCATGTTGACATGGAAGACGGCGCCACTATGACGATCCCATACACTTACTCGCTCTACTTTTTCGAAGAACGCGGGGTAGAATGGTCGAATCGTTGGGATCTATATTTCAATGATCAGGCCGAGAGCTCCTTCACCCACTGGCTGGCCATTGTCAACTCCCTCATCATATCGGGCATTCTGGGTGCAATCTGCATTGTCATCTGGGGACGGACAATGCAGGGGGATGTCAAAGGCCGGGGTGACGGAATGCTCGAAGAGGCCCGACTGAAGATCGGCAAACGCGAGAAAAACAAGTCAAGCAGCGGGCTGCTGGAGAAGATCTCCGAGACCAGCCCGGATGATGATCTGTCCTCGGATGAGGAACCGCTGGAAGAAATCACCGGCTGGAAACTGCTCCACGGCGATGTTTTCAGGCCGCCGCCATGCGGAGGTCTCCTTGCCCCCTTGATTGGGTCTGGGATCCAGCTGGTATTTGTGATTGTAGGCCTGTTGGGTCTCAGCTGTGCTGGCATTCTGAATCCGAGCTGGCGCGGAGGGTTTTGGAGCGTGGGCGCTGGACTCTTCGTATTTGCGGGCGGGTTTTCAGGATATTTCTCTGCGCGAGTGTACAAGACCTTCGGCGGCCAGAATTGGCGAAAGAATACAATGATGGTAAGTTCTCGTTGGGCAAGATTGGTGATGCGCGGGTGTACTGACTGAGCGGACTAGACCGCGCTCCTCTTCCCTGGGCTCTTGTTCACCCTCGTCTTCGTCCTCAACCTATTCTGCTGGGCGCAAGCTTCTTCGACTGCCCTGCCATTCTCGACTCTCCTGGGGTTGGCATGTCTCTGGCTGCTGATCCAGCTCCCGCTCGTCCACCTGGGATCGTATTGGGGCTTCTACAGATCCCCAGCCTGGGAACACCCGACCAAGACGAACGCCATTCCTCGCCAAATCCCGCCGCAGGCGTGGTATATGAAACAGCAAATCACACTGGCTCTGGGCGCTGGGCTGGTGGCCTTTGCAGTACTGTTCATCGAGCTCATCTTCGTCTTTAAATCGCTCTATCTGGACAAATCATCCTATTACTACGTCTTCGGGTTTTTGAGCATCATCTCCGCTCTCCTGTCGATTACGATTGTCGAGACGGTCATCATCGCGACATACATACAACTCTGTGCCGAGAATTACAACTGGTGGTGGCAGTCATTTTGCGTTGGCGGAGCATCGGGCTTTTGGATCTTTGTATACTCGGTGTGGTACTATGCCACGCGATTACACATTGACGGGTTTGTGAGCAGTTTGTTGTTTTTCAGCTACAGCGCCCTTGCTTGTGCTGTGTATTCACTGGCCACGGGAACCATGGGGTTCCTGACGGCGTACATGTTTGTTCGACGGATATATGGGGGCGTCAAGGTGGATTGAACCGTCAGGCCACCTAATTCCTTGCAACTTTTCGTTCCCCACGTGGCTTCATAAGGGAGAACTCTTTTTATGATAGACGGCAATGAAAAGGTCTAGGTTGCCATGTATAGCAATCATCCCGACCACATTGAACTAATACGAGACTATGAGTTGAGACCTCCTCTTCGGTCTTTGAACCGATATCAACAGTGGAGCACCGCGTGCTCGACGCATTGGTAGGGACGATGGGAACTACTGTATCCTTGAGGAACGGATTCAGTACATGGGTGATGGAAAATTTTGCTGATCCACGCGAGTAACACGAGTCAAGACCGCGTGATGGGAAGAAGACTCTCAGCACGTGGGTGGATAACAGTTGAAGCCTCCTCCGTATATCGGATGCAGGTATTATTCACATAGGGCAATGGCGGCAGGGACAAGTTTTTTTTTATTTTTTATTTTAGTAAACTTGGCGAAGATGTCGTCGAATTTGACTTGGGTATATGCCGGCAAGATGGATTTCGTTGACAAAGAGAAACTGACCAGGCACCACAGGAGGCGAGACGTCGAGCACGACAATCGTCGCAGGGCGTAGATGGTGGAGCTGAGGAGCTTTTTTTTCTCTGCTCTGTACTTGTTGCCGCGGGACAAGGCTTCCACCAAAGGCCAGGCACCCACTCGATTACTGGACAGGGCCTAGCACGCCTGGAAGGGACCGCCAAAGCCCACCTGAACCACATGGAAGATGCCCCGGGGGCTTGGGTCCACAGGCGGGCAGCCCCCCTGCAATTGGTTAAGAAGTACGCGATACAGCAGTACGCGGGGCGGGGCTCCGTTTGTTGGTGCTTTGTGGCCCGCCCTTCAGGCCCTTCGCCCTTCCCATCACATCATGCTGCATCTATACAAAACAACCGCAAATGTCAAATGCCCTCAATGACTCACTGCGCTAATGGGCAGATTCATTTCCCACACATACGCCTTTTGAAGAATTCTCACAATGTCGGTGAGGGGCTTACGAATCAGCATTTATGACTGTGTCGGGTCAGCCGAGATCATCTTGTGATCGATATACGCAGTCCTTGACCAAGCCATATAGTCCTTTGTCCATCCCCTGCTTTGTGTGCCTGAACCGTTTCTCCTTCCGCTCTATCCTTATCTCTCCAATCACGCCCACCACACTACGCCCGCTGGTGCTGCAGCCTTTCAGCTGATCAAAAGCCCCCCGCATTCTGGAGAGCTCGTCCAAGTGTCCCAAGTGTCTTGGAAGCACGAATCTGGCAATTGTCTGGACGACAACCCACGGCGACCCCTCGTTTGAGACGGATCGACGGCTTCACTAGAGCCGATTTCCCAATCGCCAGCATTCACCGGTTGTTATCACCGCCCTCTCATTTACACACCATCCTGATTTCCTCTCTCTCTCTCCTTCCTTCACAATGAGCACACCTCGTCAGATAGTCTCCGGCGAGATGCCTTCCTTCCTCTCCTCCGCAGTCCCTTCCTACTCTGCTCGATCACGATCACTGGCCCTCCCTGCCTCCCAAAGACGAGGTTCAGCAATCGCCACGGCAATGGGTCTACGCAAGAAGAGCGAAATCGATATCGTGCTGGATGGCGAGGCGGATTTTGTTCACTCATACTCCACATACGATGAGATCAAAGGTCGCGTGGACGTCAGGTTCGAGAAGGACACTTCATTCGATGACCTCAGTATCACCTTCGAGGGCCAGAGTTGCACATACGTTGAAAAGATCGCAACTACGGCCCCCACAACTGGTCGCACGACAGGGAGACATACATTCCTAAAGGTCCAGCAGCCGATTCCCGAGAGCCTGCTGCCCGAAAATGGCACCTTCGAAGCGGGAGTGAGCTATTCAATCCCTTTCACATTTGTTGTTCCCGACAGACTACTGCCTTTCATCTGCTCGCACAAGGCCGACAATGAAGAGATCAGGAAACAACACTTGCAGCTACCTCCAAGCCTGGGTGACCCCAGCGTCTCCGGAGAAGGTCGTACACTTATGGATGATCTTGCACCCGATATGTCCAAGATTACTTACAGCATTCGTGCCAGGATCACAAAATGGAACGCCGTCGGCAGGCTGTTGGAATTAGCCGACAAGGCGGAGCGCATCAGGATTGCCCCTGCGAGAGAAGAAGCGCCGCCGTTGAACATTGACGAGACCGAGTCGGACCATGTCATGCGCAAGGAGAAGAGCGTCAAAAAGGGCCTCTTCAAGATCGGTAAGGTTGGCCGCTTGACGGCCGAGACCACTCAACCCAGAAGCCTCCGTCTTCCACATCCGCAGAGGCGGCAGGAAGAACCCATCTCTTCAATGGCAACCATCAACTTACGCTTCGATCCTGCCTCTGCAGACGACGTACCTCCGCAGCTGGATTCCATCGTCAGCAAATTGAAGGTCTACACATTCTTCGGCGCCGCGCCATATAAAATCATCCCAGAGACTCGCAAACATGACAACTGGTCCACTCTGCATGGCATCTACCCCGAGAGCGTTGCCTTATCTTCCCGCTGTTTATCGACTGTCTCCTGGGTCCGCCACAATCCTCCAGAACGTGGGAGCTTCTCTTCATCAGATCTCTCCAGAAGACCGTCGGGGTACTCAACGACCTCGACATCTTCAACAATCCCTGAGCCGTCATGCGCCTATGAACTGGGCTCCCCTTTCTACACCGCCAGCCTCCCGGTCCCGATCGCCCTTCCATCCCCATCCAGCAGCGGTCGACCAAGAGTATTTGTGCCCACGTTCCATTCCTGTATCATCTCAAGGACTTATGCTGTTGAGCTGAATATTTCCTTTCGTACCCCAGGTGCCAATGTCTCAAGCAGCCATATTACCCTCAAGACGCCTATCCAGGTCTCGGCTGAAGGAGGCACCCCGCCAGCTCAGGTCCGTGAGACCGAGGCAGCGATTGCGGCGGAGATTGAACAGCAATTCGGTCTGTACGAAGCTCGCCAACTCGAAGAGACCGGCTTAGGCCTCGAAAGTCCCATGTACGAAGAGCCTTCTCCGGCCTCGCTCGTCCCCGGCACTAGACATTTGAGTCTTGCAGGCTATGCCGAAGCGTCGCCGTCGCCGTCATCGTCTTTTACAACACCAGTACTCCACTCCGGCGTCGAGGCCGCTGCACCACCAGAATACCGAGCCGGGTCTGGCTTCCACACGTACAGTGCTAGGGATAGGCCGGGGGGACCTAGGACCCAAGCTGTGAGTCTCACTACTTCTAGAGCATAGATCCTGTCATTTGCCTGCCCCAGTCTCACTATTTCTTCTCTCGAAGATCATCCCTATTTTGCCCTTCTTTGTGTGACGAAGAGGGCGGAAGAGAGTGAGCAGACGCTGAGAGATGACGTGGAGCTGCAGTCGGACGAAGATGATGATGAGACCGAACGAGAAGATGAGAAGCCAGCGACAAGACGAGTTCGACAACAGACACCGGAGACATGGACTGATGATCGTTATGCGTGAGAGTCCGGGTGCTTAGCTTGACGCACCACAGAGCTCTGTTTTCAGGAAGCATCGAGCTTCAACTTTATTTGGTTGCTCAGATGACTTACTTTGCAAGTCATTACAGGAATACGCATGGGTCTGGCAAAGACGGCCAGGCATGAGATATACGAGACCTCCTTTTCCGTTGGCGGGGCTGGTTGTCCTCGCACTTTGAGTGACACTAAACATCGGAGACGGACCGCGTGTCATCGGCGGAACAAGCGCGATCACAGGACGAACAGGTATCTTGGAAGGTCTTTTGAATCGGGATTGCATGTCGAATTTTGGCAGCTTCTTAATCATGGCATCGGCGTTTGGTTTTGGTATTTGGTGGAAGGCGGATGATGACACTAAATCACGGAAGAAGTTATGAAACCCCATGAACGAATGTGAAGGATCAATCGACTCCGGACTTTGGGATCCTTTTTGGTCGGCCAAGGAGGTGGAGAGGGCACGGCAATGGATGTAGTTAATTTGTTTCACAGAGATACCCTTGATTTGCCTGTATACTTTCCAAATAGCCACCATTTATCTGATATATATGTGGATATATCGATTGACCTTAATTCAATCAGCCCGCCCTTTTCCACACTGCGAAGCAATCTTGATTAGTGTCCGTCTTGAAAGATCTGGAATCACTTGGCTTAGTTGCAAGGTTGAGGCAATCCCAACTTCTCTCCAGTTGCAGGGTCGGTAGCCATACTCCACGTATATAGTGCTAGCTTAGCTTGAGGGCTCAAGAGGGCTCTGGAGCCGGCCACGACATGCCTCCCCACCCCTGCGCCCGCGAGGAACCACGTGTGCAGAGAGAGAGAGAGAAAAGCACGACCATTCGGTGCGGACGGGCAACGCCCTTCCGTGCCAATCACCCTCCCTGTTTCCGTGAACTTGTATGCTATGGGCAATACCCTCGCACTCGAACGGCACACTGACTGGTGGCGAATCAGGCCGACCTACATAGCAGCAAGGGTGGGGACCGCAGTGGCGGCCTTCAGAAAAGTCTCGGGTTGATCGCTGGTGGCTTGGTTCACCTCGTCTACATATTACTGTAGGCAGGAACAGCGTCGCGTCGTCCGATCCTAAGTAGTCTCTTTCATCCCTGTCTGCCTGATGCCAGACGGGTAAGTTTTTTTTCTTTCTCCTTCTCCAGGCCCATCAAATCCCCACGTAGTTTAGCTCGAGAAAGTCCTGCAGCCATTCCTCCGGTTGTGCGTCCGCGGCCTGGCCGAACAGGGGCTCATATTCGGGCAGCAAGGAATCGACAGCAAAACTGTTCGTGCCTCCGCGGGGGTGGCGAGGTCTGGGATCGGGGCCGCGGTCCTGGTCGGATGGGCCTGGATTTGCACCCGAATTTGGATCGTTGGCGTTGTTACTAGACCCGGAGACTTCGGCCTGCTTCTCATTGTCAGCCTGGCGAAAGGGATGCGTAGGTTTGGGAACCGCATTGGCCTTCTCAGCCCCATCGAGAGAGAGGTTCGTCCGAGCCAAGATGACCTCGAAGACCTTGAGCATACGCCGTGCATGGGGCCAGCTCTCACCACCGGCCGCGAGGAAGAGGAGGCTGGTGTGAATACGAGCTTGCGCCGCGAGACGTTGATGGCTATTGGCGAATGTTTTCAGCGCCGTCTCGACATGCATCGCCAAGGTTGTGGAGGCGCACATGAATCTATGCACCTAGTAAGCAGAGGCCCTCAGAACTTGGGCGCTGATCAATGCAACATGGCAAGAGGCTGACATACACAGACAACGGGCAGTACTTGATAAGTCCGTGGAGCATGATGCGCTCAATGACGGTGTCCAGTTCGAATATAGCATTCTGCTGCTTAAGAGATGCATGTTGCACGGCCTGGTCTCCAGTGGTGCGATCATACCCGGTAAGCAACCGATAGAAGCCACATTCCAACCGATAGCTGGTTGCTCGGAGTACCAAAGCCCAGACATTCGCGGCTGACCATTCTTGAACATTCTCGGTGTGCATCTCCGTCGGTAGAGCCTTCCGCCAGGATGAGAGACTCTTTTCAAATTCCTGACATGCCTCCTTGGCTGGTGTCCGTCCGTGTGTCTTGAAAATCTGTAGGAATCGAGCTCCTATATCGGTCAATTAGATATGTTCTGATTTCAGGCGGACAGATCGACAATAAGGGTACCACAGACCTAAATTTGCCAACATGCCCGCTTGAGTAAAGTATACCTTTTGAAGCTTGGTGAGGGGTGGGACTAAGTGACCAAACGCGGCTAATTCCTCAGTATCTCCATCATCTGCTTCCGTGATGTCGGCTGGCTTCCAATTCTCATCGATGATTCTTCTAACGTTGCTGAGCCCCGACAAGGTAAGCTGCACATCTCGGATGTATAACACCGACCATATGCGCTGGAAAGACTGCCGAGTGGACAAGTCAAGGTGGGTCGCCGTGCAGTATCTGTCGATTCCAATTTGTGTGGCCAGTCGCACGGTATTCATAAACCAATATCGATAGTCTCGGTGAGCCAAGGGGCTGAAAAATAACGAGCTCAGGAGAAAACAGCCTTGCAAGATATTCAGCTGTGATTTCTCCACGCCGAAGTCGTGAAGTAGTTGCGCTTTTGTGCATAGGGACATTTGTGCCATAAGCCGATCCGAAAACCCTGCCTCAGATAGAAGTCCTATCGGGGCATATGGCACAACGTTCGCCATGATCGCATGCATGAGGAACGTGGAGCCTGTTCCGTTCCTGTAGCCGCGGAGGAATTGAGCTCGGTCGAGGATAGGAGCATATGGATGAATGCGTTCAAAATAGAGGCGTATGAATTTATCGCTATTATCGCCATGTGCTTAGTGAACATTGATTCCCAGAGTAAAAAACCCACGCTTACCATACTGACCGGGCAGGAGTTATAAATGCACCCTTCCGCTGTAAATACTGGGCGTCAGAGTCGTCCAATTCGAAACTATCCCATTGGAAGCGTGTCTCGGGATTGCGGATTGTAATCCGCACGAATCCTTGAGGTTTGCTGCCGAAGGTATCCCCCAAAATTGTTGCTGAGTTAATTCCTTCATGATACTCGATAACCTCCCGACCCTGGTGATGGGGATCGGTTTGCTCCGGTGAAGCGCTATCGGCAGACCACTGCGATACGTGCCGAGAGATGTCGAGTTCGACGCTTTCTCCCGTAGGCCCGTTTTCGTGGGATTTGGTGAGAATGTGATGTCCATTCCCTGTCGCTTGCTGGGCTGTTCTTGATGCTGGCTGGACCATTGGGCCAAAGCTGACGGCGTTCATGGGCGTAGCGTGTGTCGGGTGTAAACTGGGTGTTTCGTCTTCAGTCCGAGCTACAGCATGTAGTTCGAGGCGAGGACATCGTCCTGGAACGCCACGTCCATCTTCGGCCGAGGTGCATGGAAAGGCCTCATCGACCATTCTCTTGCGTTTCTCCCCTCGCCTTGCGCTCAGTCAGTCTCCGGCTCTCGAGACTGTGACTCTTATCCGGGGACTTACATCCTCACCGTATCGAAGAGCTGACATCGCTCGGTGGAGTTGCTTCTGATGCACTTGGTGCAAGGACATCCAACTTGCGTCGCGTCGCATCTAACCTTGCGTTCGTGACACGGCACACAGGCCTTTGGCTTTCTCGCCAGAGGTCGCTCAGACATACTGGGTATCTCAGTGATCCATGGCATCAACAGGGAAATGCGACCAGTTGAAAGCCGTCTGTCACTCCCTGATGTCTGGATAACTATAGTGGAAGGCTCATCGACGTGTTTTGCCGGCGTGATTTCACGGAGGACTTGTCGCTGTTCAAAAGGGTGTGGGACTTCGTCAAACTATTACCTCGTATTGCTCGTACTAACTCGCCGAGTATTAGTTTCTTAGCTCCTCGGCTCGTCCAATTCTAGATTAGCGCCAGGATTGACCCCGGGGCCCGTCATTACATGTCTTGGCTGACTTTGCGTGCGCCTCAGTAATCACTCCATCTCGCCATGCACCCCTTGGTACCCCCCAACACGTCCTTGGCACCCCTTGAGGTCACCGAGGTCGGTGCGACGCCCACACTGTCCATGGCCCGCACTTCGGCTCACTCACGCTTTGTCGCCGCCGACTCCCAAGTGGGTGATTTCACAAAAGCTACGCTCCTGAGGTACATGACGCTGCCAAAGGGATTCTGCAGTCCACTGCCGGCCACAAAGATACCACCGGGCTGTTCATCCTCTTAAGCTTTGTCAACGTGGACTGACTCCGACCGCTCAACAGATTTCGCTCTGTCAGACTTGATCGTCGTTGGACCTTGACGGTCATGGGCAATATGCGTGGTCGGGTCGATCTCAAGCTCATTCTGATAGACAGCCACTTCGTCTTTGTCCCCAAAGAGAGCGCTTGTCTCTTCCAAGGGCATGTTTCTCGTGTCAGGCCAAAAGACCAGGAACAGGACACCTCCGAAGGCGCTCAGAATGATGAAAATCAAGAAAATTTTCCATTCAATGTTTCTTTGACGTGGTTAGGCAGGACTGTGACGCTTTGCAGAGACCAGGAAGACTCACTTCAGTGCGGTTGGTGCAGACTGCAACCAGATGATATTCATCAGAGACATGGTGGCGATTCCTAGACAGACGCCTTTGGCACGAAGGTGGGTTGGAAAGATTTCACCCAGATAGGCGAATTGAACTCCTACCCACGTCAGTCAGGAGGACAGGTCTTGAGAAGGCATGCCTGGGCGAGACAAACCGTCCACACAGATGGCATAGAACACCTGGTAGACCTAAAACATTGCGACCGCGGCTTTCAGGGCGGAGGTATTCGTGGAGGGAACAAAATTGGCAATGAGCGCCGCTTCGACCGCCAGTGTAGCTGTGCAGCCAAACATGCCAAATGCCAACAGTCGGTTCCGGGGAAAGAGGTCGACCAGAAACAGTGCTACGAAGAACAGGCCCAAGCCAAAGGTCACCCAGATGGCGGGATAGAGAAGTCGCTTCTGCTCGTCGTAACCGAGAAGGCCGTAGATCACGGGTCCGTAGTCTATCCCAGGTTAGCACTATCCGTTTGCGACTTTGTCTTGGCAAAGGGAGAGGAAGAGGAGAGGGAGAGGGAGAAAGAGACAGGAACCTCACTGTTGATGACCAGGACACCGGCAAATTGCACGATTCCAGTGGTTCCGATCCCAAGGAATGCCCGCTTTCTGTACGATGGCTTCTTGAAGAGTTGGACCCAGGAAGAATCCAGTTCCCGGTCGATCATGACCTGCCTCTGAATCTGAAGGAGCTCAGCGTCAGCAAGATTCCGCCCCTTTGATGAGCGGGTGTGTATTTTCTCGAGAACCCGCTTTGCTTCGTCGTCACGGCCCTGCATGACCAGCCACCTATGTCGAGCATGAGTCCAGCAACGCCATCCGGCCTATTCCTGGGCACTTACCTGGGGCTTTCGGGGCAGAAGTAGAGCCCTGACAGGAAGAGAAGCGGCCAGAGGCACTGTATGGCGACAGGCACCCTCCATGCTCCGCTGCTGTTGGCCCAGAAGAAGCACCCAAAGCCAACCCAGGCAAAGGTGTAGCCCGATTGAAAATAGGTCCCGTGGAGTTCAACAAGCCCGCCTCGAAGATTGGCCGGCACCAATTCGCTCATCATCAGCTAATTTCATGGTGAGACTCGGTAGGCAGCCGTGGGATCGGGGATGCGAGAGCGTCCTTACCGGCGAGGCGGCCGCGGCCATCCAAGTACCAGCACCAGCGAAAAATCGGAACACAATGAATTCCGCCACGTGCATGCTGCCCGTCATGACGGCGCCAGAGATGAGAATCAGGATAGCAGGCTGCCGAGGTGTTAACACGGCTCTCAAAGGTCAGGGAGCAGGCGAGCTCACTGACTATGGCGAGCGACCATTTCCTCCCCCACTTGTCTGCCACCCACGGCAGCAGCAGACTTCCTATGACGCCTCCGGTTTGGTAGATGCCGTTCATCGTGGACTCGAGGTCGGTTCCATTGGAGGCGGTCTCCAGTCTAAAATATTCCGAAAAGGACGGCTAGCTGGTAGGGGGTCAGCGTTTCGTCTCGGAGAAACCCATCGCAGAGGGTCAGAGGCATCACCTAGCAGCGTCCCGATTACAGCAGACGTGTACCCGAAGGATAGAGAGCTCAGGCCAATGAAACAAAGGAGGCAGATGGTGTACAGGTTCACACTGTCCTTGGCCAATGCCTTTCTAGCCATGGCTGAGAAGTCACTTTGACGTGAATAGTAGGGTTGATTGACCGGCCGTAGAGAGTCGTAGAGAGCACGGCGGACGCAGCCCTTGCTATAAGTCGACAGCTTGTGCTGGCAGGGCCGGTCAACGAGCTATCGACCGTGCTGTAGACCCGGGGCCGTAGCCTTTCCTTTGTTAGATACACAGTACGTTCTCTAGAGTAGGCCGGATTGGGGCGTGCCACAATCAAAGTAGCTGTGGGCATACTCTGTAGCCCTGGCCGAGGTGCAACTAGCTCTGTTCTCAGGGCTCTACAGCACTTAGTGAAGCTGGAGATGGAGCCACCTATGCCCGGCGCCGAAGGCACCTGTAAGACAGAGAACCGTCAAGTAAACAGATGGCATTGATCTATCATGCCAGATGTGTCTTTTTATCTGTCTTCTCAGTGAGACTCTGCCCGTCTACCTCGTATACCTGTAGACGTTGGCTTGTGACGAGACGACCGTTCCTGGAGATTACATGGCAACCTCTTCCCGTTGCAGATCAATGGTGGTGGTCACGGAAATGGTGTTGACGGCACCAGCGATCAAACTGGCAACGGCTATCACGGCGGCGATCTTGCAACCATGACACTCGATCCGCCCCACAGCACCAGTCGAGTTCGGCGCCGGAATCGACGCTTGCCGATGCTTGTCTCGTCTCCTACAGAGGACTCTCCCTCCCCCTTGCTTCGTTGTGCTGACCATGCGCTAACCATTTCCTCTATCAGTCGACATCAATATAGCATGACTGCTGTTAAGAGGGCCGATAATCAAACTACAAAGAACAGCTGCCTCAGCGCAGTGTGCGAACTGCCTCTTCGATACGAGGCGTGATATACCTCTTCTATTTTCTATCCGTGGGACCTTGTCGCGAAGATGGCAGGCTACAAACCAGAGATTTGCCGTCGGACACCACAGACGCTGGTAACAGACGCGGCCAACACCGCAATGCAATGACTCGCCCTGGCCTTTCGTCAGTCTGCCCGACTTACCGACCAACTCGTCTGCGAACCGGGAGGCGTTAAAGACACCAGACACCAGCGGTCAGGGGCCGTTTTTGCCGAAACATCCATGCCGAACGATGCGCCAAAGCAAGATTCCGACGACGAAGCCGGAAACGATGCTGGCACGGAGAACCTGAACGAACTGCACGACATTCTTTTCTCATCGATTGGCTTTGAGCGTATCCACGACTGCCGACAGCAGCTCCAAAGCAGAAGGGCACACCGGGCACCCCCAAGGTCGCTTTGTGTCTCTTCCACCTCGGGTACTTCAAGGACGAGCGCGTCGCGCATCCTGCACCCTGTATGCTGATCGTAGCTGCTTGGGTTCCGCTCGGTCATATGCGCTAGGTAGCAATGTGTCTGTGCCTATTGAATAACTGTCCGCGTAAGGCTTCAATGGGCATTATTGTTGTCGCGGAATCCGTGATGAATTGATCACTCGAGAACATCCTCGAGCGAATAGATATTGTATTTATATGACCAACACTACGTGACCTTTTAACAGGGTTTGGGCCAGTCAGGGCCAACAGTAGGTAGAGAGTACACAACCTGGTCGATATCTATCTTCTGGAGATCGCGTTCTGCCTAGAGAACTACCTCTGTTTGGGCATCGTCTGGCCACCGGGGTTGATCGGTTCCATTCCCCCTGGTACCAACATTGTAACCCAGTTCGACGGTTCCCGGAGGGAATTGTAGAATCGGCTTCGGGGCGCGTATTTTCAAGCCACCAAGGGCTTTTGACACTCGAATCTCAAAGAACTGGAGGTCAAAAATGCCCTGGGATTTCATCATTTCGATGTACCGAGGGATTGTATAGTTCATACTGTGAAAATGTCGGAAGACCGCCCGGCCATTACGCTGCCAGAGATGCTCCCACACCTGCTTAGGGTATTCTCCGACCTCTTCAATCAGCCACCTGTTGTAGTAGTCAAGAGCTGTGTCAACGAGGTATGAGCCTCCGTATTCCGCCTGCTCCAGGAGCGCCTGAAGAATTCCACACGTTCCGGCAATCCCTGTGCAGTAGTCAGAGTTTGGAAAGACCGGGGTGACCGGTTCGTCGTTTCCCATGGCCCGTCCAAACCCCATGGATACGCCGCTGTGTGCGTCGCTGATCGGCTGCCAGCCACTGCGGTGGGACAGCGGGCCAGACCATCCGAAGCAGTTTTCGCGGACGTAAATAATCCCTCTACCACGATCCTTGGCTATCTTCGATACATCTTCGTACCCGGCTCCGTATTTGTCGAGGACACCTGGCCTGTACCCGTTGATTACCACGTCGGCATCCAACAACAATTCGCGAAGCTTTGACCGATCTTCTTCTTTCTTTAAATCGAGGTGGCAGTTCCATTTCCCCCAATTTAGGTCGGGCTGTAGACCCGAAAAGTCAGCGAGGTTTGGAGATGTTACTCTCATCACACTCGCGCCCAGCTCCGCCAGGCCTCGGCCGATGGCGGGACCTGCAATCACTCGTGTGAATTCGACGACCTTGAGACCGGCTAGCGGGCGCCGCACGGATGTCAAGGGCGAATCCTTCCACCAGCCCGCTCGTAGAGAAGGGTCCCGCCGTGGATACACGTTGTAGAGACCGGTGTCTGCGTTGGCCTTCCCTTGAGCACTGTTGGCATACTCAGCTGGGGACAAGCAAATGGTGGCTGCCTGTCGGTATTCCTCCCCAAGCAGATGATCCCACGCAGCGGCATCCTGTTCTCCGATCTTGGCCGCAAACACGGCCCATGCATCCTCATCCGCGCTGATATCCTGTCGGTCCCTGGGCAATCCGAGAGCGTCGATCGAAGGGTCTGGATTGAGGCTGCCGTGCAGGTGGAAAAAACGTCCATCTTTGGCCTTGTAGATGTTGGTAGCCGCGCGGCGGTAGAATGACGATGCCATCTGGTGAAGGTCGCCATTGGGGAAATACTGGGCGTACTTGGCGGTCAGGCCGCGGATTGGCGTCGGTTGCAACGGACTGCCTTCTGCAGGCTCCACCTGGAGGAGGAGCGCGGACATGAAGAACAACTGGGCATGGTCGGTGTTGATGATGACCTTCTGAGGTGCTATCCCGTACTTTCTGCTTAGCAGGACGTTGATGAGGATGGCTTCCAGCCCTTTCAAAGAAGCGACGCTTTCTGCGAACCGCCAGTTGATGGCTATTCTCGGCTGGTCCTGGCCTACGTACTCGACATAGTCGAGCATGTCCTTGCATTCCCCAGGCAGCGTCTTGTGGCGAGGATTGTTCACAAGTCCATCGCGGAGGACCTTTTTGCTCTCCTCAGGAACCGAGTAGGGTTTGCTCTCGGGCACAGAAACTGACGCCATTGTTAGGGCCCCTCCAAACGATAAAGATGCAAGAAGCGAACCATGGTCCTGCTTAAACAGTCTCAACATACAGACCCTCGGCGAGTCTCATAGGTAGGTGTTGGCATCCCGTCACTCGCCACGACGAGGTCAGTCAGCCGCCCCTCCCCCTCCAAATGAATCGGCACCGAGACCCCGGAACACCCTGCCAAGTCCCTCGGCCAGGCTTCCATAGGATGGGTTGTTCCCCTTCTGACCCTGGAAAAGATATCACTCGGCTTATCAGGTCAAGAGTGCGCCCTGTCCTACGCACTGGTTAGCGGGATGTCGCCCCGGGGGGAAAGGGGCATTACTTAACAGACTGGATGCCAACTGCTGGCGGTGATGGCTGACGAATTCAAGACGACAATTCTGTCTCGACACCCGTGGGCACCGGGAGATAACTAAGTATTCCTCGACCAAGGCAACAGCCCCTCATTGAGCAGTACGAAAAAAGAGGCAGCGAGAGGGGTGACGAGAAAAAGATGATAGAATCACCCTATTCCGTCAGCATCCCTCTTGTCGATGTGAATTCGTTTGTGTTCTCGTCTGGCACGCCCTCATCGCGTCAGGCACCACAATACTTTGATGCCGCCAGACCTGCAAAATGCTTCAGCCTGGCCGACGCCGAGGGCTATGTCAAACAGGTTGGCCAAGGCCTGCAAAAGCTCGGCCTGCAAGCAGGAGAAAGGGTTCTGTTGTACTCGAACAACCGGCTCTACTTCCCCATCGTGCTGTGGGCGACCATTGCCGCTGGCTGCATCTTCACGGCAGCCTCGCCCACTGCCTCTGTCACTGGTAAGCCTCTTATGCGCTCCATGGGTATGTGGGCCGCTGACTGAAGTGTACCCGCCAAGAGCTCGAATACCAGTTGCGAGACTCGGGGGCGAAGCTCCTCCTCTCACACCACGGCGGTGCTGATGTTGCCCTAAAGGCGGCGGCCCGGGCGAGCCTGCCAACGACTCAGATCTACCTCTTTGGCGACCTGGACGAGAAGGTCCCAAGTCAACTCTCTGGCCGGCTTCAACCATGGACCAAGCTTTGGTCTTCACCTCAGGAAGCTGCCTCGTGGTCGTGGAAGCGCATGACTAGCATGGAGGAACTCGCTTCAACCACGGCAGTCATCAATTATTCGAGCGGGTGGGTCGGCAATAGAGTAGCGACTCGTTGGCATGCTGACAAGGAGCAGAACGACCGGTCTGCCCAAGGGGGTTGAGATTTCGCACTACAACCTTGTCGCCAACTCCACGCAATTTCTGTTCAAGCGTAACTTGGTGGCTGATACACCGCAAGGGCGCGCACGCAAGGCACGGCTAGATCTGTCAGGAGAACGGTGGCTGGCACCTCTTCCCATGTATCATGCATATGTAGGATGACCTCATCTCCGTGCCAGCCATCGGGTTAACCACGTCTCGCAGGGCCAGACCTACTATTCCATCAGTGCAGCCCGCCTCGGGGCCAAGGTTTTCATCATGACCAAGTTTAATGTGGTGCAATATCTACTTTATCTGGACATATACCGAATCACCTTCATGACCAGTGTCCCTGTCATCTTAACCATGCTGTGTAAGCAAGACAACCCGCATCGATTCAATCTCAAAGCTGTCGAGGTCGTCACCAGTGGCTCCGCGCCCTTGGATCCCGAGCTGGGGAAAATGGTTGAGGACCGATACCTGCGCTCGAACGTCAAAGTCAAACAAGGCTGGGGCATGACAGAGACCACGTGTTCTATCACTGGGTTGCCCCGGACGATGGGGATGATGGCCGGTCGATTGGCTGGCTGAATCCAAATTGTTATGCGAAAATCGTGCCCGTGGACGGCCAAGACTTCCAACAGAGCGGTTTGGCAAACCATACGATCGGTGAGATCTGGGTGGCTGGACCTAACATCATGAAGGGGTATTGGCACAAGCCCAAAGAGACCTCGGAGACGATTGTGTACGAAGACGGCCATCGCTGGCTTCGAACAGGGGATATAGGATATATCGACGAGCGAGGTCGCATCTATATCGTGGACCGGCTCAAGGTCTGGTCCCACCACATGCTTTGTTCCACCTGCTAGGACGTTGCTCACAGCTCTGTAGGAGTTAATCAAGGTCAAAGGGCTGCAAGTTGCGCCGGCGGAGTTGGAATTGTCTCTTCTCGCCCATCCGGACGTTATCGACGCTGCTGTTGTGGGAGCCAAGATGTTTGTTGTGTCCTAGCCCTCCGCGCAATCGTGTCTAACATGTTGATGAACAGTGAAGGCTCTGAGTATCCCAGAGCTTTTGTGGTGCGCAAAACCCCCGCCATTACGGCTGCGTCGCTTTTTGAATACATCAAAGAGCGGTTTGCACCTCACAAGTGGCTCACCGGAGGGGTCTACTTTATTGACGCCATTCCGAGAACCGGCAGTGGGAAGGTGATTCGACGAGCCTTGACATCTGTCGAGCCGGAGGTGCGAGGAAAGCTGTGAGGGAGATTGAGCTGGGAAGGAGTTTTGGATTTCATTGGGATCAAGACAGCGCCGAGTGGAAAGATATCTTAGCGTTAGCACATTGGCGGATTAGCAGTTTTCGCTGTACTGCATGTTGATCCATGAACCTTTCCTCACGTCAGGGGAGTCCTACTAGCTCCAAATCGTTTCACTCATAGTAGACAAGAGGGCTCTCTATTCCTTTCCCCCTTAATAGATGGCCGAACGCGCTTGACGAGCCAGGGCACCAGATGTCACGAGGTTGTATCACCTCATGGCCATCGTTCAGGGACATTGGACTGATGAACGATGCTCAAAGGTTTGCTGATATGGAACCCACCCCAGAGCTCACCCCAGAGCTGAACATCTTTCGTTTGGCGACCGAGCCACATCCAAATATATCGGCACCGGCACTCGCTTTGTCTAGGCTCGGCACCGCAGTTTGTCGAGCTTGGCTTGGCGCCACGCCTCCCCCCGAGGCTCTAGTCGGGCCCGGACTTGCCGCAAGCGTGTCAGGGCCTGACCGTCGCAGGAAATCGCCATCTGACAGCCTCCATCGTTCTTTCTCAGTCCGCCATCCATTCATCAGCCTGGGACCTGACGACATGGCGGAGGCCAAACCACCAAAGGCTGCGCGCTACACAACCGAGATCTCAGAGACTTTGGGCGTCGCGATTCGACGTGACGGTATCCGATCCCAGGGAGCGAATCCAAATGTCCATCGATTCGTATCACAAAGATGATTCGACACCCCTGCCAGGTGCTCAGACCCAGTTGCACCCCATTGACGGTCGAGAAGGGACATTTATCGACCACGGAGCACAATGATGACCGAGTCTTGTCTATTCTAGAAATTGCTTTACTAATCAGCGAACCCCGTAGTATCGCGAGTGCTTTTCAGCCCTTCAAAACATAACGACCTGGCCCCCTCGCCTGCCGCCGTGGAAAGCTTTGAATAGTCTACGCGCCATCTACAGGACCGCCTCTTTAGCAAGAAACTTCTCAGGGATGTGGACGTGCCGAGCCCTTAAATACTCAGCAAGGTTCTGGCACAAAGGCATTAGCTGGGTCAATTCACTTGGGGCTCGAATCAAGATCGCGGTATGGTCTTACCTTGCCCAGCGCATCCATCTTGACAGAGGTGCTCACTCCTGCACCAAGGATGCCATGGATGACGAAATGAACCGCATAGATTCCGGGAAATTCACACCGTTCGATATACGTTTCCGAGGAAGCTTCGCTGGCGAGAAGGCCTGTCAGAGCATTAGTCATTCCAATCGGTTCGGGTCCCCCTTCCTTCCCTAGGGCGGTGGGTAAAACTTGCCTCTCAGGGTGTCCGTAGTGAGAAGGTTCCTCAGCCACGCATACTTCTCTGATTCCCGGAGACCTCGTGGAATGAAAAATCCAACATTGACATTGGCCCCTTTGTCCCCACTCCTGGCATACACGGCCAACCCGAGCGGGGCCTTGACGGTGGGCCCAAAGGAAGACAATAGTGCCGGATCAGTTGGCTGGTAGTCCGGCTGAGATGGAAGCTGATGTATGGGCGTGTAGACTTCGTGTCTCGGAACAAGAACGCCTTCTCCCTTGCTAACTAGGGGTGAGGCAAAGTGGACAGAGAGCTGAACATGGCTTTGGTTGACCAGCCCGGGGAAGTATGTGCAGAGCTGCTTGGGCTCTGCTGTTCTGAAATCCACGTTGGCAGTGAGACCTGGGTATCCAGACAGCTGATTGCTCATCAGCGGCCCCAGGAAGCGCCCGGCACTCACGAGCTTTGGATCCTTGGCTTGGGCGAGCACTCGAAACTGTAAGGTACATTCCAACTGGCTTTGGGGATCTTCTTTGGGAGTTCCATAGAGCTGAAAGTCCAGCACATCATACTGACTAGTTTCCAACATGCGCCGAGACATGGTCTCGAAGCTTTGAGCCTTCTCTTTCGTGTCGAGGCCAGTCACGTACACCGAGAATTCCGCCTGGTATCCTGCCAGCGCCATCACGGCAATCTTGAGCGTCTCCGGGGCCAGAATGCCTGCCACGTACATCAGCCAGGGCCCAACCAAGTGCTCCTCAAATCGGGATGGTCTGTCCCACTGACCAGGCGAGACTGACCTTTGAACCCCGAGACATAGACTTTGTCTTGCGCAACCTGCTCCAACCGTATGCCGGATAGATCGGCGATCACATCGGGATTGTAGTAGAACGGCCCTTGAATCTCATAAAGCAGCTGGCCGCGCACTGTGTCGACCGTCACACTGACCCAATTGTCAGCCCAGGCTAATCAACCGACGTTCCAGGGATAATGGGGCCACACGTACATTCCGTTCTGGTTGCTGTGTTTCTGGATGACGCTGGTCCCATCGACTGCAATGGCCGCCATCGGGAACGAGAGGTCATAGTAATTTGGAAAGAGGCTCAGAAACCCTCCAAAGTTGCCTCCAGTCTGCATCGGAAGACGACGCTGCTTAGCTGGGCAAGGGGGCGTTATTCGGTGGGGAAGGACGTACCACATAGCAGCCGCATTCTATCAAATGCCCGGCAACCAGCGAGCCGGCCAACTTGTCGACATCGCTCCGGCTCCAGCCATGCCACCAGGCTGCAACTCCCATGACCTGCAGCGATGGCCGGTTAGTTTCAGTCTGCGGCAAAGAACGATCTGTCCTACCGTGCTTGCATCGGTGCATCGTCCGCAAATGACAATGTCGGCGCCCTCCTGCAACGCTTGCACAATGCCCCAGCAGCCGGTGTAGGCGGTGGCCAAGATGATGTCGGGGTACTTTTGTTTCCAGCTCTCAAAGTCACCCGTCGCCCGGGTTAAGGGCTGGATCTCGAGGCTGTCGATCTGCGGCAGCAAATTGTCGCCAATGACATAGGCAACTTTCTTCTGGCAACCTCGAGACGACAGCAGCTTTTGCACCTCGTCGGCCAGACCTTGGGGATTGAGACCCCCCGCATTTACCGCGATCCGCAGGTGCGGGTTCCGGTACGTGATGTATTCGTCCAAAGCGTCCCTCAGCGAATACAGGAATCCGGGCTCATAGCCACCCTTTCTGCCAGCCCGGGCCTGAAGCGACCTTGATGCCAAATTAAACTGAAAAGTGTTAGCAGCGCTGGGTGGGAGTCGGACGGTGGACGTGGGCTGGTCGCAACACCTCTGACAGCCAGTCGCCGATGATGGCATCAACCGTCGTGTTCCCCTTCAGCATCGACTTCAACCCTGTGTCTCACTCAGCCATCTCGTTGCCTTCACCTGCAGATCTCTCGCATCTCACCATCTAATCGGTCCCCGGTCGACCCGGACACATTCCCGACCAAAACAGGTCTTGTTCCTCTCTCGGTCACATTTGCAGTCATTTTGGTCGGTGTCGTGAGACTAGATAGAAAGATTGCGGGTGACCAAACGAAGAATTGGATTCAGTTTTCAATCATGTTTGAGGTGATGTTCCACTCAATCTTTTGTTGCTGTTGCTGCTCCATCCATCAACCCCCAGGAGTTCGGAGTTGCATCCTAGCCCCCGCGGCCTAACTAGACCATTTGCCCTGCCGAACTCGACTTAGACCTCGGTATTGCCCAATGCATTCCCCTTGATTCCCCTCATCCTGGCAGGCGCCGAGACCCGTCTCCAAGCTGTGGCAGGCCCAACCAGCCCTGCTTCTCACTCGGCCACCGGCATCGTCGTGGAGAATGAGACGGTCCGGGATGGCAGGCTTCCCCCCCACTTGAATACCCGTTTCTACTCCAAGGGTCCGAACCGCTGTTTGGGTTAGCTCGGTGGAGCTGGGGACCGGGTACTTGGACAGCCTGGGCCAAATGTCCAGGTGGTGGCTACAGGAAGTACTGTACGTGGATTTCTTAACCGAACAGAACGTCCGTCGGTCGTGCAGCTGGCTGTCCAAATAAGATGTTCACTGTGCTACATGGGCCTTGACCCACTCGATGATCATGTCGTCCGTCTTCCCGCGCACGGCCGGATGGGTGAATTTGGAACCCACGGCGTAAACGTGCAGTTGGGCCCATTCGATAATCAACTTGTGCTCCACACCCGCTTTCTGGCACAGCTCTGCCCATTTCTCCGAGTCGGTACGCGCGAACTCGGCGCCTCCTGTGAAGATCAGCTGCGGACTGAGATCCTTGAGCTCTTCGGGCTGGCGACAAAGAGGATTCACATCGGGCGAGTCGGGCGGCCGGTCCCCAATGAACAATTGAACCAGTGCGGGCACGGCCTTGTTGGCCATCAGAAAGTAGTCGCTCTCCACGGCTGGATTCCCTCCTCGATGCGCTTTCAAAGTCATGTCGACCCAGGGCGAGATCAAGACCGTTGCAGCCGGCTGCGGGAGATTGAGCCGCCCCAGTTCCAGGCCGGCCAGAATACTCAGTCCACCTGCGACAAAATGTCAGCAACTGCCGCTGGAGGGTGCGTAGAATGTCCCACCGCCAGCGGAATCACCCATGAAGACGACATTCTCCGGCCCTATCTCGCTGTCGAGCAAGAAACGGTATACCTGGATAAAGGTATTTCTCTGCGCGGGGTGGCTTTCTTGGGTCGAAAGGGCTGTGAATTTTACTTCAGCTCACGGACCGGAAACGATGCGCCTGTGACACCCACGGTACTCGACGCTGAAAAAGGCGAGGTCAAGGCCCTTTCTCGCCGCCTCTGCGACCCACCGTTCCATGTACTTGAGGTACATTCTCGCCTCACCACGAGCGTACCCGCCGCCATGCGCAAATAAAACGACGCATCTTTGTTTCCCGTGTCCTCCGCGTGCAAACTCGGAAAGCTGTCGTTTTCCAGGGATGAGGTAGGCCGGCACGCCTTCGTCGACTTTGCGAGCCGGCTTGGCAGAAAGCTTCCCCACGGGCAGCCGGTGAGTAAGATTCGGAAAGGTCAAAGCAGCAGCGGCAAGATAGGCTCGATGCACCTGTAGCCGGAGAGGCTGGTAGACTGGAAAGTGTGGAAGTAGCAGCCGGCGTAGAAGAGCGAGCAGGACTTGGGAGAAAAATGAATACGTGAAGAGCAGTGCTTGCAGTGGATGGGACAAGATCAGGAGCAGAGTATTTGCCATGATGCTGGGAGAACGAGTGGCCCTGATACCTTCAGTAAAACACCTAGATCACTGGGCTAGCCACTATAAGTAGAGAGAAATGGAGATGGACAGAGGCAGAGAGAAGGAAAAACAAAAGCACCGTTGTCTGTTCGGTCGCTTCTCATCTACAACGCCGAAATCGAGGGTTGTACCTCGGTGTCACAAACCCTGTATGTAAGCCGAGAGGTGATGAGCACCCAAATCATTGCAGGCAGCCACGGATCGTCCAGCACGGTTGTAATTCTCCCTGCTTAAAGCCATGCAATGTCGCTTTCTGGCTTGTATTTTGGGATCAATCTAGGGACCCATAGGTCATTGACTGGAATGATCGATTGAGAATTTTAAGTCGATATTCCCGGCACTCAGCCCGCCATCATAGTAAACACATCGAAGACCGATCATGGCTTCGAACACAGGACCACTTAAACTTGTCCTTGACGGCGTTGTTCGATATACCGTCGAACCCGCCGACGAGAGTGGCACTGATTCCGTATTGAATGCTAGATGGGTGTCGACACGCATCCTCCCTTCTAGCCAGACTGGAACTGGTCGTGCCGTTCGAAGAGGCCTAAGCGGCGGTAGGAAAGACGAGAGTTCTCGGTTCGCGGGGTCTTGGACGATAGAGTACTACGGACCGGATGGCAAGCTCGCTGTCACCCCGTTTTTGCTGGAACTGGAGAAGCACGGCAAGGTACGAACAAACCCTCTCTTATCAGCCTACAGCGTGGATTCCACCAGGTTCGCTGGGCTGTGGACATGTTGCTTAGATATGCTGCAGATTTATCACGGAAAGTGGGCTGACCCTGACGGACGGCCTCTGTTGGAGGGATTTGGCTTTGAAGACGACGGAAAACTGTACATGAGATATGGTGATCGTACAGCTTGACCGAGCCTGGAGCGCCCGTGTCTCGCGGTGGCTAGTTGGTCTTTCATCGGACCTTGGTTCGCGAGATTACTGAAACACACAGATTGCTCAAGAAGCTGCAAGTGGATTGTGAGACTTAGATCTGAGTTCTCGTAAGACGAACATGGCAATGATCAGATGCTTTTCAGGTTGACTGCATCTTGTACGAATCCTTCTGGTGTACGTTGCACTCGCGAAACATATTCTCGGAAAGCCAATCGCTCAGTCCTCATCGAGATTGCGCGGGCCGCCATGTCTCACTGGCTCTCAGCCTTGACCGCCAGCCGATGGGAAGTCCTCAGCAAGATATCCTGAAGCTCATCCAAGTATTCTCCGTCGGCATAGTCGTCTTTCCCCAGATCAAGAAAGCCCTGTGGCGTGGTGCCACGGGGAACAATTCCAAAGGACCGCCCTGACATCGAGGGTCAGCACCGGCCCCGTTCCTCATTCCAAACAGAACTCGTGGAGGGGGAATCTTACCATTAACCGAAGGAGTCGAGGCGATCTTGAGCCATGCACTGGCTGCATCCTCTGCCTCCGCAAATACGATTCCTTTGCTTTTGCAATACTCCTGAACCGTGGGGCTGAGGATCGTGGTGCCAACATACCTTTGAGCACCTGTTAGAGCGTGTGAGGTCGTCAATAGTGCGTGCCACAATCTTACCATGGCCCAGTGAGGTTCATGCGAACCCCATCCACTGCAGTAGTGCGTCGAATGCATCTCATCAAGCCCCGACACCCCCATTTCGATGCCATGTACTGGGGGATACCAGGTACGTCCAGAAATCCAACCAAGCTAGCGTTGACGATGAAGCAGCGATCGTGATTGGCATCAAGCGGATGCTTCATGAAATAGTGGCGCGCCAGCTTCAACGCGTACATGACTCCTAGCAGGTCAATGTTGACGATCTTCAGCTGGGGTTTGAGCGGCTCGTCGGTATCTGGACTTGCGTTAGAGGGTCTCCTGGTGACACATGCGGACTCTGACCTTCGACGCTAAAGACATCATCCGGGCCACTGATGCCTGCATTTGCAACTACTATGTCAATACTCTTACGGGGCGATTTGCTTATGGCCAGCTTGAACATGGCCAGTTGATCCTCCCAGGACGTCACGTCGCAGCGGATGAAATTGGCATTCCTGCTTGCGGTCAGACATTCAACTCGAAACCAGAACCAGACTCACGGTGCCAATTCTGCCTCGAGTTTCGATCCATTCTGTTCATCCGTATCACCAAATGTGACGTGAGCCCTTGAAACAAACCCAGTGAGTGCAGCGTTCTCTTTGGGGATTCCAGCGACATTACCCTGCGGCAACAAAAGCCCGGACACCTTCTTCCCCCATACCTTTTGCGCCTGTCCGAGCTCAATCAGTGCATTGACTCTCGGCTTTTGTGGTGGCGGGAGAGGGTGGGGGGAGCCAGTATCAATGAGGAAGCTCACCTCCAGTGATAATAACGCCTTTCCCCTCGAGACCTCCTGCCTTGACGGCGGCTTCGAAGGTGACGGTTCCCTTCTGGTATGCTGGATATGCCATGCTGGTGAGGTTCTCTCGGGTTGCTGGAGCAAGCCTTTCTTCGTGTCGTCCTGGGATATCTTTGCTTTGTCACAGTCGCTTTCCTTCGCGACGGGCAATTAAATGTCGGCACGCAGGCAAGCCTTGATTGGATTTCCTTGTTTCTTTTGAATTGGGAATGTCCTTCGGCGTCGGACACGCTTGGGCGCTGAGCTCGACCCCCAAGCGGGCTCGGCCCGAGCTTCGAATATCACAAGACCCACCCTTCCCCATACTACAAATATGGGTTACCGAGAGGGCAAGAGATACTCGAGAGCCCAGCCCTTTTAACCTCACGACAGGCTTTCCCAGGCATTTCACCCAGTCACAACTTTGGTAGACATCCTGATCCGGAGAATGGCGCCTTCACCATCACTCAACATCCCCAAGTCTCCGTCAACCGTCTCCGTTTCGGTGATCGAGACAAGCTCCAGGATCATTGCCAAAACTAGTGTGGTCGTCCAGCCTCACATCGTCGGGCACGATGAGTTTAATTGCCCCTGCTATTCATTCCTGATTGGACACCAGGCCACGGGGGAAAAGATCCTCTTCGACCTGGGTATTCGAAAAGATCCAGAAAACCTCTCGCCCAGGACCCATGCCTTCACCAAGGCCATGAGCATCTCTTCACGGGTCAATGTGTCCGACATCCTCGGGGACGAGGTATCCAATATCTCGGCGATAATTTGGTCACACCATCACTTTGACCATATTGGGGATCCGTCGACGTTTCCACCCTCAACCGCTCTCGTCGTTGGCCAGGGTTTCAAGGACGAATTTCTGCCCGGCTATCCCGCCAACCAGGATTCATGGATCAAGGAGAGCGACTACGCGGGTCGGGAATTTGTCGAGTTGAATTTCGCCGAGGCTGGTTTGAAGTTGGGCCAGTATGACGCGGTCGACTATTTCGGGGACGGTTCTTTTTATCTCCTCGATTGTCCTGGCCACACGGTCGCCCATATAATGGGCCTGGCTCGAACGACCACGGATACTTTCGTCCTCATGGCTGCAGATTGCTGTCATCATGGAGGAGAGTTCCGCCCGAGTCCATATCAGCCACTGCCTGAGTCGATCGATCTACCCGTAACTGCCAAGGGCAAGCTGCGGCCCTTGCGGTCGCCTTGTCCCGGGTCCTTGTTTGTGAAGGTACACCCGAAAAATTCGCGAACGGAAGCCTTCTATGAGTTGAACAATCCTCACAACTCCGACGCAGTCAAGGAGGCGATGCGAAGTCAGCGGAAGCTGGAAGAATTCGACGCGAGTGAGGATGTCTTGGTTCTGACTGCTCACGACTCGGACGCGGCCGACGTCATTGACCTGTATCCAAAGACTGTCAACGGCTGGAAAAGTAAAGGGTGGAAACAGCAGCTCCACTGGGCGTTCCTCCACGACTTCCAAGTAGAGTGATCGTAGATTGTCGACGATGGCAGCCCATCGATGGGGGGTGATCTAGCGAATAAGCTATCTACATCTGTTGAGCAGCTGTATATAGACGATTCACTTCCAGGTTGATACCCACCTCTCGGTCAGCCTGAGCCCCGTGCCAAATTGTTTCGTTTCTTAGTTTCTTGACACTCTTTCGAAAGGAAGTCAATTTTATCCCCAATACAGCCTCCCTTCTATAATGCTGCCGTTTTGAAGAGCTCCAAGGTCTCCGGCGAAGGTCAGGATATTTTGTAAGAGACGCGACACCACCCCAAAGGGCTGCCGGAGGGTTTGAACGGCGTCCGACAAGGTTAGCCGATGATGGCTTAACATCTCTTTTTGGTCGAGCCCTAACCATCCAGAGCAGGGTTACCGACCGAATGGCGACACACTGTAGGATTCTTGTGACTCGAACTAGCGTCGATAGCACTGTTCAGACCTTGCCTGTTGTATTCAAGTGTGCTCTACTACCATCGGTGACCTCGCAGATAGTAAATAGTTAGATAAGTCCCCCAGGGTTTGTTGAAATCCATCACGTCTTCTATAAAGTCACATTCTCCCCACACACAAAGCCTCTGCTAGTAGATAGATTTCTTTTCATTCAACCAAGTTATCCTGGGCTATTCGTCTGACATGTCTGCCGGTGTGGCGCATAAAGTACAATACGGGAGGCGAAGGGCTCAAAGAAGGGCCTGAGTCTCGTGACAGCTTTCATCTGCCTTTGATATATGCGATAGTTCCATCTTGAAGGCAGGCCAGACATGAGATCCGTGAGAGCCTCATAGAGGTAAAGCGCAACTTTTAAACGGCTTAGTCGACCTAAATCCTCTTTTATAGAGAGAACTCTACCTGTCCTCTATTAGATGGCCCCTAACGGGTCGGTGGTATCATCGCTGCCCCGACCAAAGAGGTTCTCCAACCAATCGTAGTTCTCGGTAACCGGTAATATGCCAAACACGTCGTCGGTCAAGGGTAAATTGAAATTGACTTCTTCGCCCTCCTCAAAGAACCCATTGCTAGAGCATTCAGCCGGTTGGTATTGGCCGTTGGGGTTACTAGCTGGAGCATTTATTGATGTCGAATCCTCATCTTCTTCCGAGGGCTCGGTGGGGGACGCGCCCGTCGGGCTGAGACACGTGCGCGCGATGACGGCTTCGAACATCCTAAGGGTCCAGATGAGACTGATCCAGGACTCGCAGCTTTCTCGCACATATTCCAGCTCCGAAAGGATCTGGGCCTTTGTTGCGACCAACTTTTGGGGACTGATGGCCGGGTCGAGCGCAATCTCAATACGCATGGCCAGAATAGTGGATGCGCAAGTCATACTGTGACGAGGGTGCGCGCGGTTAGTATCGCGGTTCCGTTGAAGGAGGGCTCGGTAGTCGGGCGGGAACAGGGGGAGGAGGGCGGAAATGGATATAGAGAGCAGAGACAGGGCCCACTCACAAAGACAAGGGACATAAATGAAGCACCTCATGCATTGAGGCACGCTGGATCATGGTGGAGAGTTCGAACATTGCGTTTTCCTGCCGTTGGGCCATCCTTTTCATGGAAGCAAAGTCTTTTCGTGACCGATGATGTTCTTTGACCGCTCGGTAGAAAACTGCCTCTAAGCGATAACCCATCGCCAACAACACCAAGACTAGAATATGGTCGGAGGTCCATTCATCCTGAAGAGCATAGATTATTTCAACGGGCAACTGCTTTCGCCAATTGGTGATCTGGTTGCTCAGTTGCTCGATCTCATCTCGACTTGGCATTTTGCCAGGGGTTTTGAAGTCTCGAATGAAGCAGGCGCCTGAGATGAGACCGTCTGTCAGCTTCTACATGCACACGAGTTGCGGTCCATGAGCCGCGCCGTGGCCTTACTAATAATTGAAACCTTAATATACTCCACCATGAAAAGCTTCTGAAGCGGTGACACCAGGCCGAGCACATCTCGTAGCTCGTCCGGTATCTCCCCATCCTCCTCCCAATCGCACTCAGTCAATGGAGCGGTGTCACAATACCTCTCGTTGAACCTCCTCAGATTGTCGATTCCAGAGATAGCAAGGAGCGTGTCACGATTGTACAGAACCCACCATATACGGCGGAAAATCCGTCTGGACCGCTTCCCGAGATTCTCACAAACATAGTCTCTGTGAAGGCCCATCTGGGTCGCAATCCGCCCGGCATTACTCAGCCAGTATCGGTAGTCCTTATCTATTGCGTACTGGAATGACAAGGAGCTGAGCATTATGGAGCCTTGCAGCATATACAGCTGGTCTCTTTCACATCTCAGGTCGTAAAGAAGCGTGGCCTTGGCGTAGAAGGCCTTTTGCGCGGTTATGCGATCTTCATATCCAGCCTGCATCAGAAGCTTCATTGGAGCGTACGGGACCACGTTGGCGAAGATGGATTGCAAGAGGAATGCAGAATGTCGGCCAGCTCTATAGTCCTGCATGACCTTCACGCGGTCAAGGATTGGTGCATAAGGATAGACGCAGACAAAGTACAGACGGAGAAGTTCGTCACTGGCCACCGGAGTCAGCAGCACGTGCAACAGACCAGGGATGGCCGAGGGACATACCAAACTGGTCGGGGTGGAAAGCTTAGAGCAGCTTTGGCCTCTAGATACGCGACGTCTGCCGCGTCGAGGCCAGGAAATGAGTGTCCTAGCTCGGGCTTGGAAATGTCCTCCTCGACCATGAATCTGACGAAGCGATTGGGGTGATGCTGGCCTAGCGCCTGTCCGAGGATGGTCATCGGGTTCACTCCTTCATGTAGTTCCATAACCTCGCGACAATGTGTGTTCTGTGATTGAGGCGAGGGGGAGAGAAATTCCTGTCTGCTACGTGACATTTCCTCACAGATGCGAAAGTGGACATCCTCCTCTTTCGTGAGAGAATAGGTCATGCTACTGCTATCCTCGGCTTGCTCAATGATAGCTGTATGGGGGATTGGAGGCGATGACGTTGGTTGTGCATTGCCTTCTTGCTGCGCGACTTGCATATTGGTCGCGTCGGACAAGGTACGCCCCCTTACAGCCATAGCACATTCTTCCTGTGCAGTGTCGGGCAGCTCGAGAGGAGCAAACTACTGCCTGGGTCAACGCACAGGATCATAAAGCGGTCTGCGCCCGCAAACGTAACAAATCGGTACCAAAACCATGGTTGCCGGCCTGATGGGGCAGAGCACGTCCTGCGGCCAGCGCATGTTGCGGAACTCGTCGTCGTTTGATGGAACTTCTTGAGGGGACGACGGCATCAGCACGACGGAAAGTGCCTTGCAAAACGGGGGCGGACTCACGTGGCGACGCCTCTATGGGGGGGCCCGGCGAGCACACATGTGTTCGCTTCGTTGCGCCGCTTGCATCTCGTACATGGAATACCTATTTGCCAGGCGTTGCAGCGGACTTTTCGAACATGGCAATGAATGCATGCTCGGGGTCGCTTGGCTGGGCTCTGGTCGAGACAAACCCGCCTTTCGGACGCCGCATCAGTAAGTGCCATTGCACAGAGAGCCGCTCACTCAGGGCTGAAGAGAGGACGACAATGCCGAACCAGGCGGACTGATGCTGGACGAAGTTGTTGTTGTTTTTGTCTATGCCAGGCATGAAAAGCCACGCAGAGGGCAGGCTGAAGCTGCAGTTTGCTGCGGAGGAAGGAGGCGGGGAGATGAGGATCCCTCTCCGCCACAGTCCCCCGACTACCCCGGTCCCCGCCAGCTTGGCCATGAATGCGGCTCGGCGGGGACTGCTGACATAACACATGCCGAGCTCCGGCGCCGAGGGGTCACCAACCCACATGAGAGACCCCGGTCTACTCCAGTCCACTAGGCTATTACGGGTGCTCTTGCCAATGAATCCCCACCCCGAGCAGCTCGGCACCTTGTTTGCACGCGGGCATGCGGCAGCGTCTTGCCTCGCCCAGTCCATAGCTGCTCCTCCAGTGCCATTCGCGTAACTAACTCACGTTGGCGTCGTTGCATACGAGGTACATCTCGTGGGCTCTGCAGATGCCTCATTGCTCCGTTGGCTGCGTTCAAACCGGCCGGAGAAGTCTGGCAGAGGAGGAGTATGTGCATCCCTGCCTCAAATTTCAAGGTCGCCATTGCTTATATTCTTCTCGACATTCTAGCAGGAGATGTTTTGATAGATTGCGGCGGTGACGTGAGCAGAGGCGCTTCAATTCCCCATTCAACAAGAAAAGCGACAAAAAAGCACAGCAAGTATAGCGAATATTTGGCAGCGCACAGCCTTGCCCGCGATTGAGGACTCCTTAGTTACTGTGCTGCTGTTCATGGCATTTGTCGGCATGACACAATTCTATCATGCTCCATAGTGGACTGAGATTTTCCCAAAGCTGAGGCGGGAACCAGCGAGGGCACTGCACCATGCACGCCAAAACAGAAGCCACAACGTCTAACGCGGTAGATACTCACTTACAACTTCTGTGTTGAACTAGAAGCTTCCATCTTGTAAAGGTCCCGTAGATTCCTCTTGAGGTACTTCCCACTGGCCGTCTTTGGCAGGCTCTGCACAAAGATGATACCGCCGTTCAGCTGTTTATATTTGGCGAGACGCCCCGCAACGTACTGTCTGACCTGGTCTTCGCTCAGTGTATCGGCATCATGCCCTTGTCTTCGCACAATGTATGCCCGAGGAAGCTCTCCATCCACAGGATCAGAGGACGGTACCCCAATCACCGCAGCATCAGATATTAAAGGATGTGACATCAGCACGCCTTCTAGCTCAGGTGGTGCGACCTGGAAGCCTCGAACCTTGATCAACTCCTACATTCGCCGTGGAAATTAGTGTCGGGGATCTAGGGGTAAGGAGAAGACTGTACCTTTTTCCTATCCACAATATACCACTTCTTGGTCTCCCCATCACAGTACGCGACGTCACCAGTGTGGAACCATCTTCCAGAGAAGGACAACGAATTTGCTTCAGCATTGTCGAGGTAACCTTTGATCACAGTTGGACCGCGAATCCATATCTCTCCGATTTTGTTGTAAGCCCGAACCTCCTGTCCATCGTCATCCACGAGCCGTTCCGCAAGTCAGCTCGATTGAATCTCCAATTCGTCCTTGGGTCTCGGACTCACTTGACCTCCAGATTAGGCAGAAAGTAGCCTACGCTTCCATCGGTGTCTACCTCTGGCCACGGGTAACAGGCCCCAATACAGCTGAGCTCAGTCATTCCATAGCAAGGGTTGATACAGCCTTCCGGGTGCATCAGAGCCGTAAACCTTTTCTGAGACAAAAGGTCTATTTTAGCGCCACCTGTCATGCCCGACCGTAGGCTTCTCAGAGAGTATTTTTTGATCAAAGGAGACTGCAGGATTGAGACAATGATTGGCGGCACAACGAACAGGTCCGTCACCTCATACTTCTCGGTGAAGCGGAGGAAATCCTCAAGTTGGAATCGCGGCATAACGTAGGCGATGTGGCCTGAGCGTAGCGGAGTGATGTGCCCGATTATAGCCATGGCGGCGTGGAAGAAGGGAAGACAGAGGATTCGTTTCACCTGGAAGGAGTTAAAATACGAGAGAATCAAGATTAGGATGGGCATCCCACTCTGTATGGTTTTTGTACTTGCTCTTGGAGTAAGGTGTGCTGGGCAACGAGGTTGTAATGCGAGAGGCACGCAGCCTTGGGCAGGCCAGTGGTTCCTGAGCTGAACAAGATACAGGCAGGAGTAGACTCTGCGACGGACTTGTCCTCAAACCGTACCCAGTCTTGCGCTCCATTTTGTAGCAAGATTTTCCATGAAATTGAAGAGAAGTTCTCTTGCGACAGTGAATCGAATTTGAGCACGTTCTCCTCCAGAATGTTGCAAGATTTCGCGGCTGCTAATATGCCATCGTACAGGCCAGGCTGGGCTATTATCAGCTTCGTTTTGGACGCCTTCAAGTGATGTTGCAGTTCGTAGTTGGTATAGCCAGGGTTTGTTCCAGTCCAGATCAATCCCGCGCCTATAGCAGCAAGAAAGACACAGGAGTAGTACAGCTGCCTCATAGCTCAGCGGATGCTGATAGCTGAAGGGTTTCTACATCCGGGGCTCACATCATTGAAAGAGTGCACACAAATGCAGTCGCCTTTCGCCAGCGACCTTGACCGGAACCCGGCAATGAGGCGTCGTATCAGATGCTTCGCTTGCCTCAGGCTGAGGGAACGTCTCGGATCTCCGGCGTCAATGTAGATCTAAACACGATGAGATCGGATAGATTCGCACGATGGTCGACTCACCGGTTCATCTGGCGAATATTTGGGCTCGTCGAAAATCCAAGAGAGGAGGTCTTTTGTTCGGATGTGTACAGTGCCCATAGGCCCGAAAAAGGGTTCTTGGTCGCTGCCCATGTTTCCAGAGTCGCTGAGTACAAACTGTGGGAATGTGGAAAGTGTTGATTGAGCTTGCTCCTTGATTTCTGGGTCGGCATTAATAGGTGGAGATGGAGGTAAAGGAAAGGCAAATTCCCATGCATCGGCCCACCAGTAGTCAAAAGGGGCGCAACTGCAACTTTACTTGCTTATGAACTCTGTGCATGTACAAGCTCGCTAGAGCTTGAGACTTGATGTTCAGCGGAGAATGTTCGCACACCGTGAAGAACGCAGCAAGCATGCTCGGGCCGATCCCACCCACCGAGCACCGAGGCTCATGTGCTTGATAAACCAGCCTAATCACGCACCAAGCTCATAGAATTGGCGGTGACGACTCTGAAGGACCCTCTCACCGAGCTCCCGGTCGTGTTGGGAAAGGAGGTGGCTATATAGTGTCAGCTCCAATTATTGTGCCCCGTCAAAGAAGCCTGGGCGCATCGAACGACGACACTAGATTAGGACCCAGAGCGAGTTTCCCATAGCAATAGTCATTTAACACCCCAACATGCCTAGGAGCTGAACTCCCATTGCGTTTCTGCATAATTGTGACGGACACCTATTGTCCCATCTCTTGGATTCTGGATCTTCGTGTTGGACGAAAAGGTCCGGGGTAACTTTGTTGATTACAGGAGGTAAATCTATGGACCTACAGTAGTGGCAGAGGCCATCTGTGTGTGGAGGATTCCGCAATACACGTGATCGGGAAACCTACCCTCCAAGGTTAGGCTTGGTCCACACTTCGGGCTAGTGAGCTCCCAGAAGCAAAATGGGAGAAGTCACCGAAGTCAAAAGATAATGAAATACATACCATGCACACATATCAGAAGAACCGCTGATGCCTGGCTCAATTGGAGCTACAGAGAACGATTAGTCCTCTGAAACACTAATTAGACCACTGAAGTCTCTGCAACTGTGTTCCATAGGCTAGGCAGTCACCCGCGCAAAGACATCACTTCCCAATTGACAATCATCGGAGCCTGATTTAGTATTCAGTCGACTGGCCATCAAGGCTGCCAAAGCAGGACACCTTCCATACTGCAAGCGAAGGTCAGGGCTAGTTCAAGGGGTCTCATTCCCCCCCCCCCCCCCTCAACAATCAGCGACGGCCGGTACAGGTACCAAGAGATCCCATGCTGGCACAGGCAAAGTGTGAATTCTCGGCCTCTATTTTCCTGCTGTATCAACATGCCTGCTACATAGTATTACAGGCAGCTCACACGTCATAACTGTATAGCCAAAAGTACAGGTAATGGCTCAGAAGCGCAATATGTCCTGCAATCAAGTCTTTTGGTGGTCTCAGATGACACCCCTGCGCTGGCCCTGCGGCAACCTAGCCCAAAGCACTTTTTCGGGCGTCAGCGTCCATAAATTCATGCTCTGAATACACCTGCTCTTGGCTCGAGACTTTTTCGTGGGAAACATCATTGAGGGGTGTCAGATCTTCAACAATGACGTCTCCAAAGGCCTTACTGATCTGCTCGAGTGTAAGTCCTTTGGTCTAAGCATCGATTAGCATTGACCTCCATTTTGGACGGCGGAATATCTTGCCTCGGGGAAAAACAGCAGGACAACGACTGCCATCACTGTGGTGAAACAGATAAAGACAAGGTAAAACTTCCTGGAATATGTGGTCAGTTTCGGGCCAGATCCGGGATTAAGTGGCGCGGTATAAAGGGTCTACCATTTAATATGCTCAAAGGCTATTGCAGCAGCCCCAGTGAGGATAGCTGACCACAACTGGACAGCAGACAACGACACACCAACTCCTGAAGCTCTCCAGGCGGCAGGGAAGATTTCCGAACTGTACACAAACGATGGACATTCAACTCCTGCCGCAAAACTTTGTGTGCATCAGTAATGAAGACTTTCGATGACCGGAACTTTTACTTACAAGCACACAAAAAGGAAAATGAAAAAAGTGCCTGCGGTATTGGCTGATCTGTTGTCCTTCCCAGCGTAAGTCGCGCTCAAAGCTGCCGAGATGATCAGGCAGAATAAGCAGCCCAAGAGTCCAATCACTGTAAAGCTGGTCAGCAGCCGCCAAACCCAATTTCCAAGGAGAAATTACCAAGCTGTTTAACCCGACCAATTTTGTCGGTAATGATGCCGCCTAATAAATTGAAGATCATAAGGAGAACAGTCCAGACCCCGGCCAAGATACCTTGAAGGAATGCACTGAACCCCAACCTTGCATAGATGACAGACGAGTATGCTGGGCAGGGTCAGCATCCAAGCCGGATATCTGCACACACCTGTGTCAACTTACTCAAGATCACAATGGAGCCACTGGACTGCGAGGCCGTATTCACCAAGAACCCAAAGATAAAACGCTTGCGCATGTGCGGATCTGCAAGACCATCCCAGAGGGTTCGTCTGTTTTCTGCTTCGAGATCGAGCTGGGCCTTGATACTCTGGAATTCGTGGTGTGCGTATGAGTTGGTAGGGTCCGCTCTGTCCCGATGTAGTCGCAGGATAGTCTTCTCTGCTTGCTCGACGTGCCCAGCCAAGTACACTAAGTTGAATAAGGGTTGGCATGAGTAACTCAGGGACAGGGAAGGACAACACTCACGCCAACGAGGACTCTCCGGCAGGAAAGGGACCACAAATATCATCGCCAGAGGCGAGACACACTGGAGAGCAAGCGGGGCTCGCCAGCCTGCCTGTCCCGCTGTGTGGAAAAATGCAACCCCGATCCACTGCGCGACGGTAAAGCCTGCTCCCACTACACTCGCATGGAGGCCGACCATAAAGCCTCTATTATGGGCGGGTGCAACTTCAGCTTGGTACAGCGGGCAACCGGGAAGGAAGTGCCCAATTCCTATGCCTGTCAAGATACGCGCCACACACATCATGGCGCTGTGGACCGTGCCGGCTTGCAATGCTCCACCTACAATAACAAACACAGATCCCACGCCCAGGGGGATGCGCCGGCCAAATCTGGAGGCGGATAGCGGATAAAGACAACACCCGATGAAGCCGCCCACGTAGAGCAAGGCGCTGAATGCTGCAATCAGGCTGTTTGTGTGAGACGTCCCCGGGCCTTCAAGGGAAAGGCCCAAGTACTCGTAAAATGCAGCGTGGCTATATATATTCGCCAGGATCGATGCACAGTAGCCGTAGGTGAAACTCCCCATGGTGACGGCCAGGACCACCTGGGAGCGGTCAGTTCACACCAATATGGACAAATACGACACGGCTGTGCAAAACGTACCAGGATATTGTATGCAGATGTGACTTGATACATGATGAGTGAATGTACCAGCAAACAATTTGAATTCTCTACAGATTAAAGGTGGGATCGAAGTTGATCCAGTCGAATGTTTATAAATTTGCTACTTTGCGGCCCCAGAAAGGTAGTCGGTGAATGGCACACAGAGGCCAGGAAGTGTGTCCGTAACGCCCAGTCACGATGGCTTCAGACCTCCCAAGGTTCGGCGTGTTGTTCTCTTTAAACGGGCTCGGCGCCGAGGTTGCACTCTTGCAAGTCAAAATGGTTCGATTTTGCCCGAGGCGAGATGGAGGCCCGCGGGGTAAGCGTAAAGCTAGAGCGTAGAAGGCTCCGCTGTTTCTTGCTTGCTGTCGCTGGGCCGGAGAGAGAAGAGAGTTCATACTACATTTGGACAAGTGTTATGAATCAGCTGTAGCCCAGTTCCAGGCCAGAAAGCGCAGTTATTGTCATCGTCACAAGATCAAAGGGACATGGGGATCAGTATGAGCGTCAGCTATCTCGGGGTTTGATCTATATACCGTGGCAGTCCAACGACTTCGAGCCTTTAGGAGTCATTAAAGGGCCAGGAGAGGTGCCAAGAATAGCCTATGAATACTCCCACTAGACCTGAACCCTGTGGAAGAGCGGTTTTCCCCCGTTCAAGTCCATTATTGAAGAGAAGTTTTACAAATACACGGAGAACCTGGGCTAATACTTCGGTGACTTTCTACCATGTTGTGTGGACGCTGTTAGAGCTGATTGAAAGATTGCTAAAAGTCACCTAGGATATACAGGGTAGGAGATTGACGAGACTCGGTATAGATTGAAGCAGATGGCTAGACCCAATGTTGCAGTGAACACCAGGGGGCTGCTACATATCCTGTAGCCTGAAATCTACGGTACATTACAGTCTGCTCCAAGCCTTGTCTCCCCTTACGGACACATTACGTTTGGCACTTTCCTATACCTCAGCAAAATACCTTTTCGTTGAAAAAGCACTTTCAAAATAGGCTAGTATCCTGCATAAATAGGTTAAGAGTGTGAGTCGATGCCGAATCGAATCCCTCGTCACAGCCAGGACTCAGCACCTGAGGGATTCAATTCCTAGCAACGCTGTCCTATCAACGCTGTCCATGACGAGGCCTTCCTGATATAAATTGTGCTGGCGATCAAACGGCCAGCAAAACTGGCAACCGTTAACTTGGTGGCGATCTTTGCAACGTGATTCCTCTTCCGCCTTATGACAACCACCGGAGCTTCTTTCTGTTCCCAGGCTCTGGGCTACCTTCTCTCTGGCTCTCTGGAGATGCTAGAGCATTTTGGTGAAAATCAGAGATGATTGGAAGCTTGTCATGGTCAATCTCCGAGTCCGGAATCGAGAGTATGGTACTTTTAACATAGGACACAAGATCCCTCAGAAGTCTCACATGAACAGACAGATCAATATACAATTTCTCCAAGACCACATATTACAATATTCTACTTCTATTTCCCAATGCTATTTTGCCACCTTCTTATCCCTTCATCATTCTCTTTCCCAGCCCATCCTTCCAGATATCATAGACGGCAGTGCTTGGGTTACAGGAGAAAGAAACCGGGATGCTTTCCCTCTGCGATGTCTCCAGCTGCGATACCACTGTATCGTTGATAGGTTTCGGGATCGGAGACAATAAGGTGGCTATGAAGTGTGCATTTCTAGAATTGATTGATCTACGCAACCTCAGTCTTCTGAAAGGACCAGTCAGTGTGCATGAGGTCGGGCGAATAGACGCCCCTTCAGGAATCATTGAGGAGTTCGCCAGGTGAGCTTTTTCCAACATAAAGTCACACCAAGACGCCATAACACCATTCGACTCGCCTTGTCGAGGGCGTTAAACTAACGCTTAGTTGAATTTTAAAATACCAAGGTTTTGTGGAGATGCGGGCGCCAAGGGGCGCCCATAAGAAATCTCGAGAATTCGAAGCGGTAGAGCGATCTATATAGCCAATAGAGTATTCTCCCTTATAGCTTATTTCAGCCCTACCCGCTTTGGCCCCAATTCGGGACCACAAGAGGAGACAAGGAACTAATATATTAACCAAGAAACCTAATTCATCAAGTACTCTAGGAAATAGCTCTAATATCCTGTTCCTTTGCTTTTTTTTTTTTTCCCATTTCCCTTTGCTTCGCCGCCGTCGTTGTCGCTGCTTCTGAGTGTGTGGGCTGCTAGCAAATCTCCATCTGTTGTCGCGGACATTCGCCACGCCACTAGGTGGCCAAGCGCGGAAGGACCGAGATCGGAGGATAGTCCTTTTAATAAAGGCCTCGAACCTGGCAGTATGATTGAGTTGAATAAGGATCCAGAGCTTCCAACCAGCAAGAACTAGGTTGTAGGATCGAAAATTCCCATCGTCACAGTGGAATGCTGTTCTCGAGCCTGCTTCGCCAGAATGCCAGTAGGGGGTGTATTTCGTCGGGGATGAGATCAGGTTGAGATAACGGACCCGCATGAAGTAGTGATTCGAATGTGCATACAAGTGGCCCAGTGTAAAGTGAAGGCCCAACATAGTAAGGTACAGCCGGTTCTGGAGGGTGATCGATCAATTGACGGAGGTAGCTTAGACAATATTCCCGTGAAGGCTTCACGACAGACGAATCTTGGCCGTTCAAAAAAGAACAAGGACTGTAGCAGTCCGTCTGTATTCGGCCTGTTCGTAAAAGTGTTCTTCTCTCCCTCTGTGTCCGTTGGGGATCCGTTCCGTCCTTGGTCCAAACTTCCTCCCTTGCGAGATTTCATCAACAACCTCTTCCCAAATGTGGTTGCCAGAATCTTGCTCCACTCCCCCGCCCTCTTGAAAAATTCAGCTTGGGTTTCGTCAAGATCGGCAGACACTTCGCATTTGAGGTAGCGGCTCCAAGTCTTTTGCCTGTTTTCGGACTTTCTCCACCTTCTCGATTTTCGAGACCCGACAGCACCTTGATTGAATGCCATAATTGTCCCGCAGTTGGCCGAAATGGTTATTGAATTTGTCGATGGCTTTGGGCCACGACATCTTCAAAACCACCGCGTGGTACTAGAGAAAATACCCCTGCTCCTTGGTGTACTTATTATTTCTTGAGCTACCGAGGGCACTGCAGGTGTTTCGCCGCCGTCGACGCGAGTTGAGTGAGATGGTGGCGGAGGCATCGTTATTCCGCTCGGATCGACCCGAGTTGCTTGGGCTGTGATAGATGAGATCCTCATCACATCCATGCTGACGGAAACAGGCGGAGTGCCATCAAACGTTGAGAGAGAGATCCTCGTTCTCGCGGAAGGCAGGATCATATTCTTCGCATGGTCCTTGCGACTCTCGATGCAGACGGTCCCATTCGTATTCTTCGTGGCGCAGCTCTACAGGGTTGTTTAGAATATCCAGCCGGTTGATGGGACTTGCGTACGAGTCATATACCGGCGTAGTTATCCATGTCCAGGTGGTCATGAGTTTATACAAAGGTGAAACTCGATGCGTCCGGCCTCGACATGCATCCGGAGCGTAAAATCCCGGTCGATGGATTCGAAATTGATCGAGTCCTTCACCGACAACTCTTCTAGGCAGTTGGCGTGTTGATATCGTTGCTATAGCATCAAGTACGGTTGATGTTTCTCCAAGTGTGCCGTGGGGGCGTCAAAAGTTCGAGTGAAAATAGTTTTCCAAGGATACACTCGCTCAAGGTAGGATATCGCCGAGTTTGAACCAATAAGGAGCCTTCAAATGTGGACCTTCGCCTCGATCCTTAAAACGGGTCATTTTGAAGATATCTTGTCTATTCTTTGAGATCGATAGGTCAGATAAACAGCCTGACTCGTTATATAGATATTGTCGAAACGGATCATTGTGAAGAGCTGAGAGAAAAAGCGTGCCAAAAAAAAGTGAATTGGTTCGAGCTTTGAAAGAGGTTTCCACGGCTTATTTAAGCCTTTCGAGAGTTGTTCGCGATATCCGTAAGAATACATTTCTTTGCAAACTTTTTCCAAGAGCTCTGATATCCAAAATTGATGGAATAGACCTAGAGGATTCCATGGCGAAAGAGATCGAGGTTTGAGGGCTTTCCATCGCGAGGCTCGATCTTTAAAGGGGTATAATTGGCAGGATCTCGGAGTATCGCGAACACGGAGGCCGTCGAAGCTTTCAGGAAGGTTTTCCTTGTCCCGGAGTAAACGATCAACTGAGGCCTCGGCAGTAGATTCGTCTGCTGGTCATGGAAACAAAGGAAAGGTCGGACCGTGTCGATCAGAACGTCGACTTCGAACGATGGGATGGCAACACTATGGCAACATGATGGCAACATGATGGTAACACGATGGCAAGGTAGGGTACACAAAGGCCCATCGGGCTTCATGCTTCTTGGAGTGCAGAACCCACTGCCATCCTCATTGACACTCTGGTATCCAAATTCTCCTTCGGGCTGCCAAATCAAGTGGCACTCTCCTTCGGTCACTGCTTCGACATGGGGCTGGACTTCAACTCCTGTCCTTCGGTCATCATGTCGACATAGGGCTGGTGTCCAACTTGTCCTTCAGTCACTACATCGACACGGGACTAGTGTCCAGCTTCTCCTTCGGACGGGAATTGAGCGCTACTGCCCATAAGCTTTGACATGCCAAAGTCCCATCGGGCTTCGTGCTTCTTAGAATGCAGAACCCACTGCCGTCCTCATCCACACTCCACAAGCTAGGAGTCCCTTCAGGATATCTGGCGTGCGAGATTAGTCCCTTGGACCCTATTTGTCCCAGAATGAGGACGTTCATCACGCTATTCACAGCGAGCACAGCACTCGATCGATCTTCGCCACCACATACGGACAGCTTCACCTCAGAGACAAAGGATTGACTCGCATTGCAGGTGAAGGCTGTTTCCAGTTTTGATTGAGATATGGTTTGGTGGCGTAGTGAAGGCGTTCTAAAGTGCAATCCCTCATTGAAAGAGGCTCGATTGGCTGTAAGACGGAGATTCCATTAAGCAGAACTCTGTTCTGGCAAATGTTGGTTAGTAAGTCGGTCCGTCCTATTGATGACAAAAAAGGTATGACTCACTCAGTGAATGGCCGGAGTAGCCCGCGATACCAAGACGTATATGTATATATATATATATAATATTTGGAGGGCCTCAACTCAATCACGGATGAATTCAACAGACACTTGAGAATGTACAAGGCCCCACCTAGACAGAGGCACCACCGGCACAATGTGCACTATTACCGAAAGGTGCTGCTGTAGAATTGTCGCGGCCGCTGGCACCACCATGTTGACAACCTCCTTCTGTTGCATCCCTGGTTCTCTCGATGAGGTCGAGGCTGGTAAGGTATTTTAGTTCGGGTAGCTGATTCGGCGATGGCATGGGTCCGTGCCACTCTACCCCGAAGGATGCAGCGGTCTCGTACGGCAATGTTGCGTGGCTAGGGGGGAATCTGGGAGTTGCTTGCCGACAAAGTGTTTTAGAGGATGGATTCTTGGGTGTGGTTGAAGGGACCTAGCGGTGGGGGTTGATCCACGATGCCCTGCATCAAAAGGCCTATGTGGCCGTATGGAAAGACGCTGAGGGTTGTTTCGCAACCCGCGGCCCCTAAGCGCACCATAATACGCTTTCTGCGTCACTCGATAAACGGTGCATCAGAATACGAGCGGCTCCTGCTTGCAGATCATGGCCCGTAGCTTGCAACCGGCTTCGTGAATAGTTTTGTTTCATCTCTTAAAGAGCCTCTCGAGATACATCGGTCTGTGATCTGAAGACGCACTCTTTTAGACAGCTGGAGAATGCAGTTAGCCTGCCCCGGTCCGCTTCCTCCGAGCTTTGGTCGCGAGAATACGAGTTAACTCGCTTTTCAATAGCCATGTGCAGCTGCTTAGACCATTTTCAGGGGTGATCTTCATGCTCATCTTCGTTGTGATTGCCGTCGCTGCTCTCGTTGGTGGTACTATTGTCGCTTGCGTCGTAGCTGACCTTGTCGCTAAGCCGTCACTAGAGTCGCCACCACTGCCACGACCGTGGACTAATGTAAGGGGGCGTGGCCTGTTGTATTTTGCTTTGCATGTCCGATCGCAACATCGCCAATCGAAGCCGCGCGTTGAGACGATATTGTCAGCACTGTTCTCGCGCCGTCATGTGTCTGTACCTGTCAAGGACTCGGCCTCTCACTGACCTGCATTTGCTGCCAGATCGGGTAGCCTGATGAAGATGAGACCTTCCCCTTATTGGTAATCCTTGGAAACTTCCATAGGTTGGTTACAGGATTCCTAGGACCATCGGATCAACTGTGTCAAGCCTCTCCCCTTCCAGGAGGGCGCCTTCGTCCCTCGTGATGAGAGTCCACTATGCAGCTGCGTCCCATCTAAATAAGAGATTGCTAAGGCGACCTTCTCTTCTCCCGAGATTGGTCGGTGCTGCAAGGTGGCCTTACGCTCCAGCTGGTCTTCCATTACCAGGATCCATATTTGGGCGGCATCCCCTTCGCGGTCTCCTTTGGACTTCGGTGGGTCCTTGAACCCTTGAATAGGCAGGCCGACGAGGTTGAGGAACCCGGGATTGGTGGTCGGACCTGGTCCACCCATTATTTGTCCTGTTGGTATGGCGGGCGTCGAAGTTCCTGCGTTTGTTGGACCAACGGAGGTCCCTTCGGGGCGTTGTTCACGTCTGGACCTACGTTCGGCGTGTGTGTGACTACGCAGCTGACAAGGAAGTGTTCGACAATGGACGTGACAGTCTGTCGGAGGCCTCCCTGGTCCACATATTGGGGTGGTTGCTGAGTATCTTGGGGGCGGTCGTCGTGTTGCCGTACCGCCTGAATGACCTCTGTCACTTGGTGTTCGAAGTTGGGAAGTCGCGCCACGGCGTCTTGCTTCCGGCGTGAGCGGAGCAATCGTCCGCTCAACCACCAGCGGCTGAGCAACTTCCATAGGTCAAGCGGTTGGCACGTCGGGAAATGAAACTGATGGCGCCGAGATACAGACAGATTGGAATGGCCGGCCGATGGATCTTCCGTCAACTTCAGATTAGCTGGGCAGCGCACTAGCTCCGAAGGTCGATGGAGGTAGACCTTGCTTTGGTGCCTTGAAGAAAATGCTGAGAAGGCCAAAATTGAATATGGAGGTTGTGAAGTCAACTTACATTACAAGACTCGACAGATCCAGCATCAGCTCTGAGTCCAGAGCTGCATGTTATATATATGTAGACAGGGTTTGGTTTCACCCGATTCGGAATCAGGATACTCACACTCTGCACCGCGAGGAGGTACCCGTCCAACGCAGAGCAGAAAAGAAAGGAGTCGTCATTGAGAGCGAGCAAATCGAGGAGACGCCACATTCTCTTTCCAAGAAGGGGTATCTGTCCATTCCACGTTATTCGGCACTCAACGGAAGGTTGGTCGAAGCATTCTCTTGCAGGGCGATTAACTAATAGTTTTCACAGTGCAGAAGTCCGGGCTGTCTGACTCGGGAAAGACATAGTGCAGCTTCAATTGCAGCTGCATCAGTCTCCGGCAATAACCGGTGTCATTCTCTTCGAGCATCGTCCATGTCTATCAAGGACGAGACATTGTCCACATTGAGAGAACGCATGCCCGGAGGAAGAAATATAGCTGGTCGAATACGTCAGGACAATGGAAATCTCTCCCACAGGCCTGTGGCAGGTCGACCGGGCCATCTATGGACGGCGCGTCGAGGTCGATCAAGTTCAGATATCGTGGAGGCGTATGGCCAGTGAAGAGCGGCCATGGAACGCGATAAATCAATGACAGGGCCTAAAGAACCCGATCAACGTTGATTTACAGGTAAATGGCCACGTCCAAAAGAGCCTAGAGAAGGAGCCGGCTGGGTTTTCGTCTGGTCTGGATTTGGGGACCGATACATTTGCATCAGTTCTGGAGGCTTTTCTACAAGCTGAGCGGTTGAGCGAAAATGCATGCTGTCAGTGTCAAAGACGCCCAGTCCAGCTGCAATCCCTGGCGGTGGATTCAAATCAGTCAGGCTCTGGGATAACCTGGTGTTGAGGCTCGGCGAGAAGCCACCAGAAAGGATATTCCGTCTAGGAAGCAGGTACTCGTCGTGGACCCGGACATGGCAGGTCATACTCTTTGGCTGAGGCTGTCTTCTCGACTGGAGATTGCGAACATTGTAGGGATCCTGGAGCTTTGGATCTGGAAGATGGTAGTTCACTTTGACAGTGAAGGGGCTCGCGTGTTGGGCTTTTTCGAGAGCAGCGCGAGATGAGAAGACGACATCCATCTCCAGCTGCTCAGCATTGCCAGGGACAACGGCGCGACGCGTCATAAAAGAGAGGACAGGGCCGAGGGACTGGAGCTTCTTCAAGACTGCCGTTGATTCACCCAGAGTAGTTGGAGCTGGGGAGATGACGAGCTGAGCAGCAAGCTGCTGGAGGGGGAGCTTTGTGATTGACATGAATCTGTGTCTCTACAGTCTGAGATTCGAGTCCTTGAGTAGAGGGGAGGGAGACCGAGAGTCGTGTGGCGGGGTATGGAGTGGACAGGCTCTCGAAACACACAACAAGGGGGGGGGAATGATTCGAGGTTTGTGAGTTTGGTGTGGCCGACTCGCCAAGTAGTTGCATCGAGCTTTGGCGTCAGAAGAGGAAGACGCGACTCGGCGAGACCTGAATTATTCCGACAATTGATCCGAGGAGCTGAGGAGCCGTTGGGAGCTTGGGGAGAACGTGACTCGCGACTCTCGACTCGGGCGACAAAGTCCTGCGCCCCCAAAAATAGAGGCCAGTGGAAGGGCCCCCACGTCCCAAGGACCCTCAGGCTGCGCAAGGCCCATGTTGGTGCAATGCTGGTATTATTCGCTCAGCCCACCACGCCCACCACGCCCATCTCAAACTCAACTGGCAGTTCGGGCAGCCCCGAGCCTCTGCCAGTTGCCTACCGGTCTTGCAGTCTCCTCCAACATCCGTCCCTGTGTGCCTACAAGAGTTAGAGCTGACGGGATCTACCAGGACTGTAACCAACTGTCTCAACCATCAAGCTTCTCCTTAATTCCATTCTTCTACCGGGTACACATTCGCTTTTCTCCTATTCTCTCGCTCTACCAAGGTATTCTTCTTCACTGCCCGCTGTCAGAACAACCGCCAAGTTTGAGTCGCCTCCACCAACCAAGCCAACGAGTCTTTTCCAGCTGCTGTTACTGCCTTGGCCCGCCAGCTTCGCCCGTTCCAGACGCGCTTTGGACCAATCCTCGTCTGCCACTCCCCTCCTCCTGAGTTTCAGCCGCACCCAGTTCCTCGAACCGAGTGAACCCTGCCTTCTGCGCTCCCAAGCCGACCCTGAAGCGTCGAAGCCATCACTTGACCCTCTCTGTCGCCGTCAAATCTTTGCAGTTCCGTCCCTGTATCACCGCCAGCCCTGTTTCCGTTCAGCGTTGGAACGTCGCTGAGCCGGACCACAACCGACCGTAGTTGTGGTAGCTCAGATCAATCCAGAGGCAACTTCATAACCAGCTGCGCTTCAAGCCGTCAAAATTCGCGCTCACGAGTCTCGCGCTTCCCTCCTCGGAGGCCAGCCTGACACCTATCACCCTTTGCCCGGAGGCTATCACCATCGCGGGGGTTATGCGATGAACGACTTTGACAAGAGAAGATCAAGATCTATCATGTATCGGCCAAATTCAAAATGGACATGGGCCTTCTCCCTTATCGCCTTGGTCCAGGCCATGATCATTCTGGCATTTGAGAGGTATGGCCATAATTGTCTACTCGACAATTGAACCACTGCTAACCATTTTTTCCCCCCCAGCTATGTCTTTGCTCACTTCCAGATACACCTCGAAAGCATCCCGGGCAACCAGACGTCGACTCGTACAATCCCGACATTCTTGACCTTGTATATTTTCGGATTTCTCTATCAGCTAGTCCTCGTCTGGGACGCTTTGCGGATGAAAAATACCATTCAGGTCATTGGCTTGGTCATGTACAATGTCGGCCTGCTCATCTATGGCTCCGTGCAGATGGACCAGATCAGAGAAGCAATTCTGCAGCTGGCCGAAGATGATTATATCCGTAAGAACATTTGGTCAGATACCGAACCATTTTTGATCGCCATCCCGTGCATTTTGGCGGTCGGCACAGTGCTCATGGCCGGCTGCGCCTGGAAGCTGTATGACGAATTTGCCTGGACAATTTACAAACGCATCTCGGCCGACTTGAGAATGAAACGACGCTATCTTCAATACCAGGTCTACATCGCCCTGTTGAAGTTCGATTTCTTCTTCTTCCTCGGATTTACTGTCCAATTCGTGGTCATTGTCACCCAACGACAAATCGAGTTCGCCCTCACCATTGCAGCTATGCCTGTCACCATTTTCATCCTTCTGGCTGCCGCCTGGTTCGTCCGGAAAGAGTCTCTCTTGGGCACCCTTGTTATTATTGTAAGTGTACACCGCCAATTTCCCCTCTTCGGCATACCCCTAATCTTGTACGTCACAGGTACTTTACTTCGGCGGTCTAGCCTATTTCATTTTCAAGATGGTCCGCATGTACTCCCCGGGGTGGGAAGTTCCTTATCTGCCGGCGCGAAAGGAACTCACCACTTTTGCTGTCTTGACCATCATCTTGATCCTTGTCACCATTACCTACGCTTGCGTTTGCGCACACAACTATAACACAGGACTGAAGCCCTATGTCAACAAGCCGCAGAACATCGAGGATGATGAGAAACCCATGGCAGGAAGCGCATATGCTCCTTTCGCAACTGAAATGGAACCATCGGGCAGCGGAAAACTCCCAGCGCCAAGGCCTGTCGCTAACCGGATGGAAATTGATTAAATGAGATGTCAAAAGCAGTGTCAGTTCTCTTTCTTGTGGATACCATGTAGCGGGCGTTTTCAATGGATGGTTCGTTTCTATCGTTTAAAACATTTGCGCGGCGTTCAATTCTTTCCCCCTGTCATGAGGAGTTCGGGCCTGGTATTGGCTGAATGAAGGATATACCTTGCAAATCGGGCACGAATTGGGTATGGAAATGTGAATGCAAATGCCAGTGGGAAGGGGGATGGAGGAGGCGTGGTAACGCCAAACATCGCTGTAACGAACGAGTACCTGTACCCTTTTTGGGCATATATGTCTCTAGGTTGGTAGAGAGGTAGGGAGATAAGGAGGTAAGGAGCCTGTTCACCTCAAACCTCAAAGCCCTCCAACGACTTGGTGGACGTTTCAAAGGGACGGCGCGCTTGAATTGAGTGATATGAAGTGAAGGAGAGCAGACATGTGATTAATACCAGTCAATAATTTTTCTCAGTCATTTTCTCATTCTTGGCTTCAATCTTCTCGAGGGCAAAGCCCGTTGCTACCAGTATGTTCTGCAGGTATGTAGTATCCGCCTTGGCCCTGACCTCAAGCTGGTGATAGACAGCACAGAGACACAGCGAGAAAGAGGGAGGGAGGGAGGGAGAGCGCGCACGCGCGCTTGTGTGTAAGATTGTGCAAGAAGGACGAGAAAGGAAACAAAAATGACAAGAAAGAAAGAACAGCAAAAATATGTATCTCTATGACGCCGAATCCAATCCAGTTCAATCCCTCTCCCGCACGCACCCCCGCCCACCCGTCCGAGAGATCTACTCGGCCATGAAAATCTGCAGCATCTGTGGCAAGTTGTGCCTCTTCTCCTCGACCATGTCGTCCGACACCTTCCAGAAGGCGGTTGGTCCCGCGGGGCCGTGCACGTCGTAGTCCTTGTCGAACCAGTTGCCCAAGATGCCGCGGGCGCTGCGCAATCCGCCGATCTGCACGCCCTCGGAGCGCCAGCGCTCTTCGCCATGGAAGATGGAGAAGGACGTCCAGCGGATCGCCTTGGTGGGGGTTTGGCGGACGGAGCCTGTGAGCGAGGTTTGTCAGCGAGGTTTGCATTCGGTCGGGAGAGCGGGAGGCGGAAAGGAAGCCAGGGAGGGAAGGAGGTGGGATAGGGGAACTCACCTCTTATCCTGGAATGCGCGTTGGGATCCCACGCCATAAAGGTACTCCGACTGGTGCCTTCGAAATACACCACCGGGAGCAAATCCTCTCCGTCTTCGCCTTTCTCCTCTTGCTCCTCGATCCTCGTGACGTGCAGCTGCAAGCTGATCAGTCGGAACGCCTCTCGCGTCGTGATGGGCTCCCGTTCCTGATCCATGGGAATGTCGATGTTTCTTTCGAAATTGAACCGGTACAGGTCATTGTAGTCGAGGAAACAGACGATGCGCATCCAAGTCCCCGTGACACCATAGGGGTCTAGTGCGTCCAGGCTGGGATTGGGAGCAAGTTTGATTTTCCCCGTAAGCGGGGACGATACGTAGCTGTCGGGCGCGATACCGGAGAAGGGGTTTTCCCAGGGTTTGAAGATGTTGGGTCGGGTTGACGAGGCTGAAGATCTGCTTCCTTCGCCCGTCGATCGTGGGGGAGAACCGCGGAGGCCGCCGAGGACGTCTGTGTCGCTCAATCCGCGTCGTTCGGTGTACATTCTGTGATTATAGCCAAGGACGATCATGATGGCCTGTACCTTCTCCCAATCAATACGTTGAGTGCCGTCGTCAGTGAAGGGTCCCCACATGTTTAGATGGTTGTATCGGCGCAAGTCGTACACTCGGGATCGTGCCCAGGGGTGCACATCTCGCATGGGACGTGGGTTGCTTCGGAGGAGATGACTTTCTTCTTCGCTTTGGTCATTCTCATCGAGGTCTGGGTCGTCATAGTCGTCATCGTCGTAGCTATCATCAAACGGGGCACGAAGAGGAGATACTGCGACATGTGGACACAATCGACCAGCCCCGGTCGGCCAAGGGGCGTCCAAGTTCGTGCCTGCCAGAACATGGAGTTGAGCGGAGAGTTGACGCAGTTCTTCCAAGGATGCGGCGGGCCATTGTCGAGGTCGGGCGCGGGCAAAGAGGCTAGATCTGCAGAGTATAGTGGTGATGTTGATGCCCTTTGCGTAGAGATTTGATAGGAAGTCGGTAATCTTGGTGGATGATGCAGTGGCTTGCTGGGCCAGCCTCAGGGTCTGTGTAAGCACTTCTTCCAGCGACTGGGTCTGCAGCACAAACGTTAGTGAGACGGGGATGGCTTGCTGAGACCAAGGAGCAGATCATGCCTTTATCTCGGCGTTATCCGATTCAAGGATCTTTTGCAGGTTCACCAGACGAGCCAGTCTCTCTCGCCAGGACTTGGTGTCGTCGTCTACTGGGGGATCCTGATGGTTCAACCCGGGTCAGCAGGCGGCTCCTCCAATATCAGATGACGGAGGGAGCCGGCCTCGACTCTTCTTACAAAGCGGGCCAGATATTGGAGTCTCCAGAGGAAGTCATCGTTTCTGATGCAGGTGTTTAGGTGGCGACATGTCCTCGCTAGAGACGCCAGGTCTGCCGGTTCAACGTTCTGGAAGATATTGTGTAGCACTTCAGGAGCCAAGTCCAGGAGTTGGTAGTGAGCCATGGCGCGAGATGCAGTGGGGGCGCCAGCGCGGGGGGGGAATAAACCAGCGGGGAGGGGTTAGAATCGAGGGCCACTCGGCGGTCTGCTATGGTATATCTCTGTACTTAATCTTGTGAAGACATCGACGGAGAATTTCAGACTTCGATCATGTTTCCGATGAACCAGATGAATGGAGACCACAGTGAGTTGATGGTGAGAGATGGTGGTGGTCCGTCGAGGGTGAAGATGCGGTTGGAATAAAAGACAGATGCCGGTGTTTTCCCGAGCATTTCACGGTTCGGAGATAAGGGCTCATCTCCACCAACACCCATCACTATATTAACTACGATATCCACATATCCATCTCTCCTCGAGGTCACTTCCATCTGACTCGACCTTCGGATAAGCACCCAACAGACCTATATCTCAAATACATACTGCTGCCGGTAGGATGAAACCCCTCTCGCCTGCAGACTTGGCTCCAGCTCCAGCCACAGTTGGCTATGTCTCGACTGGTCCGCCTGGCCCGTCCACAGAAACTGGCTTATAGTCCCTTGGTACTGATCATAGTCCAGCAGCCCGTGTCTGTGGCATGCCTTCCCCAGCATAAAGACGAATGATGCGTGAACAGCTGCCAGAGTACTCGTCAGCGCTCCCGTCGACAGAATCCATATCAACATGGCCGGTGCGAAGTCCAACTCTGTGAGGTCCTCGTCCATGGTCAAGAGCGTGTCGTAAAGCTGTGTCGACAAGACACTGAAATGTCGGTACTTGAGCGGGTTGCCTCGCAAGTGGTGGTGGGTGAAGAGCAACGCCGCCAGAGACACGGCCCGCCAAACCGTCGCGTCCCACCGATTGTTCCCCGGTGCAGTGTCCGCTTGGACGATGAGTCTCAATTTTCTTTCTACCCGATGGAACATATCACCGCGCCGCATCCTTCCCTCTTCACCAGTGGTGCGTAGGGGGTTGGTTTGCTCCGCACCACACAGATTTCGAATGTCGTTTAGGAGATCTAGGACCTTGTGACGAGGAACGCCCGCCGCCCTCAGCTCGGCGCGGCTCAGACCTGGCAATGCTCCAGACAAGTTGCGCCGCTGAAAGGCTGCCCATGATTCATCCCACACCTCGATTGGTGGAAATCGCAGTTTTTCGTCAAAGACTTCCGAGTATATTAGATCGTTCCAACTGATCAAGCGTTGCAAATGTTGCTGAACCCCCGAACTCAGAGACGACATGCCGCCCCGCATTTCCACAATGGCGTGCAATCCTGCCATATGCTTAGTGGCCTCAGCGTATGAATCCATCACAAGGGCAATATTGGTCAGGGCTGCCACCGCCGCGATGGTTTCATCACTCGCGGCCTGTTGCGAATGTGACAGACGGTCGTTGATTAATGAGATGGCTGCCAATTTATGTTGGAGTGTTTTCGTTTCTTCCTGAGAGTCGGGAATTGGTCGGCGATGCCGGAAATGCACTCCCCAGCTGTACATTGTCGCATGAAAGACCAGCTGGTCGCTAATGGCGAATTCAGACCATGTACTCTGTCCATTGATCGGACACCACGGGTACCTTTCATAGTGGCGGAACAGGTAAAGCCTTGCGTCGTCCTCTTCCGTCAAGCGGACCGGTAGGACACCGAAAACATCGATATTTCGCGACCCAATCCACGTCACCGGCATCCCAGGTACAAATCCGGACTCGGCGGCTCCCTCCCGCCGCGTGCTGACAAGAGATTCTGTCTTGTCTTTTGGAAGCTCAGTCCCGGCGTCTTTATCGCCTACCTCTATCGTCCGGTCGGTCTTCTTCTTACCTTTTCGAAGTCGGTGGGGATATCTTAGCTCCAGCTCACCAGATCGCATTCTAAACCTCATCTTCTGCCCGCCAGTTGCAGCAGCTCTTTGTCTGTCAGTCTGCAGTCTGTTTCCTGCAAACGAAACCACAGTGGCCTTCTTTGGGTCTGCCGTTTGTTGCTCAGCATGACTTCGTTCCAGATAATTGTGCATAACATGTGCGCGCAGCGTTCGGAGCTGCTTGCGGTCCTTCTGCTTTTGACCCGTGGACGCGACGAACAAGAATCCCCCTTGTGCAAGCGCATCCTCTGGCCCTTCTTCGGACCCTTGTTGGAGGGCATTTGCAGTTTCACTAGCTGAAGGACTGCTCACTTCGGGATCTGGCCTCGATCGGGCCGATGGTGCCATGTTGCTGAATACTTAGATATGGATTTGTGTTTCGACAGTATTCAATCCGTCAACTTCGGTGCTCGGTGAGGTTTGCTGCTTCATCCTCCAGCAGTCGTTTATCTCAAATATGCAAAGGGATGATCTGGTCGTACAGCCTCAGCCTGTAACGATGGTACATACCTCGCTTGCTCGCGCCACATGTTGGTAGGAGGCTACCGCTTATGTAACACGACCGAAAGGAGGATTACTCATCAAAGTCTCTGGTGCACCGTCACCCGTCCATGCCCCTGAATCGCATCATCCAGTTAAGATTTCTGAAACACCTCAAAGCACCTTCAGCCACGCCAGATCGGGCAGTAGTTCGTTGCTTCCAACGAAATCCACCGCGACAGACCTCGTTACATAACCCGCAGCGACATGCAGATACTTACCGAGTAGATTCCCGAGGAAGCACCTTCCAGCAAGATGTACTCGCTAACCAGTTGAAAGATACCGAAGCTCAAGCGAAGCTTGGGGTACCCAGGTACTAACCTTGTTGAGCAAACGTCCATGTCGATGGCGGATTCGTATCCTGGCATATGGCATAGGAGAAGGACGGATGAGAGTGACCGGCAGTTCAAGCTTGAAGAGGAAAACAGCTGGACAGGGCTAAGGAAAGCGACGCTTAAGATGGCTCCCATGGCCCCCCTGATCAGGACATGTCCAGGAACTAAGCACGAGCTCGTGTCGTGACAAGAGCTGCTCTTCGCACAACCTCGCCGTTCAGCAGCATCCTCACAGTACTTGTACTCATAAGTATGATCAGGCGTCCTTCTCTCCAAATATGCCACCTTTTATTGAAAACCCCCCCTGATAACAGCAAGTCCGCTGGAAGACGGGTTTCGGACCCCGGCGTGCACAGACCAATTCATCAGCCGCGTAACATGGGATAACGCGGCCACCCTTATGCATGCGACAATATCTAGCGACCAAAACAATTCCACGGTTGCCCTTTTCGATACCGAGTACTACCCCAAGTCTGAATCTCTCTTGATAGGCGGCTTCCCCAGTAATACGGGGAACAACTATTGGTGGTGATTGCCATCCACCAATATCATCACGGTGATCAAACCCCCCCCCCCCCTCTGGGTCATGTCCTGCACAAGGCTGTCCACTCATCCACGGCCATGTCGCAACGTGGGCCGCAAGAACCCAAAAATATTGGAGACTCCCTTTTCATCCAAAGCCTGCGATGCCAATCTCCGGGCCATCGGGGCTACTTACAGTAGGTTATCAAAGAACTTTGTCGTCATCAGCAAGTGATTGTTGTTGTTGTTGTTGATGTTTCGACCCATCCTTGCCGTGTAATTACGCATGGCAATAAGAACGTGACTTCCAACCTTGTGTTTTTTTGTTTTCCAGTCGTATACCCTGCAAACCTCTACAGCCATGCCGCCGCCGCTGCCGCTGCCACCGCCGGTGGTCAATGGGACTCTTCGTGGCTGGCCTGGTCCTTCTGTAGGAGAAGGAGTTGGTGGCGTTATTGATCTCGCCGATGGCGGTGCCGCCGCGTCGCTGCCTTCGAAGACCGGCCTCCCCTATAGACTTTCGGACCATCGCAAGAATTGGGCCATTTGGTTCGCCTGCTTCTGCTTCGACGGCTGTGTGCTTCCCATCATCCTGTTCTACGCTCTTTGGTATGGGTCTACTCTGACCCATTGGACAAGTATGCATGCCCACTTCTCTTTCTTTTTCTTCTCCGAATCGCAAAAGGTTGCAACTCGTTGCGTCCAGAATAGTCCAGACCAGCTGACTTTCCCAACTCCCTAGTTTTCACGCTGATCACCTCCCTGTCCTTCTGGACCTCATACCACAAATGGTGCGTCCTTTGTGAACGGGGGGTGCTCCAGATATTCCGAAAGGTTAATAATTGTTTGAAACAGGTTCTCGCGCGGCTATCGGCTACTGATCAAGCGCGATCCAAAGTACAGACCGATCAACGGGGGTCGGTGGTGGTTTGACTGCTCGTATTACGTCCTGTCGGTGGCGCTGGGTATCGTCATCGTCGAGCTCGTCGCCGCGACGGCGACAAAGGACGTCAAAGTAAAAGTCATCGCCATGGCGCCGCCGTCCGTCCTGTACACCGTAGCCGGCTACACGCTGCTGCAGAACGCGGCGCACTGCCTGCGCATCCGGGCGCCCGTCACCCTCTCGTCCATCAAGCGTGGCTCCCTGACGCCGCCCCCGCTCTTCACCGTCATAGAGGACGTCTTCGCCGTCGACGGCTGCCATCTGGGCTTACCGGCCCGGCACGCAATGCTCGCCACGTACAATGCCAGCGCGAGATTTCGCAGTACGCTGATGTGGTGGTCATGGGCTTGGTGCCTTGCCTGCCTGGCCGTCGCGGCCGGCTTATCTATCGTGGTAGGGCTCACGGAGGGAACAACCGGCTTCGGAATCAGTAAGTTCTCTTTTTTTTTTGCTCCACGATTTTGCTCCATTTTTCGAGAGTGATGCGATTGGAACGAGAAAAGAACTAACCTACGTTTGACCTTTTTCTTTCTTCAGCTTACGGCGTCTCTTTCCCATTCATCGTGTTCATGTCCGTCGTCACCGCATTCTGGATGGAAGCCGAAGACGCACGAGGTGCCTTCGCGGCGCCCGTGGGCCAAGGAAAGGCCCTGCGGAGTGTCTTTTCTGGCGCAAACGGCAGAGCTGTATAAGCCAGCCAGGCAGGCAGACCGAAAGAAAGGCAGATAAACAGCGACGACGCGGAAATGTATGGAACCCCCAACCCTCCACATCCTCCCGGATACGGCCGGAAAGCTATACGCACCACCTTCCCCCCTTTCCCCGTGGTGCCGCTGATCGGGGCTTTCACCTCCACAGGCAGCCAGCCAGACAGGCAAAGACATACTTTCCTTTGAAGACGCCATAATAAAATGGTTTCTCATCCATCTGCGGGGGCCACAATCGGGGAAAAGATGAAGATGATCATGTCATGATCGGAGGACAGTCGATGCGGCTCTGGCGAAGCAGAACAGGGCTCGCGATATGAGCTAGCTACAAACATTAATCCAAAGTGCATCGTGCGGCATGCATGATGCATGGTCTTCTGGCCGCGGCCATCGACGATCGACGTGCACGGCCAAGTCCTAGTCCAAAGTCCAAAGAAAAGGAGAGATGGGAAGGGGAAAGGCGCACCTCAACCAACTACCGGATCCTTCAGAACAGCCATGGCGCAATGGCGCAACCCAGGTCGAGGTTCCTACATAGTAGCATGTCGCATTAGCTCGGCCAAAAGTCAAAGCTCGCGAGGCTGTCGAAAGAAAAATGGGGAGGCAAGAACAGGAACGACGTTTCCAGGAAGCCCAACGCCTTCGGTTTCCGCAGTTAACGGGGTCGCAGCTTATAGCTTCAAGATGCTGGCCAAACATCGCCTCGCCAATAACTACTCGAACTTTTTTGGTGGCAGTTGGCCCTCTTCTGCATCCTCTAACATGCCGACTATTTTCACTATATTTGTGCGGCATCCAAGCTCCATGCCACCGAGGGCATTTTATCCTTGTCTGGAAGCTGTGAGAACTCCGTGAGCCGTTTCTGAGCCCTTGCCAATGCAGTCATCCCCTCGTGATCTGTTATTCCCAGGTCCACACCCGGTTTCAAAAGCGCTCTCACGACGTATTCTGTACCCTTTGTTAGCTGCTAGACGAAGCGGCGTGCTCCCGGTCTTGTCCAGTCGATTGATTTCCGCCCCCTTTTTGGAGAAACCGCTCTACCGTCTTGTCTCGGCCCTTCCTTGCTGCGACTTGAAGCGGAGTGCATCCTTCTTTGTCCTCAGCATTGATATTGGCACTTCTCATCAACGGCGTTACCACCTTTTCGCGGCCTCCACCATGCTGCCCAGTGGAGGGGAGTCATCCCGGCCTGGTTTTTTGCGTTGATCTCTGCGCCTCTCCCAAGAAGTAAGTCAATTGCCTTCTCGACAGCTGTATCGTTTTGAACCTGATCTATCAGGCAGATCGCATGCAAAGGAGTGTCACCGTGCATGTCAACCACATAAAGATTGGCCCCAGCTTGAAGCAAGCTCTCCATGACGAACGCATCCGAGCGGAATGATGCTGCATGAAGTGGTGTCCAAAGACCATAGTCTCCCGTCGACACATTTGCCCCAGCTTCAATCAAGAGTTTTACTATAGAGTGTGAGGCTCGTTGGGCAATAGCCTCCAGTAGAGCGGTCCGACCAGTCCCTCGTGGCTGGTTTCTACTGCCGTATGCAGAGGCGAGACATCAAGTTGATCGTATTTTGCCTGGATATTCGCTCCATGACATAACAAAAATTTGACAATCTCGTCATTGCCAACCGATGCAGCCACCAAGGGTGCGAAGCTCAAGTGCCTGGGCCAACTTGTAAACCTCTCTCTAGGTCTCGGTTTTGCCCAAAGTTTGAGTGCAAGCCCTGACGGGCACAGTGCAGTTGCAAGTAAAAAGTGACGACGGGACAAGCTGAAAAGTGGGTCGTGCCATAGGTACTGACGATCGGGGAATCTCAATGTATCGAGAATATAACTCGAGAAAAATTGCATACCCATCGATTCATCGAAGAAGCGAACAAAAGCTTCGCGACCTTGCTCGGTGAAAGTCTGGGAGGCTCGTGCATGAAGCTCCCAATGTGCCCTTGCATAAAATGCTAGCGGCGTCATCTGAGACCGCACCCACTGCCCGTACAATCTGAGTTGCCCCTGCCCAAGACGTTGAGGCACCTTATTGTGATCTCGTTGGTTCCCATGTCTGGATCAACTTGGAACTGTTTTGCTCCAGGGTGAGTAAGATAGCCTTTGGCGGTATGATGCACCAAAACAACACGTTCTTCAATAAGGTAAGGAGGCCGCAGCTGCTACGCCGAGCACATCTAGGCCAGACGCCATCGGCATGCCATCGACGACTTCTTGATCTCTGACAGTTTTCGCATACGCGTATCCTTGTTGGATCTCTGATCCAGGAGATAAAGACATAGATGCATTACTAAGTAGACATCAGATAAAGAATCGTGAGGTTGTGGTCGTTTGCAAGGGTGAGCTGGAGCGAGCTCAAGTGTGCCTGGCGAGCGGCCTCAATGGCTGCCCTTGCACCATCACTAGCGCCTTGGTAGCCTCGTGGGGGTCAAAGAGCCTGGCATCGTTTCCAAGAACATAACGTGCTCAGAGTAGATAAGAGAGGTGTTCAATCAGAATCAACTAGCACGTAGATGGAGGGGATAAGTAAGGCGGAGGGAGTACAACATCGCTACTGGAACTTGATTGGAACACCTAACGCTTTGAAGGGGCGCCGAGCGAGACTCCCTCCCCGTGGGTCACTGGAAAAGTTGGGCAGGCAGGCCGGTCAACTGAAGGCGCCTTACTGACGCGCGCAAGTACCTGGCTAAGTACGGAGTGGTCGTGTAACTAAATACCAGATTCACAGTGACGCCTTGAGCCCCGTGAATGACATGGAAGGCTGATACTCCGCAAACTAAAGGTACCGATACTTCCACCCAAAATGGGTTCGCACTGTTACAGGTCACCCTCGTACTCTTGACTCCAAATCCTCGAGCCCGAATCAAGCCCCCGATGCTTTGTTTCCGCCACGTAATACCGATTCGCCGTCTATCTCCGCCTCCTGGGACCTGTGCGAGAAATGAATCAAGCTCAAAACCACAACAAAGGAAATCTCATTCCCTGAACTCCACGCTCAAATCAAGTTGCAAGTCCACCATCGTTCGTAAATCTGATCCGTCCTTCATTGAAGTCTTTCAAAAGGTTCTCGGCCTTATTCGGTGCCACTAACACCATATCTATACGTGCCACACAGACCAAAGACCCAACCCGCCTCCCTCGTGCCCGGAAATTGCATCATATAAACCCGTTGATTGCCCAAAGTCACACCGCCTGTATCTGCAATGACATCGTCCTCGCTCCAAGTTTTCAGAGCAATGCCAGTCTGCATAACTCGCTCAAAGCAGCTTTCACCCAGCACACTGTCCAATAGGACAACGTCGCGGTTCTTGTTGCGCGTAATGAGAATGCGCTTCTCCCGACCATTACCGTGGATTCGGTGCGGTGTGTGGTTTGAGCTTGGAAGGCGAGGCCCACGGTTTTGTCCTCGTTGACCGGCAGATGTAACGTTGGATGGAGATCGAGGAGGGCCGCCTGTTGCTGGTGGCGATGCCCCTGGGGTCACTACCGGTCGATTCGGTGTGGTTTGGCCACTTTCTGCTGCGGCCGATGGTGCTGGGAGGACTGTGAGACGGGCGGCTCCCAGGTTTTCCCAATGTTGTCCCTTCCTGACGTATAGTCGAATTTTCATATTGTTGACCATGCCCCCTCCTTCTGCTGCAGCTGCACTTGTCGATGGGACATTGGGTCCATCCTTTCCTGGTATGAAGCCAAGCTGGCTGGGCGGCGGTGTGCCTGAACCCGAGCCTGTTCCGGTCCCACTGCTGGAGGAATACAGAGACCCCCCAGTGCCACCACCACCATCTTTGTGAATCACCGACGATCGGTTGAGATTGAAGGCGCTACTAACGCCAAATCTCTTTAGAGCTGAAAAGGCGCTTGCCACAGTACCCGAGCTCTCCACTGACATGTCGATGGAGGCAGGTGTCGGTGCAGACGACGCCCGATAACTTGACTTCTTCTGACTCCCGAAGCTGAACCATGAACTCGACCTCGAGCGACTATGCTGAGCCTGTCCAACATTGAATGTGACTGATGGTTGGCGACTGGGCCGTGCATTTTGCAGTTGAATATACGTTGGATTGTTGCACCGGGCCCAGTTGATCATTCCATACAGTGCTTCACACTCTTCCGGATTCCGCGAACGAAACATGACATTATTGGCCGTTCTGATCTTGGAGTTCGCGGTGGGAGGAGATCGTATTGAAATATCCAATGCAGTTCCCCTACGTAGCGGAACAATTGGGGTTAACTCGAAGGCTACCAAGGGCTGTTGAGAGACGGAGTGCTTTCTTGATTCTGAGGCTTCAGAATAACGGCTGCATAAGGACATTTGGGGATCAGAATGAGCCGCCGACATCTCGAAGGCTTCGATCAAACCGGGAGAGATTGCGATCGAACACTCGTCAGGGTAAATCTGTTCCCACATGCCCTTGTCTGACCAGGAGCATATCAAAGCAATTGTTTTCGCCTTCTTGTTTGCTGGGATGGTGGTTGAAGAAGGAACTTTCCGATAGGGACCCTGCGAAGCAGAGTCGGAGGGAGCTAAAGTTCGAGTTCCGGTGGATTTCATCGAGGGCGGAGGTAGAAATTGTTTTGAGGCCCGGCCCTCACCGGGAGTGATAGCCACAAGAGGTGTTGGTACATCCCCGTGCTCCGATAACAGATCTTCAGAGGTGTCAGACGAGAAACCGTCCTCGCTCTCTGAATCATACCCGGAGCTGTCGGAGGTTGTGGATGGTTCGTATTCATGCTTCAAGGGTGAGGAAGTCCGCCGCTTCACCGTCTTGTCTGATGGACTCGGAGTAGGTTTCAGTATTGGGCTGGGCCGGTTGCTTGATATGGGTTGCAGAATGCCGGAACGATGAGGGGGGGTTGCCGGCGGGGATGAAGTTCCAGTACTGGGTATTGAGGGACGATCTTGACGTGAGCTGTGAACTGGCGGGGTCGGTGTATCTTCAGTATATAACTGGCTTCTGGTCGAACTCTTATGTTCCCGCTTTGGCCGCTGCTGTCGCCGATCTGGCTCAGGCGTTGGTGGCTCTGCCCCTGGAGATTGTCTCACCCGTAGGGACGAAACCGAATTGGCTTGGGGTTGTTGGGTGCGAACCTTGTTGACGGTTGGCAGGTCTCTTGACGGAGTAGATGACACTGCTCGATGATATTCTGGTCTTTGGGGTGATGTTTCGAGGAGAGGCTTGGATGAGGACAAATCACTTTGGGCAGCCGGCAGCGACAGCTGCGAGTTACGCAACGAGGATTCCGTTGCACTTGCTCTTGAACTCCGTGTCTGGTGTGAAATTGTAGAACTCTTCCAGTCACCGCAGACGTTATCTGGCCCACTGAGCTTTGGCAAGCTCGCATTCTTGCTGCCCTCCACATGATTTCTCGGCTCCTCGGAAGACTTGGGAAATAGCGGCTGAGGAAATCGCCATGCTTCGGGATTTTTGGTTTGACTTGACAGGTAGCCAAGCTTGGTTGATGCAGTTTTGGATGATGATGAGATCGGTGTTGTGAGAGAATCCCTTCTGGAACGGTCTGAAATCGTGGATCGATCCGAAGATACGACTGATGGGACCGGACGCCTCGGTGAGATTGTCGATGGCGTCTGATGCTGCAGAACAGGCTTTGACGCAAGTCCACCCCCCAAATTTAACCGCGGCGACGGCCTGTCAATCAGAGGCCTGGTATATTCTGAACGGCGACTGAACTCGCTACGCACTCCAAGAAGAGAAGGCTCGCCAATGGGCACATCTGGATATTCTGGCGTAGGACCTATGTCGGCGGTCTGACTGGGGACTTTCGAGGTTGAAGGCTCGGATTCAGTCGCTGTTGCCATGGCCAAAGGTGCAGGTCGTCTCACAAAACTCGGGGTGCGGTTCAGCTTCGGGGGCAGTGGGTTCGAACCGAGCATGTTCAACCATTCCGTCACAGCTTCTTTATCATCCGTCTTCAAGGCTAACAGTTCGTGCCATTCCTGACCTATACCTGCTCGGCCCCGGACCATGATGACGAGATCGAACCCATCCTCACCACGCCTGGAAGATATCGAGTTCAGCTCAATTGGAGCAAAGAGCAGCCACTTCCCTGTGCCATCAATTTCACAAACCAGGACATCACCACCAGTCGGCTCACCACGGACGTTGTCTCGCAAAATCAATTCAATGCTACAATCCATTCGTTGGCCACTGGAATGATAGATTGTGAGGTTGAAGACGTCTCTTGCCTTGACGCAGCGAGTCTTATCGACAGTGATATGCGCCGTCGCTGCCATTGTCTTGATATCGCGAGCTCGGGTTGCGTCAATGTTTGCAGCTGCTTCATCTTCCAACCTGGCTTGTTCTTCCTGATTCCGTCTCTTAGCAAACGCGGTCAGATCAGCATAAGCATCGGCCATCCGCGCAGCAAGAGGCATATCACATTCATTCCGGATTCGATTGAACGTCTTGCTCAGCCCCTTAACTCTCACAAGCGGTCTTTTCAGCAGATATGCAACGTCCACCTTCTTGCCCGCAGCGTCCACTAGGTCGCCCGCTTCGTCCCTGGCCATGCCCTGTTCTAGAGCTGTTGAGCCTTCAAGTGGTGCAAGGTTGACAACGACATCTTGAAACCCGAGCCTCCAAGCTTGTAGATAGTCTCTATATGCTTTTTCAGTTGTTTGACCCCAGTTGAGAAGACTGTCCAGGCTCTGGGAGGGAATGCGATTATGCAGAGCCTTCAATCTTTCAAGGGCAATTCCCATATCAATGATGGGCCTCGTGATGCTTGCGCCATCTTTTTGCGCTAATGACGTGAACAAGCCCGCCGCCGCCGCCGCATCTGTTTTGGACAGGAGGCATTGGAGCAGGACTGGTATGACACCGTCAACCAAAGTTCGTAATTCTCGTCCATACCTTTCTTCGTCCGCTACCACCCCGGCGAGAATCTCTTGTGCTGAACTGGGTTGTTGTTTTGCCTGTGCCTTTGTTCTCGCACTTCGCCTCGAACGACGGACCCAGGTGCCCCTCGGCAAAGATAAAACTGACATCAAATCTTCGTGAGTGGTTAGCTTGCGTTGAAGGTCACAAACATCTCCTGAAACCTTTCCTTGGGGCGGCGGTTCTAAATCGGTTTCCTTGAAAGTCTCCACGGATGGTATTGTTGGAAGTCGATGCAGACCGGTAGGGGGGCAGGGTCGCTGAGGCAGGCTGGCAGCTTTTACTGTCGTATTCTCAGCTAGCGGAACTTCTGGCAGCGACGCTGTGAGTTCTGGAGAGCTCCCATCCGGCACCATCTCCTTCCTGGAAGGCCCTCGCTGACGGCGAACTCTTGCACCTCTCCGCCGAAGGGTGGACGGCGAGCCATCGTGCCCGTCCTGAGCATCGTTTGCTGGATCGCTAAGGTTCGAAGCGGAGGTCTGGTTAGCATTCGGCGATGCCATCGAGTCACCTGGTATTGGTGTATGCTGGAGGCTAGATTCGGTTTGCTGCGGTAAAACGGAATCCCATATTTGATTGGGATCGGGCGTGATGGGCTTCTCAACAGAGGATCTCTTCTGGTGCGTACGTTTTCTTAATGGTTGGGGCACTTCGACCGGTGGCAGATCGTCCAGACCGTCCTTATCGACGAATGGGTCAGGTTGCTCGTCAAGCCATGCTTCAATACTGGGTATCCTGTTGCTGACAGTAGGCACAGTCTCTGACTTCATAAACATGCCTTTGGTTTTGCCCAATAGTCCGCCTTTCCTTGATTTTGGGGCGTCTGCATCCAGGGAAGCATCCCCAGGCCTTCCTAACAGCTCGGCATATTTGCTAGGTCTCCGATCGCTCGGAACACCCTTCTCTAGCCTTATTGATTCATCGAAGTATCTCCCAAAGTTCCCAGATAAAATAGATTCGGTGGTCAAGTGCCGAGCCAACTCGTCGTCCACTCGGCTCTCAAGATCGCAAAGAGGTGGCAATTCCTCCCCTTCCGCTATGGCATCGTCTGGAATTGTTGTCACCCTAATGCCATCGTCATGTGGCAGGGTTTGTCCCGCTCCTTGGCCGGCGCTCATACGCTCTTGTGTTTTGGATCGTCGTCTCCTTCTGTTTTTCTCTTGATTGGAAGTGTAGGAAAGGTCGTACTGTCGTGACTCCGATCGTGGGTCGACGGCGGGCTTCGGATCCTTGTTGTCCTTATCACGCTTCTGAGTCTTCCAGTGACTATCACTGATGATGCGCCTTCGCGGAGCACTGGAACTCCTCTCTTTCTCTTGACTGCGTTCATCTTTGGCTTTGGTTCTTCCGCTGACACGAACTCTGAACTCGCTTCCATATTCCGACTCCGGTCTCGATGAAGCAGAGGCGCATTCGGAGGTGGGAATCGATCGGACGCTCACTGCATCTGGGGCCAGTGCGTTTGCTGCACCTTGAGCCTGCCATTGTCGTATGCGGTCTTGGACAGAAGGGGATTCGTAGAGCCCAACGGGACGGGATGATTCTACATTTTGGGGGTTTGGGGTAGAATGTGTGTTGGAGAGGTTGTTTCGGGAGGTTCGTCTAACGGAGTTTGGAGTTGAGTCTGCTCGCATTGACGGATGTGCGTCTGATGCTGTGTTGTGGCCGCGTTTCTATATCATCAATTCGTGGCTGTCGCTCGAACCGGAGAGTGCGTTTTCGTTGGTTGTGAGGACCATTCTGCAGGCATATTGAGGTCGGCTTTGGTGTACAGAGAAGTTCGTGAGATGCCTATGCAAGGTAGTTGTGGCACGGACGCCTTTCCTTGGGCAGAATTAACTCCAGATGCCAACGGTCAGAAGCTCGGAACCACCACTGCGTTTCATGCAAGCTGCAGGTGAACGATGTGCCAACTGGCGGTAGCGCAGGTCAATATGCAGGTTGCGTCAAAGGCGCCAGCTCGCCGGGTCGGATAAGACGCGGTGGTTACCAGGGCAACCGCTGAGATCGATTAACGAACACGATCCAGGTTAGGAGTATACAAGCTGTAGATCGCATGCTCGAAACGCAGGATTATCATTATCTAGTGCGCAGGTCGATTGACACTGTAAGCTACCGTGCGGCCTCTATGTATCGTACCTTGCTTACAATCAAGACCAGTTCGTGCGAGTTCTTGGATTCTCCACCGCCTGTTGCGGATGGAACCAGTTCTGGTCGAACCCGGCGAACGCGTGCTTCATGCCATTCGACCACTGTTGTTGGACGCCACCCTCCTTTTGATCGCACCCATCATGCATGTTTGATATGGCCGTTGGCTTTCGGTCTAGTCAATGTGCTATTTCCTTGCAGTGAGTGCGATATCCGATCGAGCGCTTTGAAAGCTTTGGCCGTGATACGCAGACTACTTGCAAGTAGGACTTGTCGATGTCAGCTCTGGACGGCCAGTTCTGAGCGGGGGAAAACTTACGTGCTGGAATGACAATCCAGAAGAAGTTCATAAGGAAATAATAGCACCAGAAATAGTACGGCTCCGGTCGGCAATAGGTCAAATTTTTGTGGTAATGATCGAACATGGAGGTTGCGTAGTATAGAACGTCGCCATAGATCTGTCCGAGCGAAACGGTTGCCTGAAGTGGATAACGCAGCGGGTGGGAGGTGATGATGAAGTACACCATCAAGAAGGAAAGGGGACCCCAGAAGACCTAAGTCACGTCAATACTGTCGTGAAACTCTCCCTTTTGTTGTTTTTGCAGAGTCTGGACCATACCGCCGTGATGGTCTCCATGCACAAGACAAAGGGATCCGAGGTCAGATAGCGCGAATCTGACAACGAATATTCCTTCCACAATTGACCGAAAAGGTCTTGGAGACCGCCCATGCGAGTGTGATTGTAGGCGAAGTAGCCTTCGAAAAACAAGTGGATGAAGCCGCCTTTTCAATGTCAGTGTGCACTTCTCTCAGTTACATGGCTCTTTTCATACACAAACAAAACCACAGCGCAATGACCTTGTCCACAACCCTCAGACGTGGTGCGAGACTCGAGGTAAGGAACCATGTGAGCGAGAGGATGATTGTGCAACCGGTCGCAAAGGTGGCTAATAACTCGGGGACAGACATTTCGTTGGCGGCGAAGTTGACGATTTCAATCTCGGTGGGATAATAGGGATGGATTGGTTTGGTCACCACGACCTTGGGCTCTGGAGGAGGTACCGGCGGAGGGGACGCCATCAGATTCTTCAAGAAATCCATCCTGGTGGTTGACGGTCGACAGGGCGAGTTGGAAGCTTCAGGTCTAAGGGATGGGTGACGAGAGGTCTCGCAGGCAAAAAGAAATGAAGGCAACGAGAATCAACCAGAGTTGAGAATTCCCAAGCGCCAAACTCCTCGTCGACGACAACAAAGAGTGAACAATATAAATGAGTGATGAATTGTCCTGACTTGGGAGACCAAAAGGCACTGAAGTTGCCTGCGTGAATGGAAATGAAATGCCATGGCACCAATGGTGCTGTACCGAGATTTGGGCCTCGTGAGCCATAGCAGTAGTACTCGTGCGAGCCGAGTCGTGTCATTATTCCGCTGGACGGAAGGGCATACGAGCTTAGGCAGCATCTGGCATCCTTAACCAGTTGCCCCCGTCACCCCCATCGCCCCCCGAGCTGGTCCCGACTCACTACCCAGTAGTAGAGCGCCACTGGAGCTACACCTGATGCTGGTGTGCCCTGCCAGCCCTCCACATGTTCCCCAACTCAAATTGGAGATCTTTCGAATATCAACTCATTATTCCAGAATTCCTCGAGTCCCCTTCTCCCTTCCCGATGTCATGCAAATGCGCAGTTCATCCGCCAAGGTCAGAATTCCTTGATCATCCCTCGTTTCTCCCGTTTCTGAACTGCTCTGCGGGTCACTCTCCCACGGCAAGATGGATGACTGACATAGGTGGCTCAGATCGCCCCGGTCTTGTCCATCCATTTCTTCAAGGCCCGTTTTCATGAGATCCCATCTCTCAAGTTTGCCATCCCATCCAGACTATCAGAATTCTCCCCAACGTTTGGCGCGGCTCAGCTGTCTGGATGGCGTTCGCCTCTCGCTCTCACGGGTGGCCCTTTGTCCGTGGCGATGCCAATCATGATCTCCATCTCCCACATGTTCCTGGAAAAGTGGACTGTTGTTACTTGGGGCGTCCTGCGTGTTGCGGGGCCTTCCGAGGACGGCAAGCGAATCGCATCTCCCTTGGCGTCATTCAAGATGCTCAACATCACTGGCACATGGAGCAATGACGAATTTTTCACCTCCTTGTATGGCCCATTGATTCGTCTCGGAAAAAGGCCCCAGGTGAATGCAGGCAAGAGGAAGACTTCTTGCCTTGAGTGACTTTTGCCCACGACCGTCCGAGTCCCGCGTCCGAGTGCCGTTATCTGATTCTTGCTATAAATACATACCTAGTTACGATCTCCCATGACTTCACCGGAGCGATCAGAGAAATCTTCCTTCTCGAATTTCTGACTGCTTTGTCTGGTCGAAATCCTATTCTAGCTGACCGAAAGGGGCTATTTTGCTAGGTTCATCGAACCTTGACATTCTCTTTTACTTAGAGTCGGCTGACTCTATCTGACTGATCCTCTCGATTGACTTGTAGCATTGTCATCGAGAGGCCACTGCTACCATGGCCAGACCTATATTCTGTGCCACGCACCCGCGTGCGTGTAGTACGGCCTTTGAACGTGTTCGATCTATACTGCCTGCTTAGGTATTTGATGAGGGCTAACCGCCTTTCAAGGTGTTCATGACCAGGAAAGACTTGGCCTGTGTCCATGAACCATTTGGCGACGCATTCTACTATGGGTGAGTTTCTGTGGAGAGGGCGACGGAGCAGTTATATCTAACTCGCTCTTCAGCCCAGAGAGGATGAGCGTCCGTTATGAGAAGGACGAGGATGCGAGGAAAGCATCGGGATACAGCGAATCAACGTACAAAACAATCTTCGATCGACTAGATCACGAAGGAGCCGAGGTGTGATGTTCCCCCCAAAACTTTGGCCTTTCATACGGGCGTCCGCATCGCACCAGGTCCAATATTCCTTGCTTACCTCAACAACAGGGTAAACGCGTCTTCATCAAGGACATTCTTTATTATCTGGTCCCTCCCGACCAGCAGCCTCCCAGAGTGGCTCCATCTTTGCAGTCAGTCAAGAGAGGTATTGGAACCGAGAAGATGAGCAATGGGATCAACGGCGTCAACGGTGTCAACGGTGTCAACGGAGTGAACGGAACTCATCATGTCAATGGTCATGCCAATGGGGTCAATGGTGTCAACGGCGTCGGCAAGAAAGCGCCGTTCCCATTCCCGACGGAGGGCGAACCGGGGAATCCTACCATCGTTCCCAGAGCCTTGCTGGAGAAGTTTCACTTCACGTTTCTCATCCGCGATCCTCACTCAAGCATCCCTTCTTACTATCGGTGCACCATTCCACCCTTGGACCAATTGACGGGTTGGAACGAGTTCTATCCGAGTGAGGCTGGGTATGACGAACTTCGACGCTTTTTCGACTATGCCCGGGAGACTGGCTTGGTGCGAGACAGAAATGATGGACCAGAGAATGGAATAGAGAACGGAACAGAGAATGGGAATATTATGAATGGCGACGCAAAGGGGCCTGAAGTGTGCGTGATTGACGCTGACGATTTGTTGGACGACCCCGAGGGTATTCTCCGAGCTTACTGTCAGAGCGTGGGGCTTGACTTCCACCCTGACATGTTGAACTGGGACAACGAAGACGATCAGGAGCGTGCAAAAGCGGCGTTTGAGAAGTGGAAGGGTTTCCATGAGGATGCAATCGATTCGACAGACCTCAAGCCGAGGACTCACGTGCGTGACGACCCTGGCCCCCTTTCCGAACTTGGTAGTCGAACTGACTCTGGACAGAAGAAAGCAGCAAAGAGCGAAGAACAATGGGATGCTGAGTGGAAGAAGAAATATGGAGAGGAGGCTGCCCGGATGATTCGCAAAACCGTGGATCAAAATATGGCCGACTACTTGTACCTGAAGCAATTTGCCCTGAGGCCATGAGGGAGGATATTCTTGGATATCTGACTGGCGCCGTTACCGTTGCCGCTGCTGCTACTATGCCCACCAGAATGAATAGCTGTGTTTCCGGGTTCTCGAATAGCAGATTGACAGACTGAACAATCCAATTTCTAGTACGAGGTACAACCAATACAGACAAAAAATGCAACTCAAGGTGCAAGACTCGCTCCATCTCTCGACCCGAATGGAAAATTCTTTTTCAGGTTGCAGGCACGACGTCACTGTTGGCCACGGATGCACTAGTAGCTAACAAGCCATTTATAGGCTCAACATTTGCCGATTGGGATATGGTGAGGGTGTCATCTGTATGGGGGTGCGATCGAAAGGGGTAGTGGGCGGTATGTAGTCGATACACAGCTAGCGGGCTCGGTTAAAGAAAATTCAGATACCTGGTATACCTAAGGTGACGCAGGACCGTAATACTTGTTATCCTCCAGTGTCCTCTCTCTCTCTCTCTTTCTTCTCACCGTCACCTTCACCTTCACCTTCACCTTCATCTTCACTTTTTGGCTCCAATTCATTTTCCGTGGTTCGTTCATAATCGAGCAGATCTAGAAATGTTATTTGGTGACAGAGACACCAAGGCCTGTTAAATTTTTTTGGTCCAACTCGCTTAGATCGAGATACTCGAGTGCTCGAGTGCTCGGGTGCTTCGGTGGCCTGACGAGCGAGAACAAATGGGGTGATAATGGCCAGAGGCTGCTGGAAGTCGCCGGGAGGTACTTTTTGGGAGGAGAATTGACGAGTGGCAGCGCCAGTGCCTAGGCGAAATTCCCCGCAGCCACCCACTGGTGCTTTCTTGGTGCCAGGGCCTTCACGGGCTTTCTGGAACATGCTAGTCCTATGTCATAGGTCGCGCTCCACTTTGGGCGCTGGTCCCGAGTACAAGAGTCACTTTATTATCATGCCTTCACTTCTTCTGCAGTCGTTTGAACTTCTTCCACATTGCCTTACACAAAACTACGCACAATTCTAGACACAGTAAACATCACTGAACGATGGCGAGCGTGCCTCAGTTCACTGATCGGGCCGCAAAGGCCCTCGGCGACGCTGCACACCTCGCTGAACAATATGGCCATTCTCAGATTCTACCAGTCCACCTAGCAGTCTCTCTGTTTGACCCTCCGCCCGACGAGTCCAAAGACCAACAGACTACAGTCAACGCCTCACAAGCTCACGCTTCGGCTCCTCTCTTCCGGCAAGTCGTCGAAAGAGCACATGGCGACATCCAGTTACTCGACAGAGCGCTCAAGAAAGCTCTTGTGCGACTCCCGAGTCAAGACCCTCCGCCCGAACATGTCACCATGTCGCCATCCCTCTCAAAGGTCATCAGATCCGCTCAGGAGCTGCAAAAAACACAGAAGGATACTTATGTGGCCATTGATCACTTGATCACCGCTCTCGCGCAAGATCCGAAGATCCAAGAATGTTTGAAGGAGGCAAACATCCCGAACACCAAGCTCATCGACTCCGCCATTCAGCAAATACGTGGCACGAAGCGAGTTGACTCCAAGTCGGCCGACTCGGAGGTGGAAAATGAGAATCTCAAGAAATTCACAATCGACATGACACAACTGGCAAGAGAAGGAAAACTCGATCCCGTCATCGGACGAGAAGAGGAGATCCGACGGGTGATCCGAATCTTGTCCAGGAGAACCAAGAACAACCCGGTCCTCATTGGTGAGCCCGGTGTCGGAAAGACCACAGTCATCGAAGGTCTGGCACAGCGGATCATAAATGCAGATGTCCCTGCGAATCTCGCCGCGTGCAAACTGCTCTCTCTTGATGTGGGTTCCCTTGTTGCTGGCAGCAAGTATCGTGGTGAATTCGAGGAGAGAATGAAGGGTGTTCTCAAAGAGATCGAGGAGTCCAATGAGATGATTGTTCTCTTTGTGGATGAGATCCATCTGCTCATGGGCGCTGGCGCCAGCGGTGAAGGTGGCATGGACGCCGCAAATCTGCTCAAACCCATGCTCGCCCGTGGACAGCTCCACTGTATCGGTGCCACCACTCTTGCCGAGTACCGCAAGTACATCGAAAAAGATGCGGCTTTCGAACGAAGATTCCAACAGGTTTTGGTCAAGGAACCCACCGTGGCAGAGACAATCTCCATCCTTCGTGGCTTGAAAGAGCGATACGAAGTCCACCACGGTGTGACGATTCTGGACGGTGCCATTGTTGCCGCGGCCACTCTTGCCGCCCGTTACATCACATCTCGGCGTTTGCCCGACTCTGCCGTTGATCTTATCGACGAAGCAGCAGCTGACGTTCACGTCGTCAGAGAATCGCAACCCGAAGTTCTCGACAATCTTGAACGACGACTCCGGCAACTCGAGATCGAGATTCACGCCTTGCAACGGGAAACAGATCCGTCATCGGTTCAGCGTTTGGAAGAGGCCAAGCGTGAAGCAGCCAACGTCAAGGAAGAGCTAGAACCGTTGAAAGAGCACTACGAACGGGAGAAAGCCCGCTCCCGAGAGATACAGGAGGCTAAGATGAAGTTGGAACAACTGAAGAACAAGAGAGACGAAGCAGAGCGTTCCAACGACCTGCAGACTGCCTCTGATTTGACATATTACGCCATCCCCGATGTGGCTGCCAAGATCAAGGCCCTCGAGAACGCCCGAGCTCAAGCAGATGCTGAGCAGCATGCCAGACTCGGTGCAATGGGGGAGGTTTCACCGACCGACGCAGTTGGCCCCGAACAAATCAATACCATTGTCGCCAAGATGACCGGCATCCCGATCACCAGACTGCGTGCTTCCGAGAAGGAGAAGATTCTTCACATGGAACAGCATCTGCAGCGCATCGTGGTTGGACAGAAAGAGGCTGTCCAGTCTGTCTCCAACGCCATCAGGCTCCAACGTTCTGGCCTGGGCAACCCCAACCAGCCACCGAGCTTTTTGTTCTGTGGTCCTTCTGGTACCGGTAAGACGCTGTTGACCAAGGCGCTTGCCGAGTTCTTGTTCGACGACCCGAAGGCCATGATCAGATTCGATATGTCGGAATATCAAGAACGACACTCACTGTCGAGGATGATTGGTGCACCTCCAGGATATGTTGGACACGATGCAGGTGGGCAACTCACCGAGGCATTACGACGTCGGCCATTCTCTATCTTGCTGTTCGATGAAGTCGAGAAGGCCGCCAAGGAAGTGCTCACTGTCTTGCTCCAACTTATGGACGACGGCAGAATCACTGATGGCCAAGGTCGTGTTGTGGACGCCAAGAACTGCATTGTGGTTATGACGAGCAATCTTGGTGCTGAATATCTGTCTCGCCAGAATGCACCTGACGGAAAGATCGACCCGACGACCCGAGAATTGGTGATGAATGCTCTGCGGAACTACTTCTTACCCGAGTTTTTGAACAGAATCAGCTCAATCGTCATCTTCAACCGGCTGACTAGGAGAGAAATCCGGAAGATCGTCGATCTGAGACTGGCTGAGATCCAAAAGAGACTCGAGAGCAATGACAAGAAGATCGTCATCAATGCAAGCGAAGAGGTCAAGGACTACCTGGGTGCTGCTGGGTACTCGCCTGCCTATGGCGCTCGTCCTCTACAAAGATTGATAGAGAAGGAGATCCTCAACCGTCTGGCTGTGTTGATCCTGAGAGGTGCCATCAAGGATGGTGAGACGGCCAATGTCGTCTTGGAGGATGGACGGGTCGTGGTATTGCCAAACCACACCGACAGTGAGATGGAGGAGGATGAAGATATGCTTGATGACGAGGACGCAATGTTGGAGCTAGAGGACGGTACCAACGGTAACATGGACCTTTACGAGTAGAGTGGTCAAGGTATTGCATATCGCATAGCAAGTCCAAGGCGTTGAATGGTGGAACGAGTAAATGACAGTGCTTCAAAAGCGGATGGCGTTAGGCTGGGAATCCCTTATGGATGCTGTTATGGAATGATCGATTACGGATTGAAGAGAAATGGTGAGTGAGATACTCTTAGACGAGTAGTAGACATGGTCTTGGAGTGAAAAATATTATGCCTTCAACCTGCACATGTTTTTCTTGCAGTAGATTGACTGATAATTGTAGCCACACGTAAAGAGCGAGATTTTGTATCCAAGTCGCGTCTAAGACGCGCCGAACGTATGATGTCATTTCGGGAGCGCGTCGCCTGTACCAAACCCGCCCAAACCTCAAACATACACAGATACAACTCGGCAGTTCAAGTCGAGAGGTCACATACGCAGAAAGAACAAATCCTTCTGGCCTTCTGACGATACGATCACAACGCGAGGGCTGAGTGCCAATCGTCCTCCTGCGTCCGAACAGTGCACTTGAAGACGGAGACATGGCGACTTTTGCAGCCTCCAAGAAATCCAGAAGCGCATTTTCACCGCCTCGGCCGGGGAAGTCAAAGATTACCAAATCTACGAAAGAGAAGGGCGCAAATACAAAGAGCTCAGGAGTACACAAACAGCAGCGGAAAGCCAAGGTAGGACAGACGCAGAAGCAATCACGAAAGCCGAATCGAAAAGGCGCAGCAGGGACGATGAGGGCCATTCTAGGAGAGGCAAGCTCAGACTCCGACCCAGAAGACGAGGATGAAGACGGTGCCGGGTCGGAAGACGACGAGACTATGGACGCCGCGGGCGACGAAGATGAGGATGATGACGACGACGACGCAGATGAAGACGAGGACGAAGAAGAAGAATCCCTGGCTCCGGACCCTAGCCTCAATATGTCTTCGCCCGAACCCGACTTCATCCTCGCCGAAGTCACAGCGAGGAAACCCAATGCGAGTTCAACATCTGCCGCCGCAGACCCCGCTATACCTCTGCCGCTCATACACAGGATAATGCACGCACACTTCTCATCCCCTGAGCGGACGTCTCTCTCTTCCGACGCGAGACAGCTGGTAGGGAAATACACCGAGATCTTCGTTAGGGAAGCGATCAGGCGGTGCGTGGATGACAAACGAGAGCGCGCCGCGCACGGCAACGGCAGCGGGGGTGGAGCGCGCGACGGTGGTGTCGTGGTAGGGGACACGGGGTGGCTTGAGGTCGAGGACCTAGAGAGGATCGGCGTGCAGTTATGTTTGGATTTCTGAACTACACCGTCAGTCAGCTAGGATGAATGGACTACATACAGCAATGGCAATCGCAACAGCGATAGCAGCAGAACAAGCGCCATGTCACTAGTCTCGGTCTGGGCAAATCAAAAAGAGGAAGAAAGGGTCCTCACCAAGAGTCATGACCTCTTCCCTCAGACGCAAGAAATGACTTTATGTATACCCATCCATCCATCCATCCATCCGCCCATCCAAATGCCAGGTACGAGTGCCAAAGTTCTCTCACACGTCCTGCATAACTAGCCATCCATCGCAATGTGCTACAATATGCGATATCCAGATTATATCACCATGCTCTCTACACATCTTCTTAGTCGTCGTCGCCGCCGCCGCCGCCATCACAATGATGCGACGTTGTCGTAAGTTGGTCTATCTACACACATACATACACAAATTAAGAAAACACAAGTTGACATGGGAGCTTACCTGCTTGGAACCGAGCTAAAAACTATTACAATAAATGGGACAAAAAGAGTTAGGATGTCGTGGACTTTTTTTTTTACCCATCCACAGGAGATGGCTCAATCCTGGAAGGTCTTGATTGATTTCTCCCTCTCTATATATAATATACCTTTCTGCGTCTCTCTGGCAGTTACATAGCGTAGCTAGCTTAAGCTTGGTGGTATCAAAAAAATAACTGGGTTTGAGGTAAAGAAAGCAAATAAAAATGTCGTCCACAACCACTCTCAACTTCCAATTCACTTCCTTGGGGACTCCAAAAATCCAATATAATCATCCCCTGCCAACAATTTGCGGCCTATATTCTGACTCGACTCAACCTCGGACCTTGCGAGGGAGTTCCAGAGACATGCTGCGTACCTTTATTCCAAACGACACCAGAAGCGGCGGCGTGAGATTCTTCTTTCCAATTTGCGCGTATATTTTTTTGTCTCATGGGGTATATCCACACTCTCAATTCATCGAAGTATTACCACAAAGCCAACAGCGCACCGAGAGCAAGACCAACCACACCTGTCGACGATTGAGGCACAAAGCCGGGAACAGCCGCGCCAGTAAACGTAGCAGGGGCCACGACTGCTGAGCTCGAAGGTGGAGCAACGGTCTGCTGTGGGGCAACCGGAGAGCTTGCCGGAGGTGCACCACCAAAAGCGAATGTCGATTCAGCTGGCGGCATCGACCCAGAAGGCGGTGGAGAGCCATAAGCCGGAGGGGAGCCACCGCTGGGGGGAGGCATGGTGGCATTAACGAGTGGTAACTTGGCCGCGTTCGCGATGTAGGCATCGATAGTGTTGGGCGAAGAGTCGTTCTGGTTGATGACCATAGCCATCCCCTTTTGACAGTGGTTGGTTTGGCCGCAGTAGATCCAGATGGGTTTGGTGTCGTTAACCAGAAGGTTGTAGACGGGCGTAAATGGCTCGGAGCCGGTGAGTGGGACGAACCCAGATTTCTGTCCGGGGCGAATGGAAGAGGTGAGGTTGGCGGCGATGGGCTTGCAAGGCTCCGCAAAGGAGGATTCCGTCACTGTGTGATTCTGCACAAAATGTTAAACCGCAGAGCCGCGAAACTGGTGCAGAAGACATACCTTTGGATGGAACTGGAATTGGACAACAGATCCGACCGGCGCGGTGATTTTATTGGGGAAGTACTTCAGAGAGCCATTCGCGTCTGAGACAGAGACGACCTGGACGATCAATTGGCCCGGTTGAGTCTGCATTGGCGGCGCGCTTCCGGTCTGTATCGGTTGACAACCAGATGGGCATGACGCAGCAGCAAATGCTGGAGGTCCTTGACCACTGCCGCTGCCCCAACTGCTCCATCCACCACCGCTACCGCTGTCGGAGCTACCGCCACCGTAACTGCCACTGCCACTGCCACTGCCATACCCTGCGAGGGCCGACGCCGCGAAAAGGGTTGAGAAGAGAAGAGTCTTGAGAGACATGTCTGCCGAGATCTGGTTGGGAGAGGGATAATATTTGATATTGGAGGTAAGACAGTTGGGATGGTGCGAGGCAACGAGCGACCGGCGCAAGGCAAGAACAGAAAACTGCGATGCGTCAAGCAGCAGGAAAGGAATGAACAGGACCGGTACTAGAGAGTACGCGACACCAAATTTTTTTTTTTGTATAAGGATAGAATATAGAGAAGAAAGAAACGGATTTCGAAACAGCAACACAGGAGACATATGTAGGCCAGCCAGAAGGCGGGAGGCTGTGCAAAAGACGGAAGAAGCGAGAACCCGTATCTGGGACTGAGATTATGGATCTGGATAGGCCAGGGATCTGGCACTTCCAGAGTCTCGTCACCTTGTCATGTTTGCCCCTGGAGGAGGTTGAAGACATTATCGACGAGTCGTCACACATTCGTCTCAGATGGAGGGGGATAGCTGAGACGCGACAGGCGAGAAAATCCCCGAAGAGAGCCGCTGAGAAGCAAGGAGGCCAGCGTCAGAGTGTCCATGGCTAGGAATAGAGTCACAGCGGAGGCGCGAGAAGGGAGGAGTTGAGTGTCGCAGAGTGAGAGGTAAGAAGAGAATCCGAAGCGCTGGGAGGTTTTGAATGGTGTTTGAGGTAGGAGACGGAGCGCTACTCTGAGGCACAAGACGTTTCCAAAGAGCGGAGGGCGCTTTCCTACATATGGCTAGCGCAATATATCTCCTTGGCACTTGGCGGCCCGTCTTGCTCCTCTAGGCTCCTCCTTTATTGCCTCTGTTGGACATTCATCTCACTTGTATCTCGTTTACCAGCCATGTCCCAACCCCATACAACTCGCTAGTTACGCGGATCTTACAACCTCGAGACTCACAGACCTCGAGACCTCGATCTGGCCCTGATTTCCCCTCTAAAAAGCTTGTCTACGGCTCTACCCATGTCCCTTGATCTGGGGTTGCGACCTCGGGCACCCGCCTTCCGAGTTTCAAAGCAACAAATAATCAGAGGCATCAAGACTCAGCCACTCTTGCAGAGTCATTGACGGGACCAAGTCTGAAGTCGGAATGTTCCTTACCGAAAGTGCAGTTGACGATACCTGTCGACGAACACGCTTGATCGCCGGCTCAACCTCCACTCTCGTCTTGGTGCGAGTAGACCAGTCGTGCTGCTAGATAGCTTGGTAGGACATGTAGCTTGAATTTTCAACTTGTGTTTGGTTATGGAGTACTCTGTACTGATTTGCTAGACCGTTACCTCGTACCCTCTGCTCCTGCTTTCGGAAGGCCTTTCGAAACTGTTTCCCCTTTTGAAGGATGCAAAGACATTATTTGGGCAAAGCCTTGAATGACAGATGTTCTACAGGACATCCATTTCCTTCGTAATCATACATTCTCTCTCAAGCATTATCAGTACACTGTAAACAGACCTGCCATGACAATCCCATGCCCTTTGGCGTTGACTTTGAGCGCCTGGACCGGAAACCTAAGCCTCAAGTACACATTCCGTAGCGACTCCCCCTTTCGTGCCTTGCGCCGTGTGCAAGGACCCCTTTTATCAAATAGATCACAGGATGTCAGGCAACCATCATACGACAGTCACCATAAGGCTAAAAACCACTGATGCCCGGCTAGGTCATAGTGTAGCCACTGGGTGGTGGTGTAGGAGCGATGAAATCCCACTGTCCGGGAGGCAGATTGCTACGGGTGTTGGTGGGAGTTGGAGTATTGTAGTTTGGACTTTGAGGCTGAGAACCCTCCTGCATGTTTGTCAAGGCAGGATCAACCTCGTCATCAGCCTTTCTCTTCTTGGGTGGTCGACCACGAGGGCGGAGAGGGTTGGGCGGATCAAGGACGTATTCTTCTTTGAGCTGCATGGAGACAGCTGGATCGTAGCCGCGTTCGCGCGCAAGTCGTCGAAGGCCAGCCATCACCTTCGGGTCCATGCCGGTGATTTCCTGGATTCGGTCGTACGAAATGCTTGCCTCTGCCAGTGCCAATGCCTGAATGCGCACAGCGGTGGTATGATCGCCCATTTTGAAAACCTTTGGGGCCTTCACCTCAGAGGGCTTTTGCGCCCATTCCGCGTTTCTAAAGAATGCTTGAGGATCGGCGGCTTGGCGGGTAATGCTGTTCTCGATGCCTTGCTCTTTCATCGCGTCAAGGTAGTTTTTGCAATTGAGAAGGTGGACACGTTGGCGAGAGGTGTGCTGGGCCATCTCTCGGCTGCAGTACTTGCATCGTACCTGCGCCAGCTTCTGAAGGTGGTGTTAGTGAGAACATTGGGCCAAAACATGATGCGCACCCATACCTGCGTGCCCTCCGGGTCTTGAGGGATGATGTCCCATGCTGAGTGAGTTTCAGTATCACCTGGCTTGTTTTTGTATCCTCCTGACTGGTCGGGGTTGATTAGCCAGCATCGATGATGCTGGGAGTCGAATAGGAACTTACGCCTGGGCCGCCCATTGTGAACTGAAGGGCACTCGAAACTCGAGAATGACAACGGTAGTGATCGTCTCAGCTGTGTAATTTTGGAGGTCTGACTGGTGATAAAGAGATGGATGGGGCTGATGGGCGGGAGATGATGTGGGTAGAGGGGAAAGTGGTTTGTCAAGTGAGAGCGAAGAGAAATGTCATTTCAGTTGTCATTTGAGCGTCCGTGATTTCCCGACTCGCCGACTGCGCCGCGTTTGTGTGTGGCCCAAGACCCAAAGACCCCAAAGACCCAAAACATTGACCCAGGCGCGTCAACACAACAATTACGACATCATCATCGCGACATAGTTACTTTTGTCCCCTCCGCTGTTGGGAGGCACCGTCATGGCCGACTCGACGCAAGCAGCGACGTCGCTCCTGACCGAGCATCTGCAGTATACGCCTTTGGTAAGTCATTGACAGGAGAATTGAACCTGCGTGGCTGACGAGCCGCAGTCGCTGATTGACGACATCATCAACTCAGTCAATAACTTTGTTTACCAAGGAGTCGGCAGCCTAGAAATAGGACTGTTATCGACACCTCCCGAGAAGCTAGGCTTCAAGGCCGTCAAAGTTGTCAACGACGAGGGCGTGGAAGAACTGGAGTTTCCCGAGGCAAAACAAGAGATCGAAGAGGGCCTTCATAAACTCGAGACGTTGTTGAACTCGACGGTTGACAAGAATTTCGATAAATTCGAGATATATGTACTGAGGAATATCCTATCTATTCCCTCAGAACTGGTGAACTGGGTCCAGTTGGGTCATTACGAGGTAGGCGAGACTGACTAGAAGAGGCTTTGGGGTCGAGCTAACTGCGCAGAACATAACATACCCCCCTCCGGAGAACGCGCCCACCGTCGAGAGTGTACAACTACTGCGGCGAAAGCTGGCCGCCTCGCGGACTGTCTCGAATGCCCTCATGGAAGAGTATAAGCGTAACGAGGCAGTCCTGCGACAATTACGAAATCTGATTGGCAACACACATACCACAACAAACAACCTCTCATTCCTCATGAACGGCGCATCTGCGCAGACCCTTCATGTGTCTCAGCACACCGATAGTCGACGTCTGACCACCAACACAAACTTTGCCATTTCACAGCTCCCCGCGCTCAAGTCGTTGTTAGCCGAATTGCGACCAAAACTTGCGACGCTAAAAGATGTCGATATGAATGTCTCGAGTGCCAAGGATGAGCTCAAAGAAGAGCGCAGAGGTTATATCGAGCAACGGACACGATCACATCTTGAGCGCAATGGGGAAGCCGCAGGCGAAGATTATACATTGTCTGGCAAGCGGGTGGACCCAGATGAAGTTCAGGCGCTGGAAAAAGTCGCTTCCATATTCGACCCAGTGTGATGATGGCCAGCGTTCAAGTTCAAACATGTGAACCTACCCCTCAACGGAGCCAACTTGGATACGAGCCCGCTCCAGAAGAACAGCTCCAATCGAGTCATGAAAGTGACAGGTCACATCGACCTAACAGGATCGAAAGGTCTAAGCGTGCATAAGGTTGCGCTGGCCGAGGTTGGGAAATTCTCCGATATCCCGAATCCGGTGAGGAAGATACTGGTTTTGGAAGCAACTCGAAGTTCATTCAACAACATCTCAGTATGTTATGCATGAAGTGGAAGTCATGTGGGGAGTGTTGTGCCTGGGACTGGAGTTGGCATTGGCCATGGCACGGGGCAACGCCAAAAGCGGTCGAAAGATAGAAAAAGTTTTGGAGATTTCTGGCGGGCCAGGAGGCACGAAGACCCATTTAGCGGCCTATGGTGTAACCGTTTCAAGCATGGCTGGTGGGGAGAGTTGCAGAAGAAGAGAGTTTTGCTTGCTGGAGGGAAGGGTCTGGGTCATGGCAAAGTCGCATTTACGCGGAAGCGAGCAGACGATAAAGAGGAATTAGTTTCCTCAATCTATCTGCTTTCAGATGCCATGAGGTCGTGGATTGCAGGCTAGAATTGCCTTTGCCTGGCATGTTGGTGGAAGGACACGGGCCAATGGCGGCAAGGTCTTTCCAGTCTGGTACACAGGCCAATGGGCGTTGAGGCCAGTGTGTACAATGGCAGCTGAACGGACGAGCCACCAGAGCCGTCAGCAAATGGAGGGTCTTGGGGTCGGAGAGGATGCTGCTGGCACTGTGGCCGTGGTTCCGGTGCGCGGTTGAAGGATTGTGAGGTATGGAGTTCTCGGTGTGTGTGCGCTGGCGAGGCGATCCAAAGGCGATCGGCAGATGAAGTCCAACTGGCCAGTCACGAGCCGCTGAGCTGTCGCCGATGTGGGCCCACTGTTGCGGACCTTACTATAAATAAGCTTAGCGCCCTACATGCGCCTGTCTATCAGCCAATCATCCCCCACGACTACGCCAAGTTATACCTTAAGCGCTGAAGCCCCACTGTCTTCTCATCTCTCTTCATTTCTTCTCTCCTGTTGCTCCTCCTCCCCCCCTGCATCTTCCTGGCAGATTTCCATGGCTTGCTGTCAGCGGCCATCCCTCTCATTCCCATCATGTTTCGTTTCATTCATCAATTAAAGCCTTCTAACCGCCGAGCATTGTATCACTACCGATGATGCTCCAATTGTGATTCGCCCGTGTGTGGCCGCCGAGGTCGATCAGAGACAAGCCTGATCTTTGAATAGATCCAGCAGAGAGAGACTGTGCCTAGATGTAGTCGGCCAGGTGAGTACGACAAAGACGGAAACGAGTAATGGCAATATAATGGAGCATAGCCTCATGTCTTTCTACATGTCCTCTTGCATTGCACTCGGTTCAACTTCTGGGTCTGTTTGGCGCTGGTCTCGCATTTCAATATCCTCTGTGTTCCGGGTTCTGTGTTTTGCTGTCTCTTGCTCTGGCTCCTCTGGCGATCCCTATATCATGGAGAGCCTCCCTTCTACCTCCTGGCATGCTTCGTCTAGTCCACCAAGGTCCCATTCCAGCACGAATAAACTTGAGCCACCACCGCCTACCCCATCTTACGATGCATCCGCGCTCTTGATTCAACCGTCGCCCCTCCTGACCTCGTCTTTACATACCCGGAACTCAGCGACTTCCGCTCAGGAGTCGGCTTATCTCCGACAGGCAAACTGGCTTCAATCAGTCCGATGTGTACTGGCGGGATTGACTATTGCCACTGCCACAGCTGCTGTGGGCTGCGAGGGACATGTCCTGCACAGCTATAACAGAACGCATATGGGAGCAGACTGGCATTTACCGCCCCTTTGGCCGACGAATGTGGACGTGAGGCCGACCTTGGCAATTTTGATTTCCGCCACCATCATCACGATCCTCTATCTCATTTATTTGGTCGTGTCACTCATTCCAACAGTAAGCCTTCCCGTGGACAGTTCTGGGCAACCTCATCTAACAACAGCCACCACAGCCGTACTCCCGTACACTTTTGTACAATGTCATTTTCCTTGTGTCTTCCCTGGCCGGCCTGATCCTGTGCATCTTCACCGTCCCTTTTAACAGTCTTCTCACCAATCCCACCTCTCGTCATCACCGGGACTCGATCCAATCATGGACATGCAAATTCTCCCATGGCGCCTCGCAATTCATGGCCGATGCTCATTCCTTGCAAATTCCAGTTTATGTATCCCACGGCATCCCGGTCCCTGCGGGCTTCAAGAGACTGTGTATGGAGACCGAGGTCAGTCAAGGTTTGATTGCAGGGTTGATGGCCCTGGAGGCAGTGAATGTCGGCGTTGCTGCAGTTGGCGTGTGGCTGGAAAGAAGGATCACAAGCAGAAGAACGCAGAGGTATGCTAAAAAGGTGACGGTGTCTTTTGAGAAGTAGGGAAGCCGGAGGCGTTGAACGGAGAGCACCATTCGAGATTCTACACAACGTGGGTTTGGGTTAGAATGATATGGGATTACGAAGTCACTCCGTTTATTGACTGGTGCAGGCTGGCCACGTTGCCAGATGGGAAAAATGGGTTGGATGATAACATTTCTAAACTTCTACATCGAATTCTCTAGCCGGGTGCTACAATGTATTTCGCTTGATGTTGAAGGGGATTTTTGCCATATGTACTAGGGTTATACTCAAGGCTGCAATGGTTTTCTCTCGGTGATGGTTGTCGGGTTCCCTGTCCCATATAGGTATCTGTGTAGGATATATTAAAGGCTGTCTCTTGGTTCATTCCAGTTGGTGGTTAGCCTGTTCGCTACGTAACCGATTTCTCTGTTTATTAGCGACTGAACTTCACCCCTCTTCCTCCGCCCCTGGATACCACACCAATCTTCGGACCAGTTATTCCTGCAACTGTTGCTAGCTGATCGGCAACCTCCCTGCTATCGCTGTTGCAGCAAATCTACCTCCTAGTGCCTTGCAAGATGCATGCGGGACCGCATGGCGAGGCGAGGCGCAATGTGCTGTCACCAACGCCCTTCGCCCGTTCCGGATGGTCTATCGAACGAGGTGTCCTTACTCTTTTACCCGACTACATTCTCGAAGCCAAAAGCCTTCCCGTAGCGCAATAGCGAGACTGTTCTGGTTCATCCGCTAACATGTCTGACCTCTTAGCACCCAGCAACGACCTTGGTCCGGCTGCGGAATCCGGGCCTCCAGACGAGTTGGAGATGAAGCCCAACCTCGCGGAAGAAAGTCTTTCAGCACGCCACAACTGCAGACCTGAGGCTCATGTCCCACTCGGTATTATTGTCCGAAGACGCCGCTCCTGGTGGTTCGCGTACAGTGTGAGCAAGTCTAAAATAGGCCGAGATAGCCAAAGCTCCTGGCTGAAGTTCCCTCGATGACATGATGCGTTTGCCAGGCCCATTGGAGCCAATGAGACTTGATCTGGCCTGCGGCAGCCAGGTCTCCTACCAATGTGCCGTTCTCACTCAATTACTGGCCTATACGTTAAGGTGGATGCGTCTACTCGAGCGTGGTCCTTTATCGGAAGATTGTTTGAGCGAAGGGTTCGATCCCATGAGAGGGGAGACGACGTATTACAAGGTGAACACTGAACAGCGCTCAGCCCGCGGACAAGGACCGGAGTGCTCGTCGTACTTGCAGATTTCTGGCCGGGTCCAATTACGCGGATGACAACCTTTAGCCACCGTTCAAGAGGTCGATCCTGACACGGATGCCACAATGTCTGCAAAGGAGCAATGATCGGTGTGGATACCAGGATTCAGGGCAAAACGCAAAACTTTCAAAATGGAGCCAGCCTGCTCAAATGGGCGTTTCAGTAGGTCTATGCGAACATCATTGCGTCCGAAAATATGCTCTTTACAGCCCTGCAGGACTGTTTACTCTCTGAGTGGACTCTTGTTCTCTCAGACGTCATGGAATGGATGTTCTGGTCCTTGTACTTCGCAAGCACGGGGCAATCCGGAGATCCAGTCACCTTGGCGGACGTTGCAGGACATTATACTGACTATGTTCCCAGGAAAGGTCTATCTTTGGCAATATTAGCTGCTGCTTGTTCCGAGATCTAGGTCCTGTGAACGAAGGATTGTAACTGCAGCAGACCGATATGCACCATGAACTCGCCTGTCAAATCCATCTTCATCGAGTGAGAGAGCATCAAACAGAAGCAAAAGCTCACAGGAGGTGCTGGAAAGACGATTTCCAGACGGTCGAATGGAGTTTCGGACGAGTGTTCCAGCTCCAGTCAGACTTACGCCGTGGGGCTCAGTGCGATGCTTTCGCTTCATCATCCGAGAGTACCCTTTTCACTTCTGAAGCCTCGTAGGCTCTTCAAGGTTGCACTACCTCAGCTGGAAAATGATTTACAGGGTGACAATCGTCTGAAGATCATTTCTTGTCGACTTCCCAAACGGGCCAGTGTCTTTGACTACCGCTGTTCCAGTCACGATCCAGAAGACCTTATCTCACCATGGCCGGCTCAGCCCACACCGCCGTATATCCTTGAGGGCGGACCCGTCAATGCTCGACGCTGGTATCAGCGACAAGGTGTTGCAGTAGGTGTTGCTAGAAAACATATGCTCATCGAAAACCATCTCAAACTCAAAGACATATGGGATGTCTCTTACGCCATCACGTTGACCCTCTGCGATACACTTAGGTCTGAGCACGGATAGAGTTGGTAACCACTCACGATTGGAAGAGGCTTTATCCCCTCAACACTATCACCCAGCTTATGGCAACTTATCTGGAGAATACATTGATGCCACCAAATCCGTCTTAAAATGCAAATCGACGGTCTCTGACCTTTTGGACCACTAGAGTTATTACGCACGAGTGGAGGTTTCTCTAGAGCTCCTTCTAGCTCTTGCGAGATAGGACAATCCTCATGCATCCCCTATCAAGATTGGGATCGGAGCCTCAGCTATGCTCCAGCGAGTTGAGCAAGAAATGGCCTGCTCGAGACGCAACTCATACATGGCATTGCCCTTGCTGCCAGATCGCAGCTGAAAGACTGCTCTGCGAGATCGACAAAACAGGTCTGTGATCTTAGAAACACAAGAGAATTCACTTCCGTGGCATACGATGAGTCTCATCGCTCGATTGAACTATGACCGCCAAAAGCCGTGCCCTCAGGTACATATTGCACGCCGCCCCTAGGATGAGGAATCTCCGTCATTGCATCGCCTCTTTGCGGTCTCAGATTCACCCGCATTTGCAGACAACATGAACTCGGCCAACCGACAACGGGAGGCTGCTACATATTGTCTGGGCGACTTTCTAGGAGACTGAACAGAGGCCTAGTTGCAATTTACTTGACCAAGTGTGCAGAAAGAGTTTGGGTTGACGCCGTTATGCTTTCGAGCCATTGTCGCTGGGAACAGAGGACCGGGTAAATTACAGGACCGGGTAAATTACACAAGTTCATCGGACGGCCATTGATGCCTTTTTATCCATGGAACCAGCAACTTCCACTTTGGACTGTGGCGAATCTCGACACCGAATGACCGGCTTATCTTTACTTCTGTACTCCCTATACGAAACGTGCAATTCCGAGGACCGACGGCTCCATGGGTCACATCGACATGGTAAACTGTGCTCTGCGCCTTCACGAATCTGTCGAGCCGTTCCTGCTTCAGCGGAAAGGGAGTCCCCCCCTTCTTCTGCAGGTACCATACTATGTACTGAATTGTGCTGCACGTTGTCTTCTCTCTCGCCCGCCTGGCACAAGGGGACGGGGCATCAAATTTCCCCGGGGGTGCTGCCAGCGTCGCACAGGGCGACCAGGGGACAAGGGGATGCCGAGCGACAGTGACGGCAAGGACGGCAATCGAGTACTCGGACAGTGATACGGTTACACACACGGGCGGTGGCACCGTGACACAACAGTCCACAGATTCAGTGAGTGATACTTACATTTAAACCCTCGGGCCCTGGATATCGCGAGCATAGAACACAAAGATCCCCCCTCCCCACCTCTCACCCAGAGATCGCGAGAAGGTGGGGAGGGGGGGGGGGGGGGAGGCGAGATTGGCGAGAGCAGCAGCGACACAAGATCCCCATCCCGCCTGTCCTGTCCTGTCCTGTCGTACGACTCGAAGTATATGCACGTACGAGATGCTCCCGTCATATTTGCAACCGGTCCAGCCTAGGGTCCCTAGCATAACCTGGTCAGGTCGGGGTCAGGCGCAGTGCCTTTTTGAGGGGGAGGGGAACACAGCAGCGAGGCTTGTTTTGAAGGTTACTTGGACGACTGACTGACAGTCAGATAGACGGACCGACCGATTGACTGAATGATTGATTGACGACAGATGCCATGGTGGGTACATGCCTACTGGTTAAGAAGTCATAAGTCTCCTTTTCACGAATCCCTTTTTCCATGGCCTCCTTGTTCCACGCGCTTGCCCCTTCCCATTTTGCGACTCCAGATTTACCCCTAGTTTTAAATGTGTGCGGACTGGCATATTCATCCGGCTCGGATGTATGGAGTATACTCGGAATACATGTCTTTATCCTTGTCTAACTTTGCCGATGTCTAGCTCAGTTCTACAATACCCTAACGGTACTCCGCGTCGGATGCGCTGTCTATTGTCTTCTGTTGTACAGATCCTTTTAACGCTCGTACGCTATGCACTCGTTGATTGAGCAGTTTCCCATCCTCTTCCTGTTGTAGATATATTAGAAATAGTATAAAAAAACCTTCCCATACCGCGCATGGCGTAGCACACGTCGAAAGCGAGCAAGATGCGGTCATCGTAATTCGCTTCTGTCTGCGATTTGAAATGATATGAATATAATCCGAGACGCCGACGCGGTGGCTCGATCATTGTATATGTCTATGCAGAAAGAAGAAACGCTGATGCTGATCAATGGACAGGCGGGAAAGAAAAAGAAGATGTTCGATGCACTGTCAGGAAGGATCGTCAGTGTTCAGTGTTGTCGAAGCCTCCATTCGCAAGGAGAGGCGGCACCGCGACTCGATTAAACGAGCTCTTTGGTAGTGGCTGTGCCTCATAGTCGAAGATGTCGAAATCCAGTTAGTAAAGAGAATGTAGAATAAGAATGTGTCATCTTCTTCTCGTGGGCCTTAAAATAGGGGCCGAGAAGCATGACGAACGGTAGCCTCAGTTGAGGAATCAGGAAGAAAGTTGTGACATGCTTCAAGGGGTGGAGAGGTGACGGGTCGTGCATTTGGAGGGCGTTGAGAATTGTAGATCGGACATGTGGTGATGTGTCATGTCAAGTCACTTTGTCATCAGAGTCAACTTTTTCGTTTAGTCCTTCCGCTAGGGCCTCCCGTCAGAAAAGCTGAGTAACTCGAAGAACTGATTTTACAAAGTCAATCTCGCCCGCGAACATGGCACGGTCACGGTGAACACTGTGTGGATGATGGGGCGCGAACCACTCCAAGTTGACATCGCCGTGGAAGACCACTCTACGTTGGTCGGGACTCACATCCATACTGCCCGGAGCGTAAAATTTCGTACCGGAGACGACATCGCCCGTTTGGAGCAATGTGTGGTCCTTGGACGTCTGTTGCTTCATTTTGAGAGCGTCCCAGTTGCAGCCCAGAATGCCGGTATGGGTGTCGACGCCGACCCTGCAGCTGACGTAGTCGATGCGGTACTGTGGACTCGCGAAGCAATGGGCGTTGTACAGGAGATAGTAGGTCGAGTTGCGGTAGACCATACATGGCCGTTCGACGTTTGGGCCATCTTCTTTGAAACTATTGGCGTTTGAGAACAGGTAGACGGGCTGGCCTATTGGCGTGACGAGGTCCTGGGGGTCCATCAATTGAAGATAAAGCGGCGTAGGCACCACTGGGCTCTTGGTGTTCCCGCAAGCACCTCCATGACCGATTGCATTGCCATCAGTCTTGTAGACCAGATAATTCTCATTGTTGATGGGATCGACGAAGAGATTTGGATCGATGTTGCCGCCTCTAGGGAGATTGCATACGATGGGTTCATCGAGGGGAGTGTAAGGCCCCGTGACGTTGGGAGAGGTGGCAGCACCAATGCAGTGTTTTTGTGGATGAGTCCGACCTACGGCGGCAAAGTACATGACCCATGATCCATCCGGTCGTTGGTTCACGTCCGGTGCCCAGATACCGGCGTGAGGCGACCTACGCGCCCAGCCTGGCGTCGTGGGAAGAGCATCGTAGCCTTCATGCAGCTTCCAGTTTGAAAAGTCCCGCGAGGAGGCAAGCCGGACATTGATCTTTCCGGTCTGGGTGCTGAAAGCGTACCAAGTCTCGGATCCATTACTTGTGTCAAGAGCGAGGCCCGGGTCTGGAAAGTTCTCGGCGACTGCAGGACCGACGCCTGCAGCGGACACCGAAACGCGGAAGGATTGTGACGGTGAGTGTGATTGGAGCGAGTTTAGGAGGGTCAGGCATACCGCGATGCTGCCGATGGCGTGCTGGATGAAAAGGTGCAACATGGCCGAAGAGGGTTGCGGAGGTGATGGTGATTACTGGACCTGGGCGCGAAAGGGCGTCAAAGAGGCGTAGATCACGCAAGAGTCAATCGCCCAAGATGGTTGGCCCTATACGATAACTTCGCAGATAGCAGATGCATAGTTCGACGGAGGGATACGAGGCTCTCGCTTGATGAATCAGAGGGAGGCGGGAAGGGAGCAGTGGTTAGTCGACAGGCCTGAACATCCCCTTATAAGTGTGTAGTTGTCCCAAGTAAGGAGGGGAGTACGTAACCAGTCTAATCATTACGGAAAGGTAATTTCGGTGATATTAAATATACGTATGAATGACTGGATGAATTGGGTATGGGCATCATGGGAGAGTGGAAGAGTGGAAGAGTGGAAGCGTGGGAGCATGGGAGTAAAGGGAGTAAGGGGAGTAAGGGGGAGTAAGGGCATGGCTCGATGGGTGAAAATTCTCTCAAAGCGTAAATCTCGGAGTCGCAGGCGCAGTTGCAGTCGTAACAAGCAGTCGTAACCTCATCACTCACTCATCACTCACTTTGCTCTCACTGTTGATCTCTCATGTCTAATCTCTAAGTTCCGGCTCACCCGTTTTTGGACTGTTCGTTGCGAGGTACGAGGCAAACTGACGTAAGTGCAGAACCACCAGAACCACCAGAACCCACGTGTGAGAAACAAACGATTTCCCGGAAGCCGTCTCAGGCTCTCTGGCTCTCAGGCTCTCAGGTTCTCGGGCTCTCAGGCTCTGAGGCTCTCAGGCTCTCAAGCTCCCAGGCTCTCGGCCATGGCCCATCCCAACCACTTCGGCCGCCCAGCCATCCATGCTCGTATCCTTCCGAGGTACCGTCCCCCTCGCGTCTCACCATCCTCCAACCTCGCAATCTTCCAGCGGTCAATCCTCCCGACCGTCCTCCTCCTGCATCCCAGCCTCTCTCATCCTCCACACACTCATAACCCCCGAAAATGAACAAGCCTCGTGCTCATGACGACTTCATGCCGAACCAGAAAGAGCAAGGACCATAACCAGCACGCGTCAAAGAGGGGATATGTGTGTCTCAATCTAGAATTCAGAGAGGAATAGTTGGCCCCGGTAAGCACCTGGTTCCACTGTCAACCGACCGAACCGACGAGACAACAAGGTTTTCCCTTCTCGGCTGTTCTTTTTCCTCTTGGTTGGTCTTCCCGTGGGTGTCACCGCTGTCCGGTTGTTCCTTGTTTCTGTTCCTGGAATCGTCCTTTCCTCAAAGTCACTAACCGGATAGAATTATTTTTAGGTCACCTTTTCTCTCATGCGCTGGTGGCCCAGCTTTGGGATCGCAATCCACCCACACCAAACAAAGAACGGTCCGAGCACGGCTGTACCTGACTTGGGCCAATGCCCTGCTGCTGCAGGACAAGTCCTTTTGGAACAGTTCCAGCCTTTTGCCTCGTCCAAGAAACCTTCTCCTTGCCACCCGTTCAGGCATCACTCCCAGGCATCACTCCCATATTCCTATCTAGGTACCTCAGGGATCAAGAGACGGATCCAGACAAATCCATCCAGTCTTCCTTCGAGTGACAGGCAGCCTTAAAGCAGCCCGTCATCTACTTGTTACAAGTAGATGCACGGGACATCCGTCCGGTTCGTCACTCCACTGCGTGCGAGGTTCGCGTGTTTTTTTTTTTTTTTTGGTCTTTCCCCAAGTGGTGTGTCTTTCTCAACCGGACTTCCAGATAAGATCTCAAGCTCTCGGGCAAGGGACGACCAAGAACACAATCAGACCCTCCAGGGAGGGACGGCGGGCGCAGCATCAGCTGAAGATAATCAGCTTCTAGCCCCCGATGCTTAATGCCGCTAAGAGTGCTTGGTGGGCTTGGTTACATCTAGCGTGGTTGCTGGTGGAGAGCAGGCTTCTGAATGCGGCCCTCATCGCGTAACAGGGCACAAACCATATCGCAGGGTGAGTGGCATCTGGGGTTGTGGCCCTGCGGGAACTTGTGGCCTTGTGGGCAGCTGGGGTTCAGCCACCGAACATGGATCACACCGTCGCATCTGATTGAATTGCCTCTCAAACGGTCCCCTCTCGTGTGCATAAGCTTGGCTGTATCCCTGCGTCCGTCAACTGACAGGTCACGGCCGGGTTGGCCGTTCCTTGTCTGCAATCTTATCCAAATGAGATCTCCTGATGGCATCGTTTCGTGGCTGGGGTTTGCCTGACATGCTCTGGTTGACCGAGTCATCACAGTTGCTGCCATGCAGTAATTGTCCGCTCGCATACTCGGTATGTAGTGAATGATGCATATGCACCCCTCCCAAAAAAAAAACAGTCGCCGAAGCTGACATCTTACTCTAGCACTGAGGCTGTCACCGCCCAATAGCTCGCTCCTGCGGCTGGGGGGAAGGGGGGTAGTTTGTTGATAAATGGGGAGAGGCTGATCAGACTCCATCCGAGTGGGTAGAGAGGATCCCACTACCATGAAACCGGTAAGTGTCTATGATTGAAAGGCACCAGGAGGCTCTTGCGCCCCCTCCAAAACACCAAACTTTGTCGATGCCGTATCTGTTCCAGGATGGCTGGCAGGCTGGTCCTTCCAATCTGCAGCCACCTCGGGGAAATCAGCCATGCTGGTGGGCTTTGTGCTTGTTGGTGCTTGGGAGGGCTTGTTTGTTCATAAGACTTCTTCTTTTTCCCTCGTGCTTCGTCTCCTTTCGCTTGTCTTCTTGTTCTACCCACTCCATCCTACATAGTTGTTCAGCCTCAGTCTCTCTTTCTTTGCCCGCTTGTCTACACTAATAATGGCGTTTACACGCCTTCTCAAGGCTGTCGCCGCCTTCACACTCGTTTCCTCCATTCAATCAGTCTCAGCCGGTAGCTCCAGTAGCAGCTCAGTCTGCGCAACTTCGTCAAAATGCATTCCATTCACTATTGACCTTACTTGGGCGCCGACCGACCCGAGCAAAGGCATCTCCAGAAATGCCATCCTTACCAACGGCTCTCTGCCTGGTCCCCCCTTGAAAATGAAGGTTGGGGACTGCGTGGACTTTGTCGTCAACAACAACATGCCTAATGTCACAGGCATCCACTTCCACGGTATTCGTCAAAATGGCACACCATGGGCGGATGGTGTGCCGGGTGTTAGTCAATATTCCATTCAACCAGGAACAAGTTACATGTACCAATGGACCGCGGTTGAGTCGGGCAACTACTTCTATCACGCGCACTACAAGGGACAAATGATGGACGGTCTCTACGGCGCCATCATCATTGCTCCTGCTAATGATGCCAAGACTCCATTCAGCCAGATCAGCAGCACCGATGTGGATGCCTTGACTGCAGCTGCGCTGGATGTTGAGCCTGTCTTCGTCACCGACTGGAACCGATATACCTTTGCTGAGTTCTTCGAGGTTGAACAGACTGCCAACATCGACTGGGCCTGCAGTGACTCCATTACCTTGAACGGTTTCGGTTCACAGTACTGCCCATCAATTGCAGACTTGACTGCCGCTGCGGCACCTCAGGAGCCCCAAGTCCTGAACGGCTCTTCTCTCACAGCTAAGGGCTGTGCTCCTCCAAACAATGCTGCGATTCAAGGCGGCCAGTATCTGGCACTGCAGAATCTTGCCGCTCTGCCCGCTGATGCTTACAGCACCTGCATCGGATACGGTGGTTCCAACTTCACCTATTCGGTTGACCCCAGCAGTGGATGGGCTGCCATGACCTTCATCAGCCCTGCAGGTGTCGCGTTGGTCAGGGTCACCATTGACAGCCACAAGTTGTATGTGTACGAGGTCAACGGCAATTACATCGTTCCTCAGGTCGTCGACCAGTTCAGTCTCAGCAACGGTGATCGTATTTCATTCTTTGTCAAACTCGACCAGACTCCAGGTGACTACACCATCCGTGTTGCCAACGAAGGTATCAACCAGGTTATCTCGGGCTTTGGTGTCCTGTCCTACAAGGGTGGCAATGACGTACCAATGGGAGTGTCCGTCATGAACTATGGTGGTCAGAACACTACTGCCATTGTTCCCCTGAACAACGCTCTAGCTGCACCTTTCCCCGCAAACACCCCGGCACCAAGCGCGGATGTCAGCTTCATCCTGGATATCAAGAAGTCTCCCATCCAGACTACTGAGGCCTGGGCCTGGACTCTCTCGGGCACTGACTCGTACAACATGAGCAGCGATGACGAAGTCCCGCCTCTTTTGTTCCAGAACCCCTCGAGTATTCCCACCAGCGACTTGATCTTGGAAACCCAGTCGAACCAGTGGGTTGACCTGATCATCAAGGTTGCGGGACCTGTTGCTGAGCCCCATCCTATCCACAAGCACGCCAACAAATTCTACATGATTGGTGCTGGTGTGGGCGACTTCAACTTCACCAACGTCGCGGATGCTATCACTGCAGGATACCCGTTCAACTTAGTCAACCCTCCGTATGTTGACGGCTTCACCAGCATCCCCGCCGAGGGCAACAACACCTGGATGGTCTTCCGCTACGAAGTCAACACTCCGGGCGCATGGCTTCTGCACTGCCACGTCCAATCCCACTTCTCCGGTGGTATGGCCGTCGCTATTCTTGACGCCGTCGACCAGTTCCCTACTCCGCCTTCGGACGTTGGCAAGGTCTGCCCAGGTTCGGGCACAAGCACCTACGCCGGAGGAAACGGTACCTCGGGAACCCAGGTCCAAAACGAGGGATCTAGCACTACCAGCAATGTTTCTACATCCTCCTTCACCGGTGCTGCCTCGTCGGTGATGGTGTCGACTGGCACCGCCGCTCTTGGTCTTCTTGCTCTCGCTTTGGCTCTGTGAATGTGTTTGAAGCAAAATAGTCTTGTAATGATTTTCCTTGCTTTTATTTGGGTCTGCATTTTTCTGTTTCTTGGGATATTATAGTGTGCAATACAAAATGCCAGTTGGAAAAAGCGAAGTCCGCAGCACATAACGAAAGAATGGATATAGGTCTTGGGAAAGATGGCCTGGTGAGCATATGGGACGGCGTGACGAGATGGAAAACCCATCCAATCATCATGTACGCAGCAGCATTCTGATCCATCTGTTGACTGGATAGATTGGTCCAATATATCCACTGTCATTCAAGCAAAGAGAAAACTGAGTCGTTCTGTGCGCGCCTCTTCGTACCCGCTCTCTTGTGTGCATTATTTCGCCTAACGCCCACGTACTTACTACAAATGGGTGCCAATGGTAATCGGAGATTTGTGGCAAGCATAGCCGCTTTTCGAGATGAGAAGGATTTGGCGAGACGAGACCGAGCAGGGACATCCGCGCACTTTCCTCGTCCGAGCAGGACTTCCTCTTGCATCTCATTAGGGAAACAGGAGTGAGTGGCATGTCGACACCCTCTTCGTACTACCGACACCCTGATTTAGTCGCTCGGGAGCACGATGACGCTGCTTGCGCGAGAGAGAAGTCCAATTGCACCCTCAAACCTGCAGGCTGAATGTCTAATTAAGTCTGACGCAAGGCTGTGACGCGCACTCAAGCCCCTCTTGCACTTTCGCATCGTCTCCTTGCAGAAGTCGGTCACGCATAGGTAGTGCTGCCGCCCTGGCTTACTAGGCTGTCACTTTAAAGTTTAGTTAAGCTGCCTGTAGCCCACCATCGTTCACTAGCTGCGAAGACGGCGCGCCTTTCGAAGATTGCAGGGGTCCCTAAGAACAAGCTTCCTTGGGAGTAAATTGGCTTCTGGTGGACAAAAGCTTGGGGAGGCGAAGAGCTCCGTCGACGACGATAGACGCCCATCTTGTCGCTTTATCACGGTTCACTTCACTAAGTCCTTGTTTTTTTGCAATTTCGAGTGTGGACTTGGCAATGGTGCGCTGGGGATAGGGACCGACTGGGGCGCCAGGTTCTTGGTCAATTGCTTGCCCGCTTTTCCAAAACAGATGGGGGGAAGAGATTGTCCACCTGTGTACCGAGTACTGGGTACCTACCTACGGCCATGGGCCCAGTTGTTCAACAGCCTTTTCAAATCGTCAACCGAGGTTGACGGCTTCTCAATTCATCGAAGTCAACACCGTCGCACATCTGCCAGAGCAGCTGCCCACCCCGACCGGTTTCGGCCAGGTAATAATGTGGACAGGTAAGGTACCATCCCAAACTGGCGTGCAAGCAATCTATCCGACGGTAAATGAAAGCTGATGGACATCTGTGCTGGCGGCTGCTATGTATTAATCACCCCCCCCATAACCCATCCTATCATGTGTTGGTAGAGCCATTCCAAGTTGTCGGACTCTAGGTATGAAAATACCTCGTTGCGGCTTGAATGCTACTCCCCCTTCGTCGCCTTTCCACTGTCCAACATATTCAACCCCTCTTCTACTTGGTAGAGTGTGCTTTTCTCGGGCTTTAGATCGATCAAGACTTTTTGGGAGATGGATATTGCTCCTCCATACTGGACTCTACGGCTTGTTCGACAAAGACCTGCCCAGAAGATCAAGGCACGCTGGCTATGAGCAGAGTGAAACAGTTTAACAAAACAGGATCCAGCTCGCCGTGGGTGGCGGACTAATCCCGAACGAAGATCCAGTTCATCCGTTACAATCCTACCTTCACGCCAACCCGTCTAGTGCGTATCTTGTTTTACTCTTGGTTTGAAGGTATTGTCCGTTGCGCGAATCGTCAAGCTACAGGCGAGGGCAACGTAAAAGGGCGGAAACAGTCGGCCTTTGCTAATACTGATCGAAGCTCGCCGTCCTCAGCATTCCAAAAAGGCCGACAGTCGACTTCTCACTTATGCGAGATGGGGTCGACATCAGAAGCACAACGGGGTAGATGTACTCGCTCCCTCCCATGGCGGTATGACCGTTCGAGACAACCGCCCCATTTACAGGTCTCGGTGCATCCCCTTTCTATTACATATCCGCACATTCCCCAAAAGATGACAGACACAGAGAAGACCTGCCTTATGGCCTTGCACAGTAGCACACACAGCGTGTTCCATTCGGCTCCAATACGCAATCTTTTGCAGCCTACGGGCATGAAGTAGGGCTCACCAGGCTATGGTGGATCCTCCCCAATTCCTGCACTCGGTACCATCGTCGACGTGTTCCGTGACCCATTACGTACTTACTTAATTACTCCCTGGAGGGGCCCAGCAGGGTGTAGATTCGAGTTTGATATGAAAGGGAGCCAGAGGGATGTTGGAGCTAGAACCCAGAGCCAACGCATTTCAATAACTGTGCATGCATGGATGTGAAAGCGCAGCAACACTCGGTTTTGATTGAAGAGGGTAGAAAGATGTCGCCCTTGACCCAACTTGATCTGATAGTCCGGCTACCACATCAACGCACAGCATCAACCTCCACTCCGACCCTTGCGCAGTTCCTATCATCATGGTTGTCGCTGTCGCCATCACCATCGCACTATCCGCCTTTCACACCTCACTCGCTGGCCAAGCCCATAATGCGCCTCTTCAACATCCAAAATACACGGAAAAAAACCCCTCGCCAACCCGACTCCCGCGCGTGGGTCAATACAAGGCACCGTGGCTTCCTGATGCATCGCCTGCATCCGTCTTGCGTCTCAGTCTATCAGAAGTGTATAGTAACACTCACCTCCCCGCTACAGCCGCCCCCGCTACACGATCCCTTAATGGTCAGGTCCCACGAGATCATCCTCTTTGCAAGGCCACCGTCCTCAGGAGGTGGACAGTCAGGGCGAGGCTCGACGGGTGGTCGTGGATCTGGATCTCGTTTGGCGACGGCCTCGCAGACGACGCCTTTGGGACCGGGGTCGATGATGGGACTTAGGGGCAGGCTCGGCAACGCGTTGCGCTTTCCGACACCAACCACGGCACCGACCGGGGATGGGCAGTCGGTCTGGCCTGGTCGACAGTCCTGCCACGGATTGGGAAGACGCTCAGGCGCGCGCTTGGCCTTGAGCGCAACCCCGGGAAAAGGAGGCTCGTCGGGCACCGTGGGACCAGGAGTTGGGCGGATGTCGAAGGCGCGTTTGGCGTTGGCTGTGACCGGTTGGGACTCTTCTTCGATTGCGCCTCCCGGCCCGAAGGGATTGAATGGCGGTGGTGTGCCGCCGAGAGATCCTCCCCGTTTGGAAATCGCCGAAGCCGAAGCCCAAGGAGTTGCTGCAACGATGGTGGTCGGGCCGCCGGTCAGCGCGTCGATAGTCTCGCAGAGGAACTGTGGATCTAATGAGAAAATACAGTATACATGTTAGCATCGCCATTGCCGTTATCTGGGGAAGATCGACGACATTCAGGACCGCTATCCTCCACCCTCCACCTTGCTTATCCGGATGCTGGGTTTTCCGACGAGCAAGATGAATGATCTCCTTATGGGCCCTGTGTATGGGCTTACCACAGGCGGAGTCGCAGCCCGCGATCGAGGCGTCGCCGAGAGCTTGCAGCGTGCACAGGTTCCAGCACCCGCATTGCACTTCCAGGTGCAACAATGGTGCAGCGTCAGAAGCGTCTGTAGCTGCTGCCTGCTGAGGAGATGGAAGAGCGACGGTGACGGCGACGGTAGCGGAGGCCACCAGCACGGTAAGGATAGTGGACTTGATGGTAGGCATAATGTTCGGCGGTGGCGTTGACAGGAAGTACCCCGCGAGAAAGAGCGAGTGAGTTTTCTGAACCTTTTGTTCCTTCGGACATGTTCCCTTGCCGACCGGCTCCTGAGGGATATATATACCTCTGAAAGAACATCATCCCTGACCCAGCAAGTTCTCCTTTCCCTTCGACATGTCCTTTCACCATCGCATTGTCTTCTGTCCGAGTCTGCCTTGCTCATAAATTAAATGTGTGCGAAGGGGGGGGGCGTGAACGTGGCTCTTCACAGCCAGTTGCCTGGTAGCGGACTACAGGTAAAAATTCTCTCTGGTTCTGATCACGTCTCACCATATAGCTCACAAGTTTTATCTTCAGCCGGGGAGTTCATGCCGATGAAGGATGTTGCCAGAAGACTTGGCGGTGCCCAAGAATCAACCCATACAACGACGACAACGCCCTGGCACCCACCGACGTCGAGACAGTAGAGGCTGAAACCGTTGGGGCGGCAGCGCAAAGTGGTCGGCATGGGCAATAGAGACCTCTTAGAGAAAGGAGGAAAAGATGGTCCTCGGAAAGTCTCCCTGTATTCTTCGCATGCATGAGGAGGACGGACGGATCAACACGAGATGGAGAGCCTTGGCCGTGGCATCCCAGCCGGTTGATCGGATAGGGGCCGGGCAAAAAACCCAAACGAAACACGAGGCAAAGAAACGGATTTTAACTTTCCAGCCTCGCGCGTCCAGGAGAGCAACTTGACGGGGACTTTTTATTAGAAAACAACTGTATGTTCGTAGAAATCACACCACTACTTTGCAAGGTTATAACTCCTGCAGATGGCCCAATAGTAAACGAGCAGACTCTGTGAAGGTCTGGGTTCCTGCACGTTAGGCTTGGAGAGGCGCGTACGCTCGGTACTATAGTCTTTGGGCACTTGAAAGATATTTTTGGCCTCTCTACGGCGCGTAATACAGTGATAGCCGTGTCATTATCACCCATAGTTGCCATGCTGTCGAGAAATAAATTGCTCGCTGGACACGTTATTGGGGTTTGTACGTTGTGGCTCATACACCTAACAGGGAAGCCCACTAGCCTGCCACCCAAGCCGGACTTCCCCACATAAAAGGCGACCTTGGCGCCAGGTCACCTAAAACACTACTGCAGCTTACTATTAGGGGCAGACCAAGCAGACCAGAAACTATAAAACTACCCTGCACAAGCCTGCATACACGAACTGGGCTTGACTGGGGTAAAAATGAGTAACTATTTTGCCCATACCCACCTACGTCATACCGGTTGCATGTACATGTCGTGGTTCAAAATTCCCTTGCATTTCCCTGAAGTACCACTACATGGAGAGATTATTGTCAGTTGATCGCACTTCCACAAGCATCTGGACGGCTTAATTCTGTAGTCCTAATTCACCAAAGAACATCTCAATATGGACCACCTGCCCATCCCGCTTGACGCATCAGCACACGAGCGGGTGAAATTTTTTGTGGAAGATGAGAGGCCGTTCTCCACCGATGACTTCTTCAATCTTCCATTGAAAGGGGACTACAAGTTTGAGGATTTCGACGAGTTAGTGGAGCATGGACTGAACCGAAAACATTGGACCAAAAAGAAGGCAAACCAATTTCTGCAGGAGTGGCTCTTTTTCAGCCTGCTTGCTGTAGTCTTGAGAGAGTCGATCGATCCACTCAGCTTCGTGGACAGCAGTCGGACTGTCGAGAAGACCACGTTGACAGAGGGACTTGACGAATTCCTTGCGGGTTGGAGTGAACAGATGAAGCGGGGGGGGGGAGGAAGGAAAAGATTCTTTACTTACGCGGCGGCATAGCACTGGAAAATGCACGAAGATTCGTGTCCAAACACCTCTCGCTCGAAAACTATGACTATGGCCTAAATGAAGAGGTCCGGCGGAAGGAGCTCCATGGCATCCACAAGGAGGTAGACAAGGAATTGGCTCTCTTAATTGCCGTTCTTGGAGAAACGCTGCAAGGGGTGCGCTCAAAGCTGATCTTTAGTTTAGAGAACCGTTCCCACTTCTGGATGGACAGAGGCGAAGAGTTGGGGGAGTAGTACATTTTGCAGGGGAAAAAAAAAATGAAGGGCCGCCTCTGCTGCGATAACGACATTCGCCTCCTTGAATCGACAATGCCAGGTGTTTGCGGTGCTTACTACGCCCACAGGCTCAAAAATATGCCAACTAACGGCGACCATGACGTCCAAAACTGTTCATTAGGGAAATGCCAGGCCCAGAAGCAGCAACAGGAGGCCCTCCACCAGACATCCTGCGATCGTCAGAACTGCAAACTCCTTGGTACAGGACGGGAAAGCCTACAAATCACCCAATACATCAAGGCAGGCAAAACACCTCTTCTGAGGTTCGCCAACGGGGAAATTAACGTGCAGGCATACGACCTACGGAAAGAAGATGTGTCGTTCGGTGCTGTCTCCCACGGTTGGGGAGATCGCATTTTCGACTCTACCAAGGACTCCGGAGGGAACAACACATGTCAAATCAACCAGTGCCAAATACAAAGCTTGCAGAAAAGCTTCAATGAGCTCATAGGGAAATCGACTGCTAAGAACCGGAGAGATGAGAACACCTTTTTCTGGGTTGATTTGTTGTGTTTCCCAAAGAGGGATTCGATGACAGCGAAGGCAATGGACCAACTCAAGACTGTCTTTAAAAAAGCAAAGGCAGTCATTGTCTGGGACAGAAATTTGCTCTCAACGCATAAAAAGCAGCCCGAGGATACAATTGAGATGAATGTCAGGATGCGACTCGGAGGCTGGTCACGAAGATTGCGGACTCTTCAAGAAGCTGTCCTTGCCAAAAAAAAAAAAAAAAAAATTTACTTCGAGTTTCAAAACCGAAAGTTCCTCAGCTTGGATGAAATCAACGGTGCTAGAGAAAAGGCAGAACAAGACTCGAGCGACCCCTTCCACCACATCTGAAAAGCTGGGCACCCCTTTGGCAAGGCCGTCTCGAGGCTGAGAGTGAAAGACTCAAGGGACAAGGTGGCGAGGGCATGGGAGGCACTGCAGTTTCGATATTGCACCGCCCCTGAAGACGAGGCACTGGTGTTGGCTAACATCTTGGACGGTGTAAATGTGGCCAAGATTAAAGAAATCACAATGACAGAGGATGAAGATCGAGAAACCTTGGCGGCGAAAAGAATGGCGACACTGCCTAAACTTATTTACACAACTGAGGGCATGGACATACCGGCAAGTCTCATTTTCGTGCCAGGCCGCAGGTTGAACAACTGGAAAATCACCGATTCAAAGGCCTTTGGATGGGCTCCCACCACCTGGATGACTCAGCAGGTTTACAATTACCGCTTTCCTTCGCCAATACCGCAATGCCGGCGTTCCGAGGTGGGCAGGCTTTGAAGTGCGCTTTCCGGGGATTGCGCTACGTCTTCCCCAAACGCCATGGGATGACCCTGAATTCTGGATCCCCGTTCATCAGGCTCTCCGCAAGTGGTATAAAGTTAAGATTGATGCGCCGAAGGAAGATTGGAAAACGTTCGAGGCCGATACGATCCGGACAGCGGATGAACCATCGATTATCATGAGCGAGCACAATTCCAAGGGGCGCTGGACCATTGGAACGCTTGCCAAAAAAATTGGCCCCTTAGGTGACGATACCCGTTGGGTAACCATCCTAGGGAGAGCTTGGATTCGACTGGAGACTAACTTAACCATCATCAAGGAGAGGCGGGATGAGTTGAGGCAGCAGACGGAGCGCATGGCGATTGGGGAAAGATTAGGACCGGACCAGAAATGGTGTATCGATGGACAGAGTGGTTCCAAAAAACGATCATTCGACGACTTTAGTAATTCTTAGGTATAGTTGGCTAGCATGAGGATAGCCTACCGACATAACTGCAGGACGAAAAGGGGACGGTTCAGGCAAGGGCGACGTAAAGGGTCAGTACCCGGTAGGTAGGTGAGTGGAAGGTGAGAGGAGGTGAGAAGAGAGGGAGTGGTAAGCAAGGCGAGCGAGGCCTCCTCAGAGGACGAGCATCGCAACTGACCTCGCTGCCGCCGATCTAATGGCGGTGTTGATGACAATGTTCTCTGTAAATCATAGTGCTAGTTGAGTGTAGAGTGGATTGACTGTGTGGTGCGTTACCAGGTTGGTGCGTTACCTGATGGGCGGACTTAATAAATAAGAGCCCGAACGGGACGTCGAGAAGATGGTTCGGTCGCAGGGCTTCTTGGCATCCCGAATCAAACCGTCGATTCGAGACTGCAAACGCAGGCACCTCACAGCAATCAAGCTCATCCATCAACTTCTTATCTTCTCTCCAGATTCAGACCGGCCAGCCGCAAAGCGAAGCGCCGTCATTGCTTTGTTCAGTTCTCGCCTTTCGTTAACATTCTCTTGATGCCTTGGATTCTCCCCTGCTCCTCCTAGACGTCCACGCGATCTCGTCTCAATCGAAGACCATTCTCACCTGGGTCATCTCTCTCCACCATCCGCAATCATGAAAACACCAGTTTACTCCCTGCTGCCACTTCTCCTGTCGTTATCACATCTTGCCGCCTCTGTGTCGATAGACTGCCACCATATTCGAGTCGACGGCAAGAAGTTTGACTTATCAAAGCTCGCGGGCCGGCATTCCGTCAATGTCCACGACGCATCGAGACCACCTGCCGAGTACAACACCACATGGACGATTGACCTTTGTGCGCCGCTGAAGAAGCTTGAGGGTATAAGAGACCAGGATCAATGTCCGGGGGGAACACGAGGTAAGCCCTGGATTCTCTCTGATTGAATGGAGAGGAACAACCTCATACTGCGAACGTGGGCTTACTTCACTCTTGCAAACAGTATGCGGCGTCGTCCGATCCTGGAATCCCGCCGATGACCCGGAGAAGAAACACATCGAAGTCGAGAACGTGATCCCCGTCGCCGGGAACTTCGAATCCAGCACAGGCGCCAGTCTGGACCCCAAAGTGTCACGGTTGAAAGCGCAGGATTCGAACTCGGATGGCCTACAGATCGAGTTGAACGGCGGCAATTACAATAACATGAAGCAAAAAGCGGTAGTACAGTTAACGTGCGACAAGGACCGGACGGGCAATGAAGAGAAGAGGAAAAGGAGTCTGAAGCGCGATGGTGAGGACACTGACAAAGACAAGGACAAGGAGGAGCAACCGAGCACGTCCAGCTTGACATTTGTGAGCTACGGCAAGGTCGAGGGAAAGGATAAGATTGAGGTTTTGAGACTCAATTGGCGGACAAAGTACGCTTGCGAGGACTATGCCGACAGCGACGAGGCGAGGAAGAGCGGTTGGGGTTTCTTTACTTGGTTTGTTCTGATGTAAGTGTTGACTCTGGTTTTTCCGGGAATGTTTCTGCTTTTCTTTATTTCCCCTTCCTTCCCCATTATCCCTCCCAACGTTACATACGCTGACCGAGTATGCCCAACAAAGCGCCTTCTTGGGCATCGCCGCCTACCTCATCTTCGGCTCCTGGCTCAACTACAACCGCTACGGTGCCCGTGGCTGGGACCTGCTGCCGCACGGAGATACGATCCGCGACATCCCCTACCTCTTTAAAGATTGGTCGAGGAAAGTCATCGACACCGTATCGGGAGGAGGCACCAGAGGCGGCTATAGCGCTGTATAATGAAGATCACCGTTTTAAACCTGGTGCTTGTTGTTGGAGGAGGAGGAGGAGGATTATTTGGGGCCTAGCACCTACCTACCTCTTTAAGGGCGGCCGCGCCGCACTGCCCAGTTCTTTACGTACGGGGCATGTGAGTGAGACCCTCCCCCCGAAAGGGTGAATTAAAATAGGAAGTTGAAAAACACCTTTGTAGAATAATCGAAAGAAAGACGGACGGGCCGGGTAAGGAAACTCGAGGATACGGGACTCCTTGCATAGCGTGGCGCATGAAAAGGAGATTTTTATTTGTACGTATGTATCCTTGATGAGCCTTGCAAGAATCATGCGATTCGATTTCCCTGAGTCATGCTCATCTATCCTTCCTAGATAGGTGCCTGGTAGCCATTTTCACTCTCATGACAGTGATCATGCCTGGCGTCCGTGCTCCGTACCTCCAAGGTCGATCATTTTTGGAATCCTGAGCGGGAACGATCCTTCACAGCAGCTGGTCTTCTCCAGGGACGATGTCTCCGAATTTCTTTGCGGAACCGTGACTCCGGGCGACGATGCCATAGGCGGGGAAGTACTGTGGGCGGGGACAGACATTTCAGCGCGTTTCGTCCCGGAGAAGAGTATCATACAGAGAGAGACAGAGTATCTGTGTGTAGAGACTGAAAACTTAGAGGAGGACCACAGACCTTGTCCAAGAACGGAAGCACCTCGGCCGTGCCAGGCGTGTTTCTCCAGTCTTTCATCAAGAACATCGAGATGCCGAACATGCCAGTCTAAGGGGGGGGGTCAGCCTTGGGGGTTCGGGAGAAGCGCACTCGAGGAATCGGTGAGGCGGAAGTTTTTGGCCTTACCAAGTGCACGCCAGCATTCTCCATCCTCCGATTCGCATCCTCGGCCAGTTTGGGAGTCGCGGTCCCGCTGGCCTCAGTATTCGCCCACACCGAATACCCGGCCTCTCTCAAGCTCAGCGCCAGAAACATGGTGCACACCTCGGTGACGATGCCCCCCAAGATGACCTGCTTGCGTCCCGTAGCTTCCACGGCCTTGCGGAAATCCGGATTATCCCAAGCGTTGACCTCGCCGTTTCTCCTGATAAAAGGCGCGTCCGGGTACATGTCGATAATTTCCTTGGGCAGGGGTCCATTGGGACCAGTCTCGGCCGAGGTGGTCAGGATGGTTGGCAGGCCGAAGAGCTTGCCTAGTTCGGCGTGGGCGAGAACATTATTGCGGAATTCGGCAGTAGTGTAGTCCTTGACGAGTTGAAGAAGGCCCAGTTGATGGTCGACGATCAGGAGGATGGCTTTGTCTTTGTCGAGACGTTCGAATTTGTAGGGTGGTTGTTGGTAGGCCATGGCTGCTATGTATCTGCTTCTGTGTGGAAAGAACGTATGGGTCTGGGTCTGACGGCTGGGATGTCAGGGTCGGGCCTTGAAGCAATGAACTCTGAATCTGATGAAAGATAAACTCTCAGGAAGGAGTAGGTGTGGCTGAATATATACACTGTCCTCCATTGCTTTTTCTTGCTTAACGCCATGTACAGTAATCGCATTGGTTGTCGAATGCTTTTCGAATCTTGATTTCACCTTGTCCTGTCAAGAACAACTATGGAAAACAGCGGGGACCGCGCGAGGCTCGATCAAAAGGGCGAGGTACTTCCCATTTGAGGCTAGATTCGAGGTTTAATGACTAAGATCTCGCGTTCTTGACGCAAGATTGAGCGGAGCCCTGGTGTGGTAAGCTTGGAGTAAGTAGTGGGCGGTGTTCAAGCAAATGAACCCTCGTGTAGCGCTCGACTGATCCAGATTTGCGCATGTTTGGAATCTGGGTCTTGATGGATGCATACGTAAGAATCGGGTGCTGAGTAACCACTGGCTGAAGGGGTTAACGACGACGTATTCGTGACAAGCCGATATGGAGACTTATCTGCACGTGAAGCTACAAGCAATACGTGTATCATCACTGGATGGTTAGAAGCAATGCTTTACTGAAGGGGCAGAGAGCCTTGGATGAGGAGTACTGGGTACAAGGAGTGGTGAGAGATGAGGTTTGTGAGGGGACTGTTCGAGTGGCAGACAATAAATGCGGCCGAGAGCTTTATGCTTCGCCGGGCCGCCGCTCATACTGCAAACCATAGTACCACTTAGTGCTTTGGATAATGAGCCTAGTGGCCAACCCGGTTGAATTCAACGAGCATAGCATACAACTCACCTCTCAGGCCTAAAAAGCTCGATCCAATCTGAGACCTCGATCCTCCAGCGCATTACATACAAACCAGATTTGGGCGCTTGCGCTTTCCGATAACCTGTCAGTCTCGTCATGCTGTCCAGAAGAGTAGTAAGTCTCATTATCGCACGTCTGAACCAGATGTCGGAATTGGTCCCACGAGCCGTCTCATAAATGGGGGTAAATTCTGACTTGGGGGGAAAATAAGCTCTCCAAAGAGGAAGAATCAGAGTCTACGGACGCCGAAGTCACCAAAGAAGATCAAGAAAAGATCAACACTTTTTCGAGACTGCACAATCGGAGTAAAGCCCTGGAGGAAGAATTGGGCTTGAAACACGTAAGTCGGTATTCATTCTTGCCCTGTTTCGTGAAGGGATTACGGCAGGTGGATGTCTTTGGACGGACGACATGGAGAAACTATGGTTCAGGTTTGGGCGAAGAACATGATGGGCTCATTGATGAAAAAAGTGCCCAAGGTCAAAGAAGAGATCAAGGGCTCTCTAGCCACCATTGTCTCCGCCATCATTGCCTCCCCAGGCCTGTTTTCTTGAGAATACCGCTGCTTCATCTTGTCATGCCCAACGCACTCACCCACGTCCTCGCAGAAAGACAAGGAAGACCTCGAAGAACTGTCCACCGAACTCGAGCTCGCCGACGAGGACTCATTAATCCCGTAGGATTTCCCCAGCCCCTCCCAAATCTCCTATCTCATTCGAAGAAATGCCCACTGTCTTTGTCGCACATGCAACTGGCTGAAAAAAAAAAAACGAAACGCATGCGCAGGTACAAAATCGGCGACTCGTTCATGCACCTCCCGCTGGCCGAAGCACAGGAACTGCTGTCGACGCAGACGACGGAAATCGAAGGCGAGGTGTCGGTGCTCGAGGAGGAACTGGAGACCATCAGGGAGCAGATTCGCGGCTTGAAGGCGCACCTCTACGCTCGGTTCGGGAAAGGCATTAATCTCGAAGCTTGAGCATGGATGTAAGAAGGGGGGGCGCACTGGGAACCCGGGGACCCCTCCAGGGCGAAGAAGGGGGGGGAGGGGAGGGCTAAATGGGGGATGCGAGACGTGTATGAGGCGATGCGTTCAACGACGGCCGCTTGAGCCGACGAAAAAAGAAACCAACTCCATGGCGTGAGCTGATGGTGGAAGCCCAGAATCTGTAGAGCAGACGCATGGATGAAGACCTTAGGCGGCCAAATCCCTCGAGTCCTAGTCTTGTCATCTCCAATCGCTTGACGCCTCGTGGGAACCAAGAGAATGACGAATGTGGTCGGATGAGGATCGCGTGGGAGAAGCGGGCTATCACGTTTTGATTCGGTTGCTAAAAGAAGGAAGCGACTGATTGCTCTCTCCAAATCCAGGTCTATCTACACCAAGACATCCCATTGCCGTGCCTCGGGGGAATTGGTACAGAAACAGGCAAAAGAAAGAAGTCGTGCCGTCCACCGCTCTACCCTCACAATTGTGAATCAAATCTCATCCAGGGAAACTCCAAGGCGCATTCGAAACCACCACAGTATCCTACAACTTACTATCCGTTGGGTTCTGGTTCAATCTCACAACGCCCTCCTGCACACAGGTCGCTATTAACACCCCGTCCTTACTCCACATCCTCTGCATAACCAACCCTCTCCCATCGCCAGCCCATGGACTATCCATCTCCGTCAACATCCACTCGTCTGCCCTGAACGCCCTCGGATTATGGAAAAAGATCGTATGGTCCAAGCTCACCATCATGCCAATGCGGCGTTCGTCCCTCTTGCTACTTTGGGCCATGTCGGCGTGTTCCTCCTCTTCCTCCTTGGCAATGTCTTCAAGGTACTTTCGCATCTCTTTTTTCTCTTCTTCCGAGCCCTTGAAGGTTCGTAGTGTGCGCTCGATGTTGCGGCGGTTGGCGAAGCGTTGGAGACTGTGCACCCGCGCAACCGTGCCGATAAAGTACGAATCACTCATGTATGCCAACGCACTTAAGTGAGCTTGATGGTTATCACCTGGCCGGTTCGCTCTCTGGCCGGACTGCAGTTCCTCTTCGCGGACGTTTGGTGGACAGTCGGATATGCGACCGCGAGCGCGGATCCATTGCCGCAATTTGCGCTCGGAAGGCGGTCCGCTGCGGTTGGTGATGGGACAGCGCACGGATTCAAATGGTCGGTCGTCCGCGCTCACGTTCTGGCGGTCGGAGTCCGCGTCCGGTGGAGGGACGACGTCTGTGGGCATTCGGATAGCATGGTCGACAGTCTCTTTCCCGCCTGAGCCCTCTTTCATGAAACTTAATGTCGTTGTGAAAATACACTTCCCCCTCTGTCGCGCTTGGACAGTCCGTGTAATGAAGCTCTTTCCATCTCGGACTCTCTCCACATGATATAAGATAGGAATCTCGCTGTTGCCGGCAAGCACGAAGTAACAGTGCATGCTATGTACCGTGAAATCGGGCGGAATCGTGGCTTGTGCAGCAGAGAGGCACTGGGCGATTGCGGCGCCGCCATAGATTCCTCTTGCGCCAGGAGGATGCCAGAGTGGGCGGGCGTTGGTGTAGATGTCTGGGCCGATGTCGATTAGCGGGAGGAGGGAGAGGACGTTTTCGATGGGGGAGTGGTGCGGGAGGGATTTCGGAGGGTTGATGAGTGTTGCGTGTTTAGACATTGCTGTAGAAGGGTATGAATATGAAGACAGAAGGAAATGCACTCTCAGGGAAGAGAAACTGGTGGTGGGATGGCAACCAGATGCCTCTCTCTATACCTCAACTCAACGCCGATATGATGGGGAGGATGAAAAGGCTGAGCGAGCTGATGGCGGATGAACGGTCTTGTTAATAATGGCCTTCAGAACTTGTGCTTATCGTCCTACCATTGCCTCGATTGGAGGATATCAGAATAGGCCGGGCGACAAATCGTTAAATCTCGGTTCGACTGCAAGATGCCGGAGCATCAAAGAGTGCGTTTCGGGCCAATTTACATCTGAGGATGAGAAGCAGTAGGGCGTTGTTTCGGCCAGAGAAATCATTGGGCGAAGTCGACTTTGCTCGACCAAACAGCCGAGGCTCGTCGCGAGGATTTTCCGTCCCGGGACTCGGGCGCCGAATGGAAAAGGTATGAAGCCATAATAAGCCACGGATCGAGGCATCGCATGTGGTACATCGAAACACCTCCTTGGGACGCCTGGGTGACACCAGTTACCTAGTCCCGATGACCATCTAGATTTCCTCCGGACCGTCCCAAGGATGCCATTTAAGCTTTCGTACATTTACATCTTGAATATGGCCTGAAACCCCCATATATGCCATACCTCGTACATTAGACCAAGACGCCTCGCTAAAAGTCCCGACTCTTTTTTGACACACTAAAGTCATTACCTATGCATATCTCGTCGACCCTGTCCAGACCGGGTTTGGGGAATAAGAAACCGTCTGAGAGGGTGACGACCCTGGAGTGTGTGGCCATGTACCGGGCTCAGTTCCAGGTGTCAGGAGGACCGATGACCTCTCAATCTCTTCCCGCCGTCGTTCTCGAAGATTCTTGGAAGCTCCGTTGTCGGTCGTCGGGCTTCGATCTCTTGAGAGCTTGTTTAAGATCTGCCATTTGCCGGTGCTTGCTGGGAGACTGCCGCTACGGGGTCGCGTGTCAGGCTGGACCACCTCCAAACCGTCAGATCCCACATCTTCGCCTGGCAAGGTGATGTGGTAGGTGCTCTGCGAGTTTCGGTGATTGGGTGACTCGGCCGAATCTCGAGTGAGTAACAGTCGGAGAAGTTGCCGCCGTTGTGCCTCATCTTCAGGGATGTTGTTCGGAGTCCAGCGGTTCATTGGGATTAGTTCTGTCGTGGAGGCTGCATCTCCGTAGCTGACATAGGAGCTTCTATCCCATCTTTGAACATGTTGCCTCCTCTGTCTGTCCAACTCCTTAATTTTGCTTAACTTTCTGAATGTGATATAACTGAGCACTCCGGTCCCAATTGTGGTGGCACAGGCAATGACCAATGGTACGTAGATGTAAACCTGGGTCGGAATCGGGAACCTTTTGTGAAGAGCATGGTTCACAACTGTAACGAAGACGCCCATAAACGAAGAGGTCAAAATCGGAAGCAGAACGGCATCGAAGAGAAAGAGCAGGCTGCGACTGAAATATCCGATTGCTGTGATTGCGCCATAACCGAGAATAAGGAGCACTGCGGCGAGGACCGTCAGGAAAGTACGTGAGACTTTGATGTTCTCCTCGGCAGAGGTGAAGACGAGCGAGAATACAATGTATCCGCCGAGAGCGAGCCAGGAGGCAGCGATGGCAATAGTCCTGAAGTACCACGGCAGAGTATCGCGTTCGGTGTAAAGATCGAAAAGAGTCTCTCGCATTCGCCGGTAGTTTCGCTGCATCCTCCTTATGACAAACCAAAGAGCACGTTTCTTCGAGGCATTCAGGAGAGGATCGTGGGATTGAAGCGGCCGAAGAGAGTGAAGTGTGGTTCAGGACGTTCAGTTTGCACTTGTGTGGCTTCTCAGACGGGGACCGAGCTACTGTTGACGGCCTGGATGCCCAGAAGGCGAGGTGGAGGGGTGAACCAGGGAATCACCCAAGCAATACCGAGTACTCGGTACAGAAGGATGTTTCAACGAAGAAGCAGTACTGAGGACGGCAGCAGTAATAGAAAGAGAACAGGCTGACGCGGAGAGCGCGGTGAGAAAGAAGGACGAGACATCATTGCGCACTGACTGCGCTCCAAAGCAACGCAATCCAGGTCGTATCGCATGGAGGGCGCAGAGGGCGTCAGGGAGCAAAAAGTCAATTACTACTCGTACTTGTGGGCGTGAGCACTGAGCCTAACAAGTAGTGAGCCGGGACAAGCGGTAAGGCTGGGTGAGGGCAAAGGCGCAGGTGGGTCTGGATTAGCTGAAATGGGGGGGAGACATCGCCAGGTTGTTATAGGCGGGAAGGCGCCTGTGATTAGCAATGCAGGGGCCCCTGAGGCGCAACAGTAGGCCCCAAAATAAATCTCGTAGGGCTGACCGCGACCCTCCGAGCTACCCAGGTTGTGCACACATTACGCCGCAGTGGTTGTCACTATCCAGACTTCCAGCTGACACGTGCCATGCCCCCAACCATCGTCCACATCGAAATATTCAAGATGCACATCGTCCGTCCACCGCACCTACTTGGCCGGCCGTTACCCCTCCACCATGATTGTATGATTCCATCATCTTGCTTTTCTTGCACCATTCTCTCGAGTGGCTTTAGACATCAGCTCGTCACTGACGTATGCACCATATGTCCCTCGCAATCCAAGCACAAATCCAATCGCCGATGAGAATGTCAACACCAAGTGTGTCACCGCCCAACTGACCCATCCGCTATCCTCTCCTACCAATACTGGCCAGTTGTCCCAGGAATGAAAGATGCAGAACAACTGCAACACCACAATCCAGTGCTCAATCTGCGTCCTGACCCATTTAGGAGTCATGCTGGGCGCTTGGTATAATGAGCTGGGGTGAGGTTCGGTCAGGAACGAGGTCAGCATCCGGAAAAACCCTTCCTTTTCACCATCTTCAGGTATTGTCCATTCTCGAACCATCAGGTCTCCTTGGTCGTCATCTCCTGCAATCCGGCGCCATTCATGGACTGTATATATCGGTACTTCAATGACGCCATCCCCAGCTCCATAGACCCCGGATCGATCCCCAAGTTTGACAAGTGCGCGTCCTTGCAGGATCTGGAGAAACTCTGCGTGAGTCTCGTGCCAATGTGGGCCAGAAGTCCAAGTAGAAGCAACAGGTACGGTGATCGTCACACTATCACTTTTCGACAAGTCATAGGTTACGGCCTCGGGAGCTGTCCGTTTGAAGACGGTGATGTTGGAGGTCTGTCTTCGTGTAATAGTCATTTGTGCTCCGGAATTCGTTTCTGGCACGGCCCAGTTGTCGAGCCACAATCGACCTCTTATAATCCGTGTTTATATTTCCAGATCGTTCGGGGCTGACAAAAACAGGTACGGGCACAATTCCGCAACACGACCTACCTCGTTACCTCAGCACCAGGTTAGAACAACGATATCTAACGCGCTGAAAGTCAACTTATCCTAACGGACAGTGTCTCGAACAGATTAGGGCTTGATATACATTGTCAGCAGGCGAAAATCTGCTTAATATCTCTGTGCGAGAAGTGGGGGGATTGATCATGTTCATCTTTCAGCCTGACGCGCTGTTCAGGAGAACGGGATCTGCCTGCTTGTTTTCGACTTCGCCTAGGGAGGCGATTCTCGCCCCTAGCGTATGGGGGCCGACCACGTGAAGATTTCCGATTCAGCGCGACCCTCTTGGCCTGGCCGACCCAGGACTGAAGCCATTTGCCATGCCTGCCGAACTAGTACAAGGCAAACGCCCCATTGCAGAAACGGACTCAATGTCCCTATGTCTACGCCTCACTTCCTGCGCCCAAATTCTGCCTGAGAGACATTTTGATTGGGTTCTCAAAGCTACTGTCTCAATGAGTGAACCTGTCTTTGTCGACCGTCTCCGGGGCTTGCTTAAAGACGCCTCGAAGTATCATTGCCGTTCGTTTCTTAACCGCCGCCCCCTGGCGCGCGTCATATCAAAACCTCCATTACCCAAACCTGATGCTCAGACTTTTGTCGACCTTTGATTCTCTGCACCTAAATTGCACATATCTAGGACAGCCTGATGACTTTGTCTCAGCCGCCCAATGCTGGCACATAAGTCGGTAAGAATTCGCCAACTGTCAGGTGGTCTCTATGTTGAGGAACCGCATCCTCAACGGATCGGCCTTCAGCCTCGTTTTCGAGTCGAAACAATCACTCAGCATGATAAAGCTTTTGCCGAGTCCGTTCTGAAAAAGGAGGCTTCTGCTGCGAGGGGGTCTCAGCCGCTACTTCGAAGAGTCAAATCGAAGTTGAGCCGGCCAGACAAGGCTGTGACTTTCACTGTACTATCTAATCATGTTCAGGCCAACGGCTCCGCCGAAGTCGCGCAAATCTACGTTGATAGACTGTTCCTCGATGCCGCACAGTCGAATCTGCAGTTAGAATTTACAGACGGTCTCCTAGCCACCGCTGTCAAGAATGGAAACACCGACCTTGTCCGCCTCCTGGCTCCTTTCACAGCGGTCGACGCGGTCAGCGCCGTTCTCGAATCTGCAGTGCTCAGTCGGGATTTGAACATCGTCACGGCCCTGCTTGAATATGGCGCGGATCCGAATTTTTTAAGTCACGCCTGTATCCTCCGACTGGCTGAAACCGACTGCCAACTACTTCAACTCGTTCTTCGCGCTCCAAGGCAGCTACGGTACGAAACTTTTGGGAATCTGTGCGCCACTGCTATTCGGAATGGACTGTCAAATACTCTCAACGTCATCCTCCGCAGTATGGCTGACTATCCGATATTTCGCGACTCAGCTCTGCCGTGGAGCCGAGATAGTCTCCTCGAAGCAGCGATCTGTTCCCCTGATAAGAGTACGTTTTTCTGCATCGCAACGTCGACATCCACATGGCCCTTGAGAGACAATCGTTTGTTTCTGCATATCTTGGACACTGCGGCTATAGATCGCTGTCAAGCTAAAGACATGATAGAGGTTTTACTCTGCCTGAGTGATATGTCGCCAGCGTTCCATTCAAGCCCAGAGGTTGAATCGTCTTACTGCCACTGTGTACAAGAACAGCATGAAGATATTCTACGGTTAATGGTATCTTATGGCGTTTGTGTCTCGGCAGAGCCGCTTATGCTCGCATGCCAAAACCATGACGAAAAGATACTGGATATCCTCCTCGCCGGCCCCATTCGAGGAGAAGAGCAGGTGGTTGCTCGTACCTCGCACCTGCAAGGGCAAATTCAAAGAGACATGGGTCGGAAGATCCTTCGGCGTCTCCTTGCCGGAGGAGCCAAGGGTACGTGGAAACACGAGGAACTCATCACGGCAGTCTCGCTTGGGCAAGTCCAATGGGTCGAAGCTCTCGTCAACGCGAATGCTTCAGTAGACTACCACAATGGCGCAGCACTTCTCAAAGCCGTTTCGTTGGGACATGTTCGAATCGTTCAGAAGCTCCTATCTCGCCCTGTATCTCTTGAGACCTTGCGAGCTGCCTTTCCAAGTATCAGTCAACTCGAAACTTTACCACGACGACTCCTTACAAAGCTCTTTATCAACCAGGGACTGTCAGGGCAATGTCTAGACGACGCTCTCAATAGGGAACTTTGCAACTATTCATACCACAGAGATCCCGAATTAGTCGACATCTTGATCACGTCCAGCGCTCGCTGCAATGATCTTTCACTCACAGTCGCTTTTGAACACAAAGACGCGGTGATCTTCAAAAAAATAGGCCTTTCCAGGATAGTGCTCCATGAATCTGTTGCGGAATGGTTCAAAAGCTGGCATCGCATGCTCCTTCACGCGCAACGGAAAGATGAATATTCAGCAGTGGCCTCTGCATGCCTCAAGATGCTATTTGGCAAACTGGACACCATCGCAGCACTTTGTGATGCTCACGAAGGTCATCGGCGACTTGAATGCTTCCATCAGTATCTTGAACATGGTGCTGAGGACATTGATCTTCTCTCAGCATGGCTTAGATGGGCACCACAGATGGACAGCAACACATTTACCGAGCTTGTACTGACAGCAGCCTGTTTCTGCGATCTCAGCAGACTCCAGTTGGTTGTAGGGTCCAAACCACTGAGCAGTCCGTTCCCATCACCTTCCGCGACCTCTATCGAAAATCCTATGCTAAATTCTGAATCAGGGAGGGCACCGAATATGTTCTCATCTGTACAAATACCCCCGCTTCGTCACAATCCCGTGAATTTCTCGGACGCACACAGTGTTGAAAGTTTGAAGCTTATCTTTCGCCAATATTTCTATGGTGCCTATGAGAGTCACCTTGTGACAAGACTCCTCCAGAGACACCTGGAACAGTGTACCGAAATCATTCCTGAGGGCGAAATCTGGCCGCTGCTTACGATACAATATCTGCTGTCCCAGCCGATCGAAGTCACATTGTCAGAATACAGTTCCTGTCTTTACATGGCCATCGCGTCTCAGCAGTGGCTCGTTCTTGGCCTGCTACTAGACCGGCAATTGCCAAGGGAGATGGTTGCCCGCTTCTTTCTGGTTGATACGTCTCTGCTTGCGCCTCGTGCGATCCAAGTTCTTCTCGAATCACAAGCAATGACATGCATGGACGACAGATTCTTCTCTGAGGTTGTGCAGCGGACTTTCAATCATGCATGCCTTGCCCAAGACCAGGAGATAGCAATCCTTCTGTGCTCTAAATCTCGCTGCAAACTACGCATCGCGGATGTTTTGCTACCTCTGCAACAAGCAATTGATGCCTCCGACCTCGACTACATTTCTGCTTTGCTCGGTGCAACATCCTGTTCCAAGGTTGACCTTGAGGTACTTTGGAAACATGTCAGTCATCAATATCACAACGATGACATTCTCACGCTTGTGGAGATATTGCTTAAAGCCGGTGCAGACGGTGTCTCAGTCGGCGCTACATTGATAGATGCCATCGAAACAGATAACGAGCCCCTCATCGCGCTCATTCTGGGTCGATGGCAAAGTCCACGGTCCCTGCAGTATCGCGAAGAGTTTGACTATAAAGGACGCCGGCCAATTTCCAGAACATCAGGCCCTGGGCCCGATGCAGACTATTTTTCAGGGCTCGCTCGCGCTCTCTCCGTTGCTGTTCGTCGAGACCGAGCAACTATCTGTCGGCGCCTTTGCACAGCCGAAGCTCCACTTGTATGTCAAGGACAATCACTCATTGAGCTTGCAGTGGTCCTGGGAAGTCACAGTGCTCTCGTGGAGATGATTCAGTACTCGAAAACACGCCCTGCAATGAGTCAGGCTGTCAACTTCGCTTTACTTCAAGCTGTGGTACACAATCGCCTAACCTGGGTGCAAGGTCTAATGCACCTCGGCGGTTCAATCGAAGCATACGACTTTGAGCCCTTGAAAATTGCGGCGGGACTTGACCATCCTGATATGTTGGCAGCGCTCCTGCCCTACGCCCAATCCCCCCAGGGGCTTAACGCAGCATGCCAATCCCTTCAAGAGCGTCTTACTGCGTACGAGGTTGATCTGGACAATATTTGCGCGATGTTTGAGCAGCTCCGCAGAGCAGGCTTCCAGGTGGAAGAGAGGTATAACGAGGCTCTCTTTGCACTATTAAGACTCCGGTCTGCCGGCTCGGATCATGTCGGAATTTTGATCAATTGCGGAGCGTCTATCGACTACAGAGGCGGCGATTGCATGATACAACTCTGGAGACAAGGCAATGTGCAACTCTTTCCCGACCTCCTTCGCCACTGCAGTCAGCAGTCCGTCAGAACAAGACTGTTGAGTGAGGCATGTAGCGACTATTTACAACAAGAACAGGATCGTACCAGTCTTCGGGCCGCCGATATGCAGCTCGTCCTGGGTGCTCTCCTTGAGACAGACATACCTCAGGATGCGCGTGATATGGTGCTGGATGCAATTGCTAGGGCTTGCCATCATAAGCCCGAGTCTGCCTCGATCATCCAACTGCTACTGGAGAAAGGGGCTCGTTTCATCGATGGGGCTGGAGTGTCCCTCTATCAAGTTTGTCGCCTTGAAGATCCCAACATCACCTCCCTAGTTATCAACAGCCCGCCTCATGTGCGAACTCGCTTGCTAGCTCTCCATCGCCTCTTCCGCAACCAGGGTACAGGATATTCGAATGCCGCAGTGAGAGAGGTCGGGCAAGAGCCCAATCCATCAGACCAGGCATCCTTGTACAACATCAATTTCCCCACGTCGGCAGCTGAGAATCTCGACCTTGAGGCCTCGGACATCGTTACCTTGATTGAGGCAATGCTAAATCCAAAAGTTCAGTCTACAGGGACCAGTTTGATGTTTACGTTCTTCTTCATGCTAGGAGGTCTCCGCGTGTTATCGTCCCAACGTTGTTCCGACGACGATCGCAATGACGTGGAGCAAATGTTTGCTGCTGCCATAATGAACTCAGAAGCTAAAGAATTAGACGATCGAATCGAGTTCTTACTCAGGGTCTTGCAGATTGACGCACCAGATTCTGTGAGCTTGACCGCAGACGACATGGGCTTTGCCTTGGAGGTTGTTTCGCTGAATAGGCTACTTTTATTGTCGCTCCAGCACAAGAAGTTCGGTTTGGTGACTACACTCCTGGATGCCGGTGCCGACCCAAATGCAAGAGATGACGACAGACGATCTGCATTGTACCTAGCCACACTAGAGAAATCTCTCGATACAATGGAATCTTTGATCGGGAACGGCGCAGAAGAAGACGACGGAAGTCTGCACATCGCGACTTGCTGGCAACACCACGAAGCCATGCAGCTGCTTCTCGAGGCAGGGCACGAACCAGGCTATTGTTCTGAGCTTTTCTTTGGCGCTACTCCGCTCGAGGCTTTCTTACGATTTAACCACTCCGGGGCAGCACCTGATCATTTCGAGATGACACTCGCGGTGCTGCTGTGCGACGCCAATGTACCAGCAGATTTCTGGAGCAGTGAACCCAATCTTTTGTCTCTGGCTCTATTGGGTTCGTCGCCGTATCAATTGCTCAGCGCGCTGCTATATTACCTGCCTTCAGAAGTGGTTGAATTGCCTCTCATTCGTCGAGACCGGTTCATGTTCTCTGTCCTCAGCCTTGCCGAAAGAGGAGAGGATATTTTGTTGTCTGACGCTGAGCGAGTGGAACTGTCGACTCGTCTAGAAGCATTAAAATTCACGCGGACCTTTTACGCTGAGGAGGGAGATCAACCAGAAGACGCCGTCAATGTGCCAGAACACCTTGAGGTCCCCGAAGTGAGGGCACGCCGTCGTGCTTGGAGAGAAAAGGACTGTGCTGTTTGCACCGAGAAGCCTTCCGATCGAAACGCGATTCATGCAGCGCTGGCCCCGTCTTGTGAAGACAACCACGGGTGGGAGCACAACATCATCTGTACCGACTGCCTGAGAGGACATCTCGAATCGCAGATGTTCCCGCAGGGAGACGACAGGTTCCCCTCCGCCAAAGTAAAGTGCTGGGCTCCCAACTGTTTAGAAATCCTCGGCCACGCGGTGGTCCAGGCCCTCGCTGATGCAAAACGATTCGCTATCTACGATGCAGCCCTTGCTCAGCTGTTCTTTAATGATAATATGGCTAAATGCGCCAAGGCTGGTTGTACAGGGGCGACATGGCTCGGGGAGGAAGACAAGAACACGACCATTTTCCCATGCGAAGTATGTGGTGAATATACCTGCATACAGTGTAATCAGTTGTACGACATGCATAGGGACGAGCCTTGTCCCCAGGGAGAAGAGGCTAAAGGTATTGAAAGACGAAGGGAAGAGGAAGCGGCCACGGCAGCCCTCCTGGCCAAAGGGAAAAAGTGCCCACAATGTCAACTGCCGTTTGAGAGGATTGAAGGATGTGATCATATTGTATGTGGCAAGGATGCGCACTCGAGTGCGAGAGGTCGTAAGCCTTCCTCCTATCCCCTCTTTTTTCTTTTTTCCTCGGCTTTAGAGGCTTCTGCTAACCTGGGTTACTTGTTCCTAGGTGGCTGTGGATTCGAATTCTGCTACATCTGTGGCGCAGACTATAATGCCATTCGCAGGCAAGGGAATACGGCGCATGCGAGGAGTTGTAATCACTATGCATGATGGCATGATGAAAGAAGAAGAGATGCCATCTTTCTGTTTTCGAGAAGTGTGAAGTTCAAGTCCACCATACCATACATAATTACGATGGATCATGCCATAATACACGAGACCCATATGCTTTGAGACCTGCGGTCCGTATTCCATACTATTTATATATAGAATTTTGCCCCAAATTGTATACACCTGCTGAGGCTGCCTCCTCTTACTTGCATGACGGAGCTTGAGGACACTGATCATACGACCAGTCTCACCTTCTACAAATTGTCGCCATACGAAGCCCGCCTTCTACATGGACAACACGCAGAATGACGAGCAACCCTTCAATCCCTCACTCATCTCACAAGACAGCCTTCTCGCCTCGCGAGATCTGGCCCCACAGCCCAAGAGATGGTTCCCACCGTGCGAGTTGATTCTGGTCGACGCTCTGGAGTGGGAGGAACTCGAAGAATGCAAGAAGTTGTAGACGGAGTGGGCGAGAGCTGACAAAGCGGCTCTGACAACCTTGGAAGCCGCGTTGGCAAGCTTTGTCTTGAGTCATGCTATTATTACTGGTAACTGCCATCTTTGTAATTTCAGCCTTAATGGTTTCTATTTTTCTCTATCAAGTTTTCATGTCGGTTTTCGTCTCTCATATGGGTAGGTAGGTAGGGCGTGAATGCGTCTAGTAGTCGCGAAATAATAGACAGGTGCTAGCACTTCACGGCCTGTCCCGAATGGACCAGTAATCGATGATCATTCAGCTTCTTGCAGGGCCCCCATCGTGCATACTAGCATGTCACTGATCAACCAGGTAGGTGCGTGATCGATGCGGCCGGACATGGTCTGTTGATACAGATGTACGCACGGCGATCCCATATGAAATTCAGTATCGCGAGCTGCCGTATCCACCTCCGTATCCGTCGTTGTCGCCTCCGTCATCACCGTATCGACGCCGACCTTCCCCACCATAGCCTTCACTCTCGCCGTACTCATCTCGTCGCCCTCCGAAGCCGCCGTCGTCTCCACCTCCACCACCGTATTCATCGCCACGACCGCCGCCACTGTAGGACGAGTATTCGTCTTGTCGAGAACTGCCGAAGCCGCCGGGGACGTCGTAGGAAGATCCCTCTTGTTGTTGACGACCATATCCGCCGCCGCCATAGCCTGAAGGTTCTTCTTCGCGCCGACCATAGCCGCTGGACTCGTACCTCGACTCTTCTTGCCGCCGACCATACCCGTCTCCGCCGCCGGAGGAATAATCTTCACGGCGCTGCTCCTGGCGTCCGTATCCTGACCCGTACTCATTACTGTCATTGTCAGTTCGTCGACTATATTCGCGTTCCTCGCGGCGCCCGTAGCCCTCCGAGCCGCCGCTGTACCCGGAGCTTTGCGGTTCGTACTGTTGGCGTCTGCCGCTGCTGCCGTAGCTGTCGGCAGAGGATGGCTCCTCGTCACGGTCACGGCGCTGCTCGTAGCGATTACGGTCATCGTCATCATCATCATCATGTCCGTGTCGGTGGTGAGATCCATGATGATGATGCTCTGGACGACGTTCGCCGTAGGGGCTATCATCATCATTGTCGCCGTAGCGTCTGCGTAGATAGCACGTTAGTCCGCTTGGCCCATTCTCTTCTTTTCCCAGCTTTAGCAAAGCTATTTTTTTCTCTCTTTTCTTAAAAACATACCTCGTTTCCTCCTGATATCTTCCCTCGCTGGTCCGCTCTTGATGATGAATCTCGCTCTGCCACCCTCCGCTAACGGTCTCGCGCTGCTCAAATCGATTATACTCTTCATGCCGCTTCTCACCGCTGGGCTCGGTGGTCCTCGAATACTGCGCTTGACCGTACCTGTCTCCCGAAGGCGAATGGCCGAGCTGCGTCACAGTCTCTGTACGGGACCCGTCTTGACGACTATACGAGTCGCGCTTATAGGTTTCTTGACCCTGGTTGAGTCCGCCGCCGAGGATATCACCACCGATTTGACTCGTGATGCCGCCTACCAGAGAGCCCAGGACGCCCCCACCCACTGCTGCGCCGGCCATCTTGCCGAGCTGGTCGCCTGTTCTGGAAACATTAGGTGGTCGGCCACCACCGCTCTGATCTCCACCCAAGACAGAACTGATGGCACCGAGAGCACCACCTGCAATACCGGACGGCTGGTTTGTGTTGAAGTTGAGATTAGCCATGCCGAGAGGACGGTTGTTTCCGTGTCCGTGGTCCGTAACCCCCGGCTTGTGGTTTCTGCCAGTCTCCACGCCGCGTCGGCTGAGTTGTTCACGTAGCCCATCCTTTTCAGGGGCGGATTTGCCGCGCCACCATTCCTCAACGACGCCGAACATGAGACGACGCCCGTCGCTAGCGCCATCTTGCCCGTAGTCACGCAAGGCAGGGTGATGAAGGACGCCGTGGATGATGCGGTTCAGGGTGCGTTCAACATCGATTCGCTCATCGTCCCAGCAGGCGACAATCTGTGGAACCACCCATTTCACTATTTGACGGGCCACTTTTCCCGCGGCTTCGTTGAGGACGTTGGAGAAGTGGTCTTTTGAGAGCATAGAGTGAGTTGGGTCCGAGGAATTGTCGTCGTTGAAGACAATGTGTTGCTGAGCAACGCTGGATTGGATGATCTCGTTGGAGCCTGTGTTGAGCTCGGTCTTGACTTGATTGATGATAGGTACGATGAAAGGAGCTAGTAGGCTGAACACAAATTTATTGATCTCGTCTTGGATTTGCTCAATCAGGTCAGGCAGGATTGGGATCTTTTCAATCGTTTCGGTGATAGATTGCATGATTTCGTCGTGCCATTCGATGATCGGGTAGATTTGCTTCTGTACGTCGTCAAGGTAGCGGGTCCATTGCTCCGGTTGACGAGGCGTGATGCTGGCGTTCTGCATTTGATGGTTCAGAGCGTTTTGTTTCAATTCATTTGCTTTTCCCGCCTGGTCTTTTCCACCGAACACTCCCGAAGGCAATTTATTGAGGAGATCTTGCAGGATGCTGTTGTCCTGGTTGCCGTTTTGGTACTGCTGCAAGGTGTTGTCCAGTTCTTGAATTTCGGATTGCGTTGTCTTGTCGTCGAATTCGCCACAGACGGAATGGAGGAAGTCGACACCGCCGAACGTACCCGTGACAATTGGGTAGACTGGGTGACGTGCCTCGCGGAGTTGAATAGCAGTGCGGCGGCCGACATGAGGAAAGACGTCACCTTCACCCATTTCGATCAGAGCAAGTTCGACATAGTTGGAGTGCGCCGCGTAATCCTCCAAGCAGTGAGATCCGGTACCGAGCAGTCGGAGTGCTTCGTAGAGATCCTTCTTATTCTTGCTTCGTGAATATTGTCGACCGAGTTCGATGCTCCTACCGAAGAGTCTCTTCACCAGGCCAGCAGATGTCTCAATCCCCATGCCTTCAGACGCAATGTAATTCTTCAACCCGGTCTGTGGATTGACGGAGAGCTCCCGGCGTTCGTCAACGGGACCGCGAAGGCGACGATCATACCGCCTGGCGTCTTCGTTGTCTGCATAATCCTTAGGGTTACTGAGCGGAGTTAGTTACTACCCTGTTAGGAGGCTCATTTAGCTCACTCGATATGTTCCTCAGGTCGGTAACACCCGAGCCTCTGACTGGTGACTTCGAACTCGCCCGAGCCATATCCGAAAGACATGAATCCCAGTACCCAAAGCAAGATACGGATGGCTTCTGCGCTGACATATTTGACAGTGCCGACATCGACTGCCTGACTGTAATCGCGCAGCCAATTACCGAAATAAACCTGTTTGGGATTAATATGTGCCAGTGTCGATCGAGGACGACTCACTCTCTTCACATCAAGCTTGCTGAACTTCTTACCGCCCATGGCGCGGGAGGCCACAATGGTCAGCAAGGTGTCTTCAAGATCACCGTGTCGCCAGTTTTGCCCCTCAATTTTCGATGTGGATCCAATATTGCCCGCACCAAAAGCGTGAGCAGGTCTTGCCAGCAAAATGATGCCGACAGCGCAGAGAAAGAGGACCTGTGATGATGTGAGCGCCATGCTGGGCAGCAGCGGTTGAATTGATGGTTTTGGATTTGTTCTCAGACCGAGCGATATTGGAAGGTCGATTTCAGGTCAAGGACGTGGAAATGAGGCTCACGGCTCGACCGATGTTGTCTCGAAGAAAAGAAGATGGCAAAGCTGGTTGTATCTTATGCGCCGTAGACAGACATCATAGAGTGGCAGACAGCGTTTTATAAGGAATACTGTGGGACAGAAGGTGAAGTTGATGTCACCGAGGAGGGCAAGGAGGGGTCTGTTTCATTTGAAGTGAAAGTGAGAGCTTGAGGTCAGATGAGGGTCATTCTGCCAGGTTTCACCCCCGGCCGAGGAGCCAATCACAGCAGCAAATCTCACCACCGACGTGTCTTGGCGATGCTTGTCTTGGAGGCGGTGAATATTTGATATCACGGCCAGCACGACCCCCTGAATTGGGGTGGTCACCTCTTGGGCTGTTGGCTGTTATGATGAGACAAAAATGGTGAGCGATTCACACTGCCCACCGAGACGAAGCCCCCTGTCTGGCGGAAAGAGGAGGTGTGTATGTCTTGGCATTGGTGCAAGGCTGAGCAATTCTTCAACCAGCCCCGGATTCATTGCGCCTTGCCGTCATCCAGTCGCCCAGCGGCTTCCAGATGGCCAGTTTCTCTGCTGGCGTCAGAGTTGCCGCCAGCCCACTTGTAGACGTGGCCACAAATGTCTTTGCCCCGGGCCACGTGAGATGGCCGTCTTCCCAGACTCTGCCCAGTTGCACCTCCTCGTCTTGCCATCCCCAGTGGAAGTTCGGATCGTTGAACTTCTTCTGACCTTTCTTAGCCATCCAGATAGCTTCCCAGATGCCTTTTCCAACTATCACCACCGCCTCCGGTTTGTATAGTGCAATCTTTTTGTCAAGAATGACAGCCCCTTCCTCCATTTCCTGCTTACTCAAACCATCGCCACTCCTGGTAGGCCGTGCGCATATATTCGTATTGCCAATCTGGTAAAGATCCATCAGATCTCTCGTCTCGGATGGGAGATGTTTCTTGGGGGTGATGCCAGAAGTATGAAGTAGGTGCCAGAATCGATTAGAGGGGTGAGCATAAGCATGGCCCGTTGCGGCTGTCATAAGCCCAGGGTTGAGGCCGATGCATACGAGTGTCAGACCAGGCCGTAGACTGTCCACCAGGTTGTTGACTGGATTGTGCGGATCCTGCGACGATCGCTCTTTAGTTGTGCTCCTTCTCTTCTTTGACTTGGGCACCGTATATCTTGCTTCGGCCGTCGAGGGCTCGGATCCTGGACCATCCTCCTCTGCTTTGAGAGCATTCTCATCATCCTCCTCGTTCTGGTCCTGTTCCTGCATGCGGGACCTTTTTCTCGGCGACGGAGACGCGCTCGCCGACCTCGAGAGCATGGATACGCGTGAACTGGCAAGTCGAGGGGAACGCCGCGTTCCATCTGTTTGTTTCAATGGAAAATATTTGAATTGCTCCATTCGAGCTTTGAAGATGCTGTCTGCAAAATCAATATCTGAAGGCTTAAGCGACTGTGGCTCCCATACTCTGTTCCGCAACCGGCGCCTCAGATCCAGACTCTTCTGATCGACCTACAATGTCCTCCATGTCCACCGTGATTCGCTGCCTTCGCTTTTGAATTTGGTGTTGTTGTCACACAACAAACTGGCCTAGTAGTGTAAGAGGCCGAGCCATTGCCGCCCCCGAGAGATTGATCGGGCTCCCGGTCCTCGCAAAAGCTTCAGGCAAGCAAAAACAAGTTCAATGCGCCAGATCTGGGGACCGCGAAGTTGTCTTGCGCTGACCCCCTGAAATACGAGATACTCCGTACCTAGCGACGACTACTTTAGGTACCAAGTACCCGATTCCTTGCCGGAATATTATTAGACTCCGCGCCCTGCACTTGCCTCTTCCGGGCAGAGAATCTGGCTGCTCTGTGGAATCATCGACACATCAGTCTTCTCGCGAATACCTTGGTAATACCATGACACCAGTTCTAACACGAGTGTAGCCTCAAACGATATCTTTCATGCTGTTTAGTATGTCAGCAATACGCTTACACGTGATCGGTGAGTGAGACACAGTCAAACTGTGATTCGATTACTTCTGTTCGTCTCATTTTGAACGACAGTCTGCAGTTACAGGCAGCGTTTCTAGAAGAAGACTGGAGACTATCCCACAGCTCAATCATCAAAGTTCCCTCCCCCCCCCCCCTTGTGCTAGTGAGACAACGATCACATAGCCAGCCGGTATCCATGAATTTAGGTAATTTACCTGCGCTTGGAGATGGTGGCGCTTTCGAGCCATGGCCGGAGTTTTCTCCTTCCGCTAGACAAGAATCACGTCAGCCCGAGGCACCATCGCAGCTGCCAAAACGTCGCAAGGTCTTCCTCGCCTGTAACACCTGTCGAAGACGGAAGAAGCGGTGCGATGGCCTTTGGCCGTCCTGTACGCCGTGCAAAAAGAGAACTGGTGGTTGGAATTGCCAGTACCCGGAGAAGCCAGGCACGGGGAAAACGTGCGAAAACGCTCTCGATCTTTGTACGGAATTGACTTTTCGAAAGGACCAGTTCCGCAATTCTCCAATCTCCTAATCCCGACTTCGAATGCGCTGCTCGAAGACATTCCAAACCTATACCAGCGGTGGTATCCACGACAAAGGTCAGCCCCAGGGAATTATTCAACGGGCCATGCATGCCATTGGGCCGCGCCTCAGATGCTCAATGACACACTGACTAAAGTGCAGGACCTCTCGAAGCGTCCGATACTAGATACCGATACACCCCGATCGAACGGCCCTGCGCCTTTGCGAATTGACTTGACAGCCAAGTCGGGGAGTAAGATCCTCCAGCTCTTTCTTCTGGTTCCATCACAGGATTTGGTTCTCCTAATCATGTCTAGGTCTCTCGACTTCGACCCTGCCCGGGAGTGGCCCGTTGGCACAGGGCCTATCTCGAAGTTCGTACCGATCCCTAGTCCGCGTTTCATGTCTCGAATCTCCCTCTGCAGAGCCCGCCTCAGAGAAGAGGAGTGTGTACAGCACCGATGCTATGGCAGTCGTCTTTACGGCAACATACGACGGCAGTGGGCTCTATGGTAGTTCTTCAACGGTCGCATTCATCGACAGCGTCATGCAAACCGCGGAGCCCAGCGATGAGACTGGTGATGACGTGGACTCGATTCAGCGACCCGAATCGCTTTCCAGGCATGGAACAACCAAGGTCTTCCATGGCGCCGATGATGATAACATGGGACTCAATGAAGGCAGTCTCGTCCTACCCGGGAAGAGACTGGCTGACCGTCTCTTGCAGTGCTATTGGGACGTGGTCTACCCAATTTTTCCCGTCCTACACAAACGCGCCTTCCTCGAAGCTTACGAGGCGCTCTGGGCCAGGCACTCCATGCTAGCGAACAGCGATGGTGGGCAAGAAGATGGACACTTTGGCTCGTACTGCCTGGTGAACATCGTCTTGGCCCTCGGAGCGCAGTTCAACAAAGAGTTCTCTCCCGGCCAGAGAGCCCGGGCTTCTGACGACTTCTTTCAAAGATCCAGACCGCTACTGGCACTGGATGCGCTGGATGCTAGTTCCTTCTCGGCCGTCCAGACATTGGTGTTAACGGGCATCTACCTGCAATCGACGAATCACGCCGCTCAATGCTGGAATGTCGTTGGCTTGGCCATTCGAGCCGCCCAGGGACTCGGATTGCATTTGAATGATGAACCACCTTCGACGCCGGCGGAGGCCTCGGCTGAGACAGACATAAATCGCCAGGTGAGATTGCGGGTTTGGGCTTGCTGCCTGGCCCTCGACCGGTATGTGAAGAAGGTGCTGTCCGTTTGATTTATAATGACCTTTTGGAATTTGGCAGGCTTGTGTCAGTGACCTTTGGTCGCCCTTTCATGATTCCGAACCACTCGCCCGTCACCATGCCTGCTCTTTCGGATGAAGGAGATGGCCCTGAAAATGGTGAAGACCTCGGCATCGATTCCGTTCCCACTTGCGGCTGTCTCGTATACTCGTTGCAGCTCTTCGAAATCCTCGAGGATATCATGTCGGCCTTGTACGACGGAGTGGCGGCGCCATCGCATGCACGAGGACAAAATATCCCTCCGACGAATGTGCCTGATCTCACCAAGGTGATTGAGCTGGATTTGCGTCTCAACGACTTTCAACGTGACCTGCCCTCATTTTTGAAGCCGAGACAGTGGTCTTCTCTGGTCAGCGAGCGGGCTACATTACAGGCCAACGTGCTTCAAGTTCGGTACGTCGTCCTGCCGGTTTCCTCTTTCTCCTCCGCCCCTTCCGCCGAAGAATGCTTCTAACCGCATTAGATTCTTACATGCACGGATTCTCCTGCTACGCCCGGTTCTGCTGCTCCTGATGCGGACAGAGTTCGGTCCGGTGAAAGACAACCAGACTATTTTCCGAACGGCTCTCTTGCGAGACATGGGCTTGCGGATGTCCGAGGTATGCGTAGCCACGGCTCACGATATAATTGAATTTCTCCACCAGAGATTGAACACGGTCTATCGATCTGCGTGCTGGTACACGGTCTACTGTAAGATGTGACCCTACGAACCTTGCTTCTCTTTCCCTATGTTTTCTTGTTTGAGATTGCTCACACAGGAAAGCAGTCACTTTTACATCAACAACCGTCTTGATTGCTGCAAAGCTGTGTCCGTCCTTGCGTGTGACGAGCGACTCGTCCCGGTTTGAAGAATCTTGGACCAAAAGCCAGGGAATTTTGGAGTACCACAGATCACAAAGTCAATCTGCTGCGAGAGGCCAACAGATTCTACGTGCTTTAGACAATAGGGTCTCGTTTATTGGTGGCGCGATGTAAGTGATTTCAACTTCAACCTTCACAACGTTCCCAGTTCGTAGTCAGTGAACGACCACTTACAGCCAGTGCGGCGACCTTGGCAGCCAATCAATATGACAGCGATGCCGGACTTCCCAATCAGTTAGGATCCATACCCGGCGGCTTATCTGAAGGCGTCGCGCAGGACAAGTCCCGCAGGAATTCCTTTTCGGAAGATTGGTTGTTGAACGACTTCGGGACCAACTTGGATTTCCTCGACCTTGGAAACTCGTAAGCTCTGTGGCTGATCCGACCGCCGACCTCGTTTGGACTGCCATTGAGGCCGTCCCCTGCTGGTGTGACCGACGAAAAGACTGCGGAACGGCGTCTGCGAATACAGCTCACGTTCCCCTCATTCTCGGTCCTATCGCCTCAAGGCTGCGGTCCCTGACCAATCGACCAGCATATCCACCCTCCTCAGCCTCGCCCCCTCAGCCTGGCCCGCCTCATGCCTCCACCCAGCTCCACCCGCCTCCGCCTCCGCCTCCGCCATCACCTACAAGCCTTGTGAATCCCCGCTCTTTTGTCGCCATCGAGTGTTCCGACAGGGGCAACCCCGACTGGTTGTTTACCGTCCAAGTGAGGAGCTTGCATAGTATATGTTTCTAAGAGCGTCCACGAGTTGCCATTCACAGAAGTCTTTGATCACGACCGTCACTATGGCACTAAGCGATACACCAACAATGCCCCAGCTGGGACCCTCGAGGCGCTTGTGGCCGTTGTTTCTAGCCTTTTTTGCATTCTCTTCGCTCTACGTGTTTTTGACGATCCTGTACAACCTGTTTTTCCATCCTCTTCGTCGATATCCCGGCCCTTTTCTTGCTCGCATTTCTTGGCTATGGAGTCGCATTCGCAATTTCCACGGATGCAAGTCGGAACGTATTCACGCCGCCCACGAAAGATACGGTAACAACCCTTCGCCCTGCGGAGCAACTTCGTCCAAGACAAAGAATATCCAGAAGATTGATCACCGCCGGCAGGACCTATCGTTCGAATCGGACCAAATGAGCTCTCATTTGCAAATCCAGCGGCCGTCCGCGACATATACAACTCGAAGAGCTTTGTGAAAGAGGAGACTTTCTACGTGAGTTCACTCGTGCAGCACCGATCGGGGGCTTCGAGAGCGAAGTACTGATCACCTAGTCGCAATAGCGAGCCAAGAGAATCTTTCACGAGGATCATATGTTCAGTTTCAGGTATGATCCCATGCGTGACAGCGTGCAATGGTCCAGCACTGACTCCCAAAGGAATGTCGAGGCCCATAATCAACGGCGGAAGTTGTTGGCCCGTGGCTTCTCCCAGGTCGCCATCAATCAGTTCGAAACCAACCTCGTTTCCAAGATCCAAACGCTCTTGGATCAGTGGGAACGGCTGAGTCGCTCGACTGACGAGCCCATAAATGTGTACCCATGGGTGCATTGGCTAGGATTCGACACCGTGTGTGAGTGTTGCCAGGCAAGGATTGGAGACCCGCAAGGAGAACTTGGGCTCACCAGAGGACATCCATCGCAGATCATCTGATGTTCGACGAAGATCCCGGGTCGGTCAAAAAAGGCATAGCCGACCCTATCATGAAATATCTCCACGCATGGCGCCCGACATTTATCTACGTGAGTGCTTCTTTCAGGTCACAAGAGAGGGAGAGGTATAGTCGCGAAGCCGCTTGCTGATGGATTGACAGAAAGAGTTTATGCCACAGCTGGAACAGTGGGGACCATATGTGCCGGGGGAAGTGGGTGGGTATTTTCGAGATGTGCAGACATGGAAAAAGGTTCGCTATCTCCCTTCCCGCTATACCAATCCTCCTTATCGATAACATTCGATTACAGGTTGCTATGAATATTGTCGGCAAAGTTCGTGTCAACGGGGCCAAGACCCCCTTTCTCAGCAACGTTCTCAACGACCAGGATGCTTACTTAGGACGACCCCTGAACGACTCAGAACTAGCAGAGGAGTGTATGGGTGGCATGTAAGATAGACCATTCCGACGCCAGTCATAACGAGACAAATTTCGGTCAGTGCTGATGAAATAATCGAACGGACAGGTTTGGAGGCAGCGGGAGCACGGCGAACACCTTTGTCTACGTTCTTTGGGGCTGTCTTCGCAACCCGGACGTCGTTCGCAAGCTGAAACAGGAACTGACGACGGCATTCCCGGATCGGTCTGTGGTTCCCGACAATTTGGTACGTGATTTCGCATCAGACACTACTCACTCTCCAAAGAGTCGTGCAAAAGACAACAGATCCGCTAATTGCTACTGTGGCGTCTCGTACGTCAGACCTGCAGCGGTCTTACCTACCTTCAGGCCGCGATCAAGGAAACACTCCGCCGGTATCCCGCCGTCATCGCTACACTGCCGCGCACAGCCGTCGAGGACGTCGTAGTGGCTGGCCATGCTCTACCGAAAGGAGTATGTTTCCATTTCGGTATTTCTTAACGAGTTTCCTGGTTAACAAGTCTTGAGTAGACAATTGTTGGCACCCAAAACTACACCCTCCACCGGTGGACATCAGCATTCCCGGATGCGGAGAACTTCGATCCGGACCGATGGTTTTCTAAGAAGAGTGACGAGGAGCGTAAGCTGGCGTTCACTCCTTTCTCCGTCGGACCGAGGAGGTGTATTGGAATGAAGTAAGTTCATCCTTGTTGTCCTTGATGATACTACTGTTGGAGATTTGTAGTTTCAGTAGCATCCAAACCATCTTGGAGAAATGAATTGATTGCAGCTGACCGAATCGTGGCTCTCTAGTCTGGCAGAGATGGAACTCAACTTGCTCACGGCTTCTTTCTTCTTGCGCTTTGACGCCGCGATCGATCCTTCCATGACGGAGGAGGATATGCGGCAGTACGATACTTTCAACGCTGGTCCAACGGGGGCTAAACTGCTGTTGCACTTGAAAACGGTTGAAGAATAGAAGGCTCCGAGAAGAATAACGATGGAGTTGGAGCTCAAAATCCATCATCCTGTTCTGTAGGCCTTTCTGGATATCCGCCGGCGGAGATCTTAGAGGGAATGCTCTCAAGAGGTGCAAAGTAAGTTATCCTTGCAACTATGGCTACAGCTCTTTCATCGTCTTCTTTTGGCACTTTCGTGCGCGTCGTATTCGTGCTGCCTAACATGCACCTGCGACCACTTCGTCGAGCTGGGCGGTTTCTTAGTCAGGAGAGCTGCAGGCCCGGAATATCTCCTGATGTTTGACATGTCAATATGATCGGGGTCTTCGTCCAAATACGCGTCTTGACCGTTGACAATGAAGTGCCATCCACATCATGTGATGGGAGACGTGAGCATCAAGCTGCTTCCGGTGGTGTGGTGTTTGTCGACTTTTGAAGTTGCCTCGCCGTACATCGTATTTGTCTCGTTTAGCTTCTGCGGCCAATTGGATGGATGCAATCTAACTCCGGTATCCGCGGCGATCGTATGAGTAGCTGGCGGCCCAAGTTGCTTATATCTCGACTTTAAGGAGAGGTAGCGGTCTCATCGCCTTCTGTGAATCCTCAATCGATTGAACATCTCTCTGCTTCATTGTTGCCTGGCATAGCGTTGAAGACATGGCCGAGGATCAGACTGGTGAAACTCCGGCAGCGCCTGAGAGAGAGGCGACCCCTATTTTCCGGCCCGCGGAACCACACGAGGATGATATGCTGTCTAGAATACTGTGTAATGCATTTCTTCCCCTCTGGTAAGTTGTCACTAAGACCTTGAGCTTTGAGCGCGAGGAGCAATGTGTGTGATGAGCCAGCTGACATTCTGCAGGAACCACAACTGGTTCCACGGCGTGTCACGGCCCCTAGAGCCCGTGATGATCGGTACACCCACCAGCAAACCACATATGAACAGCCTGCAAAAGTCGCGGGTCCGCTTTTATCGAAGCCTGATCAGCATGACGAGGTTGCTCGATGGCTTGGTTCTGGTCGCGGAGATTAACCCGCCGGCGGTTGAATCTGACGGCAACAACGCGACGACCACCAAGCAGGCCGACATAGGAGCGGTCCTGCTTTGGCTACCTCCGAAGAAGCGAATGGGGACGTTCGACCTGCTCACACTCTGGCGCTCCGGCTTCCTGGGCCTCATGCTGCCCTGGCAATACGGCCTGACGGGCTTCTACCGCATCCAGCTTGTCTTTGAGGAGAACATCCACAAGATGTGGACAAGGACGCTGCCGGACCTGCCGCCCCACGGGTTCAAGGAGGGCGAATGCGGCTTTGTCCAGATGATCGCGAGCAATCCCAAATACTCCGGGAAGCGATACGCGTCGGTCCTGCTGAACTACCAGATCGAGCAGCACTTTGCCGAGTTCCCCGATCGGCCCGTGATTCTCGACACGACGACCACACAGGGGATCCGCGCGTACGAGAAACTTGGCTTCAAGCTCCTCGCCGAAGTATCCGTGGATAGCGGGACCGATGCGCAAGGGATGAAGCTAAAGTCCAATGCGAGCGGGGAGATCAAGACGGAGGCGAGGGAGACTTGTATTCAGCGGGTTATGGCGAGGCTTCCATGAGAGATGAATCCCTCAGTGCTGCGTTCGGAGAGCTCATAGCAGGAGGTCCGCTGTGAGTCAGGGCTGATGTGATCGTCCATTTTTGTTTCTGTGTTGAAAGCTGCAGTTTCCCGAGTAGAGGCCATGTTTGCTTTTTTTTTTTTTTTTTTTTTTTTTTTTTTTTTTCTCCAGATAAGAAAACACGAACGGAGCCGGGAGTTGAGTGTAGAAACATACAAAAACTAACACCAATTTATTAGCATAGATAAACAACTATGCATCATTTCCTCAGGCTGGATAGAATTCCACATCACAACGTCACGTCTAGACCTACTTCAAGATTGGGACGTACCTCTGCGCCATCCCAAGGCGTTGCACAATAACCACCTCAATGCAAGAGAAATCAGCAGCTTATTTGGACAAACATGACGCCCGCTGTCTGAGAATGGCGTCCCCATTATTTGTAGATGTGCTCGTACGGAAATCCTCGGTTCAGACGTTGAAAGTTCGTGAATCTTGGTCAGGATCGGGTGCGGTGACTCGAGCAAGGGGGCGGCAAGGCTGAAAACCCCTAAGAGCCACATACTACCAACATTCTTCAGCACTCTCATTCGAGGAGCCATAATGCACTGTGACAGGAAATCCAGGCCACTTACAAGCTCGGCGGCATCATGCCCAGGGAGCACGATTAGCTACGATCATACGGCTCGGAGTAACTTCAACCAAGCAGAGATTACGCGGAGTACAGGTCCCAAGGATCCAAGGACTCAAGGTTCTCCTGGACTTCACCAGAGGCAGTCATACGAGTATCCACACTGTCAAGGGATAGCAAACGAGGACAAGCCACTGCTTAGTAGTGCTGACTCGAGAAGCACAGGGCCGACCACTGATCCACACACAGTAGCGGAAAGACCCCAGCTCCACTCAAAAACTAAGTCCTGTGTGCTGCGTACCTATGGGAATACGGAGCGGGCAATGCGACTCCCGTTTGCATACACAAGGTCAAGCCCCCAGGCTCCACCCCATTCCCGAACCCGCTGACCCGGAAGGCTCGCTCGTTCCGAAGTCCGTCAACCAGAAAGATCGTGCATATGCCTAAGCTGGAATAGCCTCGCACATATTTGTACTTTTTACGTTTCTTTTCGGTACTCGTGGACCCAGCCAGATTCAACTACCCAGGTACCTATCTCGACCTTCCCGCTCGAAAATTGTTTTTTTGCTAGGCGACGAGGGGGGTTTGAAAGCTGGAGATGGAGGCTCGGTACAAAGGGGCACACACTGGTGCATGCAGCGTTATTGATATGGAACAAGTAGAGGCAGACAGTATCGAAGATTCATGGTGTGGTACATGTCCAATTAAGTGATCTCGTGAGCGGAGGTATCTAGGTAGGGACGCTTATGGTGCCGCCATAGGGGTTGTCTATTGCCGAGAGACGGAGAAATTTGAAATTTGAAATTTATCAATTATCAGGGTGAACCCGTGTCCAATCTCGAGGAGGGGACAACTGAGAAATCTATATCATCTTATACACGAATATAGAGATACTAAAAAGCCACTCGAAAACACGACGCAGGACCTGCTCATCGCTGGGTTGTCAAGCAGTCAAGCTGGACAACAACATAGCCAAGTTCTAAATCTCTGCAAATAGGCCATCGAACTCGTTGTCAACATAGTGAAACCGCTTCAATTGTTCTCGAACCCCCTCCCAATTCTCCACGTTCAATAGGCGAGCCAGTTGCGCGACGCCCTGCAGGAAGAATGCCTGTCTTTGAGAGGCCGAGGATCCGTGAGCTCCTACGAAGCAAATCTACAACATGCTGGAGGCTACAACCTGTGGACAAGAGACTGGAAAAGGTGTCAGCTGCAACTGTAGCGCCAAGTTGGCAGTGAGGCATTCCAATAAGTGGTCTTTTGGTGTGTTTTCCAAGCATGTGGTGGCAACGACGAATAGGCCAGCCACTTGTAAGGGTTCGGAAAGATCGATGTCTTCGATGAAGTATAATTGGCTCGTACATGGTTAAATGGAGCATAGTAAGAAGCCCGCAAAGAGACCGGGCAAGTTGAGATTGTCTTGACCATTTGGCCCTGGGGTCGATGACGCAGAATGGTTGAAGCCGTCTGTGGCCTGAAGCAAGTATCCGAGACCGTTGCGAGTCTGCGAAGCCTCGTCTATTCACAAACAGTCTAATTTCTCAAGGTCAGATTCTCTCTTTGGAAATTTTCGAGTATACAGCCAGCCGTCTCACATGTGTCAAGTATCTCCGAGAGATTTGGCTCCTATTTGCTGATTTTCCGGTAGCTGCGGAAGATCAAAAACACCACGACGGGGGCTCCACCATTTCGCTGAAGATCTGGGCACTGGTAACTAAGTGACCGATGCTGAATCGAACTTCACTGTTTCCGATCAAGAATGGCACCAGGTGTATTTTCGGAATCCGGGTTATTGACGAACTTCGATTCGTGGTAGCAAGCTGCCACCTCCAGCGTACGGGTAGTAGGGGGCCTTAAGCAGCGGTCTTGAATGGACTGAAAGGCCGCTCGAATTTCTCGTCAAGATGTGGGAATTCATTGATCCCACCGCGCCTTCATCTGAAAGGTTCGCACGTCTTAGAAATGACGGTGCTGGAGCCATTGATTCCTTTCCTCGACATTAATGAATCCGTTGCCTAATCCGTTGCCTAATCCACTGGATAGGGTCCAGTAGTCTGCGCCCTCATTCACTTCTAGGACTTCAGGTGGAAGTTCTTTCTTTGCCAAAGTCAATAGTATCGCGTTTCTGTCATCGATCCGATCTCCGGATACGTGTCGAACAGCATTATTGGCTTTGGCCTGGTCGCCCACCTAAATCCAAAAGGGATCAGTTTCAACACGCTTCACGCATAGAACAGTCGAGTAGCAGAACAATAACTGTCAGAGGCGTTGTGAGAAGGGAGACAACGTCCGAGAGTGCCCAATCCATGCCCACCGGTAATGCCTAACACCTTGGACTGCTTAGTAACGGTAGGTCGCCATCCCCCGCAGCAGACCTCGTACACGTAATGCTTGCAAGGGTGCCCACTGGCCTCAGACCTTCGGTTAGGATAAACTGGGATGGATGAGGTCTGTTGGCTGCAACAAGCGAGCAGCCGTACCAGATCGGGCTCTGCGCAGGATAGACAACCTGTCACAGATTCGGACCCCAGCAACAGGATGTTGCTTGAACTTCGGGGCTGGCCTCAGGCCCTCAGGCCCTCAGCCCTACAAACCTCCCTCCTCGTATGACGGGACAAGAGCACCGAGTCGTTTCCAGCCAAATAACCCGACCCGGGACGTGGAGAGATACTGGACTTTGGTAGTCAAAATTTGTGTGCTGGAAGACGTTAATTCTGTCCAAATATATCCAATCCTCGCTTCACTTTCCCCTGTCTCCGGATATGCTCAACAAATCGGCAAGTCATGCTTGCCAGTTGGGACCCAGGCCGGGCCACCAGCCTTTCCCAATGCCCCCTGCACATGAGCATGTTGCACCTGTGCCGCTGGCTGGGAGCAACCGGGGTGACGAGTATTATTCATCTCGCATATGGTTTGCTTCAAGGCCCTCTAAACCCTATGCGAAGATGTGATTCTAGGCCTCCAGTGCGCCCGCACACATACTCGATGATGTCTCATAAGAGCGTTGTTTGGGACGTCAAGCAGAATCCTACACTCTCCCAATCGTCGCCAGCTCACGACTGTAGCAAGAGACGACCTCCACGCCTGAAGCCTAGACATATTGCGTCCAAGACGGGATAAACTCGCGAAATCCGATTCTGGTTTGTACCGTTGCTCAAGCCTCCTCAAATGGCTTCTGCCGACGGCGTCTTCGACTATATAATAGTTGGTGGCGGCATTGCTGGCTGCACGCTCGCTTCTCTCTTGTCGAAATCAAAGCCATCGCCCTCTGTTCTATTGATTGAAGCCGGCCCTGATGTGTCGAATCGCCCACTAACCCAGGCTCCTGTGGCCTGCTTCGCCGCAGACGGATCCGACATTGACTGGAATTATAAAACTGTGCCTCAGTCCCACCTCGACAATCGACCTCTATATGAAGCCGGTGGGAAAGCCCTCGTTGGCGGTAGCGCAACCAATTATGCCACCTGGACTCGTGGATCGAGATTCGACTATGACCGAAGAGGTAAGCTTGTGGGAGATACGAGATGGAGTTATGACGGGCTCCTGCCTTATTTTGAGAAGATTGAAAAGACTATATGTCAACTGTAGCGGTCTCGGAGAGCAGCTCTAACCGCAAATATCCATTGCGAGATCAAGTGTTGAAGGCCTGGCTTGGTCTTGGACTGGACAAAATCGCAAACGCCAACAATGGTGATCCCCTAGGTGTCGGAGAAATGGTCGAGAGCTGGAAGGATGGGAGAAGACAGCTGACGAGCATGGCATTTGATTTGACAGACGTCACAGTCATGACGGAAATACTGTCGCAAACGGTGCTTCTCGAGGAGCAAAGCGGCAAGCTTGCCACCAAAGGAGTACAATTTCATGACGGCAGGCATTTTCTGGCATCAAAAGAAGTCATCCTCTCGGGAGAGGCATTTCGCACGCCACAGCTTCTCATGCTCAGTGGTATTGGTCCAGCCGCAGAATTGAAGAAAGAGAACATCCCAGTACGCGACACGACTTAGCTGGAGTAGGCCAGAACTTTCACGGCCACCTTCTTGTGGCATTTGCTTTCCGACTCAAGGGCCCCTCATTGGGTCCTGCCATGGGCGGCGCAGCCGGTCCTTGGGCAGACCCAGCATACCAATCTGGTCTTGCTGCGGATTGGATTGTAACTGAAAACGTTCCGAGGTCTATTCTGGAGGAGGCTGTGACAAAAGATTTGGCCAGCGATCAATCTCGGAATTAAGACGAATATGCCATGTCTCTTCTTGACCCTCGGTCAGCACACCTTGAATCAGTAATGATATACCCACCCGGTGGCCCTCCTATTACCAATTTGCATGTTCCATTTGACGGAACCCATATAGGAGCCGTGGTTGGAGTCATGTCTCCGACCTCTCGCGGCAGCCTCAGCATATCTTCCACCTCGGCACTAGACCCTCCAGTGATTATCCTAACTACAACGCACCAAGTGTTGCTACTACACTCCTGCGTTACGGCATTCGCCGCTTGCTCAAAGCCGTTCACAACTCCATGTCTGACGTGGTCGAGTCGGAGAATCCTCCGCCTCCATTCGAAGCCTTGGCCATTTCGTCTTCTGATGAAGCAATCGATGCCCGGGTGAATTCCGAAGCCCATACTTTCTTTCATGCGGCAGGAACAGCCAGTATGGGGTCCGTATTGGACACGAAATTGCGAGTCAAGGGCGTTAGTGGCTTACGAGTCGTGGATGCAAGCGTGATTCTATTGCCAATTGGCGCCCGCCTTCAGGTAGCGGCCTATGCCATTGCTGCTCACGCCGCGGATTTGATCGGGCAGGAATGAGTATCATGATACCCATTCAGGCTATGTTGGATGGCGATGACTTTAGGATCGCGGAACTCAGAGGTTCCTATTGAGATTCACCTGATTTGCCTGGTGTGGCCGTTGGGGGCAGCAGAACAGCATTACCCTCTCGTTGCCAGAGAAAAGCTTTAGATGATGTCCGATCAAAGATTCCTCGTGTTTCTCGCACGCTCGTCGATCAATATGACGGGCATGACAGCCCGATTCCGGAATCCCGAGGCAAACGATAAAATCCGACAAAAGGACAAGGGACAACCTTGCACCGTTTGTTCGAGTGCTGGCGCAGAGGATTGCATTGCCAGAGGCCGCACTAGCCCGGCGTGATTCCCCAGATTCTGCAAGGCTAGCGTTGTGTAAGACGGAGGCCAAGCCAGCCTCCCGGCGGGCAAGCCACTAGTCAATCGGACCAAGAGCCTCAATCTGGTCAGGTTGCCAACATAAATAGTCCTGTATGCCTTTGCTCGCTTCGAGTCAGCGACGGCTAGCTATTGCTGTGGGGCGTCAACCTTACCATGTCCTGGATCGTACCAGGTAAATGTTTCCGTAAGAGCTTGGCACCAGCGCGGCAACTCATCTGAATGGTGAGGGCCAAGCTGCCATGGAGAGGGGTAAACCGTACAACATGCTTGGACAGCACATCACACTGCCAGACAAGAACGGCCAAGGGTCTTGGACGAGCGGATTGATTCCTCACGTTGAGTTGGCCATGCCTGGGCACAGATGATGCATCCAGAACCATAAATGCCCAGGTCTTCCGCCTTTCAACTCGTGCAAGATATCCCTGCTTGAGTTGGAATTGAGCGCACAAGACGTAAGTCAACATATCTCCGCAGGGATCTGCTTTCTCGCTTGAACTACATCGTTCCAGACATCATGTCGTCCACAGATGAGAAATACAATGACACAACCGGCCACTTGTCGGATTTGAGTGCCCAGGAGCAGCCGCAAAGTCCAAATGACGACCTGCCGTATTACGACAAGCACGCTGAAAGTAAGCTGATTCGAAAGATTGATTTTCGTCTTCTCCCGATCCTGGGCGCTTTGTACTCGATTGCTCTCATTGATCGTGTCAACGTAGGACAAATCCTCCATTTGGGTGTGCCATCAACACTGACTCGACCAGGTCTCCAACGCACGGGTTGCCGGCATGGGAGAGGACCTTCACTTGGAGATTGGAAATCGATATACTGTCGTCTTAGTGGTGTTCTTTCCTCCGTACTTCTTGTTCGAGGTGAGAAATCTTCATGTATATATCAAAATGTCCAAATTGAACGTATTGCAGTTACCGTCAAACATTGTTCTCCGCCGAGTCGGAAGTGCCAATTGGCTCTCATTCATTGCCTTTGCGTGGGGATGTGTCATGATTGGTCAAGTAGGAGGCGTCCTTGGTCTCATTCTGTGCTTTGTGTCTAACACAAGATAGGGATTCGTCAAGTCGTACGAGGCCCTCGCTGTCTGCCGTACGTTGCTGGGGCTTTTCGAAGCAGGTGAGGAAACCTTTCCCCCATGCTTGCAGTGAACTGATGAAGTGGTTGAAAGGGTTCTTTCCCGGATGCGTGTACTTGATCAGTTGCTGGTATGTGCGATATGAGGTCCAAAAGCGGTACGTGTCAACGCTCCTCATTGAAAGCGTAAAGTCTTAATTCCTCAAGCCTTGCCTTCTTCTATATTCTGTCCGTTCTAGTCGGCGGCTTCTCAAATATTCTCGCATATGGTCTGATGCAGATGGAGGGTGTTGGCGGTCTGCGGGGATGGCAATGGATTTTTGTAAGACGATCCTGCAGGCGTGTGTTCATAGCTGACAGTGAACAGATCATTGAAGGCCTGATGACAGTGACCATTTCTGTTATTGCATGGTTCATTATTATCGACTTTCCGGACAAAGCTGAGAAAAAGGGTCTCTTAACCCATGAGCAAGCCGCCTTCATCGTCCAACGGATCGAGAATGACCGCAGAGACGCTATCCCTGATCCTCTCACATGGGCCAAGTTCTGCCAACATCTCAAAGACTGGAAACTCTGGGCTTTGTATGCCAGCCCATCTCACGCGTCTTCCCATTCCTCTAACCGTTCCTAGTGCGACAATGTTCATGTCGACGACTATGCCAGCTTATGCATTTGCATATTTCACGCCAGTCATAATCCAGGTATGCCTTATGCTGACCTCTCCTATGGAAGTGGAACTAACCCTGTGACAGGGTATGGGATACACTGCTGGAATTGCCAATTTACTGTCGGCACCTCCGGTTGGCGCAGCAGTGATTAGTGCTTTGTCATTCGCCTGGGTCGGCGATAAATACCACAAGCGAGCCCCTGTAATTATAGCTCAAGCACTCATCATCATTGTTGGGCTCATGATTACCGCCTATCACAGTGCTGACGGAGTCCGATATTTTGGCATATTCCTTGGTGTTGCTGGTTGTCAAGGAAATGTTCCCGCCATCCTTGCATATCAATCGAATAATATTCGGATGCAGTCCAAACGCAGTGTCGGTAGCGCTCTTCAGATCGGATTCGGAGCAATTGGCGGCATCATCGCCTCGACAGCTTTCTCTCAGAAGGAAGCTCCGACGTATAGGAGCGGGTTGTGGACTACCGCAGCACTGCAGCTCTACATACTAGGCTCTGTCTGTTGCACTTCGTTGTACTTCTGGAGGAAGAATAACCAGGTGGATGATGGGACCCTGGAGAAGCCAATCGAGGGACAGGAGGGATTCAAGTACACGCTCTGAGTTGGCGAGGAATGGCGAGACCGGGCGCGTAGTTTGAAGGCGGACAGTGAGATGCCAACAGAAGCTTTACTAGAAGATAGGTTTGAGATGCGTCGGTAAGTTGATGTTCTCAAGTATCAGAAATAGGTAAAGGAGAGAAGAGAAGACGTTGGTGTTTTGGTCGAGTTCTACAAAGCAAGACAAAGGTAGTTTAACTCGGCGAGATCGGGATTCAGAAATGCACTTCGTAGTCAAATGCTCCGCTGTACTATGTCCGTCCAAGCATTTTTGCCTGCAAGCGTATCTTCCAAAATCTCCCATACTTCGCCTCGTGTGCGATCGAATGGGCCAAACTCCTTGTTCAGCGCTGTCCTGGTCGTCCTGTCAGTCGCTGTAAAACTAACTATGCCCGGACACTGGGGTGATTCAAGCAAAGGTCGCCTCCTTTCCTTGGAGCATCGCAAAAAATAACCCTCGCACACACAGAGACATAATGCCCAACAAGAAATCCAAGCCAAATGCGTCGAAGGGCAAAAGTCCTGCTCATCCATCTGGACCGGCGAAAGCTGCGGTGTCTGCGGCGTCTACAGCTCCCGAAGAAACCACTCCTTACATACCTCTGACCCTCCCTAAGCCAAGCATCGATGACGACTTTTGGACCAAGAATGCCCGCGCGAAAGCTCTAATCCTGTCAACCTTGGTCCCAGGGAGCGAAGCATGGAAGATTGCTGAGCCAATTGAAATCGCGTCAGATATCTGGAGGGCACTGGAAGATCACTTTACTCCCAAGCGTATGAAGGCCTGGGCGAAACAACGAAGTTCTGCGGAGGCAAGCAACACCATGGCCGCTGTTGCCGACGATGGTGCCAGTTCTGGTGCAACTAAGAGTGAAGGGGAACCTGTCAACGGCAAACTCTCATCTTCTACGAACTCTGTTTCAAGCTCCGTGGTAGGAAAATCGTTGAACAACATGGATAAATATATGGACATGCCCAAGGACAAACTTTCAATACCGCAATTGGACGGGACCACATCGTCTGCTCTTTCGAGAGAGGTTTCGACGAACGCAGAGGATGCTTGCAGAGCGCTGGAAGCCTTCGACATTGCAGATATTGCAAAGAGTATAGCAAAGGAGTTTGACAAGCAGCAGAGGGTTGCGACTCTGCCTAAGATTCAAACTGAGACAACGCATCAGAGTGAAGCCCGGCCGAGTCTTGAGGTACAACAAGCCCAATCCCAGGCTCAAACCGAGTTTCTGTCTCAAATTCGGTCGCAAATTCAGGCCCACGCTACGACTCATGGTCAGGTAAAGCCTCAACCCCAGACCCAATCGCAAGCTCAAGCCCAGAGTAAGACCAAAGTACAGGTCGACGCTCAAGCCCAAGTCCCAGCCCAATTGCAAGCTCAACCTCAGTCACAAGCCGAAGTTCAGCCCCAAGTTCAGAGTCATGCCCAAGGTCAAAGTCAAGCCCCACCCGCACCCTCCCAACCCGCTACCGCAGCAGGTATCCCACGACTCTCGACACTGACGCCCTCGGGACGCTGGAAAGCGCACCCCGTCAAGCACGACAGCTACCTTAGCGAACAACAAGCACTGATCTTCGCCCGGTACGACGAAGACCGCAAGAAGCAGATCCAAGTGGCCGCCACAAAGGTGCTCATGCAGAAACTCCCGACGCGGGACATGAGGCTTCTGTGGGCCGTCCTGTACGGAGGCGAGGATGCACCCTGGCCCGGGTCGTGCTCGGCCGTCATCCCTGGTGTGACAACTCTGCAGTGGCAGAATAAGAGCTATGAGATGGATTACAAGACGCTAGGGTGGAGCTGGAATAGCAAAGGGGACGAGAAAGGATGAGAGAAATAAAAATGGGCTGCGATGATTGAACATTGAACAAGAGCTCAGGTCCATTTGAGCGTTCAGAGGGTATCAACAATGCGACAGGATACCGCGTGCAGACTTCTTACCCAACTCGTCTGCAGAGAGAGCGCACACACACTCCATCTTCCAACTCACCGCGAGGCTCCAAATTCCCCAAACCAAGACAGCAACAATCCCACCAAGACAATCAGCAATGCGCTCGGCTCAGTGGCCATTCGATCAGCAGCACTCTTCTCCCTGATATAGGAGACATTCTGCGCCAACGAGATAATATCCCTCGTCGCATGCCCCGTTTGTGCCAACTGCCTCAACTGATCCCCAAATGTGGCCAAGATCTTTGAACTCCTGCCCGCAGGACAGAATACGACCTCAAAGCCTCCACCCTGAGGAATGATGAACGTGGAGGTCTGATCGTCATACGCATAGCTGTATGCGTCCGGACATAGCTTCTTCGCCTGCTGCGAGTACAGGCTAGGGGAGCAGGTGGCGGGTGTCCCGTGGTTACCGGTACAACAGTACTTAGCTTTATTCCACTTTGCACAGGCGCTGAGGCACGGGTTGAAGATGGGTCGCTGGATGTTGTCATCGGGGTAAGGATAGACGCCGTCGCCAGGTTTCGTGGGTGGAGTAAGTTGGAGGGGCCACGGACACCAATCTTGCACGAAGGAGGATGTAACGGACTGGTCTAGGGGAAGTGGATAGGTGGAGTTTGTGCCAAAGTCGGCGTCTGGGCTGTCACCTACCGGAGCGAGAAGGGAGGAGGTCCCGATGCAGACGGGGTTTGTGAGGTTGGGAGGGATATCGGTCAGATTCGCATTCCCGCTCTGCCCAAGCAGGGAAACGATGCCCACGGGGATGTTGTAGCCGTCGACCAGCGAGATGTCGTAAAAGCATTGGTTGGTATTTGACGACATGGTGAATTCAGCCAACGTTGCCGGTGCTTGTCCCTGAGTGCCACCATGTCAAGATCAGCAAGCCTCGTTCAAGGTAAATTTTATCACACACACTTGCTCGCTCGCCAAATAAAAAGTGGTGATGGAGGGAGAGCAAAAATGTTGAAGCGAACCACTCACCGCACCCTGACACTGCAAAAACATGCCACAATCGCCCGTCTGGCACGGACTGCCTCCCTGCCCGCTCGACGGAACCGAGCCCGATCCCGCCGTCGTGGGAAAACTGCAATTTGTACGAGCCCACACGCGTCCCTTCCAGTCGAGGCCGACGGTCTGCGGCTTCGTGGCGCCCGGGCCGAGCAGGAAGCCAGAGCTGGCGGGCCCGGTGCCGGACTGCGTGAGGATGGCCGGCCAGATGGGTTCTTTGCAGTTGTTGGTGACGCGCAGCGGGAGCATCGTGACGTCGTCGGCTGCTTGGACGGTCGATGGTGCGCCCAGGAGGAGGCCGACGGCGGAGAAAGAGAGGACTGTGAACGCTTTTGATGACAGCCAAGATGTGTGCAAGGAGGAGGCATGCTGTTTGGCATGGTGGTGCTGGTGCTGTCGTGGGCTGGGCTTCTTTGCATGCTTCCCACCCAGACGCCCCTTCAACAAACGGTCTCCTCTGGCCATAATTGGCTAGCTAGCTAGCTAGCTAGTGGCGAAAGAAAGCGATGGCGGGCGTTGGCTGTTCACCTCACCCTCGCCCTGCGTTTGACCTGCTTCAAAGCCGTCGACGTCCGAGGAGGCTCATGGAACAAGCAAGCTCTTGCGATGTCGGGGAGGGTTAGCTTGATCGTTCTCCCAGAATCGGACTACAGTGTAGGAAAAGAAATCCGTGCCTAAATAGACACGAGATTCCTTCCTGATTCTTGTTTATAAATGAATTCCGGAAAAAAAGAATAGTCGTAGAAGAAGACGGGTATGGGTACGTAAAGTTTCGATGCCGAATAGGTGTGGAGGAGTCTAACGATGCAGTGTCGCTGGCTTATTTATGTATGTAGACGGTCCATAGATGCTCGTGGCTGAGTGAGTTGTTTTCGCAATTTCTGGCCCGCGTCGCAGATATGTGGGAAGTTGCGATCCGGGCATAGCGAGGTAGCAAGGTAGGTAGGTAGGTAGGTAGGTAGGTAGGTAGGTAGTTATACCAGAAGGTGCTGAGCTCACCAGCCAAGATTCATACCCAAACCTTTGCTTGCTTGTTTAGTTCAGATGTCGATCGTATTAACTGCGAAGCCACGCCCGGAATTGGCGTGGATCAATCCAGCCCGCCAGTCTTTACTGACAGACGGACAGATAGAGGGATTGACGGCCAATTCAGCGAGATAAAGACATGAGGACGCCCACGCGTCAAAGAAGCAGATTGATGGGGCACGCGCCAATGACGACGAGGACGGGGATGAAGGAAGTCCATGCCATGAGATGTTTCCCTCATGGTTGCTTGCTTGTTTGTCCTTCCTTGGTCATTTTGCCAGAGATCGTCGACCCTCACTCCTGCCCTGCCCTGTCCGTTGCTTGCTTGCTCGCTTGCACGGGTGCACACGCAATATGATGTCATTGGCGTCGCTACTTAGCGAGATGGGCTTGTTATAAGGTGGCGGTGCAGAGACCCAAACCCTGTTTCGTCTCTGTGGCTTGTGAGGGCCTTAATAATTACTGGAGAAGAGAGAGAAAACGAAATGGATAATCGTCCGCCAAGGCGCCGTGGCAGTGGAACCGACGAAGAAAAATATTACCTAAGCTACGAAGACACAAAGGAAAAGGAGGAAAAGGAGATCCTTTCATGTTTGACCCCCTGCTGTTCACGACTGGCCTCTCGCTTGAATAGGACCACATCGCGTCGGGATTTTACATGCCCCAGACTTACATATTCTACCAGTAAACAGTTCTCGCACATGCATGGATTCCTTTCCATCTGCTACATGAGGAGACTAAGACGCGATCGGACAGTTCCGATCATAGACCTTGTAATTGCTATTCCCAAGCACCACGTTGGCAGCCGTGAGCGTCGAGCCGTGGAACTGGTAGCATACCGCGGCCGCCTCCCAGACCATGTACGCGGTACAATAAGATGTCCCTTCGGGATACGACTGACAATTCGCAGCACATTCGGCGAGAGTGTACGGGAGGTAACCTGGTTGGGAAGCCATGCCTCCGATGATGCCGATGACGCCGCAGATCATGCTTGGTGTTGGCGACGCACTCTGGGTCTACGAGACGAAAGGGTTCGTTAACTGTCTGTCAAGCCATGATGGGTGGATCAGGTGAGGGACTGAGACTTACCGTAGTTGTCGTTGTCGTTGCCATCGTGGTGGTGCTGGTACTGGAGCTGGACGTGGCTCTAAGCGCATCTAAAGTCGTCGAAGTCGTACTTGTCGCCGTACTCGTCGAAGATGGGACCGAGGATGTCGTCGTTCCCGCAGAAGAAGCAGACGTGGTAGGATCCGAGGTCGTCGACTGAGTGGATCTTGACGTGGAAGTGGTGCTTGGAGATGAGGTAGTCTGAGGATCTACCGTAGATGTTGGGGGGCTAGCAGGAGAAGAAGATGTGGTATCAGTACTCGAAGTCGTTGATAGGGTGGAAGACAACGTGGAGGTCAGCGTCGACGAAGAGGGTTCCAACGATGTAGTACTTCCAACGCGAGAAGCCGACGAAGTCGTGCTTGAAATGGTGTCAGTGCTGGAGGAATGAACACCCGTTGTGGTATGGCTACTTGTCGAGGTGGTGTGAATAGTCGGCAGAGGATCGGTGCTTGTTGAGACCGTATGGGTGGTCGTCGACGTACTGTGAGCACTGGAGGTAGTATGAGTACTTGGGCTCGTGTAGGCGCTCGAGCTCGTACTGGTGCTTGAGGCGGGTTCTTTCTCGAGGGTCGTACGCCTGCTTAAGGCTGTGCTCTTGCTCGTACTCGAAACGAACGTCAAACGAGTCGAGTAAGGTATCGTGATCGTAGTCTTGCTCGTCTTGTGGTCATGTTCCAAAGCCGACGTCGGAGAACTGCTGTGAGTACTCCAGGAATGAAGCTGGGAGCTGCTCTTGGTCCTCATTTTCGTGGTGTGCGAGTGTGAGGTAGGCTTCGACGAGACCGAAGTCGCGCCACGGGTCGACTCCCAGTCGCCCCATGTAAGATGGCCGTCCGTACGAGTGGCAGGGATCGTAGGGCACGTAAATGTTGACCGCGTCGATGCCCAATCTTGCCAGTCAACAATCTCCGTTGACTCCGCACAAGGACAGACAGTGTGAGTGTTGGTCTTTGTCAGTGTAATTACCACGTCCCATTCATTTGTCCATGCCTGAACAGCAGGCAGAAGGGGAAGAAGCGAAAGAACGGAACTTAAGGCAAGCATTTTCGTGGCTAGAAGGCCCGGAAAGAAAAGAGTGACTGGGCAGTGCGACGATAAAGGTGCGAAACAATTCTGAAAGAGTGACTGGTTCAAAAGAACATGAAGAAGATGAAAAGATGGGATTGAGGACTATTTACAAAGTGTCCGAAGAGGCGGTAAACCCACGAAAACAAACCATCTCAGACCTACCGTATGGCTTCAGGGTTGGCTAGTGAGAATCTGGAGGCACACCCGTCAGTTATCAGAAAGACAGTTGTGGACATAGATTTTGTTCGAGGGCTGGCTATCCTTCGTCAGTCCCGGGATTCTGGCTAGCATGGGCCAGCAATTTTGAGAAGTGCAAAGTGCGAGGGTTCTTCTTTTCGTGGCGAGCTGAATGCGCAGGAATGAGAAGCTCAATTGGATCTCGCATTGGAAATCGCCATGTGGCGCAAGGCTGTGGGTCAATAGCCAACGATCTCACACCCGTTTGGAAAGCAAGGCGTTCCAGAACCTCGCCCCCCCCTGAGTCCACCAGCCCCTAAGGGGAATCTCGAGCCCCGTCTCTCTTGCCTGAAAAGGGGCATGCTAACCAAGCGCCGACAAGCTTGACCACTGCAAGCATGCTCGAATTTGCCATCTTCACTTCAAATGGGCCTTCAGGTCGTTCTGTGTCAGCCGAGCACCACCCGATGCGCCCTCGTCGCTCGTCGTACGGTAAACACGAGGGTCCTTTTGGTACGCTGTTTAACCGAGTGGGTTCTTGCTCCTACCTCAGTTGTCCACATGGCGCCCAATGTTCACGGAGTCAGCGAAACATGCTTGCTGAATAGGAATTCCCCGATGCCATAAGCAGCGCCATTGCTTCCCCACCCACTTCCCTTGAATCCTGTCTGTGGCGCCGAGACTTTATTGACCGTCAGTGAGCGACCCTAACATATACAGAAGAGTGCTTACCATTTACAGACATGGTGTGAGAGTTGATCTGGATCTGGCCGAATTCGAGGTCTCTAGCCAACGCCAGTCCCTTCACATGGTTCCTTGTAAAGACCGAGGCGGAAAGTCCATATGGTGTGTTGTTCGCTAGTGCCAACGCCTCTTCGTCACTCTTGACCACATACAAGGTTGCAGACGGCGCAAAGGACTCTTCGTGGGAGAGCCGAGACTTTGAACTCACGTCCGTCAAAATCGAAGGCTCAAGGGAGGTTCGGCCCGTGTATTTGGCGTTGCCGACGAGATACTTGGCGCCGTCAGCCACAGCTTCTTCGAGGATGTCGTGGGCGCGTTTTGCTGCCTCTACCGTGATAGCGTGGCCAGCCGAGGGCATAGCTTTCGTAGCCTCGACGAGGAGTTGGGTAAATTCCAGGGCCACCTTCTGATGTACGATGATTCGTTCAGTGCCGAAACAGATCTGGCCGTGGTGGGCGACCGCTAAGACTTGGTGAGACATGCTTCATCATACACAGAAACCGCAGGGTGGACATACTTGCTCGAACGCAATTCTCTGCAGCAGCCTTCAAATCTGCGTCTTCAAGGACAATGACTGGACTTTGATCTCCCAACTCCATCAGGACAGGCTTTAGATGCTTGCCCGCAATACTCCCTATAATCCTCCCAACCGTGGCACTACCGATGAATTCGACTTCTCTCAGAGCCGGATGGCTGATGATAGCTTCAGTGACAGCGGGGCCATCGGCACGAGAACATTGAATCTTGTTCAATGCCCCAGCTGGAAGTCCCGCTTCGGTGAAGACTTCGAGTACCAATTGGTGAGTCCATGGACATAGTTCGGAGGCCTTGAAGACAACGGTACAGCCTGCTGCGAGGGCAGCTGCAATGCCACGGCAGGCTAGAATGGTTGGAGCATTCCATCTGCCACCTGGTGAGTAAGAGGATTCCCGATGGTTGAAGAGCAAATCGAACTTACGGTATGATAGTAAGGACGACACCGACGGGCTCTCGGAACACCAATGAAGTTGTTCCAGAGACCTCCGAGTCAGGAATGCTCCCTTGCACGGTCGAAACATTGGCAGACGTCTCTCTCACAAACTTCGACGCATAGGTTACTTCAAACTCGGGCCAATGCGGATCACAACTGGTCTCCGGGATCTCTCTCTTCGCCAACTCTTCGGCCTTTGTCTCCAAGATGTCAGCAACCTTGTTCAACACCGCCCGGCGCTGAGACAGCGGAGTCTTCCTCCACGCCTTGAAGACCTCAGCAGCGGTCTCGACAGCCTTGATTCCGACGTCGACCGTCGCGCTCTGGGCACAATGAATGGCGTCACCAGTCGAACCTTGAATAACGGGGAAATTCTGGGATTCGGGCAAAGAGACGACATCGCCTCCAATGACGTTGGGCACAACGACAGCGCCGGAGGAAGATCTCTGGAGATACATCGTGGGAGAGTTTCCTCAGAAAATTGCTGTTCCGCACTCATAGCTGCGACGCTGGAGTTGCCACTGGAGTATAAATACCTCTAGAACACCCCCAACAGGGAGTCACGTGGGTAAAGCAATCAGGCCGCCAGCTCTGACTCTTGCTTCTCATGTAGATATATTGAACCTCCGACGTCAGTCAGTCAGTCAGCTGGATAGACGGCAGCGCAATGCAACGGACGACGCTGACCAAATGCAGTATTTTCTCGTATGGCCGGCCTTAACGCGAATGGATACTTGCCAAAGGCAGAATGCTCTTCTCCCCGCTCCAATTTCCAACCTAGTTGTTAGGCGAACCTCTCCAGACATGACTGCAGGTTAGTTGCTGGGCTCAAGGAAAGTCGAGAGCTGGAGCACAACGCCTTGCCCGATGCGCAGCCAATGCGGGCTGGCGGATCATCGAGCGGAGTCGAAAGAAAGAGGGACCTGTTGTTTTCAGCCGCTCTTCATGTTACCATAGCCAAGCACCTCAAGCGCAAATACCCTGTCGTGGTTTACCTCCTGTGGAAGTGCCTCCTCGGGTTGTGGGGACCGTAACTGTCCTGGGACGGCCCCGAGAAAAGGAACGAGGGTTGTCAGGATCGCATTCTCTCATCGCTTGTCTCAAAGGGAACCAGGCCTTTACAGCAAACCAGGGATTGAAATTCCCTTCGCCATTGTCATGTCAATGTCAGAGTTTTTGTTTAAGCAGTCGGAGAAGTCTTGGTTTCACAGTCCCTGGACGAACAAGGGTGCTGCTACTCACACCCTGCACCGCGAGAAGGTGCCTCTCCATCGCAGGGCGTCCTCCTCTTTCCAAAATCCCGTAGGATCGCTTTCTGCCCTTTCACATTGGATGTTGTCAACCCATCATGAAACCCGTAGGTCTTACTCTTCAAATCCCTCATGGCCTTTTCTAAGCCCATACTTCAAATCCAATTTCACCACGTTTTTGGTGTCCAACTCCCACACCCTATCTCAAGCCACATGTGGACTTGGAGGGGTTTATAGCTCACATCGATCCGCAGCTCACTTAGGTTGAATTCCTCACTCTCTCTCTGTCTCTGTCTCTGTCTCTGTCTCTGTCTCTGTCTCTCTCATCAACAATCCGCGTGTGTATGCGCGGATTGGGGTGTCTTCTGCGTAGTGTAGGTTAGTGAGAGAAGAAGTTGGTACATTGGGAAGAGACACATACCCATTTGGATCTTTCCACAAGTGCGCAGCGGCACTGGGCTGGTAATTGTGTCTTGTGCATAGATCTTGATGATGTAACTCATGTGGCCGTTGCTGTTGCCGATTTTGTTGTTGTGGCAAATATTCTCAGTCTTGCTGTTGTCGCAGTAGGTGTCGTAGTACTATTGTAGTAGATGTTGCCAATTTTGGGATGTCCCTGCAGATGTACATTGCTGATAATTAGGTTGCACATCTGATAGACGCGGCGGTGAAGCCGACTGGATTCGTTGCTGGCTGGCTAAATAAATGACTGACAGACTGATTGATCGATCGATTGTATGAAACCATGTGAATTAATACCCAGGGGCACCCTCAAATGTAGAAGCCGGCACGTGAACGCTGGGGATGCTCATGATGACGGCTAGGTCGATAGGAGAGTATTGAGATAAGATACACTCCATGCCGGATAGAGGCCGGGTGGTGACGGCGGAAAAGAAGGTGGTGAATAGAAGGCGCCGCTGGGCTGTTGCTGATATTGATAAGTGTAATCGAATGCACAGAACGGAGGAGGGCACCATTCCTGCTGCAAAGGAAATGGTGGTAAATACCCCTGGAAGGGAGGAGTAGGGGCTTGGGGTGTGAAGGACTCTTGCTGATAGGGAGCGGGTAATGGAAGTGTCGAACTTGTGGAGGTCGATTCCGGTGTTGACGGTCTCGAAGGAGAGAAGATCCACGAGATCCTTTGAAGAATTGTAATGAAGTGGTCGTGTCCGTGGTCTGATGTTCCACTTTGCCTATGAAACTCGGCCGTCTTGCTTCTTAGGTCGATTGCTGTTCTCAGGTCTTCAAGTATGTCCTCAGGTATTTTGATTCCGTCTTGAACGGTTGAGACAGCCAACTGAAGATGACTGTTCAGGGGAATCGTGCTCGGACGGTTGTAGAGAGCTCTGATCCAAGACAAAACGTTGTCTGTGGCTTGCTTGTATTGCCCGTAAAGCTTCCCGTACTCCGGGTTGAGGATAGACATATTGAACAGATGTAACAAATATGTGCAGACAGGTATAGATGTCGGTAAGATTGAAGGCAAAATTGAATGATTCGTCCGAAGCGTGTCGTATGCCGAGCTATTTGAGTCCGTTGGTGCATCCGGATTTGTAGAGAACGAATGTGTTGTTGAGTTCGCTGTTGTAAGAGCGAGCGTGCTGCAGAGTGTGCCGAGTAGTATGTTGTGTGTCGCCGAGCGGGCGTGTGTATGTTTGTGTGTTGAGTCTGTGGAGAGCAGGGCAAAGAAATATGGGACCATTGGGCTTTTGTACTCGAAAGGAGAGGGTCCCGGATGCATTTTAGACACATGCTGCACCAACTGAGTATCGCTGGGCGTAGGAAAGTTGCAAAAGTTTCTTTGAAGATTTAACACACCCAGAGCGACTCATCAACTTGGGTAACATCTTGATTGAGTAGGGGACCGCCACGCCATCCATCTCCTCCGGCTGGATGATTGGTCGAGTCCCCTGAGTGAGGCTTTTGGCCCAATGGGTGGTTTGACTGGATCGCTTTGGATCAGCCCCATAGTGTTGCGATGGTGGATAAATCGTGAAGCCGTTTTTGGCAAAACGGCATCTCGACTTGAGCGTGAATAACGTCCTTTCCCATCAAATGCATAGCAGAACCCTCACGTAACAATTTTTGCAGCGGACATGGCTCCCCTGTGGAGACCCGTGAAGACAAATGTGCTCACCTTCAGATTATGAGAACGATTGGATGAGTACAGAGCGGCTTGAGAGCTGCATGCACCGGCAATTGAGCCCAAAGACTTGGTATGTAGCTTTGAAGAAGTGCCCATATGCGTTAAGCATCAGGCCTAAAGGATTTGCTCGGTACAAAGCAGAATTGAGCCTCATTCTTCGCTAGATTCTGACTCCAAGTCTGATGAACCGGGTGGCTAGAATTGCAGACTTGATGCTGGTGGCTGTGTCAGGATTTTGCCCCTACTGCAAGACAAGGTGGTCAATGCGCAGCCTGAACCACTGGTCGAACTTGATATCGTGTCCATCGGTAGATCACCTGGGTCAAGTTGACTCATGAGGAAGTACCAATTGACATCTTGTGAGTGGAGTCAGGACCACTTGTTTAGACTTTCGACCGAGCTCGAAACAAAGTCTATGTCGACTTGGTGAGAAAGGAAAAATGGGAGCATGGCTGAAGAGTTGGGCGATATGAAGAAGGCTGAGCTAGTATCATACTGCTAGGAGGCATGCGTGAAGTTGAGATTTTTGGTTCTTGTGCTGCTTATTAACTTTCACAGGCCGGAAATTGATGTGTGGCGCGTCTTCAGACGCGCGAGCCGACAAAGTCATTGTGTCTGCTCGAGGATGGGCTTAAACAAGACGAGGCCGGTCACGGCGGAAGTCCCCTTTTGCTTAGAGCGGTGATTCGGTTGATTTGGATGGAATGGCTTGTCTTTCGCTGAACGGAAGAGAGAGAGAGAGAGAGAGACTCCAGGAAGCTGTATTCAATAGTTGCGAGTGATGGCAAGGAGTTCGGATAATTTACGCAGAAACCTAATTCCGCATCTTCCGTCTTTCATCCGAGCTGGGATAACCCAAGGAGCGCGACGTTGTATCAGTTTCAAAGTGTTTTCTTCTCAGATGTAACTCTTAGGTACGGAATATATATTGCAGCAATATGACGTTCTCGACAATTTGGCAGCATCTCAGTGTTCATCAAGAGCGCCGCCCAAACGAAGGCATCAGTGCCTCTAGAAAGCCTATGTAACCCCAACGCCAAGCCAAGTAACAATCACTCTCAATTTTCAACACCATATTTACTTTATCACTTGTAGAACCAGTAGATCGCCGAATAGTCCACGCTGAAAGCCGCAGGCATATTTGCACAGGTCTCCGGCGGTTGCCCACCCGCCGTGCTTAAGCGGTAGACGGCTTTGATTGGGCTTTCACTGGTGGATCGAGGAGTCAGGTAAAGCCAAGGGACCGCACCGTTGCCGGTACCACTGATGCCGGGCACAGCGTTGGCTGGTGCGTCGGAGGAGTGTATTTTTTGAGCAATGATTGTGCCAAATTTGGGAGAGGTGGCAGTGTCAAAAGCAAAGACCGGAGTGGAGGCGTTGGAGAAGTAGTGATGTGTCGAAAGTTGAAGGTCCGACGGGGCAAGAGGAGCAGATGGATCAGCCGGCAGGGGGTATTGCAGCGCCAGGTTGGGGATGAGGCCGAGAAGATCTGGATAGTCGGCCGCCACACAGGAGGCATTGTAGAATCTCGCAACCGCCCCGAGTGCCGCAGGAGTGGCTGTGGCATTGGCACATGTATAGTTCTAAATATGTCAGCAATCCGTTGGCCAAGAAGGAAGTAGGGGTACGTACCTGTATACCTCTGCCCACAGCAACATGCTCAAGTATCAGCCCCGTCGGATTGGGCAGTGGCGTCGGTGCGATCGGCATAGCAGCTCTTGAAAGGTCACAAGTTGCGGATGGTTGTCCGGGCGATTGAGCCTGCTGCATGTATTGGAAAACAACGTCGAAGTAGCCAGCTAACGTTGGCGTCCATTCGAACGTATCGCGAGTGAGTGGTGCGGCCATCAGGGTGGGCGCCAATGAAGCGAGAAGCATTGAGTATTTCATTTTGGCAAAAGGAAAGTCACAAACGGTATTAATGAAGGGAAGTGTCTGGCCCGCAGATTCTTTTGGGACTGCAAGAAAAGGTGCACACTGATTAATGAGTTGCTGGAATGAGCTGCTGAGAATGAGAGGAAAGACTGTATATGAGGAACCCAGGAAATGATTGACCATTTTCGAGACCAGCCGCCGCATTATATCAACTTGCAAAGTGGACTGGTATACCAACCAAGCATAGGATGGTTGTCATTCTGACTGTGGATCTGGCAAGCTTGGTTGAGAAGGCAGTGTTGCTATCTTGGGGCCCTTGCATTTGTAATTGGCTCGCCAGGCATGGTGGAGGCTCTTTGGCCGCCTGGATGCTGCAAGAGGCGGCAAGGGAGATTTGTCGGCTGCGAGTCTGATCGACGAGGGTCCGGTGTAATAATAGAAGGGCAATTGGCGCCTGCGGCAGCAGAAGACTGAGCTTGGACTAGGAATTTGGAGGCTCTTGTGCCATCTTGGTTAGGCTGGGACCCAGAGGCCCTGGCGGCCAGGCATTTGGTACGTGGGTCGGCTGGCCGCTTGTTGGCCTCCGACGCCCAATACGCCCCAGCCCTGTCTCCCTATCGGCTTCCTTCAGGCGTCCTCGGAAGTTCGTCTGGTCATTTCCTTGCCGCCCGCCAGCCGCCAGCCCACCATCTCACACCAATCCCAAAGTCTTTGGCCCGCTTGGAACTGGATGACGTGCATACGAAGTGCGCAAAGCGGATACGCGATGTCGAGGAGGCGTCCAAAAATGTCGAGACAGTTCCCTCCCTGACCCTAGTACTCGTTTCAGGTTTTTAGACACGCATATCCAATCGAATCGTCGTCAGCGCTTGTCTTTGGCCTTTTCATTCATCTGTGGGCAGCGCGGGCGACGAGAGACAAGTCTTTGAGATGCTTGCACCGCGATGATGGGGACATGGTCATCTGTCAGTTGCCTCACAGATGTTGCCGAACATGGTAGTGTGAGAGTGCAGATTCCTCTGCTAAACTAGATGATGCTCCATCGGTGCTAAGTCCAGAAACAGGCCATCAGATCTAAATGCGCACAATTACCAAGCAGGTGACAGGACCGAAAGGCGAGACGTTGGAGAGGCAGGTCCCAATATTTCCGAAAGGAATACCTATGGAGCACAAGTTAGGTCCGGTGAGCCATCACCCAGCTGACGATGATGGTGGGCATACCTCGTCGTTTTTGGATAGTTTGTGTAGACAGAGACAGGGCGGACAGAGGATCCAAGGGATTGGAAGAAACGTGGCTCAACCCAAGGTGCATACGTATGCCCTGTGCCATGTGTTGTGCGCTTACTTGGACAATAGCGACGGAGCATTCGCGTCAGCCTCGACGTCTGTCTCTAACAGTCGTTTCAAGTAACGTTTACGGCCGATGGAGTCTTCGTTGTATTATTTGTAGAGGACCGTGGTGAGTCCATCTAACGTCCATTGGAATACTCGGCGTCCTGTGGCTTAGTGCTCACTCCGATGGACCCGCAGAATATTAGTTGGCATGCACGCCTCAGCAAAGGTTGTCTATCCGAAGAGCCACAATCCGCTGATTTGAAATTAGAAAATTCTGATTTGTTGTGGCGATGAAGTGTTAAAAGCTACTGTAGTCGTGGAGCTCGCTGGCTTCAAGAGGGGCTCCTTCGCATGGGAGGTTCCTGGAGCTCGTACGCATAATAAAAGCGTGTGGAGCGTGCCAAAATCTCATCTCGACGGAAGAGGGCAAGATGACTGGACTGGAAGGATAAGTGAGAAGCGACAGGGAACTCTGTTCCACGGGAGAGGGAAAAAAGCTGCGGGTGTTCTCATATCCGACGCAACAATAGAGGAGCACCCCTGGCAACGCAGGGTTGCTTGCGAGAAGCTATCCAAATTCCTCCTGATGCCAGTCTGGATCATGGGACTCAGGTGATCGAAGCCCTGCGCCGCCCACTGCTGCCGCTGCCGCTTCGCCTAGGTGGACGACATTTCGATCAACGTCTATGGTACCCATCCAGTAGAGCATTACGAAGACCAACACATGGAGCGCGACACAATAACCGGCAAAGAGGTTGCGCGAAGTCCTGGTGGCGAGAACAACCCTTGTCAAAGAAAATATTATTCTTTCTGGGAAGCTCATGCGCTGGTAGGCACGTGCCGCTTCTCGGCCACGAAAAGCAGCAAAAGGGGAAATGTTGGCCTCGTATTGCGACTTCCAGCGACTGGTAGTCGTGTCATCCATATGGATGGCGGTGTGTGCTGGCGCCCCAGAGTAAGCTGAAGACGATGTGGCTGGACTCCGGTTGTATGCGGAGATATATCGCGTCTTTTCGTACAGGTTCAAGTTGTCCTTCTGAAGAGAGGCCACTTCTTGACGCAGTGAAGTCACGGTCGTGTAGGTTTTGGATAACTCCTCTTCAAGTTGTTGATTCTTCTGTTTGAACCGATCCCTTTGAGCCTGGATCATTGGCAAAATACCAGATCCTCCACCAACAGGATCTCCCGCTCGCAGTGACTCCAAAGTATTGCTTCTCGGCTGCATGTCGTAGCCCGAAATGATTGAGGATGTCGGTGATGCCCTTCCTCGCCGCAAGGAGCCCGTTGGATGCCGAGATACATATGTCCCCGCGACAGACATCCCGGAAGAGGGAAGTGCGTTTGCGGCCTCCTCCTGAACGCGCATGAGATCGTTCTCAAGGGTTGAAGAAAGTTTCTGGGATTTCTCCAACTCGGCATTCGTCCGAGACAGCTCTTCTTGAAGGTCTTCAAGCTGACGTTGAAGGTCTTGATGTGATACCCGTAGGAGTGTCAGCTCGTTGGCGAGCTTCTTGTTGCGCGCGAGCAGCAGCTGTTCCAAAGATTGCTTCGTGCCATTCTCTGCCGAACCATTCAGAGCAGCATCGTCCCCGTCTTCATCGTCCCCAATTGACAGTTCAATCGACCGAAGAGTATCTAGCTCCCGTCTGAGATCTTCATAGTCAGACCATTTACTGACCTTTGTACGCAGTTCCTCATTCTCACTTGCGAGTTGAGATCGCTGCCTATCGGCCTGACGCAGCTTATTGTCCCAATCTCTCTTCTCTGTTTCTCTCTCGAACCTTGCCGACTCAATTTTCCGCAGAAGCGAAGAGTTTTCGGACTGGAGGCGTAAAAACGAAGGGTCTTCTTCAATGTTGTGATTTTCCGTGCTCTGTGAAGTCGTTCGAGCAAGGTCGACTCGCAACTGTTCGTTCCTCGCCTCGATTTCGGCAAGACGGGCAGTTGTCTTTTCTAGTTCGTTGGTCATCATCTCCAGCTCGGCCGCAGCAGCTTTGGATGTTGCAGCTTCAGCAGAACCATCCTGAAGTCTCTGAGACACTTCGTAGCTGGCTTTCAACTCTTTGAGCAATCTGTCCTGGTTTTCGACTTTTTCTTCTAAAAAGCGCTCTTTTGCCGTCCAATTGCTCTGTTTCTCCTCCAAGACGTTCTCCCATTTGGCTTCAATCTCCTGCACTAGAGTACCTGTTCCAGCCTCGGCATCTTTTCTGGCCTTGCTTTCGTCTTGCAATTTTTGTTCTGTCTCCTCGAGTTGGGCCGTCAACTTACTGACTCGAGCAAGCAGCTGCTGGTTTTCAGCATTGAGCTTTGGCACTGTATCCTCGGACGCAACCAGAGAGTCGACCGAGGCCTCGAGGAGAGGAAAAGGGTCCGGAGCCTCGGAGAGGGACTGATATAGTTGGAGGAATGCAGACGAGGAAGTCTTGCCATGGCCAGTAATCAGGTCAATGAAAGTTTGATATGCTGCAAGCAGTTAGATTCGGACCGGTTCACAGCACAGAGGCAAATGAACCTTTCAAGAGTGACTTATACTCGGTCAACTTTGCTGTATCCTCCAATTTTCGAAAGTCCTTTGTCTTCTGTGCAAGTTCCTTCCGTTCGAGCAAGGCGTCTCTTTGTTGGGCGACAATTTCTGAGGCTGTAGAATCTAATTGGGACATCAACGAGGAGAGATCGATGTCTAATGAGTTAGCAGCGGAACAAACAGGAGGCAGTCGAAATGACCTACTTCGCCATGCTGCAATTGCCTTCTGGAACTTATTTTCTGCTTCACCTGGAGACCTCTGTACGATGTCTTCAGGCCGGGGACCATCCTCCTCTGCTCGAGGGTCATTGACCTCCGATATCACCATTGCGTCCATATCGTCAGTACGGGATGGAGTTTACTGATGCTCCCGATTGAAATGTGGCTGGCTCGCAGGATCCATCAGCAGAGGTAGATCAGCGGAACTTTCGTGTGCACGAGAATAAAGTGAGATGAGCCTAGAAAAGGCTTAAAATCAAGGTCCAACGCGTCAATAGCAGTGATACTGGGATGGAAGATCTGGCTTTGAGTTTGAATCGTTGAATCTGAGACTGCGCCTCGAAACCGAATCTCCCGCAGTAACTGCGCTTAGGCCGCATTGCTCCGCTTCCAGCCGTCAACCACGATTCGCGAGAGTGACCGAAACCAACACTGCACTTATTGTTGACCACAACCTTGCGAGACTACCTGCAGGTATGGATGATTTCTCCCAATATCCTTGAAGTTTGATGCAACCGATGGATGGCGTCAATCTGTATGACCCGCGACCTGCAAAGCGACAGAGGCTGGCCCCGCCTGAACCAGGCCCGTATGTTCTCCGAGTGGTTCTCGAAGACATTCCACTGGCGGCGGATGATGGTAATGCAGAGGTATCAATTACATGTGTAGAATATTGGAGTAGGTGAGGCTGTGTATCCTGCAACTCCCGCATGCCTCTCACGATCCTTCAGACAACAATTTATATATCGGAACCTCTGCGGCCGAAATCCTACACCTTGTCTCGATCCCTTCTGACCAGGAAGACGACAATGCCCCTTCAACCTTCATTCTAGCCTCGCGACTGCAGCCCAGTGGTCATGCGGTATCAGCCGATTCTCCGAATGCGCCAGGCATACAGCAAATCCTCGTCCTGCCCGGCCCTCTGAAAGCCTGTGTATTATGCAACGGCGTCGTCTCATTCTACTCGCTTCCAGAATTCAGCCCGGCATTTCCCAACAGGGAACCCACTGGAGTGCAATGGATTGGTGGCATCGATGAAAATGAAGACAAAGAGAACCCCGAAGGGCCTGTGGTGATGATCGCAAACTCCAAACGAATCATCTTGGTTCGAGTGGGCGAGAGGCTGAGGTCGCTCAGAAATAACATCGAATACCCTGGATGTTTGAGGTCGAGCAGAAGAGAGACAATTGCATGCGTGGCCGACGATACGAGTTATGCGCTCCTGGAGGTGGAACATCAGCAAAAAATTCCATTGTTTCCCATCTCGTCGCAGCCCACGGAAGACGATGTTTCGGCTGATAATGGTGGGCGATCGCCAGCTCGGTCACCTCCACCTGCAGAAGCAGCTGGTCATGGTCGAAGCACGAGCATGGGAAATCTGATCGGCTCTACAGAAGACAGAAAGGATAGTCCTCAAGGCCGTCACCAGCAGTCGTATCTAATGCCTTCTGACACAGGAGCAGCCAGTCCAGGCCGTCCTACAACACCATCTATCAATTTGCCAGCCCCTGGAAGTAGTGACGGAACTGGACGTCCGAGGGCTCGTCCCCGTGCGTCGACTGATGCACTACCCACCAGGTCGTCAGCTAGCACCAATGGCAAGCATTCTGACAAGCGTCTCAGGCCACATATCCTCTCGCCTTTTCCAACAGAATTTATGCTTACAACCGGCACGACGGAATCCGAGCCGGGTGTTGGTATGTTCGTGAACCTGGACGGCGATGTTGTCCGAGGGACCATTGACTTTGAATGTTATCCTGAGGATTTGATCGCGGACAATTTCGCTGTACCAGAAAATGAAGGTGCCCCGCGCTCGGAAGATGAAGGAAAAATCATCTTTGCCCTTCTGCGGAAGGTTCAGGAAGGCGTCACGAAGAGGAAACTGGAAATCCAGCTAGTGGAGAATGCTTCCGAGCTGGCTCATCCTCGCACATGTGTTGCACTGCCATCAAGCGAATTCGAAAATGCTCACGCTGGCTTGCGCCACACGCTAAGTACACATCAGCATTTCTTCAAGGCCCCAGGAGAACTCCTGACACTTGTGCCACTTTCGATCAGATCATTGAATCATCGAGAAAGCGCCCTCAACGAGAGTGATCCAAGGACTCAGTCCGCCGTGGAGCAGGTGGAGCAAGAGCGTGCTCTATTTGACAGTCAGTCCTTGAACACGCCTATAGAGCTGTCGAGTGAGCTCATGAAAAAGCGTGCTGCTGAGGAACAAAAACTTGCCGGCCGTTTCGGACGAGCTTTCACGAGAAACTTGGTTTGGCACGGGAAAGAGCTACTCATGATTTTACAGAATCCCTTAATCTCGCAGCTCGAGTGTCAACTAATGCAGTATATGGTCGACGGCCAACCCGCCAATGTAAGACCAGGGCAAATCTTTGGGTTCTTGGCTAGCATACACAATCGCGAACCGAAGGACGAGACAGAGTTCCTTTCATTGAACTATATCCGACAGAAGGCCAGTTTGATACTGTTCTTGCATCTGGAGACACAGCTTTCGGCTGCCTCAACCCTCGAAGACACGTTCCGAGCTGTTGAAAATACACTCCATGACGGAGGATTAGATCCCCGAATCGTGCTGCTCCTGTCACCTCCACTCTCGTCGGAGGTCTTGTACGGACCAGAAGGTATCTGGCTTCATCAAGGCATGGCAGACCTTCTGCAGGACCATCAATCACCGATTTCTAACTTTGATGATGCTCCGACTGAATTCTGGATGATGATGAGACATTTCTTGATGCTATGGCAAGAAAAGCGCGGCTACGGTAGTATTACAGATGACAAATATGTGTTTGATTCTGTAGATGCGGCGGTTCTTCATGTCTTGCTTCATTTGGACCAAGCATTGCCAGCAGAAAGCCCTACCCAGAGATCGGTGCGAGCCAAATTGCACAATGCCGTCGACTATTGGAAGGGTGATTTCGAGCGTGCGACCTTGCTTCTGGAACGGTACAATCGACTTTACGTCTTGAGCCGGCTCTACCAGAGCAGGAAACAAGCTCAAGATGTCCTTGCGACGTGGAAACGCATCATTGACGGAGAAAAGGATGTGGATTACGGCTCAAACATTGGGTATGTGGAGGTACAACTCCGCCGGTACTTGACAGTCATTCGGGATGTCGACCTCGTCCAAGACTATACTCTATGGCTTGCTCAACGAAATCCAGACCTCGCCGTCCAAGTTTTCACGGATGACGCTGCACGGATAAAGTTCAGCCCTCAACAAGTGGTTCAACTTCTCAAAGAACAAGCGCCAGGGGCAGTCCAGCAATACCTAGAATATCTTGTCTTTGGCAAGCATCTTGGGCAGTACGCCGACGACCTGATCGGCTACTATCTCGACTCAGTCCTGACTGTCCTCGAGAAATCTGAATCTGCTCGTACGTCACTGGCAGAAAGCTATTCGACCTACCGGGCTCTTGAATCCCCCAAGCCGACCTATCTCGATTTCATTCACCAAAACGCCCCCCCAGAGCCATGGTGGCAATCGCGCCTCCGTCTCCTTCAGCTTCTAGGGAGTGGCGCGTACGCAACCACCGGCAACAGCGCGTCTGGGAACGATCTGACTTATTCGGTCTCTATGGTCCTTGAGCGCTTGGCACCCTTCTCCTCCTACCTTGTATCCGAATCTGTCATCCTCGATGCCCGCCAGGGCCGCCACAAAGAAGCCCTTCGCCTTTTAACCCACGGATTGGGGGATTACGATACGGCCACACGATACTGCTATTTCGGTCGTCCCTCTCCACTCTCATCATCCTACCCAATCGACCCCTCCACCTTGCCCTCCCGGACGACCCAGATCGAGCTCTTCACCTTCCTCTTCCACGAATTCCTCTCTATCTCCGACATCGAAGACCGTCTCGAACGCACATCCTACCTGCTCGGAAAATTCGCGACTTTCTTTGACCCTCTGCAAGTCTTGAGAGATATCCCAGATGATTGGACGGTGGAGATGTTGAGCGAGTTCCTGGTGAGGAGTTTCCGTGCTGCTACGAGCGAGAGAAACCAGCTCGTGATCATGAAGGCGTTGAGTGCGGCGCAGAATCTCATAGGGCAGGTCGAGTTTGTGGAGCTTTGTGAGAAGATTGGTGCGAGAGTTGAGAAAGGTGACGAAGCGGATGGACGGGGTCAGGAAGGGTTTGGGGAGCCGCGGGAGATAGATGTTAGAGAAGGTTGAAAGGGATTTCGGAACATCAAATTGCCACTACCACTGCCACCTCCATCCAGATAAAGCCAATGCTTGAAATTGGGCATTGTTTCATGTCACATGCACCCCGGATTCTCATGTTTCTCCTGTTGAATGCCTTCCTATCATGATGGCATGGTCATAGCCATTCCCCACGACCACCGCCCAGTTGTGATCTTACCTTTTTCGATGCCCTGCCATAATATGACGTGGGCCCCGGCGTGTCGAACACATCTCCACAGGGAGAACCGGGAAGGATAAGAATAGCAGAAGGGCAAAGGAGCCAGAAAACCCATCGTATTAATCGGACATGACTGTACTTCGAGAGAGGGGAAACGTCCCCACCCCCCAGTGCATGCGTAACACTCGTAGTGGTATCTATGTAATAAGAAGCGACGACACAAAGGAAACTGGACAAACTGTACATTATGCAGAGTCGCCCGAAGCCAATCCAAGAAGACTGTACAATGCTCACTTGCTCGCTCGCTCGCTTGCTTGCTTGCTTGCTTTCCAAAAAGCGCTTCGTGGTGAACAGAAGGGAAGAGAAAGGGAGAGAGCTCAATGTCTCGTGCAATCGTGGGCCACATTGCCAAAACCAAAAAAAACAAAATAAAAAATATAAAAAAAAATTAGACATTATGCATGCTTCTTCGAACTTTCTGTTTTCGTCAACAACACCGCCCTCGCCCTCCTCTTGAGGCTGGTCTGCGAAACACATCTTCCCACTCGCCCAGACTGGTGAGCACTCCGTTCCTTACCGTCCCCCCTCTTCCTCCCTTCCGCCTCCTCACAGTGCCTCCATCGGTAGTTATACTGTCCCCGTCGGCCCCCATGGCACCGTCGCCATACTGAATGCCACTTGCGGGGTCGTCCGGATCGATCTCTCCCAGCTCGATCTTGGTCAGGATCATGGCCGCTAGCCGGTAGAACAGTGCATCGACATTTTCGCCCGTGAGAGCCGAGACTTCCATCGTGACGGGAATATGGACTTTCGAGGCCCACCGTGAGGCGACCTCGGTGCTGACTTCGCGACCCTCGACCGATTGTGTTGCTGTCCATTTTGAGAGATTCATGCTGTCCCCGCGAGAACGACTGGAGGTCGTCTTCAGAGAGTCGGCGGCGCTCCCTCCTCCTCCAGAATCGTATGGGAAATATGACTGTCGACTTGACGCGCTCGATGCAGCAGGTGTAGTGCCGGATTCATCCTCTCTCTGTATGCGATGTTGGTGGGCGCTTCCGTTCATGTGCACCGCTTGCGTTCTCGCATGAGTTTGACCTCCTTGCCCGTGTGGTTGTAGCGACTCGTCTGCCAAATCCGATTTGTTGCCCGCCAAAATCACCGTCAACTGCGGACTAGCCAGCGCCCGCGCATCACTTAGAAAGGTCGGCAACGCCTGGAAACTCGCCATGCTTGCGACATCGTAGACCAGTATGGCTCCTGCTGCACCCCTGTAGTAACTCCGACTCACGCTTCGAAACCGCTCTGTGCCCGCCGTGTCCCAGAGCTGCAACTTGATCCGTTTCGAACGATTGGGTGGTGTGCCTATCTTTATTATTTTGGAAGAGAACTCGACGCCGATGGTCTGGGAAGACAGCACGCGCCATTCGTTCTTTACGAAGCGGTGCAGCATGCAGGATTTGCCGGTGCCGCTGGGGCCTAGGAGGACGATTTTGGCCAGGTAGTCGTACATACTTCCTAGTTCCTACAGATATCTTGTTACTACGGGCCGCCAGGATATGGATTTGACCTGGGACAGAATTGCAGAGTGCGTAGGTACCTGATTCTGATCGGGCACAGAACTGAGATCGGACGCGGCAGATGCTCGTCGTGGGCGCGCCATTTTAGCGATGGCGATTGTCTAGGAAGCCTTCTCGGCAGGTGTGCTCTTGAGCTGGGTTCTCGCGGTTCCATATGGGTAAGAATGCTGATACGGCACCAGTAACGCGACCTGCGTGAGCATTTGAGATAACGACTCAGTGCAGTTGCCGGGCTGCACCGAGATGGAGCTTCTCGGAAGCCCGCATCGGATTTACATTTAGCCGATATTTGACCACCAGAAGCTGAGAGGCTCTGTTCAACGATCAACACAATACCGAGTAGTCGGTAATACTCACCTGATTGCCCGAGAAGAACGCCGTTTTCACATGCCTTGATTACAGATTGCGGCGGGTGAGGAGCTGAATGCGTGGATGAACTCTCTCGCACATGTTCGTCAACCACGACCCTGCATATCAAGCCATCATCGTCATTGACAGCAGCCATGGTCAAACTCGGACCCTTTCTGGCAGCTTTAGGATCGAATTGAGTTTAGATACGCCTCTCGTTTCCCCAACTGAGAGTTCGGTGGCTGCTGCACAGCAGCCTTAGCGGGCAGTCGGGGGCTTCGGGGGCTTGGGAGGCCGTTAGGGGGCCAGGGGGACCGGAGCTCCGGGGCAGCTCCGGGGTCTCTGGGGGTGTCTTAGGGGGTGTCTCGCGGGTCTCTTGGCTCCTGTAAGCCCTAGATTCTGGGCTTAGCGAGAGGTGCAGGCGCCCAATCACCACCCTTGGCGGTGAGATGGCGCTTTTAGGCGCAGACGAGAGCCGAGAATGCGCCAGTGCCAGTGCCAGCACAAGCACCAGCACCAGCACCAGCACCTCCTCAAGCAATTGATCGACACAACGGCCATCAATGGCGGCTGAAAGCATCATGACATGGACCGTTGACAGAGACCCAGACGGTGTAGCGCGGTGGCCTTTTTGGCTTTTTGAACCAGCCTGCATCCTGTGTCGCCTTCTAGATTTTCCATATGTCCATGGTTTGGCTATTGCTGGCTTTTGTATACTGGGTGCCTCTGCGCGGAAGGCTAATCGAAATTTCTACCGTGTCTTGCAGGCTGTCATTGAGTTGTCAGCTCACTGTCGTCTCCTCACTGTCGTCTCAAGCATACGTCACTAGAGAAGCGGCGTCCTCTTCCTTCGCTTTACTCGTCCATAGCATCGTCGCTGCTTCGGCAGCTACCACCAAGCGAGGTTCAAATTTCCCAGCCCCGGATTTTGACCATAATCCCAACTCACTTCACTGCAACACAAGACAATGGCTCCCTGCAGTCGCCAGGCCGATAGTCGATCGACCTCTCGATCTCCTTCACCATCGGGCTCCATCAAAAGTACCTTGTCGTCCTCAAGCACTCTTGTCTCGCCAACTCCGGATTCCTCATCACCGCTTCCTTCACCTTCCTCAGCAGTGGCAACCACCTCATCCATGTACAGTGCTTTGGGCACCCGCCCCCGCCGGTTAACACCGCCATCACGACTTCTTGGTGCCATCGATGAAGACAGCTCTACCGTGCAGCCTGATGTGCCGTTATCGAGTGACAACGAGCATAACCCGGTTGCCAAACTTCATGTCTACGCTGCCGTAGTCAACTCAAGACAGAAGCCCACTCTCGCACCCATGTCGAGTCCACCACTCGACGAGTTCGATTGTGTGATAGGGCCCCGTGGTGAGAGGTTTACCGACCTACGAATGAACCGAAAACCCGTGGGAGTCAAGGGCTGGAAGCGATTCATGTGCTTCGGGTAAGTCGCCGCAGTTCTAACATTATCTTCCCTGGTATCTCTGCTTCCCTAGTCGATTTTGTTTCTCTCGCATCTTTCTAACGAGTTAGCTGACGTGGAATGCGACTATCGTCCGGGGAAACACGTGGACCATTTCAATCACATCTCGACGCCATACAGCAATGCTTGTTGGGGACAACGGTACAACCATGGCTTGCAAATCCATCTGGCTTACTGAAGAGCCACAAGTGGGGCTCTCACACTGACGGACAGGCGCAGCTTTTACTTGGCTGCCGCAAGAGGTCGACATTGTGGATTCAAATCTCGAAGAGAGATCATGGCAAGCCTAGGACACGAGACGGATTAGGTATTAAACGAAAACAGGATTTAACGAAGCTGTACGACTATGTGGCATTGTACATTATTTCAGAACTGAGCAGAGGTGGTTGGTGGCGCGCATCGAGCCCTTTTACCCTTCAAATACATCGAGCTTTCTTCATGTGAACCAGTGCGTATCCGTTCGTCTCCTCACTTGCACGTTTACAGGCCACTTGGAACCCAATCCGTAAGCTGTCGACTTCCTAAACGCGAGTACGCCCTTAGTAAGTCAAGTACTAACCATTTGCAGAGGGCTGCTCTAAGGTGAATTCGGTGTGTTGAGGTACAAGCTACATCAATTTACGGGTGTATAAATGCGCCCAGCACGCGCCCATTCTGCTGCATTGCCCTCAGCACTCGGCTGGCATCTCTGTCTTAATACCGTCCCCAACTGGTCAAGTTCTATCTATTTCTCCATAAATACTCATCTTTGACTTACCATCAAACGCACCCTTCGACCGCCGAGTACTCATACCTTACCATCACGACAAAAGATGGCATACCTCCTCGTCGCCGCCGGCGTTCTTCTCCGACAGAAAATCTACGAACGGAAAGAGTTACAGCGCGAGAAGAAGCGACTCGCGTATGAGCCGCGGCATCGCGAGTTGGAACAGGAACATCCCATTAGAATAAGCAGTGTTCAGCAACAAGTCATGGCTGGGCCTGATCGTGGGAGTGTTGGGCCATGGCGTGAAAATTCCGCAGTCCCCAGCGGCGATGGGCAGAGAAGGAATGGTATCGAAGACAGTGAGCGAAGAGACAGCGAAGACAACCTACACGATAGGTTGACAGGGTCGTGAGGGAAAGAGCACACATTACAATGACGTAGCCTGGTGCACGCAATCGAAGTAGTTTCCTTCAAAGGGCGACGTTGAGGTTGAGTTCTGGACGATATCGGATAGGGAATCCGGCTGTGTGATTCAAGCGTACCAGCAGCAATCGCTTGAGGTAAGTCTTGGTCTGGTGCCTTGAGCAATGGTTGAGGAGAAATTGATGGTCAAAGGGCGCGGCTTTACGAGGTACATGTGGCGCTAACAGCCCAATATCACTAGCGTGGAACTACCGGTGTGCATCTTTCCTAAAAAGGCTTAGACTACACGTGATGACTTTACCTAATTGCTAACGCGTCTCCCTCGGCCTCGATGTCACCACACACAACGACTCGATAGGATAGATTCAGAAGCCGATCTCCATGCCACTACTCCTCTGCCGTCATAACCGATCTCGCCATCTTTTCTTTGTTGCGAGCTTCATTCTCATGATGAATGGCTTATCAATATCCTACTGGTCCTCCTATGTACTTGTTACACTGCCTTTCTTCTTGGCCGGCACGGATTGGCCGGTGATGCTCTCCGCAGCTAGCTTGACTCCGGTCCTCCCACCGTCCTGCATACCAGAATGTCTTCTAGTTGATCCCCTCATCTAGCGGATATGTACAATGCAATGTCGCCCATCCTCCGTTTTCCGGAAGGTTGCTGTTGTTTTTCCTACACCTGCCCCTATGGTGTTCCTTTCCCAATCTTTTTTTGTTTTTGCAGTTGCCCCCCCGTTGTGCTCTCTCTTCGCAGTTTTCTTGACTATTCTTCAATAGAGAGACCCGACCATGGGCCTTGGAGCTCCCAATGAAAACCAGCAGTCGGTGAATAGCACCATCTTTGTGTCACAGTCCTTACCTGGTACCTTTCCCGTTCGACGTTTTTGCAGAGTTAGCTCTCTGACGATTCACAGATAGCCGAGCCAGCTGCCTCGATCTCGAACGATCCGATGCTTCTCAAGATACCCTCGCGAGCGGACGAGCGGCGAATATGTCGCCAGACGATGAGCCACAGACCAGGAAAGACTCGAGGAAGATCATATCGTTTAGCTCGACCGACCCAGATAACCCCTACAACTGGCCACGCAGGAAGAAGCTGTATATCTTCTTCACCGGCATCATAACTGTTATGAATAGCACGATTTCCTCGTCGTTACCGAGCGGAGCGATCACTTTCATCACAAAGCATTTCGACGTCACACAAGAGATCCAATTTCCATTGCCGATATCGTGTTTCCTCGCAGGTTATGTGGTCGGGCCCACGCTTTGCGGTCCTCTGTCCGAAAACAATGGTCGGCAACGAGTCATCTTAGCATTTTTCATCTTGTCTACCATCTTCAGCATGGCCTGCGCAGTGGCACCTAATTGGCCTTGTCTGCTCTTCTTTCGCTTTGTGTGTGGGATTGGATTCTCCGGGCCAATAGCAATCACGGGAGGATTATATGCCGACGTATACAACGACCCAAGAGAGCGTGGTTTGGCAATGGCTTGGTTCATGGTCGCGACGACATTTGGTCCCATCATCGCACCAGCAATTTCAGGATTCATTGCAGAGAATACCTCGTGGCGATGGGTATTTGCGGTGGGCACTCTGATCGCTGTTGCAACAATCCCCTTTATTGTTTTTATGCCAGAGACCTACACACCAGTCCTTCTGAGTCGTAAAGCAGCACAACTTCGCAAAGCCACAGGTGATCCCGAGATCATTGCCAAAACCGACCTTCAGAAGAAGACGCTGCGCCACGTCCTTACCGTTGTCATGACTCGACCCTACCGCATGCTGTTCCAGGAAGTCATTGTCATGTGTGTGGCGGCATATTGTTCTCTGGCATACGCAATCTTTTACCTGTATTTCGAAGCATACCCTATCATCTTTCAGGGCCCGGACTCGGTTTACAAATGGTCCTACGGGCTTTCTGGCCTAGCATTTATCCCCATTGGGTTTGGATCACTCTTCGCGGCACCTATATATCTCTGGTGGGACTCGTATCTGGCCAAGGCACAGAAGCAGCAGGCAAAGTGGGCACAACAGGAAGAGTACAGGCGGCTACCGCTGGCTTGTATAGGAGGGCCGCTGTACGTTGTTTCTCTATTCTGGATTGGGTGGAGCGCAAAACCAGGCACCTTTTGGCTGGCACCTGTCGCCTCAGGAGTTGTCTTTGGAGCGGCATTCCTACTCATCTTCATGGCTTTGCTCAATTACCTCACCGATGCTTATGAAACTTTTGCAGCCAGCGCGCAGGGTATTACCAGTACCAGTCGAAGCGTCTTTGGTGCGCTCTTGCCACTAGCTGCTCATAGCATGTTCTCCCACTTGGGCATCGCATGGGCATGCAGTTTACTGGCGTTCCTTAGTTTGGGAATGTGTCTGATCCCCTTTGCATTTATCAAATATGGTGACCGAATTCGGGACAACAGTAAGTTTTGCAAGGAGTTGAAGGAGATTAAGGCAAGGGAAGCGGCCCAGAGTGAGCAAGAAGAGAGGGAGGAAAAGCTGAGGATTGAGAACGGTGATTTGAAAAAAGAGGGAAATAGGGAGAAGGAGGATGAAAAGATGTTCGATCGGGTATGATGGATGATGGACATACAGTACATGGGACCTTGGGAATGGATTTCGCACATAGAAGAGTCGGGCATCATAGCTATATTCGATACATAGCGCGGAGTTTCTGGATAGAGAAAGAAGAGTCCTTCGGGTCGGTCTTTCAAGTGCCTCAACCACGTCTTGGCAATTCCTCAGCATTCCTTGGCGTGCCTCGCTTAACGTTGTACTGACTACCTCGTACTGTGGACGGTACAGCCACCACGGCCAAGGCGCTGGTGATCAGGTATATGAGGATTTGTCGTGGTATGGGACCGGGGGGGGGGGTCACCAAGCCACCGCCTTGCCCAGCGCTTTCCGTGTCCGAAACGTCGAAAATGCCCAACCTCAAGCCCACCGTCGCATATATACTCCGCGCGTCCGCCTTCTTGAGTGTCCCGGATAACACCCATGCTGTTATACTTCCATGACCGTGTTTGCTTTCTTTTTATCTCACCATGGAGGACGCAGTGCAAGTGCAAACGCATTCATGTGACCAATGCCAGAAGGTCGTATTCGATCTCCGCCAGAGATTTGAAAAGTCGGCGAAGGCAGTTTATGACCTCGCGGGCCAGCTGGAGAAAGGAACCCTTGGTGCGAACCCCCGACCAGAGACTAATCAACAGGATGAGAACATGGCTGAAAAAGGCGCCTTGTTCGATGTCACGTTTGGTCAATTTTGCGCCGGCGCTGCGGCTGAGTGTTAGCTGTTCGATTAGGTCATGAACGATGAGTGGATCTCCCGGGAGACAATTCACAGTCTTGCTCGAAGAGATTTGAATATCGATGACCCAAACCACACACTAGGGTGGGCCTTCAGAGATTCGTCGCTGTGGTTTGATGGATGGCTCCCCAAGCCATGCGCAGAAAACATACTACATAAAATTCGTCCCAGCCTAGGAGACTCTTTAAACCAATGCCGGCTGTGGGCTTCGACGTATCAAGGCCCCGAAAACCAGCTTGATATCGAGTATATCCAGTTCTTCGGCTTGTGGAACCCTATAACCCAAAAAAAAATTGTTCACCGAACAAGACACGGTTTTCAAGTCTTCGCACAGCCTGGAGATCGCTGCCCGAGCACCGTCTCGAACAGGCCCATTGCTAGATACCCGGGCTCCGTCACAAATCTTGCGAGAATCTCTTCGTGGCTGAATGACTGCCAGGAACACCACAATTGCAAAACCAAGCCGGGTGTAATGCCCGCCCGGCTTGTCGAAATTACGGGCACATCCGAAACTATCAGCTTGCGACTCCGCCAGACGGAAGAAGTAGGAAGCGTTCCGTTTGCCGCACTCAGTTATTGCTGGGGTGGCGAACAGCCTATGAAGTGCGACAGCTCCAATGTTGTTTTGTATGTAACTGCAATTCCGTTCGAGAAGCAACCGCAAACCATCAAAGATGCCGCAAGGGTCTGTCAGGGAATGGGATTTCAGTACCTTTGGATAGATGCGCTATGTATCATCCAGGAAAATTCCACCGAAAAATCTGTTGAGATTGCCAAAATGACCTCCATCTATGGCAGCGCTATGGTCACGGTTGTGGCAGCCCGGTCGTCCTCGGCCACCGAGGGGTTTCTGGGGGAAAGATTTCCAGGCCCGAAAAAGGGCGCCCTTGTTCCGTATCGCTGCTTCGATGGTGAACTTGGTTCTATCACTCTCGTCAAGCTCGATGACGGATTTGAATCGGTAGAGCCAGTCGATGAAAGAGGTTGGACCCCTCAGGAGCGGCTGTTATCCTCTAGAATCATTGAATTCGGCTCTCGGCAGACGAGATGGATATGCTGCAGCAACAAGATCTTCGGGCTTTCCTTGCGAAGGGGTTAACGGACGGCTGGAAGAGGGACGCGAACTACAGCAGCAAGCGAAAGACAGAAGCATTGAACCTCGAGAATATCCGCACCGCCAAATCCACGATTGGCTTCTATGGCCGACCAAGGAACAGCCAATTCAAGCAGTATTTAAATGCTATGCAGCATTGGGAGAAAATATGCGAAACATTCACTCAGCGAGCGTTGACACTCTCGTCTGATCGCGCCTTGGCCATCTCTGGAATCGCACAAATCTTCATTGAATTGTCCGGGGATAAGTACATTGCTGGTCTCTGGAAGTCGTACCTCCACTCAGGGCTGTTGTGGAAGATTGAACACAGCCATGTACATCCCAAGAACATACCCCGGCCAACAACCTACCAAGGCCCTTCATGGGCGTGGCTCTCTGTCAACGGGCCCGTCCAATTTGGCCAAGTGAGCAGGCCATCCGAGTGCATTGCAGAGATTCTCAGCTGCGAGACGGAGCCTGCAAACGAAACAGCTCCGTACGGCTTAATCCGCGAGGGCTCTGGCCGACTGGTGATAGCTGCTCGTACTGCTCCAGCATCGAGAACCAAGACGCCGTTGAGATCTCCTGGAAGATTCAAAGATGAGGTGATGATTCTAGGCTTCGGCAAGTCCTTCGGCAAGCCCTTCGTCTGCCACGTTAGCACCGAGATGCGCTGTGATGTTCAAGAGGCAGAGATCGACGCGGTAGAGCAAACCGCCGGCTGTCTAGTTGTGGAGATCACTCGGAGGACCGACAGGGACAACAAATTGTGCTGCCAGGGTCTAGTTCTTCGGTGGAGCTCTCCAGAGAGGAAAACATACTCCCGCGTCGGACGGTTCACCTACTACGGTGACCGGAAGGGACGCCTTTTCGCAGAGCATGTCAAAGCTGGGCAGCCAGCAGAGGTGGAGTTTGACTGGTTTGCGGATGAGCCAAAGGTCATAGAGATCATCTGAGAGGCAAGGTTAGTGGCTTTTTGTTTCTTTTTTTTTTTTTTTTTTTTTTTTTTTCTTGCGGAAGTCGTGGCATCGACCAGACCGGCACAGTGTCAGCTCAATGCACGATTTCTTTACAAACCGCCTAATTCACCACGATACTTCAGGCAATCTCTGATTTTGTGCAGACGAGCAGCTTTTACGAACATTGTTGTGCAGCTCGTCGGAGGAGCTGTTTGATCCTCAAACAAGGCAGACAACACAGAAGACGGAATCCGCAAACTGGCTAATCAGCAAGACAATATTATCAGTCGAACAGCCAGCCCATCACCAAACCGGCCGGCATAAATGGCAGCCGTTTTGGTTTCAGCTCTCGAGACTCCGCAAGCTGGGGGTGAGATCTGTGATTATTGCGGGTGCTATCGTGCTAGAGTGCCAAAGGGTTCTCAGGCGGACAAAACGGCTGAATTTTATGAAGTGGTAGGTAAGACGATGTTTTATCTGGTAATGCTCTGCTGTGGTTCGTGAATTTGCATCGCGGGAAAAAGAGAATGATGATAACGTATGTACTATGTATTCGAGGAAATCAAATCGGTCTACTACATGGCACATTGTCAATTAGCAGGCACAGGGAACGAGAACCGCACGAGCCACAGTCCCAGAGCAGCGTTCTGCTTTTCGCTGAACTCGTTCTATCCATGGGCAAAGACATTCAAACCACGGAAGATTAATACCAGAATACTCAGCGGCGAATGTTGACATGTCTGGGTCATTTCTGCTTTCGAACCCGAGCGACCCATCACTCAGCCCGAGCATTGACCCAACCTTTCCGAGCCTCACCAGCTGTAGCTTAGCGAACCCTGAGGCGCCCCTGCGTGATGAGCTCAGAGGTGAGCCTGGTGAGCCTGTGCAGCCACCCACAACATGACTAGGGGGCTCAGGGTTCTCAGTTTCTGTCGTCCTACCGACATGTGCGACCGTGCACCTTGACAGCGGCGCTTGTAAACCCCTCGACCTTGCCCTGCAGTTGTGTGGCTTAGGCAGGATTGGAGTGGTAGAGCAGAGACGCCCGCTATTCTCTACTCATACTTGATGATGCTACCCACTGGCAATCATCGATATCACACCACTATGTTCTTTGCTTCTGAAATGCCGCCTTCACTCTGATGGCTCGACCTGGTATCTCCTGCGCACAGCTGGCATATTATGCCTTGGGTGCTGGGCTTGCAGCAGAAGGCAACCTCTACGCGAATCACAGCAGCTTCGGACTCTCACCGGTCTGCAGAGAAGTTGCCTGACGAGTCGACCCCTCGCTTTCGGCCAAACTCGCTAAGCGAGCTGTCCTCGAGACCCTAGGGTAGACGGAATCTATCATTTAATGTAAGACTCCATCTCAAAAAGCAAATTGCTGACATTCTTTTATAACCTCGAGTTGAAGCCGAGTTGTGTATTTTCCTCGTTTCAGTAATGTCGCCTTTGAGAAGATAAATCGGCAACAGGGGCCACATATGTGCCTCGTATTTCAACATTGTGGCAGAAACGCCTACCTGTGGGCTCTCAGCCTCAAAAGAACAAGGGTCCTTCCCACCATCGCCTCTGAGAAAGTGCAGCATCGCAAGGCATCGACCTCAGCCTGACCAGGGTGAAACAACGCGCAGACTCCCGCGGTCAGAATCCGGCAAGATGATCATGCGTCGAGCAACCGGTGATAAGAGGGTCTTCAGCCCAGACGCTCAGTCTCTTCTGCCTCTCTCCAAGCCTAAACTCCACTCTCGAGATTCTAGCCATACTATTGCGAAGCTCACCTCGAGAAAGATCGTCAATATCATTATTAGAGCCGCCTCCGCTGCCTTGGGATTTCTAATTCTCGGCCAATTTGCCGTCATGCCGGCTATCAAGGCTGTACGGGCTGTTCAGGCGGATTTAACTGGAGTGCAGCGTATGTCCATTGGGATCAAGATCACAGAGACGCTGATCGCTGTCATTTCCGTGAGCATTGTCACTGTCGTATACCGTCTTCTCATTCGTAGAGGTACTTTGATGTCTACCACTGCGATTTACCCTTGTTCTGCGGTCGAGAAGAATATAGGGAAGCTGTTGTCTTCTGCGTGGCCTGACTACAGCGGAGATGTCACCAGAAATGCAGTAGCTGGAACACAGACGATCGACCCAGGCTCCAGTGGCGGCTCTGTGCTCGTCCGGGACAAAGACTCCGAACGAATACGCCTGATGTACATTGGGAAGATGCGCTCGGATGAAGACGGCAGGCTCATTGCGAAAGGGCTATTTGACAGCTGTGCGGAACCCAAAAGTCGCTGCTCGAGAGCCCGGTCATGGTTGACAAGCGGGTCACCACTGATGAAGACCATTGTGCAACTCCTCATCTGGCAATGGGCGACTTTCTGGCTAGTCTTGCTTATGGTGCTAGCAACTCTTATCTACAATGGCTTCTTGACTGGAGAATTGGCCATCGATAGTTACCCTCGTCTCACCATTATCGTTCTCTACAGTTTAGGCTATTTGGCTCATTCGATCTATGTGTGGAGGGTGATCTCCGACTTCCTAACGAATGTTGGTGCCGGTGCTGCTTGGAGCCTCCTGGAACGAGCAAATTTCGTCGTTTGTCATCACCACGATCTCCGCCGACATCCAACTGGCAGACCCTTTAGCTTCAGAGGAATCGACAAGGCGAGTAAAGAGCACGTCCCCACCATGTATGAGGCCGTCTTTAGGCACGAGACGGCCAGCCCAAAGGATGCGCACGACGAACCCATTGTGGACGACTACAGATCAGACTATGCGTCCGATGATCCCCAGGCTGTCAAAGCCGCATTGGCCACGATAGAGAAAGCACAGGAGGATGAGAGAGACGCCGCTCGAGACGCCGCTAAGCTTGCTCTTGATCGTGTTATGTCGAACGTGATGATCGTGACAGGAATTATTTTGTCCTCTGGTTTCTCATCCTGGACATCTAACCAAGCTACTGAGAATACCCCCAATAACTTCAATTCGCAGCAAATCGGGTCTTTGGCACTGCTAACATCTCTGTCTTTGGGGGCAGCCGCGATGTTTACGTCCGCTATGCATCTCAGCGTTATGGAATCGTCATTCAACACAATATTGTCTCTCAAGGAAACAAAGATCAACGGCCAAGCCGTCGATCATTACAAGAAGCGTTCGAGCACAAGCAGCGCCCTGTCATTCACGAACCACGACTCCGATGTCAGCAGCAGCACCACTGGCCACGCGGGCAATCTGACTGCATGTAGAATCGGCTTCATGGACATTCTTACCATGACAAAAGCCTCCGATATTGCACACGTGTTCTTCTTGGGTCCGGCATATACATTGTTACCGGATAAACAGGACCACATCCGTACATCAAGGAATCTCCAGTTTGACCTGTTCGCCGAGGTGCGCGGTAACACAGTTGTTCTGACTACCCAGCCCACCAACGAACACGCACTTACAGGGGAGGGTACCAATGTTGAGGCGGTCAATGTCTGCTTACTGCCACAAGGTGCAATGAAATCGACGCTTGCAGGTTCTGAGGATACGGTAAGCAGAAGTTCGGCCGGATTTGAGTCGCCTCTAGACGGCCAAGCTGACTATATTTCACCCAGCACGGAAAATCAAACTCCCACGCTTCAGAAAAGCCACTTGTTTGTGATCAGGTTTGAGCAAGACTGGTGGCTTTTGCGGGGTGTCAGATCGCTGTGCTATCAAGTAAAGCCTAGGGCTGCAGCAAATACACTCTTTCGACATGCCGAACACGGTATGCTGTCTGCTTGAGCGCCGTACACACAAGGGAGGAAAGAACCTGTTCCACGGGAAGTTTTCAAGCTGTGCCCGCAATGGGTCCGACACCTCCGCCCTCGTTGATTTGGAGGCCTCTCATTCAGAACGTCTGGGCTCATTAGCGTTGCGTTATACCACAGCCCCGGTAGGCCAACCACATTCATGACACCTCTTGAAGAATATCTTGAACATCACAGATTTCAACAACATTCCTTCGAAACCTTTGAGCCCCTTCGAACGGAAATGACAAGGTTATAAGCACATATCAAAGCGCTCTCTTATTTTTTTTTTTCGCTTTCTTTGTCTTTCCTCTGATACTCTATTGTGCATTGGATAATATAATATCATTTGCAATTCATCCGCGAAGCGTGCGGCTCACTGTGAGGAGGCAAGTCTCGCCCAAGGGATGAGAATTCGGTGTGGTCAGAGTGATGAGCCGAAGCTGAACTGGGGCACAGTCCGAAACGGGTGCTAGGGCTGCTTTGTCTGTCGTCGCTGAATATTACCAAAGCCTTATTCATTTCCTGTCACGGTTTACTTATACACCTTGTTCAACCTTTGTTGTGATATGGGTAGTCTGTCAATATGTATACACTTGCTTGCTCTATCCGGCGATAGTGTAGAGTCTTTGATTCCTATCCATCCTCTTCTCATCCGTCCCGAGGATACGAGCTCTCGCGACTGTCCTCCTGGAGCTCCTCTCCTGCGATGACTTCAGCCTCCACCACAAACACGTCGCTAAGCTTGTCCTGCACGAGCGCCTTCTGCTCAGGAGCTAGGCACGCTTTCTTCCGCCCTGCTTCTCCTTCGTCAGAGCTATACGGTGACACTGCAGCGTCGGATTCCCAGTCCTGCAACAATGGTGTGTCCACAGGAGAAGTCTCGCGTGACTGCCTGACCCGCCAACATACCCAGTAGACAGCGCCACATCCCAAGATGCCCAGAGACGTGGCTGGGTATGCATAATACTCGAATCTCTTGTTGGTTTCGTTATCTTGTCCAGGATCTATCCATGGAAAAATGAGCAAGAGGGCATTGCTAACCAGAAACACGACGATGTGTGATCGATGCGCCGGGCATGGGCTTTGCCATTGCTCCCTCGCCGATGCTTTTAGATAAAGGAGGCCCCCCGCAATCGCGACCGAGAAGAAGGAGACGGGATACCCGCCGATGTTGACAAGGAAAGTGTATATCTCGCCTGGAGGAGGCAGGATAATCACGAGCACACTGACCAGCCAGTGCAGGAAAAGTCCTGGAGCTGGAGCACCTGCCCAGTTCTTTTTGCGCCAGAAGTTGGACAGGGGGAGAAGTCCTTGGGCCGCAAGCTCCTGATTGACTCGAGCTTGAGCAAAAGAAGTGGCCGCAATATTTCCAAAAGCCGAGATGATGATGAAGCATGGCAGAATCCGCTCACCCCACAATAAGCCAAAGATGTTGCGAAGGAAATGGCTGGCGACAACAACTCCCGAAGAGCGAAAGTCGTCTTTCTCCACGGCGCAGAAGTAGGCAATGTTGGCGAGAATGTACCCTAGCGATGCTAATGTGAGAGCGACCGGAGCCGCGAATTTTATGGTGGAGATGGGATTTCGTACTTCCGACATGACCTGGTTCGCCGCGTTGTAGCCACGGAAACAGTAAAGAACTTGTAATAGGGCGGTTGCGTAGTTGTAGGGCTTGGAGCTAGTGCCTGCCCAAATCGAAGAGAAATTCTGCTCTGCGATAGAACTCTGCCTTGAAGTTGTCGCAACTCGACCGATGCTCGCAAAGCCACTCAGGATGACACCAGCAAGGATCAACATCTTGCCCACGGCGAGAACATTGATTATGCGGAGCCCAGTTGATGGCATTTGTGCGTGGATGAGACACGATAGTGAGATAACAACGACCGCGATGCCCCGGACATTCCACACCCCAGCTTGAGCACCTAATGCTGCCACTGCATAGTTGCCTAGTATGATACAGTTTGGCGTGCTGAATCCCAGAAGAACGACATATGCCATAAACATGCTTGTGGCCAGCATCCTGGGCCGGCGGAAGATGCGTTCAAGGTAGACCCTCTCTCCGCCTGACCGAGGCAGTGCTGTACCCAAGTCGAGATAGACGGAGAGCCCACAAAAAGAGATTACTGCGCCGACAATCCAGATGAGTATAGTCATTCCCACCGAGCCGACTTCAGCGAATATCGCTGATGGGACCGAGTAAACGCCGACACCAATGGTCTTGCCTAGGATGAGGTTAATGGCGGAGAAAGTTGTGAGTTCATTTTCGTGTAGGGTTGGTCTCGGCTGTTTTATCAGGCTTGGTGTCACCGACTGCGCACTTCGAGGGAGAAAATGATCCTCAATGCCGGAACGGCAGAGAGGCGATAGATGCAAAGACTCTGGCTTGAGCTTCGCATGTCTCGCAATCCTCCCCGTCTTGGTATGCCCATAACTTGTAGAGGGGATCGACTCAGTCGCAAGTGCAAACGTAACGCTGGAGGCAACGTTGGGGCATATGCTCTCCTCGAGGGGGAAGTCGGAGGTGTTTGCTTCTTCAGAATCTGACTGTGAAAATGATACCCTCGGTGTTCGTATTGCACTTGGCGTGACAGGCGAACGACAGTCGAATAAAGGTGATGACAAGAAGGATGTTGTGAATCCGGTGGCCAAGCCCTCACCCAAGGACCTTGGCCTTTCCGAGTCCATGCTGAGATGAATCTGTACTTGGCGGGGCTGTTATCTTGCTCAATTAACCTGCTCAATTCCTAATTCTTGCTCAGACGGCCCATGCCAAGTCGGCTCACGAGACAGATGGCTGAGTACACGCGTAATATCAGAAGAAACATATATAGATCAAAAAAAGACCACAGATGAGAAAGCTTCCAGCAGAGAGAACAAGAAGAACACAGAGTGACAGAAGCTGCCATGCACGAAAATGCAGAGAGACGAACTGACCCGTGAGTGGCAAGGCTGCAAGAGCCTCCCACTTGGAATGCACTTACCGCAGTAAGCAGAGACTTTGCGACGAGGCATTATTATCCGACTGCCACCGTCTGCTTCCCCAATGACTTTTTGCCAGTATGGGTGTTGAATGTGGTAGCGATGGGACCGGTTGCTGGTTCGAAACTGTGTCAGGGCAATTTGAGAATGCCATTTCGTTTCGATGAGTGGCGGTCAATGTCCTGGACGCGCGGATGAAACGATCCGCGAGACGATCAGGGGTGCTAGGGGTGTCCCTGGGCTTGCCTGGGCTGTCACCACCTGGTTTTAGCAAACTTGGCAGTTCTAGTTCTGCCCCTAGTTTCTTCCCTGACGCGTTTGTCACGTTGCTCCACCGAATAAATATCCGGCGAGGCCGGCACCATCAAAAGTTCTCCACGGCCTGCGTCCTGTACCTGAAAGGCATTATTATAACTAACAGAAAGAGCTGTCCAAGGGGCACAACATTATCAGCCCAGAAAACCCGGATTGGAGGATCTGTGGTTCGAAGACGAAGATTGAAGTTGAATTTACCATGGGTCTATCTACAAATCTGGCGGTCAGTGCCGCCGCCTTTAAGGCTAGTCTGTGGGGACTCCAATCCAGGAGGTCGCAGCCTCATCTGACCAACATTGTTCTAGCCGAAGTATTGTCTAATACCTACCTCGCTACCTACAAGCAGGGAGTTAGAGGGAAAATTGTTAGTGAAATTCGATCCTTCTTGTTTTTGAAAGGATTTGATTACTCTATCCCACCTCGCTACCAGTGTTATCAACCAGCAGTATCTTGCAACGTGCGGAGTTTCGTCTTAATGAGCATATGTCATTTTACGAGTCTATGACCAAAATCACACCCAGCCACATTACCACCCAAACCCTGAAGCATCAAATCCTCGAAAAGATTTCAAGTCTTGATCACTCTTAACCTATCTTCAACACTTACCTTGTTGTTCACGGTTCACATGGTGAACTCGCGACCGAAGGCCTTCTTCAGTCTGTAGTTGTCAATTGCGAATCTCACTCTCGCTCTGAGTCGCGACATCCAGGACTTGACATCGTCCTTGACTTCCTCAATCCACATCGAACGTGGCAGGCCATACCCCTCCTTCGAGATCAAATAGGTCTCTGAAGTGGCAGATGGAGGGACGGAGATGAAGTTGGAGAATTCCATGAACGCATGGAGGTCATCAGCAAGCAAACCTTTCTCGAATTCGGGAGCAGCGAACTCGGGGATGTTAGTAAATGGTTTCCTGAGATTGCAACCCATCTTGTGCTGCAGTGATTGATGATGCTGCTACAGAGAGGAAACCAATGGAGGAGACTTCGCTGCGGAGGAACTTGTGACTTTAGTTTTGTGTCAACCTTTTTCCACAAAGAAGTTTCTTGAGTGTTAGTGATGGCGGTAGTTGATGCTGCGCAGAGGTGCGAGTATGAAAAGATATTTATACCCTTCGATCTTCTGCAGACCAGGGATCCATTCAATAACAGATCGAGCCTCAAGGCAGATTTAATAAAGGCAGTTGTATAATGTATTGTGGAAGCTGTTGTACACAGAATGAGAGTGGATTCATCTGATTGATTGTGTTGCGTCCTCTGGCTTTTCAGAGAGACTCTGCCTGTCTATATACTATTTGC